GTCAATCGATCCTGCGTGAGCGAAACCGAATGTGTTTGTCAATCGATGCTACGTGAGCCAAGGATCAGCCACACAGGTCGATGGCGGGACCGCACCTGCGCTTGGCCATCGACAGTTCGTACTGACCGACGCCCAGACTCGAGCAAAGGTCAGCGAAGGCGTGCCATCGCTCTGCGTAGCCCTCTTCGGCGAGCTTGACGTCGGCGTGTTCCGCCTCGTGGCCGCCGCGCATGCGGGCGCGCTCGTGGTCGACGAGGCCGAGACGGTGCGCCACCTCCTCGAGCAGGCTCTCGTCCGGCAGCTCGGCGCGCTCCGCCGTGGTGATGAGCGCCCGGATGCCGCTCGCCGTCTCGTCGCCACACACGCTGCGGATGCGCGCAAAGGCGTCCTGGCACCGCGGCGTCTCGACGGCACGGCTGAACTCGCGCGCGCGCGACAACGCCGGATTTGGCGAGATCGGAAATACGATGCTCGGCGAACGCGGACTGGCTCGCGCCGCCGGCGGTGTCGCGCCAAGGTGGGTGTGGCACGCCTGCAGTGGACTCAGCGGCGTTGCGGGCGCGAGCGTCGACGAAGAGTCGGCCTTGAGCTCCTCGCTCGGTCCTCGACGTGAGAGCAGGTTGGGGAACGGATATCCGTGTCCCGCTTCCCTGCTCGGCGGCCTCGTCGATGTCGTGAACGATGCGCGTGGCGTGATGCCACCGCCGGGACCAGCTTTGGGCGTAGGCTCACCCTTGCCAACATCCGGAGTCGATCCCTTCCTCATCGAAGCCTCGCTGCTGTCCGGTGCGACCGTCAGCTCCAGTCGCGGGATCGGATCCTCCGAGCTTGCCTGTCGCGCGCGTGGCATCGATCCGTCGCCCGCATGATCAAAGCTCGCTTGGCTGCTCGAAGGCGAGCTGGCGAGCGCATTGCTGTTGAACGAAAAGACGCTCTCACTTGCCCGCCTGCCGCTCCTCGCCCTCTCGTACTCCTGAGCCAGCGAGACAAATCCTCCCGGTCGGCGATGCACCGCGGGAGGCGAGCGGTACGAGTACGGCTCACCACGCGAGCGCGGCCCATCGCGGCGGGCAAAGCTGGATCGCCAGCCGCCCTGCGACGTGGGCGCGTCGTCGTGGTTCTTTGCGCGGAAGTTGGCGCCCGACTTTGCAAACGAAAAGCCTCCTCCGAGCGCCAGACCGCTGCCTCCACCTCCTGCGGCGCGGTTGCGGCTCTCGAGCTCCTGCATGTGCTTGGGTTGCTGCAGATGGTCTTGTGCCTGCTCGTTGTTGCGAGGCGAGCCCGTGCGCGAGACCTTTGCCTCGACTATCTCGGCAGTCCTCGAGGTGGGTTTGGGCAGCTCGGCGCCGCCGGATCCCTTGCGCTTGCGAGCGGCGGAGCTGGTGGATTGATCGGCGTCCGATGACGCCTCGGCGTTATCGGCAAAGTTGGTCTCGCTGGGTGCGGGCGAGGTCGACATGCCCATCGTGGCGCGGAAGGCAGCGATGGACTCGGACAGGTCGCGGGAGCCAAAGCTTCCCGAGGGATGTCGTGTGCGGCCGTCCGGAAGCAGACCGGGAAGAGACGGGGAGGTGGATCCGGTGCTGCTGACGCTGGCGCGGCTGCCCATGCTTCCGACTCTGAGGCGGCGGGTGGCGGCCTTTGCGGGCTTGCCCTCCTTCGGCACGCTCAGACTGTCGCCATGTAGGCCGAGGGCACCAGAGGTGGCATTGTCGGCGTTGCCCGATTGAGCAAGGTGGCCATCTTGCAGGCTGATGCGACGCGTGTCATCGGCGAGCCTATCGGCCTCGGCTTGGGCGTGATCGGCGCGGAGCTGCTCGAGATGTTCCGTGGGCGACTTGAGCTCGGCGAACGAGCGGGCAAAGCTCTGGGCGCGGCGGCGAGGCTGCCTGTGGTGATGGCCAGCGTGGGCTCCGCCAGCGGTCGCCTCACTCACGCCACGCTGACGTCGGCCGATGCTGGCCTTGGGCGACGTCGAGGGGCTCGAATCGTGTGACGAGCGGGGCTGGTGCGACGTGTTGTTCTGCATCATCATGGTGCTGAGCCTGCGATGCTTGGAGAAGGAAGCCGAAGGACCTCGCGAAGGGGAGCGAGCTGGGCTAGTGGCAGCCCGACCTGCGGGAGACATCTCGCCGGTGGGCAGTGGCGAGGCATCTCGGCTTGAAGCTGCAGCTAGCGACGCCGAGGTGACCGAGGTTCGTCGGGAGGCAGGCGGACTGACCGAGGTCATGGCCGAGATGCGAAGGCCTGCAAACTTGCCCGAGTGCGAGCGGGGTCGTCGGGATGCGCTTCGGTCGGCTTGAGCGGCAAGACTAGGCTCCTCCATGATGTCTTCCAGCGAGCCGGGCGCACCCGACTCGTCGCCAGCCGACATGGCAAAAGGCTCTGCGGGCGATGACGATTCGTTGGCTTCCATAGGTGAAGCCGCGTCGCGCAATGACGACGAATGCATCTTTCCGGCAGGCTGTTGCGAGAACGATTGGGGCAGGTTGTCCAGAGGTTCGACGCTGACCGAGAGAGATCGCTCGCGATGGGCTCCATCCTCGTCGCCGCTGCTGGAGCTGGGAGACGGAGCGGAGAGTGGGCTGTCGTTGTCGCGACTGAGCGAGTATCTCGAAGGCAGAGCCCAGCTGTCAAAGCGGGAAGATGCAGGCTGAGCCGAGGGGTGCAAAGTGAGGCCTTCTGCGCCGAGGCAGCGCGCCAGCTGAGCCCAGAGCTCGGGGGAGCGCTCCATTACGAGCGACTCGAGGCGGACGAGCCAGTCCTCGTCGTCGAGTAGCGGACGATCGAGCTCGGTGAGGAGCTCGAGCATCTCATCCCAGCGCTCGTCACAGCCGCGTTGGGTGGGACGCTCGGGATCGCCGCCAAAGACGCGACAGAGTCGGTACATGAGAGCCTCGTTGGCCTTGGTGTCGAAGAGGAGCTCCTTGACTTCGGTGGGACGGTCGAGGAAGGGGAGAAGGATGCCGTGATCTGCGACGGCGTGGACGTTGACGGTGGAGTCGAAGCCCGAGGAGGCAGCGTTGGACGCGGACCGCAGGCTGGAGAAAGACGAGGCGAAGCGTGGCGGGTTCGTGGCGGGTGTCGATGGTTTGGATGCGCGCTCCTTCTGGTGGATGGGTGCACGAGCATTGACGGGATGGTCGGCGTCGCCTTTGAGGATGGTGAGCGCACAGGTGCTGCCAAAGAGACGAGCCATGCTGGTGGACGGCGACAAGGATGTGTTGAGGCCGAGGTCGGTGGGTGTGAGAGGCGATCGACCTTCCATGATGGACTGCTTGGGGTCGTGTCTAGCAGGAACTGCTAAAGGCACGGCCATTGTCTGCAAGCGATGATGAGGGGAGATGGTGGAGATGAGGATGGAGGCGCGATGCGAATCGAGCAGCGAGATAGCAACAAGGACGGGAGGGGGCCTCGATTGAGAGTGGCTGTGATTTCGGTCTCCCCTTTTCAGTCACACGCCGCGCTCGCTGCGAGGGGCGGAGTGTCGAGTGGTTGCAGCGGATGACTGAGGCGTTGCACGGTCGGCTCGGGAAGGTGGGCAGGACGTGGGCCAGGCCGATGCGAGCCGAGTCGGTCAGTCGAGCCGAGAAGGCGTGTTGATGCTTGCAGCGGGAGGAGGAGTTAAGGGGCGTTAGGCTGCTGAGTGGCCCGATCGGTTCGGGAGGTTCGGCAAGGCGCCGAAGTTTTGTAGTTGAGTCAGGAGGTTGCAGGCGTGGTGCGGTTGGATGATGTTACGAAGCGCCAGTGATGAGTGATGGTGGCGTAGAGCGGTGCATGCAGTGTGCAGCTTCCAACTGTGCGCGAATTTGCGGGGTGCGTGCGTGGGTGTGGAGGGGAAGGCGTGCAAGCAGCGCTGGTTTTTATTATTGAGTCGAGTTGTACGAGTCGATGCAGCAGCTTTGCGACCGGAGTTGGCTTTCGAGAAGCGCGGCGAAACGGCAGAGGCGGAAGGAACCGTGGGAGACTTGGACGCTTCGAAGGATCGGAAGCGCCAGGACCGGCTTCGAGGCACGTGTGAAGCAGACGAGGTCTCATATGCGCAGTTTCCGAGCCAAGAAGCTTCTTGCTCGAGCGGCTTGCTTTCCGTCGCTTTCGACGCACACTCTCGCTGCGCCTTTTGGCTGCTTCGATTTCGAGCCGATGCTCTCTTGCAGTGACGCCGGCTGCTCTGAACGTCACTTGGCGTTGCGGGTGCCTAAAAAAGGCGAGGGGGCGCGGTATGGTTGCCAAGGGCCGGCAATGCGGCGGTGCAGCGCCCAAAAAAAACCTCCCGGACCCTTGACTTGCGACTCTCATGCCGCGCCGTGGAAATTGCAAGAAGCTTCGTGGTGGTGCACTGCTGCAGGCTGACTGCCAAAAGAGGCTGGGATGCATCTCGCGCTTCTCACTCAGCCACTCAACCTGTGTCTCATCGTGCAGCGCCTCTCCGGTTGATCTCGACCTTGCAAAGCTCCCACGCTTCGATCCGGGCTACCCGACAGTACAACAACACTGTCAGCTGGAACCAACGATCGGTTCTTCCCGAAACAAACGTCTCGCCTTCCAGATCGCGGCAGTCCAGTCGGCCCTCGCGGTCAGGGACAGGTCCGTCCCAGGCAGGGTCGAAAATAGGACTCGATTCGGCACAGCGTGACGTAGCTCCGCTCACCGCCCTTTTTACCCAGGATCTTTTTCGGAAAGGTGAAAAATAGAGCAAAAAAAGCGACCCTCTTTAATCGGACCCAAAATCAATCAATCACTCATGCAAGGATCGCAGACGGCTTGTCTTGAGAACGTGGATCATTTTGTATTGGCTTTTTTGCGCAAGAGCTGGCGAATAGACAAGAAGGAGAGGCTGTGAAGTCGAAAAACGCCAAGCGAAAGCAACCGACCCAGCTGACTGCGCCTCGTTTGGATGGTGGCAGCTCTTCAGGGCGTGGTGATGCCAGCGAGTCCACGCACGGCACGCCACGCCCTGCCCAAGCCACCGCCCATCTCCGAGCATGCGAGGATGCAATTTAGGTGACCTTCTTGCGCTCGTCGACCGAGAGACCGCCGGGACCCATGTTGACGAGGAGGAGCAGACCGCCGACGATGGAGAGCGTCTGGAAAAAGTCGTAGCGCAGGAAGTCGCGCGACGGGTGCGCCGAGTGCACCGTCCAGAAATTGTTGACGAACAGGTTGAAGAGGCTGAGCAGCATGACGAGGAAGCTCGCGCTCCAGCGTGCCTTGAAGCCGACGACGACCATCACGCAGGCGCCGAGGCCCAGCACCGACACGATGACGCGCGCCAGCGTCCACTCGCCCTGGATGATGAAGCCGATGAAGAGGAAGATGAGCAGCACACGCCCCGCCAGCTGGAAGTAGATCTTGCGGTCCGTCTCGCTCAGACTCGGCAGTCCGGCAAAGATGTTCTTCTTGGCCGACAGGCTGTCCGACAGCACCATCAGCAGGCCACCCACCACCGACAGGTTGCGCAGGAAGAAGTTGAGGTCAAAGATCAGTCCGTAGCCGAAGCCCTGGACCACCACCACGCCGAACAGCGCGCCCACCGACATCTCGGGGTACTTGCGCATGATCACAGCTGCCGAAGCCGCACACATGACCTGCAAACACAAAAAAGTGGGGAGGAGCAACCAGGGTCAGCGCGGGATGCTCGCCAGAGACGCTGCAGAGGCCCTCCTTGTACGGATACTTACGACGACGTTGGCGAGCAGGAAAATGTGGCTGATGCCCCAGGGGAAGCCGCGATGGCGCTGGAGGTAGTACTTTTGGTCGCTCCACTGCGTGAGGATGCGCAGCGCATCCTCGAGGAACGTGACGACGATCAGGAAGCGGCCGAGCGCCGGCAGATGCGGCTTGATGGGCTGCGTGTACTGGTCGATCAGATCCTCCACTTTCGAAGTGTACTCGCGGATCTTGTCGAGTGGCGAGTCGGCTTGCGAGCCGGTGCTCGTCGAGGCGTAGGGAGATGATCCGTACGAGGCCATGGTTGCGAACGGGCTTGCTGCGCTCGAATTGGATCGCGACAGCGAAGCAGAGGCGCCAGCGGACGAAGAGGCGAACGACGAGGGCGACGAAGAATCGTGCGTGTTGAAGGCCATGCGAGCCGCCATGGTTTTGGATTGTCAAGCAGTGGCAAGGTCAGCGAGACGTTCCCAGAAAAGAGCGTTTGATGTTGCGCGAGAGGATCACGATCAGGTCGAGCAGACGCGCGCAAGGGTCGGCGGCTAGAGGTGCGAACGGTAGCACGGCGAATGGCCAACAGCAGACGGGGGCGATGAGGGGTGGAAAGGGGCGGGGGCGGGGGTTTGAAGCAAGATGAGACGTACCTTATAAGCGCTTTCTTGCAAGGACGGTCGAGGAGCGTCGAGGTCGCGGGGAGACCGAACGGAGGTGATGGAGAGACGGGAAGCGGTCACCTGAAACACACGCGAGTGTTTAGATGCGGGAGGCCAAGGTTTGGCTAGGCTTTGCACGGTTACGCGAGGCGGATGCGATGGACGGCTGAGAGGCGCACGCGGGAACGGCGATGGGCTCGTTTGGGCGTGTTTGTGTTGATGGTGGAGGAGGAGGAGCAGGGGGATGAGGACGAGGAGCAAGGAGGTCCACGCAAGAATGCGAAGAAGATCCGAGCCACCCGCCACGAGCCACGAGTCCACTGACAGACAGACGTGCGGCAACGGAAAGGACAGCACCGGCCAGCCAAGCGCCCGCCAGCCAACCGCGGCCTCTCTGCGTCTCTGCCTCTCATGCATATTCAAAGCCAGAGTGAGTGGGCGCTCGCTCATCGCACATACGCACTCGACTCGACTCGACTCGACTCGGCACTCGACGCATCAACGCACGCGCCCGCCCGCTGTCATCCCGCTGCCCGCTCACCCTGCCCGCTCTCTCGCTCTCGCTCGCGCGCCTGGCTCGTGCAGCGATTTTCCGGTGTGTCGCAGTCTCACTTTTATCGTGAATCCGCCCCCTCACTCTGCCGCTCGACCCACACCGACTCTGCATCCGATGCGGATCCCTGCGTCCTTGGCTTCATGAATCGAATTGGTGGGCCGAGTGCACCTCAATCACAATTAGAGTCGGTCAAGTCCGTGTCCGAAGAGACACAGCTTGGTGCATGCTCGGCAGGAGAGCGACGACTGGTGCAGAGCAGCTGGCGCAAGGGAAGGCAGTCTAAAATATGCAGTGTGAGCTGGAACTCGAAAAACCCGCCTCCGCGTCCGCGTCCGCCTCCGAGCCGGATCTCTCTGCTGCTGCGGCGGGATCGACGGGACCTGTTCGCGCCGCACCGCGCCATCCCGCTCTCTTCGCACTCGAAATTGAGAGACTGTGAGCAGCGTCGCTTTCTCGGCAAAGCATCGATCGTGCACGATCCGCGCCGCACGATGGGACGCCGACTCTAAGTTACCGCCATGGTCAGAGAGCGACGCCATGTCGTCCCATCGGTCACACGAGCCCAAAACAAAGCACACCGGGGGGAAGACAGTCGGCGTTTCAACGCAAGCAATGGCGCATGCTGAGCGCATTCCGAGAAGCTTTCCCAACCGCCAGAGAAAAAAAGCCTCCACAAACCTCTGCCTCGCCAAGGCCCGCAGCAGGTCGACGTGGCAATCAAACAAAGCTTCGTGGAAATTTCAAACTTCAATGAGAGTCGCGGTCCAACAACTAGAAACCGGCTTCACCGTTTGCTGGATCCTGATGGCATCTGATCAAGACATCCTAGCCGAAAAGGGAGATGTCCAACAGCAACCTACGCTCACGATAGACAGCTGCCACACTGTACAGCATCATCATCCGATATCTCTATATTATAATGATATTGTGTCTACTGACGCGCAACGCCGATGTGGGCGAGCGGTTCGGCCATCCCGTGCGGCGCTTCAGGCAATGGTGACGAGGCGAATGACGAGCTGAGCAGGGCGAAAACAGGTCCAGCGGCGGAGAGTGTGTAGGGTGGACCATCACATGGTCTTGACCGCGGGGGCATCGAGCAGAGAGCGACCGGACTTGAAGTTGGTGTACCAGCGCAGGTAGGCTTCGTTCATGACGAGGGTGAGCACGGTGTGCGGGGCGATGCGGAAGAGGTGGGCGGTGGTGCCCTTGTACCATCCCAAGACGCCCTCTGCCTTGGCGGTGAGGTAGAGGCAGTGGAAGGGATTGCGGTAGAGCGTGCCCACGCTGCGGCCGCGCTCGTCGACGCGCACGGGTTGGTTGTACATGCGCGTCAGCGCCGTATCCGCCGGCTGCATCACGGCGCACACGCACAGTCCGCTGAAGATCGACGACGCCAGGTAGGTGAAGAACGAGTTGGGCTTGTTGGCCAAAAACTTGAGCGGATTGTACGCGTTGGCTTCGACGTCCATGTTGGTGAGATAGCTCTTGAACCAGTTGTACGCCGGCAGCTGCACCGTGCTGCCCATGGCCGTTCGCAGCACCGCTGCGTCCATACCCCTCACCAGCCCGCGCACGCCTTCGCTCTGGACGATCTTGACCAGTCCATCCACGGTGCTCTTGTAGTTGTGCGATGCCTTGCCGATCACAAAGTGCGGGCTGTACGCCTGGATTCGCGCCTTGATCAGGAAGAGCGGGTTGCCCAGGATCGCACCCACACAGCCGCTCGAGGCACCGGCTGCAAACGCACCCGCTGCCCACTGCTCTTCGGGACGCTTGCCTGCCGCTCGGTTGATAGCCTTGCGAAAGGGCTCGTAGAAGCCCAGACGGCTGCCGTTGAGCAGCACCTGGTAGACGTACGCCGCACCGATACCTCTTTGCACGCCCTTGAGGCCCTCGGACTTGATGGTTTTTGTGAAACAGTCGAGCGACGACTTGTACAGACGTGCACCCACGGCAGCCTGTGCGCCCGCCTGAGGAGCGGCCGAGCCCGCCTGACCGCTCAGCACGCGCGGCGCCGCCGACATGAGCTCGCCCTGCAGCTGCATGCGAGTCTTGCACACCTCCATCGGATTCGTCACCGTCACGGCGGTCATGGCGGCCAGCGCACCGCAGAGGAAGCCCTCGGCGGTGGAGAGCTTGACCGGCTTGACCGGCGAGCCGGCAGCTTGCGATGTGGAAGCCATAGTCAAAGCGCTGGCGAAGCGGTAGCAATCACGGATCGGCTAGACGCCTTGTGATCGAGGCTGCGACGGCGTTGCTGGGCTCTGTGGCCTTGTACGGGATGCGATGGTTCGCGCGAGTTTGACAGGGGCCGTGAAGCGGGCGAGTGAATGAAAAGGAGATGGGCGGCCAGACTGTTGGAGAGGCAAGGAAAGATGGCAGGGTGTGGAAGACGCAAGCGGGAGCCGTGGGCCGTTTAGCCCGGACGATGGACCAGAGCCTTCGGGGTCAGCTCGCTTTTGTGGGGCGAGAAGAAGACGGCCGCATGCCGACATTCGCAAGAAGCCGAAAGCCGAAAAGCGATGCGCGCGTTCTCAAAATGTGAGCTTGTAGGTGTAACATTGGACGATGTTTCACTCCTGTTTTGGCAGGTCCGCTCAGCCGCTCTCATCTGTGCACGCGAGACGTGTCGGCTGACGAAGCGAGGGCAAGCGCTCGTCAAGTGTGCTGCCGCTGCTGTGCCTGCAATTTCCGAGTGCTTCCAGTGTGGCTGATCCGACTCGACGGTCACGAACGGCGCATGGTCATGTCAGAAGATGGACCGACGAGAGCTCATTTACAAGATGAACTGAAGACTCAAAGGGCGTTGGTGGGCAGGCGGGCAGGCGGGCAGGCGGGCAGGCAGGCCGGCCGGTCAACCGGGTTCATCGAGGCTGGAGCACCGAGCGTCAAATGAAGCCGTGGGCTGCGTCGTGCATGCAAAATCACCGTGGATGGCAGCTCGCCTGACGCTGTCGGACAAGCCGAGATTCGGTTCGGAAGAGGGGGGTGGACGTCGGAGTCGAGCAACAGCTGCGAATGCGATCCGCACCGAGGACAACAGCGGTGTTGGTCGATCCACAAGTGCATGCATCCGGTGCCGGAGGGGGGATCTCGAGCAACCCGTGGATTTGACCGGCCGAAGCGTGCCCCCCGACCCACTCACTGCATGTATGCAGAGCCTGACGACATCGTTGGATCAAAATCCAGGGGTAAGTAAAAGTCAAGCACTTCCGAGGCGGCAAATCCGTCCGGGCATAAGTGCACACGCATGAAGCCGCTCTTCCGCACCCAAGCGAGTCCAACGCAAGTTCTGCGTCTCAATTGACAAGGCGAGAGCTCAGCGCTGTCCGGCTCGACCGATCCATCTGTCAAAAGCGGACCATCCCGAACGCGAGAGACACCGGCATTGAAGGCAGTGGGCGTCGAATGCCAAGGTGAGACAGGGTCCAAGCTCATCGCTCGCTGGCTCGGCTGGGCTGGGCTGGGCCGGCTGGCCGCGTCTCAGTGTTGAAGTTCAGCGCGCGTCAAAAAAGGAGAGTGTCAGTGCGCGGCAAAGACAGGCGGTCCAGCAAGCCGCGAGCAGAGGAGATGGGGCGGGAGTTTTTTGGAAATTGCAAACGCGCCCCCGCCCACCTTTCGTTGCCTTTGGCCGCTCCGCTGTTCGCCCCTGCGCCTCTCGTGCCCCTTTTTGGTCTTCTGCCGTGGCTCAAGCGAGCCGACAGCGCTGCACCSCTGCACCGCTGCACAGTCCACTGGCGAGACCGCTACCGCCCAGCCGCGCAGAGCCGCGCTGAGCCATCCGCCCATGCGCTTGGCTCGCTTGCCCTGCTCGCCCTCCACAGCGGGTGAGTGGGTGTTGTGTGTGTGTGTGTGTGTCGGCGTGTCGGTGTGTCGCCGCGCCACGCCCCGCCAAGGCCACGACTCTCTGGCCTCGCTATCCGATCGCCAAGCTACGCTCTCCACCTCCTCATCCTCGAGTCGCTCCCCCTCCAATCCTTTCCCTTTCGGTACCCTTCCGGCATCATCGTCGTCTCGCAAGGCTTCGACCCTTCTTCCCGCCATCCGGTGCGCATTCGCCGCTCGCGCCATTCGGCCTCACCACCGCCCATCCCGCACACGCCACGATCTCATCGCACTCCGTCTTGCCCAGCTCTCGTTGCAGCCCCGAATCGATTCGATCTCCATACCCCAACAGCAAGCTCAGATTCCCAAAGCATCGCCGTCTTCGATCATCCTCGAAACGCCGCTGTCGCCGTCACAAACAACGTGGTCGCCATAGTCGCATTCAGCGTCCATCCGCAGCGTTGGCCCAGCTTCATCCTTGATACCCTTTCTTAGCATCCGAACCTACCTGCGGAACCGACGCGAAACGCTTGCGGCTTTCACGGCCTCCTCTCATCTCCGGCTCGACCTGACCTCACCTAGCCTAGCTCAGCCTCGTTGCAATCTGCCCGACTCGTTTCCGTCCCTCCGCAAACCACCATGCTCGAGCCACCGCAGGGCGCCGACCCCGAAGATTACTATGTTAAGCAGGATCGCGTCGGCAAGGGCTCCTTCGGCGAGGTCTACAAGGGTTTCGACAAACGCTCTCGCCAGCCCGTCGCCATCAAAATCATCGACCTCGAAAACGCAGAAGACGAGATCGACGACATTCAGCAGGAGATCGCCATCCTCAGTCAACTCGACAGCCCTCACGTCACCAAGTGAGTCCCGTCCAATTACATGCTTTGCCGCGTGTCTCGACCTTCAAAGACCTAACCTAATTCATCTTCTTCCTCTGCTCTCCCAGGTATCATGGTTCGTGGCTCAAAGGCACGAATCTGTGGATCGTCATGGAGTACTGCTCCGGTGGCAGCTGTTCCGATCTTGTAAGCTTGCATCGTCAAAACACTCCTCGTACTTCAACAGCGCTGACATCCTCTATTTCCTTGTCTTTTGCCTGCACTTTCAGATGAAGCCCGGCCGATTCCGCGAAGACTACATCGCAATCGTCGTGCGCGAGCTTCTCAAAGGTCTCGAATACCTCCACGGCGAGGGCAAGCTCCACAGAGACATCAAAGCCGCCAACATCCTCCTCTCGGCCACCGGAGACGTCAAGCTCGCCGACTTTGGTGTCTCCGGCCAGCTCACCGCCACCATGACCAAGAAGAACACCTTTGTCGGCACCCCCTACTGGATGAGTCCTGAAGTCATCAAGCAGAGCGGCTACGACTTCAAGGCCGACATCTGGAGTCTCGGCATCACCGCCATCGAGCTCGCCATGGGCGAACCTCCCTATGCGGATCTGCATCCCATGAAGGTTCTCTTCCTCATCCCCAAGAACCCACCTCCTCAACTCGAAGGCCCCTTTTCGCGCCCCTTCAAGGAATTCATCAACCTCTGCCTCCAGCGCGACCCTGCCAATCGGCCATCCGCCCGCGAACTGCTCAAGCATCCCTTCATCCGCAAGGCCAAGAAGACCACCTATCTCACCGAACTCATCGAGCGCCTCGAGCGATGGAGGGCAGAGGGCGGCGATCGCCACGAATCCGAAGAGAGCGAGGAGGCCGACGAAGATTTCCAGGAGGGCGAGGAGGACATGTGGGACTTTGGCACCGTACGCAACACCATGCGTCGCGGCGGCAGGGGTACGGTCGCTATGCGCATGCCCGCCAGTGCCATGACGGCAGCCGCAGCGGCGGTCAACGGAGGCGAAGACGTCCAAAACGGCAGATACCAGGCCAAGGAACTGCCGCAGGTTCCACACCAGCCTCCGCGCTCGCCTCAACCCCAGCCTCGATCCCCTACCTATCCCCAGGCCTCTTCCCATGCCCAGCCCCAGCCTCAATCCCCTCGACAGCAAGCACCACCTCCACAGCACAAGCAACCATACCAGCAGGACCGCAGATTTGACACGTCCGGCTCTTCTGGATCCGCTGGCTCGGGATCCGGCTCGGCGGGCGGCACAGTCCGCCTTGCAGGTGCCCCAGTGCGACCGGGCATCCCAACGGCGGGTGCTGGCCACGATGGAATCGCCCGACAGCCTAGTTTCTCGGCGGCTGACGCATACGACAAGGCCATTTCGGGCCGTGCATCTCCGCAGCCGAGACCGGCCACCAACGGCAATGCTTCTCATAGTGCCAATACCGGCGCCGGGGGGCGCTACGCAACCAACCACCAAGGATACGACGCTGTGGAAGAGGAGCGCAGGAGGATGGAAGAGATGCGTCTGCATCAGCAAGGCGCGTCGCAACGGCGCGACGCGAGCCCCAGAGGCGCGGATCGGCGCGGGGACGCGAAGCAACAGCAACAGCAGCACCAGTACCAGCAACAACATCAGCAACAGCACCAGCAGCAGCCACCACCGCAGGCGCAGCAACAGAGCGCTCGACTCACCGCGCTGGACACCGTCTTCTTGCCCGTCATCGAGCAGCTCAACATGGCCGTGGCCTCGCGACGGGATGCCGTACGAACGCTGGCCAATCTTCGCGCCTGCCTCGAGGAGGCCGAGATGGTGACGCCCGGCATCATGAACGCCTTTGCCGTCGAACTGTTCCACACTATGGCCGAGGTCGAGGGCGACCGCGAGCCAGAAGAGGACCAGTGGGATGGTTAAGCTAGACTCCGCTCCACCCAGTTTTGCAACTGCGATCTCCCTCTGCAGAGCTGGATCGGGACAGCCGACAATCACGGCGTGATGTGACGCTTGCGGTCCTTTTACCGTGCCATTCGGCTGCCCTCCGATCTTGGCCCACCCAGCACACTCATCCGATCTCACCAGAGACAGCGCCGTGGGCGAAACCGTCCTCGGTCGTCGTTCCCTCATCACATGACTCAGTGTTGCGCAAAGCCGTCGTCCAGGATATCCGCGGGACATCCCAGTACTCCATACACGCAAGTCGGGATGCCCCTTGCTCCGACCTTTCGACAGATCTCGTTCCCTCTCTCCTCTCTCCTCTCTCCTCTTTCCCTACGCACCACTGTTTATCTAATGGCGACGGTATTCCGCGCTTCATACCTGATTGCGCGCCATTTCGAAATGGTCGCGCGACGCACTCCACCCCATCCACCCGCGCCTTCGACCTCTCACTCGCTCACAATTCCGCACCGCGGTGCTCGCACGTTTCGAATCACATCGCTGATGAATCCACGCCTGCTCTCGCGACTTTGCCAACGATGCTTGTATTGCGGTTGAATGTCGGCTGCTCAGCACGAGCCGGAGAGGAGAAGATGAGATGCAATGTGTCGGGATAAGCCCACGCTCAAGACTGGTCGAGGTCCGACTCGAGGAAGGTCTTGAGCCGGGTCCAAGGCGCAAATGATTCAGAGTCGAGAGCGAGATCAAGTGCCTGGAGCTTTGTCTGGAAGGCGGTGAGGGCCGACTTGTTTGCCTGTGCGCGCTCGTCGTCGTTGTTGTCGTCGGCGGCTATTGAGCCTCTGAACATGCCGAGGAGACCCGACGAAGGAGCCTGAGATTTTTTGAGCCTGATGAGCGACTGCTGATTCTTGGTGATAGTCTCGACGGTGGTTGTATAGCTCCTAAAAGCGTATGTGAGGATGGGTTCTGTCCAGTCGCGCTTGATATCGTCCGGTATCGCTCTGACCGCTTCTAGCTTCAGGAAAGCTTCGAGCGGTGCAAATAGCTGCTGAACCACCTCGACGCCAGCACTAGCCGAGCTGGTATTGGCGCGGTAAGCGGGCGTTGAAAACGAACGCAGCAATCGAAGCGGCGCAGCCACACGCGGACTGATCGTGCCAAACGCCAATCGACCCACCCCCGACACCAGCCCCGCGATAAAGTCAAACGTCTCGCTATCAAGAACCTTGACCAAATCCGTACGAAGCTCTTCCAAACCAGCCGGATCGGCTTCTATGCAGCTCGAGATGCGCAAGAGGATGGTATCGTCCAGAAGAGCGTAAATGCGCGTGCGGAGCAACAAACAGTCTCCAACCAGAGCCGCTCCCAGAGCCAATTGCTCGTCCTCTTGCTGTTGCGTCGAAACGTCCGGTGCGGGTTGCGGAGTCGCCGAGCGCGAGATCTCCACCGACGCTGCTCGGTCCATGCTACTACGCGATCCGTCAGCCGACGCCGTTGCGGCGCCAGCACGCAGTGCATCCAGAGGTCGATTGCTGACGCCCGCCTCGACAGGCGACCACTCCTCCACCCACGTCTTGTATCGACTGAGGATCTGCAGTGTCACCCGCCACTCCCTCGCCGAGAGCTCGTGAATATGCACGCCGTCAGACCAAACCCGTGCCACCGCATCCAGCGTCGCGCGTGTCGCCTGCATCATCTCTCCCTCCGCAGCACGCGCGCGCCCATCGGCCAACCCAACCTCGAGCTGCGTCACCACCTCGCGGAAGCGCATCTGAAAGTACACCGGCAGCTGCCAGCGCCGCCGAAACGCCGTCCACCCCGGATGCGCATGCAGCGCCGCGCGCGAGGCCTCCGTAGGAGCCAGCGCAGAAAGCTTGTCGAGGAACGCCCGCGTCAGGGTGTAGTGCGCATAGAAGGAGTCCGTCTGTCCGACAAAGAAGATCATCGTGCCTAAATCATCGAGCAGCCTGGCGCTGATTTCGTCCCACAGCACATGGACAAAGACATCGCATTGCGCGTCTTCCCGCGCTGCAGATGCAGGCGTCTCGGTAGAGTGCATGCTCTGTAGCGACACCTCGCGCGCCGCATCCACCACCTGCCACGCCATCGTGCCCACAAACGTCAACACGGCATTGTACACCGTGCTCAGCCGGTCCGATTCGCTCGTCGGCAGCAGCGCGGACTGGGCTCGCTGATTGAACTCCTGAAACATCGCCAGAGCCGTACTCGGCAATCCGCTCGTCTCTTCGGTCTCTGCATTGCTGGAGGGGCTCTCGACGATCGTGCGCGCCGCCCACTTGCTGACGAACAAGTCGCGCACCGCTTCTTCGGCCTCATTCCGGCGCCGTGCCACATCGCCTGCCCCGTCTTGGCCGCCTTTCGCGCGGACGAGCGTGAGCGTGTTGAGCGTGGCCAGTGCCATCTCGAGCCACGAGCGCTGCTCGTCGAGTCTCGCCTGCCAGTACGCTGACTCCGCACCCGCGCTCTCGTCCGTCGGCTCGGCGACCTGGCTCCAGCTGTCGAGCTCGCTGGCGCATTGCTCGTGGATCGTTGCGGGCTTCGCCAGCGTCGATGTGCCCAGGAAGCTCGCTCGCCGCGCGCTTCCGGGCGATGGGCGCGACGAGCGTCGGAGCTCGGGCGAGCCGGGAGTGCGCGCGCTGCTCTGACCGTGCACGAGCAGCGAGCCGGGTGCGAGCAGGACGCCGAGCAAGGCACGCAGGTCCTGGCGCAGCACAGAGCACACGTGGTCGATGCGATCTTGCAGCGCATCGGTGAATTGCGACAGACCCTCTTCGTCGATGCGTCGATGGAGGAAACGCAGACGCGAGTATTCGGCCGACGTGCGCGCGATGCGTTGTGGGAGTCCGAGCAGAGATGACGCGCCGCCGTTGACAGTGTCGGATCGGTTCCGTGTCGCAGACGCCGAGGTAGGCTCATCGTGCACTACATCCTTGGCTACCGAGGATCGACGCAAACCCTTGCGCCTCGGTCGGTTGGAGAGAGCATCGGTGAGCTGGGTGCGGTCGTCACTGTCGCTGTCCTCGTCGTACTCGGACGACATGGCGTAGTCGGAGAACGCATCGTCCGAGTCTGCTGCCACCGACGCCAGGCTATCTCGGCGTTCGGGCTGCGACCCTGCGCTGATCACCGATGGTCGACGTGCCGACAGCGACGACTTACGTCGATTCCTCTGCGGGTGCGGCCGCTGGATGAGCAGTAGCTCTTCGAGACGCACGATCGAGTCTTGCAGCTGCAGCATGAGCTCCAAGCGCGCCTTGTGACTCGCAGCCTCTTCCTTCCTCTTCATACAGCTCGCAATGTCGTCCTGCACGCTCTTGAGCATGCTGCGCGAGGCGAGCAGCGTGTCTCGCACGGGCGCCATGAGTCCTTGGGGCGGCACATGGTCGGCGGAGGCGTCGGAGCGCGCAGGCGCAGTGAATCCGAGCCGCGCAATGCGATGTGCTTCCGCTTTGAGGCTGCTGCCGAGCGAGACAAAGTCCTTGTAGTCCTCGTTGATGATCGAGTAGAGCTCGTCCTTGAGCTTCTCATTGTAGCTGCGCAGATCGCTGAGGATGAAGTTTAGATCGGATGCCTTGGTGCGCGAGAGCAGGAAGTCGTCGACGGAGAAGTTGGGCGCATGGACGGGCGAGAGCAGCTCGAGATCGTGCGACAGAGGCGTCAGCGTTGGGAACTGGCTTTCCCCTGGCCGAGTCTCGTCATCGTAGGAGGTGTCCATGGGTGCAGAGGCATCGCTCTGCGAGCTCGATGCCGCTGCTGCCGCCATGTCACGGGGCAGACCAAGCTGTTGCTTCGGGTCGCTACAGAAGCTGCCAGCTGCCGGCCACCAATCTCGCCGCCGAGCTTGCACGGTAGAATCGTGTTGGAAGATGTGACAGAAGCCGCGTTGGGAAGCTTCGCATATGGCTCGAGCACCAAAGCACACGTCGAAATTCGCGCTGAGTGTTACATCGCGTTGGTCTGCGCGAAGCTTTAAAAAATTCTGAGTCCCAAGTGCGCAGCAGCGCATGCATGAGCCGCCAGCCGCCGCGCTCGAGACCAACACCTCTTGCCCGTTAACCTACTTTGCCTCTATCGACCGTCGATAACATTCTTCTGCCGATCTGCTCAGAAGATCTCGGCAACCTAACGGCCAACAAGCTCTATTCCGCATTCTTTGCGTGCCCTGCGCGGCAACTCGAAATTCGCAAACCATCCTGTGGGGATGGCAAGCCACAGCCTTGTGTGGACGACTTCAGGCGCAGTGCTCGTTGGCGTTGTCTTGTCGCTGATCCTCTCGACCACCATGGGTCTTTTGGGCGGCAAGAAGTGGAAGCCGCAGGGGAAGGATGTCTTTATCACGGGCGGCTCGCAGGGTCTCGGCCTCGCGCTCGCCGAATTGCTCGCTGCCAAGGGCGCAAACGTCACAATCTGCAGCAGGACCGAGTCCAAGCTTCGCGAGGCGGTCGAGCAGGTCAAGGTGAGCTAGTCCGGTCCAGCTTGTCTGCTCCGTCCCGCCGTATACTGATTCCGTTCTCTCCACTGCTGGTCCCGCCCACCTTGTCGATATTGCTCGCTGCCTTTTTCTCGCTTCCCCCTCCGTGCCCTCATGCGTTCGCTGTGACACTCGCAGGCAGCAGCCAAGTCCTCGCAGCAAAGAATCGAGTACGTCGCTGCAGACGTGTCGACATTCGAGGGCGCCAAGGAGGCGATTGCGAGTCGCGATGTCGTGCCGGACACGGTCTTCTGCTGCGCCGGCGGCGCCAAGCCGGGCTTCTTTCTGGAACAGACCGAAAGCGACTTTGAGCAAGGCATGAAGACCGACTACTGGACCTGCCTTGCCACGGCTCATGTAAGTACCTTCCGCGCCTTGCAATTGAAGACCTCGTCCGTCTCACCTCGACTTCACCCGGACCGCTCGCTCACTTTGCCTTCTTCCTCTCTGCACAATTTGGAACGACAGGCGGCAGCGAATGCGATGGCTCGCAACAAGGTGGTAGATGGCAAGATCGTGCTTGTCAGCTCGCTCCTCGGCTTTACGGGGCTGATCGGCTACTCTCAGTATGCACCCATGAAGTACGCCATTCGCGGTAAGTATGATAAGCCGTCTCAGCCTCTAGTGGCCGCTGGCTGACTCGAATTCAACTCCTCTTCGGACACGCTTCGATTAGGACTCGCCGAAACGCTTCGATCCGAGTTGCTGCTGTACGGCATCTCGGTGCAGGCGTACTTCCCGGCCAGCATCCTCTCGCCTGGCTTTGAGCAGGAGAACAAGACCAAGCCCAAGGTGACGCTCGAGATCGAGGAGGGCGACTCACCGCTCACACCGGAACAATGTGCCAAAGGCCTCGTCAAAGGTGAGTGTTTCGCTTTCATCACACCGATGAGACCGTGCAGGTTTCCCATGGGAAGCTCAAGCTGCGGGGCCGAGCATCGTCGGAATGAGGCCGAGACTGACGTGGCTTGGACTTTGCATTGTGCGGACAGGCGTGGAGCGTGGTCACTTCTTCATCACCACGGACTTCAACTCGGAGCTCTTCCGCGTCGCTGCTCTCGGCAGCGCCCCGACCAACTCGGCCGTGCTCGACCGTGCGCTTGCGCTGATTTCGTGGATCGCCATCCCAATCTGGCGCTCCTTTGTGGCCGACAGGGCCGTCAAAAAGCACCGCAAAGAACACCTCGCCTCACTCACGGCCAAGGCGCAATCGTAAAGCAAATCGTGCCCACTCACTCGGCAGTGGCGTCAAAATGGGAGCCTCTAATCGCTCTTGCAGCACGGCTTATCGCTCAAAACAGAATCCACACACTAGACGACTCGAGATATCGTGAAAGCATGCTGCGCACAGGGTGGAATATATGTACAGGAGCCATGAAGGAGTGGTCCGCCGATTACTCGTCGGTCTTGACCTTTTTGCCGATGGTGGGTGGTGCGCCGTCATCGCGCGAGTTGTTCGAGTCGCCTTCGCGCTTGCGCTTGTCGCCGCCTGCACGGCCAAAGCCGCCGCGTCCGGTCTTGTTGAGACGGCCACCGCGACCGCCACGACCACCACGGCCACCACGGCTGTAGCTGCCGTTGCCACGCGGGCCACGCTGCGAATCCTGCTCGCGCCTGTCGAGCATGAACGACGCACGGAAGTTGGCACGCTCAATGTAGAACTTCTTGGACGTCTCCTCGTCGACGCGCGAGAACTCGACCACCTTGCCGCCGACGGTGATGTTCTTGGTCTTGATCTCGGCGAGCTTGTCGTCCGAGAGCGACTCCTTGAAGCCAACGGCACCCTCGACGGCGCCAGTGGGGAACTCGACAAACGACGTCGGGTGCACAGTGACGAGCGTGTCCTTGAGGTCCTTCCAGTTGCCGCCCTCGCCGGCGCCGGTGAACTTGAGCACCGAGTTGGCAGGGAACTCGACAGCCTCCGGGTCGACGGTGCCGTCCGGGCGCGTGGTGAGCTGCTTGCCGTTGTACTCGAACTCGAGCGGGTCCGATCGCTTGGGCTTGTCGTCCTTGCGGTCGCCGCCCTTGCCATCGCGCTTGTTCATCTCCTTGAAGGCGTTGAACTTCTTGTGTGCCGACGAGTCGCCGCCGCGGTTGATGCGGTTGTTGCTGGGGTCGATGCCCTTCTCCTCCATCTTCATCTTGACGTAGGCGTCCTTGCTCATCACCACGAGCTCCTTGTCCTCGAAGCTGATGCCCTTGCCACCGTCCTGCTCGGGCTCCTTCTGGGCAGCCTGCAGGAGGAACTGGTTGCGGTCCTCCATGTCGGCGAACTCGACGAAGACGGAACCCTTGAACGGCTTGGGCTTGGTGTTGGCCTCCATGTCGCGGCGCATCCTCACGCTGTTGACCTTGCCATACTTGTTGAAGAAGGTCTCGAGGTCCTTCTGCAGCGTCTCGGTCTCGTCGCCGAAGCCCTTGGCGTAGATGGATCGGTCAAAGGCGTCCTTGACAGGCACGAGCTCCTTCCTCCTGCGCACATTGGCGCCGTCCTCGCTGACTTCGAGCAGCTCCTCGGAGCCCTTGAGCACCTCTGCGATGCCGTCGTTGCCGAGGATCTCCTGGATGGCGCGCATGCGCTTGAACGAGGCGATGGTGGCGATGGGCACCCAGCCCGCGGGGTCCTTGCGGGTGAGGGTGAAGAGGAACTTGTCGTAGGGAAGGTTGGAGTCGTGGAAGTAGAACTCGACCTGGCGGAGCGCCTCGGCCTTGGCCTCGTCGACGGTCATGGTGGTGGCCGGGGCCTCGGCGGTGGAGGAAGAGGAGGCGGTGGCAGCCACCTCCTGCTTGATCTCGCCCTCGGACTTGACGGCCTGTTCAGCGGACATTGTTGCTAAGATGGGCTGCGATGAAATGGGATGCGTACGTCCCTTCTCTGCAAAGATGGTGTTGGCAAAGCAAGCCGCTGCGAGAGACACGAGGACCAAGGCACGGATCTCTGCAACCGCGCTCCACGAGAATCAAAATGTGAAGCCTTGCTGCTTGTCCACCTCGTGCATGCTGCGTCCCGGAGTGGCTGACAGCCTGAACAATTTCTCAAAAAATTCCACACTCGCCAGAAGACCGCGTCCCACGATTTTTTTCTTCTTCTTCTTCTCTGTCGGCGACCGAAGAGCCACTGGACCCTCTCTAAAATCGTGGCCGTGCAGCCAGCGCGAGATTTGGCAGAAATCGCACATCCTGCAGAGTGAACACTCAAATCGGTGATGGGCCGTCCGATTAAGGTTGAGCCGTACGAGTGGATTCCATTGCGGGCCGACGCGCACGAGCCCGAGCGTTGAAGCGCCGGCTGCATACTTTTAGGCGCCTCGACACCCCGTCCATGCAGGTCGAGGCGCCAAGTTGAAATTGTGATTCACGCTCGGCCGCCTGAAAGCGCCACTCTGCCAACCGGATCTGCCGAAGCATCACACTCACAGATCACGGACAGCAACCAGCTCTTCAGCCCTGCAACCTTGGTGTCGACGTCTCTTCAACCTCATCGAGGATAGAAGAGCTTGTTGCTGTTTTTTCGAGACGGGCTCAAATCCGTACCCTGCGTCTCGAGAGTCTTCGAGCTCTTTTCAGTCCAACTTCCGATCTCGCCCTAATCTGGCCTCGTCCTGGACCTGCTACGACCAGGAGCAGCTTCATCAGGCCTTGGACACCGTCCACGCTAGGACTCCCGAGCTTCCTCCTCGTATTCTTCAGAGACACCGCGCTCGACACAACCCGTTCGCAAGAAATTCGAAACCAAGCCACAAGATTGAGAGCGCCTCATAAGCCACGTCCACCGCTGCATCTGCCGCCGCTATGACCGGGCCTATGGACTTTTTGCGCTCGTGGACGGACAGCGGGCCGCTCGAGACGGCGAAGAAGGTGCTCGAGTCCGCGCTCTTTCGCAGTCCCGAGCCGCAACCTGTCTCGGCATGGAGGATGCTCATCGACCCACCCATGCCGTACTGGGTCACCCTCTTCTCGCAGGCATGCCGTCTCATCTCGCTTCTCATCCTGCTGCCCATCATCCTCATCGGCGTGATCGACTTTGCGGGCTACGCCGTCTTTCGAACTCTTGGTAAGTCGTCGTCGTACACCCGAGCCTTGCAGTTCCAGTAGCTGACGCTCAGTACTCTCACACACGGCAACTCGGACTGGCCGATGTTCAGGATTGCATCGACGAAGGGTGCGCATCCAACGACAGTCGAAGGCAGGCGTTGCGGTGCCCGTGGGCCGTTCGAGCTCTCGGCGCAAGCCGCGCGTGTATCAGAACGACCGCCACCGGCCGACGGACCGCAGCAACATCCCGAGCATTGTCAAGGCGCCGCTGCTTTCACCTGGCACGTATGATGCCGAGACGCTGCTGCGCCAGCGCGCACGCAGCCTGAGCATCGCATCAGCCGAAGAGGAGGCGGCGTGGGTCGCCAGTGGAGGCCAGCAAGCTCGGCTGAGCACGCTCTCCAAGGACCAGGAGCCGTCGCTGGCGTCACCCACTTCGCCCGACAGCGAGGGTGGCTCGCTCGGTGACGACGAACCGCGCGACTACTTTGGTAGGGCGCCTCGCGTTGGCGTCGACGGAGCGCTGGGTCTCGCGGACACGGATGTGGAGAGCGGCACCGAGAGCGGAAGCAACAGCCCCGTGCAGCGCTTCTCCCACCTCAAAGGGTCCAGTGGCAATTCGAGGCGCAGAGGGCTTTCGGGCGGACTCAACTTTACTCCAGTCTCCGAGCGCACCGGCTCTTCGACCAGATCTGGAGTGCTTGGCGAAGATGCCGACGACTCTGCGGCCGCCATGCAGCACACCGACTCCAACAGTGCCAGTGTGGTGAGTCTGGGATCGAGCGACTCGCCAGACTCGTCGAGCAACGGCGACCGAGTGCGCGCGCGCAAGGGCGACGATGCTGCCAGTGCCAACTTGAGCTCGTCGTGGATCGGCGTGGATCCACACGATGCCGCCGCGCCGCCGACCGTAGACGCCGCTACGGCGGCAGCAGCCGCTGGCCTGGAAGCGCCATCCCACGTCTGGTCCACCGAATCGTCTTGACTGTAGGCACTCTCATTCGAGCGTCACCGCTCATTGTCTTCTCTCACGGGCTCCTTCATACGGAATTTGCAACCCACTTTTGACCGTTTTTTCTTCATCAGACGCTGAAATGGCCTTCTCGCTGTGAGGGAAGACAGACGACGGACACAGACAAAGGGAATGCCAAGGTGAACGACGCTACCTCCTACCCCGCGAAGCGGGAAAGAGCGCGCATTATTATGGATTGAATTCGACTAGAGGGAGCGAAGCCATTTAGCACTCGCCGCAGTTGGCGATGGTGATGGTGCTCTTGGTCTTGCCAGAGCCGGAGCCCTCGGCCTCGACGGCCTTGACAATGTCCATGCCCTCGACGACCTCGCCGAAGACGACGTGCTTGCCGTCGAGCCACGAGGTGACGACGGTGGTGATGAAGAACTGCGAGCCGTTGGTGTTGGGGCCGGCGTTGGCCATCGAGAGAAGGCCGGGCTTCGAGTGGGTGAGCTTGAAGTTCTCGTCGGCGAACTTGGCGCCGTAGATCGACTTGCCACCGGTGCCGTTGCCGGCGGTGAAGTCACCACCCTGCAGCATGAACTGGGGGATGACGCGGTGGAAGGACGAGCCCTTGTAGCCGAAGCCGGGAGCGCCAGTGCAGAGCTCGCGGAAATTCTTGGCAGTCTTGGGCACGACGTCGTCGTACAGCTTGAAGACGACGCGGCCGAGGGGCTGCGAGTTCTTGGTGAGGTCAAAGAAGACGTTGGACATGATTCTGGCAGTCGACGTAAATTGACGAGCGTAGGTGGCGTGCATCGTGCAGAAAGAGAGAACAAAGAGCAATCGAAAGAACTGTGTGTGAGTGAGCAGGAATGGCGATTAGGACAGAACTTGGAGATAAACTGAAGATCGCCATGCACTTGACAACTTTCGCTGCCGTTGCGTGGGATCTTCGCGGCGAAGCAAGTCGGACGAGACCTTAATGTCGCTGACGTCCAGGTCCATCTCGAGCATCATGAAATGCCGTGGCCAGTGGCGGCAGTGTTTTGCGGGGACACTTACGCTATTTGTGTTGTTGGGGATGATTCCTGCGTATTGGGAGGGAAGAATGGTCCGGCGAAAGTGTTTATATACGACGGACCAAGCTGGTCCATGCGGCGAGTGGATTCGTGCGGGCGAAACTCCACAGAGCGAAGATTTGGCTGTTGTGGCAACGGACGGAATGCGGAAGAAGAAGTGCCACTTGGCCAAAGCACACGCGCCCAATGAGTGGCGGCCGCTCAGCGCCCACCAGACTGCTCTGCCACCAGCCACAGCTTCGACAGTCACCCGCAGAAATTCACACAGCGAAAATGCAGGGATTTGCAAACAGAACTGCACAGCGCAGTCATTCTTCCTGGCAGACTTCCAATGCCCCTGCCTGCCTGCCCGCCACCCCTCTATTTCCCTTCTGAACCCCCTGATTTTTCCTAGCGCTGGATGCGGGCTGGCAGATGAGCGCATGACGTTCATCCACCAGGAGCGGCGCCCTGCTCTTTAGCTCGAGGGCGCAACCTGGCGCTTCCAGCGCGGCCAGGACAGCCGGCGCAGGACCTGAGAGGATGTGCATGTCAATTTGAACGAACGAAGGCACCTGTGCTCGTGCTCGTGCCCGTGCATTCGAATGGTCATGCTGCTTCGAACACGTTGCCCGCGCCACTCACCCTTTCCCTGCTGCCTCTACTCGCAAGGCATCAAGTAGCTAGACACTTGGCCGAACACAGCTGGAATGACTGCAAGAGAGGAGGAGAAGGCCGACTCGCTGCCCATCATGTTGAAAGCGCGGCACAGACCACGGACATCTCGCATTCGGGAGAGCTCAAATGCCTCCGTTGGTCGGTCAGGAGGCTCGGACGTGGCTGTGCTGCCGTCAAAGTTGCCCGTGAGCTTGTATGACGGAGATCCGCCTTCAAACGACCCTCATACGCCGTGCTTTGCTCTGGAAGCAGCTGGGCAAAGGCAAGGTCTAAGTGCTGCTGCTGGCCCGGCAGCCCTCCCGTGTGCACACGCCACCCAAGAAAGTCATTCTCCTCCACATGCGCCTCTTCTTTGTCGATCACATGGTCGGGCCAAATCGGCTGCCGGAGCATCCCGATCAAAGATACTATCCGATCGGTCTGTATCAGATCGGTGATGTATCGGTCGGATCGCATCTTGGGCTGGACCCTGAGAACGGCCCCTGCGTCACTCGCGGCTACGTGAACTCGTCCGACCACACGGCCAAGTTCCATTTCTGGACCGCCCCTTTCCACGCTGCACGCCCCACAGCATCTTGTGTTGGCGACGGCGCAGCCGCTTGTAAGACTGCTGCGAGCGCAGCGACACCCAGCCCACCATTCACCCCCAACCATCTTGGTATCGGCTCATCCGCAGAGACCCTAGAGGAGAGTACACAGTGCGGGAGGTCGCACAAGATCCGCCGAGATGATCCCACCGTCGATCCAAGCGTCGCTCTCCATATGGCCCGCCAGGGACGACCTACATGCCAACGTGAGTTCCAGCTCTCGCCTCAAAACACACTTGCCTGGTGCGCATGCCGCCTCTATACCCACCGCTGGACCCTCGACGATCTCAAGGACTACGCTCAGTCAACGCTTCCGGCGGGCGATCCAACAATGCGACCTTGCCGCTGCTCAGCGGGTCGCTGCTCGAGCCTTTGAGCTACAGCTCCTCCCACGCCCATTCGATGACGCTTCCTCGGGGCTGGCGGATCGCTGCAGTCCACGACCATCGCGAGCGGCGCTGCGCGCAGCAGAGGCGCAGCGTCCATCCTCGTCGCATCCGTTTGATGTGCGCAATGTCGAACCCTCGGCCGAGCGCAATGGAATCGCCAGACACCATCATCATCGCAAATATACTCTCGCCATTCACGAAGAATCTCGCGCCGATGCGAACAGCGAGTCCGACCCCAGCATCGTCATCGCAATCAAGAACAACGCCGACGTCGAGCTCATCCGCTGGCTCATCGAGATGGGCCACGAGCAAAAGGCGCCAAGCGTCGATGCGGACGGCAACACTGTGCTTCATCTCTCCACATTGTACGATCGACCAGACATCATCTACGCCTACTCGACGTACAACACCAGCCATCTGGCCTCCATCCTCGCCGATCTCATCGACGCCGAGACTCCGCACGAGCGACGCACGGCGCTGCACCTGGCGTGCATTCGCGGGTACGACGATGTGGCTCGCCAGCTGCTCGACCTCGGGGCCGATGTCGACCTGCAAGATCGTGCTGGCAATACAGCGCTCCATTTTGCATCGGCTTGGGGCCACCTATCGCTGGTGCAGCTGCTGATCGAACGGGGATGCTCGCTGGCGGTCCAGAACGCCGAAGGCTCAACGGCTTCGGACTACGCCTTCTCACATGTCGTCAAGACGGCCCTCGAATCGTTAGGTCGAGCGCGTCATGAGAGCCGTAAAAAGACGCGCAGAATTGTGGCCGCCAACACCGCGCCGTCTTCGCTCCGATCGGGCGTGACCAGCAGCGCATCTGTGCAGGCAGAAGAAACGGGAGCGATAGAGAGGCAAGCGCGCGCACGTCCATTCCCGTCGTTCCTTAGCCGAAATGGTTCCAACGGCGGAGGTGCCAAGAGCGCCAGTACTACGCCCATCAGAACGCTGTTTGCCGAAAACTCGGGCGATCAAACGGCCGATCTGTACGACGACTGGGATCCCGAGAAGACGTTTGCTCAGCCCGGCCAAGACTTGCAGCCTGGCGGTCGGGGCGTGCTGTCGTCGCCGCCGGTTCACAGGGCAGCGAGTCCAGCGACGTTTTCGACGCCGGGCCGACCTTCGGTGGACCTGTACAGCGAAGTGCTCAATCACTCTCCGCAAGCCTCACTGCACTCGATCACGTCCAAGCCGTCGTGGAGCAGTGGGATGCAGCAAGCATCGATGCTGCCTCAGTCACGCCAGGTGGCGCAGTCGCCTCCAGCCATGGCACCGACCAAGCTGCTGCGCTCGCCGGACGAGGTCACGATGCAATCGCACCCGAGCAGGGGTCTATCTCCGCATCTTACTTCGGACGCCGAGCTGTATCGCCAGCCTTCGCCGAACTTGGGTCCGATGCGTCGTACGCCTAGTCCGAACCATCTTGCCGCCGGCAGTGCGGGCGCTTCGGCGGACAAGCTCAAGATGCAGGACGCCGCTGCCATGTCGCTGTTTCGCAGTGCCACGCCACAGCCCGCTCAAGTGCCGGGCAGGATCGACACTCCGCCTCTCGGACAGATTGGCCGGAGTGAGAGTCCCTTGATGCTTGCACGCAGACCGAGCAAGGCCAATGCAGGTGCGCGTTTGGTGCCGTCGTCGGGCGAAAGCAGCAGTACACGCGCGGAAAAGGCTGCCCAAGGTCCGCCTCTGCTTGCGCCTATAGCCACGTTGCCGTCAGTGGCGCACAGTAGAAGAGAGGAGCATGCGGGTAGCAAAGACGCTGGAGAGGCGTCCGAAGATGAAGCCTCGCGGCTCGGTCGAGCTGCGGCGCAGGCCAAGCTAGACGAGTACTCGAGCTGGCGCCGCGACTCGAGCCCCACGACCCCACGGCCAGAAGATCGCGAAACCTTTGCATAGCATCTGTGCCCACTTAGACACGTTTCTTGTACGGAATTCATTAGCCGTTCTGTACAGCAGAGGAGGAGGTGCATGAAAGAGAGTGACCCGAAGGGTCCGCATTACTCGTTGGCGGGGTGGTCGAGAGGCTATCCGCGGCAAAACACGCGCTGCGCGGGTGCGGGTAACTGACCGGGCCTCGAGACGCGTGGGATCTGCTCGCGCTCGAGTGCGAATCTTGCCGGGCCAAAACGCGGGCCTTTTTGACAGGCTCGCACTGGTTGGCAGCTCGCTTGCAGCAGAGATAGGGCGGCGAAGCCACCTGACCTGCGCACGCCGGGCCTTTTCCAGGGCCTCTCGGGCCTTTCCTGGGCCTTTCCTGGGCCATTCTCTGGGCCTTTTCCAGCCCTCCGCCACGTTGCTGCTCCCACCAGCCTAGACTCGCTCCGCTTGGCATCCATCCCCCGGCCAATCAGACTGATGACTTTGCATCGAGCTCTTAAGGCGGGATCCAATGATCACGCTAGTAGCTTCGAAAACATAAGCAGATGCCGTTTTGAGCCCAACGGCGCTACGAGCAATGCTGAGAAGATTCGCATATACGTGCGTGCGGGTGCAGATAAGCAGCCCTGGTAGACGGGAATCTCGCCGCCCGGGTGTTGAGTGCCACTCTCGTGCATGCCGAGCGAGTGTATGAGATTGACAGCACTTGTGTCCTGTGGCGCCGGCCCGTGATACTGCGTGTGCCCCCTGGAGAGGCTTGCCTCGAACTTGTGCCTGCTCCTCGCTCTCCCGTGAGCTTCCCTTATATACCGACACTTGTGATTCCAAGACCTGTAGACGATCCCGTCATCCCCATCCCTGCCGTCTCCACGTTTGTTGACCATCTGTGCACTTTTGATCCTTGCCATTTCAATCCTACGCACAACCATCATGATCCCCGCCATGCGAAGCCGTACCCTGCGGCAGGCCGCTTCCGCCGCCGGCCCCCGCACCAACCTCGCCCAGCTTGGGGGTGCGGGCCGCCGAACGTTTGCGCAGGTCTCTGACGCTGCCGCTGTCCCCGGCAAGACGGGTTCGGCTGCCGACGTCGAGCCGTACCTGCTCGAGGAGCTGCCTGCCGTGCAGGCTGGCGACAAGGACGCCATCTCCAAGCTCCCTCCCTTCGTCATTTCGCGCGAGCGCGGCTTCCTCCCGCGCGAGGACCCCATGGCCAAGATGCCTGAGGCGTTCGCCGGCCTCTCGTCCCTGCTCGACCGCATGACCATCCACCAGCCCGCCGACGCCAACGGCCACCGCGCCACCGGTCTGCTTGGCACGGGCGACTTTGGCGCTGCAGTGCTTGACGAGCTCAAGCCCGACGGCAAGGAGGCCAAGGCCGTCGAGGCCGCCATCGAGTCGGGCAACTCTCACCTCCTCGCTGCGCTCTTCCGCGACTACTGCTTTGCCACCTCGGCGTACCTGCTCGAGCCCGTCGACCGTGCGTACCGTGAGACGGGCTTCTACACCCAGGGCCGCAACGTGCTGCCCGCCCAGCTCGCCGTGCCGCTCAAGAAGCTCGCCGATAAGCTCGGCCACTTCCCCTACATGGAGTACGCATCGTCGTATGCGCTCGTCAACTATCTCTGCAAGGATCCCAACTACAAGGGCACCGCGGGCAAGTACTCGTTCGACAACATGGAGCTCATCCGCTCCTTCGAAGACGCCTCGGGCTCCGAGCGTGGCTTCATCCTCGTCCACGTCGAGATGGTCAGCTACACGGGTAAGCTCGTCTCGGCCACCGAGGATGCGCTGCGCGCGTGTGCGGCCAAGGACGCAGCTGCGTTCGAGGACGCGTTCGAGAGGCTGCTCGTGACGTACAGGCAGATCAACGAGTCGATGGAGACGATGTGGGCACGATCGCTTCCTGCCGACTACCTCAAGTACCGTAGCTTCATCTTTGGCACGGGCCCCAAGAAGATGAATGCCATGTTCCCCGAGGGTGTCGTGTACGAGGGCGTGTCCGAGGAGCCCCAATTCTACCGTGGCGAGTCGGGCGCCAACGACTCGATCGTCCCCACGGGCGACAACCTGCTCGAAATCACCGCGCACATGCCCAACAATGACCTGACCAAGACGCTGCGCGACTTCCGCAGCTACCGTCCCAAGAACCAGCGCGAGTTCCTGCAGCACCTCGAGGCGCGTGCCACGCTGGCTGGCGTTCGTGGCTTTGCCATGAGCAGCAGCCCGCGTGCCAAGGCGCTGTACGTGCTGCTCGTGGACCAGATCCGCGAGTTCCGCAACCGCCACTGGATGTTCACCAAGTCGTACATCATTCAGCGCACGACGTACGACATTGCGACCGGCGGCAGCCCCATCCTGCAGTACCTGCCAAACAACCTCGCCACCGTGCTCAAGGTGCTCGAGGAGAGCTTCGAGGAGCTCACCGCAGCCGATCGACAGGCTCTGGGCAACGAGGCGGCCAAGAAGCAGGGACAGAGGATCTCCAACGTCGAGCTGCTCGAGAACGTCACTGCGGCCGGCAAGCGTGCCGGTGCGCAGAGGAGGATGCTCGAGCGCGAGGTCGCCGAGCTGCTCGCCGAGAAGGAGAAGCGCATCCAGAGTCTGGGCGGCGACCAGGAGAGGGGCAGAGGCATGCTTGGCGAGCCCAAGAGCATGAAGCGCGGCGCCGTTGGTTGCGACGGTGTCGGCTGATCCAGCCACACCCCCAACAAGACGCTTGTGAGGACTCGAGTCAGTCCCGCATGCGCAGCTCCAAGTGCTCTTGCAGCACTTTCTTCCCGGTCCCCTTTCTCCCCCAAAACTTCCCTCCCCTGCTTTCGATCCATCTCTCCCACTCGTGCACCCCCGTCTGCCACTCGACGCTCAACGCTGTCTCGCCCTGATGCGTTTCTCCCCTCTCTACGCTGTTCAACCAGCATTGCGCGTGTGTCCGCCTGCGAATCCTAATCCCATGCCTTTCGCCTCCCACAATCCAGCCTGCACCCGCATCTGACTCTGTTGAGGATCTGTGATTTCCTTTGGCAATACAGTGGCGTTGAGGCCGTGCAATTACATCGTGACTACGGGGACGGTGACAAGAAGAAAGTGAAACGGAGAACATGTGCGGGAACGAGGAAAGCGGTCTATGTTGAATAAGCGATGGTATCGATGCGAAGCGGTCCGGGGAAACGAGGTCTATAGAATGAGAAAAGTCGGCCGTGGTGAGACCGAAGGTGTTGCGAAATTGAGCAGACGGGAAAAGGTCTTTGTTGTCCTTGTGATGTTCTAAAGTTGGAGATCGGAGGTCGATTTCGGGTCAAAGGTCAATGGTGGCGAGGGCTGTAACCTTGTCCAGCACCTCCTGCCACTCCTGTCTGGCATCCGAGAGATACGTAACAGCGCCTCCAGCGCCGATCGAGACATCGTCTCCGTTAGCAATCAACGTGCGGATGACGACAGAGTAGTCCGCGGCGCCATCGACGCCCAGCCATCCGAGCGCACCCGAATAGATCCCCCTGCGAGCGCGCAGATCATCATCGCGCTCCGCATCGGCGAGGTTCAATTCAAGTCGCTCGAGCAGCTGGACACTGCGACGCTTGGGTGCCCCCGTCATGCTTCCAGGCGGGAAACACCTCCTCACCGCCTCGGTGGTTCCGACGGACGCCTTGAGCTTCCCCGTCACCGTCGTCACCAGCTGGTGCACAGTCTCGTACGACTCGACCTGCATCAGCTTTGGCACCGCGACGCTGTCTGAGTGGCAAAACGAAAAGAGGTCGGCTCGGATGAGGTCGACAATCATCAGGTTCTCGGCACGCTCCTTGACATCTGCCGAGAGCTTGGCGCGGCGCGCCTCGTCCTGTGCCTCGCGCCACTTGCGCTTGATCAGTTCCTGATGCGCGTCACCGTGACCCGCGCGCATGTCGTGCTCGCCCGGCGCGTAGCCCGCACGAGCAAGCGTCCCCTTGATCGGCTTCATCTCCACCAGCCCATCCGCAGTGACGCGCATGAAGCGTTCTGGGCTCGTGCTGAGAATCGCCCGCCCGCGTTGCCGTACCCCAGGCTGCCTGCAGAACGAAGGCAGTCGGAGGAACGCAGAGTACGGCGCGGGGTTGCGCGCGCGTAGCTTGCAGTACAGGTCAAAGTGGTCCGTATCGGCGGTCTCGGGAAGCGACGAGAGCGGCGCCAGTCGTCCTTGGAACTGGTTCGTCATGCACAGCTCGTAGCTCTCGCCCGCAGCGATCAGCTCGCGCGCCGACTCGATCTGGTCCATGTAGTCTTCCGCCAGCATGCGTGGTCGCAGTGGCGGCATCGCCTCGCGGAACGCCGAGCCATCTGATGCTGCTTTCGGCAACGCTGAGCCTTGACTTGCCTGCAAGGCGCTATTCAGCACCTCTTCGAGCCATGATTCGGCCTTGCCGCTCTCCAGACCCCACTTGGCCCAGGATCGGCCGTCTGCTTGCAGGGACTCGAGGGCGCCAGACACCTCTCCGAACGGTCCTGTTCGAGGCGAGGTCGGCTGTGCGCCTTCAACCAAAGCGAACGCAATCCACTGGCGCAGGTGATGGTCGAACGCAAGCACGCGGGGGCAGTAGAGGAACTCGGCATCAAAGTCGTCCGCCCTGCTACCGACCGGTACCCGCGTGTCAAGCTGCAGACTCTCGTTCTTCATCTCGTAGCCCCAGTAGCCAGAGAAGCCAGTCTGGAAGATCGTGCCCTGCTGATCGTCATCAAGCAAGCCTTTCGACGCGGACATGTCAATCGAGGACCGCAGGTCGCGCTGCAACGCATCCATGAAGGACCAGAGTGTCGCTGGTTGGGCTGTCTTTCCTAGTTGGGCGTTGTGATGACTCTGCTCGTCTCCCGAGACGATCACAGCATCGCTGCCGTCCTTGTATGAAAGCGCGAAAGAAGGGAGAGCCATGAAGGAGTAGCGGCTGTGTGGGTCCTTGTGCCGAGCGCTATCTAGCCACACTGCTCCAGCGGGGCTCTGGTGGCGGAACAGCCGATCAAAGATGCCGACCATGTCAGGCATGCAGTCATCAGAGAGAGAGGCAGATCGACGTGCCAGGAGCTTCATGGGAGCGGGCTTCGCGTTTGCTGTCGAGGCAGAGGCAATCATCAAGGTCGAAGTGTCGCTGGCAAGGCAGCGCTCGCCTGCGAGCGAGATGTGCCTGGGAAGCGCAAGGCGAGTGTCGGTCCAGGAGCTGATCCTTGCTCGCGCTTCTCGCGCTGCACCATCTCCGTCTCTCGCCGAGACTTGCTCCCAGAATTTTCGGACACCGTCCAAGAAATTGGTCATGATGGTGTGGCCCCATGTGGATTCGATGCTCTCGGGGTGAAATTGTACACCGTGGAACGGCAGCGTCTTGTGCTGGAGCGCCATGATCGCCGGCGAAGACGTCGAGTCGTTCGCGATGGCGCAGTCCACGTCTTGGATGTCACTGACGCTCGTTGCCTCGGACAAGGCGAGCTCGCCAATGTCCGAGAGCCGCTCCGAGCCGCCGCGGGAAGAGATTGGTACAGTCGACGGAGATCGACTCAGGTTGGCAACATCGCGATGCTTGAATGGCGCGAGGGGCTCTGCTGTGGATCGCATGATCGGAGGCGCGACGCGCTTCCTTGTGTTGCCCGGTCTCGGAGGAGGTGCGGTTGAGACCTTGTCGTAGCTCCAGGCGGTGACCTCTAGACAGTCCGGCAGAGTATCTGCATCGACGACCAAGCTGTTGTAGCGCACCACGAGGCAATCCTGTGGCACACCTTCCAGGATAGATGGCGCCCTTTCCTGCGATTGCGACGAGTCGTCTGGACGTTTCGAGATCTTGAGCCTGCTCTGTAGACCATGTCGGACACTGATGGCGCGGGTCACTTGTCCGCCGAAAGCTGTAGCCAGACCCTGATGACCTAGACAGACACCGAGGACGGGAATATCCAAGCGAACGTCCTTAAGAAGGGTCTCTGCAGCTCCGAAGTCAGCAGCCTTATCTGGGCTGCCGGGACCTGGCGAGAGGATGATGGCATCGATGTGAGGCCGGACATGCTCGAGGAAGGCATTAGGTGCGAGGAGTGGGTGCGTGTGAGGCAGGACGACCACACGCTGGGCAATCCTACGAGTGAGTTCCTCTCGATGCTGCTGTGAAGTTTGCCCATCCGCCGCCGCAGGATGCAACAACGACAGCAGATTAAGGGTATAGGAGTCGAAGTGATCCACGATGAGGATACGGGGAAGCTCGAGAGACGTCATGATGGCGCGTTGGTTCGTGTGGTCTCCTACGTCCGGAACAAGATGGACGAGCGCGTGACGATCAGGCCAAAGTGCGGGATGGCATTACGCTTCGACGTGTTGGGAGCTGTCGACCCTCCGATGGCCAAGCAGCCCGAGTCAACCCCGATACCAAGGGAAGGACGGATCGAAGTTGGTGCCTTCTATTCCAGCGGAGCGTGTCGCAGGGTGTGTGTAGAGAATGTAGGGGTAAGAAGCAGAGGAAGGATTGGTTGGTGAGGGCGAGGAACCACACGTCACTATCAGGGCGAGCGCGTGCTCCGAGTTTCAAGCCGAGTTTCATGCTCGTGAGGCCGGGATATGGCGGAGAGCCGCTACGAGCGACAAATTTCCTAAGCCCCCAGGCGCGCGTTTCGTGCGAATGGAAGAAAGGCAGCAGAACCCTCGGGCTGCATGGCCAAAAAAGAGCGAGCAAAAAGCCGCCTTGGGCTGCGGAGTGTTTTTTTGGTGGCCGACTTCCGAGCGCGCATGGTCGTGTGGCAGAAGTGACACCAGCATCTTCTCGAACCGCTTGCATCGGCATTTCACCAACTCGACAAAGGGCAGCCCTGACTTCTGGCTGCGCCAAACATCACCAGAGGGCTAGAGCTGGACATAGACCTAGGATCGATCAGCACAGAACGGCAGATCTGTGGCTGGTCTGCGACTGCTCCGACGTTCATCGCAGATTCCCCACGCGCAGTTTGCTGGGCTGTCCTTCAGCTCGGCCGTCGGATCGTCCGAAGTCACTGCAATGCGCCTCGAACTTCAGTCAAGACCCTTTACAAAAAGCTCCTGATCCGCGCTCAGCCCAAGCTCGGACGGCAGACTGCTCGCTCGTTGCGCCACATTCACCAGACGAGCAGCTGATCATCTGACTCCTTGTCCGATGCTGCGCTCGCGCATCGGCCGTCTGTACAGGGGCGCAGGCACATCACTTCGACCTGCACCAGATGTGGCTCGCTCCTCAGCTGCTTCGGTCACTTCGACTCTCGACCCATTTCCACAACATCACACGCTCGGCAACGTCCCTGCTCGGAGAAAACGATCGAACGCAGCGCACTCGCCCTCGACTTTCCTAGCCCGCAATGCCTCCAGCATCTCGGCAGCTGCGTTTCGCTCGGAATCATTCTTCAACGCCTCTCAGCCAGAGGAGCCGTTCAGCACCTCTCACCCTTCAACAGAGGACGTCGTCACTCCGCAGCTTGCCTCGGAACGCTATTTTCCGCCACTGGCTGATGTCACGTTTGCCGCCCACGATGAAAATCAGCAGGCGCTCTGCGACGCCTTAAAGAACCTCGATGCCGACTACTCTTGGACGCTCTACCTCCATCTTGGACCGGCTAGACATGCTCTGCATCCCTCCATCATCGATCGACTCATCACGCTACAGTGTCGCAAGCCTGTCAGATCCTTACCAGGCAGTCGAGCCGATGCACAGCTTGCGCTTCGACAGGTCTGCGACCGAGTCTTGCAACTCTGCAAAGACAAGACGCGCTGTAAGGTCGGGACTTCCGCCTACCCGTCGGCTTCTGCCGATAAAGAGGGACTTTCGACACTGTCACCGGAAGCGGCATTGAGACTGCTGTACCTCCTTGTCGTCGAAGAGGAGCAGGTCGCTGCTTCTAGGTCCGCCTCACCTCCTCAGAGGCGTGCAAATTTGTCGCGCATCTTGCAGACTCTTTGGAACAAACTTGCCTCATCCTCAGGTTTTGCCGAAGAGCACGTCGACATTGCACTGCGAGGTCGCCTGGCAGCCTCCTTGTCGCGGCTCGGCTCTCCCGACGCTGCTTATCGCCAGCTGGAAATGGTCGTGAATCTCGCAGAGGCCAGGGGCTGCCAACAGGAAGTCGACCCTCGTCCCTTCGATCAGCTTCTGTCGGCGCTCGCAAGGCAACGCTCGAACAGCAGACGCCTGCCCAAGTATCTACCCTCGCCGATTGATCGCCCGATATCCGCTCCCGACGAAAGCGATCCGATTCTTCGTGCTTTGCGGCTCGCTGTTGTCTTCGAGGTGCCCGTCTCCAAAGCCAACATCCACAAGTGCCTACAAGCCCTCGACTCCCCGACCCTCTGGTGGTTGCTGCCGTTCGAGCTCGACTCGGACAAGAGGCGCCAGTCAAGCGCCATCGAGATCCCAGATGACAGATACGCGCTCAAGCCAAAATGGCATCCGTGGCAGACCTCGGCCCATGGCAGCGATGTGCCGCAGGACATACTCGACACTTTTGCAGAGCGTGTGTCGCTCGTCCTTGCCCAACGTGGCATCTTGCAACCGGCGCTGCACGTATTGGATGGTTTGCAATTGGATGTAGCTGCAGACGACAAAGCCGACAAGAGTCATGGCACGTCGTCCAATGTTCCAGACCATGATCTATTCACGGTCGTCCTGGAGCGGCTCTCCGATCGCATGGCGGCTAACAACATCGCAGCCGGGCGCAAGTCGCTCGACATTCACACGACTCTCCTGCTCGACCTCCGACTGGCCGTCAAGGTCTACAGTATCGCATACAATTCCGGCGTGGACCTCGACCCACGCATCAACGAGGCCGTCATCAAGTCCTTCGCCGCCTGCTTGCCCTCGTCCATTGTCGATCTCGGTGCGGATAGAGCACGCCTCACCAAGATCAAGGCCAACATTGCAGAGCGCAACGAGTCTCGCGGAAGTCAAAAGATGCTGCACTCGTATCTTCGCCGCTTCACCACGATGATCCTGGACAAAGACCCGGACTTGAGCAAAGGAGCGCTCAGCTATCAAGCACAGGCGACCCTCTTGGGCCTGCATCTGCGGCTTCGAGATCACTCGTTTTCGAAGAAGCTGTACCAGCTCATCCGGCTCCGTGAGCCTGGTCGCGAGCTCTGGTCGAAAGATCCCGAGTCGGGCTCGCTGCTACACGTGGCGCTGCATCCCACGTGCCGACCAGACAGCGGTCTCTTCTACTGGCTCTTTGGAGAGAGCCTCTATGCCGCGCCAAAACCACTCTTCGCTGTCCAGCTCTCACTGGACTGGCTGGCGAGCGGCAACACCCTCTCTGCTGGGCTCATGATACCCTTCGTGCAGACTCTCCTCCGTAAGGGCCTCACGGCCGAATTCCAGCGCGTGCTCCACGAGTTGCAGCGAAGGGGCACCCCACTCCCTCCTCGCCTTGCTCAAAGTCTTGTAGCTTCGTTGGCAGAATCTGGGTATCCAGACCTTGCTATGGAGGTGGCGAACAGCGTATCACAAGCTGCCGCCTCGGCAGCACCGTATCGCTCGAGTCACGTGGTGGCTGTCGGAAACTCCACTGAGCCCGAGCCATCGGTCTTGGTCCCCGCATTGCATCTGATGAGCATCGCTCTCGATCGGTCGAGCAAGATGCTGGATTCGACTCGATTGCCCCTTGTCAGCAAGGTGCTCGGTCTGTTCGACGAGTTTAGGCTTGGTCTCACCCAGTACCTCCTTCACACTCACAGACAAGGCGACGACGTGGATCAGCCACAAGACCGTCTGCCTGCGTCAGATATCCGGACGGCATACAACGCGGCAATGAGGGTGCGGCTCGCGGCGTTACAGGGCACAGGATCGGAAGTTTGGACGGACGCAGATCAAGAGGAATACGCGTTCCTGCAAGATCGCGCCTCGATCCACGGCCACGTGGAATCGCTCTTCMCAGAGATGGCAGCACAGGACGTGGAGCCCGACGTGCACTCGTGGACGCTGCGGATCACGGCGAGTCTGTACGACTGTCTCAACGCTGCCAACGACCACAAACGCCTTGTCCGATTGAAGCGCACCATCGAGCTGTTCGAAGCGGCTTTGCAGCAAATGCCTCGGCAAGATGGCGGACGATCATCGTTGGACAGGTCAGAAGACATGGAATCCAAGGCCGTCACTGTGGACTCGACAGTCGTAGCTGCCGTGATGCACGCGTGCCGTCGCTGCAGCGACCTTGACGCTGGCATGCACGTCTACGAGACTTACGTGCGCCTCGGCGGCCTGGACCAACACGTTCAGGAGGCGCAGCTGATGCTCTTGGCTGCCCTCGGCAGGCATGGCGAATGGCAGCGCGAGCTGGAGCGACTCAAGCACGCAGCCGATCTGCCGTTCACGCCATCCCAGCGAATCGTCAAGCAGCTGCAAGCGCTCGCAGCTCCCAAGTGAAGCCGATGCATCTCGTCAAGGATCCCTCTGCTGGCAATGTACACTCGAGCGTTGGGCGGGAACCTTCATGTGGATTGAAAGCTTTGAACTTTTCTCGGTCCACCACGTGCTGCCGCGGCCTATGCGCCTGAGCCTTTGAGCGTGGGAGTGAATGAAGTGCACGGCTGCGCATGAAGCATGCGGATGCACATGGGAGAGGGTCGATCAATTTGGATAGCTGAGCTTAAAGGCTTGGCACGAGTCGTGCAGGTGGGGTGTTCAAGCCGCCGGTGGGGAAGGCTGCTTGAGCTCGTGGCTGAACCTCGTTGGTCTGATGCCGAACTTTCCACGTCGTGGCTGGTGGGGAAGCTTGCCGCGTGGGGACGGAAGCGTCGTCGAGTGCTCACGCGGCGCGAATCCCAGCCGAGAACGCACCGAATCACGTCCTGCTCGGCTGAGCTTGCTTGCGCATGTGCCCAATTGTGCCACGAGGCACCGCCAGGGCACGACTCACGACTCATGAAACGCTGGAACGCGATTCTCTGCTGTCGGCATTCAACGGTGATTTTCACTCCGATGCGCGGCGGCTCAGCCTGTGACGAAACGAAATGCTTTGCAGGACGTTGGGTCGGACTGGACCCGGCTCAAGAGTGGATGGAAGTGACGGGAATAAGGAGGGCTAGTGTGGGCATCACGGGCAATGGGTGTGATGTCGGGTGGTCTTGGAGACTTTGCAATGGCTGAGGAACGAACACCGATCGGTGTATTGTTCTCGACATGTGCAGCTGTCTGCATGCTGGCACAGGAGGCAGCGGTACTTTGATGCAGGACCAAATCGCCACGCGTCACACAACGCACATTAAAGTGCGGGACCCACGGCTCGCATAAACCCACCATACGCAGGCAGGTCGAGAGGCACCTCACCCAAAACGTCCCCTTGCCTCTGGCCGACAGTTTGGGATCGCTGGATCAAGGCGCTATCGTATTCCGGGACCCGCGGTTCCCGAACGCATCGCTTTACAACGAGCTGTTCGACTGCCGCGTGGCCATTTCACTTTGCTCCAGCACAGCGGTTGGAGCGGACTGTCACAGTTGAGTGTACCGTAAACTCCCAGTTTCTAAGGGACCCACTGTATTCTCACGCAGCGTTATGTTCTTGCATGACGAGAGGCATGCAGCGAGCTGGACAAGGCATTGCCGACTGCACGGCAATGCTTCGGCCGTGCCCGGGCCCTGGTACATTCTTGAGCACCTGCAGGTGGCCCTTTTCATGCATGTCGGAGCCTCATCATGTGCTCATAAGCGCTTTCCTTTGTTCGGACTTGAGCCAAGCCTCTCGAACCGCCGGCGCATCGCTGCCAGCGCATAGGTAGCGCTCAACGGCCCTGTGCATGAACTCGAGACCTGGATCCACAGGCGTGAGGCTCGAAACCACGCGAGATCTGCTTTCGGTCATGAGACGGCAACCTGCAATCTCGGGTACCTAATCTCGCTTAACCCAGAGAAGCTCTGACCACACGCACATATGCTCCGAGCAAGACCGGTGATGAGACGTGCGCAGAGATGCTTCGGACGTCTCATAAGCCGCATGCAGGCCAACAATGGCTCCGAGGCACAAGTGGGCTGCGACCGCTTCTTTCGCCGAAAGTGGTCCAGGAAGATTCGTCATTCTCCAACGTCCCGTTGGCAGTTGGTTGCCACGAGCTCTCGTGGTATAAAGAACAAGCACCGACCTGGACTAGAAGAATCTCGATGCAACCATCGACTCATCTTCGTCCTCTCCCTTCCTCCGCCATGTTTTCTTTTACACCAAGCGAGACTTCAGCTGGCGACGCAAGTCTGGGCGCCGGCTCGTCCATCCCTGTCATGGCTCCCGAGAGCTTCCTGCGCTCCAACGTCGAGCCGTCCAATCCAATCACGGCCAGGACTGAGCCGCGCTATTGCGGTCTTCCCATCTCACCGGATATCTTTCCACCCAAGAACGATCCCGAATGGGGGTCATCAACATGGCTCTCGGCACCAACCCAAGGACCAGCGACCTTCATGCTCAACATGGACATGGTCCAGGCCAAAGCGGAGGCACTGGAGCAGCAGGCTCGTCGAGACATCGAGGACACGCAGCAGCTGGCGGATCGACACTCGAAGGAGATGCTCGAGACGCGCAGCTTCCGCGTGACGCAGGCGTGCGAACACTGCCGCTACCGAAAGGCAAAGGTAAGTACACTCGGCTTCTTCCTCTGGCGTCGAGAGCGATGAACTGACCGAGGCTTTGTTGAAAAGTGTTCTGGACAGCAGCCGTGTCTGCGCTGTGCTCGGCAGGGCAAGTTATGCACCTTCTCAAAGCAACTCCATCGCGAACGTGCTCCGCCCCTGCATGCGCACTTCGATGTGCTGTCGCAGGGATCCCGTCCGCCGCCGCCGTCCAACATGTTCATCAAGCCCGCCAAGGTCGGCCCCATGAGGGACAAGTTCCGCCTCGCCCGTACGCTGTACGACTCTACGCCTTACGGTGTCAGGAGCGAACCAGGATACGGTCCAGCTTGGGCTTCGGCGCCGCGGGAGATTATGAGCGCGCCACCAAGCTCTTCGGGAGCGCCATCGTACCTGGAAGAAATGACGCCTGGCTCGTACAGTCTGCCTCAATCACCCATCTCGCTGCAACAGCGTGCACCGGTCCCGCAGCCGATGTATCCATTTGGTGCTGGAATGCTGCCGCCCCTGTCCTCCGACCTCGTCACGAGGGACGAACCGCAGCTGGGCGCCTTCTACCCCGTTGCCGAGCTGGACACGACATCTCAAGGTCGCCCTTGGAGCAGCGCCTCCAACATGCACCCCGACGACAATGCAGCTGTGGCTTACAGCACTGCTTCCACACCAAGCGCTCCACCCAACAGGTCGGTGCGCGCCGAATCGTCGCTCCTTGTGCGCCCACCGCTCTTCTCTCCGGGCATGATGTGGACTGAAGTACAGTCTGCATCTAAAAGCCAGCTTCAGTCGGCTCCTATCGATATGACCTCGGAAGGAACGTACATCAGTCCTTCCTCGAGGAGCGGTACTAGCTGGGATAGCCAGGTTACGCACACAAGCTTCTGAAGCTCCATCTCCCCCTTCGACACCTTTTGTACGCGGCCACGTTGTTTCGCGTCCTTCTCCTGTTTCTGCATCGAGATTGTTCTTCACTGTACCGCCTCCTGCATTGTCTTTGTGTGAAGCTGTGTGACTGGCTGGGTGTGCTGAGAGAGCGCAGATTGCAAGTGGCGGCGTGTGTGACGGTGAACATGTGTAGTCCGCAGTACAATAACGTCGCATCATAGTCTAATATAAACGCATCTGATAGCTCCTCGCACAAGAAGGGTCTTTAGCTCAGCAGTAGAGCGGCAGACTTCGGTTTAATCTGATGGTCCTTTCAGGCATTCTGCAGGTCGCGGGTTCAATCCCCGTAGGACTCTTTTTTTCGGACATTTTTGGAAATCTTAGCTGCATCTCCTCCCTGTTCCGTCTTTGGACGCCGTGCACCACAGGACTGGACCACATCGTTGCATGATGGAAGCAATATATTAATCTCTGGCAATGACACTAAAGACAGCAGTTGGTCAGCAGCAGCCCTGCGCGTTTAGACACGAGCGCTGCACTGCCTCTTGAGCCAGGCGAGGGCGCGCTGGTCGTTCTGAAGGAGGGGGCCGACCTTTGCCTGGACCTCGTCGTGGTAGCTGTTGAGCCAATTCTTGTCGTCCTGGTTGAGCAGCGTTGGGTCGACGAGCGAGACCTGAATGGGGCACATGGTGAGGTGCTCAAAGGTGAGGTATCCCTTGGAGCCAAAATTGTTGGGAGTCTTTGCGGGGCGAACGATGACGAGGTTTTCGATACGGATGCCCCACTTGCCATCCTCGTAGTAGCCAGGCTCGTTGGACACGACCATGTTCTCCTTGAGGCTGGTCTCGTTGAATACGGCGCGGGTGCCGATACCCTGGGGACCCTCGTGGACGTTGAGGAAGTGGCCGACGCCGTGGCCTGTGCCGTGGCGGTAGTCGAGACCGTCCTCCCAGAGCGCGCGTCGGGCAAGCACGTCGAGAAGGTAGCCAGTAGTGCCCTTGGGGAAGACGGCACGGTCGATGGCAATGTGGCCCTGCAGCACGCGCGTAAAGGCACGGATGTGCTCGGCCTTGGGCTCGCCAAAGTGCCAGGTGCGCGTGACGTCGGTAGTGCCATCGGTGAACTGCGCACCCGAGTCGCAGAGGTAGATCTCATTGACATCGATCGCAGGACAGCTGCTCGGGTCCGGACTGTAGTGGATGATGGCTCCGTTGGGACCGGTGGAGGAGATGGTGGTGAAGCTTTCGCCCCGGAAGTGGTCGAGCGACTGACGGTACTCGCTGAGCTTATCGGCACCCTCGGACTCGGTCACCTTGTTGCCCGCCACCAGCTGCTCCTCGAGCCACGCAAAGAACTGACACAGCGCCGCACCGTCGCGAATGTGGCTCTGGCGGAATCCGTCGAGCTCGACGTCGTTCTTGATCGACTTTTGGTCGCCCACGATCGAGCGCACGATCTCGACCTTGGCCGCACCGCCGAGCGCCTCCTGTACGGCGAGCGACGCGCTCTTGCCAATGAGGATCTTGTTGCCCTCACCCAGCTCGGCACCGACGGAGTGCAGGTCGTTGTAGAACTCGGCGTAGGGGCGCAGCGTAACTTCGCTGCTGAGGCTCGCCTTGACCTCGTCGGTGAGCTGGCTGTCGTTGACGTAGAGCAGCACCTTGTCGAGCAGGACGAGGGCAAAGGAGAAGAACACCGGATTGTAGGGCACATCGGTACCGCGCAAGTTGAAGAGCCATGCGGTCTCGTCGAGCATGTTGGCGACAAAGCCATGCGCCGACTTCTTCTTGATCTCGTCGCGCAGCTCGCGGATCTTGTCCGAGGAAGATCGGCCGGCGACCTTCTCGTCGAGCACAAAGATAGGCTGACCGGGACGCGTGGGGCGGTCGGACCAGACGTTGTCGACGAGGTTTTCGCGGATGGACACGAGGCTGGAGCCCTTCTTGGAGAGCTCGGCGGTGATGTCCTTTGCGTCGTCGGCCGAGATGAGCGAGGCGTCCATGCCGATCTTGGAGTTGGCGGGGAGGTCCTTGGAGAGGTACTCCTGCCAGGTGGGCACGTTGGGCTCGCCCTGCTTCATGAGCGTCCACACGGAAGGCTCGAGCTGCTGGCCTGCCTGGAGGAAGTACCTGCCGTCGGTAAAGAGGAGCGCCTTGGAGGTGGTGACGACAGCCGAGCCGGCGGAGCCGGTGAAGCCAGTGATGTAGCCACGACGGAGATCGGACTCGGCGGGGTATTCGGAGGCGTGCTCGTCGCCCGAGGGGATGACGTAGGCGTCGACGCCGTGCTTTGCCATGAGCTCACGCAGAGCGCGGACACGCTGGGTGGTGTCGACTCTGCCGGTAGCGATGGCGCCCATGGTTGCGGACGAGGTGGAGGAGGTGGAAGCGGGACGGGTGAGGTGCTGGAGGCCGAACGCGTGTTGTTGCGGTCCAGAGAAGCGAAGGCCCGACTGATTGGGTGCGGACTGTAGCAGGGATCCGCGCGAGGGCACGAGCGACGAGAAGGGCAGCGGCGACAGGGTGCGAAGAGCCTGGAGGCCGGACGTGTGGAGGCAGGATGCTCGGCGGTGATGAGCAGCGATCCTTGTGGCCAGCGGGGGCAGAGACGACTTGCAGGTAGCGGCGAGCGTCGGTGTTGATGCGATGAGCATGTATGGTGGGCGTGCTGAAGGAAGAGCGACGCTCGTTGGCTTTGATTGGAGGTGTGAAGGATGAGGAGGCAGCGTTGCTCTGTTGGGCCTCGATCGTGTGCGCTGCGAGTTGCCGGCACGAGCGCCGCACGGCCGTCTTCCGTGTCATTCTTTCTCTTTGCCGCTCAGCAGCCCGGCGCATTCACCGGCACAGGCACAGCAGCGCACGGTCAATTTCGCACACCCATCTGCCGCCAGCCAATGATGAAAGGCTCCACCCGCTGCCCGCTGCGGTCTCGAAAAAATATCGCCTTTTTTCGGGGTCATTTTTTCGGACTGCCCGAAGGACCACCTGACTTTTCTTGGCCCTGGTTCGGAAGCTTGACTCCCGAAAGTGCTCGTGCAGATCTGCACCGCCGGGTCACGCAACAAACTCAAACGACTCCAACGTTGCATCGTTGCATCGCCACAGCCATCGCACGCCAAATGATAGATGTAATGACCTTGTTGAGAAGGCCGGGGGAATATGATGCATTGCTAACACGACCAGTGAGAGAGATGTGTATGGTGTTTTGGGAGGGAAACCAACGCGAGCCGAATCAAGACCAGGCTAGGGATGCAGGTCCTATGCGCTTCGTCGACTGCCGCGAGTGGGATCGCGCGCCGAAGAAAGCGTTGTGAAACGAGAAGAGGAAGGATTCCAATGGCGAGAGATGCAACGTCTCTGCGCCGGGAATGTGTGCGAGGATGGAATGTTGTGTGTGTGAAGGATTAGCCCGTTGAGTACTGTTACAGTGAGCCTGAATCGACTCTTGCAGATAGAGAAAAATGATTGCACGGAGAGACCTCGAAAGCGGAAAGGAGACAAGCGAACACCGACATCCCTAGCCTACCGTCACAAGCGCGACGGAAAGCGCATGCGGCCAGACTGGCAGCCGCACACCGACGCGCTTAGTAGCGGTAGGTGTCGCGCTTGTAGGGGCCGTCGACGGGCAGGTCGAGGTAGTCGGCCTGCACCTTGGAGAGCTTGGTGAGCTTGACGTTGAGGCGGCCAAGGTGGGCAAGCGCGACCTCCTCGTCGAGCTCCTTGGGCAGCATGTAGACCTCACCGCGCTTGTACTGACCCTGCTTGTCGTTCCAGAGGGCGATCTGGGCGAGCGTCTGGTTGCAGAAGGAAGCCGACATGATGAAGGAAGGGTGGCCGGTGGCGCAGCCGAGGTTGACGAGACGGCCCTCGGCAAGGAGGATGATGCGCTTGCCGTTCTTGAGCGTGTAGCGGTCCACCTGGGGCTTGATGTTGACGACGCTCTGGGCGTTGGCCTTGAGCCAGGCAACGTCAATCTCAATGTCGAAGTGGCCGATGTTGCAGACGATGGCGTCGTCCTTCATGGCCTCGAAGTGAGCGCCGGTGATGATGTCACGGCAGCCGGTGGTGGTGACAAAGATGTCGGCCTGGCTGGCAACGTCGTCCATGATGTCGACCTGGTAGCCGGCCATCGAGGCCTGGAGGGCGTTGATGGGGTCGATCTCGGTGACGATGACACGGCAGCCGTAGCCACGGAGCGACTCGGCGCAGCCCTTGCCGACGTCACCGAAGCCGGCGACGATGGCGACCTTGCCGCCGAGCATGACGTCTGTGGCGCGCTTGATGCCGTCGACGAGCGACTCGCGGCAGCCGTAGTAGTTGTCGAACTTGGACTTGGTGACCGAGTCGTTGACGTTGATGGCGGGGAGCTTGAGGGTGCCCTTCTTCATGGCCGAGTAGAGGATGTGGACACCGGTGGTGGTCTCCTCCGAGACACCCTTGATCTGGTCGAGGAGCTGGGGGAACTTGTCGTGGACGAGCCAGGTGAGGTCACCGCCGTCGTCGAGGATCATGTTGGGGCCCTCGGGGTGGGCGGTGAGGGTCTGCTCGAGGCACCAGTCGTACTCCTCCTCGGTCTCGCCCTTCCAGGCGAAGACGGGGACGCCGGTGGCGGCGATGGCGGCGGCGGCGTGGTCCTGGGTGGAGAAGATGTTGCACGAGGCCCAGGTGACCTGGGCGCCGAGGGCGACGAGCGTCTCGATGAGGACGGCGGTCTGGATGGTCATGTGGAGCGAACCGGCGATGCGGGCGCCCTTGAGGGGCTGCTCGGCACCGTACTTGGTGCGGAGGGCCATGAGACCGGGCATCTCACCCTCGGCGATCTCGATCTCCTTGCGGCCGAAAGCGGCAAGCGAGATGTCGGCAACCTAGCAAGTCGAAGTGGATGGCAGAAGGGCGAGTCAGTTTCCGGTCGTGGCATAGCTTGGGTCAACAGACAGGTCGGCACCATGGCGTAGAAGCAGATGTAACTGCCAACGACCATGAGCATTATCGTCGGAACGTACCTTGTAGTTGGGCATTTTGTGTATGGGATGGATGGAAGGGATGGGGTGTGGTAAGAAAGGATGGTGGTGGAAGAAAGGCAGGCGGTATGAGGGCTGACAGGCCGCTTTGAAGGGTTGATCGACAGTTCCAAAGCCGACTGACTGGCTATGCTCAGCAGCCACTGCACGACTGACAGGACTGGCGAGAAGAAATCAGGTGTTCCGAAAGTGTCAAAAATTGGCAGATGCTGCTCCAGTCCCTGCGCATGCCTGCACGTCCCCTCACGCCTCGCCCAGGCCAGCTGAGGCCAAAAGGCGGTTGAAAAGCTTGAGACCTGCACGTTCGTGGCTGCTGTGGCGAAAGGAGAGGCGGCTAGGGTCCCAAAAACTCGAGCCACGCAGGCGAGAATTTCTTCCAGCATTTCGAGCAAACTTGTATTGGCCCACTACAGAGAGGCGCTCGATTTGAAGCTGCAGGCCCAAACCCTACGCAACACGTTCTTCCTGCCAGCCGACGGGTCTCCTGCCGCGCGGCGCTCGGACCAGAAGGCGAAGAAGAAGGAGAAAAGGAAAAGAAAATGGAAAAAGATTGAAAAGAATTTAGCGCTGCCGGCCGGAAGAACATCCGTCAATTCCCGAAAATCAAGTGCAAGTATGGGTCGATCGAACATACTCTGAGGTTCAGCCATCCCACCTCCAGAAGCACTCGCCAGCTTGTTCATCATCTGATGAATCTCAAAGGCAGCCCCCTTGCGAGGGAGTAAGCAACATTGCATCCATGCCAAAGCACGAGCATCGCCACCAACTGTCTTCATATCGATTCGAGCCGCGAAGAAACGAAGGAAGCCAGAAGGAAGCTGCTAGGGTGGCCCGAACGAAGCTTTCAGAGCGGCACTTGAAACGAAGCTCGAGAGCTGCGGTGGAAATTACAAAATTGAAACACACACACGCGCTGCGAGAGACACGCAACTCATCGCCTCGCTTATGGCGCGAAGAAGGGGGGGGGGGGCGCGGACCAGCCTCGAGTTGCTGGCAGTCTGCGCCCCAACGCGCGTGCGTGTGTGCGGGAGCGGCTGGAAGGTCGATGCCCTCCGCCTTGCTCGCCTCTCCGCCTGCTTGCCAGGGTCGGCTGCGAGCGGTTGGTCGTGCGTGCGTGCAGGCGTGTGCGTGCGCATCGCAAGGTGCACACACAGACACCCAACTCAATTTCCGCCTTGGCCAGCCTGTGTGTGTCTCTGTCTCTCTGCTTTTGGTCAGCCAGCCAGCCCAGCCCCGCTTGGACCTCTGCGCCGCCTCGCTGTCGAGAGAGACCCAGTTGCACCTTCTTGCATCGCGCACTCGACGTCGCGTTGGCTTCACAATCATCCTATCACCCTTCCCCCTGCCATCCCGCACCCCACCCGCCCGCCTCTCATCGCTCCTAGAGATCCACTCCATTCATCGCCTTGGAGCGCCGCACATCTGCACTGCATCGAGGCCAAGCATCACGGCCCCTTGATCGTCACGCAGATATCGCTCGACAAGGTCGACTCTTGCTCAGCTTAGGACACTTGCCACGCCTTCGTCCCGCCATCGGATACTTCGATCCCAAGGACGCTCGCCATCCTCACTTTGTCGCCCGTGCCCACCTTGCACTGGTCCAATCTCCATATCCACACGAGCCAAGCCATCTGCACTTGATCTGCTCTCGCAATGAACGGTGGCTCTACCGCCCACGAGGCTGACGTTGCCGCGGCCTACCAGACCGACGGCGTTGCCGGCGCCATCGCAGCTGGCCGAAAGAAGCTCAGCGGCTATGTCGGCTTCGCCAACCTGCCCAACCAGGTGCACCGAAAGAGCGTGCGCAAAGGCTTCAACTTCACCGCCATGGTCGTCGGCGAGTCCGGTCTGGGCAAGTCGACACTCATCAACACCCTCTTCAACACCACGCTCTACCCGCGCAAGGAGGTGCCGCCCCCGCACCAGGAGCGCCCCAAGACCGTCGCCATCGAGTCCATCAGCTCGGGTAAGTGCTCCACTCCACATTCGCATCCAGCGCATCGTCACTGACTCTTTCCTCCCTTGCATTCCCCACAGACATCGAGGAGAACGGCGTTCGCTTGAAACTCACCGTCGTCGACACACCTGGTTTCGGAGACTTTATCAACAACGACCAGAGGTACGCACGTCCTTCTCACATATACATGTCGCATCGCACCTTCTGACATTCCTTCTGCATCACACCTACAGCTGGAAGCCGATCGTGGACAACATCGAATCGCGTTTCGACAACTACCTCGAGCAGGAGAACCGCGTGAACCGCAACAAGCTCCAAGACAACCGCGTCCACGCCTGCATCTACTTTGTGCAGCCCACCGGCCACAGCCTCCGACCCATCGACATCGAGTTCATGCGACGCTTGCACCAGAAGGTCAACCTCATCCCCGTCATTGCCAAGTCCGACACGCTCACCGACGACGAGATCGTCGCGTTCAAGCAGAGGATCCTCAACGACATTGCACACCACCAGATCGAGATCTTCCACGCGCCCATCTACGAGAACGAGGACGAGGAGACCATGCTCGAGATTCAGGAGATCTCGACCAAGGTGCCCTTTGCTGTCGTAGGATCCAACACCGAGATCGACACGCCCGACGGCCGCCGCGTGCGTGGCCGCGCGTACCCGTGGGGTGTGATTGAGGTGGACAACGAGGAGCACTGCGACTTTGTCAAGCTGCGCCAGATGCTCATCCACACGCACATGGAGGAGCTCAAGGAGCACACCAACAATGTGCTGTACGAAAAGTACCGCAGCGAGAAGCTCGTCGGCATGGGCGTCACACAAGACCACTCGGTGTTCAAGGAGGTCAATCCGGCGGCCAAGATGGCCGAGGAGCGTGCCATCCACGAGGCGAGGTTGCGGAAGATGGAGAACGAGATGAAGCTCGTCTTCCAGCAAAAGGTGGCCGAGAAGGAGGCCAAGCTCAAGCAGAGCGAGGAGGAGCTGTACGCGCGCCACCGCGAAATGCGCGATGCGCTCGAGAAGCAAAGGCAGGAGCTCGAAGACAAGCGCCGCAGGCTCGAGAGCGGCCGTCCGCTCACGCCCGAAAAGGTCTCGCAGGCCACCAAGAAGAAGGGCTTCTCGCTCCGCAACTAGACCGCCGCAGTTGCCAGATCCTTGCCTTCTCGCCCGGTCGCGAGTTCAGAATTGGCGCCGTGCTGAAGGTGACTCGTCCCCCCCGAGGCGGGGCACGCTATCGATCTTGCTTCCAAGAGTGCCCCTGGTCTGCTGTCACGATGGTTCTTGTTTTTGTTGCCTCTTCTCAGACAGCCAGCGTCGAGGTGTCCTCGTCGAATCGCATGTCTCTCTGCAATAATAGCCATGCCTTTCCCCACGAACCTTAAACCAACCACGCCCCTGCATACTGGCTAGAAGGCTCGATACGCGTCAAGGCCCCCGCTAGCTCAAACCTTGTCGTGGCTTTTTTTGGGGGATTGGCTACCGGATGAGCCGACGATCCATCAGTGCAGAGAAAAGGTGGTTTGCTCTCTCTCTCGAGACTGGCTGGATCACTGACCGATTGACTAGGAGAGAGGAGGGAGCTCCTTCACAGTTGTCTGCTGACATATAAGCGAGCCATTCCCGGCCACATGTCGGTCTTCCGTTTCAAGTCTGAGCCTGAACACTTCCGATTGCTAAGATAGCTTGACTGCTGTCGAGATGAGAGCTGTTTTGCTTGGCGTCTTCCATCTGCTCTCTGTCGCTTTTGCCGCGCCTGGATTCGAACGACACCAATCCCCCAGAGCCTCGCATCCGGCCGCCTTTTCTGATTCGGCGAACTTGACCGCAGGACAGTTCGGACAGAATCGTGAGTCCCACCAGTCCAACCTGGGCCAAAGAGTGGATAGGACTGACGAGATTCGATGTGGTGCGCAGGCCATCTGGCAAAGGAGGCGAGCGGTCATGACTGCTATGCGGCGATTTATGATGGAGTCAAGGCCGGATGCTCGGTCGAGTCGGACATGAGCCCGCACGAGCGAATGCTAGGTGAGTATCGCCGCCACATGGACGGTGGCATGGCAAGGTGCTCGAACTAACGCTTTCGGGATGTAGCTTCCGTCCAGCTTACATTGTGCGATCTGCAGGCGTCGAGCCAGAGCGTGCCGTGGGAGTGTCAGTCGCCTGCCCACGAGATGCAGGCCATTGGTCTCGCCAACTGCGTCGAGTGAGTCGCATACCGATGAAACACGGTCTCGCCGGCCGCAAGCTTACTTTTTGATGCGTTTCGGATGGTCAAGGGCTCTTTCGAGAAGCACTCGGCTCTGGTCGAGCTATGCAGGGTATCTGCGCGAGATTCCGCAGATGTGCTTCGCGCTGCAGCGGTGGAAGGACATAGGTAGGTGCGCCTCGCAGCAATCTTGGAGGGGCCAACGACCGCATTGGCTGACATTGGCTTGGGGAAAGACGCGGCGAGGACTCTGTACAGGACTGCAGTCGAGGAGAATGTTGAGCTCAGCAGGCTGTGGCAACAGCACGCATATGATCGTGCAGAGGCCGTCAAGGAGGAAAGCCTCGCAAGGCAGGACTGGATGCGACAAGCGGCACAGCTGAGGGATCAGCTCAGAGAGGTCCTGCTGGTGAGTCGTCATGGCGACAAGCCCCCGCCACGTGCACTTTGATTGACGCAGACGGTGTGGTCTATCGCCCATACAGAACGTGCTCTCAGACATGACCGCCAACCAGGAGAAATACAGCAACGATGCTGAACAGGTGCTCCAGCTGATGCGCCAGGCGGGAGTGAGTGCGAAGGAGCAGACATAGGGCAATGTAGGGATGTGACGACTGACCGCACGTCTTTCTGTAGACTGGCCTAGAGGAGACTGCGCGGTCACTGCTCCATTCTCACGCCGAAGCTCATTCGCAGCACCTGGAGGGGCTGCATCAGTCGGTACGTCGTCCACCTTTTCCCGAAGCATCGAGAAAGCCGTGACTGATGGTGAGCATAAGGGCACTGACGTCTGTGCAGCTCGATGAAGTGTTGGATCGATACGAGCTTCGCTCGGAAGCCACAGCCGAGCGCATCTCTCGCGATGCCTCGCATTCGATCGAGACACGCCTTGCGAGTCCTCTCGGTACGATGCAGGACCTTGTTGCTGTGCTGGACATGCACACGATCTCACTGGGCTACTCGGTGCAAGACGAGCGCGATCTCCTTTCTGAACTAGTCGAACTCCACCGGGAGATCGAGATGCAGCATCGAGCGCAAGATGCTCAGCTGGGTGCCGGTATCGCGGCGCTGCAAAGTGTCCAATCCGACCTGCATACGCTTGGGACTGCCATGAATGCGACGCACGATAGCGTCGCGGCGATGCTCGTCTCGCCGACGCCGGGGATGGGGTGGTTCAGCGCGGCGTTTGCACTGGAAAGGGTCGTACTTTGGGCACTCGGTGCCGTCGAGGGTACTATTGGACTGGGTACCGAGAGCTCGGGCTGGCGGTGGTTCAGGTGGCTGCTGCTTGTGTGGCCGCTCTCGCTCAAAGTTCGCGCGTGGATGAAGGCGTGTGCGCCCGTATGCAAGGTCTTTGTATCCGCGGTGGTGTGCATCTCGATGCTGATCAAGGCAGTCGTAAGGCCCTACTCTTTCGCAACGGTAAGCATGTTATTGGAAGCCTTTGCACTAGCGCACAAAAATGCTCACTTTGTCCTCTTACAGGCTTACCTCGGCACATCGAGACATACACCCAAAGGGGAAGCAGCGTATGTCGTCGACAAGCACAGTGTGCGCGTGGCTGTTGGCCGCCACTCGATGGGCGGTAGGCGTGACCGCACATTGCGCGCTTCGCGCATCCACTGTCCCTCGGCGCAATGACATGCGAAGCTCCCACAGCTGAAGATGGTGTTTCGAGTGATTTGGACGTGGAGAGAGCTAGTGTTACAAGGATACAAAGTGGCACGAGGGAGGGAGTGGGGTTATGTGGAGCTGATGCGGTGGTATGCGGGCGATGCTGCCTCGTATTCTCTGACAAAGAGGCGATGTTTCTCGCGCGCAATGTAGGCGAGGAACTCTGCGAGATGGTCCTTTAGCAGGCTGATGGATTCGGTGTCCATGGAGGTATGCACGATGATCGAGGGCAGATTGACAAAGAGACGCAGCAGATGTTCTGCGCCGTACACGTCGCTGGGCTCCATATCGCCGCCCATGGACCCGTTCCCGGAGCGTGCGTTGCCGACATCGCCATCGCCCATCTTTGGACCGTTCTTCTTGCGGTACTCTACATACTGTGCGCGTTCGAAGCGGTAGAGCAGATTCTGACCGAGCGAGCGGTCAAAGTAGAGCTTGAGGCCCTTGAGTACCTCGTCTACGACGTGTGGGGATCGTTTCGCGCCATCGCGCTTGTGTGCGAGGTAGTGCTTCTTGTAGTCCTGCAGGATATCCTTGACACACGGTTTGCGGGGCAATGGAACGAGCATACCGTTCTTGGTGATGCTCTCCCAATCGTCGACGAGCTGCAGTTTGAGTTCGTCCGGAAACGAGATCTTGACCTCGGGGCGTTTGAGAAAGTCGTCTTCGGTCTCGACCGTGTCCCTGCTGCGCTTTGTTGCGCGTGCCGACGAGGCGGGTTTGCGATCGTGTGCATCCGAGTCACGTCCGCGCTTGGCGGTGCTCGACAACGACTTTTCCGCGCCCGACGAGCTGAGCGATCCAGCCTTGGCCGCTTCCTCCAGCGTCGCCTTGCGTGCGAGGTTCTCGTCGTTGTACTTGAGCAGACGCGTCTCGGGCACCCATTCGTCCCAGGTCTTCTTCCAGCCATCGTAGTGGACGAGGTAGTGCGGCCCCACTTGGCCCGTGACGTTGTCGTCGCCCGTCCACTTTTCCGCCTTGAGCACCTTGGCCGAGTAGATGAGCGGGCCGTGGAAGCAGAGCACCTTCTCTGCGTCGGTATAGAACATGGTCGGCGAGTCGTGCACCCAGCGTGTAGCGTGTGTGGTGCGGCAGATGGGTATGTTGACGAGCGCCGTGTGGGTGGAGAAGGTGGTGGAATGCGTGGTGGAGTGTGGGTGTGGCCCGTGGGTGGGATGGCAGGACCCTGCGAGGCCAAGCGAAGGCAGATGCAAGCTTCTCGAAATTGGGTGGTGTCGCGACTCCAAGGCGCAAAGAGGCCGAGCTAGACGCCATGGCCAGGGCGCGTCTCGATACGCCCCATCATTCGCACGGAAAGACAAGCTCGACTTCTTCGGAAAGCGAGTCTGTATGTTGGAGTTCGGCCTCACATCTTCGAAAAAAGCATTAGGGAGGCGACGGCTGGCGCGTGAAAAGGAGCGCGGTGCAGCGGCGAATTCGAGCGCAGGGGCCGGCGAAACTGTCGCTGGACGTAGCCGACCTGCGGAGAAGCATGTGTATGGGAGCGGAAGTCGCTGCCCAAGACAAGGCGCCCACCCTTCGTTCCTGACGAGCCGAGTGGGACTGTAGGGAGCCGTGCTGACGTTGTCATGGCCACCGACTCGGCAGCAAAAGCAAGTTTCAAACAGTCAGCCTTCCGAGATGCACGTCGGATGCCGCCGACGGGAGAGCAGCCGGTTTAAGACTCTTCCGTCTCGCGCAGAAAGGCCTGGCTGGCTTTGATATCGATAGCGTGCAGAAGCATAGCGTGCAGCAGCATGAGTTTGAAAAGCAAACCCCACTCCAACCCGCCTCGCCATCGGCAACACGTCCGGCTACAATGGAACCGGAAGTGTCAACAATCACCTCGGCCCAGCTCGTGTGGGTCGTATCGACCCGAGACGGCCAAAGCGAGCGGGATCAGTGGTGGTGACCTGAACGGTCATGACGATTCCAAGTGTGGAGAGTGGGGGAGCCTGTCTGTCTTTCTTTCCCTCTCATTCGAGCGAATGAGTGGACAATGATGTGCGGGGCGGCTCCCCAAGAGCGGGGCAAGCGCGGTCAAGCAATTCAGCCGCGCCGTGAAACTTGGGCTCGCCTAGCATTCATATCTTGTCGAAGCCTCGGAAGCGGGCCAATCCGGGCCGTGGTCTCAAGAACACTCGATGGCTTGTTGCTGCCAAGAGAGCTGCCCAGAGCAGTGTCAACTGAGCCAAGTGGGTCAAAGTGAGTCGAGGTGGCTTGGCAGCTTCGTGAAGTGGCAGCGAACGGGCGAGCCGCAAAGGCCTGCAAATGCGAAGAGCTGGCCCAGCAGCAGCAGCAGCAGCAGCAAAGACAGGCAGCCGGGCAGATCCATCTGGCATCGGATGCCAAGCGAGCGACCGCAGCGTCATGGATTCCCAACGCAGGTGGAGTTTCAAAAAAGCCAAAAAGCTGGGCGGGCGGCTGGCTGTCTGCAGCTTGGACTTTCTTTTTTGGTTCGAGAAATAGGATCGCTGGGCCCCACACGCGCAGCGCAGCGCAACTCATCCCAGAAACGACCTCAGCGAGCGAGAGGCCCGCTCGGTCCACGCTTATTCGTTGTTCAAGCCTTGGAGGCGCACGCACATCACACCGCATCAGCCCCGACCACCGCTCTCGCGGCTCGCGCCTCCTCTGGCGCGCTTGGCCCACTCACCCGCTCGCTCCCATCCAAGACGGCTCAGCTGCTCTCTCAGCTGCTCGGGCCGCGCCTCCACCCAAGACATCATCGTCTCCCGCTCCCTCCCCTTGCTTTCAGCCCGCTCACCCATCCCCTCGGCGCCACCTGGAACCCCCCCATCTCTCTTGCTCTTGACGCCACCATCATATCTCTCCTCCCCTCCTCCCTCCCTCTACATCACCTTCCATCCCGTCGCTACACGTCATCGTAGTCAAGTCGTCACCATGCCCAAGCTCGCAAGTGTCGAGATCGACACCCCCGCCAACAAGGGCGAGACCAAGATCAGGCGCTCCTACCGCGCGCCTGACAAGCTCCTCGAACGCCCCGCAGAGGGCATCAACACCATGGCCGATGTCTTCCTCCACGCTCGCAACCGTAAGTGTCTTCCTTCGCCCACCTCGCCCAGCATTCCCTTCAGACTTGTGCTGACTCTTTCCTAAATTTGATCTTCACAGGCTTCCCTAACCGTCCCATCATGGGCTGGCGCGACGTCGTCCGCATGCACGACGAGCAGAAGGAGGTCACCAAGAAGGTCGAGGGCAAGGAGGTCAAGGAGACCAAGACCTGGCAGTACTACGAGCTCTCCAACTACAAGTATCTCACCTACAACGAGTTTGAAGAGCGCATCCAGCACGCCTCGAGCGGTCTCGTCAACCTCGGCCTCTCCAAGGACACCCGCTTCAACATTTACGCCGCCACCGCCATCAACTGGCAAAACATGGCACACGCCTGCTTCCGCCAGAGCATCCCCTTCTGCACCGCCTACGAGACGCTCGGCGAGGAGGGCCTCCAGCACTCGCTCAGCGAGCCCGACGTCGTCGGCGTATTCACCAACGCAGAGCTCCTCCCCACCCTCGCCAACGTCATCGAAGACGCCCCCACTGTCAAGTACGTCATCTACGACGGCAAGCCGGGCGACAAGGAACTCAACAAGGTACGCGACGTGCTCGCCGGTCGCGAGGGTAAGCTCCTCACCATCGAGGAGCTCTGGCAAGAGGGCAAGGCCAACCCTGCCGAGGGCCACCTCCCCACCCGCGACGACGTCGCCTGCATCATGTACACCTCGGGCTCCACCGGCGCACCCAAGGGTGTCGTGCTCACCCACGGCAACCTCGTCGCCTCGATCGCCGCCGTCGAGCTCCACGTCGGCGACCTGCTCAGGCCCGACGACACCTTCCTCGCCTACCTCCCGCTCGCCCACATCCTCGAGTTCATCGTCGAGTGCACCATGATCTACGTCGGCGTCACCATGGGCTACGGCAAGGTCAAGACGCTCACCCAGGCATCCGTGCGCCAGTGCGACGGCGACATCAAGGCGTTCAAGCCGAGCATCATGATCGGCGTGCCCGCCGTCTGGGAGCTCATCCGCAAGGGCATCCTCTCCAAGGTCAACGCCGGCGGCGCGCTCAAGAAGAACCTCTTCAACGGCGCGCTCACCATCAAGAAGAACAAGGTGCCTCTGCTCACCTCGGTCGTCGACTCGGTCGTCTTCAAGGCGGTCAAGGAGCAGACCGGCGGTCGTCTGCGCATCGCGCTCTCGGGCGGTGCGGCGCTGTCCAAGGAGACGCAGGAGTTCCTCAACAATGCGCTCGTGCTGCTGCTCCAGGGCTACGGCCTGACCGAGTCGTGCGGTATGACGGCCATCCTGACGCCCGAGTTCTACTCGTACGGCCCCTCGGGCGGCACTGTGCCTGCGATCGAGGTCAAGCTGCGCGACGTGCCGGACGCCGGCTACTTCAGCACCAACAACCCGCCGCAGGGTGAGGTGCTCATCCGCGGACCTGCGGTGACCAAGGGCTACTTTAAGCGCGACGATGTCAACAAGGAGTCGTTCGAGGACGGCTGGTTCCTCACGGGCGACGTGGGCCAGTGGAACCCCAACGGTACGCTGTCGATCATTGACCGCAAGAAGAACTTAGTCAAGCTGTCGGGCGGCGAGTACATTGCGATCGAGAGGCTCGAGAGTGTGTACAAGGCGTCGAACCTGGTGTCGAACATCTGCGTGCATGCCAACAGCGATGCCAAGCAGCCCATGGCGATCATCTTCCCGCGCGAGGACAATCTGGTGCAGGCTGCGCAGCGCGCCGGCGTCAGCGGCGAGCTCGAAGAGCTGTGTGCCAACCGTCAGGTGGCCAAGATTGTCATGGAGGATGTGAATGGTGTTGGTAAGAAGGCGGGCTTCAAGAATCTCGAGATGCTTCAGACCGTGCTGCTGGTGCCCGAGGAGCTCGCCATGACGGCGGCGCAGAAGCTCAGCAGGAAGGACATCATCAAGAAGTACGAAGACCAGATCAAGAAGGTCTACATGTAACACAAGACTCGTCCAAGGATCCATCAATACCCCACCCGCCATCGTCGTCTGGCCATAGCAGAGAGGATCTCTTACATGCTGCGCTCGTTTCTTAGTTTCAGATGTGTCTGTATGACCCCCCGCGCGCTCGCTAGTGAGCTCATTTGTCAATCTCAGTGCTGCTCGGATTCTTGGATGGTTGGAGCACGTGCAAAGAATCTGAGGTGGTGAGGTCTTGACAAGCGGGCGCTGCATTCTCGCTCATCCTCACACGCACATCCACATCCTCACAGCTGACACTTGAACCACACTCGTGACTGTCGAATCGTACAAAACTTGGCATTGGCAACTACTCGTCGTCGTCGCTCTCTTCATCGTCTTCGCTTTCTTCGCTTTCTTCGTGGCCCTCCATGACGTCGAGTGGTTCGATGTTGACCTCGCGGTCGGCGCCGAGATACGAGTCGCAGACCAACCACATCTTGAGGCGGTCGTGTCTTCCCTGTGGCAACGTGACCTCGAGGTCGAGCTGTACCGTCTTGCGCACAGTGACCTTTTTAATCGCGAGCAGATTCTTGGTGGCGGGGTCGCCGATGACCACCCACCACTGGACCAGCTTGCGTGCGGGGTAGAAGGCGCTTTGAACCACCAGACCCTCTTCGTCGTCTTCGTCGTCCTTGTCGAGCGTGACGCGCACCGTAATGGGGTCTGAGGCGTTCATCTCTTCGCGTGGCGTTTCGATGCTGTAGCTCAGCTCGATGTAGGGGAAGGCGTTGACAAACGCCGCCACGCGTGCGGTTTGCTTCTTGTCCATCTGCAGCAACTCATCGCGTTCGACCTCGGACAAATCCGCAAGCAGGTCCGATAGGCCGAATACGTCTTCGACCCCACGCGCGCGACAGCGCTCAATCACCTCGGCACTAAAGTGCGGCACCTGCCGCAGGACCGAGTCCTTATCCCATACCGCCTGAACCACCATCTGCGACAGCTCCATCGCCACAATCGCATTCAAGTACGCGTTGGACGACATGACGTCCACACACGCCGAGAGCAGATTGAGCACCTTACCCAACACAATACGCTGGTCCGCCTCCAAGTCCACCGGTAGCGTCAACCGCGCAAAATGCGCCTGCAGCAGGATATACACCTTGTGGTACGGACTCAGCAGATTGAGCCGATCCAACTTGAGCGGCAGTCGATCGTACAGCCGCTGCAGCAGCACATCTTCGTGCTGACGAATCGGCAGGTCCTCGAACTCGGCAGCCGAGCTGACGATCTCGAGCATGCCGCGCAGCTTGGTCTTGTCCTTGAGCGACATGTTGAACACGTCGATCGTGACGTAGCTCACGTTGTAGTAGCTCGCGATCATGCCCAGATTGAGCGGGCTCACGTCCATCTCGTCCTCGATGGCGATGCACTTGGAGTTCTCCAGATCCGCCAGCGTCGTCTCCACCAGCTCGGACAGATAGTCGCCAATGTGCTGCATGCTCTTGCCCTGGCAGTTGTACGCCTGCGGATTCTGCTGCAGACGCCGGTACATGAGCGTCCACGTCAGAATGTCCACCGCCGCCTGCTTGTCGTCGATGGTGCGCGCCACAATCTCGGCGTTGAAAAAGTCCTGCGCATAGCTCGTCAGCCGGCTCTCCACGGGCAGGCCCTCGGCGAGGAACTTCTTAAAGTACTCCTTGCGCGTCGCCTGGCACAGCAGCACGCAGCGCGACGTGCCCTCGTCGTTGGGCACCGTGCATCGCCCCACCATCTGCAGCACGTCCGGCAGCGCATAGTCCACATAGCGGTGCTCGCGGCCCTCGTACGTCTGCAGCGACATGATGAGCACCAGATGCGCCGTCAGCGGGATGCTCCACGCCGTCTCCTTGCTCGCCACCACCACGCGGATCGCGTCCGCTGCAAACAGCCGCTCCACAATGCGTCGGTCGTTCTTGGTGAGCCCCTCGTGGTAGTAGGCGATGCCCGAGGCGAGCAGCTCGCGCAGATCGCGGTCCTGCACGCGCTGCAGATGCGGCTCCAGGTCCTCCATCTCGATGTTGAGGAAGCGCGATTCGCCGTCGTCGCTCGCACCATCGTCGCGCTCGCTGTCGGCGAGCACGTACGCGAGCAAGTCGTTCGCAGTCAGCTTGGCCTGCTTGCGCGAGGGCACGAATGCAATCACCGGCTGGTCGGGCGCATGCTCAATGATGGCAAGGTACGCCGGCTTGGCCATGGCGATCATCATGGACGGGAAGTGCGGCATGCTGAACGTCTGGATGTGCACCTCCATCGGCGTCTGACGCGCGCTCGGCGCAAAGTTGAACACGCTGCCGCTCGGCGCTCCGAGCCAGTCGCCGACGTCGCGCGCGTTCGCGAGCGGCACACTGAGCGCCACCATGCGCGTCGGCCTCTCGGTCTGCGCTGCGACGAACCGCGCGCGCGAAGCGACAATCTCGTACGTCGGCCCCACGCGCCAGTCTCCGATCATGTGGATCTCGTCAAAGATGTACAGCGCGACCGACTGCACGTTCTTGCGCTGGCGCCAGCGGCGCGACAGCACGTCCCAGTGCTCCGGGATCGTCACGACCACATCCGCCATTTCGAGCAGACGAAGGTCCGCACTCGTCTCGCCCGTCAGCGCGACGACCTCCTTGCCGTCCTGGTACTCGCCGAACTTGGTCTTCCACTCGGCCACACGCGGTGCAACCATGGACTCGTACGGCACGACGCACACGGCGCGGCCCGCATCCGCATCCTTCCACAGCCGGAGCAGCGCAAGCTCGGCACAGACCGTCTTGCCACTGCCCGTGGGTGCGCCGACGAACACCGAGTCGTCGCTGCCGTAGAGTGCATGGAACGTCTGCGTCTGCACCTTGTTGAAGTGCGCAAACGAGTCGCGGTAGAGCTCCTGAGCGGGTCGATCGTTGAGCGCACTCAGCGGCTGCGGCTGCAGCTCGAGCAGCGGCGTGTGCGGCGGGAACTTTTCGGGCAGGATGAGGTTCTTGAACGAGATGGGCAATCGCACCTCGCTGTGCAGCCAGCGATCGCTGACGACGCTGATGTAGTAGTTGGGCGGCAGCGGCTCCGTCATGGGGATCGTGAAGCTGACGGTATGCTCCTCCTCGGCATACTTGCGCAGCAGGAGGAATTGGTCGTGGTAGTGCAGGATCTCGGCATCGACGTCTTCCACCATGATCCAGAACGACTGAGCGCCGCCGTGCACTTTTTCGTCCCACTGGAAGTCGGGGGTGATGGTGAGTTGGACGTGAAGCAGGGAGCGGGTGAGCGGCTGGAAGAAGGCCTGCAGCTCGAGACGCGGGAATTGATGCACGAGTCGGTGCACCAGACGGCCCGCTTTTGGAATTCCAATCAGCTCGCCGATCTCGTTTGGCTCGAGATCCCGCAGCCGATTCCACGGATACTCTTTCCGCTCCAGTCTGCGGATCAGATCCGCAGGCACACCGCGGAACTGGCGCAGCGGCGTCATGGAGCCCCACTGGCGCGACTCGACCATCTTGCACAGATCCAGCGCCATCCGGCTCAGCCTCGCATAACCACGCTTGAGGCAGATCTCAAAGATGGCGCGAAGGATGCGGCCGGCGGACTGGGTGATGTACACCATGTCGGCAGCAAGCACGTATCCGTCCAGCCGGAGCTGCGAGATCCACGACTGGAGCAGCACGTTGACCTTGGCGATGGGGTCGTCGGCCGACTCCTTGACGGGCACAGGCACGCGTTCGAGCAGCTTGGCCACCTCGAGCTTCTCGTCCTGGCGCACCACCTGGTGGCGGAACTCGTTGGAGAGCGCAAACACGCGGAAGAGCTCGATGAGGCCGAGCTGCGGCTTGATCTGCTGGTGGTACGTCGCCATGCTGTCGTGGGTGATGTAGTAGTGCGATGCGATGCGGCCGAGCTCGTTCGAGACAAAGTTGCCGCTGCGGCGTTCGTAGCGCAGCAGGCCGCACTTTTCGAGCAGAGCCGCGGCGGTGTGCACAATGTCGGCGCGCTTCTGCTCGAGAAAGGGATCGTCTTCGGCATAGTCTGCGGTGACGCTGTAGAGCGCGGGCGAGCGCAGCATGCGCACGTACAGATACGTGTACCCCAACCAAGCGACGGCCTCGTCGCGGTTGCGGATGGTGCCGAGGACGATCTCGGCATTGAGGTTGTCAGCGAGCTTGGAGACGAGCTGCGATTCGATGGGCAGCTGCTGGTTGAGCAGACTGAGGTAGTACTGCAGCTCGGAGTGGTTGGTGATGATGATGCCTTCTCCAAACGTGTCGTATTGCGGTCGACCGGCACGTCCGAGCATCTGCAGCATGTCTTGCGGCGTGATCTCGCACCATCGACCCTTTTCGGGATTGTAGATCTGCGTGCCCTTGATGATGACGGTGTGAGCGGGCAGATTGACACCCCACGCCAGGGTGGCGGTGGAGACGAGCACCTGCAGATGACCGTCGGCGAAGAGCGCCTCGACGAGCTCGCGGTCGAGGCGCGACATGCCAGCATGGTGGATACCGAAACCGTAGGGCATCAAGTCCTTGAGATCGCCATCGGTGACGTTGTCGAGTTCGGATCTGAGCACCTCCTGACTCGCGGGGGACGGTGGCAAGAAGCGATTGAGGGTGTCCTGCTCCATGGCGCGGTCGCGGATGAACTTGGCGGTCTTTGCGGTCTCTTTGCGCGAGTGGACAAAGATGAGCACCTGGTTCTTGCCCGCCTGATCGAGCGTCTTTTCGTAGGTGACCTCGTTCATGACGAGCAGCCTCTTGATGGCCTTCTTCTCGGTGATGCCGACGTACTCCTGCTTCAAGGGGCACGGTCTGTAGTTGGCCTCAAAGTAGAAGAGGCCGGACTTGGGGTTGACGCGGAGGAAAGTGGCCACGTCCTGGTAGTTGGGCAGCGTGGCGGAGAGACCGACCAGACGGACCGGGTCGTTCATCTGCTCCATGCGACGGATGGTGCGCGAGATGATGGCTTCGAGGACGGGACCACGGTCGTCATGCAAGAGGTGAATCTCGTCGACGATGAGGAGGCGGACCAAGTTGGTGTAGGAGGTGTCGGTGCTCTTGCGGCTGATGACGTCCCACTTTTCGGGCGTGGTGACGATGATCTGCGTCTCCGCAATCTGAGCCTTGGTGAGCTGGCTGTCTCCGGTAAGCTCGTTGACGGTGATTCCGTAGGATTGGAGGCGGTCGCGGAAGTTGGCGGCTTGCTCGGAGACAAGCGCCTTCATGGGCGCGACGTAGACAATCTTGAATGCATTGAGATCGATGTCGCCAGTAGCGTCGTCGCGCCACTTGCCAATCTCGTTGAGGACGGTGAGCATGGCGACGTTGGTCTTGCCGGCACCGGTTGGCGCACAGAGGAGCATGGGCTCGTCGGACCCAAACGCGACCGGATAGCAGCGGGATTGGACAGGGTTGAGCGAAGTGGCGCCGGGGAAGGCGGCCTGGGCCCATGCTGGGATGCTGGAGATGGGCACGAGGTCTGCGTCGCCGACGGTGCGCTTGGCAGGGGCGGGGATGTGGATCTCCTCGTAGCCCTTCTTGGTGCGCTTGAAAGAGCCCTCTGGCAGACGGACCTTTGCGTTGGTGTTGAGATGGCCGCCCTGAGCAAAGGCCATGGCCTCGAGGTCGACGCCCTTACGGGGCTGTGCGGTGGATCCGGGAGCGATCGTGGCGCGCGAGGTGAGACGCTTTGATCTGCGCTGGGCATCTTCGAGATCGACAGCATTCGGTTGAGTGGAGGACTTGCCGTTGGTGGATGTAGAAGGTTTGTCGTCGCCTTGCAGTGCCTTGAGGATCCAAGCGACGCCCTTTTCGCGCATGGCGACCTGGACGTTGACCTTTTCGTCGTCGTCTGCGCGCGCTAGACGGGTGCACCAAACAATGGCGTCTCTGTGCTTTGTGAGGATCTGAACGAGCTCGAACTTGTCGTAGTCAAAGAGCTCCATGAGGCTGTTTTCGCAGTCGCGGACGTCGGACTCGGCGGAGAGGATGTCGAAGGCGGCGTCTGCCTTTTCGCTGGCTTCGTGCGCATCGGGGTAGTGTTGGGCGATCTGACGCTGAATCCAGAAGGCATCGACGTCGCGCGGATGGAGTTGGTTGGGATCACGTTGGCTAGCGTCCGCAGCTCTTGACGAGCCGGCGCCAATCACGAGCTCGTCGCCGTCTTGATCCGAAGCTTGCGCGTCCGAATCTGGATGCTCGGAGCCCGACCGTGCGCGTTTGCGCCGCGTATCTGCGTCGTCGTCGTCGGATGCATCTGAATCGTCGCTGCCGTCACGAACGACGTAACCGACGCCATCTTGATCGCTGTCCTCCTCTTCCTCGTCAAAGAGCACGGCTACACCTGTCTGCTGATCGATCTCGCCCATCTTTGCATCGGCATCGTTGGCGGGGTTGGACTGTTCTGGCTCGTCGTAGTCGGTGATCTTCTTGCTGAGGTTGATAAGCTGACCAAAGGACTCGGTGGACAAGGAGCCGATGATGTCCTCGATCTCGGATCTCTTGTCGAGGTCCTTGAGGTTTGGATCCTTGAGGATCTCTAGGGTGGTATCGGCGGCGGAACGCACCACGTCCTGTGCCTGGTCGCCGAGGGCGGTGTGGACGATGCTGAGGATGAGTTCGTAGATGTCGCGTGTCTCTTGGGTGCGTGGATGGTAGCGAAGGCCCTCGAGCTCGGCGGTGGCCTGGAGGATGTCGGTGTAGTTGGACTGGTTGGAGAAGGAGGCACCGCCAGCAACGGAGGAGGAAGGGCCGGCACTGACGGCAGCAGCCTGACGTTTGGATTGGCGCTGGCCATCATCAGCATTCGCCTTTTTGCGCTTCTTGTCGAGGTCCTTTACGCCCTCGACCTTGACGGCGGTGCCCATGTCGCGCACATTGATGCGTCCAGCCAGCGACTCGGCCTCGCCCGAGGGTTCATCGGGACGTCGATGCGGACGGTCGGCGCTGATGACGAGCGACGAGAGCGCCGAATACTGGTAGCCAGACAGGTCTGGCTTCTTGGGCGGCATGGTTGCAGCTGCTGCTCCGACAGAGCACTACTGGCTGGGCTGAGGCTGATTAGCTGCGGTGCATCGGCAGATCGATAGGCTGAGCGTCTGCCAAAGTGGAGCTGAGTCGCAGTGCGTCGACAGTGCGATCGGATCTGATCCGCTGCGTTGGTGGGTGTGATGGTGGGGAAGCGCTGATGATGAGAAAGCAGGTCGGATGCACCGATGCTCGCCATCCAAGTCGGCTCGGCCTGCGCGATTTCTTCTTGGCTCATGCCCAACGACCAACGACCGCACGCAAAAGCTGATGCGGCTAAGTCGACGCGCGCGCGCTCTTGACGCTGTGGAGTAGAGCTCATCTGCCTACAAAAGGGTCGGCGGGTCCAAAAAAGTCGAAAATTTTCCATCTTCGTGATTTTCGCGCAGCAGAGAGTGGCCGAGTCGCGTCGGCTTAGTGCGTAGCGAAAGCAAGCAGCAGCGACTGAGCCTCGCATCCGAGAGCCGCTCGCTCGCCCTCCATCCCCCTGGCTTGAGTCGCGCCTTCTCCAGCCCTCCGCCATCGCCTCGGGGGAATGCAGTAACGGGCGGCGGCACATCCGCCTCCTCTTCCTCCCAGCACACTTCCATCATCCCATTCTCATCCCTTCGACCGGCGACCGCAGATGATGCCTGCACTCCCTCGACCCAACGCTGACGCTTGATTGTGGCACGCTCATTCCATCCGAACCCTGGCCTACTCCCTCGCATCGCCTCGCCTTGGCACGATGATACCCGGCTCGAATCGTCTCTCCTCCATCTAAAGCCTCATATCGCCATGATCAAACCACCCGCTATGGGCGTCTTCGCCCGCGACCCTCCATCCAACGCTCGCGCAGGCGCACCATCCTCGGCTGCACCCAATGCCAATGCCGTCACTTCAGCAGCAGCAGCTACTGGCGCAACTACCACCTTTGCTGCGGCCCCTCCTTCGCCTTCCGCATTGCAACCACAACCATTGCCCTTCGAGTCTCGCATAGATGCTCGCCTCCCCGATTTCACGGCGCAAGCCTCCGACGGCACTGCCGAGGATGCAGCCGATGTAGATGATGAGGGTGCCGCACAGGACGACGATGATCAGGGCACCGTAGACGAAGAAGCCGGCATCATCCGCTGCATCTGCGGCTGCGACGATGACGACGGCTTCACCATCCAATGCGATCGCTGTCTCGTCTGGCAGCACTGTGCTTGCTTTGGCATGTCTCAGGCCTCCGTCCCCGACGAGTACCTCTGCGAGCAGTGCGAGCCCCGTCCCGTCGATGTTGCCTTTGCCCAAGCACATCAGCAGAAACGAAAGAACAACGAGGCTCGCAAGGCGCTCATGGATCGCAATCTCAAACGTCAGGCTCAGGCCATGGCTTCCAACAACTTCAACCAGGCCTACCTCGCGCCCGAACCAGCACCATCACCCACCTCTTCCCATCCACTTTCATCGTCCACAGCTGCCTTTGCCACCGACGATGCATCGGCACCGCTTTCACCCACCATCACTGCTGTAGCATCATCGTCAGCATCATCATCGACAGCAGCAGTAGTAGCAGCAGCAGCGCGATCTCGCAAGCCCAGCCATGCACTCGATCTCACAAACACCCAGTTCGTCGTTCCAGAAGTTCCCGCCAGCGCCGGTGCCTCCTCCCAACGAGGCGGCAAACAGCGCAAAGGTCAGAAGGGTTCGCGGCGCGGATACGACACCCCTTCCGCCGTGTCCACCCCCGTCAGGGGCGTCTTCACCCCAGGAAGCGTACACGAACGCGCAGACGACCCTTTCGACGCCGCAGAGCAGCTCGAAGCTTGGCATGTCGAGTTCACCCCCATCGCCAAAAACGTCGTCGCAGATCCCAACATCATCCCCGACCTCGCCGCCGCAATGCTCGACTGGGAAGACGGCAGCCCTCTCAAGGCCGTCCCAGGCCCCGCCGGTCGCGTCCTCGTGCCCAGCCTCGGCTCGTCGTCCATCGCATCCAGCAGCCGCCATCTCGCCTCCGCCAAGCCGTCGCGTGTCGACCTGCATGCATCCTCCTCCTCAGCCTCATCCCCATCACCCGCATCGCCTCACGCGCCAGCATCGCCCGCCGAATTCGAATCGTCCCCACTGGGCATCTCGGCCGTCGGTGATGAATGCATCCCCATCGAATTGACAGGTCCGTCCCTCGCCGGCCTTGCTTGCCGCACCTATGTCAAGCAGATCTCCGAGTCTGCATCAGCGGGTGTCTTCACCAACCTCCTCTATGCCACCAACTCGGCCGACGAGCCGCAACGCGCATGGTGCGCATCTCGCGCCTTCTCGCGGCCTGTCATGCATGGTCTTTTCGCAGAGGCATCCATCCCCGCAGGCGCCTTCATCTCGGAGCTGCGCGGAGAGCTCTACAGCGCCACCGCATACCGCAACGACCCCATCAACCAGTATGCAGCCCTGGGCGCCACCAAACCGCACGTCCATCTGCTCCCGCCACCGCTCAACCTCGCCATCGACGCCCGCAGATTCGGCAGCGAGGCTCGCTTCGCACGCTTCAGCTGCCATCCCAACGCCGTGCTCAGACCCATCCTCTTCCGACCCAACGGTCAGCCCTCGGCTCGCTCACGCACCAGCTCACGCGCTCAATCGCCATCACCCGCAGCTCTGCTTGCACGTCAACACCGATACGCCGACACGCCGCCCGCAGAGAGCCGTTCCGACGAGCCCCAGCTGCTCTTCGGCCTCTTTGCGCTCACAGACATCCCGCGCACCCACGAGATCACGCTCGGCTGGGAATGGGACGACGCGCACATTGTTCATTTCTTGCCCGAACTCGTGCAGAATCCCTACCTCGAATCACGCCAAGACGACGTCGACCCCAGTCAGCATACCGCCAACATGGTCGCGCTGGCCGAAAAGGGCGAGTTCCCGTACGCCGACACCGAGTTCTCCGTAAAGATGAGCACCGTGTCCGCCGCACTCCTCGGCTGCGTCCTCTGCGCTTGCATCGGATCCGCGGCTCCACCCGGCGGCGGAGGTGGTGCCAGCTCCAACAATGGCCGCAAGCAGGACTGTGCCGTCGCACAGATGCTGCGTGTCGGCAACGGCATGTCGCTTCTCAACGTCACCATGCCCGGAAAGACGAATCGCAGCAGAGCCAGGCTGCCCGACTTTTCGCCGCTCGTCGGCGCCCGCAGATTCTGGCGACCTTACAGCCTTCCGCCAACACCCGAGGTTTCACTCAAGGACGAGGACTCGCCCGCCGAAGCAGCGCTGCTCGGCGCCCACTCGTCAGACGCAGAGGCAGACATGGCCCGCCCCATTGACCAGGAAGGCGAGGCGGGCTGCGGCGGCATCGAGTCCGGCGAGGCAGGCAGCAAGGCTCGGCGCAAGTCACGAGCAAAGCATGCGGACGATGCCATGGATCTTGATGACGACGATCGATCAGCAGCGTCGGACGTCGACGATACCGACGACGCGCGATCCGTCGCCTCGTCGCTCACAGATCCCCTGTCCGGCCTCAGCGACCAAGAAACGCTCAGCGAAGGCGACGATGAAGAGCTCATGGATGCTTTGCGGCAAGTCGACGGCGTCCGAGCCAAGTCGAGGACCAAGAAAGGTGGCATGCGCAAGGACGCGGCTGACGCGGATGCGGAGCTCTCGGGTTTGTTCCTGCTCCCTCCCAAGAAACGCTCCATGCGCACCCGCATCAAGGCATCCATGGCGCCGTCCGACGAAGAGGATGCCGGCGATGAGCACGACGACGACCAAGAGCAAGAGGCCAAAACGAAGTCGCGCAAAAGCGACGTCGCGGACAAGTCCAAGAGCGCTGCCAAGCGCAAAGGCGCCAACCGCCACGCAGTCGACTTTTCTTCCGACGAGGATCGTGACTCTGACGGCTATTCCGCCACAACGCCGGTCAAAAAGCGTAGAAAGTCCGGCAACGTCGCCGATCCAAGCTCGCCGCTGTCGTCTGTGCCCTCGCCAGGCTCCATCGACTCCAGCCTCAGCACACCTCCGCCAGTGCCGCGTCTGTCTGCAAAGCACAGGCTCGAGAATGAGCGACGCCTTTCCGATAGAGAGCTTCTCAAGAAGAAGCGCAGCACCAAGCAGGCCAAGGACCGCAAAGCCAAAAGCTCTGACTCACGGCCCAAGGAATCGGCTTCCAGGCGTCGAAAGAGGGAGGAAGCACGTATCCACCGTAACGCTATTCTCGACCTCGGCGACACCGAGTCGAGCGAGGAAGACCTCACCGATCGCGATGACGCTGAGAGCAGCAACAAGGCCACGGCTCGAGATGACGCATCGGAACGTGGCAGCGCTGCCTCGACGCCCAGAGCATCCAAGGTCGCCTTGCCAGCAGAGAGCGCCCAGTCCCCGCGCGAGGCCAAGGGTAAGAAGGCCGCCTCCGTCGAGAGTCCCAAGTCCGCCGCAAAAGATACCCCTAGCAAGACAAAGAAGGTGCGGCGGATCCTGTCGGACTCGGAGCAGAGCAGCGACGACGAGGGCAAGGCAGCCGCCTCCTCTCCATCAGTGCACGCCAAGGCTTTGCCGCAGGTCAAGGACGAAGAGGCCGCAGCCCAGCCTACCGCAACCGCCCAGGCTGTCGCCGATGCGCCCATGCCAGATGCAGATGCCGCAGCCCCTCTGGAATCGCTAGGGACTGCCACCAAAGAGGAGGGCAGCGAAGCTAAGGACGCCCAGCCTGGCGCGGCTACTGCCGCCTCGGAAGTTGCTCCCGCACCCGCTGCCGCGCCTGCTCCCGTGCCCGAGGTCAAGAAGGAGGAGCCGAGGGTCAAGCTGTCCCTCGCAGAGTACAAGCGTCGGCTTGCGGAACGCCGCGTGTCGGAACAGCAGCCCGCGAGCGCCAGCTCCGCATCCACGGCAGCGGCTCCCGTTCCGGTCATCGCTACGCCCACGTCGGAGGTGGCACCTTCACCATCGCCGGCTGTCGAGAAGGTCGATCCTGTGCGAGCCCTTCCCTCGGTGAGCTCCGAGCCACCTACATCGGAGGCGGTGAGCGCGCCAGCTCAGCCCACTACTGCGCCAGTCGAACCGCGCAGCCCGGAAAAGTCTGCCTCGGCACTACCGCGTGGCGTCCTCTTCACCTCGATTGCAGCCCCGACGGCCATCCGCTCGGTCGAGATCCCCAAGTCGCCGTCTCCAGAGCCGCCAAGCCTGGCATCTGCGCAGCAGCCGAGCCAGGTCGGTGCGGTTGCAGGCGGCGCAGCAGCTTCGTCTGAGGCTAGCGCGACGACCTCGGCTGAAGTGTCGGCAGCCGCAGGCGCCGGTGTCGACGCAACGCGAGCACGCGCTCCATCTGTGACGCAGCAGCCTGTCGGTCAGAACACCGATACTGCCGGAGCCAATCTGGCAGCCTCTGAAGGTTCCGTCAAGCCGCAGACTCCCGGCGCCGTTGCCACCGCGCCTGGCGCAGCGAGCAGCAGCACAGGCGCAGCAACTGTGGCGCCTTCTGCCGCTGCTCCGACTCCGTCGCCGACGTTAGGACCCACGCGCTACCCAGGCAGCCGCGTGCCGTCATCACCGTCCGGTCCGTCGACGTTCAACCCGCCCAAGGCACCGCGCGCGTTCATGAGCCCGCCTGGAGTATCTGCTCCAGCGCCGCTCACCTCGGCATCGGCTGCGCCACCCTCTACAAGTGCTGCTGTGGCGAGTGCTTCGACCACCACGAGCGCTTCCGCCGGTGTCGCTTCAACTCCGGCACGATCTGTGGCCGGAGTAGGCAATACGCCGTCGACGGCGAGCTCGTCGAGCACCGCCTCTTCGCGCTATCCGGCTGCGGGGCTGACGTCTCCGACGCCCAACACCACCGCGCTGCCTGGCTACGCACCACGCGCGTTTGCTGGCGTGCCCAAGGGCCCAGCGAGCATGCGGGACCCCGATCCGCGCGCGGACGCGTGGGCCGAGGCGAGAGAGGCACGCGAGGCACGCGAGTATCCGGGTGCGCGCCATCTGGACACGATGCGCGACGGCGGACGCGATATGGGCTGGGGCGAGCGCCCGCGCGAGCCCGTGGGCGACCGCGACGGACCACGGGGCGGATGGGGTCGCGAGCGCCGGGACATGATGCACCGGGGCGAGCCGATGGGCCGCGAGCCGTACGCTCGTGATGGTCGCTTCTTTGGACGGGACGAGCGCGATGGCGCGGGTGCGGCGGCTGTGCCACCGGCTGGAAGTGGCGGTGCGGGCGGTGCTGCTGCCAGTGCAGGCAGCGGCGCGTTGGGCAGTCGGATTGACCATGCCCATGCGCATGCTCCCTACGCACCGTATCGCCGACCGTCGGCGAGCGAGTACGATGAGCTGCATGCAGGCGTGGGCGCTACGGGGTACGATCCGTACAACCGCGGCATTGTGGTGCGCGGCCGCAGTCTGGGGCTTGGCGGCCCCGGTGCGAGTGCGGGCCCCAGCGGTCCACCCGGTGCTAGTGGCGCAGGCGCTCGCGAGGGCCGAGGCGAATACCGCGACTACGACGACATGGGCCCTGGGGGAGGCGGCCAGCAGGGTCCGCCCATGGGCGCTGCAGCACGAGGCATGCCCGGATTCAGGTCCGGCTGGGGCGGCCGATCGAGGCCGCGAGGCGCACCTGGTGGAGGAGGAGGCAGAGGCAGAGGTTGGATGCGATGAGCACCAGCTCGACCCGCTTTTTTTATTCAGTAGACTTCACGAGTGGGTTTGTGCAAATGTACTTGTGCCGGCTTGGGCTCATCGTGGTTGAGACGCAGGTGCACAGTCAGAGTGGTGGTGGAGGATCAATGAATGGCGTGCGGGACTGGTGGTACTTGTACAAAAGCGGAGCGTAGCGTTGGGAGAGGAGGGAAGATGGCGTGGGGGAAAGGGGAGCAGGGAGGATGTGTTACTCTTCCTCGGACAGTTCGGAGCTTTCGTCGCCGTCGTCCTGCTCCTGCTCCTCGTCTTCCTCTTCCTCCTCCTCGTCTTCATCGTCATCATCGTCATCGTCTCTCTTGGCGGATCTACGCTTTTTGGACTTGGCGCTCTTTTGCGCCGTCTTTCTCTTCTGCGGCGCCGTCCGGATGTTGGCCATGCTCCACTTTGCGCCGGCGCCACCGGCAGCTGCGGCCTTGGTCTTGAGTTTGACCTCGGACAGTTGACGCACGAGGACGGTGGGGAGGAATTGGCGGTCGTAGATCTCGCGCTGCACCTCGCGGCTCGGGAGCGGCTTGAAGATGTCGCTGGGCAGCGTGATTTTGGCGGGATAGCTCTCGATCGTCCATGCCTGCGAGGCTGCACGGCGCTTGATCACCAGCTGCGCCAACTCGGACAGCGCATACAGGTTCTCGGATGCACCCTGGGATTCGGCATCGCGCACACCCTTGACGCGCGTCGCGAGGTAGTAGAACAGCGAAACATTCGACGCCGACGCAAGCGCATCGAGGAAGAAGTCGAGGTAGCGCACGAATTGGCGGATGTCGTCCGCACTATCGCGTGCAAAGTCCGGATGGTGCGCCAGCAGATGCAGCAATCGGGGCAGTGCAACGTCCAGATACTTGAGCCGTTGCTCAGCCGGTAGCGGCCGATGCGACTGACAATACCGCAGCACCATATTGCGATTCTCGTCCTCGGGATCGTACGCCGCCAAAAACGCCATGGCGAGAAAGCGCGAGTCGATCCGACGCGTCTTGAGATAGCTCAGCAGCTTGTGCAGCACGCGCGAGCGCACATTGAACGACTCGTCCTGCACCGTAAACGCCAGGTCGAGATACTCGCGCCCGATGCACGCATCGTACGCCGGATGCCGCGCGAGCTTCAACACGCACACGGCCGCCTGCAACCTCATGCGCGACTTGGCCGCCGCCGGCGTCCCCAACGCCTTGGCCTCCCCTGCTCCCACCACCGCCCACAGCAGCCGGAAGATCGGCTTGGCCAAGTCAGCCGCACTGTCGGTATCGGCGAACGCCTCGCACCGCCGCGTGAGCACGTGCAGCCCCAACAGCTTGGCGCGCAACTCGTGGTCCACCGCCGAATCGTCCACCCAATCCTCACCTCCTGCGTACGCCTTGCCCTTGCCCGTGAGCGGCTTGAGCAGGATCTCGGATAGAATCGTACGCACCACCGTGCTGCTCACATTCTCGCTCGCATCGGGCGCGTGCTTGAACAGCTGCGCCAGACTCTGCAGAATCGCCACCTGCCGCTCCGCCTTGGCACCACCCAGATGCTTGGCGAGCGAATCAAGAACCTCCTCCAGCACGCCATATGCCGCACTGCTCGAAACGGACGCCCCCGGCGCACCCGGCTTCTGACCGACCGCCTTGCGCCCCCCGCGTGCGCCGCCCGTCGCGACGATCGCCAGCAGCTTGGCCGCATACTTGGCCTGCAGCGGCGTGCCCTTGAGCACGAGCTTGGCCAGACGCTCCACCGCCTTCTTGTCGAGCTGCACCTTGGCGGCGTTCCACTGGGCGACCGCCGCAAGCGCCTGCACACACGTCTGCACGAGCACCGCATTGGCCTCGTCGAACAGCGCGCGGCACAGCTCGGGCACGTGCATGCCGAGCATGGCCGGACACCGTTTCGCCATGAACTCGAGCAGCTCGTGCGCCGACGCGCGGTGCGTCTCGACGTCCGCCACGCCCTCGCCCGCCTGCGACTGCGACTGCGATGCAGCCTGCTTCCCGCGCGCACCGGGCGGCGCGGACAGCTTGCGGATCAGCGTGGGCACCGACGAGCGGTTGAGGATGAGGTACGACCCGCTGCGGATGAACACGGTGAGCGTGTCGAGCATGGCGGCGTTGGCGTTCTCGATGCGGCGCAGCGCGTCGTTGCGGCTCTTGACCGCCGTCTTGAGGTCGGTCTGCGGATCAAAGCACGTGCGGATGAGACGCACGATGCGCGCGTCGTTGAGCTTGGCGAACGCGTGCAGGTCCGTCTTGGCGCGCTCCGGATCGGCGAACAGCCCGGCGCACCGACGGATGCGGTCGGCCATGGCCGTCTTGACCACCGCCGAATCCTTGTCCGCCGCCACCTCGCCGCCGTTGTACTGCTCGCAGCAGTCCAGGAATCGGTCGAGCAGCGCGGGGCGCACGAGGATGAGGTTCGACAGGCGCAGCATCGCCTTGGTCGCATCGGGCTCGAGGTACTTCATGACGAGCAGCAGGCGATTCGTCCACGCCGCCTCGTCGTCGTCGGCATTCGCAGGCACGGGGAGGATGTGCTTTTCCACCGTCGCCGCCACGAGCAGCTCCAGGTCGTGCTGGCCGGCATAGATGCACTTGAACACCTCCTGCGGGATCCAGGCAAACTGCTGGATGGCGGCGGCGTCGTTGTTGTCGATCTCGGAGACGGCCATGTCGAAGAGCCTTCCGACGGCGCCGAGCGCCTCCCTGCGCACGAGCGTCTTCTTGTCCTTGCAGCGGTCGGCGAGCGTGAGCATCACCGACTTGTCGACGTGGTGGAGCGCCGTCTCGTAGTCGAGCGAGCCGAGCATCTTGGCGGTGGCGGCGCGCACGCGCTCGTCGTTCTCGAGCAGCTTGGCCTGCAGGATGGGCGTGAGGTCGTGGCGCAGCTCCGGATGGTGGACGAGCAGCGGCTTGGCGGACTCGGCCCACACGACGCGCAGGCTGACCGACTTGTCGTTGGCCCTGCCGAGCCACGCGCGCCAGGTGCCGGCGTATCTGCGTGCCAGGTCGCCCGTCTCTGCAGCGGCGACCGACGAGGGCTTCTCGGCAAACATCTGTGCGAGCACCTTGGTGGCGAGCACGCGCAGCTGCGCATCTTCGGCGCGGAGCTCCTCCTCGAGCTGCGGGATGACGTTGAGCAGCAGCGAGGGCACGACGCGGTTGATCTGGACGATGAGCGCGTGCGCCGTCTGGAGGCTCTCGATGCGCTCGTCCTGGTCGTCCTCCTGCGAGGCCGAGTTGATGACCTCGTTAAAGTACTGTGCGACGTACTTCTGCAGGCGGTCCTTGGTGTTGGAGCACACCTCGACGGCGAGGCGGTGTGCTGCGGGGTTGTGCTTGACCGCCTTTGGTGTAAAGTTGGCGAGGAGCAGCTCGAGCACCTCGGGGGGCAGCGTGACGCACTCGTCGATGAGCTGGACGAGCACGTCGGCGATGCAGATCTCGACGTTCTTGGACATGTCGGGGCGTGCGAGTTCGAGGAAGCCCTTGAAGTAGTCGGACATGAGTTCGTCTGCATTGGCGAGATCGCAGACGAGCACGACCGACTTGACGTTGCTGAGGCTCTCGAGGAGGTAAAAGTACTCTGCGTACTGCGGGCCGGTGGGTTTGGAGAGGCCGGCGGCGGGCATGGTGAGCTGATGCAGGAAGAACTGGAAGATGTCGCGCAGTTCTGCCGGGGTGAAGGGCGCGTTGGGCGCAAAGAGGCGGAGCATGTCGGCGAGGCAGCAGGCGACGTGCGCCTTGACCGCCTTGTCCTTGTGGAGCATGAGAGCGGGCGTGACGAGCTCGCGGCAGACGTCCTTGAGCGAGTTGACGTCGACGGCGTCCTGGTCCATCTCGCTGAGTTCGGTGCGGACCTGGCGGACGCGCTTGAGCAGCGCGTCGGTGGAGGAGCCCTTCTGGTAGAGCTTGCCCTTGAGCGAGAGGCGGGCGAGTGCGCCTCTTCGCGTCGAGGCTGCGACCGAGGTGGACGCCTCGGTGGCGGTGGTGGTGGCCGTCACCATGGTGACTGTGATGTGCTAGCCGATCTGGCTAGGATCGACGAATGCTGCAGAAATGGTGCGGATCGAGAGCTGGTGAAGACCGGGCGAGTGCGTTCCCAGCTTGGCAACCGACGAATGCTGCCGATCAGGTATGAAGTGTATGCGATGCGATCGGATGGCGAAACGAGGTAGAGACAGGTCGGAGAAGGAGGGTGAAGAGAGGAGAGGGAGAGTGGAGGATGGGAGGGTGAAGCGCGTCGGGTCTGCTTGCCGCCTTTGCTCTGTCGCCGTGCTGCTGCGCCTTTTGGCCCTGGCTCTGCGAGGCTGCGAGGCTGCGAGGCTGCGAGGCGTTGGAGTGTTGGATTGACGCGCTCGATGCGTTTCGCTGCGTTGCTCTGCCGCCATCACGCGCCTCTGCCTTTTTTTCGCGCTCAGCAGCAGCTCTCTTTCACTTTGCCCTTTTCAGCGCGGGAGGGGCGCGTTAAGCAGGGACGCGTCGAGCACCACCGAAACCCTCCTCGCTCTCTCTTTCTCTCTCTCTCTTTGCCTGGGCCTCGACTCTGCGTGCACATCCTCGAAAAAATCGATAGCATGTTAGATTAGGTTAGATTATCGAAACAAAGTCGCACTGTTGACCATCAACTTGAGCATGCTGCTGCTGGCGTTAGGACACGGACATGGCGCTGGTCTGGGCGAGCAGTTGGAGCTCCTGCTGCATCTCGTTGAGGGCTGCGCGCATCTCGTGACCCGTGCGGCCGCCCTGGTTGGACCTGCCAAAGCCAATGTCGAGCTCCTCGACCGCCTGAACCAGCAACTGCTTGGCCAGATCCACGCGCATCTCGTCCGGCACGCTCGGTGGATCCCTGAGGATCGACAGTGTCTGTCCACCCCTTGCATTCGTTCCGTCCACAGCAGCACGGCACACTGTCGCGTTGGGAGCCACATGATCTGGCAACACAGGCTGCGCCGATCCGGATGGCGGACGTGCAACATGGTCGAGCTGCGCAAGCGCGAGCTTGGCGAGCGTTGCAATGGCGATAGCACGTGCGGGATGGCCCTTGGCATACATGGGCGTGTTGGACGCCTGCGTGCCGGCCACAAAGAGCATTTGCATGCGCACCGCCTCGTCAAAGCAGTACATGGCCGCCGACTCGTTGGGCCCCTCGACGTGATGCTGCGAGAGCGCATTGGAGCCCGCCTCGATCAGACACGTGGTCGACAGTCGCAGCAGCTGGAACAGCGGCTGCCACGACGGCGGATACCGCTCCACCAGCATCGGCAACACCGTCGCGCACTCGTTCCACGCCGCCTCGGCCTCGTTCCGCTCCAGCAGCCGCGACGCCCTGGTGAGCGCATCTCGAGTGTGCTCCCGATCCTGTGCCACATCCGATGCAGAGACGCCGGCGGGCGACCCGCACTTGTTGCACTTGGCCGCGTGTGGCTCGGCCGACTCCAGCAGCGCACCGTCGATCCAGCCGCCACATCGATGCGCACATCCCACGGCGGTGCGCGGATCGACCCAGTGGCTCGACGGTGCAAATGGCTGCGCTGGCGCTCGCCTGGCCTGGCTCTTGCGACACAGCTCGCAGCGGCACTCGAAGCAGTATCGCTTCTGGAGTGCGCTGCGACGCTGTTCGTACGCATCGGCCACATCGACGTACGAGATGAGCAGCTCCTCGCCCGGCTCGATCGCACGCAGCGCCACGAGCTGCATCACCTTGGCATCTTCGCCATCGCTCCAATTCTGCTGGCCCGACCTGGCCGCGCCGCCAAACGGAAACACGACGGCGGCGTTGGGTGTACACGAGTGGTTGAGCATGGCCATGCTCGCGTGCATGCACACGCCGAGCGGATTCAGGTCGCTGTCGGTGAGCGTAAACGAGTTGGACGAGAACTGGCATACGAGGTCGAGCAGCTCGGTGGCCGATTCGATGCCAAGCGCACGCAGCGCATCGCCCTGCGAGAACTCGGCCTCGGGTTGCATCATCTCGTCCAGATTCGCCTCGCCGCGCGAAACGGGTCCAAACGTAGCGGCGGCGCGCGCGTGGGCGGTGAGGTACTGTGCGAGGTGGAGCGCGAGCTGCGCCTGCTGCTGCAGCTCCTCGGGTGCGTATCGTTCGCGGTGCGAGCACAGCTCGAGCAGATCGCCCGCGTCGCCGCTCGCCTTGTCCTTGCCGCCTGTGCCGATGCGACTGCGTGCCCAGATCCATCGAGCGAGCGCACGCATCATCGAGCTCGGCAGACGCAGACGGTCCACGGGGCTGGTATCGCCACGCTTGGCGTCTGCGTCTGCGTCGGCCGAGTCTGCGTCGCTGTCGGCGCCGTGTGGCTCGCCCGTGGCTGTGGCAGCGGCCATGACCTCGTCGTTGTCCTGAAACGAGCCGATGGCAAAAGGAGCGCTTCCGCCGTGGCTCTTTGCGAAGCGATCGGCGAGACGCTGGTCGAGGCGTCGCTGCTGGCGCAAAGCCGAGCGGTAGGTGTGGAGCTGCTGAATCGCTTTGAGCGCCTTGCACTCGTCGCGGTGGCTGGGCCAGTCGCGGCGCTGACACGCGGCCGAGCAGTAGCGCAGCACCTTGCAGCCGGAACAGCGTTGGAGCTTGTTGGCACCAGCGGTGGCATTGGATGCATCTGCGGGGGAGGGCGGCGAGTAGCAGGCGGAGCAACGCTGCTCGAGCAGTGCGGTGGAGAGCACGGCGACTTCGGGCCGCAAGCGGAGGAGCACGTCGCCGGGACGGCAGGCCGAGATGCCTGCCGCTGCCCATCCGCCGGGCGCCGAGAAGGAGCTAGAGAGGAGCTGGGAGTAGGAGTAGGAGTAGGAGCCCGAAAGCGAGCGTGGCGTGCCACCAGCGGGGGAGAAGGCGGAGGCAGCGCTCGAGGTGCGGAAGTCGGCGGGCGAAGGGCCGTTCTTGGGCAAAGGAGCATAGAAGAGAGCACGCTCGCTGGAGATGGCGTCGAATCGCAGCTCGAGGTCCTGGATATCGGGCAGCCTCACACGGCTTCCCGCTGCGCCTGGTTCGGGCTTGTTGCGTGGGACATGGGGACGTGGTGCTCTGGGATCGTTGGCGCCACCCAGGGGCGTGGGCTGTGCCGCCGATCGCATGGGCATGGGTTGCGATTGCGACTGTGATGGCCGACCGAATCCAATCGGCGCGGCGGCGGCAGCAGCAGCAGCACCGGAAGACGTGGCGTCGAGAATGGGGTCGGCGGTGTCGTCGGAGCTGGCCGAGGGTGGTGCCAAGAGAGGATTGCATCGCGCATCCCTCTGCGCCTTGAGCGCGGCAAAAGACGAAGCAGCCGAGGACGACATGTCGAGCGAGCTTGAGCGGTAGCCCCGAAAGTGCAAAGGTGGGGCTGGTGGAAACCGAGGTGGTGGTGGTGAAGACGGCGACGGAAAAAGAAGGCTCGAGCACGCCAACGTTGCGCGAGATTCAACTAGTATAATAAGATCCGCAGGGCATGACGGCGCATCGGCACTTCGGAGCGCAAGTGCGGTTAACGGGCGCGTTTATCGGATGCTGTGCGGTGCTGTGCGGTGCTGCGTTGTGCTGCGCTGTGCATCCGATTTGGATTTGCGAAGCTCGGCAGCCAGAAGGCGAGAGAAAGCTCGGTCGCCGCGGCGTCGCCGGCTTGAAGGCCGTCCTTTCCGCAGCCAATTACGAATCTCATCGGAGCTTGGAAGGTCGGGATGGGTGGGGACGCTCTCCAAAAGGGCGCGGCGAGTCGTGTGCGAGCCAGATAAGGAAATTCAGCACTGTTAGACTGTCGTTGAGTTGCAGGCCGTGCTTTACGCGACACGCCTCGCCGGACGCGTCGACGCGGATGCGGGCCCACTTTACGCGAAATGCAGGAATGTCGAAAATTGGCGTGGCGAGCGTGATTCCAGAGAGGGTGCAGCAGGCAAGCAGACGGTGCTCAGCAGCAGTGCAGCAGTGCAGCAGTTTGTTGAAATTCCATCCGTCTGAGCTCGGACCTCTTGCCCTCTGCACAGTCACAGTTTTGCATGCATGGGCACACGACGCGCTCAGTTGCGCCGCCAAAAGTTGCATCGCTCGATCGCGCGTGCATTCGAGCCTGCATGCCAGTTGAGGCAGAGGCACAAAAGTCGAAGGCAAAGGCTGGGGCTGAGAGGCACGCAAATCGGTCTCGAGCCGTTGCCGCTCGGTGGGATTTGATTGTTGGCTTGCCCTCAGCGAGCGAGACGAGGCGGGAGGCAGGTGCAGAAGAGGTCGTGTGTGCGTGTCAAAGCATTTTCGGTCCTGCAGCGACGGCAGCAAAGGCAGAAAGTGTGGGCGACGACCGGTCTCGAGTGGAGCGAGCGAGCGAGCGAGCGAGCTTCGAATGCTTTGTTTGAGACGAAGCCCTTCGCTTTCCTCCTCCTTGCCGCCACCCATCCGTCCGTAGCCGCATCCATCCTCACTCCCGCTTCCTAGCCTTTGTCCACATCAGCTTTATCGTATCGCATCGCATTTGCTCCGTCTCTCTTCTACGACCACCACATACCGCTCTGCATAGCCACATCCAGCAGCATCCATCTACTCTCTTTCGCCACGCCACACTCTACCCATGCTCATCTGAAGACAGCTAGAACCCACGCCTAACAGAGCCCTCGGTCGCGGCTCTCATCCACAGCCCCTCCAGCCACCCACTCGGACACTCGTCCGCTCGTTTAGCATGTCGATCCAACCAGGCCTCATCTCTCCGCCGGTCTCGGGCAGGACACACAAGGCGAGCCAGCCACGCCTTGGCGACGTCCACCGCGGTCTCAGTGCTGCCGATGTGTTCGGCCGACCGTCCGACCACGATGCTGCCACCACGCTCCACCACAAACCCGGCCAATCGTATTCGTTCGAGCATGCGCACCTCGACCATCCCATCCAGAGCCCCGAAAAGAAGCTCAAGCAAGATCCTCTGGGGGTTCCCGGTGCCGTGCGTCCTCCAACTCCACCCATGAGCCGAGACGTTCGTCACGACGACAAAGTGCAACCCCACCACGACGATGAGCTGCGACACCGCGCCAGCTCGGAAGGCGAACACTGGGCTGCACCCGCATCGTCGATTGCACTCGCACACGTCACCTCTGCCACTTCGGCCTTGGACCATGCACACCACACCGATCAGCGCTTCGGCACGCTCACCAAGGGCGTCGCATTCGAGTCGGACGACGACCACAACCCTTTCCTCGACCGCCGACCCTCACGCCGCCCATCATCATCCTCGTCCGAGGTCAGCAAGGCGGTTGCGCCAGTTGCTACATCAAGCCACGCCACATATGCAGCCTACGATGAATACGACAGCGACCAAGACGCCGAGGGCTCGGTACACGACGAGGACGAGGACGAGGACGAGCATGACTTCGGGCTCAGCGCCGACACTACACCACGCGCCTCGTCGACACGCGCCACCACACCGCCGCGCCGCACACAAGCGCCTGCGGATGGTGCGGGCTACCGTCCTGCGCGGCCGCTGTCGGCGCATGTGCGCGTGGATAATGAGGATCTGAGCTCGGTGATACCCATCCGCGACACGCCCATGAACCCCTTCCTGGCTGGTGGGCCGGCGGACAACGGATTCTGCGGCCCGCGCGGCCACGAGGCGCGTCGTCGGGCGCAGCAGATCCCGGGCAAGGAGCGCGGCAAGATCACCTACGTCTTCCGCGGGCAAAAGGTGACCTACGCCGACCCCGAGTACGACTCGGACGACGACGATTCGGACGACGATGACGAGGAGCGCGCAAGGATCAACGCGTTCAACCCCCACCACAACCCGGACCGACCACCGAGGCTGCAGCCGCGACTGCTCTTCCCGCCGACGCATCCGAGCGTGTCGTCGTCGGCGGGGGCGAGTGGGTCGCGACCGAAAGCGACGCGTTCATATGCTCAGGCAGCGCCGGTGACCAAGACAAGCTCGTCGTATTTGCCGTTTGCCGATCTGGGCGAGGGCAAGGATGAGGGCAGTAAGGGTGGTGGACTATTTGCCGCCCAAATCGCCGCTCAAGACAACCCGACAAGCACAGTACCAGCGACGCAACCGGCAGCAGCTGGATCCCAGACTCGCAACGACATTCGACACGCGGCGAGGGCGGCGCTGCTGGCGCGGCTGGACCAGACCAACTGGAGTGACGACGACGAGGACGACGAGCGTCAACGTGCCAACCGTCGGCGAGGTGCACGCGACAGCAGCCACGATACGGCCGCAGACCAAGACGAAGCTGCTGAAGAAGACCAAGACGACGACGAGCAAGTCGAGGTGGAGAGCCATCGGCTTGCACGCACGGCCAAGAGGCGATCCGACGAGCTGCAGCGTGGCCACCAAGATTCGCTCGACGCCATGGGTCGACCGCTCAAGCGCTCTCGTGCGTCGTATGCATACTAGATTCCGTCTCCCAATGCCATGTCGACGCTTGCCTGTCCCTATTCGCGATTGTGATTCCCAGTCTGTTGGGTTGGTTGGTGCGTATGCAGCTAGGATCGAGTGTTGAAAAGGCTGAAAATTGTGAGATCGGCAGTTGGATTGAGGTGCGATTTTGGAAAAAAGATGTGGATCGCGGCGGCTGATTGTGCATCCTCGAGGCAGGCTTGGGCCGTATTGTCCGGCTGGTGGAATTGCGACGTCACATGGGCAACCCAAGCCAACGAACGGCCTTTTGAACGGCCAAAATAATGGCGTCGGTGACTCGGCTTAGCCCACACGCTAAGGGCGCCAGGGCAGCGCGTTGGCTCAACCCTCATGCCCTCACCCTCAAGCCCTTGAGAGCCGTGCTGACTCGGGAAAAATTTTCGGCTTGCTCTCGAGTCTCTCCTCCGCCCTTGGCGAGCCACAAGGATCGAGTAGATAACAAGAAGCGCCCGCGCCCGCCCGCGCTGATGGCCGTCCGTGTGACGTTGCATTCCACTTTGCTTCTCAACTGCTCCGGTCCAGCCCGTAGCCGTGACCTCTCCTCCTTCCGGCCTTTCAGAAGCCTCTCTCTCCATCCCGCTCCACACCTCACTCTTCCCCCCTTCCCCCCGGCTCGCTGCACCCCGCATCGGCCCCCTCGTTGCCCGCTTCATCCGTGCCTTGGCTCGCTTGCTTGCTTGCTCAGCCGGTCCGCCTCCGCGTCGCTATGACTCTGCTTCGCCTCGCCCTGGGCCGGGCCTCTTGCCCGCGCCCCTTGTTGAGCTCGCCGTCGTCGTCGTCTTGCCTCTCTTCCCCATCCATCCGACTCTCATCTTCGTCGTCTCCCTTTGCTGCCGCCGCTCCTTTCAGCGTCATGAGCTCCGCAACCCTGCCCAGGGACCGTTCGCTCTCGCGATCGTCCGCCTCGTCTGCGTCGTCGTCCTCGATGGCGGTCGACTCGGCGTACGGCTCGTCGTACACCACCCAGGCGTCGTCGTCGCGTGGATTCGCTTCGTCGTCCAAGAACGCCACCGCCACGTACAAGCGCGTGCTCACCACCAAGTCGATCAACCCGCACGTGCTCGAGGCCGAGTACGCCGTGCGTGGCGAGATCTCGAACCGCGCCAACAAGTATGCCGCCCAGATCGCCGAGGGCAAGTCGGACGAGCTCCCCTTCAGCTCGGTCGTCACCGCCAACATTGGCAACCCGCAGCAGCAGCCCTACCTTGCACAGAAGCCGCTCACCTTCTGGCGCCAGGTGGCGGCGCTCACCGAGTATCCCGAGCTCATGCAGCAGCCGGGCATCGACAAGATCTTCCCCACCGATACGCAGGAGCGCGCCAAGCTGTTGTTGGATGATATCGGTAGTGTTGGCGCCTACTCGCACTCCAAGGGTGCGGCTGTGGTGCGCAAGCATGTCGCCGAGTTCATCGAGCAGCGTGATGGGTACAAGTCGGACCCGGAGCTGATCTATCTCACCACGGGCGCGAGTGGCGGTGTGCAGCTGCTGCTCCAGGTCATCATTGCCGGTCCGGACTCGGGCGTCATGATTCCCATCCCGCAGTATCCGCTCTACAGCGCTGCGCTCGCACTGTACAATGCGCAGCCGGTCAAGTACGACCTCAACCCGTTTGATGACTGGTCGCTCGACGTCGAGGCCATGTCGCGCTCCATCGACGAGGCGCGTGCCAAGGGTGTCGATGTGCGTGCATGCGCCGTGATCAATCCGGGCAACCCGACTGGTCAGTGTCTGTCGTATGAAAACATCCAGGACCTCGTGCGTATGGCCTACACCAAGCGCGTCGTGCTGCTAGCAGACGAGGTGTACCAGGCCAACATCTACCAGCCCGACACGCGTCCGTTCCACTCGTTCAAGAAGGTGCTGTTGGATTTCAGCAAGAGCAGCGCTGCTGAAGACCAGGCAATCGCGCGCAGTGTGGAACTCGTCTCGTTCCACTCGATCTCCAAGGGTGTTTCGGGCGAATGCGGTCGTCGCGGTGGATACTTTGAACTCACCAACATCGAGCCCAGTGTAGAAGCCGAGATCTACAAGCTCGCCTCCATCTCGCTCTGCCCCTCTCTGCAAGGCCAAATTGGCGTGGATATGTTGGTTAAGCCTCCGTCGCAGGGGGAGCCTTCGTACGAGTTGTACAAGCAGGAAACCGAGGGAATCCATGCTACGCTCAAGTCAAGATCGGACAAAATGGCCCAAAAATTCGCCGAGTTGCCAGGAGTTGAAGTCGAACCCGCCCAAGGCGCACTTTACCTCTTCCCAAGGGTGACTTTGCCCAAAGGTGCGCACGAGGCAGCGAAGGAAAAGGGTAAAAAGGTCGACGAGTTTTACTGCTTGGAGATGCTCGACAAGACGGGCATTTGCGTTGTTCCTGGTAGCGGGTTTGGCAAGATGCCAGAGGAGGAGACCGGTGCGTGCTTCTTTAGGACTACTGTGCTGGCTAAGGAGACGGACGAGTTTATCGAGAGGTACGGAAAGTTCCACACCGAGTTTGTGGAGCAGTACAAGTAGGCAAAGGCAATGTATAGAGTTTCGCGTTGCGTCAAGTCAAGCTGCATCGGCTGAGAGACTCGGAATGGAATACATGCCAGCTTGTCACACTGATGGTACACGCACACATGCTTGACACACCGCCCAAAGCTCAAGCTCGCCTGTTGTTTGCGAGTTGAATTGCCACCAAGGGTTGAGAGCAAGTGGCATCAGGCGCGACACACAGCAGCATGCAAGACCGTTTGGAAACCCAGGCATCTTGGTCGTACATGCGCACCGTCACGCAAAAGCTCGTCTCGGTCTGCGCACACCGGTACCAACCAACCCTCAATGCCAGTGCCCAGAAGCAGAGACGTTGGTCAGCTTTGCCGTGGCTGCAATTGCGCTCCACCCACCGCACGCACCGATACAAACCCAACCCTCAATGCCCGTACACGCACCTACGCTCAGTACCATCTTTGAAGCTCGTCTGAACATCGTCCCGATCCACCGAATACAGCCTACGCGTCGACGGCTGGTGCGACCTAGATGCTATTTACACGAGCCGGCTGCGGGCTAATCTTGAGTTGTCGTCTGCACTGTTCGCCGTGTCGCTCTTCGTGTCCTTTGCGCCCGCTGGTGACGAAGCCACCTTGGCAGCTACGCCACCGTCCGTGTGTGAGCCGGCTGCACCGCTTCCGGAGCCAACGCCTTTGAAGCCCAAATTATCCATATCGTCGCGCTCCATCAACCCCCTACATCACCCACCTCGTGTCAGTATCAGGCTTTCAAATGTTGGGCCGGGGGGGTGGAAGCGACTCACTTGTCCATCCTGCACTGGAGATAGGCTTTGCTGAGATGGCGACACTTGCCGTTATCGTTGCGGTGCGCCTTGATACACGCCATGTACTCCTGCATGACCGACTTGCACTCGCCTTTACTACAGCGTCAGCCCCGCGATTCATGGGTTGGAGACAAGACAATGAGGCGAAACTCACCTTCATGGTCGAGTGGGAACGAGCCGCGTTCTGGTGGGGACACCTTGAAGTCCGAGAATGTGGGTGGCCGACCGAACGACATGCTGAACGGCAAGAGAGATGTGTTGCCAAGTGGCGGGAAGCTGGAGAAGTAGAAGCAGGGTGTGGAGGAGAAGGGAACCAAAAAAGCTGGGCGGAAGTCGGAGAGACCGGAGCTGGACCTTTAAAAGATGTTTGATCGAACGAACTGTTGGAGACAAAATTGCAAAGGGTGGAGGCTAAGGGTCCAAGGTTGGAACAAGTGGCTGCGCTTCTTGTCCACCTCCAACCACGATGCCCGCCTCGACATCCGCAGCAACCGCCTCTCCAGGCCCGGCAGACGCAGCAGATCCACTCGCAGGCGTCGACCACATCATCGTCATCGACAATGGCGCACACAACATCCGCATCGCTTCCATACCCTACCCCTTCCCCATCGCCGCCTCATCAACCTCTCGACTGGATCCGACCGTACTCGCCCAATCCATCGCGGTGGATGTCTTTCCCAACGCCATTGCACGCACGCGCTCTCCGCACACCATCTCCCCGCACGCCGCGTCGTCTTCACCCACCGCTCCCGCACCCGGCACCAAGACGAGCGTGTTCGTCTCATCGCACATCCACACGCTGCTGGATGATTACGCTGCGTTGCATCTGCGCCTGCCGCACCAGAGCGGCGTCGTCGTCGACTGGGCCGCCCAAAAGACCATCTGGGATCATGTACTCGCCAACCACCTCGCAAAGCTGCCCCAGCGTCCAAAAGCCAAGGGCAGGCTGTTGGCAGGAAAGGCGGTATTGATAGCGGAAACGTACCTCAACCTCGAACCGGCACAGCACGCCACAGATCTGCTGCTCTTTGAGCATTACGGCGCAAGTGCAGTATGGAGGACTACCCCCGCTGCGCTCGTAGGGCTGGGCACCCCCGCGTTCGCAACCCCCAGCCCGGTTGACCCGCCGCAAGCATCTTCCAGCGCCGAGAGAGCGGAAGTGGCAGCCTCGGGATCCAAACGATCTCGATCTGCAAGAACAGAGGCGGTAGACAAGGAGCAAGCAGCTGGTCTGCCGCGCGTGCTTGCGCCCCGTCGGCCACAGAGCATGCTGGTGCTCGACTTGGGCTACTCGTTCTGCCACGCCGTGCCCATCGTCAACGGCCAGGTCGTCTACCCCGCCGTGCGCAGGCTCGAGCTCGGCGCCAAGATGCTTATCAACCTGCTCAAAGAGACGCTCTCCTTCCGCCAGCTCGACACCATGGACGAGTCGTGGCTAGTCACCCACATCTTCCGACACACCAGCTTCGTTGCCGCCGAGGTAGGCGCACGGTCTTACGGCGCGAACGACGACCACCTCGCCAGGATCAGAGACACACCGGCGGCGCTGTGGACGTACAATGATCTCATGCTGCTAGCGAAGCAGCGAGCCAGCAGCGGGGTGGCGGTTACATGGAGGTTGCCGGACTATGGCGGGACGACGCCAGGGGCTGGGGAGGCGCAGCGCGATCGCGCGCGGTACGGGTACATCGTCGACGGTCCCAATCCTGCAAGCAAGGGTAGCCAGGATGTGGAGTGGGAGTCGGCGTTTATCGCGTCAGAGGGCTCGTCGGGTAGGCGGGATCATGCGGAAGAGCACGACGAGGTGCAGACGCTCGTGCTCGAGTCGGAGCGATACAGCATGCTGGAGCACCTCTTCAACCCTGCTGCGCTCGAGCTCGACCAGCAGGGGCTACCCGAGCTCGTTGCGAGTGCCATCAGCGCCGTTGCGTCCTCATCCCAATCGCTGCGTGCGGCGGCGGACATGATGTGGGCGAACATCGTGCTGGTGGGCGGACTATCGGGTGCGGTCAACATGCGACGCCGCCTGCATGCCGAGCTCGCACCGCTTGCACCTGCCGATGTGCCGCTGCACATCGTTGTGCCTGATGATCCGCAGCGCGCGGCGGTGGATGCGGGGGTGGTGCTGGCGTGTGAGATCGCGGCGGAGCGTGCGGTGCGGGACGACGCAGACAAGCCGCGCAAGAAACGGCCGCGACTCAGCAGCGATGCGAGGAGCCAGAGATGGATGACGTACGCCCAGTGGGCAGAGGTAGATGGTGCTGCCAATGCGCACTTTTACCCTCCAAGGGCGTGGGTTCACCAATCAAGCGATACAAAGTAGACGAATGCATTTCAAACACGAGGCTACAGATGCGCGGGACGCATGGCGGAGAGCAACTCGGTCGACGGCATCGACGGTCTCCACGCAGCCACCTTGTTCTTCAGCTCGGTTGCGCCCGCAGTGATCTTGTCCCACACGCTCCTGGCTGCAGCCTTGAAGCCAGGTCTAGCCGCCTCTCCCGCAACAGCAGGGTTGGCTGGAGCTGGGGTTCGGAGTGCCGCCCAACGGTCGCGCAGGGTTTGGCGGAGCTTACTCGGCCAGCGCGGCGGAACATCTTTGGCATACTGGCCTGCCTCCATCGCCTTGATGCGCGTAAGCGCGTCTTGTGCCATATCCTCGTGACCCTGCCACGCCTTGGGGAGCGGAAGCGCCTGTTCGCGCGGCACGACCACCGCCTTAAACGCCGACTCGGGCGCCAACTCCCCCTTCGCCACCGTGCCACCGCGATAAACCAGCTTCGTCTGGTCCCACGGCCGGTAGGGGTCGTAAAACACGCGCACCTCGCCGAACTCCTGTGCGAGTCGACGCGCCTCCACTGGGATCGTCTTACCCAGGATGGGGTCGGTGCGTCCGTAGATGGCGGGCGCGCCACGCGTGGTGTAGACGTGCTCGAGACGAGGATCCAACCCGACGGCGATGGCGTCTTGAGCCTTGCGGAGAGCCGAGCGTGCCGAAGCGAGCTTGGCGCGCCATCCTGTCGCCGCAGGTTCGGCGGGAACAATCGGCCGCGGCAGGGTCACGCGTCCACCGGCAGCGAGGGGCGCACCCGTTTCGAGGTGTCGCACTTCCTCGAGGAACTGCGTGGTGACAGGCACGCGCTTGCGTTCCAGCCCATAGCGGCCAAGGGTGTACTCGTACAGCCGCATGCCTCCGACCGAAGCGGGGTCTTCCATCGAGACGACCACGGTGCCGGTCTGCTTGAGCTCGCGCATGATGTGAGCGTTGGCGGCGCCGCCGAGGTGGAGGTCCAGAGCGCCGTTGGGCAGACGCTGCGCCTGCATCAATCGTGGCGCATCGCCGTCCCTCATACCGGGAAAGCGAGGCCCCGGTACAGATGGCTGCTCCGCGTGGATCTCGGCAGCCTCGCCCGCGCTCGAGGCCGGCGATCCAGAGGGTGAGGTGGCGGGATACTCGCCTCGACCTGCCGACTGCTCGCTCTGCGATGCGGGCGATGACGGTGCGGAGTGCAACCGCGTCCAGCCCTCGCCCTCCAAGCCCGGCGGATATCTCGCGGGCGTTCGGGGCGTGCTCGGTGGCGTCCACTCCTCGCTGTCCAAGGCGGTCTTGAAACTGTGGCCGACGTCAGACTCGGTGCGAGCCGGAGTCGTCGGTGGCGGTGCGAGCGGCTCGCCATCCGAGCCAGTCAACAGCCGCGGCGCACTCGTACTGCGCTGCAGAGCGTCTGCACCATTCGGAGCGGTCTCGATCCGCGGTGCGCTTGAACTTCGCTGCAGAGTCGCTGGAGCCGAGGCTGCGTCCGGTGCGCCGGTAGTGTCGGCGCGCTTCGTGTGTGCGATGGGAACCGCCGTTACTACGCAGAAGAGCAGCACGACCAGCAGGAACGCCGACCAGCGACGTCCCAACCCAATGCAAGGTTTGGGCAGCATTGCGAAAAAAAAGAGCGTAGAAAGGGCGATGAGGAAGATGAAGGAAGGGCGGAAGGTTTGCGGTAGGGTTGGATGTCTTTATACCTTCATCGAACGCCCGGGAGACGCACGAAGAAGCGAAAAGCCCACTCTTTCATCCGCACGGATGGCATCATCGTGGCGGCTTCGGAGATGCCCCTTTTCGGGCGTGGCAACGCTTCGGAGGTTCCCGCCGGCACCATCGCATCTATTGTCATGATCCAGGCCCGCAGCTTCATCGCACGGCGCGAACTCACACCCACCTTGCCGGCGTAACGCCACCTGCCTCTACGCACCGCAGGCGTGGGATTCGCTTCGCAAGCTCAAACTTTTTCATCCAGCCGTGTGCCTGCGCCCAAAGAATGCAACGAGCGTGGGTCACATTTCGAAGCCAGCAAAGCGCAAATGAAGGCAGCCTTAAGCTGGCAGATGAACGGCCTGGACGCTCTTGGGCAGTCTGCCGAACATGGCCTTGACACGGCCCCATACGCGCTGGATGGGGGTTACCTCTGGCAGATACTGGACGGTCTTTGGCGTCGTCACTGTCGCCTTCTGCATGCCTGGACCGTTGAACAGCCCACGCAAGCTCGACACGTACCGCGGCGTAAACACCCCCTCCGCATCACGGACGAACCTCCAGACTTTACCGTCCTTGCCCTCGACCAGAAAATCCTTGTCTTGCTGCATCATCTTGTTGAGCACCGCACTGTCGTACCCGCCCCCAGGCAGCTTGACCGCCAAAAGTCCCAGCTGGCGCAACTTGATCGGCTTGACGCTCACCTTGGCCTGTGCGATGCCGAGGGCGGATGGTCGAAGCAGCTGCGCCATCTCGTAGTTCGAGGAGGGTGGTGGGATGACCGACTGCACTTTGGGCTGGATTTCTGGTGTGGCGCGCTTGCGCAGAGGCACGTGTACCGCCTCAACGCCCTCGGGCAACTTGCCCAACAATCCGCTGAATCGACTCAACAGACCCGAGTTGGCTGTGGATTCGGGCGCATACGCAAAGTTCGGCACACGCACGGTGGGCTCGACAAGCGCATCGCGCACGAACTGGATCTTCGAGTGCGACATGGCCTCTGGACGGAAGATGCGGTTGCCCGTGTTGACAAACTGCCAGATGCGACCGTTTTTGCCCTCGACGAAAAAGTGCTTGTCCTGCTTCATCATGTGGTTGAGGATCTGCGCATCCCACCCGTTACCGGGCAACTTGACCGCCAAAAAATGACCCTGGAGCAGCTCGACTGGCCTTACCGCTACCTGACCGTACGTCGGCGATGCGAGTGCTTCAGCCCGCAGCAAACGTGCCAGCTCGCGATCCGTCGAAGGTGGCGCAAGAATCCTTGTCGAATCACCACCCGCACGCTTGACGAGCTTGGACAGAGGCACGGCTTGGACTGCCTCGGGCAGCTTGGTCTTGATGAATGGGGAGCGGATGCGACTCCACGCGCGAGAGAGGGTGCCCTTGACGCCCCTGTCGAACTTGTGCACGTACGTCGGCACCGCATGTGTACTGCCACTGCGCACCGGCGAGTCTTTGAAGAAATGCACGCCGGGTTGCGACACTGCCCGGGGCGAAAAGGTGCGGTCACCAGCATTGACAAACTGCCACAGCTTGCCGTCCTTGCCCTCGACGAAGAAGGGACGATCCTGCTGCATCATCGCATTGATCGTCTGGGCATCGTAGCCTTTGCCCGGCAACTGCACCGCGAGGTAATCGCCCCCAAGAACCGGTTTGGTGCTGAGCAGCAGTCGATCGTGCACAGGCGCTCCCAACGCAGACGGTCGAAGCAAGCGTGCCATCTCGCGGTCCGTCGACGGTGGATCGCTGAGTTCCGAGCCGCGCTTGCCGAGTCGCCTGACGGGTACAGCCGTGACGCTCTCGGGCAGCTTGTTGAACAGCGCCCTCACGCGCGCCCACAATCGCGAACCGATGGTGCTTCGTCCACTGTCGGCAAGCGCGTGGCTCGGAGTCGCCAGTGCAGGTCCAGTGCGCAACGACCCCTGCAGCGTATCAGACACCGGTAGGGAAATGGGCTTGAAATGTCGCCCGCCCTGGTTGACAAAGCGCCACCACTTGCCGCCTGCACCCTCGACCACAAAGTCCTTGTCCTGCTGCATCATGCGGTTGATCACGCCCGCGTCCAGCCCGCGTCCAGGCAGCTTGACGGCGAGGAGTCGGCCATGTAGAACGTCCATCGTGTTGACGACCAGTCGGTCGCGCGTAGGCCCGCCCAGCGCTTCCGGTCGCAGCAACCGCGACAGCTCGCGGTTCGTCGACGGCGGCGCGGCTGCCACCCCGGCATCGCCATCGCGCTTGAAGAGCAGATCCGGCGATGAAGCTTGCTCGCCTGCGAGCATCAGCTCGTCAAGCCCGAGACTGTCGCGCTCAGCAACATGCTGAAGCGTGTCGACGTCCTGTACAAGCGGCAGACTGGTCACCACGGCTAGCGTGGCGAACAGCAAAAGCAGCGCGAAGAAGAGTTTTCCACGCATCGCGTCCAGAAGCCTGCTGAACTCGTAGAAGAAAGAGAGTGATTGTTCGAGAGAGTGATATGGATAGAGACAGTGATGTGACTTGAGAGAACCTGCTGAAGAAGTGCGAGGAGGAGTGGACGAACCCCGGCAAGAGCTGCTGCATATTTGAGGCAGGAACAGCTCGACCATGAGCAGGTACACAAAGTGCCGCCGGACATGTGTGGCCAAGCTGTACCCCTGCGCTCGATCGAGCGCAGCTATTGTTCGATGGCATCTTGACCACGCTTCTCCCCACGAGCAGTCGCAGTGTGGCGGACGCCGAAAGTTCGACAGCCTCCGGCGCAACCCTCCGGACACTCGACACCACTTCATGAGGCGCATCAGTTTTGAACCTGCTCCCCCGAACGCCCACACCATTCTCACCTTACCGTATCTGTGGGCTCTCAATCCGAACAAAAGGAGCAAGCGAACTGAAGGTAAGATTTTGGTGCCGGTGGGAGCTGAAAGAATGTGGAAAGAATGTGGGGGAGCACGACGGACTCCCACCATGCCAGCACGATAGGAGGGTGGGCTTGACCTAGGCGGGGCGAATGTACTTGACGCCCTGGCGGACCTTTCCGAACCAAGCATCGCTGAGCTGTTCCCACAGCGGTGCATTGGCCTCTGCCGATCGTCCGGCCCTTGTCACCTGCTGCTGCAGCCCGGTGTTGCGCACGGACACCGTCGGAATCGGCCAGCTCTTGATGGCGTCTCTGACGAGCACAGCAATGCTCTCCTGCTGTCGGGCCGCACGGTACGCGCTAAAATCGCCCGTGAGCGTCAGCAGCCAGACTCTGCCTTTGGCGCCCTCGACAAAGAATGGCTTTCGCTGCTGCATCATCCTGCTAACCACCAGAGCATCCATACCCTCACCGGGCAGCTTCACCGCCTGGTAGGATCGGCCCACCGTAGCCGGGTTGGTCGAAATACCTTTGCCCGCTTGAGAGATCGGTGAAGCGTGCAGGAGCTCATTGATCTCGGCGTCGGTCGAGGCTGCGCCGGATCCGGACCAAGGCCACCATGACTTGGAACCGCCCTTGCCAGCGGGAGCTGAAGTCACCTCGCGCATTTTTGGAAGGAAGGTGTTCGTTCCGGCGAAGGCGCTTTGACCCTGCAGTCGGCGGAGAGCGGCTCTGGCTCGGGTCGCCTGTAGGCCCGGGATCAGTGCTGGATCTGTTCCAATGGGCTGCGCTCCAAACGGCGAGTTCTCGAGGATGGGAGGCAGAGACGATCCTCGTTGAACGGGCGCACCCGCGACATCGCAGACCAGCAGCAACAAATGAGCGAGGAACGAGGCTCGCAGAATGTTGCCAAGCATCGTGCGGAAATTCAACATGGCAGCGGCGTTCCTGGCTGCTGCAATGATCCAAATTGGTTTTGAAAGAGAGGACGACCGCGAAGGGAAGAAAAGGAGTGTGATGACGAGCTGGTTGTCAGGCGAGGCCAGCTACACCGGAAGAAGAGCAGAGCTCGAGCGTAGGAGGTCAGAGCCGTGGAGCTAGCAGAGCGGGACCATGTGGGTGCGACCAACTTATACAGAAAGCTCAGCTCTGCCGACAGGCGCGCGCACGCACTCATCTCGCTACACGATGGCAAGTGGGCGTTTTGCCACGCTGCATGGAGAGTAACTCACTCTTTGTGTGCGCCATACTCGCTTGCCTGATGTCCAGCTGCCGGTGGCAGAAAGTGGCGTGGATAAGACAGGAGGAGCCACGCACTGGCCTGTGCTTCCGGTCTTTCCAGTCTTCACTCTCGAACGCCACAGTCTTGGCAAGCATGAAGCTACACTATCACCACGACAGGCTCATCAACTGGTGGGTTCCTGCAACTATTGTTTAATGAAGTTGGATTGTGAACAGTGCCGGACTGCGATATGATGTGACGCCATGTGGGATGAAAGACCTCTGTCGCCGCATGGCATGTGGTGCCGGCACCATGGACCCGAACAACCGGGAGGAAGCTGCAGCAACTACAAGTGGACGGGCCTCAAAACGTCTGGAGCCGAGCCGAACCAGCCCTTGATCTTCTGAAGCCACTTTGAAGAAGACGCTGCGCCTTCCCTAGCCACGGTAGCAGCACGTGCAGCTCGGGCAGCTTGCTGCCTCGCCAGCATCCTGTTCTGGATTCTCGCTCGTGCTTCCGCTTCAGCAGCCACTGCCGCCTGATACTGCTTGTTGGCCTGCTCGAGGTTGGCGCTGACTCCTTGCCTATCGGCGTCACTGACCTTGTCCGTGAATGTCCAGCTCTTACCATCCTTGGTGTCAAAGTAAAACACCTTGCCTCGTGCACCCATGGCGTAGAACGGCTTGCCCTTCTTCTGCATCATCTGAAGCACCTCGGCATCCCTTCCGTTGCCTGGCAGCTTCACGCTGTAGTAGGCACGACTGAGAGCAGCTGTATCAGGAACGGCCGTCGGGTTGAAGACGGCGTCAAGAGGTCGCCTTTCCCGCAGAAGCTGTTGCATCTGGTCCGTCGACGAAGTGACCGCACCGGTCTTCCACTTCGGGAGCAAGCCTCTCCAGCCCGTCGGTTTCACCTCTGGCGAAAGCCTGAGTGCGTACGGCCTGCCGGGGACAAGGACTCCGTCTTGGCCACGCGCCATGTCGGCCGCTACCAGGGTAGGCCGCGTGCCTGGTTTGGACGAAGGCAGATTCTGTGAGATAGGAGCCGGACGCTGCACCACAGGATAAAGATCCTCATTGACGGGTCCTGTGTAGATGATGCGGCCGTCCTGACTCTCGGGCGGTACCTCCTCGGGAAGAGGAAAGATCGGATAATCTTGCTCGACCGCAGCGAGAGCCGACTGCGCTAGGATCAAGACGACCATGATTTGCAGCAAGATCAGAGTCTTGCTCTTCCACATCTTCATCATCATTTTGAGGGTTGGGGGAAATTGGAAACGGACGGGGGTAAAGAGGTAAGGTAGTGTTTACAGTCTCGGCCAGCCGAGAGTGATGGTCGGAAGAGAGAGGGCGGTGTGGTGTGATGTGGTGCGACAAGATCCAGCTCAGCCAAGAGGCTACATCATCAAAATTTCGAGCGGCTTATATGCGCTCCACACCCGCTCGACATCCGCTTCCCAGAAGTGAACGTCGGTGGGCGTATAACCGGACTGTGGTACTGCGACACTCAAGGGGCGGACACAGATGGGATAGGTCGATCTATTGTGACGGAAGGAGGCTCTCGCTGGGAGCTTACTTTGTCTCTAGCTCAACGTAGTGTGGGGAAGACACGGAGCAAAAGCCTCTGCCATATCAGCTGCCGCGCTCGGCAGCCACGCAATGCGATCCGCTTCGGCGGCTCGGCCCGTCTTGGCTACCGATGGTCCCGTCGCAGCCCACCTTGCCGGCTCGCCGAAATTAAGTCCCGATAAGTCGTGGGTCTGAGGAGGATGGCGCTGGAGTTTGCGCCGAGTGGGTCCGTAGCCATGATACCACGAGATCAAGTGGGTCTTCTCCATTGTATCAAGGTTGCCATCATCCTCGCGCCGCTCACAGCGCTCATGGCGGTAGACCTCTTCAAGCGCTTGCAAAGAGCGCCATTCCCACTTTTCATCTGGTGAGACAGTGTAGAGAGGAAGGCGCGTTTCACGCCAAGGATAGCGGATGGATGGCACAGGATACCACTCTCGCAACACGCTTCATCCACCGAGGAGGTGAGGAGGTAAAGAGCAGCGTATCGCCGGAGCTTCGATCATTTGGAGCCTTAGTAGAACTATGACGTCTTGCCCATCGAGCCCCACTTGTCTTTGTCACCTTCGATGAACTCCTCTGGGCTCGTCATGGAGCCTTGTTTGCCCGGTGAGCCTCGCCTGGCCCGCATCAAGGCTCGTGTCATCGAGAGAAGGATAGGCAATAAACTCACACAGCGCCTTGCCCACGTGATATTGCTCTATCTCCTCTCACCTAGTCATGCACCTGATCAAGTGGCGCGATCCGTACCTCCCACCTTTCCGGTCGTGCCATCTTCATCTTACGAGTCCATGATGCAACTTTTTCGCCAAGGCATCACCGACTTCACCTGGTGCTCTTTGGCGCCCCGCCCGGGCTCGAAGCCCGCCGATCTCAACAAAGGCCTTATCAGCTGCGACGCCACCAGCCGAGCCTCGCGATTAATGCTTTCATAACAGTGCAGTCTTTCGTGCGGTATCATAGCCGTACATGCCTCTCGATCTCTCTCACCAGAACATTGTCTTTCTTCAAAAGCCAATTTCATGGTCAGTCTTGGCTCGCTTTAGGCACTGACTTTGCCGGTCGTCGATATGACGATGAGCAATGCGGAGCAAGCGCTTACTTATTCAAAAAGAGATCGAATGAATGTGAGACAAGGTGGTTCGTTTTGGGGCTTCACGACACATGTGCCTCTGTGCACGATGGATACAAAGTAGTTAGAAGTACTTGGCTTGGCATTGCTGTGAGACTTGTTGGAGGAGCGATGCGGTTCTAAGGGTGGAACCTCGACACCCTTCCGATCATGTCCCTCACCTCGTACTCTATGTTGCCGTTATGAAGGGCCCTGATCCCGATGGCTCTGGAGTTATCCAGACTGCGGAAATGCGCAGATCTCTGCGTATCGAGCTTCCTCCTCAGGTTCAAGCGGAACTCTTCTGCCTCGTCGGGGGCCAGTCGAGGATCTTGCCTAAAGGGCACGGTTCGAAAGACCGTATTCCAGGTTGGAGGCGATTCTGGCCACCTAAAACCCGCGATCTTCTTGTACCTTCCTGTTCTCATTGGATGACCATGGACGACGAGGGATATGTGTCGTCCGAACCGTCCACTGGTGGAGAAAGCTCGCCGCATATAGGCTTCGATGTCTCCGTGCCAGGCGGACCGAATGGCTCGGGTGGCATCGCTTCCATCGCGCTCGATGGTGGTGTACCGACCCTCGACGAGATCATAGACGTGGAAGCGGTTGAATGTGGCCAAGGCGACGTCGAGGTCGAGCTTGGAGATTCTCTGACCCCGATAGAAGGTGAAGACCGGTGCGCGGTGGTAGAAGTACATGCCGTTGTAGAAGCGCGGAATGTCCCGCGTGATGCCTCGTGTTCCCGGCGCAGGCTGGAAGCCTCCGTTGTACACATCGTTGAAGCCCAGCTCTCCGGAAGAGGTGGCTCGGTTGCCCGTTGCATACATGCGCTTGCTCAGCATCGGTGCATTCGGGCCGGGCAGCGACTGCACGCATATGAAGAAGCCCGTGAGGGCAATGACTGTGGCGTGCAGGGACCGGATAAGCATGACGACAGCTCGACTGGTGCTCGTTTGTCAGCAGGATACAGGATGTGATGGAGAGGACCGTGTGTCTCCTCATACGACAAAAGCCTGCAATATAAAGGCCACTCCTGCCCTCGATCTGGGAGGAGAAAGTGGCAAAGCAGCTCTTACAGTATCGTCGAAATAATATCATGAGCATCGCCACAGCATCTCGGTCCTCGAATACACTGAGACCGTCATGTTGTATCAATTCTGATCCCTGCATCTCGAGTGTCGACAAGCGAACGGCCACAAGTCGAAGGGCCACAAGTGTAATGGCCGCAAGTGGAATGTCGACTTGGAGAGACGCTTGACCGGTACTTTCACCGCCTCGAGAGGCTCGAGAGCCGCCATTGACTTGGTCGAATGGGCTTCATCATGTACAGGCGGACCCACCAACCTCATCTTCCAAGCATGACAGCTTGTGGGCGTGGGATCCAGACTGAAGTGTTATCACACATACACAAAGTCCCGGCAGTCAGCACAAGATCACATAGTCTCGGGGCGAGATTTCTCAGCCGTACACGTTATTGATAGCGGGCGAATAGAAGACACCGAGCACATCACAGCTGTCTGAACGTGCGGTTCGCTACGAAACCAATGTAGGTGGGGGGGACAAAACGAGCTCTAGAAGCGCAGCGTGAGTCTCACGCGCCAGCGTCGTTGAAAGAGGCGTGCGATGGACAAAGATTGCATCCGGCATCTGCTAATAGATCTGGCGGAATACGGGACGGGTGTCGATCAGCCACTGGATCTCTTTCTTGCCGTTATTAAGCAGGCGCACGCCGAGCTGATTGTTGCCATCGGCCGACTGGAAGCTGATATGGTGATCTCTTTCGAGCTGTCTCTTTGCCTCGCGAACCGCCATGTTCTCAGGAGCGTGCACTCCCTCCCAGACCGCATCCCACGACGGCAAAGCCACGCTGGACCGCATCATCGAGTGGGTTGGTGGCAGTTCGTACCCGAACGCAACCGATGCCGCGGTATCTCCGAATACGGATCGAGTAGAGTAGGCGTTGAGAGCGTGTTGATGAACACTTCGAGTGGCATGACGAACCAAGGGGATATTGTAGCGACCTTTGACAACCGTCAGTGTGTGTTCGCCCAGTTCGGGTCGACCCAAGACGTGAAAGCCACCAAAGTCAGCATAGGCTTGCTCAAGCTCCCGCTTGCTGAACCCATCATGCCCGGTGAAGAAGATCGGTACTCGCTTGTGGAATAAGGCTCTGTAGTACCATAGAGCGCGCATGGGGTTACTGACCAGCGGCGTCCATCGCGTATGAGGACGGAAGAAGCCAGCTTCGATGGCTTGATAGGATATTGTCCGAGCTACGTTCTCCGAGGGCGTTCCTGCTACGTGCTCTGGTAGGATTCCTCTCACATGCTCCGGTAACACCCCTGCTACGTTTCCCGACGTCGATCCGGCTGCATGCTCCGGCAGCGTCTCTGCTACATTCCCCGGAATCGTGCCAGAGTTGTGGTCTGGGTTGACACGCCTTTCCAGCTTCAAGGGCAGCGAGGCCAGAGCGTGGGTCAGAGCGATCGACGCGAGGAGGAGGAAGATGGACAGAAGAGCCGGAAGCCGATAAGGGTGCATGGTGAAGACTTTGGGACTGGAGTTGACGTCACGGCTGGGGAAACCTCGGCGTGACGTCCCTGCAGCTTCTGGCGGTACTTGTACCTTTGTGACACAGTCGCTCCCCTTCGTGCAGCGTCTGACGGGATAGGTTCGGCCTCGGATCGGCCTCGCGCTTTTCATTGTGGGGATTGGGCTTGGTTGGGGACGCTGGCGTGAGAGACTCTCAGCAGACCCACTCCACTCACACCTTCATCTGCACGTGGCAACGCGGTGCTCGATTGTTCAGATCAGCTCTTGTCTTGAGAATCCGTCTCATGTGACAAAGCCACGACTTCCTTGCCTTGGGAATCTGGTCTCATGTGATATAGTCAAGACTCGCACAGCTCGACATCACACCGACTCCACAGTGCACATCTGAAATGAGGATGATGGATGCCAACATCGCATCGGCTTCTCATCGCACGTATGAAATGAGCATGACCGATGCGGAGTCCTCTCGGAGCTGCTTCGCGTTGAGCGCAGCAATGAAAAAAAGCTTATCCTTGCTGATTCTTGTCAAGAACGGGGAGATGTTCACTGCACAGCGACGAAAACACTCGCAAGAGAGAGTGCAACAGTTGAATTGGACAGTACCGGAGGGATCAGGGATGAAACTGATGCATGGGGGCTTCTAGGTGGGAAGCAATGCCATCCGCATCGATCCTGATGCCTAGAAAGTGCATTCCGTCGATGCTGATGAGCTTTGCCATGCGGTGTGTGTCAAAGTAGGTCCTGATCTCTTCTGCCCGACCTCTTATGGGGGTCTGGTAAAACCCGGTAGCGAGGATATCCTTCCAGGTTGGTTGTACTTGCACGCCAGACTCTCGGACCGCTCTACTGACTGGAGTGAAAGGGCGGTGAAACCTCGCCCAAGCGACGTTGTCGCCATAGTTGCGACGGATGTGTTCGATTTTACTGATGCGCTCTTGCAGGGCGACGAGGGGGGCACCTCTTGTGATGGAGAGGAGTTTTTTGGCGCGCGGGGAGAAGAATAGCGATCGAGCATCGATTGAGCCATCGGGTAGAATGCGGTAGAAGTTCACCATTCGATAGCGGTGCACGAGCGCATTGAAGGACCGATAGGATCGAGGATTGGTCAGGTCGACGATGGGACCTACCGAGTGTCGGGTATCGTCGGCTAGAAGCAAGGTCGTTGGATCGTTTTCGGCTTCGGTCAACTGCGAGATGTGCGTCGAGGCGATCGGCGTAGGAAGATAGCGTCCATCAACCACGTCGTCGAATGAAAGTGGCGTTGGGTCGAATGGGTTAGTAGGAGGAGGATCAAGCAGCTGCAGCTCGTTCAAATGTCGATGCGCGACTAGTGCCCCCGTGTCAGATGGTGTTGGGCTGCTGGGACCTGCGCCTTCGTCAACTATATCCTTGCCCTTGGATGTGTCAGCGGGCACAGCGCTGGCTTGGCGTACTAGCAGTATGCCCGCGAGGACGAATAGCGGGACACGCGTCCACATCATGCTTCTAGAGGTGCCAGAACTTGGGATCGAGAACTGTCACAAAGCATTCTGAGAGAAGTGACATCCTCGAACCAAGTCCTTCCCCTTTATATGCGCACCGCACATGCAGTAGCCTCCTAACGCTTTGCCACGCAGCCGCCCAATTCCAACGGCAGGGGGGTCTTGGTCTGCATGCTATTGTCGCCACCGCCTGCGTCTGACTCAAGTTCATTCGCGCCTTGGCCACACATGGATGGGCACAGCTGTTTCCACGCCGCGCCAAGCCACCGCAGCGGCGATGAAGGCAAGCCAGCCCCGCTGTTGGAGATCCAGTCTCATCCGTCGTTGCCGCCAATCGCAATCACGACTACCGACAGCGCCGCACCAGTCGCATGGACGCCATCACGCCACACGGACACCATCATTTCAAGCGCAGTGGCGTGTTGACTTCTGATAAGCATGTGTCTGCATTCTGTTTGGCTCGCACGCCGCAGGCGGCGTGCTCGAATGGCGTTCTTCATACCCACCATGAAGGCTGGCGTGGACGATACGACATCGACGCGGCGATTTGGACAAAAGAGATGCGATCAGACAGGCAGACGGGTCTTGCCGAGCCGAACCAACCAGTCTTCCTGGGTTCGTTCCCAGTTAGTGAGCGGTCTGACCTCTATGCGCATGCGCGTGCCCTGCTGAGCATCAGGATTGATGAGCATCACCTTGAACCTCTCTCCCGCGTGTTGGCCGGACCTGTAGAGGCGGAATCGTCCACGCGTCTGAAGCGCATGGATCATCTCGTCGCGCGATTCGCTATCGACGAGTCGCGGATAGTGAGCGAGCGAAGGGCGCCTGATGCGGTCTTGGCGATGCAAGTCCCTCAGCTCGATGGGCGCGCCCCAAAGGAGGGAGGAAAGCGAGTCGCCGTACCGCAGCCTGGCATGGCGCACGCCTGAGCTGACGCGCTCGATCTCCCGCACGTCCCGCGCGGTGGCCAGCTCGTACAGGCCTTCCTCGCGCGGCGTGATCTTGACGATGGGCGCTGAACTTCGAAGGTACCAGAAGTCGCCATTGCCCGTTCCAGCAGCGTGAAGCATCTGGTCGAGCGTGGAGAATTCGGCGGTGAGGACGGGAACTCCTCTGACGTGTGGCAGCGACAAGATGTCCGGCCGAGGCGGCACGGCGATCCCACCGCGGAGCACAAGATGACGCAGACGGTGCACCTTGGAGTCGAGGCTGTGCAGGTTCAGGGCGCGGTCGAGGTCGGGCAAGAGATCCTGCTCGAGACGTGCGTTGCCGTACTTGATCAAGCGGCCGTCGTGCCTTGCGGTGTCGAGGATGCCTACGCGGCCGTAGTAGCTGAGCGCCATCTCGGCCGTCTCTGGATCGGTGCGCGTGGTGAAGAGGGGAAAGCCGTCCATGAAGGGCAGATACTGATACGAGTCCACGTTGGGATGCAGCTGAGCATCGTGGCGCAGCAGAGCGATGCGATGCGGATGGAGCAACGTGATGTAATTCTCTACCCTGGGCGTTGGCCTTTCTACCCAAAAAGGGGCAGAGCTAGGACCGGCATCGCCGCCAACAGCTATGCTGCGGTGCGGGAAGATGCAAAGGGTGGCAAGCACCGAGGCGCAGCCGAGCTTGAGCAGAGAAGGCAGCCTCATGGCAGAGTGTCCTTGACGGCGTCGTCGTTAGGGCGGACGTGTCCGGCGTGCCGGATGGCTCTGCTTATATGCTGTGGAATCCCAGGGGATGGCCTGATCCGAGTGGCACGCACGACTTTAGCGGGGTAGCGTAGTTACGAGACAGGCTTCCTCGGCAGAGTTGAGGCACTCGATTAGGAGAGGCCGCTCGTGGGGCTTCATCTGGAGGACGCAGGAGGAGCCACCGAAGATCGAGTCGCGCTCCCGACCCACCCGATTGGCCGTGATGAGGTATCTTTGCTTGTGCAGTCGAACCTCGCCAAGCTCGGACAACGGCACCGAGGGCGACACCGAGGGCTTGGGCGGCTGAAAGAAAGGCTTGCAACGCAACGCCCAGTAGTTGATCGTTGACAGGCTGGGCTGTAGCGGCGCAGCGGCTTGGTCTGATTCAAGCTGATGGCGTTCGTCGCTCGGCGCCAACCAGGCCATGGGCATGACGAGCAGGTCCACGTCGTGCTCGACGCAGAAGGACGCGAGTTCGTAGTCTTCGAACGGGGCGGTGAATCGGAATGGGTTGAGATCCATGCAGATGGCGACGCAGACGGTGCCAAGCGCAGGCAGATGGAGCGCCTGGAATCCGCTGCCTTGGACCGCCCATTTTTCGTCGGTCTCGAACAGGAAATGCTTGCGAAAGACGTGCAGGAGCGATCCGTCCGGCGCTATCAGGGCAGCCGAGTTGTAGGCGGCGCGGTCGTCGATCGCTCTCGGCTCGGCGCGGTGCTCGATGGGCCTTGCGTCGAAAGGGGCGCTGACCGCGGTTGCGCCAGCCGCGGCTGCGCGTATCGCCTGGTCATGGTCGGAAGACCCGCGCTCGGGGAAGCCGATGACAACGTGACATTGCAGCTGCTGCGCCACATGAGCTGCGAGGTTTAGGCTCGGATGATCCGAACCAACGCACGAGCTGCGGCACGCCGAGATGAAGGCAGACACATCGCTCGACGGCGCAGGCCTAGAGATGGGGCGTGGCGCTGAGAAGGTGCTTGCATCCTCGAGGAGCGGATCGAGCTCCTCTCTGGATTCGAACACATAGCCCGTCAGCGCGAGCTCGGGAAGCACGACGAGATCGACCGGATCCGCGAATCGGTCGGCGATGAGACCGGCGGCAAGGCGCAGAGCCGTGTCTACATTTCGAGCCACATCGGCATGCTTGGAGTCGAGCTGGATGCAGGCGATGCGCCCTGGCCGCTTCTCTAGGCCAGCGCAAGTCGACATGCACGCACGACAGCTCCGAGGTCCGCGGGTGGCTGCAGCGAGCGCAGAGCCAATCGAAGCCGGATTCGGTTGCGCGGACCCTCGAGCTATCTTGAAGCAGGCCAGTCGAAGAATCTTGACGGATGCTCGCCTTCCTTCGGGTGTGGAGCAGCGTTGAGAGAAGTGATGGTCTGGTGGGAAACCCGAAGCATCACGAGGGTCTTCAGGGTCCAGGTCGGAGCTTCGCATGGATCGGACCCCGATTCGTTGGCGGTCTAACAAATCTGGTATCTCGAAAATAGCTTCCGAGATGGCTGGCGCATGGAAGCGTTCCTCTCGGCGCTCAGAGACATGCAGCCAAGCCAGGTCCGACGCGTCCAAATTTGACGCAGCTTCCCATTTTGGAAAAAGCGGCCGGCGCACGCGCACCCTTTGCTGGTCCAGCAGCTGAGCTTGGGCCAAGGGCTGTGCGCGCCCGCTGCTGTTGGTGCTGGCTGCTGCTGCTGCTCGCGGCTCGCTCGGTTGGCGGCCGGCCGTGAGGCATGCAAGGGCTGCCTCCGCAATCGTCGACCTCGCCTTCTCCCCCTCACCCTCTCTCTACCGAACCTTGTCCAACTGCCCACACTCTCGCGACCGGATCGACTCGCTTACGCTCTCACACAACGGACGCTTCATCGTACGCTTCTGCAGGAACAACCGCTTTCCGACCACTCCATACCAGGCGACAAAGCTGGAAACGCCATGGTATCGTCACAAGAGCTCGAGTCTGCCATTCGGCAGAAGGTGCGCAACGTCTCGACCCTCGTAAGTCGCCTACCCTGCTATGTATGCAAAATGACGTGCTGTGCTGATTCCGTGACGGTATCTTTGTGGTGGGGATGGTAGGTGGTGTCGGATGTGTCTGGAGGATGTGGGCAGGCGTACGACGTGGTGATTGTGAGCGACGCCTTCGAGGGCCTCAACACGCTCAAGCGTCATCGCATGGTGAACGAGCTTCTCAAGGACGAGATTGCGCAGCTGCACGCCTTTTCGCAAAAGACCTACACCGCAGCGCAGTACGAGCAGATGTCGACATCCTCCACCGCCACTCCTGCGGCGGCTGCAGCCAAGCCTACGTCGGCGGACCTTCAGGCACCAGCACCCATCATCACCGGCTCGAGGCCTTCGCACAATCGCACTGCCTCGGGCGTGTCGATTCCAGAACTCACGCTGACGACCGACGACGATACGCTCTCGGGTCACCGCTCCGTAGGTAAACCCCTCGGTAGCAACACCGCGCAGGGCAACGCAACTCAGTATCCGGGGACCGCGGTACCGCCACCGCTGAGTCCGAGCATCTCGCGTCTGCACGAGAACCGCATCCGCTCCACCGAATTCTGGACCGGCCTCCGATCCTATCTCGAACTCCAGTTCTCGGGTCCCAATGTAGAGGCAGGTGCTGCTTCGCCAGGACCGTCCGGAAGATCGCCCGGAGACGCAGAGATCGAACGCATCTTTGAAGACTTTTTCCTTTCCCAGAAACACCACCTCACCGCAAGCGACATTGCACGCGTCAGAGACGCTACCGGCATGTTTGGCATGGCCGGCGTCTAATCGGCCTTTCAATCCCACCGCTTCGTCCACTTTCGCCCTGTATCGTCTTGCTCCAACCTTTTTTTTTTCACCGTGCTTTACCCCCCGTCTTCATTCTATGAGAGTTGTGCGTCCGTGATGGAGTGAGCCGAAATGCAAGTTTGGTTGGTGTGTGAGGTAAAAGTACAATGATGATAAGATGCAGCCATCACTCGTGACTGCGTGTGGGGGGATGCGATGGATGCTTATGCGAGCCACGAGTAGACTGCACGTTTGTACTCGTGATGCATGATGGCCCACTTCATGGATCGGTGATCGGCGTTCAAGAACGCATGCTTGGCCGGCTCGAGCTTGAAGCCCACTGCCTTTTCGTCGTGCTTGCCCTCGGCCGCATCGTCGTGTGGCTTGGGCGCATGTGGGCGTTGACGCGTGATCTTGGGTGCAGTCGAGACGAACACAGCCAAGTCTGGATCCGCGAGCGCATCGACGTGTGCAGCTGAGCTCGGATCGGACAGACAGCCTACACATCCAACCACGTCGGTAGGTGGGCATGGCTCTCGGCTGTGTTTGTACTCTGGCCGGTGCTGGTTGCACTTGGGATTGAGAAAGTCGAAGCACGCCAGACGATACTCGCGCACCACAAGCGCATGCTTGGAACCGTTGCAGTGCGGGCACAGGCCCAACCTGCCAATGCTGAGGTTGGTGTTGCTCGGCAGCAGCCTGTACTGATACAGCCCGCGCATGGCTGCGATCCAATGCATCACGCACCGCGACACGATCAGATTCCGCTTGGCTCGAGTGAGAGCGACGTAGAGGTGGTTCAGCTCGTCCTGGTGCCAGTAGCTCGCCACCTCCACCCTCTGCGTCTTGTCGTTGCCAAACACCGGCCGAAAATCGTCCTCGACAACCACGCAGTCCCACTCGAGACCCTTTGCCTGATGCACCGTGGTCAGCACCACCGTCGCCGCGTCCTCCGTGGGTGCAAACCGCGTCTCGAGCAGCGCCACCTGGTCCAAGAAGTCGGAGCTTGCCAACAGCCCACCCAGCGCTACGGCAAGGCTGAGTTTGGTCTCGCCGGACCCTTCGGCCTCGACGCGCTGCACCAGGTCCTTCCAGCTCGCAAAGTCGCGCAGCAGCGAGTTGCGCGACATGGAGCGGGAGTCGTTGTGATACAAGATGTGCGCGTCGCGCAGCAGCGTCACGATGGCGTCCGGTTGGAGCGACTGGCTCGTCTTGAGAAAGATCTTGTGAGGCTGCGGAAGCGACGCTGACAGCGCAAGTGCGGTGAGGCAGAGCTTGCGATTGCTTCGAAAGATGCGCGTGTGCGTGAGAATGTCCTCGCTGTGGCCCATCTCGCCGATCGATCCCACCTGCAGAGCCACAGCTTGCCCTCCCTCGCCGAGCGCTGTCGCAAGTGCTTCGGCGCCTTGTGCTTGTGTCGCAGCAGCCCCGATTGCTTGAGTCTGCCGAGCTGCTGGTTGCGATGGTGCGCCATCGCCCTGAGGTGTTTCTGTGGGAAATTGCGATTGCTCTGCTTCGGGAGGCGCAAGAAGGTCGCGGAAAAGGTTGGCCTCGGCGTAAACGCGGTCGTTGGTGCCAAGAGCGCCACTGAGGACAGGTCGCGGCGCCGCACGCTCCCACGGCGCTGGCTTGCGGAGACCGAGCATCTCCGTCGCGATCTTGGCGACGTTATCGCCGAATCGGAAGCTCTTGGTGAGCTGAAAGTGCGCCGAGGATGGATGGAGACGCTCGTTGAAGGCCTTTGCTGTGCCGCCACGGAAGCCGTAGATCTTCTGAAAGACGTCGCCGACGATGAGGATGCCGCAGTGCTTCTGCGCGCGAAGGAGGATCGAGACCTGGGCGGCGGACAGATCCTGTGCCTCGTCGAGCAGGAGGACGTCGAATGCCTTGAAGTAGTTCTCCGAGTGGTGGGGCGCTTGGAGCTGCAGGAGCTTGACGTAGGCGTCGTGGGGGCATCGGACCGACTTTCCGGACCGATCCGGCGCGCCTTGACGGATGAGATCCCAGAGCTCCTGTGCACATCTGGCGACGGCGCGAATCTTGAGATCGGTGTCGGTGGCCACCTTTGTCGGCACGTGACGGTCTGGGATGATGGTGGCGTCGTCCGAGTAGAAGAAGCGTTGAAGGGTGGCGAGCACGTAGGTGGCGACGGCGGTGGGGGTGAGGCGGTGATCGCGCCCGGTCTGCGTGGCCATGGCCTGAGTTTTGGCGAGCTGGCCTGCGGGGAGGCTGTCGCCGAGCAAGCGGACCACGTCGCGAGCGCGCAGGTCGCCGATCTCTTGGCCGGCGGCGCGGACCACCTGGCAGAGAGCGACCGAGTGCATGGTGCGACACTGTACGTGGGTAGGGAAACGGCGACGAGCGTCTTCTGCGGCGGCCTTGTTGAAGGCGATGTAGAGGAAGCGCTTGTTTGGCCGGCGGTCGGCGTAAGCGAGGAGGGAGCGGGTCTTGCCGGTGCCTGCAAAGGCCTGCACCTTGATGATCTCGCCCGGGCGCACGTCTCGATTGACGAAGCGTGCCTGTTCGTGGGTGAGTTGGAAGGCGAGATGTGCGCCCGGCGGCGGTAGTGGCGCGATGGCGCTGGGCTTGAAGAAGGTGGCGACGGCGGAACGCAGGTTGTAGTCGAGGATGCGCGCCGATTGAAGCGGAGGGAGGTCTTGGGCGAAGGCGCGAGAGATGCGGACGAGGGCGAGATAGAGGCGGACGCAGCAGAGGACCTCGATGGCGGTGATGTGGTCGACGGCGGCCAAGATGTGATCTGCTGATGTGCGACCGACGACAAAGTCTCTGCACCACTTTCGGATGGTGGTGAAGGAGTCATGATCGTGCCAGATGCGGGTGAGGCAAGGGACGAGGTCGAGGAGATCGACGGGGGCCGACTTGAGCTCGAAGGCGCTGACGAGGTCTGCGTAGGCTTGAACAAAGCTTTGCTCGATCTGCACATGGTCCGAGTTTGCTCGGTTGGCTGGTGCCCGGGAAGCGGTGGCATCGGTGGCTGCGGCGGCATTGGTGGTTGCTTGTGCATGCGCATCTTCGTCATCGCTTGGCGCGTCGGCGTCGGAAGCGTTGAAGATCGAGTCCTCCTCGAGGCTGATTGTCTCATCGTAGAGGCGTTCTGCGTGGAGGAAGGAGGCGAGGCGCTTGCGCCACGGGCTGAAGGACTTTGCGTGGACGAGCGGCCGAATGCGTTTGTCGGCCCAGGTGAGACTGTGGAGATCCTGAAAGGAGAGGAGATGGAGGACCATGAAGACGACCTCGCGGGGTAGCCATTCGAGCACGGTGCGACGGGTGGGTCCGCTGAGATCGACATGCTGGTACGACTTGGTTCTGCGCCAGGAGGACTGAGAGAGCTTGGGCTGCAAGCGGGCGGCAAGAGAATCGTCATTGGACGATACTGTCTTTTTCTTGAGAGGCCTGTTTGACGCTGTCGATGCGGCCTTGGTCGTCGGAGGGATGGTTCGAATTGACGAGCCCTGCGGGTCGGTGGACGAGGAGGGGGCGGGCTTCTTGCGTTTGGCTGGACTGTGTGCAGTGAGCATGCTCGAGCTGGCGATGCTGCTAGAGCCGGCAGACTTTTGATGTGGTGGATGCATTTGAGACGCAATGCGTAGCGGCTCGACGTATGCGAGCGGCTGCATGGCTAGTGGAGTATGGATGGGAGTCGACCGACGGCATGTGGATGGCGAGAGCTAGAAGTCCTGACGCGCGAAAAGGTGCGTGGTGGTGGTTGATAGCAGCATGGACCTTCCGTCTCCGTTGGCTTGGATCACAATGGGCATGCAGTGTGGATGATGGAGGCAGATCGACGATTGTAGTTGTAGTTGATGAGGAGGACAGGGGTCGAGTGGGTTGCCAAGTCGGAAATCCTGCGCGGCTGAGTTTTGCTCGCGTTCTCGAGTGGAGTGCAACACGCGCGCCCCTTTGAAGCAATCTCAGATTGCCGAGCAGGCGTGGCCAAAATCGGCTTCCAAGCTCGCAGCAGTAGTCAGACAGGCTCGGCTTCTCTCCGCAGCTGATGGCGGGATCGGGAGGGCATCCGCTTCGCATACAGTCGCTCGGGGGCTACGACGTACTTGGCCTCCACCCGATGAGTACGCTTTGGTCCCACGCTTGATTGTGATGGAGAGCCAGCGCTCGGATCCCGGTGAACACGCTCCAGCGGCAAATATTGAGCTCTGCAGCTTGGACCCTTTTGCAAAGCGCGAAAAAAAGGCCTTCGCGAGGCCACTCAACGCGAGGCCAGTCACGCGAGCGAGTCAGTCCAGCAGCTCACGGCGTCAGCAGCCGCTGGCCTGGTTGGCTTGGCTTGCGCCCGTGCCTTTTGAGCCTGTCCCTCCGAATGCGCGCTTTGGATGTGCTGGCTGACCTTCCAGCGTCGGCTCAATTTGCGTCGGCGCTGCAGCTTTGACCAGGACGCGGCCAGAAGATTCAACGTTCTAGTGCTTCAGATGCACTGCTGCCCACCTCCCGTCGCGGCTCACCGTTGGCCCCTCGACACTTGTACCTGGTGCATATGCATCCACCCCGCTGTCGTGTTCCACTCGTGCCTCAAGCTCTGTCTCCAACTTCCACTCCCTGCTTGCGAGCGTCAGCACTGCCTCGGGGCCGATGGGGGTGCAGCCAAATGGCGAGCGGAGCATCAGGGCCAAGCTGGGCCAGCAAATGGTGCTGGCTGCACGTGACGAGATGGGCCGCGTCGCGCGTGCCCATGTGGAGTTTTTCGGATTCCGTGCGTCATTTCTTCCGAGGCTGTTGTTCTCAGCCGAGGAGCGGGGAGGCGTGATTTTCGGTGCCTGTTTTTTCGGAGCGTTCATGTGGACCTTATTTTCATTCTGCCGGTGACCCCTCCTCGCCAGACCGGGCGTGGTGCGCACACTCAACCAAGTCACTCGCCGCTCCTACCTACAGCGAGCAAGGATGGACTGCAGATGTCGGAAACGACAAAGGAGCCTCAGCACGTGCTCACTCTCCTGGCTCGGTTTGCGGCTTGTCCGGTGGCTATGTGCCACAGCTGCGACTGGTCGCGAGTGACACGAGGCCAGATGACCTCAATGGACATACATAGCGACGCATGGCATTCCCAGGCCTGATCCGGCCTGCTGCTGCTAAAGTGAAGCCGCCAAGCGATGTACGGAAGCCTCACGGTGTGGTTGCCGGCCGGCTGACGTTGTTGCAGAGAGTCCGAAACGCGACACCACAAACACTTCGCATTGGAAGAAAGACCGGCACTAACAGGGACACCAACTAGGTCTTACATCACGGCTGCCATGGTGTTTGTATTGCCCATCGGCGCCTGCGAAGGGCGCAAGTGCAGCGAACACTTGAAAGTGGAATCGAGCAATTCGACCTGCGGACGCCCGTAGTGAGTGTGTGCAGTAGAATTATGCACGCTCAAAAGTGACCCAATACAATACGACACGAAGCACGTCCACGCTCACGTCGCAAGGGCGCACCTTTCGCGCTCAAGCCCCAGCTCGAAGCTCGAATTTGGACGCCGGAGCAACCGCAACGGCCTTGCGCCTGCGCTCGGGGCTGGCTGCCTGTAGATTCCACCAACCGAGCATCCCTCTCGCGACAGGCATCCTTGCAAGCCCATCTTGCCGCGTCGCTCACCAAACAGCCGCTGGAAACGCGAACGTGCTTCGCTCACTGCCTCGCCCTTCACTTTCTTGCCTCTCGACATCCTCACCATACTCGACCCTTCCTACCACTCCTCTCCCAAGCCTCCTCATCTTCACCTCTCTCTCCCCCTTCATCAAGCCTGCACAGTGCGACGCCATCTTCGTCGCTGCTCACTGCGCTGTTCAACACCGTCGACTCGCTCATCGTGTCGTCGCAAGCAGAGACTCTGATCACGGCATCTCCAAGCTCGGTGTCCGCTGGAATCGCCTTCAGTCAGCATCATACAGTCTCAGCGGTCATATAGACTTGTCCAACATCCTTCAACTATCCAACTAGCTCGCCATCAACACCCGAACGCACGCCCTTCACCAGCCATCCAACCAACCACACAGCAAGCCTCTACCGACAACTGCCGACATATTCTATCTCAACACACTCTCAAAGCAACATTCGACTACCATCAAGAACTCTTCTCTTCCTGTGAGTGCCTCGTCTCTTCTGCGCCTGGCCTCGTTTTCGTGCTCCCTTGAAGCGACCGCCCCGCATGGCTGTCGTTGCTCCCTTGTCGACTCGGTCCCCCCTTCCAACGTCTCGCGCCGATCTCAGTGCTTCGTATCGCTCTCTAAACTAGCTGGCTACTGCTCCTTCGGCGTCCCATCTGCTGGCATGGCAGACCTGGGATGACGAGGACGAGGAGGAGGCAGCGTCTGGAGCAGCAAATCGACTCGCCCGTCTGAGACAGTGACGAGACCTAACAGTGCCGCAGAATCGCCAAGCCGCCGCCGTCCGAGCCAGTGGAAGTTGAACGCTGCATTTTTCGCCAGAAATGGTCGATTTTTGGCGAATTTCCGCGATTTATGGCTGCGGGTCATCGGAATTTTGGCGCTTGCAGCTGGCGATGCGCGATGCGTTCAAAGCCCAATTTCCTCGATCCTCGCGGCGGGCGTGTGGCGGCGATGCGACACGCTCTCTCTCTGCCTCGCCCTGGCCTGCGGGCCAAATTCGCGTTGGCAGTCGACGCCATTTCCAATTGAGCCTGCCCGTCGTGCCTCGAAATGCCGACTTCAGAGCGCGACCTTCGTGTTGAAATCGACGCCTCAACCCAGCGCGCAATTTCGGCCGCTCTGCTGCCTCGCTGCCTCGCTGCCTCTTTCCCATCACACTGCGCTCTGCTGTGCCGTTTTTTTTTGCTGCCTGCCTCACACGGGCAGCGCCCTCTCTTGGCTCGAGTCGTCTCCACTCGATCCCTTCATCCTACCTCATCCTATCCCCTCTCTCCTCTTCCTTCCTACACCTACTCCTCCCCTTCCACATCCCTCCCTCCTCATCTCTGCATCCTCGTCCCTTCGTCATTCGCGCCTTCCTCGCTAGCATCGTCCGCGTCGTCCTTGGCTCCATCGTCGCCCTTTGGTCGCGATCACGCTCGCCGCGACCACGACGCGTCGTCTCGTCTGCCTGCCTGTCCGCTGCATCCCTCCATCGCTCGCGTCGTGTCTCTCTGCAAGCATATCCATCCATGGTCAGCCGCTGACAATCTCTGCAACCACCGCATCTCGCCATCGTCGTGTCCGTCGCGACCTCCGACCCTCCATCCACCGCATCGCGTCTCACCAGCCTCTCGCCTCACGGATCATCCTAATCGTCCCTATTACCATCCAAAATGTCCCAAAACATTGTAAGTGACTGCTATGCCCCCGCTTCTGCCACCTCTGAAAGTCGCAGAACCAGATGCTCATCGTCACCACCCCTCGACCTCGTCGCGTCCCACACAGGCATCCCGACGCATCCCACTGCGCACGCGCAGCACCACCTCCACCACCGGCGCGCAGTCTAAGGAGAACGCAGGCGTTGCTGGCGTCGCCTCCAGATCCACAAGGTACGGCGTCGATGCTGCTGCTGCCGATGCCGGTCCGTCCAAGCCCGCCTCGGGCCTCACCGCGCCCACCAAGGCATCGGCTGCATCGGCTGCCTCCGGCGTTCTCGGAACTCGGAAGAGGGCCGCGCTCGGCGACCTGACCAACGCCAACCGAACCCGCACCAACATGGCCGGCAACGACGACAAGGGTAAGGCCGCGCTCAAGGATGCCATCAAGCCCCGCGCCACCGCCTCGACATCAGCTTCGTCACGATCATCCGCCGCCGCCGTCGCCACCACCACCGCCGCCACCATCACCGGCGTCGGAGCCGCTCGCCGCGTCGTTCGCACCCGCCCCACCACCGCCACCACCACCTCGACCGTAGATGCTGCTGCCGCCACCTCGGCTGCCGATCGCCCCTTCCGCGCATCCAGGCGTGTTGCCGGCACCACCACCTCCACCACCACTGGCATTCCCTCTGCGACATCACGATCCACCGCCGCCACCAACGCCGTCGCCGCCACCCGCAAGGGCTCCATGGTGCGCACCACCTCCGCCAGCTCGCAGACCAGCGTTCGACGCGAAGCCTCTGCCACCTCGACCTCGGCGGCTATGCCCACTCGCTCCTCCAAGACATCGCTCAACGAGGTGCGCGAGACCGAAGACAAGGTAGAGGCACCTCAGGCCAAGCGTCTCAAGACGGAGCAGGGCGTCGCCAAGCCCGCCAAGGACGAGGGCTGGGAGGACCTCGACGCCGAGGATGCCGAGGACCCGCTCATGGTGGCCGAGTACGTCAACGACATCTTTGAGTACATGAAGGAGCTCGAGATCATCAACATGCCCAACGGCGACTACATGGCGCAGCAGAAGGAGATCAACTGGGAGGTGCGCGCCATCCTCATCGACTGGCTCGTCGACATCCACGCCAAGTTCCGCCTGCTGCCCGAGACGCTCTACCTGGCGGTCAACATCATCGACCGCTTCCTCTCGCGCCGCACCATCTCGCTCTCCAAGCTGCAGCTCATCGGCGTCACCGCCATGTTCATCGCGTCCAAGTACGAGGAGGTCATGTGCCCGTCCATCCAGAACTTCTATTACCTCGCCGACGGCGGCTACACCGACCTCGAGATCCTGCGCGCCGAGCGCTACGTGCTCAAGGTGCTCGACTTTAGCATGTCGTACGCCAACCCGATGAACTTCCTGCGTCGCATCAGCAAGGCGGACAACTACGACATCCAGACGCGCACCGTCGCCAAGTACTTTATGGAGATCTCGCTGCTCGACTATCGGCTCATGGAGCACCCGCCCTCGCTCGTTGCTGCTGCCTCGGTGTGGCTGGCGCGCGAGGTGCTCGAGCGCGGCGAGTGGACGCCGACGCTGGTGCACTACTCGACGTACTCGGAGCAGGAGCTGCTGGGCACGGCCGAGATCATGCTCGACTACTGCCTGCGTCCGACGGCGCACCAGTTCTTCCACAAGAAGTATGCGCACAAGAAGTTTATGCGTGCGTCGACGTACGTGATCGACTGGGCCAAGCGCACGTTCCCCGAGGGTGTGGTGGCGGACCACGACGAGCAGGACCTCAATGTGCTGCGCGTGGATCTGTACGAGCTCAAGGCGATTGAGCGTCCCGAGTTGTCGCCCATCGCCACGCCGCGTGCCAACACGCCCGCGTCGGCCCAGGCCATGCTTGATGCCGAGCCGAGCCAGAACAACGATGCGGACGACACGGTGTCGTACAGGCACGACGACGACGAGTCGGACGACGTGGACCAAGACGTGTACGAAGAGGACGACAAGGAGGACGTCAAGATGCATGGCGCCCAAGATACCCGTCACGTGCTGCGCGACGTGACCAACGCCTACGATGCCGCCGAGACGTTCTGATCCTTTCTACACAATCATCACCATCCTCCCAAGTCTCTTTTGACATTATGCATTTTCTTTGGCTATCCCTCTAAGCATCTCCGGCTCTCAACACACACTTGCCGCATGTTGTATTCGCTTGTTCCCACCCAAAACATTTCGCTACGTTTTCTTAACATGCTGGTGTGTGGGGAAACGAAATGGATTGCGATTGGGTTTTGGTGGGGGGATGAGGGGGGGGGGGGGGGTTATTGGGGTAGGAAGAGGGCTGATTTGAGGGAGGAGGTGAGGAGGGCGTGATTTGCCTCTGCTGCCAATTTGCGGGCGTCGTGGGCGGGATTTGCAAGGGTGGAAGATTGGGCCTTGTTGGACATTTGTTCGACCAGCTTTTCGGCGGATGCAGATTCTTGCTTGTTGTCTGTCTCAGCTTTGGGAGGGGGTGGGAAGGGGTTTGAGGCAGCCGAAGATCTGTTGGTGATGGCGGGGTGGGATTGGGCAAGTTTGCCTGCCAGATCACGAATCTGATCCGTGGTATACGCCCGGTTGGTCACGAGGGGCGATTGAGCAAGGGTGTTTTGCCAGTACTTGTTCCAAAGCAAATCCACCAACTTGGCATCCAGACTGCTCTTGAAATGCTCCACCTCCAACGGGTAGTAGTGTCCCGCATGTACACCAAAGTCCTCGATCTTATCCAGCGGTACACTCTGTACCCCACCCTGCTTATCTTCCTCGGCAACATATCCCTCGGGATAGGTCCTGAATGCTCCGATATCCACTTTTCCCGTCGAGATGGTTCGGTTCGGATCAATGACGATCGCAACAAACGGATCCTGGAACTGCTGATTCGTTCGTTGCGTCCCCACATCGATGCCACTCAACCAACACCCGTACCCGGGATGACTATGGTACCATCCAACGACATTCTCCAGTCTCCCCACCTGCTTGCTATCGTCGAGGTACTGGACCATGTATTCGTATGCTTCGTTTTGGGCGTTGACGCGCGTCTCGGTGCCTTCGACTGGAAGCGCAAACGAGTCCATCACGTACAGCGTGCGATTCTCCACATCGATCTTGCCCTGCATCAGACCCATGATCTCGTAGATCCCGCCGGAGCGCGCGTGCATCACCATCTTGATCAGCGCCACCGCAGAGATGCGAACCTTGGTGAAGAAGTGCGGATCACTCTTCCAGGGTTGCGCGCGCAGGATCGCTCGCTGCGCCTCCGTGTCGTATGCAAAGATGGAGTCCAGCGTGGAGGCGTCCAGAGGTACGATGGAGTTGTTGAGCTCGAATGTCGCCTGCGCCATGCCGCCCGAGGGCGTCGAAGAGGAAGCTGTTGTCATTGTGGCGGCGTATGCAAGATCGAGTTGGAGAAGCGCGAGTGGATGGTAGGAGCAAGACAAGGCGCGCAGAGGGACGTGCGTGGCTCGAGCGAGCGATCTTTGCCTCCACTCAGCCCATCCGCCGGCGTTTTTCCTGGTCCACAGTTGCAGCGCTCTAACAAATTGCTCCGTTCGCCCAACTCCTTCTTAATCCCATCTCGACACTCTCATGTCGACACTCGCACACCAGTCGGAAGCATTCTATACAAGTTCTATACAAATACATTGAGACTGCTCTTCCAACTTCTCATCTATAGTGGGGCTAGCTATCTGTGCTATTGGCGAGGTCGTCGTGTTCGCCGACGCTGAGCCACTCCCACTCGACCTCGATGGCGACGAGGCCGAGCGGTTGTTTGCGAAAGTCGATCTCGTCCTTGTCAAAGCGAATGACCGTACGTGCGCCGATGCTGGCCATACCGGCGCTGCCTGCATCGGGGTCTTCGAAGGACGGGATGAACCAGCACCATCCTGCAGAGGCGACGTCGGGCAGCTTGGCGTGTTTGGTGCCCGTGCGACCGACGAGCACCTTGACACACACCTCGCGGTCGGCATCCAACACCTGGCCCACCACCAGCTCTTCGCCGTCCGTAACCGCAGCAGTGGGCTGGGCGGTGGAGGGCAGATACGATGTGGACGAAGGCGGAGTGACGTCTTGACCGCGCGGTGCATCGTTGCTCGAGGTGCGGAGCATGCCGGAAGCCTTGCGGGTCATTCGACGCAGTAGCGGCTGGTTCGCAGCTTCGGGCTTGAGATGCTGCGCGTCGGCTGGAGCGCGCGCGCCGTGGTCAGCGGCCTCATCGGGCGATGCAGCATTGGACGAGTAGTAGCCCGAATCCGCACTCGAGGTGGACGAGTGACGTGCCTGCGCCGCCTGCTGCTGCGACTCAAAAGTGTACCTGCACAACTTCTGACTGGCGCCCTGGACAGCTTGGCGCGGCTGGCTCTCTGCAAAGAGCGCAAAGTAGTTGAGCTGCGGCTGGTCGTCCCTCCAATCGAACGCCCTTGCGCGCTCGGCCTCGGCCTGGACATGCACGCCCCAGTTGCCGATCTTGGTCTCGTGGTCGTCGTCGAACTTGTTGCCGTCCCAGCACTGCAGATGCGACGCCTTCCTGCGGAGCGTCTTGAGGTACTGTTTCTGGTGCTGCTCCTCGGCATCCAGATCACCCGCCAGACCGGACGGGTCGTTTTGGCCGAAGGCCTTGGCGCGCCGGCGTGCATGGCGCTCCCACGACTCGAGACGGTCTACGAGCGAGTCGTCGTACCGCGCGAGCTGGACGCTCAGCGCATCCGAGTGCGGCACGAGCCGCTCGATCCAGCTCTGTGCGCTTTTGGCGTGCGGCGAGGCGGTGCGCTCGACCGAGACGCGAGTGATGCGGATCTGACGGCGCGGCTGGCGCACCACCGAGGTCATCGACAGCCGCGCATCGCGTCCCGACAGGATGCGCGTCCAGTAGCCAACCCAACGGCGCTGGCTCGGGATGGATACACCCATGCGCGGCTTCTTGGTATCGCTGTGGTCCTCGGTATTCTGATTGACCGCCACCGAGTCGTCATCGTCAGTACCAGAGCCTTCACGCTGCACGAACGAATCCATCATGGACGAGCCGAGGTCGGTGTTGTAGAAGGAGCTCGTGTCGGGCGCGTAGGACATGCTGGTGCTGGCGCGGCTGTGGGTGGCGAAGCGCGAGTGCAGACCGGAGCCAAAGTCGTGCGTGCTCTGGCTGGTCCTGTGGAGCGCATCGCAGCTGCGGCCGGCCGGACCGGCGCCCAGCGCGCGCAACGAGATGGTCGATGCTGCAGCCGATGGCATGGCGCCGGTCGAGTGCGCCGAGGGCCGCAGACCAGTCGCGTTGGAGCGCGCACGTCGACGTCCCGACGCCTTGTTGCTCGACTCGGGCTTCATGCGACGCTGTGTGTGCAGGTCAAAGATGGTCTGGAGCCGCTGTGAGATCTGCTGCACCTCGGCCTGCGGGTCGTGGTCGTTGTTGCAGATGATGCTCTGCTCGGGCGCGAGCGAGGGTCTCCTGCGGAGCGTTGCGCGTGCGGACGGAGCGCCCGGCGGTGCATTGATGGATTCGCCCTGCGCTGCGTCTGTCCAGGCTGCCGAGCGTGGGATCTGGAGGGTCATGCTGCTGCTGCGCTCGGGGGGCAAGGGCACATGCTCGTCGAGCGAGTGCATGGGATGGCGCTGGACGACGGCAGCTGCTTGTGTCGCCGTGTCCCGGGGTGCAGGTTGAGGTGGGGCAGCGGCATCTGGCTTTGTCTCGGGGCGCTGCATGTTGCTGTAGTTTTTGATGCTGGTGGGAGCGGTGGGGAGGTAAGGAAGCGAGACGAGGTAGCAGCAGGTCATGGTGCCCGATCTTCCCTTGCCGGCCTTGCAGTGGATGACGGCGGTTGCGTCCGGGTCGGACTCGAGGAAGTCGGTGATGTCGGCGACGAAGAGCGGGATGAGGCTGAGCGGCGGGGCGTGGTGGTCTGGGAAGGGAAAGCGCGAGACTCGGCCGTAGAACTCGTCGGGATCGTACGAGTTTTCGGTGAGGGGGCAAAAGTTGTAGACGCGGTAGAGGTCGTCGTGACGCTTGTCGAGGAAGCGGCGGACGTCGGAGCGCTTGTTGCGGTAGAGCGACTGGACGCCCGAGGCGGGGAAGCCCATGATGATGATGTTGTCCGTGACATAGGTGAGGTCGAGGTCGAGATCGAGCAGGGGATCCTTGAAGCGAGCCTTTTGGCCGCTGACGATGCGGCGAGCGATGGAAGCCATGTTTATGGTTCGATGATACCGAGAATGGAGAGGAAAAGCAAGGGTTGTGGGGTATATGGGTGCTGGATCTTGCGGTCGAGCGGGTGGGAGGGTGTTGCTCTGGAAACTTAAGGGCCGACTGCGTCTAGAAGGGCTGGGTGCGCGAGTGCATGTTGCTATAGAGCGAGGAGATCAGAGTCTCTGGTCGAGGGAGATGCGCGACGCCATTGGCAGGGTGGGCTGGTGGTGGATGGAAGCAAACAGAGGGCGGGGCTTCATAAGTGGACAGCAGAAAGAGGGGGACCCCACAGCGAGAGGAGGGTCGAGTATGGCGTCGAGCGAGCGGTGGTCAGCGGCGGTGCGTAGTTGGGCGGGCGTCGAGCGACGATGAGCGGCAATTTTGGCGTGGGCCCGCGCCAAGAAATGGCACTGCGTCAAGCGAGGTCAACGCTCTGCTCTCGCCCGCCGCCACACGATGAGGCCTCGCACATACGCTCTCTGCTGTCAATCGCAAGCACTTCTGCCTGCACGCCATACCCCACCCGACCAGCACCGACGTCTTGGTCCGCATCCGATCTTGTTGCATTGCGCTGAACTAGTATGCATGCATGCATGGTCCGGCAGCACCCCCACACACCAGCCCAGCGGCTCCCACTTGATCGAATTGGGGCCTAACCAACACCAACAGCAGCAGCAGGAAGCACACGGAGGTCATCGTTTGTGGCTGGATCAGGCACGCCCGGCTGCTGTTCGTTTCGCAGCGTGGTTGCTTTCGGGGGTGACGTAGCGTCGCAAGGCTGGCAGGAAATGCAACAAAATGCCAATTTTTGGCGGGCATTTCTTTTTGGGGGGCTCCAGACGGCGTTGGTGCGTTGGATTGACGATTGACCTCATCGCGCTGCCTCGCGTGCAGCGGTTGCGATTTCTTGTTGGCTGCTTTCTGTCGGCGTCTCGAGCTGCCGAAATTGGCCGTCTCCTGCTGGTTTCTGCCGCTCATTCAAAGACGAGCCTTTGAGGTCGGCCCCGCTCCGCATGGCTCTCTGGAACTTTGCATCCGCAACTTCTGCCAGAGAACGCAAAGTTGGCTCCATGTCGGATCAATCGGAACGCTTTGGCGGCTCGACACGCGCGTGCCAAGAAGAGCAAGGGGGCCTTAACCCTGCCAAGACTCGCGCACAGAGGCATGTGCGGTTTAGATCTACTGCAAGCTAGCTCGATGCATTCGCGGTCTGCTCTTCGCACTGGCCTGGCGCTGGCCTGGCGTTGGCATGTCTTGGCGGTCCCCCGCATGGATCTCCCGATGGTGTGGCTTGACATGATCCACCCCACTCGCATACGAGATCCTTCCGCGTGGGTCGTCATTCGCCACGTTGCTGTTGGGCTGGTCCGCAGAAAGCTGCCAAGCATTCCTCACCGTCTCGCCTCTCGCACGTCGCCTTCCCGAACTCATGCGGCGCTTATCGCAGCAGCTTCTAGACTGCCATACTCGCTTCCCGTCACTTGCACGATTGCTGCCTTCCGAGACCGTGGGTTCAGGGCATCCACTTCGGTCGGCCTCCGATAGCGATGCGATGATACCGGATCGGGTCGTCAGATCACAGATGCATGGTGCCGATCCAGTACCGACATTTTTGAGGTGTTAGACCAGCACTGCGTTGTAGCCTCGAATTTGACGCGGCTGACAGCTGCCAACTCGGCGCGCGCACACCCCTCGTGGCGAGCATGTGTTGCGGCGGGCGGCGTTGGGCTCGTATGATTCGGTGCCAGGACGTACGGCTGCACGCGCGAGAAACGCTGCTTCCTTCTCGAGCTTCTTCTCAGGGCGAACGCCGACAAGTCTAAATCTTGAGCCAAATCCAACACGCACGCCCATGCACCACGCGAACACTTGTGCCCTCCATCCTTCGTGCCACCGTTGCCCCAACCCCTCTGCCCTGCCGCGATAGCATCAACCAGGCCGCAATGACCGCATCTTCGTGGCCGAGCGTCTCGGCGCTGGGCGAGCAGCTGCAGCACCACATCCAGCTCTTCGTCCTCCAGACCGATCTGTACTTCTTCCACCTCTTCCCAGCGCTGCGTTCGGGCGCCGTGCGCTCGCCCACGGGGCTCATCTTCACGGGTCTCATCATCCTGCTCGTCTCGCGCGTCGGGTCGTACCTCACCGCGTACCTCGCCGAGCAGGGTGCGTTGGTGTCCATCCGCGCACCACCGCAGGCGCAGCCGGGTTGGACATCTAGCGTGCTCGAAAAGCCGCACATTCGCGATGCGGCCAAGCCGGGCAAGATCATCTGCTACGACCCCGCTACGGCGTACCTGATCGGCGAGGTCGATGCAGACACACGCGAGACGATCGCGCAAAAGATCGCGCGCGCCAAGCAGGCGCAGGTTATGTGGGCAAGGTCGTCGTTCGCGGTGCGCAGGAAGGTGATGCGCACCATGCAGCGGTGGGTGGTGCGCGATGCAGAGACCATCACCCGTGTCGCTGCACGCGATACGGGCAAGACCGCTATCGACGCCGCTTTCGGCGAACTCCTCACGACCTGCAGCAAGCTCGCTTGGACCATTGGCAATGGCGAGCGCGTGCTGCGGACCGAGGTGAGGCCGAACAATCTGCTGCTCATGCACAAGGTGTGCGAGGTGCGTCACGAGCCCATGGGCGTCGTCGGTGCGTGCGTCAGCTGGAACTACTCGGCACACAACGTGCTCGGCCCCATCATCGCCAGTTTGTTTGCGGGCAACGCCATCGTGGTCAAGGCAAGCGAACTCGTAGCCTGGTCGGCGCATTACTTTGTCGACGCCGTGCGCGAGTGTCTGCGCGCCTCCGGATGCGACCCTGAGCTGGTACAGCTCGTAACATGCTTCCCCGAGGAGGCCGAGGCTCTGACCCAGAGCGCCGATATTGCCCATCTCACCTTCATCGGCTCCGAGCATGTCGGTCGACTCGTGGCGCAGGCGGCCACCAAGGAGCTTACCCCCGTGACGCTCGAGTTGGGTGGCAAGGATCCTGCCATTTTGCTGCGCGATGCGGACCTCAAGTACTTTGGCTCGACCTTCATGCGCAGCTGCTTCCAGGGCGCCGGTCAGAACTGCATCGGCATCGAACGATTTGTTGTGGACGAGGCCATCGTTGATCGGCTCGTGGCGATCGTCGAGCCGCGCATCCGCGATCTGAAGCTCGGCAGTTTCATGGACGATGCGTCCTTTGGCGCCTCTTCGCGCGGTGGCAAACAGGGTGACCGTGTGGACATGGGCGCCATGATCACCGATGCACGCTTTGCGCATCTCGAGCAGCTCATCCAGGACGCGGTTCGTCAGGGCGCCAAGCTTGTCGTCGGTGGCAAGCGGTTCGAGCATCCAAAGTGGAAGCACGGACACTACTTTACGCCGACACTGCTGGTGGGTGTGACGACGTCCATGGCGATTGCCAACGAGGAGCTTTTTGCACCCGTGTTTGTAGTCATGCCGTTCAAGTCGGGCGATCTGGACGCGGCGGTGGGCATTGCCAACTCCACGAGGTATGCCTTGGGTTCGTCCGTGTTTTCCGCCACACGGGCGCACTGCGACTACATCGCCGCGCGCATCCACGCGGGCATGGTCAACATCAACGACTTTGGCGTAAGCTACCTCAACCAAGGCCTCCCCTTTGGAGGCGTCAAGAAGAGCGGATACGGCAGGTTCGCCGGTCCAGAAGGGCTCTTGGGTCTCACGCAGCCAAAGGCCGTCACGCGCGATCGACTCTTCAGCCTCCTCAAAACAGGCATCCCGCCCCCACTCGACTATCCAATGCAGAAGCCAGCCCGATCGTGGGGCTTTGTCAACGCCCTCGTCGGATTCGCCTATGCTCCCTCCATCCCCGCTCGCGCCAAGGCCATCCTCGACCTCATCCTCAACTCGGCCTAATCCTCAACCCCCCCGAATATAGACCTCACATCCATGGGGATCGCAATCCACACAGCCCATGATGGCGCTCAAACTCGTATGATTGCTTACCATTTTCAAAGGGGAAGAGCGACTCAGGCCTTGGGAGGCCTCTTCTGCACGTCCTCGTACTTGACGGGTTGGATGTAGATCTTGGGCTCCACCTGACCGGCGCCCTGGTATCCCTTGTGCCAGTCGTATCCGACGGCGTAGGCAAAGATGGTGGCATCGCGGTTGAAGCCGATGGCAGTGATGGGTTGTTTGGCCGGGTTGGTCTTGAGCAGTTCCTTGGGTGCGTTGGCGGGACCCTTGGTCTCCATGGTCTTGAGACGCGTGCGCGACTGCTTGCACCAAAAGTTGATCGAGCCGTCCGCACCGCCCGTAGCAAAAGTGCCGTGCACGTTGAAGGCGATGCAGTTGACCGGATAGATGTGCGACTCGTTGCGCGGCACTTCGGGATGGTCCGCATTGGCGCGACGATGACACTTGAACGCAAACTTCTTCACCTTGTTGTCCTTGTCTGGCGGATCGTGGAAGTACTGCACGCCCACACGGCCCTCGACGCCGCCGAGCGCATACCCGTCGCCGTCCGGCAGCACAGCCATGGATCGCGTCTGGTACTTGAGCGGACTCTGCTGTTCGGTCAGCGGCGTGATCGAGCCGGTCTCCTCCAGACGGAAGCCCAGCACCATGCGTTCGGCCATGGCCACCACCACCACGTTCTGCACATTGTCCATCGCATAGCACTTTTCCGGCAGCGTGAGCGAGTGCACCGCCTGCGGCGAGGCCGGATTGTCGATCTTCCAGATCTTGAGCTGCTTGTCCCACCCCGCCGTCAGCAGCACACCGCCCGCGACGTTGAGCCAGCGCACGCTGCGGATCGTGTCGTTGTGCTGCGCCACCACCGCGGGCTGGTTGGTGTTCATGTCAAACATGCGGCACACCTTGTCGGCGCCCGCCGAAAACACCTTGGTCCCGTCCGTGCTCCAGCACAGGTCGAGCACGGGCCCCTCGTGCGAGTACTGCTGCCATGGCTGCACGGGCGTGTTCGACGTCTTGTTGATCTGGTAGATGCGCACGTTGTTGTCCCAGCTCGCCACGGCGAGAAAGTCGGCGGTGGGCGAAAAGGCGAGCGCGCTCACCGTGTCCGTGGCACCGGGCGTGACCTCCTGGTCCTGGTCGCCCGTCGTCTTGGACGCCGCCGACGTGTTGATCTGGCCAGGCGTGGCGGCTGGCCGCGCGCCAAACGTGTTGGTTGTGGATGCAGATGAGAAGAACGCCATTGCGTAGTGAGCGTCGCGCAGCTACTTCGCTGCTGGCTGCGAGGTCAAGGCGGGCTGCCAGACTGGAACCCAAGTGCGACGGCCTCGGCGGGTCTCAAGACGCCTGCTCGTTCGAAGCGGCTGAAGCACCAATGGCGATGCTCTGTCGGAATCGTTGGTCGATGCTGAGGAAAGCAATGAGTGCAGCTGCGATGACGTTAGGATCCGTCTGCGCGCGGAGTCGAAGAGGTGACGCGGCTACCAAGGCAGGTCGCTGTCTCGGTGGTGTCGGCGGAGCCAGAGTGCCGCGAGACGGGAGTGTGCTGCGTCGTACTTCTCCGAGGTTGGTTCGATAGCGAGTGGTGAGCGTTCTGATAAGCCCAGTCGGTAATGAGGGAGCAAGAGGAGGTAGCGGTCAGACCAGCTCTGCGGGATGCAACCGAGTCCGCACAAAATTGCCGTTGCGGACGAGAAGGCGCAAAACTCGCCGCCTGGCGTCCAGCCAGTCGCGTCACGTGACAGCCCTTCTCCACCAACCCCCACATGAGTCCCACCGTTCAAGCCCCTTCCTTCGCCTCATTGTTCTCACGCAACACGCACAGGCACGAAAGGTGTGCATCAGTATTGCAGTCACGCACGCGAGCACACACACCCAGTGAAGCCATTTTGAGTTGCTATGATTACTGTGGTCAATGGATGCCAACGGGACGAAAACCGAGCCAAAGCGACGCCAGAGCGCCGTTTCGTGAGGATGTGATGAAGCGGTGTCGCAAGAAGACTGCACGCCGTTGCGTGAGTCGACGAGGTGGTCTGGCGACCGTGCGCACTGCGTCTGTTCTATATCGTACTGGGAGAGGCGGAAACGTGCATGTGGCACGCCTACTCCTTGTCCGTGCCAGTGTAGTGGTTGGCCTGTGCGGCGTCGACGGGGTCGAGCACCTCCTCCTCTGCGAGCAGGCGCTCCGCCTCGAGCGCAGCAATGCAGCCGGTGCCGGCACTGGTGATGGCCTGGCGGTACTTCTTGTCCGCAACGTCTCCGGCGGCAAAGACACCCTTGACCGAGGTCTGTGCGGTGCCTGGGGTGGTGATGATGTAGCCGTCGCTGTCGAGGTCGACCTGGCCCTTGACGAGCGAGGTGGCGGGGAGGTGGCCGATGGCGTAGAAGAGGCCGTTGGCGTCCATGTCGCGTTCCTCGCTCGTCTTGGTGTCCTTGACGCGCACCGCCTTGAGCAGCTCGCCGTCACCCTTGGCCTCGGTGGGCACGGTGTTGAAGTGCACCGTCACCTTGGGATGCGCCAGCAGACGCTTGGCCATGATCTTGGACGCACGCAGCTCGTCTCTGCGCACGAGCACGTGCACGTGCGAAGCGTACTTGGTGAGGTACATGGCCTCCTCGGCCGCGCTGTCACCGCCGCCGACGACGACGAGCGGCTTGTTGCGGAAGATGGGCACGGCACCGTCGCAGACGGCGCAGGCCGAGATACCGCTCTGCCAGTAGGTGTCCTCGCCCGGAAGGTGCATGCGCTTGGCGCTGGCACCGGTGGCGATGATGAGGGTGTCGGTGAGCTCGGGCGCCTGGTCCTCGGCGTATTCGCGCCAGAACTTGAAGGGGCGCGACGAGAGATCCACCTTGGAGATGGTCTCGGTGTGGATCTCGGTGCCGAAGCGGACGGACTGTGCGCGGAACTTGTCCATGATCTCGGGACCACGGATGCCATCGGGGAAGCCTGGGAAGTTCTCGACGTCGGTGGTGGTGGTGAGCTGTCCGCCGGGAGCGAGGCCGTTGGCGAGCATGCCCTCGAAGAGCACGGGCTCGAGGTTGGCACGCGCCAGGTAGATGGCGGCGGTGTGACCGGCAGGGCCGGAGCCAATGATGACGACCTTGTGGACCTTGTTGCCGCTGGACGACGAGGCGGTGCCGTTGGTACCGTTGACGTGCTCAGTCATATTGTCGGAAGTGTGTGAGTTGGTGGTGGATTGGTTGCGAAGCGAGACGGCAGAAAGCGCTGCGAAAGGTGCGGTGGCCTGGAGCGATCGGGGTCGGGTGGAGCGCGAGTGCGTTGAGTAGCAGGCTCGGAGTGGCTGATGCGAAAAGCTGCTGGTGCGCTTGAAGACGTGGGCGACTTGGGTCGAGTTGAACGTAACCGAACGAAGAGTCGATCGGGTTAGGCTCATATAAGGATGCGGCAGCAGGTGACTGATGCGCAAGGATTGATGCGAGATGCTGGAGATGAAGCCGGCGTTGAGGATGCTAGGGGTGTGGTGGTGAGGCCAGGATGTGTGAGGAGTGTCAAGGCCTAGCTGATGAACGGACAAAGCGGAGCCGGTGTTGCGTGGGATGGCGTGCCTGCTGTGCCCCTTCTCTGAGGCGGAGATAGAAGCAAATCGATCTTCTCAGTCGCCACTTCCCCAGTCAACCCAGCCAGAGCCAGCCTTCTTAGCCGGTAAGCTCTGCCGAACGGCCGCCCGCCACCCTCCGCCACTCTCCCGTGGCCGCCTGGCGGAATTCGAGTGGCAACGGCAGGATTTCCTTGAATTTCCCTGTGACTGTCACCGGCTCGGTCGCGCTGCCAATTCCCTCTCGACCGGCTTTCAGGCGAGCCGCGCTGCCCAATTCAGCCGTGGCCATTCGGACTATCTCCGTGGCCAATTTCAACTGGCGGGAACTGCGAGGGTTTCAAATCGTCCGTCCCTCTGCCGCTCCGACCCTCCGGACCTTGGCCATCGTGCGTAAAAGCGATCGAGAGCATCTGAAGTGGTCGTCGATCTAACAACATGAAAATTCGCACCCGACCACACGACCCCCTCCATCAGTGTGGCTTCTATGAGCAAGTGCCCGTCCCTGCATCTCACAGTCATGAACATGTCGTGAGTCAGGAACTTTGCAAGCGGATCAGTGCAGTCGTTGCATACTTTGTTTGCTCGGTCCTCTTGCCGCTGCGTGTCCCACAGCGCTCACGAAAGGCACTCGGACACCTCGGGCGGTGACCGCGCTCCACATGGCGCACTCGTAGACTGGACCCTGACTCGCCGAGCTCCCATCAGATCAAGTTTCTCGCCGTCATTCAGGCATGGGTCCACGATCGGGTATGTAGTTTGATTGCAGCATCAAGACGTCACCGATACGACATTCGGGGATGCTTCCTGTGCGATCGATGTCGGGAATGGGACTGGCTCACTTGGCGATCTGCTTGAGCGCCTCCTTGATCGTGTACTCCATCTCCTCGAGATCGTTGGTGGCCACACGCGTGATCTGGCACTGGAGCGCCTTTTCGATCTGGTCCATGTAGGTCCAGCTCTGCTGGTCGTGCACAAAGTTGATCGAAACACCCTTGCGGCCGAATCGACCCGTGCGGCCGATACGGTGGAGGTAGGTTTCGGCGTCGGCCTCGCCCGTCTGGGTGAGCGGCATGTCGTAGTTGATCACCAGCGTCACCTGCTGGATGTCGATACCACGCGCGATCACGTTGGTCGAGATGAGCACCTTGCTCTTGCCGTCGCGGAAGGCGTCGATGGTGCGGTCGCGCTCCTGCGTGTCGAGCTTGCCGTGCAGCGAGTCCACCTTGTGTCCCTCGGCGGTCATCTTTTGCGCGATCCGGTCGGCCGTCTCGCGCTTGGCGCAGAAGATGATGCTCTGCCCAATCGTCAGCAGGTTGTACAGCTCCACCAGCACCTCGTACTTGTGGTTCTCGTCGCGGCAGTCCATGTAGAACTGCTTGATGCCCTCCACCGACAGCTCCTCCTGCTTGAGTCGGATCTCGTTGGCTCCCGGAGCGATGCGCACCGCAAAGTCGTACACCGTGGGCGGGAACGTGGCCGAGAAGAGCACCAGCTGACACGTCTTGGGCATCGTGTTCTTGACGCGGATCGACTGCTCGCCGAGCGACTGCTGATCCAGCATGTTGTCCGCCTCGTCCAGCACAAACACCTTGATCGCCGCCGTCTCGATGCCCTTGCTCTTGATCATGTCGAACGTCTTGCCGGGCGTGCCCACGATGAGCTGCGCATCGATCTTCTCGCCGCGCTTCACCTCGTCCGGCAGGCAGAGACACGTGGTCACATCGGTGAACTTGGACATGGTGCGCACCACGTCCATGATCTGGCGGGCCAGCTCACGCGACGGCGCCAGCACGATCGCCTGCGGCTTCTTGAGCGCATAGTCGATGCGCGAGAGCATGGTGAGGATGAAGGCGGCCGTCTTGCCCGTGCCGGATTGCGACTGGCCGATCATGTTCTTCGCCGGATTCTGCAGCAGCAGCGGCAACGCCTTTTCTTGGATCTTGCTTGGCTTCTGATACTTCATCGCGTAGATGCCCTTGAGCAAGTTGTCGTGCAGCCCGAGCGCCTCGAAGCTCTTGGCCGAGTACAACGGCGAGTTGGGGTCCGCCTGCTGGTCCGCCAGCGTCACCTGAACCTCGTGCGACGACTCGCGCAGATTCGACTCGCTCGCCTCCTCCTTGGCGCCCGAGGCATCGTCCGCAGCAGGCTTGGCCGCACCCTCCTTGCCCGACATGAGCCCCGACATTCCAGAGGCGATCTCGTTGACCTTGCTGTCCGAGGCGGCCGCTGACGCAGGCGCCGCTGTCTTGTCCTTGCTGTCGCTCATATCGAGGGTGTATGTGGAAGTGAACCGGTCCGAGTAAGAGATCCAGCGAGGTCGCCTTTTTTGTGGGGGTGATTGACAGCTCTGCTGGTGGAAGGTGGGAGGTGCGCGGCGCCACTTTGAGTTTTCTTCGCGCGTGTTGGTTTGGGTCGGTGTGGAGTACGAGCACAAGCAGCAGCAGCAGCAGCAGCAGCAGCAGCAGTCAGAGCGCTGTTGCACTTGCAGAGTGCGTGATCGACCCAACACACCCGCCCAAGCGAATTTTTGAAGTAGAAATGTGGTCCGAAACAGATCTCACATTACGAGACTTCGAGCCAGGGCCAAGGTGTTGGTTCAGACGCGCTGCGTCGAGCACGCGTAAATCAGCGCGGACGCCGACGCTTCACCTTCCAAAAGGCGACGGCGGTGCACACCCTTCTTGAACCTACCAACCTTGGCACGCACCTGGACCTCCTTGATGCACTCGCACACGCGCCTCTGACATTCTCCGAACAGACGTCGTCAAGCTTCACAAAAGCGCCGTGTAGAGCTTCGGACCGCGCAACCGAGGCATTGAAAGCAGCAAGCCATGGGTGCCTCCACAGACGCTGTGGCCTTCCTGTCGTCGTGGGTGCAGCGCGACAAGAAGCTCATCACCTACCGCCTGCTCAGTCGCGAGCTGCGTATCCACGTCGAGGATGCCAAATCAGCATTGTCCACCTTCTACGACTCGCACAGCGAAAAGACCGAGCTCGACGCCACTTACATCCTCATTGGCCGATCCAAGCACGCAGCCGTGGCCAAGGATGCGGATGACAAGGATGCTCAGCCAGAGGCGTCTTCATCCACAGCGGCATCTTCATCGTCGAATCCGCCACGCAACTATCTCGATCAGCGTATTGCCCGCCGCCAGACCGCAGATGGCGAATCCAGCCAGCTCATCCGCCTCGTCTCTGCTGACAACCTCGACGAGGCCAAGGCGAGCTTTGACGAGCTGACGTCATGCCACGTCTACTCTGTGTCGCCCGGACGCCTTCGTGATGCCACCCAGCTCACAGCTATCCAGCATGAGCTGCACTCCCAGCAAAAGTACACTGATGTCTGGCAGCAGACCAACCGAGGCGCGGATCTTGGTGTGGTGATCAATCCCTCCATCAAGGACAACTACGACCCGTCGAAAGCCATCCCGAGTCTGGGCGCACCAAGTGCACCGGCGCTGCAGGTCAAGACCGAGGCGAAATCATCCACTGCAGCCGTAGTCAAGTCCGAGACGCCGGCGCAAGACGCAAAGCCGTCGGCAGCTGCGGCCAAGGCTGCGCCGAGCGCGGCAGCTTCGGGTGGAAAGAAGAGCGGTCTGGATTGGAGCCGAGCCAAGCCCAAAGACGCCGAGTCCAAACCAGCAGCTGTCAAAAAGGAAGCGGCTGCAAGCACAGGCACCGCGAGCAAGAGCAAGCGCGCGTCTGCGCGGAAAGCGCTCCTCGGCAGCGATGACGAGGATGAAGAAGACGAGGACGGTGCAAGTCGGCGTCGGGCGATCGCCATCGACGACGAGGACGACGAAGACGATGACAAGCCAGAAAAGCTCGGATACGCCGATGACCAGGCGGACGACGAGGACGAGGATGTCGAGATGGCGGCGCCGAGAGGCTCCGGCAAGCAGGCCGATGCGCGCACGCAGACCAAATCGCAAGCAGCAGCGCAGCGCAAACAGCTCGAGGCCATGATGGACACCGACGACGACGAGGTGCAAGTGGTCGAACCCAGCGGTTCCAACTCGCGCAACGCTTCGACGGGGCAAGCCAAGGATGCGGATCCCAATGTGGAAATGGCCTCGACTACAGTGACGGAAACGATGAATGGCTCGGATGCGCCAGCGGCGGCCAAGCGACGCGTGCGCAAGAAGCGCAGGATCGGCACCAAAAAGGTGCGCAGCAAGGACGAGCGTGGCTACACGGTCACCAAGACCGTCGACGAGTACGAGTCGTATTCGTCTGAAGAGTCGGATGCACCCGTCGTCACCGGCTCCAAGCGCGCAGCAGCCACCAGCGCAAAGCAGAAGTCAGCCGCAGAGTCGAGATCAACTTCAACTTCCGCCTCGGCCAGTCCGGCCCCTTCGGCCCCTGCACCCACCTCGGCCAAGTCCACACCGGCAAACAGCGCGGCGGCCAAAAAGGCATCCGGCGCAACACCCGCTCCGGCAAAGAAGGGCCAGCAGAGCCTCAACAGCTTCTTCACTCGAAAGCCAAAGGATAAATGAACCACGCATTCGTACTCTGTACCCAATACCATCGCTTTGTGAAAGGTTTGCTGTGGATTCGCATTCTGCAATGGCTCCAGTCGAGGCAATCACGATGAAGCATGCTCGATGGGTTGTGTTGCCTCCGCATCGGTTGATGTCGCTGTCGTGGATGGGATCGCGTCGGTCGAAACACCTGCTTTCTCCCAGGGCTTAAGCGGCCGGTCCATTGTGGGCTGCGTTGGTGGTTCCTCGTTGATCTTGAGTGGGATATCGCGAATACCGGGGATCTGGTCGGTCTTGCCCGTAGTGATGAGTTCGACGATCGCATCGAACGACGCCGGATACGGCTCCTTATCCGCAGCCTTTGCTTCCTCAACTGCCGCTACTTCTGTCGTTCCTCTGCTGCCTTCAGCAGATTCTTCCGTGGTGGCGCCGTTGATCTGAGAAGCGGCTGAGGGCTTGTTCGCCAGCCACGCAGTGTAGTCGGCATAGTCGACCTGGTTGCCTGTCTTTTGCGACCAGAAAAACACTTTGGCGCGCTTCTTGGTCTCTTCGATCTGCGCCTGCGCGACGCCCGACGACTGCATGGGCCCGATGATGGTCTGGATCCCCGCCTGAAACTCGGCATCCGACTCGTCAAAGTCGGTGAGCGCCGTATACACCGCTTCTTTGTCGTAGGCGACCGACGGAAGGTCTGATTGTGCCTCCATTCTGTCGTACCTGAGACGAATGTTGATCAGTCGTGTCGAGAGAGTGGAAGCAAGCTGTCGATACGAGGACCGGCCCGTGCCTGTGCTTTTCAGCCGGGCTTGCCGCTGCCCACCGCCAAAGACGCGAGTGCCGCGGGGTGGAGGTCGCAAGTCGAAACTCTAACAATTTCCCACAAATTCGCCGGTTCGCTGCAGACTTTTTTTGACATCTTGGAAGTGGTGGAGTTGCCGACGCTTTCTTCTTGCTCCCATCCCATCCGGACGACTCTTGCTTACCGCTCCTGACCCTACGTCTTCAAAAGGGACCCATCGTAGAGTCCAAACCAAGCGCAACCATGTCTCACGAGGCATCAGAGACAACCGCCGCGGATGCAGTGGCAAGCACCGCTGCCCCGGTCGAGGCTGGCCCGAGCACATCCAAGCCCAAGCCGAACCATGGCAAGCCAGCTGCTCACCACCGTGCCCGCCACTCGCACTCTGCGCGTCTGACTTCGGAACAGCTGCGCAGGCGTCTGCACTTCATCGAGTCCAACTCGACCGTCATCCTCAAGATGCCTTCGGGCCGCACCAAGGCCGCCGAGATCGTGCCGGGCAAGCAGGTGAGCCTGGGCAAGTTTGGCAGCTTTCGCGCCGACGATCTCATCGGCATGCCGTACGGCTTCACCTACGAGATCCACGCCAACCCATCTGCAGCATCGACTGAAGCGGCAGAGCAGTCGAACGGGCAGAAGAAGGGAAAGGCAGGCGCCAATGCAGCCCCCACTGGGTCGCTGAAGCTCGTGGTGAACCGCACGCTTGGCGATCTGGAGACCGAGGCGAGCGAGACGGTCGAGACCAAGGCGACCAACGAGCATATCAACGACGACGGTTCTGCGCAAAAGTTAACGTACGTCGACATCCAGGAGCTCAAGAAGCAGGGTCTTTCGGGCCGCGAGATCATCGAGCAACAGCTGGCAGGGTCGGAATCGTTTGCCAACCGCACCGTCTACTCGCAGGCCAAGTATGTGGCGCGCAAGGAGCAGAAGCATCTCAAGCTCTTCACGCCGCTCCAGCCGGACTTTGGCAATGTGTGCGACTTTTGGTTCGAAAAGTCCGCCGACAAGATCCGCTACATTCGGCGCGATGCGCTCAGCCAGATGCTCTCGTTCGGCAGCGTTCGTCCCGGTGGACGATACCTTGTGGTCGACGGTGTTTCGGGTCTTCTTGTCGGCTCGGTGCTGGAGAGGATCGGTGGAGATGGGACGGTGGTGGCGATCAATGATGCCGAGTCGCCACCGGCATTCGACATCTTGCCGTACTTCAACTTTGCACCCGAGGTGACGAGGAACGTGCTCAAGGTGGTGCATTGGGCGGCGACGGAGCGCGACTATGCGCCTGTGTTTTCGCAGCAGGATGTGTCGAGCAACGCGAACGAGGGTGGTCGGGCAGGCAAGGCGGACAAGTCACGCGCACGCAAGCGCCAGGCCAACTTTCGCGAAGTCGACCGTGTACGCAGCGACTTCTTTGCGGGCGACTTTGACGCCGTGCTGATCGCATGCCACTACGATCCGGTCAGCATCCTCAACCGTCTCAAGCCACATCTGGGCGGGTCGGCCAGCATCGTGGTTCACAGCCCGTATGTTCAGCCACTGGTCGAGGCGCATGCTACGCTGCGGTCGGACGAGGAGTTTATCAACATCAGCGTGACCGAACCGTGGCTGCGCAAGTACCAGGTGCTGCCCGGTCGAACGCATCCCGAGATGACCACTAGCAGCACGGCTGGCTTCATCCTGCACGCCATCCGCGTCTTTGGCGAGGCACAGGCGGTCCAGATGCGCGCGCAGTATTTGGCCGCGCTCGAGTCGCAAAAGCACGCCGATGCAGAGCACGAGCAGGTGACCGAGGGAGCAAAGCGTGCGCAGCCGCAAGACGAGGCTGCTGACCAAGAGCAGCCCGAATCAAAGCGAGCCAAGGTCGACGAGGCGGCGCAGGCAGACGCGAGTATGCAAGATGCGCAGGATGTACAGTAGTTGGGCTCGTAACATTGCGACGATCAATGACATTGCGCATGCATACGTAAAGACCAGAACAGCATGTCTGGAAGTGTGATGAGGCGACAGGGAGGATGGATCGAAGATGCGTTATGACCATGGCTATGTGGGCGCGCCAAGGAGGCAACGGCGAGCAAGTGGTGCCGACGCGAAAAGCGAGTTACACTGTGACTCAGGGCGAGCTCTCGATAGGGACGAGCGTCGTGAACTGCCACTTTGGACGCACCTCTCGTCTCTCTTGGCTGTTAACCGGCGACGACAATGTCGAAGCTGCGTTTGCGTCGGTTGCCTGAGCATCGTCCGACTTGGACTCGCTCTGTTCGCCATCGTCCGTCTTCGTTTTCTTGGATGCCGGTGGCGATGTCTCGTCTTCGCTTTTTCTCTTGGCCAAGCCTGCGTCCTTGTCCTCCTCGTCAGATTGATCCTCTGTCTGCACGCCCTTCGAGACCAGCACCTTTGCGGTTTGCTTCGAGCGAATGTCGTCATGGATAATTTCATAGTACTCGGCGGCTTCGTCCATCAAAGTCTCGACTTCTCTGTGCAGACGAGACTCGTATTGCAGAAGATCGGGCTCTGGCAGAAGGTCGAGCATTGTGTGGTGACGCCAGGTGTCCTTCGAGACGTATTGACCGAAATCACCACAACGGGTGCAAAAGCACCTGCGCGGGCGCGGCATGGTTGAGACTGGAGATGGTGTTCAGGAAGATGGCATGAAGAGATTCGAAGGGAGGCGATGGTCAGAGCTTTTCTACCCGCCCTTTCATCCTCCGTTTCAGCATCGGAAGGTCCGTCTCAGTCAGCGTACATGGCTGAGTCGCAGGCGGATCGCGGCATGGCTACAGCTCAAGTGGCACACTCGGTGTGATGGTTCGTGTGCCCAAGCATCCGAGCTTCGGCACATCCGTCTCGATTTTTTTGAGTTGGAATTGTTAGAGCTAGCCGCGGACGACGCGTGGCCGAGGCGAAATCTCCACTCGAAAGCAGGATTGACAGATGCACGGATTGCGACTGCGACTGGACCTTCGCACCTGCATCTTGACTCTCACTCACTTGGCCGACCCTACGCACCTTCTCCACCATCGTCCGACTCACCTGCGCCATCACACATCGGAAGACGACCAGCGCATGGCGATCTCTTGACAGCCAGCTGAATCAACCACTTAAGATCGACGAAGGCAAGCTGCGACATGTCGACAATATCGTATCCAGGGGCCTCGTCCTCAACCACACCACCGTATCCACCCGGCCCCTCGACCTCTACACCGCCTGCCGGTAACGCCATCGATGCTACAGGCGTGAACGGCGTTGTTCCCGGCGCGGTGCCGGACAGTTCGATCATGTTCTGCGTCGTATGTGCGTCGAACCAGAACCGCTCCATGGCAGCGCACTCGCTGCTGGCCAAGTCGGGCTTCAACGTGACGTCTGCCGGCACCGGTTCAGCCGTGCGTCTGCCCGGCCCAAAGATCAACCTGCCCAATATCTATCCCTTCGGAACAGCGTATACCGACATCATCGACGATCTCAACAGCAAAGATCCACGGCTGTACTGGGCGAATGGATTGATGACCATGCTCAACAGGAACAAGGACGTCAAAAGAGCACCCGAGAGATGGCAAGAGACCAAGTTCACCGCGGATGTTGTGATCACGTGCGAGGAAAGATGCTTCGACGCAGTGTGCGAGGATCTGTTCAATCGAGGCGGAGAACTCAATCGTCCAGTGCATGTCATCAACGTCGAGATCAAGGACAATCACGAAGAAGCAGTCGCTGCCGGAAAGGCCATCCTCGACCTGGCAAATGCAGTGAGTCTTACGCCACAGCTCGCACTCAAAGCTCGAACTGTGCAGACTTACGAAGACAGTTACTGACAATGCCCTTGTATTGGCGCGTACTGCTAGATCGCGGGTTCACAGGACATCGATACCGAAATGGACGGCATCTTGGAACGACACCAACAAAACTACCCGCATGCCATCCTGCATACAGTCGGCTACTATTGAACCCGCACGCAAGGTCACTCGGACAACTGGGTCTTGCGATCCGCACCGAATAGAGGGCGTGTAATGCAGTAGGATATGCGCATGGCGAGCACGATGTATATATGTATATGTACAGCAGCGGAAGAGCGAGTCGAGAAAAGTGACGAGGATCACGAGAGAAAGATGCGATGCGGGCGGTGACGGATGCGCATGGGAAAGGGAAGGGGCGGGACGGAAGCATGCAAGTCGAGCCGCACCAGTCAGAGGCGAGCGTGAAGAGAAGCGGTTGCCGCGCTGCTCTGTGATGCTGGTCACGGCGGACGGGAAAGGGGCCAAAGAAGCAGCGGTGACTGGGCTATAGGAGGACGCACTTTTTCTTGGCGCCACCTCCCGTGGCTCCTGCGGCTCTTCTTGCCCAGCCCTTCTTGCGACACGCCTCGCGGATGGCGGTATCAAAGACGTTCTGCACGCCGTCTTTTGTCTTTGCCGAGCACTCTACGTACTTTGCAGCACCGATCTCGTCTGCCACCTGCTGACCCTGGGCTGGGGAGACGGGCTTGATGCCCTGTGCCTGCAGCATGGCGAGGCTGTTGGGGTCCTTGCGCAGATCCGTCTTGAGACCCACCAGCAGGATGGGCACGCCTTCGCAAAAGTGGTTGATCTCCGGGAACCACTTGTCCTGCACATTGGCGAGGCTGGTGGGGAAGTCGACGGCAAAGCAGATGAGGATGACGTCCGACTCTGGATACGAGAGCGGACGCAGACGGTCGTACTCCTCCTGACCGGCAGTATCCCACAGCGCGAGCTCGATCGTCTTGCCCTCGAACTGGATGATGGGGACGTAGTTTTCAAAGACGGTGGGCACGTACTCTTCGGGAAAGCGGTTCTGCGAGTAGACTATCAACAGACACGTCTTGCCGCAGCCACCATCGCCGACGACGACGAGCTTCTTCTTGAGATCGATGACGGGTCGGCCGGGGAGCTGCTGAATCTGGCCCTGGCCGGGCGGCACATCCGATAGTGTCGAGCCGCTGTTGTATGCGTTCATTGCGTCGCTGCGACTATGAAGGTATGCTGGGGTTTGATGCGGCGAACGTGGTTCGAACGTATTGGGTCGGTGTGGAGAGGGCCGCTGCGAGTCGGAAATGCGGGCTGGTGCACGTGGGGGACAGATGCGAGGATATTGGACGGCTCTAGGGTGCTGGCAAAGGTGGCACAGAGATGGGGAGCAAGATGAACGGACGGCAGGATTGAGACGGTGAGGTGAGGTTGCGAATCCTAGCAGCCAAAGGTAGCTCGAATGGTCCGTGGTCGTGCAGAAGAGGAAGGATGCGTGATTGCAACCAGGCCAACGAGAGGAGAGAGGCTCAGCCCCGAGCTGTCGACATTGCAGCGGCTCTGTCGAAGTGTGAATGTTTCGGCAGCTGCCAAGTGTTGCTCTCCTTCGCGCGCTGCCGCCCCAAATGTGCAACAGCCGACCCGCGCAAACCCAACGCCTCGCTGCCACCCTTCACGCGAGTCCTGGCGCCTGCTCTCAGAATAGAGTTCACGTGACGCCGGTCGCCGTCACAAGATGGCTTCGATCTCACACTTTGAAATTAAAGCTGTGAGCGCGCTGCGCACCGAGGCTGCGCAAAAGTGTTGGTTGCAGCTGCTGGCGAGAGTGGAGGAGGAAGAAAGGGTTCATGCACGGCAGCGCAGCGCTCCGCGGCTCACTTGATCAAGTCCGAAATGAAAGGAACCACCTGTCATTCTCCTCATCACCTCGCCTCGCGCCGTTCTGGTGCCGGACACAGCTCAGACTAGCGCATCGCATCCATTCCCGTCAGGCCGGGGTCAAGAGGGTTGAGAACGCGCAGCACAGTCGGCCATTTCGGCCTTGCGCTTCTTCCACTTCATCAACTATAAGAGGCGAGGCTTTCTCGTCTATTCCCCCTGTCCCTATCCCCCGTTCCTTCCATTGCTCAGCCACTGGACACCATGCAGAGCGTATACAGCAAATGCGCCAAGGCGGCCATCTTTGCTGAGCTTCAAAATGGTCTCGAGCCATTCATCTACTGGCACGTCACCGAGTCCGTCCAGGAGGCCTATACGCCCGCCTCCATCGGTCTGTATCAGGAGGAGCGTGAAGTAGAAGCACTCGTGCTCGAGCGCGGCTCTGATGTGCGCGACCGTGCACTCGGCCGCTTCATCTCGTTGCTCCACCACTTCCACGCTGCCCGCCCACGAGGCAACGACGAGGCTCAAGATGCGCTCAGCCACCTCCTATCCGTCTTTGAGCATCTAAGCCCGCCTCCGCCCTTCACCGAGTTCCATTATTATCGCAACGATATCGACGACTACATCGCAGAGCAGAGGCAGAATTCTGGCCTACTTGCCGCCGACCCAGACTGGCACCCGCGGCCCAAGGTGGCGGGCAACTACCAGTGGAATGTCGAGTTCAAGCGCGCGCTCGAGCTCACCAAGACAGCATACACGGATGCATGCGCCCGCTTCGAGCACCGCTTCATCCTCGGCACTGAAGCGGACCTCGAGCTCGTTCAGCTCTTCGCGCAGGATCAGCTCGTCGAGCTGGCTTCCATGCATGCTGCTAAGCCCCGCCATGTCCCAGCACCCCCTCCGAGTGCCGCCAGCGCCGCCCCGTCCACCTCGTCCTTCTGGAATCAAAGGATCGGCTCTACCAGCACTGCCCCATCGTCGCCGCTTCCACAATTCGAGGAGACGCACTTGGTCCAGGCCGGTCGACAGTTCCGTGCGGCCTGCCTCGACGACGTGCGCACCCGCCAGTCTCTGGGCGTGCGCGTCTCGGAAGACGGCAAGGACATCACCGTGGTCCTCTCCAAGGCGCTCAATCCGGACACCAAACCGGACCGCCTGATCCAACGCGCTCGTCAGCGCTACGACCCTACACAGCAAATCAGGGAGGTTGAGGATGAATCGCACGAGGAGGCCGCCATTCGGAGCGCCAAAGACCTGATCAGCTCGGCGCTGCGCATCCTCAGCACGCGCGACGGCGAGCGCAACGTCTCGCTCCGCATCGACGCACACAACTTGCGCGGCCACATCAATCTGCGTCTCGCCGAGCTCAAGCCGCGCTCCGAATCCAACTACCTCAGCCGCGCCGTGGCCGACTGGACTGCCAGTATCGAGCTCGACGAGGACCAACCCGAGATCCGAGAGCAACTTTCTGGAGCCAAGGCGCGCGTGCAGTCGGGCGCGAAGCAAGACGCGGCACCCAGCTCGGACCTGGCGACAGCGGATGGCACGGCTCAAGACGCATCGGCCGCGCCGACTGAACAGGCTGCAAAGACGGCCGAGACCGCGCCTATGAACGGAAAGAGCTCGAAGACAACGGAGTCTGCCAAAGATGCGCAAGTCGAAGGCATAGCAGGCAAGGAGAGGGAAAAGACGATTCTCGAGTCGCCGTTCTTCGGTTCCGACCTGGTGACCGGCATGATGGTCGACGCGCTCCTTGCACTTCCGTTCCCGCATCGCGCCCTGCGCGAGACTCTGCGTCTCCCACCGGCAGCGGCGGTTGCAGCCGCGAGCCACGACCATGTGCACATGCTCGAGCGTCTTGCCAAGGCGCACCAGGCCACCACCAAGGCGCTCACGTCCGAGAACAGGGCGCAGCTCAAGCACGCCGTCAAGACGGTCAGTGCCGTGCTGGCGCTTCCGGACCTGCAGCACGTAGGGCGCAATGCCGACTCCCAAATCAGACTGCGCAGCACCAGTCTCCGCCTCGTGCTGGGCACGCTGTTTCTGCTGCTCAACGATCATGTGCGCGCGCACGGCGAGCTGGATCTCATCTCGAACGCGCTCAAGCCCAACACGCGCGGCGAAGCCAAGGGAGGCAAAAAGGCAAAGCCAGACCAGGATGCTCGGACCGATGCCGTTGCGGGAGGCTCGGGTGGTGGAGCAGAGGAGGCCAAGGTGGAGGAGATGCAGACGAGGGTGCAGGGTGAAGCACTGCTGCTGCTCGCCAAGACGTGCTGGTTGACCAACAAGGTGCAGGAGGCGCTCAAGTTTTTCCGCTGGTTCGTCAAGTGGTACGCGGACCAGCAGGCGCCCAACGCCGATGTCGAAGCAGAGCTGGATGAACAGATTGAGCAGCTGGAGCGCAGTGTGGCGGACCTGGACATGCGGTGGTGGGACGCACTGCTTGTGGTTGACAAAAAGTAACCTCTCGCACAAGCACACAGCAAAAACACCATCATTTCATTTGCAAGGTTTGCTCGTCGCGTGGCATTGCATCTTTGGGAGGAGGGGTTCTAGCCTTCGTCTTCGCGTTTGCGTTTGACATGGCTGTCTTTGATGGGACGATGTTGAGCAGCAGGGTGGCGTGCCAGCTGTTGAGGGACGGTGCTGAGTTTGGACTTTGTGAGTTCGAGTTTGAGGTCGTAGAAGAGATCCGAGTCTGCCTGGTCTACAAAGGTGATTGCAGTTCCGGTCTTACCCGCACGGCCTGTTCGGCCAATGCGGTGGACGTAGGCCTCGATGTTGTTGGGCATGGCAAAGTTGATGACCAGACCGACGTTGGGGACGTCGATACCACGACCCGCCAGATCCGTTGCCACCAAAACCTGCGTCGTGCCGTCACGAAGATGCGCAAGCGCCTCCTCTCGCAACTCCTGCGTCTTACCAGAGTGCAGCGTGGAAACGTAAAACCCTGCCCGAACCAGTGAACCCGACAACATGTCGGCAGCCTTTTTTTGGTTGACAAAGACAATGATGGGTACGAGGTGGGAGGAACGCTGAAGGATGGAAATCAAGCGTTGTCGACGCTGGTCCTCGTTGGCGACGAATTCGACAATCTGCTCTACACTCGCCACAGCCTGTCCGGCATTTCCAATCGTAATCGTCGCCGGACGACGCAGATACACCCTCGCCATTCGCTCCACACTCGCAGGCATCGTGGCGGAATACAGCATCGTAACCCTATACTTGCCCACACCATCCTGCAGCGGATCTTCGGCCACACTCGAGTCCGGCTTGAGGTTCGAAACGGGCAACGAGTCGAGGATAAAGTTGACCTGCGGCTCGAAGCCCATATCGACCATCTTATCCGCTTCGTCCATCACGACGTAGGTGCACTGGCTGAGCACAAGCACATGCCGCTCGATGCAGTCCTTCAGTCGTCCCGGTGTGGCAATGATGATCTCGGCTCCATCGCGCAGTGCATATGCCTGGTCGTTCATATCGCGTCCACCCACAATCGACACACATCGCAACCCCAGCCGCGGGGCAAACTTGTTCGTCTCGCCTTCGATCTGCTGTGCCAACTCGCGCGTGGGGACCAGGATCAGCGCCTGCGGTCCGAGCGCCTTGGTGTTCTCGTCCAGCTTGGGCAGATGCGAGATGTACGCGAGCATCGGGATCAGGAACGACGCCGTCTTGCCCGAACCCGTCTCGGCAATGCCAATCAGGTCGCGGTTCTGCAGACCGATAGGGATCGCCTGACGCTGGATGGGTGAGGGCTCGGTGTAGCCGATCTCTTCGATCGTGGCGAGGATGCTGGGTGGGATCGACGACTCGCGCCACGAGCGCAAGGGCCGCGGGATGTTGCCGCCCCGAGCGGAAATGCCAAAGTCCTCGCGAAAGATGCGCCAGTCGCGCTCCTTCATCTGCTCGAGCGTCTTGTCGCTCCAGTGCTTGTCGTCGAACCGCCTGGCAGCTCGGCCCAGCGAAGCTTCCAGTGGGTCGACGTGCGATGGCGCGCCCGTGCCGTTGGCGCGAGGTGCGACGAGATGCGAGGGCGCAGCGTGCTGGGCAGCCGACTGAATCTGTACCGCAAGCGAGTCGGCTGCAGTGTCGTCGTCCTCGCCCCAGTCGAAGACGAACTTTTTGTCCGTGGGCTTGCGCCTCGGCTTCTTCTTGTCGTCTTTGAGCCCGAGGTAGCGCCTGCGGATCGCCTCCTGCTCGGCCTCGGTCAGTGGTGCGCTCGATCTGTCTGAGGGTTTAAGCGCTGGTGTTGCATCTCTAGAGCTTTCACTTGCAGCGCGTGTGCCATTGCCGTTGTGGTGAAGACCATTCGCCTCTGTCGCTCTTCGCGAAGTGGAATCGTGCCTGGGTTCAGCAGAGCCATAGTCGAGATCGTTGGCGTCGCGGCGATGGCGATCTGACGGACGTGATTGCGAGCGATCATCTTGCCTTGATGACGATGCAACGGATCGCGCTTGTACTTCGAGCTCTTGTCGCTTTCGGAGGTCCTCCTGCTGCTTGAGGGCTCGCTTACGCTCTTCCTCCTCCTTGTCCTGCTGTGCATTCTGCGCGCGCTCGGCCTTGGAGAGGAAGCGCGGTCTGAGTGCCGACTCCTGCTTCTGCTTCTCGAGGATCTCGGCGACCGAGAGAGGCTGCTTCTTCGACATGGTGCCGATGCCGTGCAAGCTGCGCTGGATGGAGGTGATGGAAGAGTGACAGGCACCTCGAGCTCAGTCAATCGAGTCCAGGGTCGTGTGGAGCAGACGAGGATCCGTCTTCCGAGTTTTTTTTACAAGACCTTGTTAGGGCGAAGGAAAACTGATGGCTTAGTTTTTTACTTTCTACCGGTCCATCGGCTTCGGTTGTGAGCCGGCGCGATGCATTCCTGTCGGAGCTGTCAAGCCGAGCGTGAGAGTTAGTGCCACTTTAGGCGCGCACGCCGCTAAGCCTTCGCGAGGGTCTGTGCTGTCTCGCAAAGCGGCAAGGCGGAAGGGGTTCGTGGGGTTTCTCTGCAATGGCTTGGCATCCCGAAACCTTGTATCCGACCACCACCAAAACCGCTCTCAAGTTTAACCATGTCGACCAAGCTCACCAAACCGACCGTCCCCTTTTCCGAGGCGCCATGGATTCAGGGGCTGCCATCCTCGATCTTCACCTCGCCTTCTCATGTTCAACTTCGCGAGTGGTGCCGCGTTTGGTGTGACGAGGTCCTGATCAAGCTTGGGGCCAAGTACGAGGAGGCTGGCGTCATCAACGACGATGAGGCGTACCAGCGCGCTGCCAAGGACGGCGTACTTTTTGCTTTCGCCACGGGCGTGCACGTCGATCCCAAGATCGCCAAGATCGCCCAAGCTGCTGGTGTCGGCCTTCCGGCCGGCATCAAGATGGAGGAGTGGAACAACATTCACGACTACATCATCTGGGACGAACTCAACCGCTGCGCCAGCCCGGTATTGATGGGCCTGATTGGCGGCCTTACGTATGGCTCCGGCCCCATCATGCACTTTGCCAGCGACGAGCAGAAGGCACGCTGGCTCCCCGAGATCTTCACGGGTCGCAAGCGAATCTGCCTTGCCATCACTGAGCCCCTTGCCGGCAGCAACGTCGCCAACCTCAGCACCGAGGCGACGCTGATCGAAGAGAACGGCAAGAAGTACTACCTCGTCAACGGCAGCAAGAAGTGGATCACCAACGGAATCTACTCGGACTGGTTCACCACAGCCGTTCGCACGTCGGGCAAGGCGGGCGAGTCGGGCGGCATTTCACTGCTCATGATCCCTCGCGGACCCGGTGTTACCACCAAACAAATGAAGATGCTCCCCGGCGGAGCTTCGGGCACGACCATCGTCGAGTATGACGACGTCAAGGTCCCCGTCGAGAACCTCATCGGCAAGGAAGGAGAAGGTCTGAAGCTGGTGTTCTTTAACTTCAATCACGAGCGGATGACGATCGCCTACACAGCCTTACGCTATGCTAGGGTGTGTATGGAGGATGCGATTGCGCACACACGACGACGAGAGGTGTTTGGCAAGACGTTGATCGAGCAGCCGGTGGTGCGCCACAAAATTGGCCACATGGCGCGCGAGGTGGAGGCGCTGCAAGCCTGGACGGAAAGCATCATTTTCCAGCAACTTAATTTGACAATTGCGCAGTCGAACCTGCTCACCGGCGGCACGTGTGCGCTGCTCAAGGCGCATGCCGGTATCGTGCTGGAGAAGGTGGTGCGCGAGGCAGTGCATCTGCTCGGAGGCATGGGCCTCACCAAGGGCGGCACCGGCGAACGCATCGAGCGCATCTGGCGCGAAGTCAAGGGTAAGTTGCCCTCCCCCCTGCTGCTGATGACACGAGCGTGTGCTGACATCCTCCTCCTCCTTGTTCGTGGTGGCACTTGTAGCGCTCACCGTGCCCGGCGGAAGCGAGGACGTGATGATCGACCTGGGCGTGCGCCAGCAGCTCAAGCTTGTCGGCCCCCAGAGCAAGTTCTGAATCGCCTCTCGACAGTGAGGCTTGTATGCTTTGTTTATGTCAAATGTTAAGCTGATATGTCGGATACGAGGTCGTGGTCGGTGAGGTACTTGATTGACGAAGGAATCGCGTGTGCATATGAAGTGAGTGCCAGCCGAACTAAGATTGGTGGTTCCCGCCAAAGCAGAATATCTTCGCAATGTTTCCGCCAACTTACATCGAAAAAACGTGCCTCCTTAGCTCAGCGGTAGAGCACTTCACTAGTAATGAAGAGGTCAGTCGTTCGAGTCGGCTAGGAGGCAGGCACGTGTTGTGTTCCTTTTTTCTTGCGCCTTTTTATTTGCACCCACCCACATTTTCTATCAAGTCTGAGAAAGCAATAGTCGCTCTTGCTCGACAGCAAAGTAGACTGCGACATTTTGTTTCGGTGTGCTGTTACACTGTGTCCTCTGGCAGAATAAAGCTTGATGCGAAAGCTGGTGATGAGCTTTTGCGGCGGTTGGCGGGCGCTGTTGTTTGAGGGCTTGGGCTTGATTGAGAAGAACGGAAATTTGGCGAGGGTGGAGGCCGACGCGTGTCTTTTTGTCGATCCTGCGATTCGCGTGGCTGTCAAAGTGGGGTGGCTGCGATCTGCTGCATGCAGGTGAAATCGGATCGGCTTTGCTCAGCGCACAGGCCGCATGCGCCAACCTCCTTCCTGCACACGACACGATCCCACCTCCTCCTTCCACCACCATCTTCTACAACTCTTCGTCACGATGTCGGTAAAGTGCGCGTGGGCAACGCTGCTTACGTCGGAGCATTTGCTGCCGGGAGTGGTGGTATTCGCGCATACGCTGCTGGTCCAACATGCGTCTGCGTATCCACTTGTCATCATGGCTACCACCAAACTCAGCACTCGAGCTCGGGGGATTTTGACGTCGATGTTGCCAGAGGGTAGGGTGGTGATTCGCGAGATCGAGCCTATCTACCCCGAATCGGTGGCGACGGGGCTGGCGTATGCGAGGTTCAACGAGGTGTGGACCAAGTTGCGCGCGTTCGAGCTGACCGAGTACGGAAGGGTGGCGCTGGTGGATTCGGACATGCTCGTACGACGCAATATGGACGAACTTCTCTCCCCGCCTGTCTTTCCCGAGGAAGAGGGGGAGTGGATTGCAGCCAGTTGGGCTTGCACCTGCAACCCGAATCGAATCGCCACGTATCCCGATAACTGGATCCCCGAAAACTGTGGATTCACTGGTCAAACTCTGCCCCAAGCGAAGGATCCACAGAGTGTGGTACAGCCAACAAAGGAAACGCCGAGGCCGGGCAAGTTGATCAATAGCGGTCTTGTGTTGCTTACACCGTCGAAGGCTACGATGGAGGAAATGATTGCGGCGATCAATACCGATCCGAGGGTGCAGGAATACAGGTTCCCGGATCAAGACTTCCTCGCCGACTTTTTCAACACGCAGACAAGACACATCAAGTATCTGCCGTACAAGTACAATGCACTCAAGAAACTTCCGCTCGTCCATGCCAATATTTGGACGGACGAGGATGCGGTCAATGTGCATTATATCCTCGATAAGCCATGGAACCTCGGCAGACCAGGTTCGGAGCGTAACAAAAACGATCCGGATGCACACGTACACAACTGGTGGTGGCAGGCGTTCGATCACGTCAAGGCCAACCTCACCGCGAAGGGCGAGGGAATCACGATCGACAAGGACGACTGGCAAGAGTGCGTGGAAAAGTACATGTCGCTCTGACGCATTCACGAGTCAATACCAAAAGGGAGCGAGTCTACAGTGTGGATTTGCCTTGCTTTTTGAATGGTGCGGTGAGCAGAACTGCTATGTGGTTCGGTGTGTGGAATCGGGCGTCTTGGCCGATGCGATCCATGCTGGCCTGGATGGAAGTGACGGATGTGCCTTGGGTGCGGCGTTGGCGGGATTCGCGTCCTTGGCTGGCGGGTGTGCGGTGCTTGCGCTCGCGCTGGCGCCGCTGAAGCTCGCACTGCGCGACGAGGCGGCGGACGACATGGATCCCACACTCACCGCGTCGTCGCGGGCTGCGCGGCCGCCTCCGCGCTGCGAGCTCGTCCGGCTGCTGTTGGCACTGTGCGTGCCTGAACCCGCATGTCCGTAGCCTTGCGCGCATGCATTCATCCCCGGTGCGTACTGCAAGGCCGGTGGTTGCGCATAGGACGCCTGCATGGTGCGGCCGTTGGTGTGCGCCGAGGCGTGCTGCGCCCAAGCACCCACACCGTTGACCGGCCTGGCTGTGTTGTATCCGTTCGGACCAGCTGCGCCACCGGACAGCGCGGGGAACGCTTCAGTCTCGGATGCGTCTCTTGGTGGCTGCCATGATCGCTGCGCGTGCGCGGGAGGGTGGTTCGCGTAGTGACGCGCATAGTCGTGTACATAGTTGGCCGCGAGCCCGTGTGGCGCTGTTGCGTCCGGCGCAGCCATCATGCCAGTAGGCGTGTATGTGGGAGTGATGGCACCATTCGGATAGAAAGCGGGAGCCCTTGAGCGCAGGTTGGGATTCGACTGGGACTGCTGCGGATGGAGTGGCTGTGGCGAGCCGAAATAGCCATGGCCGGCGTGGGTAGGCAGCGCCAGAGGGCTGGGCTGTGACGGACCTGCAGCGACGAGCGAGGGCGAGACAGTGGGCAGTGGGAGCGTGCGGCAGAAGTCAAGATCGTCGGTGTAGCCGTCGGTGGCACGGTTGGAGCCAGCTCTTCGGGAGGTGCGCGTACGCTGGGACGAGCCGTCTTGGCTTGCGGTTGACGAGCTGGAGGAGGGCACCTTTTTGCGACTGCCGGATCGTGCGCCTGCGATGGATGCGACGGGGCTCGAGGCAGCCGAGCTTGCCGGCGATTGCTTTGACTCGCTGGTGGTGCCGGCATCCTTGGCGAGGTCGTTCTCCTTGAATTGACCGAGTTGGGATGAGGACGAGGTGGGAGAGGTCGAGTCAGCAGAGGCAAGGTCGCCAAAGATGCGAGCGCGTGCGGCCTTGTAGGAGGCCTCGCGTTCTTCGAGCGTCATGTCCTTGCGCGCCTTTGCGGTGTTGGTGCGTTCCGAGTCGCTGTTGCTGGCGGATGCGTCGTCGCGCAGACGAGAATGGCGACTGCTGGAGGGATCGCGACGCATGATCTTGAAAGCGGCTTTGGGTGCTGAGGGGTGCGCCGAGGGGGGAGTGCCGGTGGCGGTTGGGACGACGCGAGGCGATGAGGTTGCCGAATCCTGCGCGGCAGGCGTCGCGGCGCCGGTGCTGGGACCACTGGAAGGTGCAGCGGCAGCAGCAAGCATGGTGGGAGGAGTGGATTGGGCTGCGGCGTCGACAGGATCGATGCCGTCACGCTGAGCGACGTGTTGGCGTGCTCGGAGCGAGAGAAGGACCGGTGGATGCGTGGTGAGCGAGGTTCTGGAGAGGGTGATGCACTGTGTGGCACGGTCGAGATGGTGATCGAGGTGGAACTGATCGGCGCATCTGTGGACGAGCAATCGCTGGTAGGCATTCATCGGCGCGAGCTCGAGGTTGGAGCGGGAGGGATCGCGGACAAAGACGGACATCTGATTCTCGTACTGGCTGAAGAAGATGCGATCGTCACGCTTGCGCATGGCCTGGAGGATGGTGTCATCGAGTGGCGAAGACGCAAGCGGAAACGCAAGCGGAGAGGTGGACGTTGATGCCAGCGCTGATGCGGGGGGTGCTGCGACTGTTTGTGGCGGCGTTGCCTGACGCGAGAGAATCGCTGGTGACGAAGCCTGACCGGATCGAAGCGCCGAGGCAAAGGTGACCGGACGAGCCGGATTGGATGCGGCCATGTCGGAAGGAGGATCCGAGTGGAGCGAGGTGGCCATGAGCGCCTGCGAGAGCGGGTCGAGTTGTGTCATGGTTGAACGAGGGCGCGCCGAGTCGAGCGAGTCAAGGGTGCATGTCAGCCAGTGCGCAGCGAGGATGAAGCTGATGCTGAGAGTGCTATGCCGGTGTCAACGGAGCTGAACCATGGCTATGGGAGAAGCAAGAGCTGTGGTGGAGTGGAAGGCGGGATGAGCGTTGCCAGGTAGGACCGAGTCGGACAGACAGCAAAGGTGCGAGAGCGCGGATGTGCGCAATAGAATGAGGTGTGACCGAGAGTGTTGCGGCTGCTTGAGAGGCGTAGTCTGATGAGCATCGAGTGTGCAAGGAGGTGGTGTGCGGAGGAGGAAGAAGAAGAAGGCGAGCGTATGTGTTGAATGCAGCGGTTGTCCGCACCTTTCTTGCCGCGCATCACACTCGAGCCTTGACTTCTCCGCATCGGCCGTCAAATTTGAACATTTTTTGGCCGCCTCTCCCGCTGTCAAGCCGACCAACTCTGGAAGAAAAAAAAGGTGGCCAAAAAAGAAGAAACAAAATCGCCGATGCCTGGCTGCCTCCTGCCGTCTTGCGCTTTTTGTGTTGGGTGGGACTGGCAGGATCGATTCGAGAATCTTCTCATTTTTGTAGCACATTTTTGGTGGAGCCTTTTTTTTGACGAATTTCGGAGGGATTGCCCTTTTCTTTTTGGGTGGGTGGAGCGTGGAGCGCAGCAGCAGATCGCACGATGATGGCCAAAAATCCACAGCCAAATCCACAGCCAAATCCAAAGCCAAATCCAAAGCCAAGGCCGCGTGAGGGAGGCTGAGCCGCTGCGCCATCTCGTCACACCGAGGCGGGGGAGCAGCTCCAACTGCCAACGCTCTCATCAGCCAAAATTCCCAAAACTCAACGGCTGCGCCCAACTCATCAAGAGTCCCTTTGTCTCTTCATCCTTCTCTGCCAGACCCACCACGGCGCCTCCTTCTTCCTCGTCCTCTTCTTCTCACACCCTCTCCGTCCTTGCGCGAGCTCTACCCCCCTTGCCTCTAGCTTACGCTCCTTTCGTCCCGCCGCTTAATTGATCTTGGCACCAGGCTTCATCCCGGCTCCATCCTCAGCCATCGACAACGGCCCTCACCACTTCGAAAAGGATTCACTTCTCTTCAAGCGTCTGCGCCATACTCCGCCATGGCTCCTCCGATAGAGCAAGCAGAGCATTCGGCCTCGTCGTCGTCGACGGTGCCTTCGCAAGCCTCCTCGTCTATCAAAGACACCGCATACAGCCAGCCTTCCACGTCCGCATGGCTATCAGCAAACCACTCCTCCTCGTCTGGCACTGCGCCGCCATCATTTGTATCGCCATCATCACTGCACGACCACCACGCATCAACACTAACCACCTCATCGCAAAAATCGCACTCTACCGGTGTTACTTTCCGTCAACCAGGCCAGCCCTCGCCCCTTTCCAGGCAAAGAAGGGCAGCGCAACAATCACAATCACAATCACAGCCGCAAACGCTCGATCCACACTTGCAGTCGCTTCAGGAGGCCCACCTCTCGGCCGCTTTCCGCCCGCCTTCGCCAGCCAACGCACCCGCGCTCACCCTCTCTTATCGCTGCCGACCCGACCCTTCCCAGTTCCCCAGCTTCGCCGTGCTCCTCGATACCCTGCCAACAACCGCAACCCGCCCTCGCCCGCGCCAACCTGCCCACCTCAACACCGCCACCACCGCAGACAGCACGCCAGCTCCCTCCTCCATCTCCACACACCCATCCTCCCCGCTCACATCAGAACATCCTGATCTCGCAGCATCCTCCCTCACAGAAGCAACCAGCATCACCGCAGCCGACTCCAATGCAGCCACCTCCACCACCACATCCACCCCTCAACTCGCAGCACCCAAACTCAACGCTTGGGGAACGCCCAAATCATGGGCTCAAACCCTCGGCCGGAACGGCCTGGCTTCCAACGCTCCCATCGGCGTCAGCGTCAACGTGAGCGACTCGCACGATTCCTCTTCCGCCGCCGCTTCCCCCGCACGCTCTCCCAAGGCCTCCTCTAGTGCCAAAAAGTCGTCGCGCAAGTCCGCCGCTTCCGCGTCCAAGCCCGCCCTCATGAGCCTCGAACGCCTCCTCGCAGACGCCCACACCCGCTTCGACGCTCCCGTCACACACCCGCGCGGCCTCGTCAACAAGGGCAACTTTTGCTTTGCCAACGCCATCCTCCAGACGCTCGTCTACTGCGCTCCCTTTTACAACCTCTTCACCCTCGTCGGCAACGAGGTCCCCGCCGACTTTGGCAACGCAACCCCGCTCATGGAGGCCGTCATCCACTTCCTCCGCGAGTTCCTCCCCGCCGACGCCTCGCATGCTCTCAACGACGGCCCCCTCCCCGGTCAAGATGCCTCGGCCGCTGCCGCCGCCTCCGAACCTTTCCTGCCCGAATTCGTCTACGATGCCATGCGCCTCAACAAGCGCTTCGATCAGATGCGCAGAGGTCACCAGGAGGACGCAGAGGAGTTCCTCGGCTTCTTCCTCGACACCCTGCATGAGGAGCTCATCTCTGCGCAACGCAGATCGGCACTCAAACTCGCACAATCCGCCAGCGGCCCCAATGGCCTGCTCGCAAAGATGTCCGAGGAGGAGAAGAAGCTCAACGGCGTCTCGGACGATGATCTGCGCCGTCTCGGCGTCCGCATCAACAAGGACGGCTCCTCCGCCGATGCCATCGGCCTCGGTCTCGAGGCTGCACTTGACGACGACGAGATCGTCGAGCGTGAAGTCATGAGGCCCGTCAGCCCCTCGGAGCAAGGCTGGATGGAGGTGGGCCAGAAGGGCAAGACCGCCTACACGCGCACCACCTCCACCTCGGAATCGCCCATCACCCGCATCTTTGGCGGCAAGCTTCGCAGCGTGCTCAAGACGCCCGGTGCCAAGGACAGCGTCACGCTCGAGCCGTATCAGCCGCTCCAGCTCGACATTCAGCCCGCCCACGTCCAGTCCATCGAGGACGCGCTGCTTCACCTCACCGAGCCCGAGATCATCCCGGGCGTCTGGTCGCCCGCACGCGCCGCTCAGGTCGATGCCACCAAGCAGGTCTTTATTGAGTCGCTGCCGCCCGTGCTCGTGCTCCACCTCAAGCGCTTCATCTACGACGAGATCGGTGGTGTGCAAAAGAGCCAGAAGCCGCTCGCGTACGGCACCACGCTCGACATTGCGCCCGAGGTGCTAAGCCCCGCCATGCGCGCGCAGCCGCGCCCGCGCTACCGCCTGTTTGGCATCGTCTACCACCACGGCCGCCACGCTTCGGGCGGACACTACACCGTCGACGTGCTGCGCCAGGACGGCCACTCGTGGCTGCACATTGACGACACGCTCTTCCACCCCATCCCCACCGAGCACGTGGTGCGCAACGCCGCGTCGGCCAACAAGGACTACGGTCACGACGGGCTTGCCTACCTCCTCTTCTACCGACGCGAGCTTCAAGGAGAGGCAGAGGCCAGTGCCACGCCGAGTCCGGTAGCTGCGCCTGCCACGGCCAAGGCGGCGGCACCGGTCAAGCCGACGGTAGCGGTCAAGGCAAACGGCAGCCACGCGGCGGCAGCGGCGGCGGCCGCAAAGGGCAAGCAGGCCAAGAGTGGCGCGGGCGCCAAGCTGACCAACGGACATGCGGATTCGGCCGCATCATCGCCGCGCACGCAGCACGACTCGCCCAAGCCCACGCCGGCGCGCAAGACGGTGCCGGGCTGGAGCAAGTAGACGCGCGCCTCTTCTCTTTCTCTAGCAGTTTCGGTGTACTCACTCGCAATCACATTTCGCATTCATTCAGTCTCACGCGGCGCAGGAAAGTTCGGGACAAGGATGGCATTGCGACAATAGAAAAGCTTAAACGCGGGTCGTGAGCTGGAATCGTTGCGGGGTCATGACAGAGAGAAATTGTTCATCATCATCATCATCATCGAGATGGGATTAGGACTCGGCGTCGATGGGGGTCTGGTTGGCGGGGGCGGGGGTGTTGCCCATGGGGGCCGAGGTGGAGGGGTCTCCACCGCGGCCGCGCGCATCGCCGGGGTAGGTGGCGTTGGCGGTATCGTTGGCCGGAGGCGGCGAGAGGTCGATGTTGACCGTGCTCGGGTTGGCGGGAGGCAGCGTGGCGCCTGGAGCAGGCACAGCGGGCGCATTCGGGTCCGGAAGCGGAACACTCTCCGGATCAGTCACATCCTGAGCGGTAGCCAGCATACCTGAACCCGAATCACCACTCGGAGCCGTGGCCACCGGTGCAGTCGGCGCACTCGGTGTCGTCGGTGTAGTCGGTGTAGTTGGGGTGGTCGGGGTAGCTGTAGGATCGGTGGGAGTGGGGGTTGGGGAGTTAGGGTTGGTGGGAGCGTCCCAAGCTCTGGGAATGAGCGCGACGGGCAGGATCCAGGTGGCACTCAATACGACGCCCTGACCCTTGTTGAAGCTCTTGATGGTATCCCAACTCCAACCGATGAACGTCGAAATGTAGCCCGTGGTAGGAGCAATTGCCTTGAGGATGGTAATCACCGCGCCGAAGGCAGTGGGCAGACCAGCGGGGACGTTGTTGAGGATGTACGTCAGACACTTGTTGATCAGGTTCGCCACCTTCTCGGCCTCGTCCACATCGCCGTCTAGCGAATCCAACACCGGCTGAGGCAGGTACAGATTATAGCCCCACCACGAAGCATGGATCGAGATCTTGGTGGAGCTGGGGACCCAGACACGTTTCTGACCTCCCGCCACCGGAGTTTCCGGTGCAGCCGTCTCCGGGTTGGTGGATTTCTTGACCCACGGCATCCAACTGGGCCACTTGAGTTCGAATGCCGACGAGGTGAAGGCGTTGTTCGGATCCGTGTATGCCGAAAGCGACAGATAGCTCGGCATGATCTTGGACCCACCGCCCAGGTTGGACGAGCTCGGCTTGTGTCGCAGCGACGTCTTGCTGGTGAGGCTGTCGAACTTGAACTTGATGCCGGCGCCGATGTCTTGGAAGAGCGAGTCGGCGTTTCCGTTGAAAAAGTGGTGGTCGTGCAGTACGGCGGTGGGGACGACGACGCTCTTGGCGAGTTCGACGGTGGTGCAGTCGAGATCGCAGCTGAGCGTGATGGCGTTCCACATGCCATCGTCCTCTACTCCCGATTGGGATCGTACGCTCAGGGTGGATCCGGTAGTGGGGATTTGACCCCACGATGCACCGGCAGGTAAACCTTCGAGCGACGACCAAACCGTACCCACGCCCGTCCAGCGTTCCTCCTCGGCACGACGACGAACCACCGTACCCGAGGGAACGAAGGCCGTCAGGGCACGGTTGGCATGCTTGCGTTCCTCCACCTCCGCGGCGGCCGCGCGAAGTTTGTCGCAGTTCATAATGCTGCCGTCCGAGATAAAGTCGATGAGGTCTGCGTTGGAGACGCGGCTGAAGAACGGCGGACCGGGCTTGAGCATGGAGGCGATCTTTTGGGCCACTTCGTCCGGCGTCAGCTGCTTGCCGTTGACCGAGAATGCATCGGGCACAGCCGAGGCGGATGCATAGCTCTGGCGCGCCATGGGACCGGGCGGACCCGGATAGCCATGTCCACCGGTAAAGATGCGCGACTTGGGCGAGAGGAATGCCGACACGTGCGGATTCTCGGCCAACCGCACCGTCTTCTTGGACGGGCTCGAGGGCGCACTGTCGTGGTGCGAGAACGACGGCTTCTTGGAGATACCCGGCATCGCGATGAAGCTCCCAATCGAGATGATGGTAGTGCGAATGGACGAGGAAGAGGGGAGGGGAAAGGAAAGAGAGATGTGGATGGGGCGGAGAGTTGGGCGGAGCTGGTAGCGATGCAGCTGCGTGTATATACGGATGCGCGCTCAGCCGCTCCCCTCGGTCGGATTCACGATACTGGGAGCAGAGACTGGCGAAGCAAGCGTCAGCCGGGGCGGACGGATAGAGTCTACTGGCGCATCATGCCCGCGTCTTGGCGGAGCGCGCGGGGGTTCAGACAGCAAGCGAGGCCGGAGGATCGACGGAGTGCATTCAAGCTTGTCACGGCAGACCAGACTGCACACTCGAGGCTGGCCAACTCTACCTCGGCTTGGCGGCGCTGCCCCGGCTACTGCTCGTTTGTCAACTAGTGCGTCCGATATCCGCCCAAGTCGTCGTTGCGAGCATCGCGCCTCCTAAACCTCTCGCCGTTCGCAAGCTACGTTCAACCGAACTCCCACGCCCCGCATCTCTGTACTATTCTTCACCACTGGTGATGGGCAGGATGATCACATGGGGGGGCTGCAACAATAGACTCTACCGGCTGCTGTTCCGGGCCAAACGCCGTTACGACAGGGGGATGCCAACCCAGCCCAAAAAAATTCAAGCACGATTCTACACCGCAGCTTCGCAGGTCCACTTTGAATCTCCGCCTTCCACACGGCTGGGCTGCTTTGATGCAAACTCGCCCCGACGCTATCCCTGAGCCTCTTTCGCCCCCTGCATACCCAGACCCGAAACCTCGGCATGAGTAACTTGCCAGCCTCCCGACGGTCCTGATGGCTGTATGTGTGTTTGAGAGAAGCTTGCTTTGATGATGCGAGAAAAATAAAGACGCCGTTGTGGATGGCGGGCAGAGTTTGACACCTCTGCAGGCGCCACCGCCCGACGCTTTGGGTCTCGCATGGATGCACGCCGCCCCTGAGCCGTGGGACCTGTGGCGGATGCGCCAGTGTCGCGTAACTTATTGTTTTGGCCTGAGAGTTCCTGCGCATCGCGCCCAAAGCAGCCACGCGTAGAAGCGAAGCGCACTGCAGCTTCCAACCTGCCTAATCGGGAATTTTTTCAAGGTGTCAGATCGCTGAAAGTACCCTATGCCAAAAAATTGGCTGCACTCGTATCGCTGATGTCCTCATCCTCGCAGCCCTCACACCGCAACGACAGACACGGGTCACGCACTTTCAATTGTTCTGGTGTCGATAACGATCTAGTCTCCACTCTGAAGCTGTTGCAGACTGAAGCCAGCAAAGCTGAGCAAAAGCCTATCTAGAACTTGTACACCTGCTCGGGAGTGTAGCCCATCTGGGCGAGGAGGCCCTTGAGCTCGCCCTGGCTGCCCTTGGGGCCCTTGCCGCCGCTGATGGCCTCCACCTGGGGCGGCGGGCCGCACACAAAGATCTTGGCCTTGCCCGCCTGCTCGGGCTTGGGCAGGTGCTTGGTGATGAGCTCGGGCGTCACGTAGCCCTCGAAGCCGTTGAAGCCCTTGGGCAGCTTGTCGAGGCCGTACACCACCGTGAAGCGCTTGTCCGTCTTGGCGAGCTGGTCAAACTCCTCGCGCAGCAGGATGTCCTTCTCGCTCTTGTTGGTGTAGATCAGCGTCACCTGCGTCTTGTCCTCGGGGTTCGACGCGACGGCCTGCATCACCTGCCACATGGGCGTGATGCCCGAGCCGCCGGCGATGAGGCCGATCGATTCAAACTCGTTCGCCTTGTAGGGGAACTTGGCGATGGGACCCTTGATGCCCAGCTTGTCGCCCGGCTTCATCGAGTGCATGTGCGTGGTCATCAGTCCGCCCGGGTACTTCTTCACCAGGAAGTCCATGTGGCCCTCGGTGTCGGGCGACGTGATGGGCGTGTAGGGACGGATGACGTCTTTGCCCTTGTCGTCCTTCAGACCGTCGCCCACCGCCTTGACCACAACAGCCGAGGCGACATTCATACCGGGCTTCTTGCCGTCCGGCAGCTCAAACACCAGCGTCGCAGAGTCGTGGTTGTACGGCTTGATCTCCTTGAGCGTAAACTCGACAAACTGGTCCTTGTTGAGCGCACCGCCCGATACGGCCGCCTTGGCCTGGTCAACCGCCTCCTGGCCCTTCTCCTGCACCTTGTTCTTGGCCTTCTTGGGGTCGTCGAAGCCGCCCAGCGAGTACCAAGCTCCCAGACCCGCCACACCGCCCAGCGCAAGCACCAGCGGCAGGTTCGAGCCACCCGACGGCTTGCCGGCCTCGGTCGCGTACTGGCGCACTGCGGGTGCCTTGGAGCGCAGGCTCGAGCGCGCCGCCTGGCCGAGCGAAGAAGAGAGAACGGGTCGGATCAACATGGTCAAGAAAAGCTCAGATGAATGTGTGGATGTAGGTGGTGCAAAGGCAAGCTGGCTCACTCCAACCTTTGTCCTGCTGCCCGTCTGATGAGCGCGGTCTCCTCGGTCTCCTCTCGGGTGAGCCGGGTGACGCTCCCAGACTGCTCTTGAACCTGTCTTTTTTTGGCGCTGCCAAGTGGAGGAGAAGACGCCAGCTATGACTTCACGTCATCGGCGGTGCGCCTGTCAATCGCGCAGCCCAAAATCGGATTTTCTTCGCAATCACGGCATCAACTCGCGAAGATGCGCACGGTCGTCGCTCTCACTTTGCGATCGAGCTGCCCGTACAAATTAGTCACATTTTGTCAGCAGAGCTACACTCCAAGGTCTAACAGCTACAAATGCAGATTTTTTGGACGTTGCGCGCGGCAGACTTCTTCATCCGACTCAGCCTTGTCCTTCGCGGCGTCTTTGCAGCTTCCACCAACAGTCCGATCCGACATCGCCCAACATGGCGGCCGCAACGCTCATTCGCAAGGCGCTGCCTAAACTCGACGATCCCGTCGTCGAGTACCTCGACGGCTACATCAACGATGCTGCTGACGACCCTACCGAGGACCTCTTCGAGACGGTGGTCAAGCCCATGCTCGAGTCGGCGTGCATCTCGGACCCGTCGTCGTCCAAGCAGGTGAGCGCGCTGCTGCCCAAGCTGCTCGAACTCATCCAGTCCAAGTTGCCCGATGACGATGCCGATGCCGCCAACGCCTCGGGCCTCACGCGCCTCGACAAGGTGGTCGACATGCGCAACACCGAGATGTCGCGCACCTCGGGCTTCGACACGGCGGGCGGCGTGGACATTGCGCTCGGCACGACCAAGCAGAACCGCTCCACCGTCGACGTCAAGAAGCTCGAGAAGCAGGAGGCCAAGACGCGCGCCAAGCTCGCCAAGCGTGCACAGCGCGACCTGTACGAGTCGAGCAAGCTCGTGCAGCAGTCCAAGCAGCAGGCGAGCTACGAGGAGCTCTTCCTCAAGGTCAACCCGCTCGAGAGCATGGGCAACAAGGGCAAGAACAAGGACATCCACCTCCCCAACATCGACGTCAGCTTCGGCTCCAACCGCATCCTCTCCAACGCCACGCTCACCATCAAGGCCGGCCGCCGCGCCGGTCTCATCGGCCGCAACGGTGTGGGTAAATCCACGCTGCTGCGCAACATGGCGCTGCGCGAGATCCCCATCCCCACCCAGATCTCCATCCTGTACGTCGAGCAGGAGATCGTCGGCGACGACACCTTGGCCATCGACAGCGTGCTCAAGGCCGACGTGTGGCGTGAGAAGCTCATGCAGGAAGAGGCGCAGCTCAACGCCGAGCTGCAGAAGCTCGAGGAGTCGGCGGCGGCCGCCGTGGCAGCTGCCAATGCAGCAGCCGCAGCTGCAGCAGCGTCGCAGTCCGAGGGTGCCGAGGGCGAAGAGGCGGCKGCGGCAGGGCTGTCGCGCGGATCGGCGGTGGACATGCCGACGCGCCAGCGCGAGATCAAGCGCGAAGAGCTCTCGACGCGGCTGGGCGAGGTGCAGGCCAAGCTGGTGGAGATGGAGGCCGAGACGGGCCCCGCACGCGCCGCCGCTCTGCTCAACGGTCTCGGCTTCAAGACGGACGACCAGCAGCGCGCCACCAAGACCTTCTCCGGAGGCTGGAGGATGCGACTGGCGCTCGCACGTGCGCTCTTCTGCAAGCCCGATCTGCTCATGCTCGACGAGCCGTCGAACCATCTCGACCTCAACGCGCTGGCGTGGCTCGAGGACTACTTTGTCAACGACTACGAGGGCACGCTGCTGGTGGTGTCGCACGACCGTGCCTTCCTCAACCGCGTCGCCACGGACATCATCCACATGCACAGCGAACGGCTCGACTACTACAAGGGCAATTTCGACCAGTTCTACCAGACGCGCGAGGAGCGACGGCGCAACCAGCAGCGCGAGTACGAGGCGGTGCAGCTGCAGCGTGCGCAGCTGCAGGCGTTCATCGACCGGTGGCGCGTCAATGCCAACCGCGCCGCGCAGGCGCAGAGCAAGATCAAGCAGCTCGAGAAGCTGCCCAACATCGAGCCGCCCGAGGACGACGACGTGGTGCACTTCCGCCTGCCCGAGGCGGACAAGCTGCCGCTGCCGCTGCTGCAGATCAGCAACGTCACGTTCGGCTACCGGCCCGACAAGCTGCTGCTCAAGGGTGTGGATTTCGACATTACGCAGCAGAGCCGTGTGGCGGTGGTGGGCCCCAACGGAGCGGGTAAGTCGACGCTGATGAAGCTGCTCATGGGCGAGATCACGCCGCTGCAGGGCGACCAGAAGCGCAACGGCAAGCTGCGCGTGGGCTTCTTTAGCCAGCACCACATTGACCAGCTCGACCTGAATGCGAATCCGGTGTCGTTCCTTGCGTCCAAGTACCCCGGCAAGACGGAGCAGGAGTACCGCTCGCATCTGGGTGCGTTTGGTATCAAGGGCATGACGGGATTGCAGAAGATCGCAACGCTTTCGGGAGGACAAAAGTCGCGTGTGGCGTTTGCGCATATCAGCATGATGCGTCCGCACGTGCTGCTGCTGGACGAGCCTACGAACCACCTGGATACCGAGGGTCTGGATGCGCTGTGCGAGGCGATCAACCGCTTCAACGGAGGCGTGATCTGCATCTCGCACGACGAGACTTTTATCCACAACTGCCTGCACGAGCTGTGGGTCGTGGATGGCGGCCGCGTGGAAAAGTTCAAGGGCGATGTGGCCGAGTACAAACGCATCATCCTGTCCAAGAACAAGTCCACTGCAAGGCCCTAGATGCGTCGTTATATGGCAATCATACTCGAGGATCATTCATTCACAAGACTGTGTAGAAGGGATTGAGTCGATTGCATTGTGCGTGAGAGTGGGGTAGCTTAGAAGGTGGCGCTTGCATTGGCGGTGCTAGCCACGCCGCCGAACAGATTGAGCGGCCAGGACGCAAAGTAGAACGAGTATCTGCCGAGCTGTTTGCACGTACTTGCGAGTGCCTCCAGATCGAACAGCTCTCCAATGGGCATCCCCCACATGGCGAGGAAGGTTTCGTGCAGCATCGCCTCTCCGTCCCTAGTTGGTCTTGCTTCGAACGCAGGACTGTCACCCGCCACCGCTGCAAAGTGGTGGTTCCACATGAAGCGCTTCATGTCATCGCTCTGTTCGACTCCGGCAAACGGCATACCCATTCCCTCCTTGGGATTGGGATCCGACCAAGCTGCACGTTGCTCGGGTGAGAGCGAGTAGTATCGTGCCGTAAACCCGGAGCGCACGAGCAGAATATCGCCTCGACGCAATTCGACACCCTGGTGTTTGGCGGTTGCTTCGAGATCAGCCACTGTGATGCGGAATCCCGAGCGCGGATCATAACCTTTTCCCCCACCATATTCGGTCCATTTGGACCAACTGTACTGCTCGCGTTGAACGCTGTCCGTGCCGTGGTGGGAGAGATACTCAAACACGTCGAGCAGCACACCCCTTCCACAAATCCCGTGCTGAGCGAGGTGGTGGATACCGAGCGCATTCCTTGCCTTGGCCTGCGGCGTATTCCATGCCTCCGGATCCGCAGGTTGGGGCGAAGGGTCGTTGAACGAATCGTGGATGCTCGCGCGCGATGCACCGCCATAAAACACACTGAGGGGCAAATGGCCATAGTGACGCAGACCGTCCCACTGCGAGCCGCTCTGCGTGTTGAGCTCGAGCAGCTCGTCGCTAATGGGCACCGCCTCATCGTCCACCACATGAACGTCGGGATTCTTGGTGCGCACCGACGCAACGTACGCATCGCGCGGCGCCGTGTATCCGCGCCCACCCTTGCCGAACGGTTTGTGCGTCACCGACTTGCGTGCAAAGAACGGCTCGGCGGGGAGGTGGATTGGCCAGTTGAGCGAGACGGTTCGTCCGGTTTGGATCTCGTGCTTTGCTGCACGCAGGACGAGCGACTCGGTGAGGAGGTTGATCGTGCCCAGCTGGTCTCCTTTGCCCCACACATCCCAGGCACACCCCGGCCACCCACCGTGCGATGGGAGCTCGTGGTAATCGGGCAGCCTTGCGGTATCCCACTTGTTGCCAGCGGACGAGTTGGACGATGAAGAGGCAGAAGATGCCGAGGAGAGCGCACTGAGCAAGCCGGGAGCCTGCTTTGCGGACGAGGTGGCGAGGCCGAGCTGGGAGGCGATGGCTGCGAGTCGGCGACGCGCATGGAGGGGCGACTCGAACTCGGCGATGCTGCGACGCACGTGGAGGGGCGACTCGTACTCGTACCACGACTTTGCCTCCTTGGCGCGTTGTTCGGGGGAGAAGACGTTTTTGGTCGAGAGCGCCATGGCCTGCAGTACGCCGGCGGTCTGGGCGGCGGTGGGCGAGACGGTCTTGGACACCTGCTCCGTGGCCTGAGATGCGGCATCAGCGGCTTTTTGGGTAGCCTGGCTCGATGCCTGTGCGGCCATACCGCCAAAGCGCGTTGCGATCGAGGCGATTCGCTTGCGCGTCGATTCGTCGTCGTGGTCGTCGCCATCACGCGGCGATTTGGCATCTGCATCGGCAGGAGCGTGCGCCGGCGTGGGGCGCTTGGTGTTGGAGTCGTCGACCATGGTGGGAATTGATCTCGACTTGCAACGAGTGATGCCGAAAGTCGGGGAGGTGGTGGTCGTCGAACAAGAGCAGCCGAACTGAGGCAGCCGTGTGGAGTGTAGGCTGAAGCGACAGTCGCTTTGGCGGTGTGGACGGGCCAACACCTGCTGCTGCTGCTGCTGCTGCTGCTGCTGTCAGGGTGGGACTCGGCTGTGTGAAAAAGAGCAACGATCTCAGCCGCGCTACCATGCAAGTCAAGAATGAACGGATGGGCGACTCACCGGTGCAGCTCAGCTGCAGCTGCAGCTCTGTGCTTGAGGGGCCCCGCGTTGCTATTTTGAAAAAAGTCAGATTTGTTAGGCCGCAAGTAAAGCAGCTGGAGATGAATTTTTCTGTTTGGCTCGAGTCAGAAGAGATGCAGGTGAATAATGCCAAAAAAGTAGACTCGGCCTGGTCCGTGGGTCGAAGCAGCAGCAGCACCAAAAAGATGATTTCGAGATGAAGTCGAGGAGGAGCATCGAGCCTACCTCGCATCGGCCATCTCTGGCACCAGTGCTTCTCGACAAGGTCAAGGTCTATGAGGCGCTCCTTGGCTCGCTCTCTACGACAGCATCTCCACTCTGCTCTCCCTTCGATCTGTGCTCGGCCGTCGTCCGCCCCCGTCCTTCAGTTCGGGCACCTGCGTTTACTCTCAAGCACGCCTAGCATCGTTGCATCGGCTTCACCTTTGAGGACCAGCCGAGCCATGTCGAGCGCACAGGCCGAGAGCAGCAGCGCGGCCACCGCCACATCGACGCGCACGTACGACGATGCGATCGAGGCGCTCAACTCGTTGCAGAGCAATGCGGCGACCATCGAGGCGCTGCGCAAGTCGGGCGGACGTCTGCTCGATTTTGCCATCCCCGAGATGGTCGAGTATCTGGAGCGCATCGGCTACACCACCTCGGACCTCAATCGGCTCAACGCCATCCACATCACCGGCACCAAAGGCAAGGGAAGCACCTCGGCATTTGTGGATTCGCTTCTGCGTCAGCTCACGCCCGTGTCCGCCTCGAACCCGCCCAAGGTGGGGCTGTACACGTCGCCGCACATGACGAGCGTGCGCGAGCGCATCCGCATCAACGGCGTGCCCGTATCGCAGGAGCTCTTCACCGCCTACTTTTGGCAGGTGTGGGATCGTCTGGAACAGAATCCCACGCGCAAGTTCGACTTGACGCCGCTGCGGCCCGTCTACTTTCGCTTCCTGACGCTGCTGGCGTTCCACGTCTTCCTGAGCGAGGGTGTGCAGCCGGTGATCCTCGAGGTGGGCATCGGCGGCAAGTACGACTCGACCAACATTGTGCCGCGGTGCGTAGTGGCGGGCATCACGCAGCTCGGCCTGGACCACACGGCCATCCTGGGCAACACGGTGGAGGAGATCGCGGTGCAGAAGGCGGGCATCTTCAAGCAAGGCGCACCCGCAGTATGCTGGGCACACCAGCCCGGGTCGGCGGTGGACGAGGTGCAGCGCGTGGCGAGCGAGGTGCGTGTGAGCGGCCTGCGCATGGTCGATGTGCATCCTGCGCTCGCGTCGGGAGCACCCCAGAGCATACAGCTTGGACTGCCTGGTGTGCACCAGCGCACCAACGCCAGTGTGGCGCTCGAGCTCGTCAACGCCTTTCTCGAGTCCGAGGCGGGTCGCTCGGCGTACACGGAGCATGCGCACCGTGGAGCGGCAGGAGAGTTGGCTGCGTGGCAGAGGAAAGGCCTGGAGGATGCGAGGTGGCCGGGTCGATGCCAGACGGTGCCCAGTGCTCGTTCGGATGCGGCTCTGACGTGGTACCTGGACGGCGCGCACACCACCGACTCGCTCAGCGTCTGTCTGGGCTGGTACACGGCCACGCAGCAGCAGCAGGGTCAAGAGAATTGCAAGAAGCGTATCTTTGTGTTCAACTGCACCAACGGGCGCAATGCCCACGAGCTGCTCTCGTCGGTTCTCGATGCAGTCGAAGCAAGCCTGCATGGTGGTGAAGAAGCGGCGTCGACCAAGGCGGGCACGGATCGCTACGCGCTGGCCAAGGACTACTTTGACGAGGCCATCTTCACCACCAACATCACGTTTGAGGGTGGCGGCTGGTCGTCCGAGCTGACGTCCAAGCTGCTCGACGATGCCGAGCTTGTCAATCTCACGGTGCAGAAGCAGTTGGCCGAGACGTGGAAGCAGCTCGTGCCCGGCTCGTCGACCGAGGTGCGCATCACCCCCAGCATCCAGGCGCTGCACAACCACGTGGTCGAGCTAGCGCAGAAGCAGCAGCAGGGTCAAGGTGGGGGTGTCGAGTGCCTCGTCACCGGATCGCTGCATCTGGTGGGCGGCGTGATGGCGCACCTCCAACACAGCGGTTGTCTCGACGATCGACTCGTCTCCACTGTGCGGCCCTGATCACACACAAACACAGAAGAAATCTCAATAGAGGCGATGTGATTGATGCACTTGCTGTGAGAGGGGTGGGAAGCATGAGATGTGCCGGAAGAAATTTGGCTGCAAGCCCCTGTCTGCCATCCTGGTGAGATGCGTTTGGCAAAGGGTCCAAGCACCGTTGCGAGGCGGTGACGTGCCAAAACGTTGAATAGCCATCCACGCCCGACACGCCAAAAATGTTCAAAAAAACAAAAAGAAAAACAAAAAGAAAAAGGATCGGCTAGGTGCAGGTGCAGCTGAGGGAGGCGTGTGCTGACGCTGCACTGCTCAGGAGTCATGCATGGCGGCGTGTCTTTTTGTTGGCAAAGCCCACAGGAGAGCGGCGACTTTTCTTGTGGGAAGCGCCGGGCCCCTCTGGACGAACCCCTGAGAGTCGCTCTCGAGCCCCTTTTTTCGCCCGGCCGTCGTTGGGATGTGTTTGGCAAATCCACTCTCCGCCCTGAGCGGTTGCTGAGCGGTTGCTGAGCGGTTGCTGAGCGGTGCAGGACAGCCGTCATGATTCCCGATTGGCGCTGCACCAGAGGCTTCCGCACGCACGACCCTGAGAACATGGCTCGCTCTACAGCCCCTCAGCCTCTGCCTCTGCCTCAGTCTCAGCCTCAACCTCAGCTCGCCGCTCCTTGGCAGGTACTGCAAGTCGTACACGCCTGTCCTGCTCGCCTGCTCGCCTGCTCGCCTTCTTGCCTTCATCACCCCGCTCGACTTGGCGCTTCCCGGATCGTCGCCACCACCACCACCATCATCTCCACCCTTGCCTCTCTCCCTCCTCCCTCCCCACCCCACTTGCCACGCAACAAGCCCACGCTCTTCATCTAACGACACGCAACGTCACGAACACGCACACGCTCACCACCTCTGCCTTGCACTTTTCTCTCCCACTGATCCTCACCACCGCAGCTGCGACGCATCTTCATTTCACCTTTGCCCATCGCACGTCATCTTCTGCAGCCCTGCTTGCCGTACGCACCACCCCTGACGCCCCGCACCGCACCTAGCGCCACTCGACCACCATCCCATCGCCACACGCACAGATCATGATGACCGCCGACTCCATGCACAACGCCTTCCGAGGTCTCAACCTCTCCGATCCACAGCACGACCCCAGAAAACAACAGCAACAGCAACAGCAGCCACAGCAACATCAGCAGCAAACTTTTACCACGCCTCCTCGTCAGCCCGCTTCGCTTCGTTCGCCCACCATCCTCACCTCCGACCTCCCCGGCCAGCCCGGCTTCTCCTCCCAAAACCACCCACACTCGCCCAACTCGCTCGGTCAGAGCGCAGCCGCACGCTTCGAGCGCTTCTTCCCTTCCTCCCCCAATACCACCAGCTCCAACCCTTCCTCCGCCGGCCAAACCTTCACCAGCTCCATTGGCTCCGCCGCCGGTCTCGCCGCCAACAGCGCCTTTGGCTCCTTTGGTCACAGCCTCGCTCCAGGCAGCATGAACGGATCCAGCAACGGCTCCGGCCACTTTGGCTCCTCCCACAACGGCCCTCGCAAGGCTTCCAGCCGCGCCGCCATCCCCGCACAGTGGAGCTCCCAAGACCCCTCCGCGCTCAACACCGCGCCCTCAGGCACCTCGCCACCCAAAACCAACAACCCGCTCCTCCAAGCCTATCCCGCACACGACGCCAACGCACTCGCACCAGGCGACGACGACGTCATCCCCACCGCCATCGTCGTCAAAAACATCCCCTTCAGCGTAAAGCGGGAGCAGCTGCTCGAGATCATCGAGGATCTCGGCATCCCCATGCCATACGCCTTCAACTACCACTTTGACCAGGGCATCTTCCGCGGCCTTGCCTTTGCCAACTTCCGCAGTGCAGAGGAGGCCGACGCCGTCGTGGCAGCGCTCAACGGCTTCGACGTGAGCGGCCGCAAGCTGCGCGTCGAGTACAAAAAGGTGCTCCAGGCTGGCGAGAAGGAGCGCATCGAAAAGGAAAAGGCCATCAAGCGCATGCAGAGCATGCAGCTCGAAAAGGAGAGGGAGCGCGAGCGTCGTCGTCATCAGGACGATTATGCCGCCAACGCCTACCTCATGCCCGGGTTTGGCAGTGCCAACGCTGCCGATGCATATGCGCTCGATGCCGGCGCACACCAGCAAGGTTTTGAGCAGGGCGTGCGTGCTCCGCTCACCGCGGACTCGCTGCGCAAAGTGCCCTCGTCCCAGCACCTTTCGGCCGGCGCAGGTCGTGCTGCCGGTCCACCTTCGTCGTCCAGCAACCCCACCGCCGCTGCGGCGAATGGTGCTGCTGGCGCTGCGGGCGCCGCATCGGCAAAGAAGGAGGAGCTGGATCTCAACGATGCTGCGACGCTCGAGATCTACTCGCGCGTGCTGCTCTTCAAGGACGACCGCATGCGCGACGAGCTCGCCTTTTCGCGCAGCCTCACACCCATGGAGCGTCGCACCGTGCATCTCGTCGCACAGCGGCTGGGGCTCTTCCACTACTCGCTCGGCGATGGGGAGGAGCGCTACGTGATTGTGACCAAGAACGAGGTGAGTGCGCCCGCGAGGCCGTTGCGCTCGCAGGCGTCGACCATCGGACGCACGCAACGCACAGCAGGCTTGGACGGCGCTTCCACCGGCGGCTTCTTGGGTCCGGGCAGTGCGGCTACGACGGGTCGTGCCGGACTGCGCATGAAGAAGTCGGCACCCGATATGAAGCGCGGCGAACGCGATGCGGGCTATGCTGGTCACGGCTACGGCGCAGGTATGGGTGGTGCACTGTCGGCGCATCGATCCAACACCAACCTGCGGGACGGATATTCGTCGACCATGGGGCGTCGAACTCAGCCGAATGCTGCGGGTGGAGCTGCTGGTTTGCAGAGTCTATTTTCGCAGCCGGATGCGACGCCGTCGTCGCAGAGTGGAACCGAGTCGTCGAGCCACAACTCTTCGCCTACGCATTCGAGCCTGTTGCGTCAGCCTCGTGGCCCGCCTGCCCCCGGAACGGATCTGCGCAACTTTGCAGTGAGGTCCAGGGTCTCGACCAACTCGAGCAACAGCAGCGCCCTCCCCGTCGTCACCCCACCCACTGCACCCGTCGGCGGCTTCCAGCTCCATATCAACGGAAGCCCCTCCAAGACCAACGCATACCCAGGCTTGGACCATCTAGAACCCACCTCCCACCAGCCACTCGAGTTTTGAGAATCTGCAATCATCCGTTCGCATCTCCATCAGCCAATTCAGCATTGTTCAGATCAAGCATTGTTCAGGTTACCGCAGTCGGCATTGTGTGCGGTTGGTTGTTGAGTGGAAGCGTGTGGGTGAGAATGCGAGGGCGATGAAGCAGTTCGGATGATCGATCGAACAGTAAATCCATCAATCGACCGTTCGATGGATCTTTCGATTGATCGATCGAAGGACACGTGGACCCAAACTCGAAGCCTCCGACCCCTTAGACAGCCTGGTGCCGAGCCAAGACGCATTGATTGCAAAGCGGCCGTGTAACGTTCGCACACCGAATCCCAGACATTCGACGCTCCATCCGCTCAATCTGGTGCGGTTTCGCCTCAAAAGAACGGCATTGGCTTAGAAGAGCCTTTGCATAGCACATCACACCACACACGCATACATCGACCAAGATGAGGATACGATTTTGATACAGCAGCGAATGGTACGCAAATTTTTTCAAGGGGCCAACTTATGTGAACCGACTCGCGAGCGAGTTGGACTGGATGCGCTTGAGCAGTTTGGGTGCGGCGTCCGAGTCCATGCGCTGTGCAAGCGAGGGGCTATCGTCCCACCGCCCATCGGAAGCGGGAGCCTTCATCCTGCCTCTACCCTTGACCCGGACGTGACTGGACGACGGCGAGTCGCGGCGCGAAGGCGAAAGTTCGCGCTCGTGGTGGCGCTGACGTGCGTGTCGGTCGAGCTCTTCGTCCATCTCGGTTGCCGACGGTCGCGATCGGCGACCCCTACGCCGTGTATCCTCGTTGGCCAAGTACGCGTCGTGGCCCCATCGACCGCTGTCGGAACGAGGCTCGCGGCGTCGGCTGCGCGAGCCGAGACGGTCCATCAGATCGTCGTCGCCCCGCGCAACCGCGTCGGCCATCATCTCGCCCGGCTTGCGCTCCGGCTCATCCGTGCGCGATGCGACGTGTCGATCCAACTCCGAGTCGAGCTCGTCGAGCATGGATCTACGTTCGTCGCGACGTCGCGGCGGCTCGGACGACGACGGCTCGTAGCCCGGGAACAGCTCCTTGGTCTCAGCCACCTGGCCGACCTGGAGCAGCTTGGGCACGATCTCGCGTCCGGCGTCGTAGCCGTGTCGCTTGTACCACTGGCTGCGCGTGGATGCGCGCGACTCTTTGCGGTCCACATCGGTGACCGCGTGACGCAGCCACAGCACGGAGCGCAACTTGCGCAGCTCGCGCACCTCGCGGCTCTCGAGCTTGTTCCTGCGCTCCTCCTGCTCCATCTCGCGGTAGATTTCGGGCACGTCGTCTGGCAGCTCGGAGACCGCCGCTTCCATCTGCGTGCGCGACTCTTGCTCGGCGAGGGCAGCCTGTCGCTCCACGTGCGTGTACAGCTTGCCCGGCACGCGGTGTGCCTTGCGCGGCTGGACGAGCGACGTGATGAACTCCGAGTGCCACGAGTCCGGATCGTACTCGAGCAGCGTATCGATGTTGGGCAGCGGCGTCACATCCGATTCGACGGGCTGCATCTCGTCGCTCGCGGGCGACGGGCAGAGATACTCGAGCGCAAGACGCGCAGACCGCTCGTCGGCAAACACCACTTTGCAGCGCTGGTCGTCGATCCACTCGAGACCCAGCGGCTGCGCTCCGTAGTGCGTGAGGTAGGCAAACAGACGCGAGGTGGACAGCTGCGTGATGGGCGCGCCTTCGATGAGCAGCGTGTCGAGCCGGATGTCGCTGCCGCCCTCTACGGCAGGCGGACCTGGAGACTCGGTGGGCTCTTCGGTTCCCATGAGTGCGATGTCGTCTAGAGTGGGAGGCTCGTTGCCTGTGAGTGGGGTAGGTCCGCGTTGCGCGCCTGCTTCGACCGCCTGGTCGGTGGGGAGGGCGTAGAAGCGAGAGTTGGAAGCCTGGTCGGGTCGGGAGCCGTCGTCCATGGCTTCGTCCTGCATCGGAATGGCGGCAGCAGCAGCTGCTGCGTCGGTCTCTGCCGAGCCGTAGTCCAGCGGAATGTCTGCCATGATGTCGATCGAGGTGCGAAGCTCGAAGCTCTACTATGGTGGTGGCTGCTGAAGGATGTGCGCGAATGTCGAGGCCCTGCATCGCATGACAGGGTCGCGCGCGACCGACCTTTCCTAAAAGTCGACTTTCGCATCCCGATCGCATCCACATCGGGTACCCGGTCTCTGAGATTTGCCCGCGCTTAGCCTGGCGCAGCGCTCGGTCCGCGCGTTTGGTGGCCACGCGCGTGTGTCACTTTGCTGCTCACCTCCCGCTGCGGTGTGGAGGAGCGCAGTAACAGTAACAGCAGATCAGGGATGTGACACTTTCTGCAAACGGGTCCGCAGTCCCTTTCATTCATCACACCTGCCGCAACGCACCGCTATCCGCACCGCAGCGCAGCGCAGCGCTCTCGGCCTCGGTCTCGCTTCATGAGCGAGCCGCTTCGTCGTCTCAGCCCACCTCTTGCGCTATTGTCTCCCGGCTGCCCGCTCCCCTTCCGAGCTCACACCGTCCGCTTAAAGAGGCAGGGCCCACTCGCGCAAGCGGCCATGCTCTGACCCCGCCCCGCTCTCCCGCATCCTCCACTCTCAACGTCGACCTCAACTCCAACATGAGTCGCTCTCCGACTCGATGTCGCTCCGGCGAGATCGCGCCGGCCGTCGACAAGGTCAATCCCACCGAGACTCGCAGCATCACCTTCGAGTGGCCCTTGCATGACCTCAAGGAGCATTTTGACTCTTCCAAGTCCGACACAAAGTCCAAGGTGATCAGATCCGTTCCCTTCGGTGGTGGCAGATGGACCGTCTTCTTCTATGCGCAGTCGGGCCTCCAGCAGTTCTGCTCGCTCTACCTCAATGCAGAGCCGCTGCCCGAAGAACGCAACTGCAACAAGTCGCCGTGGGAGACTTTCCTCTCCTCCAACAGCCCCGACCGTTCCCACACCTCGCACTCGGACAAAGCCGTGGCGAGTCGTAACGACGGCTGGTCTCGTCAAGGCCTCTTCCGCTTCACCTTCAAGATCCTCACGCTCAACACTGGCGCGGTCTTGGCAACCAAGGAGGCGTGCGACCATGCCTTCAGCCACAAGACTTCCAACTGGGGATGGGCTCAGTTCTCCTCGCGCGACACCGTCTTCTACAACAACGCAGAGGTGCAGCAGTCCAACGCGTTCCTCATCTCGGTCACCATTACCGCCAATGCTGAACGCCCTCGCCCGCTCACCGTGGGCGTGTCGGTGCCACCGGCGCTCGTCGAGGCCATGGGCTCGCTCCTGGACGATCCCGATCACAGCGACGTCGTCTTTGTCATCCGTCGCAAGCGGCGTCATCCCGCCACGGGCGTCATCGTCACGCGCGAGCGTCGCATCTACGCCATCAAAAAGATCCTCGCTTCTCGCTGCGAGTACTTCCGAGACATGTTCGACAGCGGCTTCCTCGAGGCAGACGCCACCGCCAGCTCTTCCGACGACGAGATGCCAGACCATCCCTCTTTCGCTCCGCCATCATCCCGAGGCCCTGGACAGGACCAGCTGGGTCGTTCGGTTGGCGCTCTCGCCTCTTTCAGTGACGAGGACGAGGACGACCTGGCGCTCGAGGATTCGGACGAGGAACTGGACGCAGACGAGGTGTACGAGATGGGCACGTGGAATTTGCACGAAGACGGCAGGCGCGACGACATCCTGATGGCTCGCCAAGCAACGGCGCTACCTCCCGCCAGCAGCACAGACTCTTCGGCTTCACGTCATCAGCGCGAGACAAGCTCGGACGTACCGCAGGTGTGGCCGACGTCGGCTGTCACAGTCGTGCCGACGCCGTCTGGACCGCCGAGGAAACAGCCGTCTCAGCAGAACACGCCTCCCCAATCGCGCAGCCGACAGATCCACGACCAGGACGCTGGTACGGACAGCGGTGAAGACGCAGCTCGCGCTCCGGGCATGTCGGCCTTCCAGACGCCTCAGCATTCGCCACGCCGCGAGCTGAGGAACGATGGCGCTACAGACCTATCGCAATTACGAGATGCGCTGCCTGCTCGTGCCAAGCCTGCTGCTCAGCCGGCTTCGAGAGTGCCTCAACGTCGCAAATCGGACGAGTCGACGGGGGCAAGCGCACCGACAGGCAAGAAGAGGCGCAAGGTGGTGGTTCGCGACGCTGCCTACGCCACATACAAGGCGCTGCTCTACTACCTCTACACCGATACCGTCGCATTTGCGCCTCTGCACTCGCATTTCTACGCGCAGTCTGCCGCGTCGACAGAGGACGTGGATGTTCCCGACGACACATTGGACTCGCTCGGCGCACCTCTCAACAAGCCCGACCGGGCCAGCAGTTCGTCGGACGCTTGCGCCAGCTCCGAGAGCGGCGATGTGTCGTCGCACGCACCATCGGCAGCGACGGGCAGCAGCTTTGCCAAGGACCGCCGTCGCGCACATGTGCTTCGCCAGCAGGTGATCGACGAATACTGCTCGACGCACGTCCACGTACCCGCACCGTGCTCGGCAAAGTCGATGTACCGGCTGGCAGACAAGCTGCAGATCCCCGAGCTCAAGGATCGCGCACAGAAGGAGCTCGCCAAGAACCTGTCGGTGGACAACATCGTGTGGGAGGCCTTCTCGGGCTTCAACTCGCAATTCCCCGCCATCCGAAAGATGGAGACCGACTTCCTGCTCAAGCACTGGTCCGAGGTCAAGGGCACCGAGGTGATGAAGAGCATCTTTGCCCGACCCACCGCGCATCCAGGTCTCGCCGATGTCTGGCCGCACCTGCTCAGCCAGCTCGAGTTCCGCGGCGGCAGCAGCGGCAGCAAGAACGACGACAAGTCTGCCCGTACCTGAACGGTTCAATCTCAACACAACGTCCGCATCGTCCCCCGCACTCATGAAACGCAACAATCGCAGCCTGCTCACAATGCCGAGTGCTGCAGCAGTTGTATGAGGGGCCAAGACAGTCGAGGAGGAAAGCAATCGGGCTGAATCGGGAACCCGCCTGAAAATTGGAAATGAGCGGAAAAATGAAGTGCGCGTTTGAAATCGAGGCGAGGCGTGGCTGAAGTGTGCGTCTGCAGGCGGAGAGGGGCTTTGCTTTGAACTGGCTGGCTGAGGGTGGGTGCGGGCACGTCTCACGCGCCCATGCCATCGGTGCGGTGCAGACAGGCGATGATGAYGATGCTTGCGGCCAGCGGAGAGGCGGCGTGACAAACACGCCCGGGCGCGGGGGCAGCAGATGTGCGTGTGCACTCGCTCCCTCACTCCCTCACTTTCTTCGGCTCGCTGCCCAGAGATCGATTTCCGCTCGGCCATCATTCCATCCCATCGCAGCGCAGCCCCTCTTTCTTTCCCTCCCGCTCATCATCCGCCATCCTTTCCGCATCACGCTCATCGCCGACACTCACTCATCCTAGCGCTTGCTACCTTTCTGGGCGTGCACATCACTCCTCGCATCCCAGAAGGCTCATACCCCACGCTGGAATCTTGACGAGTTGAGCCTATCCGGAACGCGGCGGTCAAAGCAAACGGGCCACTGCTGAGCTAAAAACAAGTTTGGCTTACCGGCTCTCTCTCTCTCTCTTCGTGTTCCTCTAACGACACTCTCAACGACGCGTGCATACCGTGCTTCCGCTTCACCTTCACTGCTGCCAGCTGCGTCCCACAGCAAGCTAGCAGCGGCCGTCATTTGCCTAAAGCAATCAGCACCCGTCCAAGTTCGCATGACAGCACGGCTCGATTGCCCTTGACCCTTTCACCACCTCGTCTCACCCAGGCATGTTCCCCACCAACGCCGGCAACATGTCGATGGGCGGACTCAACAACAATGGCAACGTCAACGGCGGCAACATGGGCGCCGGCCTCGGCTTTGGCATGAACAACAACGGCAGCCAGATGCACGGCAACATGGCCAACGGCGTCCAGTCGCAGGAGACCGGCAATTCCCAGTCCACCTCCGAATACACGCTCGCCGGCATCCTCCACCATCTGCAGAGCGAATGGCGCCGATACGAGAAGGACCGCAACGATTGGGAGATCGAGCGTGCCGAGCTGCGCGCACGCATCGCCCTGCTCGAGGGCGAGCGCAGGGGCGTCGAGAACCTCAAGACCGACCTCATGAGGAGAGTCAAGATGCTCGAGTACGCTCTGCGCCAGGAGCGCTCCAAGTACCTCTCGTCCGGCGGCAGCACGATCAACTCGCAGTCGGCATCGTCTCCCTTGTCGGCCAACGCGCCTCCAGCCAAAAACCCGCTGTTGCAGGGCCTCGAAAAGGGTACCTCCAGCAGCGGTCGCAGCTCGCCCGCCCCCTTCCCCGAAGCTGCGCCTACGGCATCCGCCATCGCAGCCGCAGCAGGCTCGGCAGGTGCGATGGGCACCGGCCTGCTTTCGCGCTCCACCTCGAGCGCCAAGGACCCCAAGTCGCGCGCCAAGAGCCGAGAGTACCTCAAGCAGTGCCTGCAGGAGATCTCCTACCTCACCTCGGCATCCACATTGAATCCGCTCCCGGACCGCGGCATCGCCTCGGGATCGGCTGCCAACGGCACCAACATGCAGAGCGCGCTACGACCCCGAAAGACGATGCTCGAAATTGTGCCGCCTACGCTTCCTGGCCCTACCGAGTCGCACGCCGCCTTGGCAGGATCCATCAGCCGCGCATCGGGAGCCGCACTGGGCATCCCAAATGCCAAGGGCGGTCGTCCCGGCCGATCTCCGCTGTTTGCCTCGGAACCCGTGCTGGAGGAAGCGAACGAGACTGAAGAGCCTCAAGAAGGCGGCCTGGAGACCGTGCCAGAACAGCGAGAGGTGGATGGTGCAGAGCAGCTCAGTTCTGGCGCTGAATCCGTCGCGCCTCTCAAGAACCCTCTGAGCGCCACGTTCGCCGAGCCCGAACCTTCGAGCAGCGCCAGCCCCGAGGAGACTGGCGACGAGCAGCGCGAACAGGACGAGGCGCCCGGCAGCTCGGGCTCTTCGGACTCGTCGCGCTCGTCGCAGTCGACGGACTCGCGCGGCAACTCGGCGGGTAGCATGACGGACCAGGAGATGGACGAGCAGGAGCAGGTGACGGCCATCTTCAAGCCGGGCGGACGTGACTGGCAGAAGCTCAAGGAGGCAGGCATCAAGAGCCGCGAGCGGCGCGAGAGCGAGCGACAGGGCCAGGCGGCGGAAGAGGCGTCGATCATCTCGGAGGCGCAGCAGCAGCTGGCCATCACGTCGGAAAAGGTGAATCAGCTCATGAACCGTAGCGGACGGGCGGCGGGCTCGGAGCGCAAGGACGAGGAGGAACTGGCGAACCTGAGCCTGGTCGCCGAGGACGACGAGGCGGCCAAGGAGGCGGCGGAGGCGGCGGCGGACAGCCTGCTGTGGAAGTCGAAAAAGGTGCTGCGAAGCCACCTGGACGCGGTGCGAGCGGTGGCGTTCCTGCCAAATGAGATGTGCCTGCTCTCCACGTCGGACGACAACACGATCAAGTTCTGGAACCTGGATGCGCAGACGCTCAACCAGCCTGCGGGCAAGTCTGGCACGGACAGCCAGCCGCTGGTGACGTTCCGTGGCCATTCTGCGGCGGTGACGTGCGTAGCGGTGTCTCGCAGCAAGCGACGCTTCTATAGCGGCAGCCTGGACTCGTCGATCCGCGTGTGGCAATTGCCAGACGGATCGACCGAGGCGTACCCGCCGTTTGAAAAGTCGATGGAGCTGGGCTGCCTGGTGGGCCACTCGCAGGCGGTGTGGGATGTGGCGCTGGTGCCGGAGCGTTCGGACGACGAGGGCCGACTTGCCAGCGCGTCCGCCGACGGACTGGTCAAGGTGTGGAACGTCGGCGCGAGCCAGGCGGAGGGCAAGTCGAAGGCGGCAGCGACGCTCGAGCTGAGCTGGGACTACTTTGGCAGCGAGCCTGCGGCGGAGGCGGCCAAGGAGCGCGAGAACCTCGAGAAGAGCGGCACGCTGCCGGTGCCGACGTGCGTGGAGGCGTGCCACTGGGACCTGCGTCTGGTGGCGGTGTCGTACTCGAACTCGGTGGTGAAGCTGTTTGAGCTCGACACGGGACGACAGGTGCGCCAGCTCAAGAGCGACGAGACGTTTGACGGCACGGCCGAGACGCAGATCAACAAGCTGGTGACGCATCCGACGCTGCCGCTGCTCATCACGGCGCACGAGGACGGCTACATCCGCATGTTTGACCTCGACACGGGCGCGTGCACGCTGTCCATGGTGGCGCACCTGGATGCGGTGACGTCGCTCGACATCGACGCTTCCGGGCTCACGCTGGTCTCGGGCGGACACGACTGCAGCGTGCGATTCTGGGAGATCGCCGGCGGCACGCTCTCGGGCAAGGAGGGCAGTGGCGTTGCGGGCGGCGAGGGTGGCCAGTCCGGGTCGGCATCGAGCGCAGTGTGCCGACAGGAGATCAGCTCGCACCGCAAGAAGGCGGGCGAGGGCGTGCTGGCGGTCAAGTACCATCCGACAGCTCCCTACTTTGCCTCGGCAGGCGCGGACGGCGTGATTCGCATCTACGGCTGAGCGGTGCACGCTGCTGCCTGCCGAAAGGCGTTTTTGAAAGCACGTTGTAGCAATCATTCGATCATTTCATTATTTCGCTGTGTGAAGTGTGACGTTGGGGATTGCTGGTGCGGCTGTAGCAGTTTGTGCGAGATGGTGTCGACGGATAGAAGGGGGACGGACGTTTTGACTGGCTGGTTACTTGACCGGAAGCAGCAGGCGGCCGAGTCTCTTATCTCGAGCTGATGATGGCCGGGCTTGGCGTGCTGGGAGCCTTCATGTCAAGTTTTGGAAATTCGAACGCATGCGAGCCAGCAGCCGGCAGCAGAGCATGCACAACGTGCATACGAGGGGCGTCAGAGGAATCCTTCCAATTCGCTCCTGTCGAGCCCTCTGCGAGCCCTCTGCGAGGATCAGCCGGGGCAACACGCGGCTGTCCTGCATCCAACCCGCCTTGGCCACCGCAATCACCCAAAATCCAAATCCGCACCCCAAACGCACAGGTCAAGAACGTCGAGCCACGAGCGTATCCTAGCCCGGTCCTCCATCTTCGCACGGAACCTTTGCTGGATCGACATCGTGATTGGAAGCTAGCAGCCCATTGCTTCCAGCGCTGCAACCCACTCGGAAAGAGCGGCTAGGACCACCACTTGAGTTATCGGTCCTACGAAGCCGCCTCACGCAGTGCCGCCAGCGCCTCCACAGCACGCCATCACAAAAGAGCTTGCCCCACCAAACATCACCCTCTTCCCTTCGCACGCAAGCATCGAGTCCCGACATTGGGTGTTCGGCGCTCCTGGCTCTCTTGACCCTCCCGTCTCCGTGGACCGTCATCATCGCCTTCCGAAATCCGTCGTCACGTCAGGCTCGAGACGCAACACCGCCTCGAAGCTTCGTCAGGATTACAGGATCCCCCCCGCGGCCAGTGACTCAGCAGCTTCAGCCAGGACAAGTCAGCCGCTAGCCAGCCACATACCGGCTCGTTCGCCATCATGTCTTCCGGTACGTGTCCTCTCGTCGTCCAGTCTCCCGCGGCAGCCGTTCGCAGCGACAACCTTGACTGCTAACCTTTTTGTGCTATCTTCGTCGTCTTTCGCTCTCCCACTCCATTTCTACACACGCTCTCACGTTCGGACGTGCGGCGTCCCTTCCGATGACATAGGCGCAGGCGGTGGTTCAGAAGCCGTCGACGAGACCTCTTCTCTTCTCCCGGCCAACCAGTCCTCGCAGCCCCGTCGCGAGTCCTTCAGCATCGGCCGTCTCATCAACCCCTTCCGAGGCAGTACAGGCAGCGCAGGTAGCGCAGGCGCCCAACGCGCCACGGACCCGCAGCAGCACCAGTACGACACTCGACGTCCCTCGAATGCTTGGACTCCCACCAGTCCGGACAACCCGCAAAACGCCCAGCGCAGGCGCAACAATAACAACAACAACAAGTTCCCTCGCTCGGTCACCTTTGACTCGCCTCACTCCTCTTTCCCACCCGGTCCCAAGCAGGACCGCTCGAGGGTGACAAGCTACCATCCTCCCTCCTCCAACCGCTCGCACGGCATGGACGACGACAATGACTCGGGCTACGACATCGAGCGCCAGGGCTCCGGCTGGAACCGCCGCAGCGTCAACTCGTCCGCCTTTAGCCATCTCGAAGGTCGCAGCTACCGCTTCCAGCCCTCCCAGGACCCGGCCAACCTCGCCACCTCGCTCGTCCCGGGCTCCTACACCGCCACTTCCTCTTCCATTCGCGACGAAACCGCTCAGCTCGCCGGCATGATCATGTCCGACGATGAGGCCCAAGGCAGCACCAGCGACTCGCACATGTCGCACATCTACGACATTGGCGAGGGCGACGAGGAGCCCTCTCCGCCTGCGCAGCTCTTCCCGCCACGTGCAAAGGACGCGGCCGACTTTAGCCCCACCACCTCTCCCATCGCCTCCCTCGGCGTCCAGGCCGGACCCAGCAACCTCACCCGCGCCATGGCCGCCTCCCACAACGCCAGCCCTCAAAGCGGCAAAACTTCTCTCCGCTCCGAGGATGATGGCAGCCAAGCTACGCCACGTCTCACCTCCTTCCTCGGCCTTTCGCAGCCCGTCGCCACCCCCCAGAACCTCGCAGAGGAGGACGAGCTGGAAGACAAGAGCTTGGGCGCAGGCCTTGCCGCTGCCTCGCCTGCGAATGAATATGGCGCGGTGTCGCGTAGCCGCTCGCGCTCGTCGGCCAGGCGCACGTCTCGTTCGCATCCCGCCTCCGCAGACCGCTCCGTTTCGCGCGACCGCCCAGAGTCCGAGACTGGCCAGTCCTCTTTCAGCCAGTTCAGCGCCTCGGAGCAGCAACAGCGCGCCGGTATCGGTTACGGCGCCCTAGCCCAGGCCGAACAGTCCGTTTTCGAGGCTGAGCACGGCATCCCCAGGCAGCCCCGCAGGGCGTCCCACCATCCACCCGAGCCCCAAAAGACGCTCAACCCGTTCTGGACCATGGTGCCTAAAGGCTGGAGACCGGGCGAGGGCGAATACCCTATTCGAAACCTCAACCCGGCACAGCACGTCCACGACTTTATCCAATCGGCTCGCGGCATCACCTGGAAGTCGGCCGCCGAGGCAAGCGTCGAGCCCATCCGCCTCATCCCCGCCGTCATCCTCGGCATGCTCATGAACGTCCTCGACGGTGTCTCGTACGGCATGATCATGTTTCCCGCCGCCTACCCCATCTTTGCCAACTTTGGCGGTGACGGCGTGTCGATGTTCTTTGTCACCTGCATCCTCTCCCAGCTCGTCTACACGCTCGGCGGCTCCATCTTCAAGGGCGGCAACGGCAGCATGATGATCGAGGTGGTGCCTTTCTTCCACATCCTCGTCCGCATCATCATTGAAGAGCTCGGCGACGAGAACCCGCAAGCCGTCATCGCCACTACCATGGTGGCGTTTGCGCTCTCGTCCGTGCTCACCGGTCTTGCCTTCCTGCTGCTGGGTGCGCTGCGCCTCGGCGTGCTCATCGGATTCTTCCCGAGGCACATCCTCGTCGGATGCATCGGCGGCGTCGGCATCTTCCTCATCGAGACTGGGCTCGAGGTCTGCAGCCGACTCCAGTCCGAGGACGGATTCCAGTACAATCTCGACACGCTGCGCTACTTTTTCCAGTCGGGCCACATGGTCGCGCTCTGGCTGCCACCGCTGCTGCTCGCTGTGCTGCTGCGTGTCATCACCTCGCGCTTCCACCACCCGCTCATCTTCCCCGGCTACTTCCTCATGATCCCCGTGGTGTTTTACGTGGTGGCGTCCGGCTTCCTCGGCATTCCGATTCAGCACCTGCGCGACGACGGCTGGGTGTTTGACATTGGCGAGTCGGCCAGCAAGGCTGCCTTCTACCGCTTCTACACGTACTTCGACTTTGGACAGACCAGCTGGCGTGCGCTGTGGGCGACCATGCCTACGCAGCTCGCCATGGTCTTCTTCGGCATCCTCCATGTGCCCCTCAACGTGCCCGCGCTCGGCGTGAGCATCAACGAAGATAACGTGGAGACGGACCGCGAGCTCGTCGCACACGGCATCTCCAACATGCTCGCGGGTCTGATTGGCGTGGTGCCCAACTATCTGTGCTACGTCAACAGTGTGCTCTTCTACCGCGTCGGCGGCGGATCGCGCCTCAGTGGTCTCATGCTAGCCGGCGGTACGGCGATCATCATGATTGCAGGTCCTGGCACGATCAGCTACCTGCCCATCATGATCGTGGGTGCACTCATCTTTGTGCTGGGTATCGACCTGGCCAAGGAGGCGCTGTACGACACGGTTGGACGTGTGAATGGCTGGGAGTACCTCACGATCTGGGTGATTGTGATCGTGATGACGTACTGGGACTTTGTCATTGGCATTTTGGCGGGCATCATCATCGCATGCTGCTTCTTTGTGGTGCAGACTTCGCGCCGCAAGACGGTGCGCGCCATCTTTGACGGCAGCGTGGCGCGCAGCACGGTGCGACGCCACATGATCCAACGCCACTTTCTCGACGAGGTGGGTACCCAGACGCAGATCATCAAGCTGCAGGGCTTCCTGTTCTTCGGCACAATCAACTCGGTGGAGAACCTGATCCGGCGCGCGCTCGATATTGCAGCGTGGAACCAGAACCCGATCCGGTTCCTCATTGTCGACTACACGCTCGTGAGCGGCGTCGACTTTTCGGCCGCCGAGGCGTTCCTGCGCATCAACCGGCTGCTCATGGCCAAGGGTGTGCTGCTGGTGTTCTGCGGTCTGAATCCGGATAGCGACGTGGGAGTGGCGCTGCGCAGCGTCGACCTGTGGGCGGACAGGAGCGAGAATCTCGAGGTGTTTGCGAACCTCAACGAGGCGCTCGAGTGGACGGAGAACGAGTACCTGCGCGGCATGTATGCGTCGAGCCTCATGGCTGCCAAGGCGTTTGGCAAGGCGTCGTTGGCGGCCGAGGGCGGGCTGACGGTGCCGGACCAGAAGCGCAAGCCTGCGTTTGTGCTGGATCATTCGGTGGAAAACTCGCCGCGCCGACATCATCTGCACGAAGCAGCCAAGACGGCGGTGCGCAGCGAACGCACGACGCCCATTTCGGAGATCGTGCCCACCTTCCCGACCGAGGTGAAGGAAGGTGAATCGGCAGTTCCGGCGGTCAAGGCTGCAGCTGGGCAGCCACTGCCTTTGCTGGGGATCACGTTCCGCGCGTATCTGCAGGGTCCGACGGGTGTGGCGGAGGACGAATTCTTTACGCAGCTCGTGCCGTACTTTGTGCAGGTGCGCAAGAGCAAGGGCGAGGTGCTTTGGAGTCGGGGCGATGTGGCCGAGGGCATGTACCTCATCGAAAAGGGCATTGTCAAGGCGCGCTACGACTTTCCGCAGGAGCAGTACGAGATCAACGAGGCCATGCTTGCCGGCACCATTGCGGGCGAGCTGACGTTCTTGTCGCGCAAGGAGAGGAACACCACGGCGTATGCGGACACGGACTGCACGCTCTGGATGATGGACCAGCATAAGTTGGAGGCGATGCACAAGGAGAGGCCCGAAGTGTACCAGCGTTTCGTCGAGGTGCTGCTCAGGGTGGCGGGCGATGAGCAGGAAAGCATCATGTCGTACCTCGTATCGAGGCTCAGCTGAAATGGAAATTGGATTGGCAGTATCAGGTAGCGTGTTGACTGTAGTGCTCGTGAATCTGTGGTACTGGTGCTGTATGCATTGTTCGCAAAGGGGGCGGGGTGGACGTATTGGGCAGGCAATGACTGTTGTCAGCACCGCTGGTGAGGACTGACACCATCTTCGACGTGGCATAGCAATTTTGCACGACACAGCGGTGTTTTGTTTGGCGCGAAAGTCGGCGTACGGCAGAGATGGAATTTGGATCTTGCGCGTCGCGTTTGAGCATTCATGCGTTCGCTCGCCATCGTACGTCGTTGAGCCCTTCCCCACCACCATTACGCCAAACGGCGTAGACAAGCTGACGCACATGAAGAGGCAAGAGCTATCAGCGTCGCAACGTGCGAGCATACTCGCTTTATCGCGGCAGGGACTGTCACTGGCACAGATTCGTGTTCAGATGCAACTGTCCAAAAGCACGATTGCGTCGACGGTGCGACGCTTCAAAGAGCGCGATACGCTTGATTCCGCTCAGCGTTCGGGACGTCCGGTTACGTGGACAGCTACGAGCGATCCGGTATCTCATGCGAGAGATGCGCAAGAGGCCGACTGCGTCGTGGAAGCAGCTGTCGGAGCTATCTGACGTGTCGGCGTCCAAGCTGAGGAGAACCGCCTACCGACACGGCATCGCAAGACGCACACTCAAGCGGAAGACGCAATGCAACGCAACGAGGGCGAGCGACACGTTGGGAAGCGGCGCGGGCGGAGTACCGATGCCGAGCAAACGCCCGCACGGCTTCAATGATGCCACTGCCGTGTCGCAGAAGCAAGCGGGCTTAGACGCTTGATGCAACCTCGTCGGCTCACGCACGCAGGGTCGCCAGCAGCAGCACGCAGCTATGTCCAGTCCAACCAGCGTCCAGCTGTCGCGCGTCTGCTGGGACCCGCCTCCAGGGTGAGAAGAAGCGCGTGCAGACTCATGCCACGATCCAAGTGCAATGCACACGGCGAAGGCGTGCTTGGCATCCGCAGCCTCGATTGGAGCGAGGCTCAGGCTGAGCAGCCGACGCGCGCTCGCAGCCCTAGCGACAAAAGGACACAACACCGACAGGGAACTTGAGCAACGCGCAGCCCGTTTGGGAAGAAGCACAACCTGGTTCCATTCTGCGAATCGTGACTCTGGCGAGTTCGATGCCTAGCGCTTGGCCTCCTTAAGCCTCGACTTGAACTGATTGAGCCTGCGCATCCCAAAAACAAGGTCAGCACTCTTGCTTGCACCGCTCTCGATTGTAACGGCGCAACATACCTCTTGTGGTTGGCCATACGAGCTTCGTGGCTCGAGTCGGACCTCTGGCCAGCGGTGGACTGGGGCGCGACCCTGAAGCCGGCAGTGACGGCCTGTGGGATGCCGACGTTGCGACGGCCGTTGTCGACGATCTGCGAGGCTGTCGCGGGCGTGCGCGCCAGCACGTCCGGGTTCCACTCGGCGGACGCAACGTGACGATCGCGGTACGACGACGAACGCTTCAACACCGGTCGTGACCATACCTCTAAAAGACCCCCGACCAAATGTCAAAATGTAAAGAAAAGCGTCAGCACGAAAGCCTTTAGGTTGTGAGCGTGGGGGTATCGAGTTGCTCACCGATGAGGTGCTCTGCGGAACGCTTGATGGAAGGCTCGACGCGGTTGCACATGCTGTAGAACACCACGACCTTGCCCAGACCCGACATCTTGAGCGAGATGGTGTCGATGGTCATGCGTTCGAGGATCTGGAAGAACTGGTGCTGGATGTTGAGTGCCGGCAGCGACTTGTCCGGCAGCGGCTCCAGCCAACGCTTGACGCCCTCGAGCAGGTTGTTGTCCAGAATCGACTGCTGCAGATGGTTCCTATTTTCGCACCAAATACGGTTCTGCATCAGCAAAAGGCTCGACCTGAACCAAGAGGGAGGCTCTTGTGGACTTACTTTTGGAGCGTGGCGACGACCTTGGGGAGCAACTTGAGCTTGTTGGTTGCGGGCTTCTTGAGCTTGTTGGCCTCCTCATCATCGTCGGCTGCATTGACCATCTCGCGGCGCAGAGCGGCCACCTCTTCGTCCGCGAGCAGGTCGAGGTCGTCTTCGCCCGCACGCTTGCGCGGTGCCTTCTTGCGGCCGGCTCGCAACGCCTCCTCGATCATCCGGTCCGTCCTTGCGCGTCGCACTATATCCGCCAAAACCACCTTGACATCAATATTGCTTGTTTTGTATCAGCGGTCGAGGTTCTAGCGGCACTTACTCTCTGCTTCGGTCATGTTGGCGTACGGATCCTCCTCCTCTTCGGGCTCGGGCTCGCGGGTTGCACTCGCGTGGACAGGCGATCCGAGCGGGCTGTGGTGGCGCTTCTTCTTCTTCTTGCGCACGGTGCCGTCTTCGGCAGCATCGCGCGCCTCGCGCCGACGGAAGCTCGGCAGGTCCTGGTCGTCGTCTTCGTCGTCCTCGTCAAAGATCGCCGCGGTCTGCGCAGCTGCGTCCGTGTTCTCGCTGCGGACGACGGTCGTCAGCGAGTTAGCATCTGCCGAGGTGCTCGGCGCTGCGTCGATGCTGCCATGGCCGTCCTCGGCTCGGAGCTCGTCGACATCTGGCTGTTCGGCTTCTGGCTGCTCGGCAGACTCTTGTGTGGTGGTAGGCTGGGGTGCGGCATCGACCGGAGACGTGGCATCCTCCGGCTGCGACTGGATAGGCGACTGTGGTGGCAGCTCGTGCTGCGCCTGCTCTTCGTCCGCCATGATTGCGATGGGTTGGTGGAGATGTGGGCGTTGTATGCGAGAAGGGCGAGGTGGAGCCAAAACCGATGCGTCGCGCACCGCTCGGGATGCGGAGACGCTCTCACATCTTCGAAGACGGCACGTGAATTTTTCGATTTGTGAGTGTGGGCTTTTGCGACGTTACATGCTCGCAAAAATCCAAGCGCTCTCAATCCGCACCAGCAACCGATGGACGTCCTCAAGAGCTCGCAGACCGGCACATGTGCAGCACGAGAGGCACACCAGATGCAGACGATTCTCAGGAAGGTCAAAAGCTAGAATTGCAGTGACGTAAGGATGATGAAGAGAGCCGCTATGCAATGTCTGCAGTCCAGGGTGAATCAACGCTTCTTGGTCTCTAGCAACGACCCGCCGGCGCCGCCCTTGCCCTCCTGCTCCATGCGACGTATTCTTCGGTCGACGACCGAAGGGATCGGACAGCTGTCGGCCTCAGCATCGGTGCCGCGCTGGCGGTAGAACTTGGCGCAGCATCGGTACAGGTCGTCTATGAGGTGCTCGCACCGAGCCTGGTCGAAGCCCGACTTTTGCAGGCACGATTGGATCGCGCAGGCACGCGGATAGCATGGATTTGGGTGCTCGGGATCCAGCTCCTCCTTGGATGATGATGGCGCCATGGCTGCGATTAGCTACGTCGGTTGCTTGAGGGATGCCACCGGGGATGCCGACGGAAGAAGAGCCTGCACAGACGTATGTCTGCTTTTCAGAGAAGACCGAGCGACGTTTTCACCAACGCAGCTGGGAGAGACTGCTTCAAAGGGCTTGCACGGATGAGCTTGAGCTTGAGTATGAAAGCATGAAGGTTGGAGGTTGAGGCTGCTAGATGCAGAAGCAGGCCTGCCGAGTGGAGGCTTCGGCGTTGAGTTGAGTGGAGGTGCCCCGAGCCCGATGCATCCCGATGCGTCCCCCCGCGGATCTTGGGTGGCATAGACAAAAGAGACTTTGAAATTGATTTTTGGGTTATGCTTTCTGTCGAGCTGCGCTTCTTCGTGAGAAATGATGGCGCGAATCTGGCTTTGTCACGAGCAGCACGTCTACCGCTTAGGGTTGCCATGCTGCAGCCGTCCGACTTCTTGCGCGCAAACTGCTGTTATGTGGGCTGCAACGTTGCAACGATGTGAAAGGGGGCCGCAGATGAATCAGCGGATTGCGCCATCCGGCACGAGACAAAGGGGCCTCAGAAGCGGCGCACGTCGTGGGCCGGCTGACTAGCCTTCGGATTCGGGTGCCCAAGCCGCCCAAGCGGCCCCTGCGGCGCTCGGTCCTCTGGTATACCTGCTGGAGGCCCACTTCTGGCGAAGCTCAGTGGCGATAAGCGACTTGGCGACAGTGGGTTCGAGCGCCCCTGGCGCTGCAGAGTGTGACAACAGGAAAGTGCCCAGCCAATCCCAGCGTGATCATCTGTCTTCAAAGGGACTTTTCTGGCCATTGTTCTCGCCCTAACGCGTTTCGGCGCCATTGTCACAGAGCGATCAGTCCCTTTCATCGAGACAAAGTAGCGGCATCTTCCTGGCTACGTACCGCCTTGATCTCTGGTCTGCTGCGCTATCAGAAGGCTATGGCTGTCCACACTGACCTTGTGGCTTCTCATTTTCGAAAGACTAGCTTCGAATGACAAGAGCAGCTGCCGCTGCCCAGAGTACCGCGGTTTCAAGCTTCGAGTCACGGCAAGAAGGTGGGCGAAATGCAGTTGCATCGTTGCCACTGCTTCGTCGACAGGCAATGTGGGCGCAAACTGTTTGCTGGCTGAGTTCAGGCCACGCCGCAGCCTACATATAAGGAGGCCAGCGAGTCAAATGTGCTCACAATCCCATGCCATCCTCCTCCCATACCCCCCCCCCCCCCCCCCCCAAACCACGAGCCTTTCCTTTCCTTGATCTCCTTACTTTTCTGTTCTGGTGCGCTAGAACACGATGAACTCAACACCGCAAGGCCCCGCTCGGCCAACTCTTCAGCCTCAACAGTCCCCAGCCGTCGGGCTGTCTACCGCTCAGGTGCCAGTCTTCCACAACTTCATACCGGACGCGTTAGACTCAAGGATTCGAGACCTGGAGCAGAACGTCATTCGTCAAGCTAACTGGCAAGCCCTGTACTTAGATTGCAAGAACGAGCTCGCCGCTTGCAAGACCAAGAACGAGGAGCTCGAGAAGAAGATGGACAAGCTTGCTCTCGAGCTTACAACTCACAAGGAGAATGTCCATAAGGATTTCTCTTTTGTCACTTACCACATGAACGGTGCAATGCATCGCCTCGCTCAGGTCGAGGACCGCCTCTCTAAGGCCCATCATCAGCTCAATGAGCGCCTCACGCACACTGTCGAGCAGCAAGCCGCGCAAGCCGACTCCTTTCAAGATCGCTATGTCGGCCCACTTTTCGCGGCTCTCCACCAGCTCCTTCCCGGTGGCATCGTGGCTGGACGCAGCGACGAAACGATTCAAACCGATGTCCTCCAGTCAAGCATCCCCAGAGCGTCTTTGTCGGTCTCAGAAAAGGATGTCACCGAGAATCGTGATACTTCCCTGACGCCGTCCACCGTGCAACAGGTGGATTCCACTTTGCCGCCACCCCAGCTGCCCGGAAGTACAGCCGACCAAGGCATGGCGCCAGTTGCTCCCAGCGAAGCTACGGCAGAGCGACCAAAGACATCCATGTCATCGATGGATACGGCCCCCGTCGCTCATCCTGGAATTGACGCTGTTGGTGTGAAACTGCCTACTGAGCCTCCTTCCAATCTGCTCATCCCCGCGCAAGCCGCAGCCGATTCGGTAGCCACGTCTAATGCCTCGAGTTCGTCTGAATTCAAGGCGTCCTCGAGTCGTGAGGTACAGCAGCTGGCTACACCTCAGGCTGTCGAGAGCCCTTGCGCAATTTCCGCCTCACCGGAGTCCTCCTCGGGGAAGAAAAGGAAGCGAACACCATCGGTAGAGCACACGAGGACTCAGGTCGCTCGGCGTTCGGCGCAGTCATCCATCAAGTCGGCAGGCATCGCTCCAGAGTCGTCTGGATCCGTGCCATCGTTCAAGACTGCGCAAGCAACGATTCCGGCCCCCCTCTCTGCCTCTTCGGCTACTCATCATGTCGAAATTTCAAACTCCAACGTGGCAGCAATGGTCGATTCTGATGCCGTTCGATGGAACGAGCGACCATCATCGACTCCGAAAGGCCTCGCAACTTCGCAGCAGCATCTTCTCGGGCACTCCACAGTACCCACAGAGCTGCAAGAGGGGTCGACAATGGCGCAGTCTGGGCTCGAACCCTCGGATTCACCTGCTGTACGGAATTCGTGGACAGTCGCAAATACCGTTGGTGCCGCGAAATCTTCAACTCAAGCATCACTTGTGCCAAACGCGAGAAACTCGTCCGCGCAGATGCCATCTAAGGAACGACTCAGCCCGCGTGAAGCTCAGAGGCGGGTGAAAGAGCTGACAGCGCCGCGTTCAGCCTCAAGAGCCGGTAATACAGCACGTCTCGATCAAGTCGCCAAATCTGGTGCTTCCTCTCTGCCAGAGCGGTCTTCGACCGCCGAGTCAAGTGTTGCGAGAGGAGCACCTTCGACGATGTTGTTGGCATCTAACGGTAGCCGTAACAGCGCGCCTGCTCAAACACCGGCGATGTCTGCTTCTCCGCCTCCTCCGCGCCCCTCTACTTCTGCCGGAGGAACATCCCGACACCCATCCTCACTGGAGAAAGATCAAGCTGGCATGGCAGCGGCTCATTCTCGTCTCGGTCCTTCCGACGCATTCATCGCGCCCAGAATGTCAACATGCGATGTCGGAATCAACGAGGCGCGCGCAAGCTCGATCGAGTCGCTCCCGCGCAACGGGACCAGGCAGAGATCACAGTCACAGGCATCTCCGCCGTCTAGCCCTGACGTCCCGCTCAGCAGTCGCGCCCCTTCGACCGACGCCTCATGGCCACGTCCGTCATCACCAAGACCGCAGGCTAGCACTGCAGCAGTCCCTCCTGAGCCGAGTCCATCGGACGAAGCCGCTCCAACCACAGGAATCGCGACTGCTAGGCAGAGCAAGGAGCCAGATGTGCATCCTCCAGGCTTGGCTGCATCAAGTTCCAACTCAGCTTCCGGCGTCGTTGACCCTGCCACGGAAGGCTCTAGGCGGCCTTCAACAGCTAACCGAAGCGTTCTGACAGCAGACCCGCGACGGAAAGCGCTTTTGCCCTCCCAATCTGCGAATTTGTCGGGCTTGTCGACGTCGCCGCAGCCAGCAGCGCCAATCAAGCCAGCGGTACCCCTCAAGCATGCACTGCCCAGCAAGCCTCTCTTTTCGACAGATCAGTTGACACGAGCTCAGCCAGAAACCTCAAGAAGTGCATCCGCCCTCGAAGCGCCGACGGACCCCCCGGTGCAAAACGTCAAATTAGAGCAAGACGCTGTCGTGCCGTCCTCTGCGCAACAGACGGAGCGGGCCGAGTCATCGTTGCCTCCCTCGTCCACCTCGAACAGTGGTCATGGCCGAGACAATGTTGACATACGGTCGCATGTGGAGAGGGAAGTGCGTACATCTTCAATCGCGGCCACCAGCAGGACTCCAATGGGCCCGCCATCTCGACCAACTTCAGTGAATGGCCTAAACCGCACTTCGTCAGGACCAAAGCCAGCTTCACAAGCTACCCAAGAGTCGTCACAAGCTTCATCAGCCCCCCTCGACAAAGATTTGGCTGCCGTTCAGGTCGAAGCTCGTTCAGATCTGGAAACGCCATCTTCGGCAGAATCGCGTCAGCCACCTCCTCGTGCTGCCGTGGAGAAGCAGCAGACAGGCCGACATTTTTCGGGATCCGCAGATGATCAGAGGCAAGACGAGAGATGTTCAGATCAGAACCGGCAGGTCGAGCATTATGCACGCCCCGATCGGTCTGAAACTCAGACTGTGGCGAGACAGCACCAGTCTCGAGTCGAGCGCTTGGCGTCTACTGAAAAGGTATGGACAGGGCGTGAAGATCGGGACACTTTCTACCTCGTGGCTTTTCTAGGTCGCTTGGATCGTCCGACGGCACTCTTGGTGACAGAGGACTCGCAAATCACGGACTCGCTGATCTCCGAAGATCTCGCAGACGAGTTGCTTCGAGTTGGAGGTGCAAGCAGGCTAGGAACCGACGAGCCTAATTCCTGGCTTGAGGTGGATCTCAGCTGGCCCTACAACACCAATATGCAACAAAAGCGTTCCGGCGGCAATAGGCGCTGGTTCCGAGCTCGTCTATGCCGATTCCTAATCGTTCCGAGGGAGTACATGAAGGTAGGAATCTGTCTAGGCAGGCGGGGACTAGACGATCTCAAGCTGAGCATCGTCTTGGAGCGAGGCCAACGACCGTCTCTGGCTGTTGCGGGGCCATACGGGCAGGGGTCCAAGCTTCGCGCTCTTCCTGGTTACGAGCTAAAGCAGCCCTCGCTCGGGCCCTTTCGAAGGCTCTGCTACCTTGCCCGCCTTGCGATCGAACACTCAGACCGGCTTGAAGCAGAGTATGCGAACGAAAGGGGCAGCTCTGACGTGCGACGCTCCGACAGCGCGCGCAATTCCCTCTCGGGGAGCAATGCCTCCCATTCGCACCTCGAGCCTCTGGCGTGGGGACGCGACACTCTCCAGCCAGAGTCGTCCATAGAGGCCGAGTCGAGCCTCGAGCGAGACCGTATCTCGCGTGAGCTCGGCGAGCGACGCGACAGAGAGGTAGGTATCGACGTTGTACTAGCCTGACATACCGAGATTCAAGGATGGCATCGCTGACGCAAATGATGACGGAGCGTTCGCAGCACGACGCTCCTCACCTTTCCACCCCTCTGGCAAATGCAACATCGCTCAGAGCTTCGACGACCCGAGATGAAAGCGTTGACAGGAACAGCTCGGAAATCATTGCAGAGGGTCGCAAGACGCCAGCTCTGGATACCGGATCGCCGCTAACGCCGCTGAGCCAGGCTTCTGAGGAGGAGGAAGAGGAAGAGGAAGAGGAAGACGAGCTGATGGACGAGACAGACTCAGAGCACAGGTCGGCGCCCGAGACGCTAGAGGATCTCACCGAGGATCAGAGACGCGCTATTATAGAGCGCACGCAGAGGCTGCTGCAGGACCAGAAAGGGGGCCGCGAACAGGCAGGATTCTACGGGAATGCGCCACCCTCCGGGCTGCAGTTGATGGGCAGCTCACAACGCTTCAGGAACCTCGGCGACGCAACGCAGTGATGCTGTTTGGACTGGATGCCTCAATGAACTCCTTGTTCTTCACAAGTCTGATTGACCTCTCCGCATTGGGTGTGAAGCTGAGTCGAGCGCGATCACGAATGTGAGCTGGAGCTTGCCTGGTCTCGGTGGCGCGCAGGATCGAATGAGTCGAAAGGGTTTCACTGCTCATCGCTGGCCAGCCTGCAGAATCACGGGCTCGGATCGATTCGAAGCGAATGTGGATTCACAGCTAGAAATGACAAAAGAGGGGTATGCATGGTGTTGGCAGTGCGGGGCTTACTGTCCGACGAAAGCGGCGATATCCTCGGAGATCTGCCTGGTGTATCTCGTATTCGCCCTGCCGATGCCGAGGAAGAGGCAGGCAATGGACTCTGCATGCGCAAGGTTCCTATACGCCCTGAGTCTGACCTGCTGGACGCCGATACCGACGAGCAGCGTTTTGAGGAGCGTGCTCTGCTCGACCGGGACCACATTATCCCTGCCACCGTGAACAAGGAGGAATTTGGGCGGCAGCAGTCTGGTGTCGACGATGTTCTTGGCAGCATACAGCAGGTGGGCGGGCGAGTGGATGAGGCAGTTGAAATGCGACGGTCCCGTGGCCCTGCGCAGGTAGCTGAGATGCTCGAGCCCATGCTCGGATTCGGACCGGAAGCCCTTGATGACATCGCTGATCCCGCTGAGCAGAATCACACCTGCGATCGCAGGCAGCTCCACCTCGGGCTCGTAGATCTCGACGCGACGCAGACCGTTGCCCACCTCCTCTTCCGCCTTGCGGTACGCGTCGGAGCCCAGAATCGACGCTGCCTCTTCCGCCTTGCGCGCCGTTGTGGATGACGACACGGGCGCGGAACCAAAGCGCGCCGTGGCACCCATCACGTGTCCTGGCGGCGCAGACGGTGTCTCGTCCGCCTCGTCCACCCAGCCTTCACTACGGTCGGCGCTCGTGTCTGCGGCGAGAGCGTCGCCACTGCCGCGACGTGTCTCGCCCAGGCCGAGCCGGACGGGCTCGTCGTTGTTTTCATCCAGCGCGTCCGTGTGTGCGCCCGCGGGCACGGCGGACCGACGCAGCGAGCCCGAGCTGCGCACCTCGCCGCTCTTGAGCCACTCCTCGTCCTCGTCGTGCTCGCCGTATCCGCGCGCGTATCCGTGCATGCGCGCATGCGACGCCGCCTCGGCTCCACCACCGTGCTTGGCGCGCAACATGTGGCGCTCGCGCTCGTATGCGCGGTCCAGATGGCCTTCGCGACTCAGCACCACGGCCTCCTGCGAGATGGTGAGCATGATGAGGTGTGCACTGAGCCCGTGGCCGAGCACGTAGATCTTGGACGCATCGCCGCCGTAGCGCTGGCAGTTCTTGGCGGTCCAGCGCAGCACGAGGCGCAGATCGATGATCGACGACTTGATGCGCGATTCGGGATAGTAGGTGATGTCGGCCACCACGACGCAGTAGCCCATGCGACGCAGCCGCAGCGCGAGCTGTAGATACAGCCTGCGCTTCGACGTGACCGTCAGCGGACCAAGCATCGAGGGGATGACGACGATGACAGGCACGCCGTTGGACGACATGGAAGGCTGCTGCGCACTCGTCGATCGGAAGCCCTCAGGGCCTGTGTGTTGCGGCGGCGAAGGAGCGTCAGCAGGGAGGTAGACGTCGAGACGCTTTCCGCGCGATGGGCTGCCGTAGAGGATGCCCTCCTTGACGACGCGCGAACCCTTGGTGGTGCCAATGACCATGATGCGTCGGTAGCTCCAATCAAAAATGGCTGGGAAGATGATGCGGAACGCCGTGACGGTGTAGCGGAAGGCGGCGAGGTCGACCTTGGCGCAGCGGATGGGGTTGAGCGGAAGGAAGGGGCAGAAGTTCCTGGGCGACCAACGGTGGGCGTTGGTCCATGTGGCGGGCAAGTCCTTTTGCGCCAGGAAGAGGTAGCAGATCCAGGCGACGGCGTAGAGCAGCAGCACCGAGATGAGCAGCAGGATCGGGATGGCCATGACGCCGATGATGGGGATGGCGCACGCAGCTGCGAGCAACGGCCATGCTGGCAGGGCGAGCGCAAGGGCCGGCAGGACCACTGGTTTGAGCACGAGTGCAAAGAAGCGCTGAGAGCGTTTGGGCAGCACCGGTGGCTGAGGCTGGTGCTCGGGATAGTATGTTGGCGATGGCAGTGCCGATGGGAACTCGACATTCGACAGGCGACGACGGTCGAGTGGCGTTGGTCTCCGGTCTTTCGTCGCCGCCGAGGCGGAAGGGCGATCGTGGCTCGCCATGCTGTCCACGATGCTGCGCAGCGATGAAGCCGAGGATCCTGGATCGCTTGAAGGATGTGCGTAAAGGATGGACGACGTAGAGACAGATGATCGGAAACGCGATGCGGCTGGGTTTAGCCAACGGTGCTTCGAAGGATGCAGAGTGGCTGCGAGCTGCTTTCAGCTCTGTTTCGTCGCGAGCAGCCGACTGCAGACGCGCCTTGCCCGGTCCCTGCATGAGGTTTGCGCAACGCTCAGGCAGTCAGCGCTCGGCAGCGCTCGCGTTGATTGAAAATGAAATCAGCTGCTGGACCGAGTGTTGGTCGCCTCAGCCAGACCGCTGAGACACAYACACACTCGGCACACTGCTCCTCTGCACGTCCCAACAGAAATTTAGAGCGTGAAATTGCGATGGCTGCACAATGCAGCTTTGAGCCTCGGGCCATATCGTGCCCTCGAGCGCCTCCTGTAAACAACGCTTCGGACGCCACACAATCACAGCAATCCGTATCGGCGTATCGATTCGTATCGCAATCGGCATGAAAGTCGAGCGTCAGAGATGCCTCAACTTCTTCGTGATGCACGTGCCAGTCGTGGCGCTCAATCACAGTCTGTTCCGCCATCCTTCCGAAGTGCAGCTCACAATGAGGTTTGACCTAACATCACTGTTCGAGCCCGAGGCTCACCATTGCACAGATGACCACGATAATAGCAACGGTAATCTTGCTTTCATTGCACCGATCTGAAGGGTACAACAAATGATGACCGGATCAGCTCTCGTCTTCCCAGCTTTCGGGCACAGGTCCTTCGACGGTCGACGCTTCTGTGGCTGGAGCTGCGGCGGGAACGTCGGTAGCTGCCGGTCTGGGCGCATTCGGATTCGGGACGATGCCGGCGATGGGAGCCGTCGTGCGTACGCTATTCGTCTGGGCGGCCATGGTGGGCTGCCCCCACACAGGCTCGTTGACCTGCGCAGGCGAGTTACGACCGGATCCAGACGCTACAGATGCCCAGCCCCGGTCCCCGGCCAGATTCGGGCTTGCTTTGCCCAGCCCTGCCGAGCCACTGCCACTGCCTCCGGCTCCAGGACCGCCTCGTTTCATCGCTAGTGAAGCCCTTGTCGGGCCGCCAGAGGCGCGGCCGCCATTGCTGAGCAGCGGCTCGTCTTCCCTGCGTACGACATTCTTGTTGGCATCCACCGTGCAGAGGATGGCATCCCGTGCAAACTGCTCGCGACGCAGAAGCGCCTTGAGTTCGGTCTTCATCATGATCAGCCGAGTGGGAGAGTCCGGCGAAGTGACGATCACATCCTCGTCGCCCTTCCAGGTCACCACAAAGTTGATCGTGCGCAGCACGGGTTGCAACAGCGATCGCAGCGAGTCCTGGTCGTGACCAAACACGCCAGGCAGGAATACGGCGTTTAGCGGCTTTGGAGCTTCAGCCGACGGTCGTTGCAGCTGAGCGAGCCCAACGGACTTGCCAGACTGCAGATGCGACGACGATTGCTGGTGCTGATTCGACATGAGCGTGGCTCGAGCCGAAGCGAATGCCTCGGTGAGCAACGGCTTCGGAATGCGGCTGTCTTGTTTGCGACGGATGCTCACGCTGCGACGCGGCTCTTGATCGACACTCTCGCTGGCCAGCTTGTACACTGCCGCGAGCTCGTGCGTGAACGCGCGTTGGAACTTGTTGGCTGGCGGCAGAATCATGCCCGCGCGTGGCGAGCGGATAAAGTCGTTCAGCGTCGCTTCCAACTCGTCGCAGAACTTGCGGTTGGCAGGAACGGCGTAGTATGCGAGCGTGCCGTATTCGTAAGAGGCCGGTGCCGTCTTCTCCGAGGGATTCAGGCCGAGCGCCTCGGCCAGCTTGGCGTTCCTCTGCGCAATCATGCACGAGTCATTGCACTTAAGCGACTTTTCCTTGTTGGGAGCATGAATCGACACGCCACACTTGATGCGCGACTGCAGATTGCCGCAGGCGCACTGCAACGTGATGATCGCCTGGCATGGTTCCGTCTCGGGGCACGACGACGGCGCATGGCACTTCTCCTGACAAGCGTGCTGACACAGTCGGCGTGGCTTGCCGCACGTCTGCGCGCAGGGCGGGCACTCTTGTCCAGCGATGTGGCAGATGCCTTGGCAACGGTGGAAGCCGCAGTTGAGCAGTGCATCGCACGGCTGTCCGCAAGACACGCGCGATCGGCTGCATGGCACGTTCTTGACAATGTGCTTCTGGCAGTGGCACACCTTGTCCGTCAGGTAGACGCACGGAGGGCAAGGCTCGTCTTCGTGGCAGTCGTGCGGCATCTTTGGATGGCCACAGCTCGGCGGCGGCCGCACGCACGGGAAGTTGCATCGCACCTGCGTGCCACATGGCACCGGTGGCTCCAGGACGGTGCGACCACAGTGGCAGATCAGCTCTTCGAAACTCGCCTGCAGGCACGGCGGACAAGCTCCACGGTGGCACGTCATTGGGCACTCGTGCGAACCACAGGGCAACGGCTTCGAGCACGGGATCGAGCACTCGTGCAGGCCGGCCGGATCGAGAGCTTGCAGCTCGGCCAACGTGGGTCGTTTCTTGGACTTGCTCTTGGCCTGGAAGTAGAGGGGACAGCATTGGCGGTTGCACTGATGCTTGCCACAGTGGCGCAGCGACTGGCACACGGTGGAGCACAGCACCTCCTGGCGTCCCTCGAGTTCTTCCTGCTGGCGTTCGTGGCAAGTTCGGCTCTGCTTTGTCTCTCCACATCGACAAGGCGTCGACACGGGCACCCTGCATGGCGGACAAGGTCCCAGGTGGCAGACCGCGGGGCACGGATGACCGCAGATCGACACCTTTGAGCACGTATTGCCGCACGTCGGGATTGGGTCTTGGCAGGACGTGCGAGATGTGACGGGATTCGCACCGCAAGGGCACGTCTTGACGAGACTTGGCGAGGAAGGACAAACGGGCCTTTGTGGATCACGGGCATGACAGGGCTTCGAGCAGTAGTGGACACCGCAATCGAAGGGACGCCGACACTCGTCATCGCAGTTGAAGCGGCCCCGGAAGCCAATTGCGCTCTCATCGTCGAAGCTGTCTTGGGGGACGCCGTCTCCACAGCGCATCGTCCTGGTGTGCTTGCCACAGTAGCAGCGCGCATCCACTTGGATGCCGCAAGGTTGGCATTCGCCGGGATGACAGGCATCCTCACATGTATGGCTGCCGCAGTCCAGCTTCTTGCCACAAACACCACCGCAAGAGGTGCCACGTTGATGCAGAGCAGAGAGACGCGCCTCCTTGGCTGCGGTCTGCGAGCAGCGCATTGGAATGGTTTGGGCACCGCAGAAGCATTTCTGAGAGACCGTGACGGCACACGGCGGACATGGTCCTGGATGACACGAATCGGCGCAGCCGTGAGCGCATTTCCCGCGGCTGCATCGCTGGCCACAGCCATGCGGATTGGCACCGCGGCCACCAGGAGGGTCTTGCACGCGGCCGCACCAGCACCAGTAGATCTTGGGGACGTCTTCCCTTGCGTACTGGCATCCTGGACATCGCCAAGTGCCGCGGCGGTTGCGGATCTCTGGGTCTTCCTGCATAGCGTTATGCTCTTCGGCTTTCTTGACGCTGCTGTCGGCCCACTTGCGCACGCATGGCAAGTGGAGCACAGAGTAGCACTGTGAGCACGACCAGGTGGCCTGGCGCGTGGTGACGGTGCTGTAGCAGATGACGCAGTCGTACTCGCCCGACGAGAGCTCGGCGAGAAGACGAGATCGCAGGTCGGCATACTCGACGGGCTCAGCTACAGCCGGCACCTTGACCGCTGGCTTCTTGGCGCGTCCGTTCTGAGACGCCTTGGCACCCTGCTGGGCTGAGGAAGCTGGCGCACCGCCGGCATTGGCCGAGCTGCCGGTGAGCTTACCGCCGAACTGCTGGCGGCGAGCTGCTACGCGTGGCTGTGGTGCATTGTCTTGCTGGGTGGCGTTCGATTCGCCTACGTCTGCGGCGGATCCATTCGATTGGCTAGGTTTGGACCCCCCGCCTCTTCTGGACTTCTTCTTCGAGTTTGGCTTGCGAGCTTCTTGGCCGGTTGCTGATGATGACGAAGGCGTTCCGTCAGCGCCTGAGAGATTCTGGTCGGTGGCTTTCGCAGTGCGGTCTACCCTGCTTCCGTCGTTCCTTCGGCCTCGGCCGCGCCCGCGATTGGTTCCGCGACTCGGCTCACGACCGGGCTGGGCCGAACTCGTTGATGCTTGCTCTGATGACAGATGCAGGTTTCGAACGGCTGGCAGTAAAGCTTGGGCAGCAGAGGCAGCTGCTGAGGCTTCAGACATGGCCCGAAGCAAATTTGCGCTTGTGGAGGTCGTGCCCGTCTATGGTGGCTTGGTATGGATGGGCGGAGCTGAAGATTAGGAACGGACGCTGTCTGATGTCCGGTCCAGTCTCTTGGAAGCTTGTCCAGGGAAAGAGGTTAGAGAAGGTCGACTTGATGGCGTGGACGATTGTGACTCGGAAGGAAGGCTGAGTCGAGATCACCTGGAAGAAGGAAAGTGTTGCTCCCAACGACGTCAGCTGAGTTGGCCGCCACACAAGCCAGGATCCGGCGCCTGGCTGCATGACGAGGACGCTGAGTCGCGTGCCATCAGGAGAATTCGAAAATTAGCTGGGCTGTTTGATCCTCGAAGGCCACATGTCCAAGCCGGAACTCGAAGATCTGGACGGATCGGTGCCTGCGAATTGACCTGTCCCGAATCGGGCGATCTGTCTTTCTTCTCAAAAATTGGAAGGACGCGGAAGCAAATCGTTGACGCCAGAGCCTTCCACCACATCCGCGAAGCTTCACGACGCGAGGCTAGAAGGTTGGAAGTTGAACCGAGCGCGGACATGTCTGGATAGCCTGACGCAAAATTGGAAATTTACACTCGAATTCATGAGCAGTGGAGGCGCAAAATGACCTGAACCGGGCAGGCCGGAAAGCTGGATTGGGGGCAATGCAGGCACGGGAGCAGTGATCGTCGTGCAGCAGGGGCACTTCCAACTCGTTCTTCCAGCTTCCGCGCGTCAGACTAAGCTCCTGCGACTGTCCGCTCCCGCCACAGTTTCGCGCACGCCGAATCTCCTAGCTCAGCAGAGAAGCAAGTGGATCGATGTCGAAGCTGATCCGGCCTCATTGTCGCCAGCCAGAGCGCCAATCAGAGCCGCTGGCTGCGAGTGGCGACGCAATCTTGCCCCCAGCGCTGAGTCGACGCAAAAACGTGCGCGAATCTCGACCTTTCTGACTGCCGGTCGACGCTGGTTGCGGGTGTGCGACTGCGCCTTGGGTGGCCAACGTCCCGCAGATGGCAGCGAGAACTTCGCACGCCGTCCTCGGTGGGCACGGTACATAAGCTCGGACTTGCCTTCCTCCATCCTCCCGCTCCACAACCACGATCCCGTCTGAACATTGGCTATCGAGTTGCACATACCCCTTCCGCAACACAGTACAGCACCTCACAGACATCTCTCTGCATTCCACACCGCAGCCCCTTTCCCCCCTCCAAAAGATCTAATATCGCCATCATGACCAAGGCTATCGGCATCGATCTCGGTACCACCTACTCGTGTGTCGCCGTCTGGCAAAACGACCGTGTCGAGGTCATTGCCAACGACCAGGGTAACCGCACCACCCCCTCCTATGTCGCCTTCACCGACTCGGAGCGTCTCATCGGCGATGCTGCCAAGAACCAGGTCGCCATGAACCCCCACAACACCGTCTTCGACGCCAAGCGTCTCATCGGCCGCAAGTTCGACGACGCCGAGGTCCAGTCCGACATGAAGCACTGGCCCTTCGAGGTCACCAGCGTCGGTGGCAAGCCCCAGATCCGCATCGAGTACAAGGGCGAGAAGAAGACCTTCACCCCCGAGGAGGTCTCGTCCATGGTTCTCCTCAAGATGCGCGAGACCGCCGAGGCCTACCTTGGTGGCACCGTCAAGGATGCCGTCGTCACCGTCCCCGCCTACTTCAACGACTCGCAGCGTCAGGCCACCAAGGATGCCGGTGTCATCTCGGGCCTCAACGTGATGCGAATCATCAACGAGCCCACCGCCGCCGCCATCGCTTACGGTCTCGACAAGAAGTCCGAGGGTGAGAAGAACGTCCTCATCTTCGATCTTGGTGGAGGTACCTTCGATGTGTCGCTCCTCACCATCGAGGAGGGTATCTTCGAGGTTAAGGCCACCGCTGGTGACACCCACCTTGGTGGTGAGGACTTCGACAACCGTCTCGTCAACCACTTCGTCCAGGAGTTCAAGCGCAAGAACAAGAAGGACCTGACCACCAACGCCCGTGCCCTCCGTCGTCTCCGCACCGCCTGTGAGCGTGCTAAGCGCACTCTCTCGTCGGCTGCCCAGACCACCATCGAGATCGACTCGCTCTTCGAGGGTATCGACTTCTACACCTCCATCACCCGTGCCCGTTTCGAGGAGCTCTGCGGTGACCTCTTCTCGCACACGATCGAGCCCGTCGAGAAGGTTCTCCGCGACTCCAAGATCGACAAGGGTTCCGTCCACGAGATCGTCCTTGTCGGTGGTTCCACCCGTATCCCCAAGGTCCAGAAGCTCCTCACCGACTTCTTCAACGGCCGCGAGCTCAACAAGTCGATCAACCCCGACGAGGCCGTCGCCTACGGTGCCGCCGTCCAGGCCGCCATTCTCTCGGGTGACACCTCGGAGAAGACCCAGGACCTGCTCCTCCTCGACGTTGCCCCTCTCTCGATGGGTATCGAGACCGCCGGCGGTGTCTTCACCCCGCTCATCAAGCGCAACACCACTGTGCCCACCAAGAAGTCCGAGATCTTCTCGACCTACGCCGACAACCAGCCCGGTGTGCTGATCCAGGTCTTCGAGGGTGAGCGTGCCCGCACCAAGGACAACAACCTGCTCGGCAAGTTCGAGCTCTCGGGTATCCCCCCCGCGCCCCGTGGTGTTCCTCAGATCGAGGTCACCTTCGACGTCGACGCCAACGCCATTCTCAATGTCTCGGCCGCCGAGAAGGGCACCGGCAAGTCGGAGAAGATCACCATCCGCAACGACAAGGGCCGTCTCTCGTCGGAGCAGATCGAGGAGATGCTCAAGCAGGCCGAGCAGTTCGCCGAGGAGGACAAGCAGGCGCTCGAGCGCACCCAGGCCAAGAACGGTCTCGAGTCGTACATCTACAACGTCCGCAACACCACCAACGAGCCCCAGCTCAAGGACAAGCTCGAGGCCGCCGACAAGGAGGCGCTCGAGAAGATCGTCAAGGAGGGCATCGAGTGGCTCGACTCCAACACCACCGCCTCGACCGACGAGCTCAAGGACAAGCAGAAGGAGATCGAGGAGCAGGTCAACCCCATCATGACCAAGATCTACTCGGCTGCTGGCGGCGCTCCCGGTGGCATGCCCGGCGGTGCCCCTGGTGCCGCTCCCGGTGCTGCCCCTGGCGGTGACGACGGCCCCACCGTTGAGGAGCTCGACTAATTCTTCTCGCGCAGCTCAATCTAGTCAAAAAAAATTTCCACTCGTCCCCCCGCTGATGGCGTTCGTTTCTTGCATTCATTCCCCCCTCGCCATTCGCATGTACTCGTATCTTGTGTTCCGTTCAATCTGATCCGACCTAGTTGCATAGCACCTTCTTTTGCGTGATTTGAGTTTGGATGAGTGTTATTAGATGATCTCACTTGGTAGACCGCAGGGGAAGAACGTGAATCGTGTGTCGAGATGATGTTGCTGGCTGCAGTTCGAAGTAGCAGCTGGATTTTTTCGGTAGGAATTTGTTAGATCATCGAGATGACGAGCTGTGAGATTCCGAGGCACACGAGATGCTTCTTCGACCGCACTTTGCGCGAGTCTACTTTAGACACGACGCGACGCGAGGCAGACCAACACTTTTTGGGCATCGTTGCGCGGCTCGACTAAACTCAGGCGGCCAAGCCAGAAAGCTCGGGGTCGAGGGTATCCTCCCGCCTTCGTGACCCACACCCTTGCGACCTTGCCTTCGTCCGTCACCCCCCGTCAACACATCTCGCATCCCGATAGCAACCCAGGCTTCACCCGACTTTGACGCCGGCGCCTCAATCCGCCACTGCGTCCCGAAGCGCACGCAACAACGATGGAGTCGACCCAGTCGGAGGACGTCAACGTCCAGATCGTTCATTCGGGACCCACATACTGCATCCACGCGCCCAAGAATGCAGGTGTAGAGTGAGTGCTCTTGTGACCGCCATCGACCGCCATTGTGCCGGTGATTCGAAGCTGACGCCGTGATCCTTCTTTCTGTCTCTCTTCGAACGCTACAGCCGACTGTTCACGGGCGGTGACGACTTCCTCGTCCGCATCCTGCCAACACTGCCGCTTCCTGGCGTCGAGCCACACCTCATCGAAGACGCCACCGAACCCATCACCTCTCTCGATGCCGACGATCGCTTCCTCATCGCTGCATCCGAGGACGGCTCGGTTCGTCTGTACCGACACCACCCCGTGGACGCCGAAGGCAACTCGACCTCTCCCACCGTGCTTCAATCTTTGCTGCGTCGCGAGACCCTGCCGCTCCGATGCGTCGCTCTGGAACGTCACGTTAAGAGCGGCAAGTCACCGCGCGTTGCCGTGTGCTCGGACGAGCTCATCATCAAGATCATCGACGTCGAGGACCCCAGACGCATCCAGCTGCTCGACGGCCATAATCGCGGCCTCCGATCCGCATCTTGGAGTCCCGCTGCATCGCTGCTGGTAACCTGCTGCACCGATGGCGTCGCAAGGGTCAACGATCTCAGCGACGCCGAGCCCAAGCTCGTCAAGTCGATCGAGGGCATTCTGCCCAGCACCCGGGCCGAAAGCGACGAGGCCGCGTGTGCCTGCTGGCATCCCTCGGGCAACTACTTTGTCCTTCCCTCCAAGACTCACGAGCTCGTCGTGATCAGTGCTCACAGCGGCTCTTCTGCTTGGTCGCGCATCGGCAACTTTGTCGCCAGCTCCAGCGGACCCGTTCCTCTTCCAAGTGGCAGCATCACCGCTCTTGCTTTCTCTCCCAACGGCCGTTACCTCGCCTCTGCCACGAACAACGGACAGGTGACCATCTGGGATTCGGACTCTCGCCAAGCTATCCGATCGAAGCGCGCCGACGCCCTCGTCAACGCCATCAGCTGGCACCCGTCCAAGGACGCTCTCGCCTGGACAGACAATGAGGGCACCCTCGCTCGATGGTCCAATGTCATCGGCAGCACCCGTCCGAGTCCTGTTGAAGAGATCACGTTCGACAGGTCCAAGATCTACCGAGGCGCCCGCGGCCAGATCGACGACATCTTTGCCGGCACCGGCCTTTCGGATGATGAAGATGACGACATGGCACAAGGATCGCAGCATGGCGGTGACGATGCAGATGATCTCGATGACTTTGTCGTTGACGATGAGTCGCGCTCGCGAAGGAACGGTCAGGGCTCCTCTCGCTCCCGTTCCTATCTTCGCGGAGGCCACGCCGGCGCCGCGGCCGGGCCCGGTGGCATGATGATCGCTGCGACCCGTCCTCAACCAAGCTTTCAGCCGACGTCGACGCCGATGCGCGGCCAGCGCCGCTACCTCGCGTACAACCTGCTCGGCTCGGTCGTGGCCGTCGAGCAAGAGTCGCACCAGACAATCTCGTTCGAGTCATTCGACACGTCGGCTCGACGCAACCTCCGCTTCTCGGACATGAACAGCATCAGCATGGCGTCGCTCGCCAAACAGGGCATCCTGTTTGCCGCCAAGCAGACCGACGAACAATCCAGCAGCCTCTTCTTCAAGCCGTTCGCAGGAAGCAACCTCACCTCCGAATGGACGTTCAACCTGGACCGCGACGAGGACGTCGAGGCCATCGCTCTGGGAGGTAGCGCTCTGCGCACCGTCACTGAAGATGGATGGGAGGACGAGGATGCCGGCCGATCGGGTACAGGCATGGCGGTCGTCGCCACGTCCAAAGGCTACCTGCGCTTCCTCTCGGCAAGCGGAATGCAACTCTACCTGTGGGCGATCGGCCATCCCGTCGTCACGCTGGCTGTCGGTGCAAGGACAGCTCTGGTCATCTACCGCAGAACCGGTCTGCCATCGGGCGGCTACCAGGATCTCGGATACAAGGTGATTGATCTGGCGAACTTTGACGTGATTCAGGATGACGTGCTCTCGCTCGCCAAGGACAGCCACATCGTTTGGGCTGGCTTCAACGACCACCACCAGCCCGCATTCTTCGACACGAATGGCGTCCTCTTCGTCCTCGACCGAGCGCATCGATGCCGACAGGGCCGTTGGGTGCCGCTCCTCAACACCAAGAACATTCGGGACAGTACCACGTCCGATGCAAGCGATGCGGCTATGCGTGCCGCAAGGACCCTGGGATACTGGCCGGTCGCGCTCACCTCGACCAAGCTTATGGTGCTGCTTCTCAAGGGCGGACGCACACACCCTGAGGTGGACGGTACTCGACACATGATCCAGGAGCTCGAGCTGCAGGTGCCGCTCATCCAGCGTGAAGGTGGCACGGGCCCTCTGGAGGAGAAGAGCCTGCGCGAGGGCATGCTTGCCATGACCGCTCGCGACGTCAAGAACGCGGGCATCGAAGCGGGCGAGGACGAGCCCGAGCTCGAAGCAGGTGCGCTCGAGATGAGCTCGGACAAAGCGCTGTTGCAGCTGATCCAGCTGGCGTGCAAGGCCGACAAGCACGGACGGGCGTTGGATGCTGCGCGCGCACTGCATTCGACGAGGACACTCGAAGCGGCGCTCAAGATCGCAGCTTTCTTCCACCTGTCCAGCCTGGCAGAGCGCATGGTGGCGCTCAAGGAGGGCCTCGAGGGCCGTCCGGAGCGGGTCGAGGAAGAGAGTCGACGCTGGTGCGACCCATCGGTGCGCGGCGGTCCGAGCTACACAAACCCGGCCCTGGTCGACATCATGACCCGCGCCAGCGATCGGCGTCGGGACGACGTGAGTGCTGCTTCGATCCGCAAGCGTGCATCGGCTGCTTTGGGCGAAGAGTTCCAGCCCACCCCTTCGCGGGCGGCGTCGGGCGTGCTGCGCGCTCCCACCTCTGTTCCGAGCCGCTTTGATCTTGCCCCTTCGGTACCTTCTTCGTCGTCGACGTACTCGGTGCTGGACCGGTCGCCATCCGTGGCTCGCGCGACACCGAGCATGGGTGAAGATTCGATGAGCCTTGCGCTCGACGACCACGACAGCCCCGGTCTGGGCAAGGAGAACCTGTACCAGCGCAGCTCCGAGAAGCGCAAGTCACCCGCCGACGAGTCGATGGACGCACCGCGCGGGCTGGCCATGCCCAAGGCGGCCAAGTCGCTCAACCCGTTTGCGCGCACATCGTCCAACGTGGCCAACGTGGCCAAGGACAAGCAGATGCACAAGTCGACGTCGTTCTTCGAGCGGATCGAGCCGTACGAGAAGGAGGCGCTCAACAAGAACGTTCCGTCCAAGCAGGCGTTGCTGACGGGTTTCGTCCGCAAGGATCAGACCGCTTCGGTTGCAGACGCTGCAGCAGCGCGTTCGGCTGCGTTTGGAGAGACGCAGTATCCCGACGACGACATGGCGGGAGAGCAGGGCGACAGGGATGAGTCGCTCCAGTTCACGCTCGAACGTGCTGCTCGAGCCAGTGGAGCAGCTCGTGCGGCTGATCCGATCAACGGCGACCGCCTGCCCGAAACCTTGATGCACGACACCGACACCTTCGACTCGCTCCAGACTGAGGAGTCGGCGCTTCCGAGCTCGCGCATTCCCGTGTGAAGGCTCAGAACCTGACCCCAACACTTTGCTTCTGTTCACATTCCCCATCTGATCCTGTCTTCACAAGGCCCGTTGTATGCGGCGTCGCGAGAGTATCACAATAAATGTAGTTCCATTGCAGCCGAGTGTCGAATGCTAGCGTAACGTGACGTGAACTCATCTTGCGAGAAAGACCGAATGCAGAGTCAATCACTCGCAGAGCTGGCCGAAGAGGGCAACGGGGTCTACCACATCCCAGATCTCATCCTTGTGGCGGTGCTGGGGAGCATTCGCCGCGGCAGCGCTGGCGAGCACCGCGGGGTCCTTCTTGCGACCGTTGATCTCGGCGAGCACCGAGGTAGGATCCTTGAAGCCGGGGACGGACAGGCCACCTTTGGTCGGGCGGACGCGTCCGTCGTTTTCGGCGAGCGTGCGGCGGTCGAGCAGGCGGAGAGGTGCCGACTGGTCGATCACGAAGCGGTTACGCACCGGCACGTCGGGTCCCGTGGCAGTCGCGTCGCTCAAATGGCTTGTCGCTGCCAGACGCGCGGCTCGAGCGAGCTGTCGTTCGGGCGAGGCCGGGTAGAGGCGCCCGGACTCGTCTTCGCCGCCGAAAACAGCGTCGTCGCTCCACTCGGGAGCCAGCATGCGCTCCTGAGTTCCTTGACCCATCGGCTCGACAACCGTGTGCGGTGCCACCTCGAGGAGAAAGGCAACGTCCGAGACGGTGAGGCGCGTGTTCGCCGCGCTCGATCGGTCGCTTCGCTCCATGGCTGTACGTGATCGTTTGTGTCCGTTGGCGATGGGGTGGGCCGCTCCGCCGTCCTCTGCATCTGCCGAGGTGCTGCTGTTGCCAAAAGACGTGTCCTGCAGCTGGCTGCTGCTATCGCCGTCACGAAGTGAGGGCGACGAGGGCCCTGCGAGGCTCGTGGCGGCGGTGCTGGCGAGCGACAACACTGAAGAGTCGGCAAACGAAGTGCCGATGCCAGAAGCGCTGGTTCGCGAAGACACGTCCGACGGTATGGATCGGACGTTCCGGACGGGACTGCCACGCGCTGACGTCGGAACGCTCTCGTCCAAGTCCATCGCATCGAGCGAGGGCGAGGCTCGGATTGCGTCTGCGACGTAAGCGGAGGGGTCGAGGCTGTCGCTGGTCTCGGCAGCGGGACGGAGCACCTCACTGGTACGGATACCGTCGGTGCAGTTGGCGCGAATCTTGGTGATGACGCTGCTAGCCACGTTCTGCAGGTGACTCTGCAGAGCCGAGAGCACCATGGCGGCTGCTTGGGGCTGTACTCCGCCGGGCATGCCGTTCTCGACGGCGAGTAGCGTCATGCGGTCCTTGATGCCATCGAGATCAGGCAGATGCTTGGATTCGACGCACAGGGGCGCCTGAAGAGCACGAGCCACAGCTTGTTGGGCAGCTATACCGGACAAGAAGATGGGCTCAGGAACGCGATTCCTAACATGTGACGCACAGGCTCAGGCAGGCACCTGAGCCATCCCGGACGCGATGGACACTTACAGAAAGAGAGCTTGCCTCGCACAGCGGCGATCTGCTGGGTGGCTTGGATGGCCTGGCCCTTCCAGTCGCGCGCACCGATAGCGCTCTTGAACTGCCTTACCTTCCTGCGGTCTTCGGCGACCTTGCGCTTCTCCTCGTCCTTGCGCTTCTTCTCGAGCATGTCGGCGGCGGAACCGGCCCAGCCGAGGCTGGCGGCGCCGCCGAGCGAGTTGGCGCCGAGCTTGCCGGCCTTTTCGAGGTTCTTGAGGCGCAGGCGCTCCTTTCGCGGGAGACCTGCGACGAGGGTGCGGAGACGCTTGCGGCTGGGCTCCTCTTCTTCCTCCTCGGTGATGGTGGAACCGTCTGGGAGGATTCGAGTGATGCGCCTCGACGCTCTGCTGGATGGACCGGGCACATCGGCGCTTGCGTTGTAGAGGACTCCGAGAATGAGCGCATTGTGAAGATGGACTGTGGAGGAGTCGAGAGGCGTGGATGGCAGTGGCAGATTGAGGGGGCGGAGGAAATCGGGTGGATGGATTAAGGACGTGCCGAGTCGGGGCGGATTCGGGGGGTGAAGAGCATAGATCGCGAGGTCAGAAGCTGATTCATTGAGAGAAACGAGGTAGAGACGCGAGGAGTTCGATCAAGGGTGGATGGCACTTACTGTGTTCGGGTTTGAGCGCTTTGTGAGCTAGGGCTTCGAATTCGGAGCGGTCGATAGCGCCTTTGAGAAACTGGACGAGGGTCTGCCAGTATCGAGCGCCGTTCTGACCGAGAGCAACGGCGAGCTTTTGCTTGAGATCGAGCGTGTCGGCGCGGATGGGTCGATGTGATGGCGTGTTGGCGCTGGCGGCCGCGCTCAGCTCACGAGCTATGGGTGCCATGGTTGCGGCTGCTTTTGACTGGCTGTTACAGTCAGCGAAGATGTGCTCTACGCAGACGATGGATTTGTGTTGGTCTATGCTGCTGCGGGACACGCTCGCTGTAGCGCAGAGGGCGCTCCTGGGCGATGTTGGCCGACGGCTCGCAGAAGCAAGGATGGGTTGGAGGGCACGGCTTGGGAGCGAAATGCGCTAGAATGTCGCCAGGCTTGCCTCAATGACCGACAAGAGGCGGCAGGATTGACAGCCCTATGAAGGATGCTGGGAGGCGCGGCGGTGACGGACTGGAGAGAGACCGGAGGCGTTATGGGGTGTTGGAAGCGTGCCGGTGTCGCGGACGTCGGAAGGTCGCAATATGGTATACACAGAGCAAAGGACTTGAATGCGCAGGAAGGGTCGGGGCAGAGACTGGCTCTAGAATGTCGAAGCGGACGTTGCTGGGAGATGGGATGCGGGTGGAAGAGGCAAGAGCTCGTGGATGCAGTAGCCGAACGTGAGCAGCGCGAAATGAGTCGTTTCGGGCTGGATGGCTGGCTGGGATGCAGCTACGCGAGCGGATGTATGTCGCCAGGACTGAGCGGAGGTGAAGCTCGTCGACGTCGAGATGGCGTGGGCGTGGATAGGATAGCGAGAGAGGAAAACGAATCCATCCAACAGCTGGCCAGGGTTGCATGCATCCAGCTCGGGCGTGCTCCACTGGATCCATCCGGTGCATGCAGTTCTGTCGGGCGGATATGTGGACCACGCTCACCAGGCCCGCAACCGACGGGTGCTCTTACAACGGCGCTCGTCCGAAAAATTCAACCTGGGCTCGCCATCCGCACCATCCAGCGCTGTGCGTCCTTACCGCCTTACCGCTTTACCGCCTGATTCAGGGCTGGCTGGCTAGCGGCCTCCCACAGGCATCCGGAGCGTTCGGCCGGTGATGCATCGAGCATCATTTTTTCCATCCGCGCTTGGCTCTCTCGCTCGCCGCCAAGCGGCCCGCTGGGCGTGACATCGGCGGCTACGAATTTCGAGCACCGTTGCGGCCGGAATAAGACTCGGCCTTGCTGTCTTCGCTTCTCGTACGTGCATACGCGCGTCTGTTCATCTTCAGATCGCGGCCCGATGTCACTTTTCCACCCATGCAGCCACAACCTCGAAGCTAGCTTGGACCCAGCCTGCTCGGGGTCTTGTGAGGCATGCGCTCGGTCGAGCCGGGGGAAACAGACTTGGCACTGCGCGCGAAAGCTTGTCAGCGGGAATTTTGCTGCAAGGGGATGCTCGCGACTCGAACGCCATCCAGTGTATGATTGGCCGCTGCACCTCCGAGTTGGATGGCATTCCTGGACCTGAACGATCCTATCTTACATCCCCAGGCATTGAAGTTTGTACGAAGAATGTGCTGTGCTCAAAAGGTGGGATCTCCCTCGTCTTTGCGTGGCTAGGGTGGATGGATTCGCACATGAAGGGTTCGAAACCCCTTCACTGCACTCCGATCCGATCTCGCGTGCAAACCCGGCCCCGCACACCGCTTTGTAGGGGTGCCTTTTGCTCTCAGCCTTCATCTCGAGCACTCTCAACGTCCCCTGGAGCATGCCCGCCCCCACTCGATCGTGCAAAACCAAGAGCCCCGCAGAGTCATTGGGCAGAACCCGGAATTCGGGTATACAGTCGCGTGGCTTTGAGGTGTCAAGTCCGAAGAATCTCCGGAACGAACTCGGATCTCGGATCGGGAATACAAACATTCAGTGATGGCACTTTCAGGCACACCCTTTGCAGCTCTCCGAGTCCGACTCCACCGTCACGCACCGCGCTTCGCCATCAGTGTCCGAGCGTGCTGAGCAGATGATAAGCTTGTCTCCGGGATTCCTTGGGTGTCGTTCAGTGTTGCCGGCGGGTTTGCCGAGTGGGTCACGGTGTCTGGGACGGCACTTTGCCATCAGTGGGTAATATCACGTGACCTCATTCGCGCCTCGCCGCTGCTTTTTCGAGAAAAAGACCAACACTTGACCCTCACGCAGGCAACAGGCACGCGTCTCGCCGAAATCCAGGGCTGAAGGTCGGCAGCAGGCGAGCAGCGGCAGCAGCCATATTTACCGCTGCGCAATTTTGAGGGCATGCGGTCACTTTGGACTCGCTCGCTCCTCTCAGGCCTCACGCACACACGCAGTGGCCCCACAGTGTTGCACTCTTGGATTCGGCCGGCTCGCCTTGCCCCACCGCCTTGTCCAGTCCTCAGTGCGGGTGGCAACAGAGCCTCCCTTGCGCATCCACCTCGATACCCTCCGGCCACTCTTTCCGCACGTCGCTGTCGTAACGACTGCGCCTTGGTCTCCACCCCTTGTGCTATACCCGGCAGCGCGACCTCAACGCTGCAACCATCTGACACCATCACACGATACTCTTCGACCTTGTCGAACTCGCTTGGCATGGCCCAGGTGTTGCAATCATGTCTTCCACCTCACCACAGAAGCGGAGATCAAACGCCTTCAGAACGAGCTTGATCGAGCAGCCCGTGCGACAGACCCGCTCCATGGCACGAATCTCGGACGTGCTCGACGCCACGCAGCACTTCTCCATGGCAAAGTCCGACACCCAGCGTCCATCCGACGCTTCTATGCAGTCTCGAGCATCGTCTCCGCGCAAAGCCCGCGCAAGTCAGGCTGCCCAGCTCGACCATTTCGATCCCGAATCTCCCGACGTTAGCCTAGCAGCATGCATGGAGAGCCCCAAAAAGGGCCGCTTCGACGACTTTGAATTCGAGCTCGAGAACAGCAAGCACGAGCTGCCCGTCCGACGCACGAGGGCCAACGCTCAGAGACAATCTGCATCTTCATCGTCAGCTGACGCGAGTCTACCTCGCTCAAAAACATCCACGACCCTCAACCGCACCATGCCTGCGAACCCTCTACATGCCAGCCGTAAGGAAAATTCCACAGTCACGGTCCGAGATCCAGTCCAGCCTGGTGCAAGTCCGGTCAAGCCAGCAGCCACCGCCGTTCGCCCTTCCAGACTACATGGACATGCTGCTGCTGCACAGTCCAGCAACCTCGATGGGACAGGGACAGCGGATGTACCGACGACGTCCGCTGCCGTGAAGGGGCAGTTGGACACCAAGGTCGACAGCATGCCACACTCGAACGATCGCGATTCCAACCAGCGCCTTCTCTTTGGGACAGCCAGAGCTTCTTCTCGTGATCCTGCTCATCTCAATCCTTTCAGCACGAGCTCCGACACCAACAGCCTCGCGCAGCTAGGAGAGCCCAGGCACTCGCCGGTGAAGCGCTTCCAGACCAAGTCCGAATTCGTCATCCAGTCGCCCGACCGACCGGACCGCAAGCCCATCAACCTTCTAGAGCTGAAGCCTTCGCCCGGTAAGGCTCAGCGAGGCATCTTCCGCCACAATTCTGTCGTAGATGACGAGGATGATGATGACTGGGGCACTTCAGATAACTCGGAGCTCAACATCACCATGGACGAGATCAAACTTGTAAAGGGCCCTTCCGTTCCGAAGCAGGCTGCGACGCGATCACACGAGGTCTCTACATCGTCACGCGCGAAAGCAGATGCATCTGCATCCTCAAAATCCAAAGACACGACGCATAAGATGGCAAGCACGATTTCCACGCTCGACGTCAGGGACACCATGTCCCCGGAAACGTCGGATATGTTGGCGAATCTCGAGGCGTCGCTGGTCAAATTGAGGGCAAAGGCGCACACACAGCCTGTTGCGGTGGACACCAAGAAGAAGGAAGAACAGAATGTCCCTGCGCCCGTCAAGAGGGAGCTGGGTGGCCTTCGTGCATCTGGAGTCCCTGCAAGCCGAACACAGACCTTCCGAATCAAGAGCTCAACGACCTCTGCTGATCTTGCCCACCAAGCACGGTCAGCTACCGACCAGAGCGGAGACAGTTCTGTCTTCAAGCGTCCATCAGGACGTGTCTCCGCCCTGGCAAAGTCCAGAGTCTCGAGCTCGGAGCATGGCTCGGACTCGTCGCTCACCTCTTCTCGGTCCATGATGTCGTTCGGCGCTCCGCGCCTTCCGGGATTCAGCGAGGTCGGAGGACGAGCGTCTCGGCCCATGCCACCAAGTGCCCGAACCTCGAACCTCGGCACGACTTCGGATGATTCGAGGAACGAAGAGCTAGCTGCCGCTGAGGAGGAGCAGGAGAGGATCGCAGAGGCCAAGAGGCAGGCAGAGCTCAAGGCGGCCAAGCGCAAGTCCATGTCTTCGATTCTGTCAAGCGGCATGCCGCCGACGCTGCAACGGAGGGAGGCAAGTGCATCTTCATCAGGATCCCAGCCGCCACAAGAGTCCTCTGCGAAGCCGACATCGCCCACTGCAGCAAAGCCATCGGAAGATTCTGCCGAGGCAAAGAAGGCGGCGAAAGCAGCAAGAAGGCGCTCGCTCTTTACCTATGTGCCTACCAAACGCGAGGACACGGACGGCGACCGTTCGGTCGGCAACCTGTCGACCGGCCTCGTCATCTCTACGACCCCATCGGGCAACGCTTCCGAGGCCGACACCTCGACCCAGGCGCCTCGCAAAGCTCGATTCTTGCGAGGTCTGACGGTGCTGGTGGACGTGCGTGACCAGGACGGAGAAGACGCTTCGGGGCGGTGGGTTGAGATGCTCAAGAATGCTGGGGCCAAAGTGATGCTGCGCTTTCCCGAGCGCAAGCTCACGCACATCGTGTACAAGAGCGGAAGACCGAGTACGCTGCACTCGTACCGGGCCCTCGATGATCCTAAGCCTCACGTCGTCGGAATCAGTTGGGTAGTCGCCTGTCTCGAGCAGGGCAAAAAGGCTGACGAGCGGCCCTACCTCGTCGAGGTGGCCAAAGAGGCCATCTTTGCAAACGTAAGTAGTGCTCAAAACGATATTGGAGAGCCCGGCGCTTGACAATGATGCTGACCCGACTTGCTCCTTTGTTGCTGTCGCTCTAGCCACGTCGCTCGTCCATGGCGCCCAAGAATGTGCCTTCATCGGCCACGTCAATCCGGGAGCGTGAGTAGAATGGCACTGCCAGTCAGATCGAACCTTTCAAGAGGGATTGGATATTCTCTCCGCTTTGCAACCTGTGAGCCTCTGCCGCTACCCTCTTGCCCCAGGAGCGTGATCTCCCTGCGCCTCTTTCGCCTTGTGCATGATACCTGGCTCCAGCCGCACACATTGTTCAAGAAGGAGGACGCTGACCAAGAGGACTGTTTTGCTTGTCGCTGCCACAGTCCCAAAAGAGATGCAAAAGAGCGTGGAACAGGCACGCCGCAAGCTGCTTGCTCACGCGCCTGCGGTGTCAAGCCCACTCCGTCGCCGCATCAGCTCGCGCAGCGTGCTGGCCAGACAGCTAGCTGCCACATCGATCCACTCGGATACCGCTGATACCGCCAGTGAAGCTGCAAGACCTCGAGCCTCGTCTTCGAGGTCGTCAAATGAGACGGCCGAGAATGCAGATGCGGTCGGTCAAGGGCTATGCAGCAGTCGTGATGACGACGGAGACGGCGACCTCGACGAACTGGCACAGTACCGCGAGACTGTCAAGCAGATTCTTTCCAAGCCCACGGGCGCATTTTCGTGAAGCTACCCCACGCGAACATGACCCCTCCCTCACCGGGCCTTTGCCGGGTCTCCCCGCGCACTGTCAGGTGGTACCGATGTGGCTATTCATCAGAGAAAACAGGCATGCTTTGACCCTCACCGGATGCCACGAGTTTTAGTGCGACCAAAATAGCGGAACCGAGACCGCGGCGCCAGTCCATGACTGAGATGCCGTCTACGCTTACGAGACGAGCTTTAAACGAATCCTCCTCGATGGCGCTCGCTTTGTCGTCTTACCTGGCTGGCGTTTCCCTCCCGAGTCCGGGGAGAACGTGATAACATGATTGCCCCGCTCCGGCTTCTGCACAATGGTACTACGTACTGATCTGGGAAATACGAGACGAATGCAGTCCAGACCGCCGTTGCCGGGGTCGACAAGTGTGAAAAGGTGGCCGCGATCGCCGGGCCAGCGGTGGCAGCGACGCAAGGTTCCAGCTCCGCGTCCGCATGGCAAGGGCCCAGAGACGTGAGAGGGACTCGCTTGCGGGCTAATGAAAACGTATGGGAAGGCCCTTGCGATCCGGTACGACCAGCGGTATCGCCGAGGCGGAAGCGAAGCGCCATTGGACCTGGATTCATCCGGTTTCAAGTAAGCTTTTTTTTGTGCCACAACTTTGTGTGAGACGAAGCGCTGAGTTGGAGCGCGGCCGGGCTGTCCAGGTCATGAATGGAGCCGCTCTTTCGTCTCGGATGCTATCGTTCTCCGAGACGTATCCCCATTTGGATTTGCCGTTGAGGATGCTGGGATCGAACCAAGCGAGGGTTGGGAGCCACGGCCTCGGATCAGGTTGTCGTGCATGTTCCTGCGAAAGAGCAGGCGGAAAAATGTGGAGGATTGGGGCACAGCAGCGGGAGAAGAGCAGAGTTGGAGCCGTTGGAAAATTCGACTCGCCTACGACATCGACGCGTCGAGATGACGGTGCACTGCAGATCGAAATGCCGGAGAGCGTTCGCAGACGGGATCCGGATCGTCAGCCAACGCGATGCAACAGTCGATCCCAGGATTAAGCGAACCACGGCGCGATGCTGCGACGGGCTGGCTACTATAGCAGCGGCTGCCGCAGACGGCCCACTCGAAGTGACCCGTCAGCTGCGTGATACCGCTCTGCCGATGGGTTGGCACGCTACAAGCCGCTGTGAAGCTTGTCGACCCCGCAAGCCTCTCGCAACTTGTCAGGTACCGTGCATGATCTCGCCTGGGCATTGAACGAATTCTGACGTCGTCAGGCGCAGTCACCCCATCGAACTTAGACGTGTCTACGCCTATTGTTTCGCCCTTTGGCTCTACCCCGTCGGGAGCCGCAATGGGAGAAAAGTTAAGTGAGGCGGTCGGTGCCTGCAGATGGCGAACCGTCTCTCTGCCGCGTCCCCAACAGTACCGATGGAGCATACGCCGGCGGATATGGCTTCCGTGCGCGCGCAAGTCAGCATCATCGACAGATTGGCTCACCAGAAGCGAGTCGAAGCGAACGAGATCGAGTACTTCCAGCTCGACAACTTGGCCTCGTTGTTGCCTCAGCTGGCCCTACTCTCGCACATCCGCGTACTGTAGGTGCCTCGCGTCGCGTCAGGTCGGCTTTTCTGGCGAGCCCGATCCACGCTAACTACTTGCCAGCCGAGCTTGTTGACGCACAGTCAATCACAGGGCTCAACGGTATCGCGCCTGTCCGCGAGATCTCTGGGCCTATTCCGATACCCCACGCCTCACTTGGCTGCAGCGGGGCGTGCGGCTACCCCAAAATCCACCAGCCAATTGAGAACGCAACGAGGCAGATGCGGGCGTGGAGAGCGTGTGAGAGTTGCGTCCAAATCGAGCTCCGACGATGGGGGGGATGTAGCGGAGACTTTTGGGGCCGGTTGTTTGTTGCGCTGAGCGGCCGGTCCAGCCCGGGAGACGCGCACGGCATCCGGCGTGGCCGCGCTGCCCCGCCGCGAAAAAAAAAAATCCAGGAAAATTGTGCGGAAAAAAGGGACGGCAGATTGTGATCAACACTGGTGCAGAAAGGCACTCGCGAGGACCCCCCCAAAAAAGTCGGCTGGCGCATTTACGGCACTTGCGCACAGGCGCGCTCGCCCTAATCTATGTCCAAGCGCTGTCCCTGCAGAACGGCGTGATCCCATGCAAGGTTAGGCTTGGCCATTGTGGTTGGACTCTGCTAGTGCGCTCCGATCCAGAGCCACACAGTCTCCCACCCTGGGTTTCGGCGCTTCCGATGCGATCTGGAGCCCTAACCTGAGCCAAGCCGAGGACCCCATTTTCAATCGATTGGGCGGCGCTGGGCCTGCCATTGCAGGGCTGGTGAGACCGAATCGAGTAGAGAGCAGCAAGACGCTCCGTGAGCGGCTCATTTCGTCTGTATCATACGGCCCTGCACCTGCCTACGATGGGCACTGCCAAGTGGGTGCGGAGGAACCGTGCGTGGTTCAGCTGACGATTCGCTTAAGCGCATGTTGGAAGCACATCAGCATCATCGAACTTGCAGCAGCAGCTGCAAGCAGGTGCGGAAAATGCGTTCCACGCACAGCTCCCGACACAGCCCAAGTGAAGCAAGATCTGCACCCCAGCTGAATTTGGCAAAATTCGGTTTGGGGGGGCCCGTCGACACCGCCGATGAATGCTGGCTTGATCGCTCGCTCGCTCGCTTGCACGCTTCCACTGTCAATCTCGATGATTCGGCTGCGTGCAGAGGCGCGCGCGATGGGAGAATGAGGCGCTGCTTTGACAAGCAAGATCCCATGTCGCAAGACCTCGCGATGGATGCGAGCCAACATCCATGGTGCGCGCATCCCCTGTGCCCTCCGCCGCAACACGAGACGCAGCCGATCGCACCCTGGCAGCCAAGACGCAGCGAACCCAAATCCAAATTAAAATTAAAAACAAAAACAAAAACTAAATCAACAATAAAAAAAACCTCCGACGTCGCCCGCCTCAGGCCGTACACCGCCCCGTGAATTTGAGCGCTCTTGGCATCCGGCGGGTGTTTCCATGAGCCCTGGTCAGCCGCCAGCATAGCCCTGACGCGCCGCTCGCCATGACTTGCTTTCAAGTGCCAGCGCTGTGCTCGTCATCGACCGCCGACAATGACCTGTCGAGTGCCTCGCGCGCATATGGACAAAACACAGCTGGTCTACAACACAGCTGTGAGACCCGTCTAGGTCAGCCTAGTGTCCCCGCCGGGTCGTATCGCAGACACGTTTTGGGAGGGTGCGGCGGAAAGCGTGGGCGTTTTGGTAGCATGTGGGTGTTGCAGCTGTGGCACAGTGCGACATGTGTGGGATGCAGCTCTGCGCTGAAGCGCCTTTGACGCTAGAGGGGGCCACTAACTCTTAGCAGCACCCTGTCAACTGTTGCATACACTTCACTGCTGCGGTGCTGCACTCGGTCCCCAGCAGCATCCTGACGCCGCCACTCTGGTTCCTTCCTTCGGGAACGTATATGGACCGCCGCCCGGGTTCGAATCCGCGCTATCGGTAGCTCCGCCCTCTTCTGTTCACACCATCCGACTAGTACATGCTATCTTCCCTACAGCCACCCTGCATGCTTCCAACCTTCGCCCGCTATCTCTGCACTGCATTCACCTGACAGCTTCCTGCATCCACGCATCCGAACGCCTCTTCATTTCACCTTCCGCCACCTGCACAGCACGCTAAAAGGAGGCTTCAATAAGCCCGACCCTAAAGTAGTCGGCCCCCTTCCGAACCGCTCACCAGTCGCTCCATCCGCCTGTCACCCGCACCTCGAAGGCCCACATCACGCACTCTTCAAGCCACGTATCATCGCCCGTGGCCGAGTAACCACCCCCTGCGTCTGCTGCAGTCGACACATCTCTCTCAAACCCATCAGTGAGGTCTTGGTTGCCATCCCTGTCCATCCTGACTCGCCTGCGTCAGCGAGTACAAAAGCACTGAGGTCGTCGTCCTTGATTCGAGCATTGCACGCCGCGATCCGAAGCTCTCCTTACCACTTGTGCCCTTTTGGCATGGAATAGCGACCAAATCAGCGAGCGACCCATCTCCTCGCACGACTCCATTCTCCATCGCCTTGCCACTCGAATGTCTTCATCAGCAGCCATGCTGGCCGCACAGCCCACTCCCACCCGCGCCATGTGCATCCCAGCTCCATCATCCAGCCTCAAGCCTGCTTTGACCATCAAGGCATCTCAGCTTGCCAAGGCCCATCACCGCGTTCAAGTTCCAAGGATCATCATCACGCCGCCCGATGAGCCCGCACGCTTCTCGAGTGCACTCCCCGAACAGACATACGAAAAATCGGTCCTATTCGTTCCCGTCAAGACCGAAGAATTGGGCTGGGATGAGCACGGCTTGTACTGGAACGGCACCTACGCCTATCCCGTCCATCAGATCTATGACAAGGAAGGCTCCCCCATTGGGCGCCGACGCAAAGGTCCGCAGGGCTACCGCTTCGAGGAATACTACGGCAACAAGAAGCCGCGACGACCCTCGACGAGCTCGCATACGGATGACACCGTCGAGGAAGCTAGCGTGCGCCTCGAAGAACCCGCGCCCGCCCGCATCCAGGGCTACAACAGGGCAAGCACCTCCGGACAGGATGAGCAAGAGCACAGTGAAAAGCCCGCCGAATGCGACGAGGAGGAAGCTGCCTCCTCTCCTCCCAGCCCGACACTCTCAGTCGTCTCGGATTTGACCGAGACTGAAGACTCGAGCTCCGTGTGTGACGACTCGAGCTCTCTCTGGTCACGCAGCGGCGGTGCGTCGGATGATGCCGAAAGCGAGTGCACCTCGCCAGGTATCATGTCACCGCCCATGGACGGGGACGAAGACGAGCTCAGTGCCGACGCTCTGAGCAGCAAGCTATCGGACCTCGCTCCCACCGAGCGTATCAGCAAGACGACGTGGACATCGTTGGGCACGCTGCCGTCGTCGACTGTATCGCCATCGCGTTCCTCCTCTCTACCCGTGCCTGAGTCGAGCTCGCGCAACAGGCTCGACCTTTCCAATGAGCATCGCTCCAGCTCGACGATGATCGTCAGCTCGCCCGCAGAGCAGCGTCGACACAGCACGCCTTCGGCATACTCGTCCATCATCCAGGACCTCGTCACATCGCCCTTTGCCAACCAGTCGGCTTCGCCATTGCGCTCGGCAACGCTACCTCGCTCTAGATCGCGATCCGGCCACGCCGCTTCCAAGCCCAGCTCGGTTCTTCGGCCACCACCGCCATCATCATGGACATCGTCAGGCGCCACACGCTCAAGCTCGGCAACGCGCTCTTCCAGACGCAGTTTCCCCTCGGCGCCCGAGTCCGACTTTGACGCAGGCTGGAACTTCGAGGCGCAAGGTGCATCGCTGTCGCACCACTGGGATCACTCGTTCGCAAACCACTACTAGACCGTTCCTCCACAACCCTCTTGCGCAGGTTCGCAGGCACCAACTCCCCACCACCACGCTCCCTTTTGTATTTGTACCCCTTGCATCCTCGCTGTACTCGTATCGCAGTCCGTCCTAATCCACACCTCTGTCTCTCCTCTCTCTCACAAAACGCGCCTGCTGGCCCTGAGCCTCGTGTGAATCACGGAACGTGTGAATCACGGAACGTCTAAGAATTACGAAGGAAGAAAAAAGACAAGCGAGAGGAGCCTGGAGCACGAACGTACAAAAGCTGAGGAAAAGAGTCGAGGCATGAGACAGAACGCATGTGCGTGAAAATGGTATCTGGTGGTACAAGCTGGAGGCGAGCAATGCGGCGCGACGACGACAGGTCGGGGGAGTGCAAGAAACATTAGCGGGCGCATGGCGGCGAGAATAAGGCAAGCAAGACTAGATGGCAACAGCTCGAGTGCACAGCGCCACACATCTACTGGACTGTGGTTGCGACTGGACGCGGCAGACCCTGCGGCGAGGGTGAGCCGGCCTCACGGTTGCTCGAGCTGCCCGCCTGCGCCTGCCCGGTGAGCTTTGGCGTCGAGACCGAGCGGCTGGCACTCGCATCCTCCGAGCCGAGCCCTTTGATCGTCATGTGCGACTCGCCAGCGCCATCGCTCGACGACGATCGCTCAAGCGCTTCGGCTTGCAGCGCATGAACGGGGTCGCGCGAGTGGGGCATCGCAGCAGATGCTGCATTCGACGTGTTCGTCGTTTGCGATGCTCCATTTTGCGAAGCCGCCGCCGCTGCCGCAGCAGCAGCATCGGCCTGATGCTGTGCGGCGCGACGCTTGGCATCCTCGAGACCCTGCATGTTTAACGCCAATGGGGCTGGGCTGCTTGACACCGACCCGACAGGCTTGAGCGCATCGGCCTCACTCGGTGTGAGACCAGGCGGCAGCGACAGGCCTGACGGACTGCCTGCGGTCAGCGCATCGACGTCGATGCCTGCTTGTCTCATGGCCTGCTCGATCTCGCCCTGAACCACGATACCCTCGATCCACGAATGGTCCAACAGCTCTCTCGCCCCGGACCGCTTCTCCGGATGCAAGCGGAGCATGGGCATCAGGAAGGAAGACAGCTCGTTGGCCTCGTTGTACGGCATGAGGTACTTCTCCTGCAGCACCGAGATGAGTGGCCAGAAGCGCAGCTTGTGGATGTGGCGAAGCTCTCCACGACGGTTGAAAATGTCGGCGCTGTACTTGCCTGCAAACGCAAGGCTCTTGGGGAAGTCGCCGAGCAGCTCGATGATCTGAGCCACATGGTCGTCGTCCTTGTTGTACTTGGTGCCGGCGGCAGGATCAAAGAGGTAGTCACCCGTGAGCAGTTCGAAGAACATGCAGCTTGCCGACCACATGTCCGCACTTGGGCCCCACTTGGCACCGAGGATCACCTCGGGGCATCGGTACTGACGAGTCTGAATGTCGTTGGTGAAGTGGTGGTCGACCCAACACGCGTTGCCCAGGTCGGCGATCTTGACGGTGATTCTCTCGAGCGAGCTGGGATCGTACGGTGGCGGCGGGGGAAGCGTGGTGGGATCGCCGGCGGCGGGCGCTGGCGGGTGCATCTCTTGGTCCATGGGAGTGGGCTCTTGGCGATCGGTGGGACTCGGTGAGTCCATCGACATGGGCGACGGAGAGTCGGTCGGTTCGGCAGCTGCTTCTGCGAGTGGTGCGGCGGAGCTCGAAGCGGCTGGCGCGGGCGCCTGCGGAACGCGTGGTGCTCCGAGGGACAGGAGCGAGGGGCCCTTTTGCTGCGGAACGCCCGTGGTCGTCCTGCTGCCGAACGAATCGCCTGGCAGGCTGCTGGAGGCTTGGGTGCTGAGCTGCGAGATTCCGTGTCCGATGACGTCGGTCGAGCCTTCGCGCTCCTTGCTCGTGACGAGGGATCCACCTTTGGACCCGGCAGCTTCGCTGCTGGCGCCGCTGCGGAAGCCGTTTTCGCTGTCGCTGACGCTTGGCTTGTCGATCTTGGACATGCCAAAGGCCCACTTGTCAAACATGGGACTGGATCCGAGACTGCTGCTTGGACTCGGCAGCGGCTGGGAGCCCGTGATGAAGATGCCGTCACGCTTGGGCGTCTGAGTGCCGCCGCGGCCCTGACTTGGCGGAACGCCGACGAGCTTAGTGGGCACGGCGGCCGGGTTGGACCGCAACTCTGCCTCGACGACCGCCTCGACGTCGTCGATGCAGATGAGCACGTTCTCTGGCTTGAGATCAGTGTGAATGATGCCGCACTCCTGGTGCATGTAGTCGAGGCCGAGGAGCACCTGTTTTGCGATTTGCTTGACAATGTGCGGAGGCACGCCACGATGTTGGTATCGCTTGATGAGCCCGAGCAAGTTCTCGCCGAGCACCTCGAAAACCATGCAGACGTGCGAGCCGTTGGGGCCCTTGTGTCTGAAATGGTCGAGGAGGGAGACGCAGTGGCGCCTGCCCGGGTGACTTGGGTTGGCGGAGACGAGGCGCTGGAGCAGCTTGATCTCGTCGAGGGCGGTTTCGGTGTAGTGAGGCGCGCTCTTTACGACCTTGAGCGCGACGTGCCTCTTCATCTTGTTGTCCTTGGCAAGCCAGACGGTGGAGAAGTGGCCCCATCCGAGCTTCCTGACGATGAGGTAGCGCCCGTCGGAGAAGGTGTCGCCGACATGCACGGGGTGGTAGCCGCCCTTGCCGTAGTCTTCGAGGTCCTCCTCATCTTCGGTCATGACGGAACCCATGTCGGAAGATGCGTTCATGGAGGAAGGACCGTAACTACCGGGTGTATGTTGATCTTGGGAGGCGCCGGCGATGGATATTGAGTTGGAGGGCATCGAAGGCGGGTGGTGATGTTGGCCGCCGGCCATGGGAAGAGGTAATGCGGACATGGCACCAGGAGTGCTGACGGGAGAAGGGCCGGGAGTGCACGTGGATGTGATGACGTTGCTGTAGGCTTTGTCACCGTGGTCGCTGGAGAGGTCAACGATGCAAAGATCGACGAGGTCGAAAGGACAGAGCGGTTCAAGGTCAGCGTATGTCGCAGTGAAGCCAGGCAAACAAAGCATTGCGGGAGCGTTGATGTCGGTAGCGGCGAAGATGAGGGACCAGCACGACGGAGGGAGTAGGTCGACGGCACAGGTGTTGCCAAGCGGCCTCGTGACCGTCCCCACCGCGACCAGTGTTAGAACGGGCCGATTCGCCATGAAGAGCAACAGCAACGGTTGCCGTCCGCCGAACCTGGACGCTTGGCGCGGCAGCTCTGCGACGCTCGCGAGCCGAAGCCGCGTGCATCGGGCAGGCGGCGACGCATCGAGCTACGGCTGCAGATGAGGCCATGAGGAGGCGATTCCTGCGCCAGAGAAGCGTGCCAAGCCTCGACAAGGTTGCAAAGCTTAATGGCTCGCGTGACTTGCGTCGGAAGTGTGGCGCGGCAGCCGTGCGGGCAAACGGGCGTCCCAAATCGGAGCAAAACGCGCAGCTGCAGCGCGTCTCGCGTGCTCGGTCACTCAGCTGGATCAGCTAGAGTCGGCCGGACTGCCGATCGACACGGTGCCTTCAGCGCAGCGCAGGGGTGTGACCGGGATCGCAGAGATGTTCGGCGGATTGTTCGGCGGATGAGAAGCAGGACTTACGTGGTGGACGTCATTGTTTCTGTGGATCAGACTGGAGCCTGAGTGTGTCAAGAAGCGAATGCACTCGTGACGGCGCGGGAATTCCGGATTGTCGCTTGTTCCGCTGGAACTGCTGGAACGCCCGAGTCGGAATGCTCAGCGTGGGCGGGGGAGCTTGAGGCTACAGCGAGCTAGGCGGAAAGGCAGGTGCAAAGGATCGTCCGTGTATGGTGGATCGTGGCACGCGACTCACTCGCTCGCCGCTGTATGGGGAAGGTGCGGTGCCGAAGTAAGCTCGGGGCTTATGCAGTCGGAGATCGTCGGTGATGTCGGGCCGTGGGCTTGTAAAGGTGGGGAGAGCCAAGAGGGTGAGTTGCTTCAAAGACGAACGACGCGAGGCGGATGCGTGCAGCGCGTGCGATTTGATGAGACTGCTCAAAGCGTGCGGCGGCTCGACAGCGGGTCGGAAGCGTGCTGAGACGAGGTGGTTGGATGCTGACAAGGTGCGACTCCAAATTTGACGAGAGCACGTGCAGCAGCAAACATGGGCCGAGGAGGCGGCGGTGTCGTGCGGTCAATCGGCAGGACCGACGTACGTGAGAAGGCAAGGGAATGACGTTGATCGACAGAGGTCGTCGAAAGCGATGCGAAGATGGGCACGGCCAACGAGGATAAAGCCGTGTTGGGACGGATCGCGGCCTTGCGTGGAATCGTTGGGATGGTGGGTGCAATTCGGTGGCGATGGCCGCGGAGAGGGTGAGATGGCGGTGATCCAGAAAAGCGCGAGACGTGGAGGGGGAATGGAGATGAGATTGGTGGCAGTGACAATGGAGATGGCGGAGGACGAGGACGCGGGAGGGCGATGTTGAGTGGAGAGATGGGGAGAGGTGCCAATCGATCAAGGTTGCGACCGGAGTCGGGCGGAACGGAGGGCGGCGTAAGTGAGCGGCAGCAAAGGCGAGGTTGAGAGAGAGAGAGAGCGCGGGCACGCGGGCGGAATCTGCAGGCTAGATTGATTTGATTGAATGTGGGAGGCACGAGGCCTGGCCTGGCGAGCCGAGGCGAGGAGCGCGAAATGGGAAAACGACGATAGGGCCGGACAGATAGCACCAGTGCGCGTTCAAAAAGCAGCTGCAGCACGCGGTAGCCTGCACGGGGAGGTTGCGGAGCGGTCGGCACCCGAACGCCAAAAGTGGAGAGAGGGCGGCCAAAGTTGGGCCAAGGGTGGTCGCGCGAGGGCAGGGCGGTGATGCGGCGATGCAGTCGAGCAGAGGTGCCGAAGCGCAGAGGCGCAGTGATGCAACGGGTGGACAGGGTCAAGCCAAGTCGAATCCGAGACAGGGTTCTCTCACAGGCATGATTTCCTACTGTAAGTGATTGCCACACGAGCCGGGCTGGCGCGCCTGAAACGAGTGTGAGTGAGAGACCGAGCCAATGAAGGCAGCGGCAATGCCATATCGGTCAGCGATCAGGCTGGCCAAAACAATTCAACCAGTTGGGCCGCGAACCCACCGCCGCCCTCGGGCCTGTCGCGCCCACCTTCAGCGCGTTGGGCGTGAAAAATCCGAACAAATCAGCACCAGGAAAAAAAAAAAGGCCCGTTGGCTCTGGCGGGCTGGCAGAGCGACCGCGGAGCAATTTCATCTGCTCGTGCAGCGACGGCAGTCTTGTCTCACAAGACATCAGAAATTACCGGGCGGCAGCGCACTCAACCGCTGCTCCTGATCTCCAGAGAGCCTGCCTGTCCACTGGGTCATGTTGTTTGCGCTTCGGCTCATCTCCGCGCTCGCGCTGATCTGCGGCGTCTCCTGCCTCGATCCGTCAGCTGGCCGTGCCGCTCCTCTGGAACTTGAGCGCTTGTGTGTGGAGTGTCGGCGCCTGTCCCAGCTGATCCGACCTAGCCAGGAAGACGGCCTAGCTAGGCGCACAAGGAAGAACCGATCTTTGGTCGGAGGCAGCCCAAGGTCCGAAGCAGCGCCGGTCGTGTGAGGAACGGTAGCTGGCTGCATCGGTTGCATGCATCCTTGTGCCTTTCATTTCCCAGGCGTCCCGCACCCGCTTGTTGATCTCTTGGCCACGCTGCTGCTCATGGAGCGGAGCCGTTGCAAGCGAGCCAAGGCCCAGCGGGTACAGTGTGAGGGCGGTTGGCGAGCGCAGGCTGTGCGTGCTGCCGCCGAAGCGGTTGCAGTGGACATGCATCCTGTTGCATCGCATTGCAGCTTGGCCTTTCTTTTTTTTTTCTCCTGAGTTAAATTTGGGCGGGGCTGCGGAGGCCAAACTCGTCGGATTGCTCCGCCTGTTTGGCAACCGAAGCAGCGCCGACCGGTGACACACGAGCAGGCTCGAGGCACAGTCCGCTTGGTCGGGTGGGGGACGGGCATGCCTCTGGGATTCTGGTTCTGATTCGGATTCTAGATTCCCGGCAAGGTCGACGACGGTCACGCACCCCCTTCGCCCTCCTAGATCACCCGAGCGCCCGGTCCCCCGCACCTTGTGACCTCCAAGAGGATCCGCAATGTACTGTGCTGCGCTCCAACGGAGCTCTATTGTTGCTGGCCATCGGCTCGGCTGCAACAGTACAGTAACCAGGAGCCATACGGCTTTTCTTCCGTACACGCCGGATCAACTCCTTGTCTGGCTCAAGACGGAAAAGCAGGTTTCGCCGAGCGCTGGGCGAAGGTGGATGAGCATGCGGCTCGAGACGGGTGGGCTTGCTCGCCTTTCATGCCCGCTTCGTGCCACCGAGTGTCCGCTGCAAGCCATTCTGTCGCTCAGGCAGGGCTGCATCTCGCCGCAAACGCTCTGCATGTTTGTACCAGAAACACTGGCTTCGAAATCAGCCACCATGGAAAAGCTGGACATCTCCCATCCATCATCCTCGAAAACTTAGCCGGCCAATGCCGTGACTATGGCTGGATTCGGCAGTGATTGCCCGTCAGAGCGCAACGGGATGCCAACGAGGTTTCACAGGATTCCTCGGTGGTGCTTGGGCCACGGTCGAAGCGGCGGACGCAGTTGTTCTGCCGACGTGAAGAGCTGAGGTCTAGGTGTCAGGCGAAACGGCCTTGCTGCCTGTTCAGCGACGCCTCGCCCGCGTGGCCATGGGAACAGGCAGCTGCTCATGTTGTTGGAAGCTGGCATTCGGGTCGTGGGAGCTTGCTCTGCACATGCACGCTCGAGCGTCCCAGCCGATTTTCAATCTCCGCTGATATCGGTTATCTCTCGTCCAATCGAGCGTCTGCGTTGACTGCCAACGCTGATCCTGGCTCGCTCGACGCGCGCGCCCTCTCGGCTGCTTCGGAGGCCACTAGGACGCCGAGATGCACGACCCTACGTCCGTATTTTCCGGACGCCTTCTGCCGCAGCCAGCGCCGAAACTACGACGCCAGGTTCTTCAATTGCAGCGTCGCGATGGTGTTGCCGGAGCGGACACAGCTGGCTCGCACCTCCTCCAATTACCCGAGCGGGCCCCGGAAGCCGTATTGTTGACCGGCCACAGGCTGCAAGCTCGACCAATCACTGCTACCGGAAATCAATGTCACACCGGCAGATCCGTTTGGGCGCTTTGGGGTGGCAGTCGTTTCCGCCTCGGCGTCAAGCAGCATCACGACCAGCTTATGCTCGCCGGCATCATGTTCCAGTCATCACGGCGCATCGGTTACGGGATTTGCCACATATGCCGGCGAGCCATCCCAACCTAAATCACGGCCATGCTGGCACGTTGTGCATCGCTGCCCATGGCCAAGCGAGACGGCGACCCCACTCTCCGGCATCGCCTCAGGTCATTGCGTGCAGACGGCCGTGCGCGGTGCATGCTGCGTACAGGACCGCTGCTGCCGACACTGTGGTCTGTGCGTTGCCCATTTAGAGCTGCACGCCCGCCTGCGAGATGATGTTGGCCGTGCCGGTAGCGCGCACCGTGTGGTGGCGAGCGAGCTCGCTTCGGCGATCCGGCTGCGCGCCACGCTGCAGCACCACCCAAGACCTCACACGGTGTGGCGTCCTCATCGACCCCCGACGTGCTGAACCGCATCTGTGTTGAGTGTAGCATGCCAAGCTCTAACATTTTATATTTTTTCGCCCCTTTTTAAGCGCCACCATTTTAACGCACCTTTTCTGTGAAACATTGATTCACTCCGGTCGTCCTTCACACAGCAATGGAGCAAGACAGCAACAACGCGACGTCACAAAATCCCACCAAAACTGCGAGACGCTCTGATGAACCGTCTTGCGGTATTGTATCTGCCATTCATGCACCGGGTCTAGGCGGTAGCGACGGTAGTGTCCTTGGCGAGCTCCGCCTGGTTCTTGGCCGTGGAGCCTGCGGGCGGCATGGTGGGGTCGATGGACCTGTTCTTGTTCATGAATTCGCGCACCAGCTCGTCCGAGACCGCCGCCTTCTTCTGCTGGAAGTTGCTGACCACCTTTTGCAGCACGGCGATGCACTTTTGCTTGAGCTCGCCCGTCAGCATGGCGCCCGAGCGGTAGTCGGTTGCGATCCTCTCGATCTCCGCATCGTCGTCGAGGAAGAAGGTGAGGTACTGGTAGGCCACGTCGACGTCCGGGTTGCCGCCGAGCCTGCGCTGCTCCTCGGCCGTCTCCTGGCCACCGGAGAAGGCGTGCTTGTTGATCTTGTTCTTGATCTGGTTGGGCGTGTCGTGCATAAAGATGCTGCTGTTCTCCGCCGACGCGCTCATCTTGGTCTGGCTGCCCTGAAGCGCCGGGAAGAACTTGGAGTGGATCAGGCACGGCTTGGGGTATTTGAGTCGCGAGGCCACGTCGCGCGTCTGGCGGAAGTAGGGGTCCTGGTCGATGGCGCACGGGATCAGGCAGGGGATGTCGTGCTTCTCGCCAAAGATCTGCGGGAACGAGTTGGAGAAGGAGGGTGCGGCCTGGATCGAGACAAAGTGCGCCTTGCCCACGCTGTCGCTGTCGGTGAAGCCAAAGGTGCCCTTGGACTGGTTGATGGTGATCATGCGCGAGATGCGCACAATGTTGGCGTAGAACGCACCGCCGACAAAGTCGAGATTGGAGAAGATGAACGTCTTTTCGAGCTTGAAGCCGCACGCGATGATGTCACGCGCATTCTTGAAGGCAAAGTCCTTGACCTGCTCGATCTTGAGGTTGGCCTTGAAGAGGAACTTTTCATCGTCCGTCAGCTGGATCACCAAGGGGCAGTCGAACACATCCTGAAGCCACTTTGTGAAGAGGAAGGGGATGAGATGACCGAGGTGCATCGAGTCCGAACTGGGGCCACGGCCGGTGTAGAGGTAGAACGGCTTGCCCTGCTCGTAGCGGTCGAGGATCTTGTCGAGCTCGCGGTGCGAAAAGAAGCTGCCGCGGCGCAGCAGCGGATGTGGCTTCCAGCCAGTGAGCTTTTCGAAGCGCTCGAGCAGCGCCTCGTCGATCTTGCGCGTGCCAAACTCCTTGACGAGCTTGTCGTAGTCGATGGCCACCTGCTGACCGTCGACGGTGGCGCCTTCGACGTCCCAGGGCGTCACCTTCTGCTCGGTAGCCGCAGCCTTGGACGCCTCAAGCGAGGTGTTGGCCACACCCTGTGTGATCTGATCGGTGCTCATCGTGTACAGTGGAGAGAAGGAGCGGGGATCGCGCTCGCGGTTGTCCAGGAGGGATGGTCGAGGTGAGAGTGTCGGTGTCGAGTCAGGGCCCAAATCAGCCAGAAGAAAGCGGCTGCGCCGGCACTTGGATAGGGTCTGGGCGGTCGAGCGCTCTAAAAATCGGCACTCGACTGGTGGGCGTCACGTGAGCGCCTTCGCTGACCCGTCTCGAGTGGAGCAGCGCATTTGGCATGGCCACCTGCATCTCTGCTGCTTCCGCCCATTCGCCCGTCACCTTCTCCGATTTGCACTATCGACGGATCCTCCGATAGGCAACAGACACGATGGTAAGCAGTCTCCCAGAGGCGCATGGCAGCTCCGACGCTCGCCTACCTGCAACTCGGATCAAGTCAGCACAGCACTGACCTTGTCTACCTTCATTCGTCCGTGCACGATCGTCGCCGTCGCAGCTCATCTTCTCGGCTTTCAAGACGCTCACAGGGCAGCAGGTCACCATCGAGCTCAAGAACGATCTCGCCATCCAGGGCACCCTCAAGAGCGTGGACCAGTGCGTATCTCGTGGTTTCACGTTGCCGTATGGAATCTAGCTGACCTCGCATCACGACTCCCTTCTGCTCTGTCCCTCGCACCCTCCCTTCTGGCTGCCTCGACGCTCACAGGTTCTTGAACTTCAAGATCGACAACATCCGCGTTCTCGATGAGGCGAAACACCCACACATGGTGAGTCCAACCGCTTTCCAAACTGCTCCATCCAGGAACGACACGCTGACAGCACAACACTCTCGAATCCTGACCGCCGACCTTCTCCCACACACAGATGGCCGTCAAGTCGGCCTTCATTCGAGGTTCCGTCGTTCGTTACGTTCACATCCCGGCTGCGGCCGTCGACACTCAGCTCCTGGAAGACGCAACAAGGAGAGGTAAGCATCTCCCCCATCCGCACCATCACAACCACGCGTCGATCAACCCACTCACCATCCCCTCCCGCTCTCTTCGTGCATTCATTGCAGAGGCTGCTTCGCAAGCCAAACGCTAGACTCGACCTGCTTCACTCCCTCCCACAGCGCGCGTGATCGTCCTTCATGGAGCGCAATTCGTGTACAATACCATCCTAAGCCACGGCAATCCATCGCTGCTTGAACAACACCACCGTAACGTGCTTGACTTCCGCAACTGAGCGCAACTTCACTCTGCCCGAGACCGGCTCATCGCACCGCCAAAACATGCTCATGATCATCACTTGCGATCCGGAACGAGACACACAGAGGAGCACAGCGAACAAGGAGGGTTTTGACTTTCATGGCATTTCGACAACGTCGAGGAGACAAGACTCGCCACACACGTCTGTCGCGAGCAGACGCGCGCGGAAGCTTGGCCCCTCACCATCACAGGATTCGTCCCTGCCACGCGGGAGGTACCTGCTGCAAATCTTGAAGACGTCCACCAAAGAAGTAATCCTCGCATAGGGGCATTCACCCTTCGTACCGAACCAGATTCGCAGACGGAAGGAAGCGCTGTTGCCGCGCATCAAAACCGACCGACTGCCTCGATCCACCAAAGAGAGATCGCGAAGGAAATCTTGCTGAACGAACCGAGACTTGCGCTGGAGAAAACGTCGCCTAATCCCTGCTCGCTAGGCGTGCAGAGACTGAGTAGTGACTTTCAACGGTCGCCACAAGACCGTTCGAAACGGAAACGAGGACCCCTGGCCCCCGTGACGCCCACGCTAGGCGCCCCGTTGTAAACCGCCGTCCAGATTGGACGGTGATATCTCTACGACGCGGTCGACACCGCGCCGTCGTATTCATGCATCGTCATTTCAACGACACCGACTTGACAGGGGGGTCTTAGACAAGACTGCTCCCTCAGATTGTTGCATCGATACTTGGATCGACGCCGACTCGGTCGAGGCAGTCTTCGACAGACTGCTCCCGGAGTTCGCCTGGCAACTAGCGGCCAGTATGAGTTCGAGGCGGGGAGCACGATTCCCTCGCCGGATTCGCAGCGCGCCCCACGATGGACGCGCCGATTACAATGCGTGGCCTTCCTGACCTACGCGCGACAGGGGAAGGGCCGGCCACCCTCCCCTACAGGCATTATCGATGCCTATAACGACCAGCGCCGCGATATGGCCTGGCCGGACCCCCCTCACCTCCAGTGGCGGCTATCCTAAGCGGCCGGAGTGCGAGGCGTTTTCGGTGGAGGATAGGGAAAAGAAGGAGGGAGTCGAGAGGGGCGCGCGGGTATTTATCTCCTTGTGTTTGGCGCAGCAAGCGCTGGACGGCTCAGCCAGCTGCACGAGGGTTGCGCCATCTCTGTGCCGCTCAGTAACTTAGTGTGCGAAAAATCGGTCGGGGGCGGCGCAGGCGCGCGCGCGCACGCTCGGGGCAACTGCGAGCCCATGCCAGGGGGGCCGCGCAATCCGCACCGCGCTCAAGTGCCTCCTCATCCCGCTCGAATTCGCGAATTCACGCACCCACTCATAAAGCCAAGCAACCCACTCAACGGCCCCTTTGTCTCGCTGCACGCCGTGTGAACTGCGCGTTCTTAGTTCACCTCGAGAGTTCACAGGCCCACGCGCCGAGTCACGGGCTGTGCACAGCTTGACTTGCGTACTAGTACAGTGAGACCTTCGCGGAAGATCACGACAAAGGGCTCGGGGCTGGAAATGAGAGAGAGCGTTTCACAGCGGCTCCTGCTTCATCTGCGAAGCAGCCTCTTCACCGTTGGTCGTCGCGCGACCTGCGTTGCCGTTGCCATTACCTTTGCTGCTGGAGGTGCGCATGCCGAGCTCCGTCTCGAGCGCCGCTCTGGCGCGCGCATCGCCGCGCAGCACATGCTGCATCCAAAAGTCTCCGAATGTCGTGCTGAGGGTCTGGTTCCTCTCCTCGGCCGTGCCTGTCAGCTCGGCGTTAGGCGCAACAAAGGGGGGCAGCAACGCATGCAGGGCACCGGCAGCTTCGTCGATGAGCGGCTTCATCTGCATCCGACGCACGGCGCTCGGTTGGTTCGGCTCGCCACCATGCAGCGCGCCCGACTCCCACGACTGCATCCACTCGCCCAACAGCCGCAGCGGACACGCAGCCGACGTCGCTTCCGGCTGTTCGGCGCCTTCTCCGAGCTTGGCGTTGAGCTGCGCCGATCCGGAAAGCAGGATGCGGAAGCTCGCTTTGCCGAGCCGACGCAGCGCCATGAGAGCGCCGAGTTTGGTGCCTGGACTCGCGCGAGGTTCGCGTGCCGACGATCCGGCCTCGCCGCCGCGTCGAGCCGAATCCTGGTCGCTGCTGCCCGGCACCACGCCCGTCATGAGCGCCTTGAGCAGCGTCGCCACCACCCGCGGCTTGAGCGTCGGATACGATGCGCCAAACGTGTCGACGACGTGCGTGAGCAGAGCCGACGCATGTGCACGCAGCGAGTACGACGATGGCCCCGCTGTGACGAGCGGTGTCTGCACGTCCGCATCTGCATTGCGCATCTGCGCCAGCAGCTCCGGCTCGGCCAACGAAGACGTGAGCAGGACCGAGAGGATCGACGGCATCATCTGGTGCAGGTACGGCTCGATGAAGATGTGCGGGTTCACCAGGATCGCGTGGATGGTGCTGAGCAGCACGCTGAGCATGTGGTTGTCTGCTGTGCTGATCTGGCGTGTTTCGCGCACGGCGGCCGGCGCGCCGTCGGCATCGGCTCCGCCCTCGGCTTCGTCCGCAGGAGCCCGCAGGATGTCGATGACCTTGCTTCCGACGAAACGGATCAGATATGGCACCAGCTGATGCAGGCCTGGATCGCCGCGCAGACTCGCCAGCGCCGCGTCGCGCACATGGTTGCCCGATCCCTTCTGGGCAAAGGCCTTGAGCGGCTTGGCCAGAGCGACGGTGGGCCGTGGTGGTGTGACGATCTGGTCCTTGGGTGACTCGGCCGCGTCCATAGCAACGTCCTGGTCTTGTGCTGTTGCCTTTGCGGCTGTCGAATCGTCGGCGTCGTCTTCGAGATCTTCATCCGCCTCGGGAGGTGGACTGATGATGGATTTGGTGAGTCGTTCGTAGTAGAGCTGCAGCTCGCGCGAAAGAATGTGCTTGACGAGCGGCTTGGCGACAGCCTGGCCATCGCCTCCTGCCACTGTGACGGCCTTGGCAGCCGGTGCCGAAGCGCTTGGCTGTGTCGACGTCGGACCCATGAAACCAGACGAGCCCTTGGCCTCTGCAATGGCGATGGGCGACGGATTCTGCGGCACCGCCGGCTGCACGCCCTCGATCGCAAGCCAATGCGCCCCCCAGCCCACTCCACGTCCAATGCCAATCTTGGGACCTGCTTCGAGGATCTTGTCAAAGTCGATCTCTTCGTCCTCGATGTAGTGGAGTGGCACACCGGACGATGTCTGCACTCGGCGGAAGGTGGGTCCTGCAGTGTATCCGGATGGATTGCCACCACCCGTCCGCCCTGATGACGATGGAAGGAATCCGTAGATGGGTTCGATGTTGCGCGCACGCAGCGCCGCATCGATGTCAGCGGTCTTCAGCTGGTCTCGTTTCGAGTGTCGCATGTACTTGGTTGCATCCTGCACGATCTCGCGGATGCGATACTCGACGTCGGCAGCGAGCGCAGCCGCAACGCTCTCCTTCATGCCATTGATGCCGAGCGACTCGGCCACGTCGCGCACGGTGTCTGTTGGATAGACCGAGGCTGGCGCTCCGGCTAGTGGTCCAAGCCCAATGCCAACACCGGGAGCGCCTGATGAGGACGAGGAGAGGCCGATGCCGATCGAGGCTGCATTGTGAGATGCCGAGCTGCTGCCGGCAGCATTGGAGCCGCTCTTGGCTGAGGGTGCCATGGTCTCCGGTCCTGCGACAATGAAGCCAGCGCAGAGATGAAGAAAGGTTGTCCCTTGTGCGTCGCCGATCAGCTAGATTGGGTTGAGCGTTGCAGACCGTCTAAGGCGTTTGTGGAGAAAGATGGCGGTAGGTTGGATGGTCGCGTTCGGATGTCGGCCATCCAGAAGAAAGCATCCGCGTCGGGTTTTACGCGCGTAGTTCTCCAATTGCAACCGCGGTCTCACAATGGCGATTCGGCCTCACATCTCAACTTTGCCGGTGCGCTTCATCAGCAGCTCTCGACTGCGATGCTCAGTGAGCCGAAAAGCGGATGAGAAAAAAGGCTTGAGCAGGTACAATTACAGACGGTAGAACAGCAAAGCGGGCGGAGGCTGAGGCCAGCTCTCGAGATGCTCGTCACGGAGAGTGTGTGGATGGGCGGGTATGTCGGATGGGGGATGCATCAAAGATCGTCGGGCTGGCCTGTGATGTAGTCTGGGCTCTCGGCCGCCTTGTACTCGGCCATGAGCTCGGCCACGGTTTCCCTTGCCTCGTCGAACTCGGAGAGGTCGTTGGCGAACATGGGTTCGCGCTTGTACATCTCCAAGAAGGCGCTCCTCTTGCGTAGGCGGTCGTACTGGTCGACCATGCGGCGGAACAAGCTGGCGATGCCGGTGTGGTTGGCGAGCATGAGACCGCTGACACGATGCGAGCTCGGCACGTACGGGCTGCGCTTCGACAGCGCCACCTGGATCGACGCGGGACCCCACGGAATAAAACTCGCCAGGTGACGTTCACGAATGCGCAGCAGCGACTTGTGCACGTCGCGTGGATCCACCTCGCCCTGGATGATGTTGAGGATGGAGATGTAGCAGCTCGACTTGGACGCGCCGAGCGTGCTGACCATTCGGTTCTTGGGCTGCAGCAGCCGACGCATGACATCGAGCACGGTGGTCTTCATCGTCGCCTTGCCGCGCTCCACATTGTCCGATGTGAAGGGGGTGTAGGAGGTCATGAGGAAGTGCGCCCTCGGTGTTGGGATCAAGGACGCGATCATGCCCACCAGGTCGTTGTTCATGTAGCCAGGGAAGCGTAGCGTGGTGGTCGAGGCACCCATGACGGTCGCAACGAGCTGGTTGGTCTGGCTGTAGCTCGGGTTCTGCAGGTGAAGTCGGTCGGCGGCGATTCTGCTGAGCGCGGCGTTGTCGAGCACGATTACGCTGTCGGCGTTGTTGGTGAGTCGCTTCATGGAGAGCAACGAGTTGTACGGCTGCACGACGACGTCGGATGTCTCTTCGGAGTTCGGGAAGACACTGTAGGTCTGGATGAGCTTCTTCGGATAGGCGTCGTTGAGCCTTTCGAGCAGGAAGGAGCCGAGACCTGAGCCAGTACCACCTGCGATGGAGTGCATGAGCATGAAGCCTTCGAGGCTGTCGCTGCCATCCGCTTCTCGATCGACCATCTCGATGAGCTCGTCGGCGATCTTTTCTCCTGCGGCGTAACCTTGCGCCCAGTTGTTGCCAGCACCGCCTCCTGTCTTGCTGCTGTAAATGTTTTCGGGGTTGTACAGATTCTTGTATGGTCCAGAGAGGATGTTGTTGATCACCTGTAAGGCGGAAAGCAAAGTCAGATCGATGGCGGGTTGGTCAGTTTGAATTCATGCAAGGTTCGTATGCTCTCCGGCGCTGCGAGTCAGCCCGATCTGTGAGCGGATGCTTCACTTACCCTAGGCTCTAGATCGACGAGGATGGCGCGTGGAATGTAGTGCTCGTCGTCCGCTTGGTAGAAGAAGACATCCTTGCGGTCTCCGCCCTGTTGCTCGGCGGCGTACTCTTCCAAAGTACCATCCTTGGCGATGCCGTGCTCTCGGCAGAGATGCTCCCAGAAATGCGAGCCGATTTGGTTGCTAAAATGTGACGGATGATCGATCAGGGAATAAGGACAAGGTCAGCATCATCGCCACGTCTGAGTGCGCGGAGGGCATCTTCGGTGGAGTACATACCCGCACTGGCCGGCCTGGAGGGTGATAAGTTCCCTCGGCATGGCGATCTAGAGCGACGGAAAGACGCGTGTACCGTTTTGTGTCGGATTTGCGTAAGATGAGAATCGATTTCGGGTGCGGTCCAATGACTGTCAGATGTAGTCGAGCGTGAACAAGGATGCGTGCTATTGATCCGACGCGAGACGAGCGATGGAAGTGTCGGTGGCTTCCGCGGCCGATGACGCGAGTGCAGGCGTAAAGGATGGATGGGGCCACTGTTTCGTCGAAACGCCGCGGGGATGGTGGTAGGAAAGCGCTGAGATGGTGGTGTTGAAGGTGAGGGTGTGCACAATCGCTACATCCAAGTCCGTGTTGGTTTGCGCCGCCATCACCTTTTTGGCCCTGCCGTTCCAACCAGCTTCAGGCGAGGGAGCGGGTGTTGCTCACACTTCACGCGTCGCGCGGCGCAGCATACAGGGATTCGGTGTATCGCCGATGCGACTCCATCATTTTCAGCCGATCGATGACGGATCCGAATCGCCAGCTTTTGGGAGAGGTTGGCTGGTCCGCTGCCGCTGCCTCGTGATCGTGGCAGCAGAGCGCAGAATCGCTGCAGCGGTGAACCCTTCTCAGCTTTGGTCGACCTCCAGACGCACGAGAGAAAAAAACTTGAAAATCTCAGAATTTTTCTCTGCCGGTTTTGAACTGGAATCTGGCGAAAGCGGCGCCCAGCCAGTCTAGCGAGGCAGCAACCTCCATCAGCTCAACTGGCTGAGCTGCAAGGCGGCGCAAAAAAAAGTCGAAAAAAAAGTTGAGCAGCGAAGAACGGCGGCGGTGGGAAGGAGACGGAGAAATTTGGCGCTTGGATGGTCGAGGCGGTGGCTCGAAAGCGAAAGTCGTCAGCACAGCGATGCAGCTGCATACCCTGCCTTCACTTCCATCACTCTTTCAGGACCTCCTGGCATCCCTTCGTCGAGCTCATACAGGCACGACGACATAGCATCTTTCCTAGGACGGACGACTCCAACGGCAGTACCTAGCATCCCTTTCTAAGCATTTCTGCAGCGAACTTTGTAGCAGCTTAGCATCTCACAAAAATGGCTTTCGGTAAGTTTCGACAGCCACCCATCATCGTCGCGGCGGCGACGTCAGCGCCAGCTCATCTTCAACCTGCGATCGTGTGCTGACCTCTTTGCTCCATCCACCGTTTCATTATGTCTATCGCTCGTTGTCTACAGGTGATCGCGGAGGTCGTGGCGGCGGAGCCCGTGGTGGTGGACGTGGCGGATTCGGTGGCGGACGTGGCGGCGCTGGTGGTGGCCGCGGTGGCTTCGGTGGCGGTCGTGGTGGTGCCGCTGGTGGCCGTGGTGGCTTCGGCGGTGGCCGTGGTGCTCCCGGTGGCCGCGGTGGTCCTGGTGGCCGTGGTGGCGGACGTGGTGCTCCTGGCGGCCGTGGCCGTGGTGCTCCTGGTCGTGGCGGTCGTGGTGGTGCTCGTGGCGGCGGAAAGCCCGGTGCCCGTGGTGGTTCCAACGTCATCGTCAAGCCTCACCGACACGCCGGTATCTTTGTCGCCGAGGGCAAGGAGATGCTCCTCGTCACCAAGAACATCGCCCCCGGCGAGTCGGTCTACGGCGAGAAGCGCATCTCGGTCGAGACGCCCGGTGCTGGCGCTGACGGCACCACTGCCAAGACCGAGTACCGTGTCTGGAACCCCTTCCGATCCAAGCTTGCCGCCGGTGTGCTCGGCGGTCTGGACAACATCCACATCGCGCCAGGCAAGAAGGTGCTCTACCTCGGTGCTGCCAGCGGTACCTCGGTCTCGCACGTTGCCGACCTGGTCGGTCCCGAGGGCATCGTCTACGCCGTCGAGTTCTCGCACCGTTCGGGTCGTGACCTGATCAACATGGCCAAGAAGCGCACCAATGTCATCCCCATCGTCGAGGACGCTCGTCACCCGCACAAGTACCGCATGCTCGTCGGCACCGTCGACGTCATCTTTGCCGACGTTGCCCAGCCAGACCAGGCGCGTATCGTGGCGCACAACGCCGAGTCGTTCCTCAAGAACGAGGGCCACGCACTCATCTCGATCAAGGCCAGCTGTATCGACTCGACAGCACCCGCCGAGGCAGTCTTCGCCGCCGAGGTCAACAAGTTGAAAGGCATGAAGTTCAAGCCCCGCGAGCAGCTTACGCTCGAGCCATACGAGCGTGACCACGCCATGCTCGTCGCCCAGTACCAGCGCCACAAGGCATAGACGCTCCGCTCGATCCCGTTCGTGCCCCCGTCGTATCCCTTGCTCGCTTCCCTCATCTTTTCTTTTCGGTTCTGGTTCTGTAGTTATATCTGGCTTCGCTTTTCTTCCCCAACATGCTTTCTGCTTTGCTGCATATCTCATCACCTCCAGCGTGTCTTTCAAGTGGCGTGGCTGACGAGCACTCAGAGCCTGTTCGTGGTGATGTAGGAATAGTTGATTGTGCGTCTATAGTGGCCGGAAACCTGAGCTATGGCTGGGGTTGAGAGTTGTTCGCCGACGGATTTGTACTGCTGTTGGCACGACTTGCAGCCCAAGACTTTTGACGCGCCGACAGGAACGAGCCAAAGTTGCCCAGCGCCGCGCGCATCTGCGTGCCCGCTTGTGCTGCTGCCTGTCCTGCTGCGTTGAGTGCCTCGTTGGCGTTGAATCCAGGGCCGGCACCCTGTCCTTCAGCAGGCGCAATTCTACCGGATCGAGTGGTGTGTTGACCGTCCGCATCAATCGCCTCGCCTGTGATGGACCCTGACGCTCGCGCAGCTCCCGTGCTCGTCGAAGCCACCTGACCACTGGACGCAGCTTTGTCTCCCGAACCAAAGAACCCAAAGCCCGACGTGATGGCGCCAAGCCCGCCCGGACCAGTGCCAGCGCCTTCGCCAGCGCTGTTCTGACTGGCAGCAGCGTGGTTCGCACGGAACTTGGCGATGTCTTGACGGAAGTTGGTAGCCAGGCGGTAGATGTTGGCGCTGCCAGCTTGCAGTGCGCTGCCGATGGCCTCTCGCGTGGGCGCCAGATTCTCCTCGAGCCGCAGGTCGTGAAGTCCCGCCGAGAGCCTTAGACCTACATCCTCGATTGCCGACGTCTTGCCCTCGCACGGATGCTTGTGGTCGACAATGTCAAATAGCATCGGATCGGTCACCGAGTTCCACAGCGCAAACGCCTCGGTGCCCCGGAGAGCAGCGAGAAATTCGGCGCCAAAGCTGCTAGTCGTCGAAGCGTCCGGGGCCTGGATGGCCACCTGCTCCGCGTCGCTCTTGGCGAGAAAGTCGGCGTACTTGGTCGAGGAGAGCATCGCACAAATGTAATCCTCAAAGCGGATGCGCAGGTAGTCATCGCTGCCGTGGAAGCCCATCGACGTTGGCCGTGTGGGGTCTGCGGGATTCCACGTGTCGACGACGGACGAGATGACTTCGTCCATCCACTTGCGGTCTTCGGGCGTCAGATTGACCGCCTGGTGCAGTTTGGGGTCCTGGAAGTCGAGGTGGGCGTTTTCGAGGTCGACAATGACGTCGATCTTGCAGTCTCGCTGCTGCTTGAAGATGCTGTTGCTGGTGCCGACCAGCCAGGTGCGAGACTTGAGCAGATCGATCTGCTGCAGCGGACAGTACGGTTGGAAGAAGGCATCCTCGCCAAAGATGTCGAGCGGCATGCCGAGGAACTTGAGCAGGCTCTTGCGGTCCGACGAGCGCAGGCTGTCTGCCACCTCGACGCGGCTGGAGCGCGTTTGCAACTTGGGATCGCCCGCATCCTGCAAACTGAGCAGCAGACCGGGTATGAGAGAGACGAGCGAATATTGGTAGTTGCAGAGCTGCTCTACCGGATAGCCAAAGAACATGATGCGGCGTTGGAGCAGGAGCAGCTTGACGAGCATGAGCGTTTTGAAGCGCCATTTGTGCACGAGCTCTCGGAGCGACGTGCCCATGTACATGACCGTCTCGCGATCTTCCGACATCCCGCCGCTCTGCAGGCCGATCTCCAAGGTCGAGTGGAAGTCGATGAGGATGTCGACGTCTGCCAGGTCGCCTTGAGCGAAGAAGGCGCGGGTGACGATCCCGAGCTTCTCGCGAATCGGCCCAAAGATGGGTTCCTTGGCGAGCACGACGATGGCCTTCTGAACCGTGCTTCGGGTCACTTCGGCTCCTTTGCGCAACAGGGCATTGGCGGCGATCTGCCGATTGCAGGAGATGCCAAAGATGGTCGAGTCGGAGAGCTTGGGGCAGTGCAGGTGGAAGTAGCAGAAGTCCTCGTCAGATAGATGGCTGCCATCGGGGAGAGCCAAGAAAGGTAGCGATCGGACGAGGTCCTCGTCTTCTTGCAGCTGCTTGGGGTACGTGTATTCGATCTGCGGCCCGACGAGGTGGTTGAAGTCAACGACGGCGATGCCGAGGATGACATTGTCATCGGTTGCTGCTGACGACTCTGCAGTCGACGATGTTCCGCCCGATGCAGCAGCAGCAGCCGCTTTGGCTTGGTCGCGCTCCGAAGCGAGAGCGGCTTTGATCTCGGGGATCGACATGGATGGCGGTAGCCGCGAAGGCGAAGCAGGGCTCAATGGGACCTCGTCGCTGACTGCCGGCTGCTCAGCACTTCCCACGCCGTCTCCGACGGCAGGTGTTTGAGCATCTGCTTTTGTCGACTCGGAGGTAGTGGCTTGCAGCGTGGAAGAAGGTGATGTCGTCGGCTCTTCCGCTTGATGTGACGTTTCCGATGCTGCTGTTTGCTTGGCGAGGTGGTCGTCTAGGCTGACCGGCTCCGTTTCATCGGCCTCAATCTGTGCGGTTTGGGCAATGGCGACAGATTCCGATGTTGGTTCCGATGGCGATGCCTCAGCATGGGTCGCAGCGACCTGGTATCCCGAGCTCATGTCGAAGCTCCTATTGAGTGACCGAGAATAATGAAGACGAAATCAGGATGTGCACGGATGAATGCTGTCGAATCAACAAGAAGGCAGGATGGAGCGGTTCTGCGAAGCCGTCGAGTGTATGCAGGGGCGATGCGGCTTGTGTGTGGGCGGTAGTAGAAGCTAAGCTGGCAGTTGAAGATGGAGCGGAAAGAACAGTAAGTGCAGTCTCTTGGCTTGGCTGGTGTTGGTTGGGGAAGCAGCTCGAGCTCAACGCGCCTGCAGCTTCACGAGGATTCGCGCTCAGCATCCGTGTGGTTGCCTTGAAGCTCGAAATCGCGCGGCTGAACTGGCTTGGAGAGGCCCCCGTCCAGCAGCCAAGAAGGATCTGCAGGGTCACAGAGTTTACGCTCTCGACTCGTCTGTTGCTCTTCCTTGAACGTGGCTCGGGCGGGCAGCAGCTGGCTGCAGAAAATTCATTGCAACCTCCACTTGACTGGCGCGGGTGCAGCTCGATTCTTTTCCCACGTTGAGCCGCAACTCAAAGCAAGAAGCTCAAGACGACGTGCTGTGTCCCTTCCGACCAGCATCAGCCAAGAACACAACCAGCCAGGCCGCCGCTTCCCGACTCTTTGCGAGGGTGGTTCGCTGATTCAGAGCCGCTTTCCAGAGATAGTCGGGTGGACGTGACTCACGTTCAAAAAAGTCGATCGGCTTTGCCGACTGCAGAGGAGCCGTCGCCGACACTTGAGCCAGAAGAAGATCCTTAGCTGGTTCTGACGCTTGAGCACGGAACCAGAGCTTTGCCTCGCCACTCGGGTCTCCTTCCGAAAGACGAGGTCTCAGCCGATCTGCCAGCCAAGGGTCGCTCGTTGCTTTTGACTTCAGTGGGCAAAGATGAGGGGACGACAGGCCTACTGCCTGAAATCGCAACAGCCGCATGAGATGAGGTGAGAGCATCGCAGTCTGCTCTCTTCCACCACTTCAGCCTCCATCGTGCCAACTTTTGGAAGACTCAGCCACACGACTCGAATCGTGGACGACCGCCGCTTCGCGTTTCGAAAGTCACGATCGTGCGGTTGTGACGGTCAAGATGGACCCGGCATCCTCGTCGTCCCGGTCATCTTCCACCCCGCACACTCCTCGATCTCAGGTAACTAGCGACGGCTCGCAAACTTCGCAAAGCATGTCGGATGCTCGATCATCTTCCTCCCGCAAACGGGCGCCTCAACCTGCGCGGTCCAGGCTGAGCCGTCCATTTCGCTCTCCAGTCAAGAAGGACAATCCAGAGGAGCCCTCCAGTCCGGCGCCGACAGCAAGTACATCGAAGGCAACGCTGCCTTGTAACCAGTCTCAGGAGTCGTCAAGGTCGACATCATCATCCTCCGTGGCAATGAGGAAGCAACGTCAGGCGCTCGAAGCTAGACTGCTGCTCTTGCAACAGGCCAACAAGTGCCTGCGCGAAGACTTGCTCTCGACGCTGCCCAAGGAGATTGCACGGTGGCGCGAAGCAGGGCAGCTGGCAGCGCAAGATCTGTGGAAGATCACGGGTGCCGACGGCGGAGACTGGTCCAGTCTCGCAGGCGCATCGACACGCGAGGATCACGTGCTCGAGCCGTCGCCGCCGCCTTCCCCGAACGCTCTCAAACGCAAAGCGAGAGACTCTCCGGAGCCTCATAATCCTCTGCTCCTGCGTAGAAATCGCATCGGCTCACCTGGCGCAGAAGAGCAAGCAGCCGCGCTGCGAACTTTGGTGGACGAGACGGGCTCGGCTCAAGGCGTCGACAGCCAGGGCGCCGACTCGGAGATCTCCCTACCCGACCTCTCGGAGCTCTTGCGCCGGTCTCAGACCGCAATCGGAGCACGCACAGGAAAAAGGCAGCATGCTTCGCCGTTTGGCGAAAGCGATCGCACATGGTCAGCACCAGCAGCAGCGTCGGCGTCCGGTGCATTGCCCGAGCGTGGCTCTGGGATCGAGAGCAAATGGAACATCGGCACTATGCTCGACATGCTCGGCGCTGACAAGTCTACGCTCGGCTGGAACGTCGAGGAAGAGCAATTCGCCGACTCTCACAACGCTTCCTGACAAGTTCACTATCAAGCAAACCAAAGTGAAGACAAGCGGTGAACAATATGATTGAGTGTGAATGCAGACAGGCTCAACTATCTACGCAGATGGAGCAAACTTGACGTGCAAGTGGAGAGATGGTGCCGCCAGCTCAGCAGAACTGGACGTTCCAAGTGGTGAATGTAACTGGGCAGCTATGGTTGGGTTTAGTGGTGCGCGAACCGACCCTGTTGGCTGACAAGAGGCCGCTGCTGTTCTTGTATGCGTCCTTGCAGTCAGCCGAGCTGCAGATGGCCGCCTGGCAGTAGCCGGCGTACTGGCGGCCGAGAAGCTGGAGGTACATGCCCACGTTGAAGCCGTCGGCGACCGAGATGTCGTAGTCGCCCGTAGCGAGATCAAACTCGCCCTGCGTAGCGCCCTGTCCTGTGGTAGTGTTGGCCTGGCGCAGGGGAGAAAAGACCTTGCCGCGATAGGTGTCCGAGTAGAACGAGAAGGATGCCGACTTGCCGGATGGAATGACGTCCCACGACGACTTGCCCGGAAGCGCAGGCGAAAAGATTGGTGCAAACTCGTGCTTGCACTTGTTGTATACGGTGAAGGTGATCTTGGAGCTGCGCGGTGCGACCGAGGCGGCGGTGACGGCGGCAACCAGCGTGCCGAGCGCAAGGATGCTGCGGATGATGGCTACCATGATTGGTTACTGAGAGCGAAGAGGATGGAGCTTTGGGAAGGAGGTGAGAAGATGAGGTGGGGTGACGATGGGTCTGGTGGATGGCATTTCGTTTCTGCGGTACGCCCAGGAAGCGCCGTCTATATATGTCTTGCCTCTCGGCGTAAGAAGGGCGGCTACTACGCTGTTGCGCTGGCCCGAGATCGGCAGGGCCTCGTTCTCGACGAGTCGGCGAGCGCCAACGGGTTCATCTCTGCAGCAAAGCAGCGGCTCGGTTGAAGCTCCGCTCGACCTGCAGCGAAGCGACATGCGCTTCCTATCCATCCATCCAACGCGGTCAAGGCCGACCCGAAACTCTTCACACGGAGGCGCCGCAAGGTCCCAACACGCCCATCTCGCTCATCCACGCATTGACCGCTGAGACTCGCCGAGAAGATTCCAGGCGTCGGTCCGAACGAGCAGCGGCAAATCTTTTGCGCTCGAGCCTATAATGAGCGCATTTGGCATGCGGCCTCGTCCGGACGGCGGAAGGCGGCGAGTCGAGGATCAACCTTCTGCGAAACACGGGCCGAGCCGAAGCCACACCATGCAGGACCAGCCACTGCCCTGAGCCACAGCCCTGATCGAGGCCTCGTCTTTCGAAGCGCCAAAAAAGCAAAGCTGCCGTGGGAAGTTTGCGGACACGAAGATGTGGGAGCCGGACTGGAGCGGGGACCTTTGACGCCGAGGCTTGGCATGGATGCATGGCCGCCAGCTCTCGGTGGCTATTTGCCACGGAACCCCTGCACCGGAGCTTACGGCGTGGGCGGCAAGCTGTACTCTGAGACAACTGACGATCCTTCGCAGCAAGCAACTTGTGTGGATGCGGCAACGCCCTTCTTGCTCATCCGCATCGCAGACTTTGCGCTCTGCTTTGCCTCCATTCGGACATTTCCGAACAACGATTGGCTGGTCTTTGACCGAGCCTATGCGGTTGCGCTATCAACCTTTGCATCACTCGCAAGCTCGGATCTCCCGGCAGACACGGTAGCAAAGCTTGTCGTTCGTTCGGCCAAGCCGCCGATCCCAGGGCCGAGCAGCGATCCACACCGACCGACATCCCTCTCTACCGCAAAAGGCTAGCAGCGGTGGTGCCAAGCGAGAGCGAGGCGAGGGCGCCGAAATCATGCAAGACAACGTCGGATGTCAAAAAAGCGCTGCAGAGCCGAGGTCAAAACCTCGAGGCGCAGCGAGCCCATTTACGCGCAACGCAGCCTGACGCATTTTTTTGAGGCCGAACTGCAGCGGCTTTGTCTGCATTCGGAACTGCGATTCAGTGAATGCGACCGCCGCCGCGTCGATGCAGCGCGCAGTCGCGTCTCGCGTCGAGCCCTCTCCTCCACTCATCATGCCGCGTGACAGCGTTACGGCCGAGGTGATCAGCATCGGGTTCACCGAAAGCAGGACCTGGCGCCAATGACATCGCAGCGGCATAGCCGCGAATTGCCAAAACGGAGCAAGAAGAAGTGACTGCAGAGAGGCGTTTCGGGCCGCTCACCTCCACTCAAGGTTTCGTATCGAGGCGGTTGCGTCATCTGTCTTCCTCGAGTGTCCGGTCCGGTAGGGCAGGCTCGCGTTGACGTTGACGTGGGCGCCGGCTGGAGCGAAGGACGTCGGAGTACAGCCGACAAGGGTCAACCGGCGAATATCAGCGCTCATGAGCCCTGACGATGCTCACAGAAACAGGCCCGAGAGCCTGTACTGTATTGGGAAATCGCCGTACGGCAAAGCTTAAAAGGAGAGCCATGGATGGCGCGGTATCGAACCACCGGTGAGCATCGTGCGAGGCAGACCTTGCTTGAGCTGCGCAACCAGGGTCGGCCTCGGACCAGACACCGATGCCAAGACGTCAGCGAGCTTCGTATGAGGGCCGGCCCGAAGCTGCACCGTCGGGGCAGACTTGAAGATGTTAAGTTAGAGCAGCGTGGCACTGAGAAGGTCGACACGTCTCGTTGAGCGAGACGCGTCGAAAATGGCAGAGCCAAGCAGGCAGGGTCTCGCCTTTGCAGCTCCAGGCTCAAATGGCCCGCGAACAACCAACACCCATCGCAGCTTGGTCAACTTGACATCGAGATCGAGCGGGTATCGCTTTGCCGCCATTACCGACTTGCGAGCTCTTGCAACTCAGCCCCTCTCTCCAATCTTATCCGACTACTAGCACGAAAGCAGAATCTTTCGCCATGGCGGTGTCACCACTCGACTCACTGCTGGCCACCTTCGACCGCCATATCGAGCAGAAAGCGGCGGCGGACCAACGCCTCATCTCAGCTGCACAGGCCGGCCCATCTTCGCTAGCTTTGAGGCGCAATGAGGTAAGGGACCTCATCACCGGCTCATCGGGCGAGGCATCGCGCTCGACCTCCTTGCAACTGTCGCCGCTGGAGCGAGCGATCTATTACGAGGTGGAGGGGCGAAGGCACAAGTTGCACCGGAAGCAGAAGGAGCTCGACTTCTGGGCAGCGTATCAGGATGAGCTTGCAGATAGGGCGACCAAGATGCCGACGAGCAGGTCTGCACTCGAGGCGCAGATTGCCGACAAGAGGGCGCGGCTGATGGAGCTCGAGGCGCGAGACAAGCTACGCATCGAGACGACGCGGGCGCTCGAGTCGAGCGCTGCCATCCAGCGAGTGCTCGCCACCACATCGCCTGCGCCGTCGACGGGCAAACATGACGAGGAGCATTATGCAACGACGCGCGAGATGCTCAACCAGAGGGACGACCAAGCGCTGGCCTTCCTCAAGACGTTCAACGAGACGCGCGCCATCAAGGAGGACAGGATCGCGGTGAAGGCAGAGATTCGAGGTAGGTCTGCGCTGCTCGACGTCTTGCCTTGTCTGCGTCCTCATACTGACTCAGCTCCATCGACAATGTCCTTGCCTGCTGATTGCGTGATCTTTGGTAGAACAACGTCTCAAAACGCTGCGACTTCTTGAAAGCATCAAGGCGATCAAGGCCGAGATCCGCGCTCGACAGCTGAATCCGGCTGGGTCGGGGGCAGCGAACGACTCGGATGCACCGCAGGACATGGGGGCGGTCAAGAAGGTGCAGCAGATGCAGCGCGAGATCAACGAGGCGCGCTCCAAAAAAGAACTCGTCAAGGGCATTCTACGTGTAAGTTGGACCTGAACAGCTTGTCGTGCTGAGGAGGACGCTCACTGACTTGCGAATGGGGTTTTGAGATGCAACAGGGGCTCATCTTGGAATCGGGACGCGATTGGACCAAGAACAAGGCGACGCGCACACTCATGCTGTCGCTCGACGACGAGGACGACGCTTCGGACGATGCATTGAGCGACGACGAAGCTGCGCCAGATGGCGACGGCGACGACGAAGAAGAGATCGATGAAGACGAGGATGAAGACATCGATGATCTGGACGAAGAGTAGGCCGCGCTAGTAATTAAAAGTACATCTGTGCTACAGTAATTTCGAGACCTAGGCTCTCACTCTGGCCAACGCCAGACGAGCAGTGAGCGGCAAAGGACACTGGACAGCGTCTCTCGAGGCCCGCTGTATCAGGCCGGGGTAAAGGGGGGGGGGGGGATTTGACGAGAAGCCTAGAGAGGCTGCACGTCGGGCGGACGGTCTTGGGCTTGGATTGGCATGGCCTGGGCGGCGCTGTCGCGAGCAATCTTGCTCGGGGCCATTTTGGTCACCTTTGAGAAAGACGAGGACTGAGAGACAAGGACTGAGAAACGAGGACTGAGAGATCAAGGTGTGGGAGGAAGGGTCCTTGGGAGGATGGGGAGGGCAAAGCTAGGGACGAGCCGGAGGCACGAGGGCATATATGCCTTTTGATCCTAGAGGCAGCCGTCAGGGCAGCAGAAGATAGACATACACACATCTCGATAGCGAGAGCAGTCTGGCCAACGACGCCATGCGGTCGGTCCCATGACCTTTGTGTGCTCTTTGAGCGCCTTGGTGCGGCTAGAGGATCCGGGCGCCTCCCGAACCATCACAGGGATTGGCTAAAGACGCCATGCGGTTGGTTGCGAACTTAGTTAACTCCTCCTTTGGTCAAGCTAGGCCCAATTTTGGTGTCTCCGTCCTGGAAGCCGCTCAGTTGACGGATCGATGCATCCCAACCTGGACCGGATGACGGCTCCGAGACGCAGCGGTTGGGGCTGCCGATGCAGTCAGCGGCGGTGAGGGGGCCTGCCTTGTGCTCGGCGGCTGTGTTGCTCCACATTCCCGCAACGCTGCCGCATGAACCAAGACCAAAGTCACCCCAAACTCACTCGAGGCCCACTCCTGACTTTGCTCATGCGGCAATATGCACGCTGCCAACCTTACCCTGCGGATCGACCAAATGAACAAGTGGCTGTACACGCCCATCGAGTGCCGCGTCGTTGCGAGGGAGGAAGGCAGGCTGAATAAACTTGCCCATGCTGTAAGGATGCGAGCGAGCCAATTCTAGAAACTCAGTTCTTCGGTTTGAGGCTGCCAGTGAGCGAGGATCGGAAAGGGCGAGGAGAAGGTGTCAGCCGAGTTGGGCCGTGGTCGTGCTCTGCGCTGTGCTGTACCCCGTGTTTCAGCTGAAACAGTGAGTGGGCCGATAACTTATGCAGAGGCAGCGTGGCGCAGTGTGCTGTGCTGTGCTCGAATTTCTCAGTCAGTCCGGCCGCGGTCTGCTGGCCTGGGCTTTTTTGGTGAATTTTCGTGCTTGGCCGAGGGCGTGGTCGGGTCTGCCTCCGCTCTGGTGCCCGCTTCCCGACTGCGCTATTCTGCCTCGCTTGCCCGCCGCCGCCCCCCTTTGGGCGGTGCACCTGCGTGTCTGTGAGTGAGAGTGAGGAAGAGCCTGCACTCAGCCGCTCCAGCAACCCGTCTCGTCACGGGCTTGGCACACATCCGTCACACTCTAATCACAATCCAGCAACTCCACCATCATCATCGCCACAATCACCAGTGATCAATCCTTGCCGCCAACACACCCACCTCTATCGACACTGATCTCAGCATCCACGTCGACGCCATCACCACGCACAGGATATGATCGACCATGTTGATACACGCCTCTGAAGCAGAAACGCTCAACTCGATTCGGCTGGCGCTCGAGCGCGAGGAGCAGCAGATTCGTGTCAACGACAGCACGGGCGAAGTCTACGATATCACCATCTCCCGATCCGCCCCTTACGCCTCGCCCGTCGTCTCCCGCTCCGTCACGCCCAGCAACGCCAACGACCCTTCGCCAAACGGCACCAACGGCCACAGCTCCACCACGCTCTCTGGCCACCGCATCCTTCGCTTACCCCAGCTCGTCAGCAAGCGTGCTCATGGTCACAGCAATTATACCCCTCAGCAGCCCTCCGTCGTCGATGCGTCACCCACCACCGACAAGTCACATACGGACATCCACGAATCCTCGCAAAGCCCTTTACGGCAGAGCAGCCGTGCCGACGAAAACGCCACCATCCACTCGACTGCCGTCGGCGGTCCCGTAGTGAGCCAGGATGCAGCGCTCAAGTCGCAGTCCAGCTTCACCGCACCCACCCGCCACCATCCTTTTCTCAGCGAACTCCCGCCCTCGCCGCCTCTGGAAGCAGACTACGTCGCTGGACATGACTCGCGCAACGGCCTCATGAGCACCGTCACCAACGGATCCCCTTACCTCCCCGCATACCCCACCACAAACGGCACATCCACCTCTGCTCAGCCGCACGATGCCGCTGCCTCCAGCAAGCCCCTGCAGACCAAGGCTCCCGTTGCACGCCGCGCCTACACCGCCGACTCGGCCAACATCCTGGGCGTCTCGTCCTCTGCTCCCAAGACTAAGGCCGCCCCCGCGTTGGTCGACGAGCCCACCGAGCTCGATGCAGAGAAGGTGCTTGCAGCCAGACAGAAGCAGCATGCTCAGCCTCAGCCAGCCAATGCAGCGTACAACGTCATGTCTAAACGCAATCAGCGCCGCAACGAGTCCAACGCTTCCACCGCTAGCACCGCCTACCGGACCGCTTCCTCTCACGGCGGACTCTCGGACGAAGAGGACGATGACGCTTCCTTCACGCAGCGACGTCACGCTTCGTACGGCTCTGCCGCATCGCACCTCACGCTCGGTGCCAGCACCTCGGGAGCAGCTCCTGCCATTCGACTCACCCACGATGCCTCGCCTTACCTTCACGATGCACCCAGAGCCGCCGAAGCAGGCACCTCTCAGCTTCTCGCAAATGGCCACTCGAGTGTGGATCAACCCGGACCACCCAGCGGCGTTCCGCCGCGCCAGCACATCTCCCGTCGCAACACAACTGGCTCGTCACTCCAAGGAAGGCGGTCGCAATCCGGCAACAGCCTTGCACAGTCGGTCCGACGCTCTAGTCGAGACCGCGATCCCAACTACCACTCGGCTGGCAATGCGTGGGAGGCGGATGCGCTCAACTCGCCCACCCTCGCCGAGGCCACCGCACACGCACTGCGCACGGGCGATGCAGCCTTCGACGAAGAGGCAGCCATGCATGCAGAGCAACTGCGCAGGGATCGTCGCTACAAGGAGCAGAAGGCGCGCGATGCGGCAGCCGAGGGCACAACAGTCGACAAGGATAGCGCCAGCGCTGGCGGAGTCGTTGGTGCCTTGACGCGCTCCAAGACCGGTCGCGACTGGCTCAACGTCAATCCCAAGGACAAGGAGCGCGTCGATCGAGAACGCGAGCGCGACGATGATGCCGAGCCCAAGGTGCTGGTCGGCAACCTGATCGGCGAGGGCCATGCCAACTACGTGCTCATGTACAACATGCTCACCGGCATTCGCATCGGTGTGTCAAGGTGTCAGGCCAAGATGAAGCGTCCGCTGTGCGACGCCGACTTCACAGCCAAGCACAAGTTCACCTTTGACATCATCGGTCGAGAGCTCACCCCCACCGCCAAGTACGACTTCAAGTTCAAGGACTACGCACCTTGGGTATTCCGCGAGCTGCGCGAGCACTTCCACCTCGACGCCGCCGACTATCTGCTCTCGCTCACGTCCAAGTACATCCTCAGCGAGCTCGGATCGCCAGGCAAGAGCGGCTCCTTCTTCTACTTTTCGCGCGACTACCGCTTCATCATCAAGACGATCCGCCACCAGGAGCACAAGTTCCTGCTGCGCATCCTCAAGGACTACCACGAGCATGTCAAGGCGAATCCGCACACGCTGCTCAGCCGCTTCTACGGACTGCATCGTGTCAAGCTGCCGCACGGTCGCAAGATCCACTTTGTCATCATGAACAACCTCTTCCCACCGCATCGCGACATTCACGAGACGTACGATCTCAAGGGCTCGTCGATCGGACGCGAGTATCCGGAAGAGAAGGCGGCGGCCAAGTCGGGCGCAGTGCTCAAGGATCTCAACTGGCTCAAGCGCGGGCGCGAGATCGAGTTGGGACCCGAGAAGCGCGCGCTCTTCGAGGCACAGCTGCAGAGCGACGTGGCGCTGCTGCAGCGCCTCAACATCATGGACTACTCGCTGCTCATCGGACTGCACGACATCCGTCGTGGCAACAAAGACAACCTGCGTCAGGACAACCTGCGCGTCTTCCAGCCCGAGACCAAGGAGCTCAAGCGTCAGCCGACGCAGATCAAGCGTCCCGGTGCGGGCGAGCAGGACGCGTCGGCGCTGCGACAGGCGGTTCGACGCTCCGACCCCAAGGCGCTCAACGCACAGCAGGGGTCCAAGCTGCCCGACCGCGATGTGAGCGAGCGCCGTCACTTCCTCTTCTACCAGGATGAAGGCGGCTTCCGATCGACGGACGAGAACAACCAGCCGGGCAGCATGATCTACTACCTGGGTGTCATTGATCTCTTCACGCCCTACACCTCGGTCAAGCGCGGCGAGACCATCTGGAAGGGCCTCACGCAGAATCGGCACATGATCAGCTCGGTGCCGCCCAAAGAGTACGGCCAGCGCTTTTTTGACTTTTTGTGCAGCGTCGTCACGGGCGGCGACAAGAGCCGGCGTCCCAAGATGTGGGGCTTCACGGAAAAGGACACCAAGAGCAGCAAGGACAAGGAAAAGGTCGCCAAGTAGATCCACCACCCTGCCCGCCCACACATCAGCCGAGCCATCCTCTCACAAGAATCTCCTCTCTGCTCTTTCTCGACACTCGCTACACACTGAAAAGGATCAGCGGCACTGGTTGGCCGCCTCCCAACACCTTCGTTTCGCAACTTTCCAGTCACCCTCTCACAGACACACACACTCTCTCTCTTTCGGCATCTTTTGGCATCTTTCTCGTCTCGCATCTTATTCTGCTCACGGGTACGGCAATGGAACAATCACTTGACATTGCCTGCGCGACTGTTGAGGTGATGAGAGCAAGTGGCCATCGACGCTGTGACTTGAGTGTGGGAACCACGTGAGGCGCGTATCCAATTTAGGCGGGGCTGAGGCGGGTTGGAGCTACGACGCGAGGTGGAGGCACTGCAGCAGCGCGCACCGTCCACACGCGAGATTGGCCGTGCATTTCGGGGTGTCGAGTCGGTGAAGCTTGGCTTGGCACCACTCCCATCCACTCGACCCTACCCACGTTGCACCGCTCACTTCGACGTTCCATAGACAGGACCAGCATCTCGTGGACTTGGACCCATGGGCGGGACATGGCAAGGAGGGCGGATGCTTGTAGTCCATCTGCGGTTTTGAACATACGCGCTTGCCAGATCGTACGCCATGCCCACCACACGACCGACGCAGAGGCCGGGAGGCGAGCAGGCGGTCGCTTCGTCGTCCCGGAATCCGCCGCTGCAGAGGCTGCGCTCGGGCGATGCGGTGAGCACGCTCCAGTCCTCGGCGGTGGCAGCCATGGGCTCGATCCGCACCCTGGCGTCTGTCTCGTCGTCCGGCACCTCGCTGCATCCCATCGCGCCCAAACGCGCTATTAAGGTGGTCCTTATCGGCGACGGAGGCTGCGGCAAGACATCCATGCGCAACCGCTTTCTCACCAACTCGTTCTTTCCGTCGTACCGTGCAACGATCGGCGCCGACTTTATCACAAAGACCCTACCGATCGACGCAGCGAATCCGGACGGCGAAAAGGCGACGCTTCAGATCTGGGACACTGCAGGTCAGGAGCGATTCCAAAGCCTTGGTTCCGCCTTCTACAGGGGCGCAGATGCGGTCATCATCGCGGTGGATGCAACCAAGGATCCGTACGAGACCATGCAGCGCGTCAAGGCGTGGTACGAGGCGTTCATGGATAAGGCACCTGGGCCTGCGGGCGAGGCGGAGCGCAAGAGGTTCTGCTGGATCTGTGCTGCCAATAAGGTCGATCTCGTCGATGGCCAAGCAACGCGCCAGCTGGATAGAGACGTGGTGAGGCGCACGCTCAATGCGCTGGTGCCGGCTCCGGAAGAGCAGCCGGATTGGGGCATCGATGCAGGCCAGCCTGGAACACGGCCGTCGGGAGCAGAGGAACCAGCCAACCCGGCCGAAGTGCTGTCGAGACCCGACCCAAATACGGCCCAAGCACCAGAGACGCCCACGAAGCAAGTCTCCGGTGCATCTCTGGCTAGGGACCCAGGTGGCGTAACACCAATCTCTATGCAAAGTTTCGGCACCGTCGATGGGCACGCTTCGCCTACTGCCAAGATGGGGCAACGGAGTTCAGACTACCGGCCGTCGCGCAAGTCGCTCTCGTCGGTCGCGGCGGCGGCGGCACGTGCAGCGCAGCAGGCGGACAGCAGCGATGCCGACGAGCCCCCGCACATGCAGAACGGCGGTACGCTCAACACGGTCTATGCGACGCCGTTCGGGACCGTATCGAACGTCGGCCAGCTCAGCACGTCACCGTCTGCCAAGACGGACACAGCGTCGCGGGCGGATGGGACGGATGGAGGCAGTGGGTTTCTGTCGAGCTGGATGCGGTCGCGGTCCAAGGCATCTCAGCCGCGCGCGACGAGGGGGCATACGAAGCGCCAGTCGATTCGGAGCATCGAGGTGTTTCAACCGAGCGATTCGGACGACGACCGCGACGCACGCAAGTTTGCCTTTCCCAAGGGAGCGGCCCAGACGCCACCGCGCAGCGTCCGCAGCAGCAGCAAGGGCGAGAGGCAGAGGGTGGATTCCACCATGAGCCTGGGCGCCCCCAGCGTGTATCACACGCCGCGCAGCAGCACGTTTTTCAGCGTGAGCCCTACGCCTCGCACCACGCTGGGGCTGCCCAGCATGCGCACCGACACGACCAGCAGCACCCGCCAAAGCGTCGATAGCAAGACGCCGACGCACGATGGCAAGGATGCGAAGCTCAAGCACAGAGTCTCCATGGCTTCGTCGTCCACTGCGTCGGTAGCGACGGTCAAGGCGGATGCAGGCAGAGGGACGAATCCAACCCTGCGCACGCCCAAGAGCATCAATGATCTCTTCCAGCCACACGACTCTGCCACACCGCAGATCGAAGAGCACGAGGAGCAAGAAGTTGAAGAGGGCATGGGGACGCCTCGGGCACGCACGCCTTCGACGCTCTCTCTACCCATAGAGCCAGTGGAGACCGTGGCAGTGCCGAGCGAGGTGGAACAGGGCTTTACGCTATTCTACACGTCGGCGCGGACGGGCCACAACATTGAGCGCATGTTCCAGCACATTGCCACGCGCGTAGATGCCGCGCACGCCTACGAGCAATCGCTCCAAACCTCGCAACACGAAGCCGCCGGAGACGAAGAACGCGATCGCCGACAGAGCGAACTCATCCGCCGAACCATCCGCATCGCAAGCGGCAAACCCCCCGACAAATCCTGGTACTCGACATGCTGCTAAACTCACATCCCCACCACCAGCAGCATCGACAGAGAGAGAAGAGAAGGATTTTCAAAGGTCAAAAAAGCAGATTGCATCGTGTGCTTGCGCGTTGGTCCCCACCCGGGCCAGAACTAGTGAGAGGGAGGGGCAATCAGAGCTTAAAGTCGGAGCGTTCGTAGGCGGTGGTGTGTGCAGCGGCGTTGTCGGTGAAGAAGTAGATGTCGCCAGGCGGGGATGGACGCACTCTGCTTGCGGGCAGGCCGAGTTGGGGTTGGTCGAGCACCTTGGAGAGCATCTCCTGCTTGCCCTCGCCTGCGAGCACAAAGGCGAGGCGGTGGGCATGGTTGAGCACGGGGTAGGTGAAGGTGATGCGCTTGGCGGGTGGTTTGGGGCTATCCTCAATCGGAGCCACCCATCGGTCCTGTTCGCTCAGCAGCTCGTGGCCGGGGAAGAGCGAGCACGTGTGACCGTCGGGGCCCATACCCAGCAGGATGAGGTCGAAAACGGGGTTTCGCACGGCCTCCTTTCCGGCAAATGCGGCGACGAGCTGCTTCTCGTATGCGTCGGACAGCTCTTCTGGATCGTCGAGCAGGCTCTCGTCGATGGTGTGGATCTGGTCGCGCTTGAGCTCGGGCACCTTGGAGAAGAACTCCTGGTGGCAGAGGTGGTAGTTGGAATCCTCGTGGTCGAGTGGCACCAGACGTTCGTCGCAGAAGAAGATCTGCCACTTGTCCCACCGCAACGCATTGTCGTCGCGGTTCACCAGATACTTGGCCAGCATCTTGGGCAGCGAGCCGCCGGACGTGGCGAGTGTAAACTTGTTGCGACGTGCGATGGCGTCGTTCTGCGCCTTGATCACAAACTCGGCCAGGTTGCGCGACAGCTCGTCCGCGTCGGCGAACGAGAACAGGATGGGCTCCGCCGGCTTCTGCGACGGCGCTTTGGCGTCCATGGGCGGCATGATGAGGGTAAGAAGCCTATCGGGCAAGAGATGGCGCCCTGTGCAAAGAAGGCGAAGAGCGTGGAGGAATTGCGTGTGTGTGGTAAAGAGCTGCGATGGGTGGAGGCAATGCAGCAGATGGCGTTGGAGAAAGACGGAAGGCAAGATGCAGCTGCTGCGAAAGGTTGAGAGCGTGCGGATGCCATCCGTCCCTCCGAGCCGGCCGAAGATCGATTTGGGGTGCGATTCCCGATGCACTTTCAAGTCGGTGCGACGAGGTGGAGACGCATCCGCGCGGCAGCTCAGCGCGACTTTCCGCATGTGTGGCCGAAATTGCTCGCATCTTCGCCCAGCAGCAGCAGGCCGCGCTCTCATGCCCAAGATCGAGATAACGCGCCATCCATCCAATTTTGTCATTTTGGCCATTTTTGGCGTGGGCTCGAGCGCTGCGCTCAGTCAGGACGGATGTCGTGCCGAGATGCAGTATCAGAGTCAGATTCCAATTCAGCGCCTTTGACAGGCCAACAAAAGGCGGACTTTGGCTGCGTCTCGGAGCCGTCATCCGGTCCGGGTTGGGATGCATCGATTCGCCAACGGAGCGGCTTCCAGGACGGAGACACCAAAACAGCGCCGAATCCGACCGAAGACTGCGCACGTTTCATGCGAGGTGACGTGCGACGATCAAAGTCGCCGAAGACCCTGAGCCGCCATCTCGACCAGCCAGCCCTGAAAATCTGTCACACGCCGTTCCAGGAGCATCTAATGCAGAGGCATGAGATCGAAAATGATTTGCGTGTTGGATGTACAAGTGCGGCGCTACGAGGCATTGTCGTGGCTAAACGTCCGCCTCGTCGGCGTATTGGCTCCGCTCGTCGAGCGGCGCGCACTGGCGAACGACGTGGCATCAAAGATGGGCGTCGCCTGCTCCTCGTCCTCGTCCTCGTCCACCACCACCGCATCGCGCTCCGACGGATATGCGTTGGCATCGGCCTCCTCCTCCACCGAGAAGAAGTTGCGCCTGGCGCTGGCCGTGGTGTCGTCGCCAGCACGCGACAGATCGAGTTCCGATCGGCTGGCCGCAGCGTCCCTGGCTGCGAGGCGCGCGATCTTCTTCTCTTCGTGCTTGCGCGACGCCACCGAGTTGCTGAACAGCGGCAGCAGGTACTTTTGATCGATCGCCTGGAACCACTGCCCGTCCTTCATGACGAGTCCGGCGCGATCCAGCAGCTGCTTGGCGGGTGACGACGTCGAGCCGTCCGACGACGACGCCTCGAGCACCGCCTTGCGGATCTCGCTCAGGCTCGGTATCGATGTCGTGTTGACCGTGGTGGGCGAACGTGCTCCCGCAAGCCCGGGTGTGGCAGAACGGCTGAGGCTGGCGCCCGTCGCGAGCGGTGCGAGCCCTGTGCCTGCGCCGGGTGTCGATGAGCGCGACGGCAGCATCTCGGAAGAGAAGGAGGAGCGCTCGTCGTCCTCATCCAGATCGTCGGCGAAGCCGGTGCGTGCGGCGCCCGGCTTGGCACCGCGCATCCCCGATGCGAACACCGAGCTGCTGTGACTGAGCGACGCGCGCGGGCTCGACGTCTCGCTCGCATCGCGGTACGCCGCTTTGCGCCCGGACCGCGTGAGCCCCGCGCGCTCCGACGCATCGCGGTAGCTGCCCGAGTCGAGGTAGGTGCGTCGCTGCATGCCGCGCAGCCGCATCACGTCGTCGTCGTCCTCTTCGTCGTCCGAGTCGCCCTCGTCGTCCTGCACGCCCGTGCGGATGCCCAGGATCTCGAGCATCTGCGCCGTCGTACCGCCAAACACGATCACCGTCAGCACCACCGTCACGAGCACGGTCGTCTGCAGCGCGATCGCATTCTGCCCCTCGATGCCCGCCGAGAGCGCAAAGCCTACGGCGCCGCGCAGCCCCGCCCAGAAGAGCATGATCTGGTACTGCCGAGGCAGCTCCTCCTCCACGGCGCCGCGCGGAACGCCGCCGCCGCCCGTGGCGCGCGCGCGTCGGTTGTTGCGCGCGCGCTTCACCGCATTCACCACGCTCGCGATGGGGAACACGGCGCAGTAGCGCGACGCCACCACCGCCAGCACCGTCACAATGATGAACAGCGGCTTGTACACCAGGATCTCCTGCGTGAACAGACTGAGTCCGAGGTAGATAAAGATAAAGTTCTCCGAGAGGTTGGCGAGCGTCTGGAACGTGTAGCGCGTGGTCCTCTGCGTGCGCCTCGACATGTTGTGGTAGGCGTAGTGCTTGAGCGTGATGCCGCAGAAGAGCAGCGAGACGATGCCGCTCATGGTGACGCCGTTGCTGAAAAAGTAGCTCGTGTAGGCGATGAGCGCCACCAGACAGCTCTCGAGCTGCGGATACGAGCTCAGCCGCGAATGCTTGAGCAGCAGCGAGCAGCCCAGTCCAAAGCACACGCCCAGCAGCATCGAGAGCGTAAACACCACCAAGAAGAGCCCGATGCCGTGGAAGATGGACGAAATGTAGATCTCCTTGCCCCTGAACGTCGAGAGCGTGTCGAACATCACGATCGACACCGCATCGTTGAGGATGCTCTCGCCAAAGATCACCGAGTACAGCTTGGGATCCACCTTGTACGTGTTGAAGATGGCCAGGATGGTCACCGGGTCGGTGGCGCTGAGGGTGGAGCCGAAAATGAGGCATTCGAGCAGCGTGAGTGAGATCGACTCGAGATGCAGCAGCGACCAGAGGTAGACGATCACGCCCACCACGATGGCGCTGATAAACGTGCCGGCAAACGCAAAGATGAGGATGGTGCCAAAGTTGCGGAAGAAGTTCTCCTGACGCAAGTCGTAGCCGGATGCGAGGATGATGGGCGGCAGAAGCACGTTGAGCATGATGGTGTTGCTGAAGCTCAGCATGCTCTGCACCTGCTCGCCCGGGCCGACGCGCAGGCAAAGACCGACAAACATGCCGGCAAACAGACCGACGATGGTCTCGTGCACCGCCGTGATGCGCTTGACCTTGAGGTAGTACGACGTCCAGAACGAAAGGATGAGCAGCGACAGCACGAGGAAGAGCGCCAGCGACGAAAACCGCTCCTGCTGCTCTGCATCGGGTACGGTCACCGGCGTGGTGGGGGTGGCCGTCGCGCTGGCTGAAGCGGTCGCTGTCGCTGTGGCCGTCGTAGACGCTGTGGCGCTACTCGATGATGAGGCTGCAGCGACAACGCCCATCAGCAGCGCTGACAGCATGGTGAGCTTGGCGAGCATCCTGACGAGCATGCTCCGGCGGCCTTGGTCCCACACCGTCGTCCTCCCGTCGCTCTTGCTCCAAGCGTCGTGCCTGGCCTTGCTCCCAAGCTATGATGACCGCGCCAGAGCAAGATGGCGTCCGGAGGTCGAGAAGATCGCAGTGGTGAGCGGCGCAGCTGAGTTTGACGAATGCAGATGGGTGTAGCAAAGATAGAGTGCGACCAAGCTGACCACGATAATGAGCTGAGCCTAGGACGCACAGGACCCTGGAAGCTCTGAGCCTCGGTGGAGGCTTCCCGCTCGCCGAACTACGATCCGTGCGTGCAGCCGACGGCCTGCCAAAAGGCATTTAGGTCTAACATAGAAGACGTATGCAAACGATTGAAGTCTCTTCTACGCCCCTTCACCATCCAATAGAGTCTGCATCTGAGCTTGCAAGTCAATATACTAGTCTTTTAGAGGCTTCGAGCATACACAGGCTCTGTCGTAGGATCGAGTTCGAGTGCTTGCGGCTCGTCTTCGCAACTGGGGCGAGGCCTTGGAGACGTGATCGAGCCCCGATGGAATTGCAGCGGCGACGCGATTGGCGATCTGCGACTCTCTGCCGTGGAGCGCGAACAACACGGCAGCCGCTCTCTCGACAAAAAAGCGAGAATTCTGGTGTTGAATGTCATCCTCTCATCACCATCCGGCACACCTCCCATCCGCACTCGATCTCATCTCGATAGCGGATCCGTCGTCGGTAGATCCTATTCGCTAGTACTGCCGCCATGAACGACTATCCAATGGACGCGGCGCCGCAGTCGCTCTCGGAGCTGCTGCAGCAGTCCAAAAAGCTCACCAACCATCTCGGGCGCTCGGACCTGCCCCAGATCCAGCTTGGCCTCGACCAGATCGAGAATCAGAGTCGCAAGCTCGTCTCCAAGAGCCTTCGCTCCGGATCCACCCAGCCCGCCGATGCGCGCGCTCACTACTTTCTCGCCAACGGAGGCATCGATGCCGCTCAGCTCGCCGACACCATCAATGCGGCCAACATCGCGAGCACCTTTGAACCTCTCCAGCCCATCTACGACACGGATGTGGAAAGCTACCTCACCCACGAGCACCAGCAGGTCGTCATCAGCGCCATCGAGCAGGGAAGGCGTGAGACGCTCCAGGACTTCCACCGCAACCTCGACCGCACCATGCACCGCGACTGGGAGAGGCAGAAGCGCAAGATCTTTGAAGAGCTCGGTCAACACCAGCCCGCCAGTGCTGCCGGTCGCGATGCGGATCTCGATGCATCCGCCTCTGGCTTCGGCGCCTCCACTTCGGCCCACACGCTGCCGTCGTCGTCGAGCACCATGCTCGGCTCCAATGCCACCTCCCAGATGCACGGCAAGATGGCGCGCTACCTCATGGTGGTGTCCAGGCTCAACTCGTCCCGACTCGAAGGATACAACCTTGCTCTGGCACATGCGTTCATCGATGCCATCTCCGGCCTGGGCGAGGAGTCCAAGAACAAGGAGCTCGTCGAGAGCTGGAAGGCGCTCGCCTCGATGGTGCGCGAGCAAGACGTGCGCAACGGCGAGTTCGGCGCCAGGCTCATCAAGGAGCGCCAGTATGCGCCTGCCTATGTCGACCTCAAGGCATGGAACGGCACCGACGGCATCCACCTGCGCAAGGAGCTCCTCCAAGGCTCCAAGGCGTTTTTGGAGAAGGAGTTCGAGGAGCACATGGAGCAGGTGATTGCCGCCAACCCCGTCATCGCGCAACGCGGCGGAGCGCCCACGGTGCGATCGACGGTGAGCGCATTCCTGCGTGTGCAGCATCTGAGCTCGCAGAACCAGTGGCGATCGGACCTGGCCAAGGAGCTCGATGCGTCGACCAACGTGCCGATCTGGGCGGAGCTCTACCTGCTGCTGCGCATCGGCAAGTCCAAGGAGGCGCTCGAGTGTGCGTCGGAGAACGAGAACCGCATCCGCTCCACCGACCCTTCGTTCCTGGCGTACCTCAAGGCGTGGGTGGACTCGCCCGAGCGTCGGCTGCCGCGTCTGCTCAAGGACCGCTTCGTGGCCGAGTACAACTCTCGCTTCCGCACGCTGCCCGAGGTGCACGACCCGTACAAGCTGGGACTGTACAAGCTGATCGGGCGCATCGACGTGGCCAAGAAGTACCCTGCGCTGCTCACGTCGAGCATCCAGAACTGGCTGTGGCTGCAGCTGAGCATGGTGCGCGAGACGTACGACGAAGATGCGGATGCGCAGGACTCGGTGCGCGACCGCTTCACGCTCGCCGACCTGGGACACAAGGTGGAGAAGTTTGGCGAGGCCTACTTTGACCCCAAGGGCAACCGGCCGCTGTTCTACTTCCGACTTTTGCTGCTGTGCGGCCAGTTTGAAAAGGCGGTGGGCTTCCTGTTTTCGCGCTCGGCACACCAGGTGGACGCGATCCACTTTGGCGTGGTGCTGGCGTACTATGGCCTGCTGCGTGTGCCGTCGCAGGCGGCGTCGTCGCAGGTCGAGTATCTGGTGGTCGAGTCGGACGCGCAGGGCGGGAGCGTTGCGTCGATCGATTTCGCCAAGCTGGTGCAGCGGTACGTGCGCACCTTTTCGCAGTCGTCGCGCCGCGATGCGCTGCAGTACCTGTACCTGATCTGCCTGCACGCGGATGTGGCGGAGCCGGTGGGGTCGGAGCAGGTGCGTCGGTGCCACGATCTCATCCGTGCGCTGGTGCTCGAGGCGCACCCGACCGAGTTCCAGGAGCTGCTGGGCGACGTGCGCACCAACGGCGCCAAGACGGCGGGCTTGATCGAACGCAACCTGCCGCTGATCAAGATCAAGAACGAGCGCGAGTTCCTGTCGACGATCGTGCAGGTGGCGGCGACGCAGTGCGACTTGGCGCATCGCACCGAGTCGGCGATCCTGCTGTACAACCTGGCGGGCCAGCACGACACGGTGGTGGCTGTGCTCAACAAGGAGCTGGGCGCGCGGCTGATGGAGCCGAGCAGCGCATCCGAGTGGAAGAGCGACGGCCTGTCGTCGGGCGCGTCGTTCTCGGCGGCGAGCAACGTGGTGACGCTGGCGACGGCGATTCTGTCGACGTACGAGAAGCAGTACGGCTATGCGGGCAAGAACCGCGACACGTGCCGGCGGCTGCTGGAGCTCAAGAAGGCGGTGGGACTGCAGAGCGAGGGCCGACATCTGGAGGCGCTGCAGACGATCGAGGCGCTGCGGATCCTGCCGCTGGATGGCGAGTCGCGCAAGGACGTGGTGGCGATCACGCGCAAGGCGGAGGAGTTCAAGGAGGTGGACGAGAACATTGCGCGCAACTTTTCCGAGATTGTGCTCATGACCATGACCATGCTGTACAAGCTGCATCAGGAGCTCAAGGAGAGCATCCACCGCAGCGGCACGAGCGCCATGGACGAGTACCGTGCGCAGGCGCGCGCGCTCATGATGTGGGCGGGCATGCTGCGCTTCCGCATGAGCAGCGAGACGTACAGCCAGCTCACGCGACTCGACGTGTTTATCCACTGATGCAGCCAGCTCCACGGTCACCGTAGAATGCGGCTACAGTAGATGGGTTGCTGATCGGCTACAACCGAAACAAAGCGATTGCCCGATTGATCTCTGCGTGTTGTGGGCGGCGAGCCAGAGGGAGGAGAAAGTGGGGACCAAATGACAATCCTTTTGCTGAGCACGTTCTCGCAGCAGCCCCACCCGGGACCCTGAGTCTCACCACCTTGCAGCGCCAAGCAAAAAAGAAGGAAGCGTCCGAACAAAAAGAAGAGAAAATTTGGGCCGAGCCAGAGCCGACGGACGGCGTTTAGGAAAGGAATACGGCGGGCGGCACAGGCTGAGCCGGGCCGAGCGATGTCTGTCGAGCGAGCGAGCGTGCGATAATCGAAATCAGATCTCTGTGCAGTGTGCGAGACAGTATTTTTAGCCCCGCCACCTTGTGCCCCAACGAGGGAAAAAAAAGTGGGCTGTGCGCAGCAAACAGAGGAGGGGAATGTCACAGCCTCGCAGCAGAATCCCACTGTGGGCGGTGTTCGCCTGCTGCCACAACGGCAATCCACTCGCAGAGCTGAGCTGAATTTGCACTGCACAGACTGCGCGCCCCCACACTTCTTAAGGATCGGCTCTCGTCCTTCCCTCCCATCACCACCACCATCCCCGTCAACCTCAACTCCCCTGGAACAAAGTATTTGGCGCCATGTCGCACATGATCGCCTCTGCCATGTCCGTGGCGCAGCAGACGCTCGGCTCCGGCTCCACCACCAACGACTCCTCGGACCACCAGCCGGGCCTCTCGCCTCCCCTCTCGCCCGTCGGTGAACAGGACATCGAGCTCACCGCTCCCACTCCCGCGGCCGCCCGTGCCTCGCGCCGCCCCGCTACCGCTCCCAACTCGCCCATGCCACCTCATCTCCAGTCGTATCGCAACAACCTCGGCAACGACATCACCATCGACCTCAACATCGGCCCCAGCACCTCGTCCGCCTACGCGCGTGCCCAGGGCAGCGCCGCCTTCCACCACGCCCACAAGCACCATCCCCACTCGCCCTCGCCCTCTCGCGCTCCGCTCCCCTCCACCGCCGCCCCCACCGAAGCTGCCGGCCAATCGGCGGACGGCAAGTCCGCGCACCTCGCCGACCCCTCGCAGGATACCGAGGCGGCGGCAGGCCCTTCGCGTTCGCGCGCCAGCTCGCTCGGCTACGGCGGCCTCGCACCCGCCACGCCCGGCGGAGAGACCGATCCGCTGCTGCTGCGTTCGCGCGTCGTCGAAGAGTCCGAGGTGCGTCGACGCCACTCGGGCAAGGGCCGCAACCGCCGCAACGAGCGCCAGATCCGCGACTTTTACGAGGCGCAGAACGAGCACATCGAGCGGCTGCTCAAGCCCATCTCCAAGCACGCCGACGAGGGCAAGCAGGACCGCGAGTCGTCGGCGCTCAAGGTCAAGATCGCCGTATACGCGTCGATCGGCGCCAACTTTGTGCTCGCCATCCTCCAGCTCTACGCCGCCGTCAGCTCGCTCTCGCTCTCGCTCTTTGCCACGGCGGCGGACTCGGTGTTCGATCCGTTTGCCAACCTCGTGCTCAACTGGCTCCACCGCAAGAGCGAGAACGTCGACGAGCGAAAGTGGCCCATCGGCGGCTCGCGCTTCGAGCCGATCGGCAACATCACCTATGCGGCGCTCATGGGCATGGTCTCGGCCATCCTCGTGGTCGAGTCCATCCAGGAATTGGCTACGGGCGATGGCGACAAGAAGCTCTTCATCCCCTCGCTCATTGCCGTCGGCGTCGCCTTTGTCACCAAGGCGATCCTGGCCATCTACTGCTACGGACTGCGCAAGTACTCGTCGCAGGTCGAGGTGCTGTATCAGGACCACCGCAACGACCTGTTTATCAACGGGTTTGGTATCTTCACCTCTGCGGCGGGTGCGACGATTGCCGGATGGATCGATCCTGCGGGTGCGCTCATCATCTCGGTGGCGATCATTGTCTCGTGGACGCGCACGGCGTTTGGCGAGTTCAAGACGCTGGCGGGTGCCGCTGCGCCGACCGACTTTTTGCAGCTGGTCACGTACAATGCGGCGCTGTTCAGCGACGAGATCCAGGCGATCGAGAGCGTGCGTGCCTACAGCTCTGGGCCGCGCTACATTGTGGAGATCGACATTGTCATGCATCCCGAGACGCCGCTGTGGAAGAGCCACGATCTGAGCCAGGCGCTCCAGGACCAGCTCGAATCGCTCCCCATGGTCGAACGCGCTTTCATCCACGTCGACCACGAAGTCGAACACGCCTTTGAACATCGTAAGAACATCTAGACCCATCGCAATCCAATAAAAAGGTTTCGGCGCACAGTGTCTTGTCATGAGTGTGTATTTTAGGCATGCGAGGAATCGAGTTGACAAAAGATTCGACGCAGTTCCGTGATGGGGATCTGCGCATTGTTCGCGATCGCATCAGCAGCGGCGGGGGTGGTGGATGCGGTGAGGTTTTTGGGTGCGTTGGAGTCGTCTCGTTTGCGCACGGTGACTGTCTGCGTCTGCATCTCTCGCTCGCCCACGACGAGGATGTAGTTGTACCTTGCCAGCTGAGCCTTTCTCACGAGCTTGCCCAGCTTCTCTCCCTGCGGATTCGCTTCCACATCCACGTAGAAGCGCTGCAGATGTCGTTCGGACGACTGCGACGCTTCCGCATCAGGATGGATGCCCAGCGAGAGGTATTTGGCAATCCTAGCCGCATACGCATCGAGTTCAGCCGAGCCCGTCTTGGCCGGCAGCACAATCGCCTGCCTGGGAGACAGCCAGAACGGCCACCAACCCGCCGTCTGTTCGATCAGAATCGCCATGAACCGCTCCACGCTGCCCAGGATGGCACGGTGGATCATGACGGGCGTGCTTCGCTCCCCCGTTTGCGTGGCATTGGGATCCGCATACGACAGTTCAAACCGTCGGGGCAGCTGGAAATCCAACTGAATCGTTGCAGTCTGATGCCGGCGTCCCTGGCCGTCCACCAGACGGATATCGATCTTGGGGCCGTAGAACGCACCGTCGCCCTCGTTGAGCTCCCACTTGCGGCCGCTCTTGTCGAGCGCCTCGCGCAGTCCCGCCTCGGCACGCTCCCACTCCTGCACGCTCCCGATAAATGCATCGTGCGGCCGCGTCGACAGCACGAGCTCGAACGCTGCGAATCCAAACGTATCGTATGCCGAGGTGAGCATCTGCAGCATTGCATCGATCTCGGCCTCGACCTGATCCGGGGTGCAAAAGACGTGCGCATCGTCTTGGTGGAAGCGGCGCACGCGCGTCAGGCCCGTCAATGCCCCGGACGCCTCGTTGCGATGCAGCGGCGAAAACTCGGCGTATCGAATCGGCAGATCGCGATACGACCTCTCCTGCGATGCAAAGATCACGCAATGTCCAGGACAGTTCATTGGCTTGAGTCCAAACGTCTCGTCCTCCACCTCCGTCTCGGCATGGATCGAGCAGCACGCACTGCGATCGTCCACACTACTCGCCGGAACCGACGTGCGCGCAAGACGCTCCTTGTACCCTTCGGCCGCAAACATGTCGTCGCGATAGTTGTCCCAATGTCCACTGCGTTTCCACAGCGACGTCTTGTACAGCTGCGGCGACTGCACCTCGTCGTAGCCGTACACGTCGTACAGATCGCGCACCACGCGCTCCACCTTGCGCGCCAGCCGCATGCCGTGCGGAAGGACGAACGGCGTCCCCGGCGAAGAGTCGTGCGTGAGAAAGAGCGACTGCGCCTTGCCGATCGCCCGGTGATCTGCCGTACTGCTCGCAGAAGCATCCTGACTGGCGGCGCCCTGCGCGGCGGGTTTGGCGGACGAATGCCTCGCTTGGAGAAAGTGCTTGGGAAGCGATCCGGTCACGGAGGCGCTTCGCGAGCTAGAAGCGCTCTGAAGCGCTCGACGGACCAGCACCTGCATGCCGTGTCGAGACATGCTCAGCACTCTACGAGGTCGAGGGGATGATGGAGGCAGACGTCGAGAAGCCAGTTCTTCCAACCGCTGCCAAATTGGTCGAAAAAGCTCAAAAATAATGGACCTCCAAAAAGCGCCGATTTAAGGGTCTTTTCCGCTCGGGAGTCGGGAGCCAAAATAAAGATGTTAGATTGAGGATGGCGGCGTGGCTCGTGCGAATCGCGCCGATGCCCACGAGACGCCGAGTGACGTTATCGGCGCAGCACCAGTCGAAGCGCAAGCTTTTGACAGGACCCTGACGTGTCTCGGTCTCAGCCTCGCTCCACCATCTCGCTCGCAGCCAACGACAAGCGCTCCTGCTGTCGATCCGGGTAAGCTGACGCGACGCGACACCGCCCGGAGCGCACCGCTCACTTGAACCGGTTCGCCATGTACTCCTCCCGCGCACTGGCCGCCCGAGGGCCCATCACTGGCTCTCTCCGCAGTCGATGTCATCATGCCACTGCATTGTCAGTAGCCGTGAGCAGAGCATCTTTGCAGCTCACCGCGTCCTCTGCACGATCTCACCACCCCCTCTTCAAAAAGGCCCATGCCAGCATCCAGTCGCTCCGGTGGGGATCCTCGGCTGCCCTCGCCTCCACCTCGCCCGAGGCTGCCAAGGTCGCAGAGGATGCCGAGACCGAGACTGAGAACGATCCCTTCCGCAAGATCGGCTATCTGTACTTTGACACCGTCTTCCCCATCCGCCTCGGCTTCTGGGACATTCGCTATATGCTCGCTTCGCTCGAAAAGCGCTCCGTGCTCGACCGCGTCAAGGCCAGCTTGCCCCCGGACGAAAGCGTCGGCTACGGCTTCAAAGTCATCGGCGCAGAAGAGCGAATGAAGGACGGAGGCGCCTTCGTCACCTTCTCCTACCGCGAGGACCCCAACGAGAAGAGCGAGGACTCGCTCAACCACATCGAGAAGCGCCTCAAGTCCGGCGTCCGACGCGTCTTCAACCCTCTCCTCTTCTTCATCGGCACGCCGGGTGTACACGTCGTGCGCGGCTCCCCCTTCCGCGAGGACATGAACATCTTCCCCTCCACCCGTATCTTTGTCAAGCTCGAGGGTGGCGATGCCAGCGAGGAGCAGCTCTGGCAGACTCTGCGTCCCTACGGTCGCATCGTATCCATCGTCAAGGAGAAGCCGTCCGAGGCGTTCGTCACCTTTTCTCGCATCCGCGGCGCCACCAGCGCACGCAACTGTGCCCACGGCTACGAGCTGCCCAACGGCGCGCGCTTCATCATCACGTTCCGCAGCAAGCTCCGCAGCAAGCAGGCGTGGGACTGGATCTCGAACCATCCCAGGATCGTCTTCCCGCTCGTCGCCTTCCTAATCGGCGGCATCTCGTACATCGTCTTCGACCCCGTCCGCGAGTTCATGGTGGAGAGCAAGGTGCACAACACCTTTTCGCTCAACGAGTATCGCCTCTACTCGTGGCTCAAGCGCAACACCGTCGGCCTCTTCAAGGACACCGACGGCAACGCCGATGGCCGCGTAGACGACTGGTGGGAGCGCCGCCAGTCGGCGGAGACCATCCAGGAGTGGATCCGAGAGAAGCCTTCCACTTTCGTCACCATCTCGGGCCCGCGCGGATCGGGCAAGACGGGGCTCGTGAGCAAGGCCATCACGCGCGACGTACAGCATCTCGTCATCGACTGCGACGCCATCGCAAAGACCGCCAAGAACGACTCGCTGCTCATCACCTCGCTCGCCAACGAGACCGGATACTGGCCCGTGTTTAGCTGGCTCAGCAGCATCAACAACATCATCGACCTCGCCGCCGTCGGCCTCATCGGCTCCAAGGCCGGCTTCGCCACTCCCACCGATGCCCAGCTCAAGCAGATCCTCGGCGTCGTCACCAATGCGCTCAACAGCATGAACGAAAAGACGCAGAGACGCCTCGCCAAGGCAGAAAAGGCTCGCCTCGCTGCCGAGAAGAAGCTCAAACAGCCCGCACAGGCTGGGTCCACCGATGGCAACGGGTCGCTCGAGGAAAAGGCCTCCGCGCTGGCACACGATACGCTCGAGTCCATCCAGCAATTCGTGTCGCCGAGCGACGCCAAGGACGGAGGCAACGACGCCAAGAAAAAGTCGTTCGACTCGCCCGTCGTCGTCATCAACCAGTTCCACCACAAGGGCATCAAGCAGGCCGTCCTGCACCAGGTGCTCGCAGAATGGGCCGCCGAGCTCGTCACCAACGGCATCGCTCACGTCGTCTTTGTCTCGGACAATCCGGTCGGCATGGGCAAGGAGCTCGCCAAGGCGCTGCCCAATGTGCCGTTCCAGGGCATCGCACTCGCCGATGCCGAGGAGGAAAAGGCACGCAGCTACGTGTACAACAAGCTCAAGGAGATGGGTCGTCTTGCCGTCATCAATGCGGCGGCGGGCAAGGGTGCTGGAGGCGCTCCGCTGCGAGCCACGCCGTTCGGATCGGCGGCCGCGCAGCCGGCGATTGCGGAGGCCGGCGCGCCGCCCGAGTACGCGGCAGCGCTGGACGACGAGACGGCAAGCTGGGTGGACAAGTTGGGCGGGCGGCTGACGGATCTGGAGACGCTGGTGCAGAAGGTGTCGCTGGGGCAGACGGTCGAGTCGGCCGTGCACGATATTATCTCGCGCAGCGTGGTGGAGCTGCGCAAGAATGCGTTTGGCGACGACGCGAGCGAGGCGTCGTCGCTGGCGTGGACGCGTACGCAGGCGTGGACGGTGGTGCAGAAGCTGGCGGCCAAGGGCGAGATCGCCTACTACGGCCTGCTGCACAACGAGTTCAAGGGCAACGAGGCGGCGATCAAGTCGCTCGAGCAGGCCGAGATCATCTCGGTGCGCCACCACGATGGCCGGCCCTCGGCAATTCGAGCTGGCCGTCCTGTGATGCAGGAGGCCATCAAGCGGCTGGTGGCCGATCGGGTGTTCAACGACACCCAGACGCTGCTCGCGAACGCGGCAGCGATCGAGTCGGCCGAAAAGAGCTTGCGCACCATCGAGACCGAGATCTCGGACATCTCGCGCATGATCCAGGGCTCGCCGTTCAAGGTGGCTTCGGGCGCAGGCGCCACGGATGGCGCCGTACTGCCGCCGCCTGGGGATAAGAAGAAGGACGACGGATGGTCGCTCAAGCTCAGCTGGTTCGGGGACGGCGAGGGCGCGCCGAGCATTCGCACTAGCGAGGCGGCCAAGGCCAGGACGGAATTCCTCATGTCCAAGATGGCCGAGCTCCAGACCAAAATCTCCAAGCTCGATGCGCAGAGCACCGCCATCAAGGCGCGGCTTGCCGCGCACATGGATTAGAGAGTCCTCAGGCGCAATCACATCACCGCTTTCTTATGGCCAGGGCGAGGTGCGGATGGCGTGTGATGGCAAGAAGACACACGATGGCAAGATGCGTAGAGGGCATCAGTCAGGGTCGCAGGTTGGACCCTGCCAAAATCAAAAAGTTTAGGCTGTTATTGGCGGCTGAGTCATTGCTGAGTGAGTGCTGCGGCAAGGTGGCATGGTGTTGACGTTGCGCCTGGGCAAGTGTGTCAGCGCCACCGAGGTGTGGCTGCTGTCGACGCCCTAGATAAGCGTCTCCCAAGCCAGTGGCAAGGTGTGAGAACGTCCACCACTTCATTCACTGGTACAAGCACGATTACCATGACTGCCAACACGAACTCTGTAAGTCGGCTTTGCCTGGCTGTGCGCTTTTCAACTCTGAACGTGGTTGACTGACGTGTGTCTTGGGCGCAATGTCCAGTTGCCTGCTCCGGGGGGTGCACGAAAGGCGGCGACGCGTGGTCCCAACGGTGCCTCTGCGCTTGCTTCGGAACTGGGTGCCGCGCGGGATGTCGATCGCGACGTAGCACAGGCTCGATCCGAGGGCGACAAGATCCCCTCGTCCAACGACACCAGCCGCGTGCTTGAATTCGGTATGCCCAACGGTGCCGAGCAAGGTGTCGAGACACCCGGCCGCGAGAAGCGCACCCAGCTGCAGGACGAGCGCAACCAAGAGCTCGGTCGCGACCAGCCGGACCTCGGCAAGATCGCACAGACTTCGGCAGGCGCCACCTTCCCCACCACGGAGACCGCCAAGTCGACCGCAGCCAACAATCCCGACGCAATGCTCAACACGGTCGCCAGAAGCACCGGCACTGAATCGGGAACTTCCACCGCAAACAACGGCATTGAAGTCACACGCGACGCTCCCACCAACGCCTAGCTCCGCCTCTCTGCCAATTTAGACCGTTGGTGAGATCAATCAAGCTGTATACGCTCTGCGATTGAGACTGTAATGCTACCGGATGCCGTGGTGGCTAGCTGCGTGAGGAAGATGCCAGTGGGGGTGCGAGCCTCGCTGCGCGTTTGCGACCGGGCGCTGGCGCTCGAGGCGTAGCAGCCGCGTTGGGCATGCCTGACGACCGACGCTGGCCCGAGACACGGTAGAGGAGCTGTTGATTCTGGCGTTGGAACAGCACCTTCTGCCGCTGCACAAACGCCCACACCGACACCACCGCCAGCACCGCCACAACCGCCTGCCCGCAAAAGAAGAGAGAGCCAGGATGAGCATGTGCAAAACAAAGACCCAGGGCGCGCGAGCACTTACGATCATCTCAAAGTAGTCTTTGGCTTCTTGCTTGGCCGACTTGCCGCATGCTTCCCAGCCCAGCAGCGCGGCCGCTGTCGAGTCGGTCGCATTGCGTGCTGCATTGGCAGTGTCTATGGCTGTTCGAACGGCCGAAGCGTCGACACGGTCGGCTACGGGACTGCACGCCACGCGCCGCCGGTTGTTGTACGGTCGACAGAACGGAAGATGCACCTATTCAACACCGCGTCAGCATCATCTCCCAACACATGCACACCGGGGAAATGTACTTACTACATCATCCGGGCAGGGATTGCAGTCGCCCGCGGGGACGCAGACATAGTCGGTCGCATTACCACCCCCGACCGCCGGTTGCGATCCCGAAGGCTTGTCTTTAGCTTGGCCGTTGCGGAATCCCGACCAGAGCGGCCATTCTCCTTCGTATCCTTTCGCCTTGACACCCTCGGTCTTGCCGTCGCCCAGCACGAACTTGGCGCCCGGCAGCTCGGTGTCTGGCCGCCACGAGTCTCGACGCGCGAGCGAGCGCGGTGGCGTGGACGAAGAGGTTTCGGTCGCGAGGGCGTTGAGGAAGAAGAGCGACATCATGAGCGCGATGCGGGACGGCCGTGTGCGTGGGTATGTACGCGGCATTGCGCGTGGGTTGGAGGTGGGAGGTGGGCAGAGATGGTGGTGAGGACGGCAGGAGCGAGGTTCGGTTGATGAGGTGTTGGTGTTGGGCGGTGCGTCGAATTCCGAGCGCCGAATGCCGAATCCCGACCGAGGTGGTGGAGGCGCAGCGGTACTCGACACAAGAGCTCCATGCACCCTTCCACCTGTCCACCACGCGATCACCAGCCTACCCTCTTCACGAGCCCCCTGCGCAACAGACGAGGGCGCTGTTCACGGGCCGGCATCAATCAGCCATGTCGGCCGCGTCCGCCGCTGCGCCAGACGCGCTTGTCTCGACCAGCGACCGCACGGCGAGCGGCTCCAAGTCGAAGAGGAAGCGGAGAGACTCGCTCAGCAAGTCGGGAAAGAAGCGCGAGCCCACTCGACAGGAATCGCTCGGCGGAGCGGTGATTCGATCGCTCTTCGGCACGCTTGCCTTCCTGTTCAAGCGGCCCGTCCGTCTGTTCCGCCCCGTCAAGCTGTCGTCATGGACGATCCTCGAGGCCATGGCGAATCGCGAGGGCCGCAAACTCAGCCTCCGCTACCTGCGCACGCTGCTGCGCCGCGAGAACTCCAACTTTCTGCCGCACCTTCTTCTGCCTCCGCTCCTCTTCAATACCGCCATCGGCTTCACGCTCTTCGAGGCATACAGCATCACGGAGAGCCGGCTCCTCGCCCGGTCGAAACGACAAGCCAGCAGCCCTGGCACCGATGCGGAAGATGCAGAAGATGAGGAAGAAGCGAGCGCTCCGACGCCAAAGTGGACGCCGCTCTGGATCGTCACAGCTTCCGGTGCGGTGGCAGGCGCCGCACAGTGCTTCCTCTCGGCACCGCTGGACAATGTGCGCTACATCATGCAGCGCAACGTCAGCGCATCCGACTCGCATGCACGCGGCGGCGCTAGAGCGGTGACCCTCATATCGTGGCGCGCTATCCTGCGTGCGGCGATCTTGCCGTTCGCGCCGGCGATTGCACGCGACAAGCTCGTGCACGACGTGCAGAAGGAGGCGATCGAGCATTCCAAACGCACGCCCAAGCCCACGCTGCGTGCGCGCATCGTGGCGCTGCTCGAGCCGGCGACGGCGAGTCGCGATGCGGCCGAAAGCGTGAGTCAGCGCTTCAGCATGTCGCCCGAGAAGCGGCAGGAGTGGGAGAAGCGCCTCAAGCGCTGGCGCGGCGGCGTGCACGGCTCGGGGCTCGCACTCTCGCTCATCCGAGACAGCGTGGGATTCGGCAGCTTCTTCTTCATCTTTGAGGTGTCGAGGCGGTGTGCCTTTTTCGCCTCGACGTCCGTCGACCGCATGAGTGCGTGGTTCAATGCGCGCGGACTCGGCGTTGTGCGGCCAGGCGGAGAGACGACGCAGCAGGACGGCCCCAACGTCGTCGGAAGACGCAAGAGCGATGATGGGATGGGCGGGGGCGATGTGCACATCGAAGACGCAGGACGAGTGGCACACTGGATCCGCGAGGGCCAGAGGAACGTCACGGATGCCGACGTGAGCTACAACCAGTCGCGCACGGTGCAGGGACGGGTGGTGGCGGTAATCATCCTGCTGGTGGGCGGTGCGGTGGGTGCGTTTTCGTACGAGCTGGTCGGACGGCCGTTTGAACTGATGCGCGTCGTCATCTGGGAGGGGCGCAAGCAGTGGGAGCAGGGCAAACGCGAGCCTGGCTTCCGATCGTCGGCGAGACGCAGCGCATCCACGGCTTCGGCGGCGCCATCGAGCGCCGACGCGATGGGCGTGACTACGCTCGGCAGAACAAGAGTGCGCGGTGCCAGGGCGGCGGCGCAGGCTCGCGCGGAAGCGTACGATGGACGGCTGTGCAAGCGGCGAGCCGACTTTGTGGTGCTGCGTGCGCAGAATACGATGGGCACCCATGTCTCGCGCGTCTGGGGGCGCGCCAAGCTCACGCGTCCACCACATCCGCTCCGGCTCACTGGCCCGGCAGTGCTCCACCGACCGCAGATCAACGGTACAGCAGGTCCGAGACTCACCAGCTCCCGCGCGCTGCAGCATCGCAAGACGCTCAAAGCGCCGACTTCTACATTGCCATCGCACACGGTCGAGAGCGAAAGGCCCCCGCAGCACCGCCGAACTCACCGAGCTGCGCCGACGCTGGCGACGCGACCTGGCTTTCTGACGCTGCTCATCGAGCATGCACAGAGCACGGCGCAGCTAGACCGTAAGCACTCGGGCGTCGATCCGTCCAAGACTTCCATCCCGCTGCTGCTGCTGCACACGTACTTTATTGCGCCCTTCCTGCCCGAGATCCCCGAGCCGGTGCTGGACAACGAGCTGGTGCGTGCCGCTGCCGGTGTCGACAAACACCTCCGCCCCTCCTCTGGCGCGCAAACGGTCAAGACGCAGACGGATCTCATGGAAAAGGTGAGCACTGTCGCTCAGCGCACGCTGCTCATGTCGCTTGCATCAAGACGCAGGTCAGCCGAGTCGCCCGAGGCCAAGCTCAAGAGGAACTGGATCAAGAACAATCCCGTCAACGTCAGCTTTGCGAAAGGAAAGGCAGCAGGGACGGATGGTGGGAAGAGAGCGGGTGGGTTCGGAGCGAGCGACAGATCGACGCTTCAGAAGGGCACGAGGTATTGGGCGAGCGGCAGAGTCGTCTGGTCGCTCAAGCGGCTCGCCACCCCGTACGGCGTTGCATTTCTCGTATTTGCCTGGCTCGGAGGCGATCTCAACTAATTTCACATCCGCACAGGACATTGAATACACTAGCCATACGTATAAGCACTGAGTGATTCCGCCGTTCGTGGGGATGGAGTCAGGAGGAGGGGATGGTGGTGCGGCTTGGCTTGATTTTTTCGCCTCGACGAAGGATGTTACGCCGCATCTTTTGTAGCGCAAAATCGGTCGCCGTCCGACTCCACACGCGATGCCGTGGATTCGTCGAGCACAGATCACCGTCCAACCTCCTGAGCAGCTGCCGCTCTTGCCGACCAACTACCACCCGCTCCGCGCTCCATTCACAGGCATCCGAACGCCAACCTCTGCAGCAACTGCACAACCTCCATCGCTCGTGTCGACCATCATGCCGGCTAAAGCCGGCGCGGCCACGCCCGACCCCGAGATCGGCACAGCAGCAGGCGCCGGCGCGGCTGCAGCGGCCGGTCCAGCATGGCGCCAGTTCTCGTTCTTCGAGTCGTCTCCAGTCCGCGACGCTGACGATTTTGCCAAGCCGCCAGCAGCCCTGCGCAGCGCCAACGAGGTCGCTGCCATCTGCCAGTGCCACGTCCGCCCTCCACCCTCGGCCCTCGCTTCCGACGCTGCCGCTGGCTCTGCATCGCCATCCGAGCCACCGGTCTCAGCAGCCGTCCGCTTCGACGAGTCATCCGCCTCCTCGAGCAAGGCGGCCAGGGCGAACAAGGCCTCTCGCAAGCAGCCATGCACGCTCGTCGGCACCATACACGGCCGCATCAAGGTGCTCGACCCAGACACGCTCCAGGAACTCGCGGCTTGGGACGCCTTCTCGTCCGGCGCCGTCGCAGGCAGGGTCACCCATCTGTCCTCAGATGCTCGTGGCAGAGTCATCACGCTCGGAGAAGAAGACAGCTCGCGCTTCCCCATCCTCAGGGTGTGGGACATCCGTACAGGCCGCAGCGCGTCCCGTCAAGCGGACAGTGCGACGGCAGACAGCGCCAAGGCCACCTGGATGCCACGATTACTCGCCGAAGGCAAGGTGCAACACGGCAGTCGCCCCCATCCGATCGCAGCGGTGTCGCACACTCCTTCGCTCTCGTACCTCTCGGTCGCCCTGGCGGACGGCACGGTTCTGCTCATCCGTGGGCTCGAATCCGCCCTCATGGCGGCATCGGGCAACGCGGGCATCGCGTCAGCGGCGTCGTCTGGCCGCCCCACGCCGGCCGTCGCGCTGCCAAAGTTCAAAGTCGTCTTTCAGCCCACAAGCTCGGACTCGGGCGCGCACGAACCCGTCACCGCGCTTGGCTTCTCGGAGGTTGCCGCGCCCGCTGCTGCCACCGCTTCGGCGCAGGTCAAGACGGCATCCACTGCAACCCAGACACCAGCATACGAGGCCAGAGTGTCGCACGGATCCAAAGGTCGCAAGGGAGCCTTGGCTCGGCAACGAGATCCGAGGACAGGCTCGGCCAATGCAGATACTCAGGCCGATGCAGCAACCCCAGCGTCCGCCGTGCACCTCTTCATCGTGACGCTCTCGCGCGTCTTGCGCTACATTGTCGCTGGCAAGGGCGCAGGCGGCAGTCCCGCCGTGCTCGACGATGTCGGAAGCGCTCTCGGCTGCGCTGCCGTCATCCCTCCGCGTCCGGCGATGCCCACGGCAAGCGCCGGGCAAGCCAACGCAGCGGGCCTGCCTTCGACATCCGCACCGAGCAGTCCAGGCGCCGCGGGCAAGATGGTCATCGCGCGCGACGAGGCGATCTACGTGATCGGGCAAGAGGGCCGAGAAGCGTGCTTCGCCTACGAGGGCCCGAAATCGTCGATCCACCTCTCGGCGTCGCAGGTAATCATCGTGTCGCCGCCGTTTGCGCCCGCATCGAGCTCCGGTCCGGTGCGTAGCTTCGCCAACGCGCGCGAGTCGCCGCTCTCGACGCCTTCATCCCGTAAAGGGTCCATGCTGCCGGCCGAGGTGGCCAAGATCACCATCTTTGACCTGGACAACAAGCTGGTGGCGTTCAGCGGCACGTTTGACTCGGGCATCCGCCAGGTGTGGGTGGGCGCCGCGGGCGCGGTGCTGGTGCTGAGCAATCTGGGCGAGCTGACGCGTCTGGACGAGAAGCCGCTGCGCGCCAAGCTTGATGTGCTGTACCGCAAGAGCTTATTCCTGCTCGCCGTGAATCTGGCGCGCTCGCACATGCAGCGTGCGAGCAGTGCGGATGTGCTCGCGCGCACCGAGGCGCTGATGGGCGACATCTACCAGCGCTACGGCGACCATCTGTACAACAAGGCGGATTACGACGGCGCCATGGCGCAGTACGTCAAGACCATCGGCCACACGCAGCCGTCGCTCGTCATTCGGCGCTTCCTCGACGCGCAGCGCATCAAGAACCTCACCACGTATTTGCAGGAGCTGCATGCGCAGAATCTGGCGAGCTCCGACCATACCACGCTGCTGCTCAACTGCTACACCAAGCTCAAGGATGTCGCCTCGCTCGATCGCTTCATCAAGCGGCCGCATGTGCGCGCCTCGTCGCGCGCCGATGCGGACGATGCGCCCGACCCGCTGGGTGGCGAAGGCGATGGCGCCGCCGAGGACCGCGACGAGCTTCCGTTTGATCTCGAGACGGCCATGCGCGTCTGCCGGCAGGCGGGCTACTTTGGGCACGCCGCCTATCTGGCTAAGCGGTACCGCGAGCACCGCGAGTATCTGCGCATCCAGATCGAGGACGTCAAGGACTATGGCGACGCGCTGCTGTACGTGCGCGGTCTGCACGCCGACGACGCCATCCAGAGCATGGCGCAGTATGCCAAGACGCTGCTGGGCGAGTTGCCGGACGAGACGACCGAGCTTCTGATCGAGCTGTGCTCCGGCGCCTTTCGGCCCGATCCGGAGGCGGCACACAAGGCGATGCGCCTCCAGCAGCGTCAGTCCGAGCAGGGCAAGACGGACCGCGGCACTGCACCTAAGAGCGCCGCCGCAGCGTACTTGAGCTACCTCCAGGTGGGCGGGTTTGGCAAGCAGGCGCAGTCGACCGACGGCGGCTCGCGCTCGGGCACAGGCGCCAATACGCCCGCACAGCGCAACTCGGCAGCGCTCGCAGCGCCGTACACTAGCGACGGCTCCAACGCGGCCACGAGGCCGTCGAGCACCGCAAGGCCCGCCGACGGCGATGTGTCCATGGACGACGCAGACGCGAGTCGCGCCGAGGCGGGAGCGGACGCTGCCGAGGGCGACGACGAGATGCAGGCGTACGCGGTGCCGTCGCCACGCACGTTTTTCGCGCACTTTATCCAGCATCCGAGCCAGTTTACGCGCTTCCTCGAGACGGTCGTACTGGCGCGCTGGGGCCAATTTGTCGACACGGACGCCGCGGACCCTACGCAGGGTGTGCCTCTCGACGATGGTCGTGCCCCGGCGTACGAATTGCCTTCGAGCCCCGGGGCGGGAGAGGTGGACGAGGTGGAGCAGGCTCTGCGGGAGCTTGGATTGGACGGACGCGCCGACGACTACGAAGACGCCGAGGTGGCCGATCAAAAGTCGATCTGGAACACGCTGCTTGAGCTGTACCTCACTGCGGGCGAGGCGGGCGGCGAGGGGCGGGAGCGTGCGCTGCGGCTGCTGCAGCAGCATGTGACGCTGCCGTACGACGTGTCGCACGCCCTCATGCTGTGTGCGGTGGAGCAGTTCGATGCCGGCTTGATCCTGCTGTACGAGCGCATGGGCATGTACGAGGACATTGTGCGGCTGCACATGGCCTCGTCGAGCGCCACCAGCAGCGCACAGGTGCTGGCTGCACTCGCGCGGTACGGAGGATCGCAACCAGAGCTTTATGGGCTGGTGTTGCGATATCTCGTCTCGTCGCCGGAGCTGCTATCGCGGCACACTCAGGATCTGCTAGACGTGCTGGGAGTTATCCGCTCACGCGCGCTCATGTCGACGCTCGAGATCGTCCAACTCCTCTCGTCGAGCTCCCACACGCAGGTTGGTGTAGTCCGTACCTTCATCGCCGAGTCGATTGCCGCGACTCTCGCCGCGACCGAGGCCGACACACTTGCGATCGACGACTACAAGACCAGCACCGAGGAGACTTTGGCCGAGATTAGCGAACTGACCGACAGCGGCGGCGCGCGGGTGTTCCAGATGACGCGGTGCACGGCGTGCGCGGGGCAGCTCGATCTGCCGGCGGTGCACTTTATGTGCAAGCACAGCTACCACCAGCGGTGTCTGGGCGAGGAGGAGGCAGAGTGCCCTACGTGTGCGTCGCACCAGACGCGCCTCCGAGACGCCCGTCGCCGCCAAGCCGATGCTGCAGTCGAAGTGATTGCTACCGCCAATGCAGGCGACCAAGACGCCCTGCTTTCTCGAGCAAAGGATGCGCACGAGGGCGGGTTCGAGAAGTTGGCCGCACTGTTTGCTCAGCCCATCATGGGCAATGCGCTCGCGGCACAGCAGTTGTAATGCCAGTGTGTAGCAAAGGATGGTGTGTGTGCAGAGTTGGCCCGCGGCGCATGGGCAGGATATGCAGGGTCTTAAGGATTGCGTCCCCGAGCCCGCGCGTCGGGCACACTTTCGTCCCACCACCACCTCTGCTGCGTGCTGTGTACCGCGACCTTTGGGTACGGCGCCGCATACAGCGAGGAGGGCGGAGACGCAGAGTCACGAGGAGAGCTTTGAGTTGCAGCGTGTTGCGGCGCTGGTTGCGCCTTGACGGCCCGCAGTTTTTTTTTTACAGCGCCCAAGGGGCTTATCTTATCTCTTCCCCCTCCTCCCTCCTTCGCCCTTTCCGCTCCCCTCTTTGTGGGATCATCATCGTCCTGTCGCACATCCGAGGGCACTTGTACAAACCATGAAGTCCTCGCTCAGTACACACACGACCATGTCGCCCACACGCGCGCGCATGGCGGACGCCGTCTGGCTTACCGGTATCAACATGCTGGGCATTATCCTAACCATGGCCCAACTGCCTCTCGTCGCACTGGTCTCGCTCAGTGGTCGTCACCCCTCTCGCCCCAACACCCTGCTCAAGCACGCCACGCAGTTCATGTGGGATGCACACGATTGGCTGGAACATGCCGAACTCCACCCTCCCTCCATCTGGCACTGAAACTCTTGCGCACGTTTACTCTGGTCGCAGGCCGGCGAGCTCGAGGATGCCGCGGCTGGCAGCTTCGTTCTTGCTCAGCTGGTCGCAGAACTCGTTCATCCATTCGGGAGGCTGCCACGAGGGGCTCGTCATGAGCGCCCCCAAAGTGGCGAGGTTCGCGGGCAGGTCGACGATCTCGCTGAGCGGAGGCGGGTCGTAGTCCGGCTGCGCGAGCGCGTGCTCCGCCATGGCTTTGATCAGCTCCGAGATGTTGCGGCTCATCGCGAACGGCATCGGAGGAGGTGGCTCCGGTCCGAACACCTTCTTCGCGAAATTGCTGCTGTCGGCCTGACCAGGTGCAGGGGCTGCTGGGGCTTTCGGGTTGACTTCGCTACGAATGTCGCCCTTCGCGGGAGGGGCGGCCAGCGCAGCCTTTGTGTCCGTGGCCTTGCCACTGCCGTCCTTCACTGAAGCGGACACGACCGGCGCGGATACTGCCGGCTTGGACACGACTGGCTGCGCCACCCCCGACTTGGACACCGGCTCGGACATCGGCTTTGGAATCGCCTTTGGCACCGGCTTCGCTCCAGCCTTGGGGTCGCCGCTCGTGCCATCACCAGCACGTCCGTACGCAAGCCTACTGAACAACGCCGTCTTGATCCTTTCGAGGGTCTCCTTATTCTCGGCTCCCGCCGCGCCCTTCTTCGTGCGCGTCTTCTTGGGACTGAGCATTGGCTTCCAGTTGACCTGTGTGCGTTCGAGGCGCCTGAGCTTTGCAGACAGAATGGCGATATCGTCTAGCATGGCGGCGTCAGGATGCGTGCAGCCTGCATGGCAGTTATGCTGCGCCTTTGTGCAGACCGCGCTCTTGGCATGCGCGAGGGGCGAACGTTCGGGCGTCTGTTTGGCCAGAGCCCTGACGAGCGCACACAGCGTGTGCAGCGTGACGTCGATGGCGTACATGCTGTACAGATGCGCCATGGCCGGAGCACGCACGGTGTTTTCGACGTGCGGTCGTCGTTTGGGTTTGCGTTTGCGCTCGCGCTCCACACCGCGGTAGAACGATGTATACAGCGGCACCTCTGACGCGCTCAGGTTTTGGAGGACCGAGCTGAGGTTGACGAGGTCCCACTGGAGCTCAATGGGGCTTGGGGGGTTGGTGGATTCGACATGGTCCGTGAGAGGTGCGGTGCACAGGAGACGCTGCAACACATAGGCCTGTTTGGCACATCGCATCACCACCGTCTGCAGCAGCGGAATAAGCGAATGCAACGTCGCCGCCATTGCCTCGTCCGCGCTGCGGAAAGCGGTATAGTTGATCCAGACGAATGTATGTAGTACGAGCTGTGCGCCGTCTCGGATCTCCATCGTGTCGGGGACGAAACTCGTGGCGATTTCCTGGAGCTGTCGCAGTCGGCGTGCGCGCGTGGGGATGGTGCGCTCATCGCGTGCAGCAGCATATTCCTCGGCCTCGATCGATGTCCATCGTGGCGAGCAGACGGCGAAAAAGTAGTGCTCGACCAGAGATTGGCTGTAGTCGTCCTGCAGATGCTGCTCCACCACGTCGGCCGAGATGTGGTAGAACGCCGCGGCGTAGTTGAGCAGTGCAACGAGCGCCGCGAGCTCGGTGTAGATGAGGTTATCGCTGTGGCGTGTGCCAAAGGCCAGGACGGCCCGGTTGAGGGCACGGAGGACTTGGGCGAGAGGTTGCTTGTTCGACATGTGCGTTCGCTCCGCCGCATCCGCATCGGCTGTACTAGCAAAGCGGCTGCAGTCGGCAAGCAGAGTCTCGGCCTGGAGCTGCTCGCGCTTCTTGTCTCGACTCCTCACCGTCTCTGACTTGCCCGCTGAATCCTGCTTGTTTTTGGCTGGGGCTGCCATGGCTGCCTGTTTATCCGCGCACTTGGGGAGCATACCGGGCTGCACCTGACCGGTTGCATCTTCATAGAACCCGTAGGCGCGCAGCTGGGCGTCGATGGCCGCATTCCACATCGAGTCGATGCGCACACACCGATGCTCGGTATCCCACACGACAAAGTATCGCATCTGGTGCATGCACGCCTTGAACGACGTCCCGATACAGCGCAGCTCTGCACTCATGTTGACCAAAATCTCGCCGTGCTCCGCTGCCGGACCGAGCGCACAGACGGGGCCGTGGTGGTGTGGGCGGCCGCTAGAGTGAGCGTGCCGTGAAGAGCAGTCGGACTTGCACGTGGAGCTCCACATGAGATAGGCGAGCGCAAACGGAACTGCCAGCGTATTCTTCTCGCTTGGGGGCAGGAAGCCGATCGGAGGATGGTAGGCTTCATCACCGCGTTGTGGACGTGGTGGCCGCGGTCGTTGGCGTGACGAACTCGATGGGAAGCACCCCTGCGATGTCGACGAGCTCATCGTTGCTGCTCATCGAACTCAACGCCCGAGATGCGAGTTTGAAGAGCAAGATCACCGAAGCTGGGGGACGTTTGCGCGCTGCTGAAGCGCTCTTGTTGATGCAATGGACGTCGCAGTGGCAAGAGCTTGCTGGTCGAGAAGGAAGAGGCGTGTTGGTGTTGGGGCTTTGAGGCGGTCTGAGCGATTGTGGGGGGCCGGAAGCTATTATATGAACCCTTTGCGCTATCCGCACCTGCCAGCCGCACGTTGCTTCATCTTGCTCATCACAGGGTGTGATGCGCATGCATGGCCTTCATTCCACCCGCCCCTTCCCACTGCGCATCCTCAGCGCTCGCGCGGCAAGGCCGCCCGACAAGCTCAGAGTTGCGCATCCCGCCCGCGTCGCCAAATCGACACCTTTGCCCCCTTCACCACCCTATTCTCCGCATCCACACGGTCCCCCCTCTCCCCTCTCCCATCTCGCAAAACGCCCATCAGGAGTCCAGTCACACACACCGCAGTGCAACGGATCTAGAGTGTAGGCATTGCGAACTGCGAACAAAGGGCATCAAGTGTGCCATAGAAAAACGAACAAAGGGAGCGGATAAGGTTCACTCTCTCTCACGACTCGAGCCAAAAAGCCGATCAGCTCTGTGAATCGACGCGTTTCGGAGCGGACTCGACCCAGCAGCGAACGCGATCAACACTACCAGCTCGATTCTTGCAGGCACGCACGACCGTCCGCAGACGAGCGGCACGAGCTTCGGAGCGGATGTCGGTGTGGGATCGAAAGCGACGCAGCAAGGGAGCGCTACGGACGAGCGTGTGGGCGGATTTAGAGGGCCCAGGCACCGGCGGCAACGACGGCAGCGATGGCGGCACCGTACTTGATGGCGTTCTCGGGCACGTTGCGCGAGGCGGGGGCGAGGTCGGATGCCTGGAGCTTGCCGTCTGCGATGGCGTTGATGGTGGCCGAGATGGCGGAGGCGAACTCCTTCTGCAGGTCGGACTTGGGCGTGGTGAGGGTGGGGTAGTACTGGAGGACGGAGCCAGCCATCTCGTTGGCCACCTCATCGGGCGACTTGCCCTCGGGGCCACGCGTGTATCCGCCGATGAAGTACGAGATGAGCGAGCTGACTGCGGGCGTTGGCGAGAGCCGAACCATGTGGAAGCGGAGGCGAGCGGTATTATGCAGCGGCGAGAGCGCGCGGTAAGGGCAGGATCAACCAAGAGAGCGAAAGGAGGAGTCAGTCAAACTGGGTGCGACGTGCGTCCGCTCGAGCACGGACTCATGATCGAGGTGCATCACTTACGGTCGTAGGTGGGGGTGGTGGTGGAGCTGTAGGGGCATCCTGCGGGCTGGGCCTGCGGGTCACCGCCAAGGACGGTGCAGACGTTGGATCCACCCGAGCCGCCGGATCCGCCGCTGGAGGCCGACATGGAGGTGGGTGCGGCACTGCTAGCGGACGACGACATGGACCCGCTCATGGACGAGGACATGGAGGAGGCCGAGCTCTCCTGGGCGACGGCAGCGCCAGCGGCAAAGGCGAGGAGCGCAACGGGGGCGAGGGAGAACTTCATCTTGGGTGGTGAGGGTGATTTGATGTCGACGAAGGAAGGGAGAGCGCAAAGATGGTGTTGTCGAGGGGGAGGGGATGGGGGTTACGGCAAGGCAAACTCAGTCAGAGGGGAGGAGGCGGCCAGAGGCAGGCTGCTACGAAGCGAGGGCAGCCCGTGCCGATAGCCCGCCAGATGCTGCTACTACGGCTGCTGCTGTTGGGATGCTGCTGCTGCTGTGTGGGGAGGGCGAGAGGCGGGCATGTTTTGGCCTAGAGATTGTGAGCCGGAAGCAGCAGCAGCAGCAGCAGCGCGGGTCGAGAGCTCAGGCACTGTGACGCTGCATCACATCGCAGCTGTTGCGATTGCAGCGGCTGCAGGGCACGGACTATCCGAGCCGAGAATTTCGCAGAGCCCATTCCCCAATCGCGGCAGCACCTGGCGATGCGCGTCGAACCTCAGGAAAATCCGCAAAAGGAACAAAAACACTCGAATCCCCCTGCTGCGGGCAAAGAACGACGTGCCGTCTGGCTGCATGCCGGCCGCACGCACAGTGGATCCTTGCATCCACCCTCCGCTTCGCGCATCTTCTTCTTCATCATGGCCTCATATAGCAGTGAAGAGTCATTCGTATGCGCGAGTCAAGTCATGCCATACACTATCGCTCCTCATGGGGATAAAGAAGGGGTCGGGAAGACGAGGATTTAGGCCGTGGCGAGGTGAGAAAAAGCGCCGCACCTACTTGGGCACCGACTCGGAAAACGCCGATGCGGCGACGATCGAGACCCAAACACACCTTTGTTTCTCGCCATGCCATCGTATCGAAGGGACCACCAGTGGCGTGTCAGCATCGGCACGGCGGATGCACGGCTTATCCGTCTGGCCATACTGTAACGGCAACTGCAGCTTCGAACCGTTGCAGAAGAGCGAGCGGCGTGTCAGCACGGCTTGGTCGGAAACTGGAAGCGTCGATCCGCGCATGGCTGGCTGCTGCTCGTCGGCAGAGCGACAAATCCTCGGCACGTCCGGATTTTTTCGCCCATTCAAGCAGTGTTACGCCGCAGCTTTTTTTTTGAGCGGGCAATCACAATCGGCCGAGTAATTCACCTGCCACCTTGCACTCCCACACAAACCTACGACGGAGGCTCACGGCGGGAACAACGTATGATGTGGATATGCGCAACACTTGCTAGAACTACAAGAAAGACCGTTGAGGGAAAGAGAGGGGGAGATACACTTGACACGAATCTTCATCAGCTGCCAATGAAGAGGAAAAGCCTAGTGCGTGGTGAACGCCGAGCGACGCACGCATCGCGCCTAGACGAAGAGGAATAGGCAAGGAGCCACTTTTGCGGACTCTGGGGTCAAGGCAATGCAATTACCAGCCGCGCTCGGCGAGACGGCCGCCCTTGATGTCCTTGGTGATGTTGAGACCCACCATGGCCTCTCCGAGGTTCTCCGAGACCGCGGCGAGCTTGGCAGGGTCGTTGTAGTGCGTGACGGCGGCAACGATGGCGCGCGCACGCTGCTCGGGGTTGTTGCCCTTGAAGATGCCCGAGCCGACAAAGACACCGTCGCTGCCGAGCTGCATCATGAGCGCAGCGTCGGCGGGCGTCGCAATACCACCCGCGGCAAAGTTGACGACGGGCAGACGCTTGAGACGGGCAGTCTCCTTGAGCAGGTGGAAGGGAGCCTGGATGTCCTTGGCGTAGGCGTAGAGCTCCTCGTCGCTCATGGACGAGACGCGCTTGATCTCGCCCTGGATGGTGCGCTGGTGACGCACCGCCTCGACGACGTTGCCCGTGCCCGCCTCGCCCTTGGTGCGGATCATGGCAGCGCCCTCCGAGATGCGGCGGAGCGCCTCGCCCAGGTTCTTGGCACCGCACACAAACGGCACCTTGAAGTTGTGCTTGTTGATGTGGTGCTGCTCGTCCGCAGGGGTGAGCACCTCGGACTCGTCAATGTAGTCCACACCGATGGCCTGCAGGATCTGCGCCTCGACAATGTGGCCGATGCGAACCTTGGCCATGCACGGCACCGTGGTGGTCTCCTGGATCTCCTTGATCATGGCCGGGTCCGACATGCGCGCCACGCCACCCTCGACACGAATGTCGGCGGGGATCTTCTCGAGCGCCATCACGGCACACGCACCGGCATCCTCGGCGATACGAGCCTGCTCGGCGTTGACGACGTCCATGATCACACCGCCCTTGAGCATCTGCGCCAGTCCGGACTTGACACCGAACGTGCCCAGGTTGGCATCGCTCTTGGGCGTGGAGCCGTTGACGCGCGCGGGTGCGCCGTTGGTAGCGCCAGTGGTGGCGGGCAGGATTGTGGGGTTCTCGGCAGACATTTTCGGATGGGTTGCGAAGGTAGGGAAGTGTCGTTGATGGTGAGGAGAAAGAAGGCTGACTTGCCAAGATCTTATGGGATCCAACGAGTCGGACCAGTCCAGTGGGGCTGCAGGGACGAGGGCGAGTCAGTGCGAAATGAGCTGAGCCGCAGCTGGGGGCCGCCTCGTTTGAGTAGCCGGTGAGCAGCGGCAACGCTCCTGCCTCGCCTAACGCCACACCCACTTGTGCAATTGGGGCGCACGGCCTCAGCTCGGCAGCTTTTTTTTTCCCTTTTCTTCCAGACAGCCTTCTGCTTTCTTCCAAAAGGTTGGCTCGGATGTGCGAGAGACAGGATTTTTGCGGTTTCACGTAATATGCTAGTGAGAGCCCGGGGGAGAGGCACAGGATGGGAAGATGGGCTGCAGCCTTGTGCCTTCCCCCGCTTGTGCTTCCGCTGCTGGGGTAAAGAGTTGCGCCGTGCCGCCGAATCAGAACGCTGGGCTGGCCGTCAGCGCAGACCGTTCCGGCGCCGGCGATGGTGCAAGACCCACAGAAGCTCATGCACCTCTGCAGCGTTGCAGCTTGGCAGTCAAAAGCCAGACAGCGCTCGTTCGCCTTTCGGTGACCCGCCACATCCGCTGCCCGCTTCTTAGCCAAGAAAACTTCTCTCTCTCTCTGGCCTCCAGAGCGAGTCGGAGCTTTTCCAGGCGACCAAACCCCAGCTCTAAAAAAATGGCCAACTCTGCCTCTCGCAGCCGACCTGTCCAACACCGGAGAAGGGAAAAGGCCCCACGGATCTCGTAATTCACGCTCACCCGCCTCGTTCCGGCTCTCGCTGTGCCACTCTGGCGTAGGCATGAAGTGACTCGGAAGTAAGCCGCCATCTGACCTGAGATTGCAGCTCATCTCCGTCACGTGCAAGACCCACCGCTGCCAACTTGCCGAGGAAGCTCCGAGCTCGCCCTGTACATCGTCTAGGGCCCGTAGCACTCGCTCGGACGATATGGATCCTGCCCACCGGCGCACCCGGTCTCCACTGTAGAACTTCGTATCTTCACTGGTGGCCGTATCGCTCATGCACGTTCAGGTACAGGGCAATTGTCTGACGGCAACGCCACGATGTAGGCTGGGCAGGCTCGACGCTCGGCGTGTATTTGAGGTCACAAGACCGAAACCTCCCGCCTGGACGCGGCTATCTGTTCGGAAGAGTTGCGCACGCCCTTGGCCTTGAGTGAGCCCACCCATAGCCGTGACGCTTCGGCTTTGCAATCGGCTCCTGAGTGCGATTGCCTCAGCAGATCTATCGATGCTTCTCAAGTCCAAACATGCAACTGTAACAACTAAAAGAGCTAACACACATCGCAAATCTGTAAGCCTGACCAAGCAGCTTGATGTTCGAATCACGTGCCTGACCATCCGAGTCCTTTCCCGGTCGCTGCCGGCTGCTCCTCGGGAGATGGCAGCGCGACTGAAAAAAATCCCGCTCAGAAATTGTACACCGTCTCGTGCGAAAAAATACGAGAATCCATCTGGTGTTGGGCATTTGTCAGGCGGGCCGCCCAGAGCAGCTCAGAGGGCTGCATTTTGGCTGGCTGATCACCCAATCCGCTCGGTTCGAATTGGCGACCGGCTGGAAACGCGCGAGAGTAGCTGGGAGCTGGAGCTGAGAGCTGAGAGCCAAGCAGGCGCTTTCCGGGCTTGGATTTTGCAGCGCTCCAATTCGACTTCTTCTCAGCGCCGGCCAGGAGGGCGTGCAATTTGGCGGCCTAGGAAGGCGACAGAGTTGGTCGCCATCGGCTGGCTCACAATCCCATCTCACGCTCAACAGCGACCGACACCTTCTCTTCGTCCTCCACCTCCTCACCACTCATTCATCACCGGGATCGTCATCACCCCTCGCCTTTTCTTCACAATGGCTGCTCCCGTCGCTCGAGGCGCCTTCCGCAAGGCCATCAACCTTCCGTACGTAGCCATGCACACCGCCCGTACGCTGCACTTCGACCCGCCGCAGCATTTGCACGCATCGCACACATCGCACGCAGAGCACGATGCTCGACCATCCAGGATTTTCCGCTCGCAGCACCGAAATCGGCAATCGCTTGCGATCGGTAGCCGCCAGGTGGTCACAGCATCCATGGAATGGAGACCACATGCGATCCTTCCTGCAGCAGATGACGTGTAGTCTCGGGCCCTGTCGCATGCACAGCGTCGTGGTTTCTCTCTGCTGCTCGAGATAGAAGCTGACCTTTTGACTTTGCATGCCTGTTTTCTCCTGCCCTACTTCGCCGCTCGCCTTCGATCTGCATCGCCACGAATTCATTGCCTCGCCTCTTTCGCACTCTCGGCGCTACCTGCGTCCACGATACTATTCGCCCATTTCTTCTACAACCGACGACTCTATCTCACGCCATCGTCTTTGCTCGACCCACTTGCGTCCTCTCCTCATCGTACTTGTGCGTACCTATCACCTTGGCCAACATGCAGCCCTACCGCGGCCACTGCCCACAACGGCACTCCGCTGGCTGCCGGCATCAACTTTGCCGTGCGCGCTCCCGCCGACCCCCACGCTCACGGCCATGGCCCTTCCCTCCGATCTGACCCCACCCAGGTTCCCAAATGGGCCTCCAACCTCCGCAACTCCAACGGCGTCCTCAGCTCCCGATCCGGCGTCAATGGTAAGTTCACCATCTCCCCCTCACTTGCTACCGCATCGTAATGCCAGGACAACGCCAGCACAGGCAGGCAGAAACGCTGAAGGCGTGCGTGGAATGCTATTGGACCGGGTCCTTCTGCATTGGACACGGCATCAATGGACGAACTGCACGGCGCTCGATCTGCCGACGCCATCCATACAGAGATGCGACACTGCTTTCGACGTGGATACTGACAAACTCCTGCTGTTCTACGTCGTCCCATCAATAGCTCTCCCCACCGTTGGCCAGCCTCGCTACTTCTCGTCGTCGTCGCGCAGCCTGCAGGCGAGCCAGCCCGATCAGGTGCCCGACTTCTCGGGCTACCGCACCAAGAGCGCCGACAGCAACAAGGCCTTTTCGTACTTCATGGTCGGCTCCATGGGTCTGATCGCCGCCTCGGGCGCCAAGGCGACGGTCTCGGATTTCCTTGCCTCGATGGGTGCTTCGTCAGACGTGCTCGCGCTCGCCAAGGTCGAGGTGGACATGAACTCGATCCCCGAGGGCAAGAACGCCATCATCAAGTGGCGTGGCAAGCCGGTCTTTGTGCGCCACCGCACCAAGGACGAGATCGACGAGGCCAACGCCGTGGACATCTCCAAGCTGCGCGACCCCGAGAAGGACTCGGACCGTGCCAAGCGTCCCGAGTGGCTGGTGATGCTGGGTGTGTGCACCCACCTCGGATGTGTGCCTATCGGCGAGGCGGGCGACTTTGGCGGCTGGTACTGCCCGTGCCACGGCTCCCACTACGACATCTCCGGCCGTGCCCGCAAGGGTCCCGCCCCGCTCAACCTCGAGGTGCCCGAGTACGACTTCAACGATGCCGAGAACAAGCTCATCATCGGTTAGAGAGGTGTATCCTGTGACCCCTTGTGCCTCGCGGTGTGGTCCTAGATATGGCCTGCCGCTGGAATCCTGATTGCTTTGACATTGACGAAGCGTGTGTACAAAGCTTGAGTCGTGCAGGCATCGAGTGAGCTAGACGACGGCGTGCGAGTGCGACGCGTGTGAGAAAGGTGGGGCCGCGAGGGGATTTGTGCGGCGCTGCTGCCTCGTTTTTTTCGAGGCGTGGAAATGCGTGTCGCTCAGCCCAGACCAACACTTCAAACGCACAAGCCCACACGCGCCTGTCATCCTCTCACTCCCCTCGCAACGACGGCGACCGCGCTCCAACTTCCCGACACCATCCCTTCGCTCGTTGCGGCAACATCCGCTCGCATCACACACTCCGCACACCGGCCCAACTCAGCATGCTCTGCGTCGCGACCTTACTTTGAGCGTTTCCAACAACCTCGCAGCACTTGGATCAGCACCCCATAGATCTCGACCATGGCTGCGCCAAGGACGCCGAGCACGGCGCCGCCGCCCATCCACCTCCACTCGCGCGTCAAAGTCTCCAACCTCGGACATGGCGAGGTCCTCTTTGTCGGTCAGACCTCCTTTGCTGCCGGCGTGTGGGTCGGCATCGCGCTCGACAATCCCAACGGCAAGAACAACGGCTCCGTACAGGGCAAGCGCTACTTTGAGTGCGACGACGGCTATGGTGTCTTTGTGCGTTCGAGCCAGGTGCACGTTCTTTCGCCCGAGGAAGAGATGCACAGCGTCGATGACGAGCCAGTCGCAAGTCCGGCCCCTGCTCCACGCGCAACACGCCCATCTGCTGCAGCCACACCGTCAGCCGCCGCCGCAGCGCGTCTCAGCCCTCGCAAGAATCCAGCCGCCACACCCGCCAGGCCAGCAGCATCGCGCTCGAGCCTAGCACCGGGTGCGACGCCGGCTTCGGCTGTGCGTAGAACTAGCGCCGTCAGCACAGCAAGCGCGTCTTCGTCAGCGTCGTCATCGAGGCCACCAACTGCCGCCGGCGCTGCGGCTCGCCTTGGCTCCCCCGTCAAGAGCACCACGGGCATGCGCTCGCCAGTCAAGCCCGCTGGTATCGACTCTCGATCCGGCCGTTCGTCTGTCTCATCCACTTCCGTACGTTCGACAACCACGAGCGCGCTCGCAAGTCGCACAGGCTCCCCAAGTACCCCAGCCGCCGCTGCGCGTACCGTCAGACCCTCCATAAGTGCTTCATCCGCAGCCACACCAGCCGCCAGGACAGCCGCTGGGCTGACACGCACCACAGCAACTGCAAGGACACCGGCAGCATCGACCTCCTCTGCCGCCGCTAAACCGCAGACGCCCTCGGCTGCAAGAGCCGGCCTACGTCCCGTTCCAACAAGCCGTCCATCGATGCTATCGGCCGGTGCCCGCACCGCAACTTCAAGCCCCAGCGTCACATCAGCTGCCCGAATCGCCGCAGCCCGCTCTGCGACCGCCTCGGCGCCTATTTCGCGCACTGCGAGCGCAGCGGGCACGGCTTCGCGCACGGGCAGTGCGCTCGGTCCTTCTCGTCTCGGTCCCAGAAGCTCTGCGGGAAGCGCCGTGAGCTCAGGGCGTACGAGTGCTTCTCAGCGTCTTCTGGACGAAGAGGATGCCGTTCTCTACAACGACGATCTCGAAGACGGCGATGCAAACCTCCTCGTCTCCGAGTCTCCCCTCGACGGCGAAGATTTAGCTGCCTCGCATGACGATGGCATCGACGTGGACGAGGCCGACCAGACCATCTCAGCTGCCACTGCCCCGGATTCAACACTCAAGTCCACCAAGCTGCTCAACAAGTCGACGCGCGACTTTATGAGCCTCGTCGAGCCGTCGGCCTCGAGCTCGGCGCTGCGCTCGTCCGCCGAATTCGGCGCGCTCCAAAAGGAGCTCGAGGAACTGCGTGCCAAAGTGCGCGTGCTCGAGAAGAAGCGCGACGATGAGCGCAGCCAGATCGCCGAGCTTGAAAAGACCAGGGAGGAGGCCGAACGCTCGATCGCCGCGGTGCCCAAGCTGACTGCCAAGGTGCAGGATCTGCAGGCGGAGCTCAAGGATCAGCGCAAGCTCGAAAAGGACTGGAGCATGCAGAAAGACGACTTTGAACGCCAGCTTGCCAGGCTCAACGACGAGCTCGAGTCGCTCACGCTAGATCGCGAGATGGCGGAAGAAAAGGCCGAGACGGCGGCGCTCGAGGCGCAGGAGCACCTGCTCTCGCTCGAGACCGCCAATGCCAAGATCGCAGCCATGGAGAAGGATCTCAATCCGCACCTGCTCCGGCGCCACACCGAATCTGGTGAGCCTGGAGCCGAGGGCGCCGAGTACGACGCCGAGGAGGGGGCCGAGTACTCGGCGGCGGCCGAGCTTGTTCAGCGCGAGAACGACCAGCTGCGACGCGTGCTGCGCGATCTGCGCGACCGCTCCAACGAGATCGAAGGCGAGCAGCGGCGCAAGATCATCGAGCTCGAGCGCGAGAACGCCGAGCTGATCGAGCTCAACTCGACCAACGACTCGCTGCTGCCCGAGCTCGAGAATGCCGAGTCGATGATCGAGGATCTCAAGCTGCAGCTCGACGATGCGCTGGGCGCGCAGGATCTGGTGGAGCAGCTCACGGAGCGCAACCTGCAGCTGAGCGACGTGGTCAAGAAGCTGCGCGACGAGATCGTCGAGCACGAGACCATCGCCGAGATCAACAACGAGCTCGAGGAGCAGCATACGATCAACGAGAAGGAGCTGCGCGAAGAGGTGGACCTGTGCGAGTCGCGCCTCCGCGAGCTGGTGGCGCACAACGAGGCGCTCGAGAACAATGCGGTCGACTACCAGAATACGTTTGGGCAGTTCCGCGAGCTGGTGTCGAACCTGCAGGCGGAGCTGGAGGCGGCCAAGGCGGAGCAGGCCGAGTATGGCGGAGCCGAGGGCTCGGGACGCAAGCAGATGGCGGACCAGGCCATGCTCAACCTCAACCTCAAGCTGCAGTCGAGTGCGCTCAAGAGCCAGGCCAAGACGATCGATCTGGAGCTCGGACGGCTGCAGGCGGCGCAGGCTTCGTCGCACCTCGAGATGGTGCGCACCTACCTGCCTGCGGCGTACTTTGAGGCGGACGCCGACGCGGTCAACTGCCTGCTCTTCTTCCGACGCATGGCGGTCAAGAGCGACCTGATCAAGACGATCGTCGAGACGAACCACGACATCCACGAGAGCCTGTCGGGCATTGTGCCCGAGGCGATGGTGGGCGTGTGCCAGATGCGCCATTCGATTGCGCACTTCAGTGCGCTGTCGCAGCAGATTGCGGCGGTGCTGCGGCTTGCTCCGCCGGAGGTGTTTCTGCGAGGTGGACGCATGTACCGAGAAAACATGGCGATCGAGCGCAAGGTGGATACGTTCATCGGCGCGCTGCGCCGCGAGGAGCTCAAGGAGCACGAGTGCGGGCTCGAGTTCGCGCGCTTCGTCAAGCAGTTCGAGGATTTCACCATGGCGTTGGGCGGCGACGAGAACGACAGCGACCTGGCCGCCAAGGAGGTGGGTTCGGCCAACCTCATCGACCACGATCTGGACACGCTCATCGCCGCACTGGGCTATGCCAAGCAGCAGCTGGCGCAGCTGTATGCCGACGACGACGTCGAGTGGGAGCTGGCGGGCCGGAGCATCGAGGACGACCTGTTCGATCCGCTGCAGGAGCTCATCACGCGCATCCGCAACACCAAGGTGCTCACGCGCAAGGTGCTGCGTCGGCTGCTCAGCCTGGCGGACAACGACGAGGCGGTGCGCATGGAGGCCATCATGCATCTTCCGCCGCTCGGCCGCGTCACGTCGCAGCTCGTCACCTTCGCCACGCTGCTGTGCAAGGCCGTCGCCGCGTACGTCGGCGAGGTGCGCACAGCCAAGGTCGCCTTCGACATGACGCGCGTCCTGGACATGGTGGGTGGCGCCACCGAGGAAGGGCTGGGCAAGCGCGATGTCAATCTGTGGAGCGGCCCTCTGGAGTCGACCACGCACCTGGCTTCTACGATGCAGACCGTGCTCGGCGCGATCGTGGAGCAGGAGAACGTGATGCGGATCAGCGGCTCTGGGCCGTGGCTATCGCGTGCAGAGGAGATCAAGACGCAGGCGGCGCAGAATCCAGAGCTCGAGCGGCAGGTGAGCAAGCTGGGCGAAGACGCGCGCGACTTGCTGCGGCAGGTCAAGGCGCGCGACCAGGCTTTGCAGGAGGGCGCGATCAAGATCGAGCGGCTTTCGAAGCAGCTCGACCGCTCACGGGCGCAGGTGGACGAGCAGAGCGATGTGCGCACCACTTTGGGTGAGGTGCAGCGCCAGGCATCCGCGTACCAGGAGGCGAACGACGCGCTGCAGACCGAGATTGAGGCGCTGCAGAAGGACCACGATGCACTGAAGCTGCAGCTGGCCGCGGCGACCGAGGCTGCGGGGGCGAGCGCGGTGGAGGGCGAGCGCGAGCGCGGTGGTGGCGTGCCAGCCAGGGTGGAGGGTGCAGAGGCAGCAGCGTATACGAGTCTCGAGACGTCGTTTCTGGTGGGACAGCTCGAGGCGCTCAAAGGTGCACTGCGCCACTTGCGGCGTGAAAACGCGGCGCTCAAGGGCAACAATCTGGTGCAACAGATGCATGCTCTCCCTCGCCTACCCAAGCCGCTGCCAAAGCCCGATGCTGCGGTGGAAGTCAAGGTGGGTGAGCCGGTTCAGCGTACGACGCACCGCACCAAGGTGGCCAAGACCTCCGCACGGACCGAGGCAAGCCAGGTGTATTCGAGCGCGCTCAGTGCCTTGGCGTTGTCGAACGTGGTTGACCTTACCCCGCTTACGCGCCGGGTCGAGGGCGAAGCGAAGCGCACGCGGGCGTGGGTGCCGTACGACAAGCAGCCGCAAGTGCAGCTCGAACAGCATGCACTCACGCGTGCGCGCTTGGTCAAACAGCTCGCAGCTGCCTCGCACAGACTCACTCCACACGCACTAGCCACCTAGACATGCAGCGGAATAACAATCTTGCAAACGAAGCGAAGAGGGGGGGGGGGATTACTCGGATGCTGGTGCGGAAGCAGGCGGTTGTGTGGCGGTGGTGGTGGGGGGACGTTTTGTGCGCGGGCGCTTCTTCTTGGTTGCTGGCTCGGTACCTGCATCCGTCGCCGCTGTGGGCTTGGAGACGGGTTTGGCCTCGGCATCAGCAGCAGAAGAGGTTGCGGCGGTGGAGGCGGCTCGGGCAGTGCGCTTACGCTTCCTTCTTGCTGGCGACTTTTCATCGGCGAGCTTGGCGGCTTCGGGATTCGTCGCCTGCAAACGCGCACGCGCAGCCGCGCGCTGTTTCTGCTTCTTGAGCTCCTGTTCCCTGTGCAGCTTTTGTTCCATTGTGAGCTTTGGGTTCTTGGCCTTTCGCACCGACAGCGGATTAGGCGCCTTCCTCTTCCTCCTCCTCGCACCTGCCTCCTTCTCCTCCTTTCCCTCCTCGCCCGCATCGGCACCGACAATATCCACCTCAACATCGGGCTTGGACTTGAGCAGGCCCGCCTCGCTAGCGGGCAGGTTGAGCTTATCCTCCTCCTTGTCGTCGATCCTGCTGCGCGTGAGCGGCGACATTGGCTCCAGCACCATCACCGCCTGGGTAAAGTGCATCAGCGGCAGTGCTGCCACATTGAGCCTCAAATCGCGTCGCAGCTCTCCCTGTTCCGAAGCGACGATGTATCGATGCTTATTCTCGGGTCCAACGCATTGCTTGATGCACTCCGTCGGCGCGATGGCTTCACGGTGGTTGCACATGCGTCGTTCCCACGCCTTGGCCATCTCGACCGTCGGCTGATGCTCTTTTCCGAGCGCGTACAAAGCAGCCATGCAGCACTGCGTAATGAGCGGCTTGACTTTCTTCGTCTGGAGCACGTTGCCAAACTGGTGGAGCGGATCGCTGATCTTGTACCGCGCCAGCGCGAGCGCGAATGTGTCGTCGACGAGGAGTTGGTATGGCTCGCGGAAGCCGAACTGCAGCGAGTACTGCTGCAGCATCTTGCGGTAGATCTTTGCTCGTCGTTGCCTCATCTTGCCTGTGGAGAGGTGCGCGGGGATGGGCGGTGAGGGTAGGAGGAAGAGGTGGAGAGTGGCTGGTGGACGTGAATTCAGGGTCTCGTCCAACTTTTTTTTTTCTTCGCCTTCGTTTCTTCTCGCCCTCCCCACGCCGAGCGGCGAAGCAGTGGAGGTTGCGCAGCGAAATTTTTCGCCTCTAGAGATGTAGGTACCAGAGGCGTAACAGTGCAGCATTTTTGCACGGCCCCTCTGCGTGGCTGCCCAGTGTCGACAGCCCACCTCTGTCATATCGGCGTCGTGTTGAGCCACACACCTCATAAGACCCGCACTTCAGGAGCATGCCAGGAGTCCGAGCGATTCACAAGCATCAGGTTGAGCCGACTTCATTGTCTGGCCGCGTCGCCATCCACTTGTTTGCGCGCGTCCCCCCCGGGTGGGTTTGCAAAGTGCGTGTGGCGACAATCAACCCACGACGCAGACCGAGCAAGGTCATTAGCGGCTCAACTAATCTGCCTGGATCTGCATTGATAGAACGGTAATCCTCTGAGCTTCAGAAGAGCGGACTCCCTCTGTCCGTCCTTCTGCGCAACTTTGGGATGGGCGAACAGATGGCCGCCCAGAGGCAAAGATGCTTGTCGATCTAAAGATGAGGTGACCTGAAGTTTGAAGTCTCTAGATGAAGCCCCCACCACCTCCCTACCCACCGTGTTGGTGGCGGCGGGACCTTGCCGCCTTGCCCCTCTCTTCTCCCTGATACACCGACGAGCCCGGACAGCGAACGCCACTTGGCTTTCACCTCCTCTCACCATGTCTTCCCTCCCCTTTTCTCCAATCTCCATCCAGTCTTTGTAGCGATTAGGGATATGCAGCGTGTTCGACGTGACGAATTGGGCTCAGACGGGCGCACGCGTGTCGACGACACCGACCCGCGAATCTCGTTCGCACCGAGCAACTCGCCGTACGTCACCGAAAATTCGGTCTGGACGATCCCCAAGACTCCGCTGGCGTACAATGGCTCGTTTGTCGCCAGCGACGCCGACACGGCCAAGCTCACGTTTCCTTTTTCTGGCGACACGCTGCACGTGGGTATGCTGCACACTGCGGCCGGGATCAGTGCACGCCTGACGCTCGAGAACGGCACCTCCCTCCCACTCAGCATCACGCCGCAAGAGGCCGCCGCGAGTCTACCCGGTAACAGCACAACAGCGTTCCAGAAAAAGGTGCGTCGCTTCAGCGATCTTGGCTGCTCCAACCACACGGCCACCATCACGCCGGAACCCAACACGCTCGCACCGATCTACTTTGACTTTTACAGCTACAAACCCCCCGGTCCCACGGGCTGTACGCCTCCAGCTCCAACAGCAGGTGGAAGAGAAAGCGTGGATGAGCACACCATGTTGCACGCGGGGATTGGGGCCATGGCGGCTATTACGTGTGTGGCAATTGGAGTGCTGGTGTACTTTTGGACCAAGCGCAGGAAGAAGCCAAAGGTGGACGAGGTGGATCGAATGTACAAGCCGCGACGGGCACAGACGAGTGTGGAGACGATGGCCATGCCGCTTGCTGTGGCCTACTATGGCAACAAGCTGTCGGTGGAGCATGAAGAGTACCGCCCGCGCGTGCTGCACACTCTACCCGTCCAGGCAAGCGAGTCCGGACGTACCAGTACATACACCGAAGAAGAGGCGTTCAGCATCGGTCAAACGCTCCTCGGCCTCGATCACGAAGCTTCTCCGCACCTCGATGCCACGCCGGGACAGGCGAATGCAACCACTTCGGCACTTTTATCCCCTCACGCAGATGGCGAGGAGAAGAGTGCGGCGACAGCGCCGGAGGCGGTGCGACGTCCGTGTACGGCATCTGCAGTGGACCGATTGCGCAGCGACGCAAGGGAGCTGTCGGTAACGCGAGCACTGTCGCCATTTCAGCGACGCCTTCCGACCGCACCCGCGGTTCCGGCAGCAGGTCGCTTTCGTCGCAACTCTACGGCGTCGGTCGAGACGCACTGGACCTCGGCCTCGCTCGACGAGTCGCGCCTGGATGGCCTGACGATCGAGCACGAGAGAGCACGCGTGCTGAGCAACGCTACGCTTCCTCGCCGACCACCCAAGTCACCCCACCGCCCTACAACAGGCACCAACCCCCCACCGCCACTCTCCTTCCTCCCCTTCTCTCTTTGAACACTCGCTTACGGTCCGTTTGTAGATAGCATGACGCTCGTTAAATCCATCCATCTTTGCAGTGTATTCGCAAAAGCTACTGGGCAAAGTCGCCACCGAACTCTAACGCGACGCGGTCATCCAGGTCTACATCCACTACCTTGTCCCACGCAACGCCGTCGTGCAGCGGCTGAAAGGTCGCCACGGCCTTTGCGGCTACCCATGGGCTTTGGACCGCGCGGAGTGGGAGCTTGAGCACCGACGCGAAGCTGCGCTCGTACAGCACAATTCGCGCCTGGCAGCGGTACGAGTGGTGACAGTACGCAGGTTTCCAACCGCCCCTACACGGCCCCGGGATCTGGGTTGCAAACGTCTCCTCTGCACCGTGCACGCTGATGCTCGCCCACCTCGTGGCATCCCACACGTCGAGCACGAAGGTCTTGCGCTTGAAGTTGCGGCGCATGGTAAAACCGATCCCACGATGCACCTTCTCACCGCCTGGACCGTCGAAGGCGTGTTGGGGCCCCACCGCGGACGGCGGAGTGAAGTTCCAGTCCACCTCGCGTCCCTGTGTGGGCTTGATGTGGATTCCCACCAGAAACGCCGTCAGACCCAAGATCGAGCCTCCGGCGAGAGACAGTCTTACTGCAGGCCCGCTGTCGGTGTGTGGTAGCGAAGGGTCGGAGAGTGGCGATGCACCATGCACCCACATCCATCCCGAGGGAAAGCCGTGGCCCCAGTTCTTCTCGACGTGCAGCAGTGCACGTCCGGCCGCCACGGCATCCTCCAACTCCTCACTGCTGTTACTCGGTGCAGACTGGACGACGTGCTCGAGGGAGAACATGGCAGGGGCGCTGGAGGTGTGCACGTACCAGTGCAGCGGTAGCACAGCGCCCAGATGCTGGATCCACCCCTCGGGACCTTTACTCCCCATCAGCCCGTGCGGGCGGTGAGGGTGCCAGGGGACGTGCTTTGTCGACCGCACGCGCGCGCGCGTCGCCACGCGTCTAGTCCCCGAAGACCGCGCCGCATTCGGAAGTGCCACGTCCACCACCACGTTGCCGTTCGCATCCACCTGCACGAAGCCGAACGAGTCGCCATCCACCTCTCCCGCCTCAGACGGAAGGTCGATACGGAACGGCTGGACGCTGCTCGCACTTGCACGTGCGCCGAGCTTGAGCTGCCACGCGGGGATGTACCGAATGATCTCGAACGAGTCCATGCTCTTGTGCTTGCCCTTCTCTGCGTTGCGAGGCAGCCGGTCGCCCTGCTGTGTGGGAGAGTGCAGCGATTGAAACAGCGCGGATTCTTCGCCGTGCACGATCCAGCGCAGGTACAGGCAGATGCGCTGGTCGATCGGCGCCGACTGCAGCTCGCACACCACGAGGATGAGGTCCGCCGGCGAAGGTGTAGGCAGCCCGCGAGCATCCGCACCATTCGGAAAATCGTTGGGCTTGGCGGAGCTTCCGAGTCCGAGTGGATGCGCAAGATACGATTCGGGGCTGTCGAAGACCGGGTCGATGTCCGTGAGCATCGGCTGCTGCGTGGACGAGCTGCGCGTGCCATCCGGCAGCGTGCCACGCCCTAGCGAGGGTCGGCGTGGCTGCGGAGTGGGTGATGGCGGATCGTTTGTGGACGAAGTGGAATTGTGAGAATGAGAGGACGAGTCTGACGTTATAGAAGCTGACCGCAATCGACGCTGCCTGACCTGCTGTGTCGCCCCACGGCGTGTAGAAGCTGACTGCGGCGACCTGGCTGACTTGGCGAGACGCGGGATGCGAGAGGGTGATGGCCCCGCAGCAGCCGCCACGCCATTCTCTCCCCTGTGCTTGGCCACTTTCCTGGCTTTCGATGTCTTGTTCGTTGTAGTTGCCTGTGGCTGCGGCGATGCCTGGCGGTGGACGGCATGCGAGCGGCCCGAGTGCGATTCGAGGCGGAGGAAGAAGCCTTCGAACTCGGAGCCTGCCACATGTGTGGGCGGGAACGGATCTGCAGCCAGAGGCAGAATTCTAGAAAGCAGCGACTCCATCTCGACGCCAATGAAACTGTGTAGGATCGTGGTGGCTTGGTGAGGCTGGGTTGCGGAGTTGGCCGCCATGCTAAGCTCTGGATGGAAGGCCGCTTCGGATGTCGGGAATGTGGAGGTGGCCGAGGCTCGAAAATCGCCGATTGGCACCGAATCGAGCCTTCCGATTCGGCGATGTGTTGAATTGGAAGAATCGCCGGGCTGTTGGCTCGTGCTCAACACCCTTGAACCGCCACCACCACCACCAACACCACCGACCCACTTCATCTTGCCTTCGCCATCCTCACCCTCACTGCTCGAGCTGTCTCTAGTACCACCAATCACTGATTGCTACACCATAGCCGGGACTAGCGCAGCTCGAGCATGTCTAGTCGATATGCCGCCCACGATCTCTCGGACGCGGCGATAGGCGGCTCGCGCCTGCGCATCCAGAATGGCCAGTTCATCGACTCGAGCGGCCGCACGGTAACACTCCATGGCGTCAACGTTGCTGGATCCAGCAAGCTTCCCACATCGCCGAACGGACTTTCGCATCTGCACGAGGGCTTCTACGAATCGCATCGCACCGTCTCTTTCGTCGGTCGGCCATTTCCTCTGTCCGAAGCACCGCTGCACTTTGCTCGTCTTCGCGCGTGGGGGCTGCCTCTCATTCGGCTTCTTGTAACATGGGAGTCGATCGCACATGCAGGTCCGCGTAAAGAGGACATCGACGTCGAGTATATCGACTATCTCGAACAGCTGCTCAGGCTCATGGCCGAGTTCGGGCTCAAGTGCTTCATCTGTGCGCACCAGGATGTGTGGTCCAGATTCAGCGGCGGCTCGGGTGCGCCTGGCTGGACGTTCCAGGCTGCTGGTCTTGACATCGAGACATTCTCGCAGACCGGTGCTGCCTACATCCACTGTCAGGATGAGAAGGACAAACAGGAGAACGGCACCAGCAAAAAGGAAGCCACTGGCGCCTTCTTGTGGCCATCCGGGTACCAGAAGCTTGCCGCCAGCACCATGGCTACGCTCTTTTGGGCGGGTGATGCACTGGCCCCCAAGCTGGCGCTCGATAGCCTGGACGACAAGAAGGACGGCCAGAAGGTGGGCGTCCAGACGTTTCTGCAGTCGGCCTATATCGAGGCATTTGGTGCGCTTGCAGACAGGCTCCTGCCGCTCGAGGCGTGCATCGGATTCGAGCCCATGAACGAGCCGCATCGCGGCCTGATCAATCTGCACGACTTTCACTCGTGGAACTACGACACGGATCTGCACATCGGTCACTACCCCTCGCTCATCCAGGCTCTTGCGCTCGGCAGCGGCTTCAAGCAGGACGTCAAGTTTTACGTCAAGTCCTGGCCGTTTCCCACGCGCGTTTCGCACACCTCGACCATCGATCCCAAGGGCCGATCCTGCTGGCTCACTCCATCGACTGGCAGCGATTCGAGAGCAGAGCAAGGTGCGGTGGACTCGTTGGCGGCGCTGGGCCACGGGCTGGGAGCGTGTCTGTGGAGGCAGCACGGCGTGTGGGAGTGGGACGAGTCGAAGCAGGTGCCCGTGGTGCTGCAGTACGACTACTTTGAGAAGGACCATCGGCAGGGGCGGCAGGGCGACCGCATCGAGTGGTACCGCGACTGTTTTGGACCGTTCCTCAAACGCTTCTCCGAGCGCATCAACCGCTCGCGCCCTGGCGCGTTCACCTTTGTCGAACCGATCCCCAACGAGTTCATCCCCCCTTGGATCCCCGCTCGCGTCATCGAGGATGCCACGCTTGCCGCCGAGTACAAGCAAGCCGCGTACACGCAAAAATACGCCACGCGCACGCTCATCGATACCCCGCGTCCCAGTGGCGAGACGGGCTTCGTGTACGCGCCGCACTTTTACGACCTCAACGTGCTGTTCGGCAAGGTGCATGAGTGGATGAGCGTCAACGTGCAGGGCTTGAGTCGTGGCATGTTCCTGCCGAAAGCGATCTACTTTGGCGCGCGCGGGCTCAGGAAGAACTACACGGCGCAGATGGGTCGGATCAAGGAGCTGGCGCGCGCGTCGTTGGGCAACGTGCCCATCGTCGTTGGCGAGGTGGGCATTCCGTTTGACATCAACGGCAAGCACGCGTATAAGACGGGCGACTACAGCAAGCAGCACGAGCTTATGGATGCGCTCATCAGTGCCATGGAGAAGCTCGCGCTCGGCTTTACGCTGTGGAACTACAACCCGGACAACCGCGTCGAGTACGGCGATGGCTGGAACTTTGAGGATTTCAGCATGACCAATGGCGATCACGAGCACGCTGACTCCAGTGCGGGTGGCACGCCGGGGTTGCAGCCCGACTTTCGCAATGCGGCGCACGAAGAAGATCCGCTGTATCGAGGCGGTCGTACGCTCGAGGTCATCATCCGCCCGTACGCCGTCAAGGTCGCAGGCACGCTGGTCGAGACAACCTTCGACGTCGACACGCTCTTCTTCGAGGTGCACTGGAAGAACCCCTCCAAGCCTACTCGAGTAGAAGAGAGCGAGGAGGATGAGAAGAAGAGGAGAACCACCGAGATCTTTGTGCCCGCCTACCACTACCGCCACAAGCGCTTTAGCATCACCACCACCGATGCCGAGACCGTGTTCGACGCCGAGCTCCAGACGCTCTTTGTGACGCACAAGGACACGCGGCCGAACGCGGTGCACAAGCTCAAGATCGAGCTCGAGCATCCCCAGGCGCATCGAGTGCACAGGCTGCGCGAGCGGCGTGCGCTTGTTCGCCCGCGCGGGGTTATCGACAGGCTCGAAAGACTGTGTCCCGAGAGCATCGTGCTGCGCTGGAACGCCATGAGCACAGGCCAGACATGGAGCATCGTCCTGGTGCTCATGGCTGTACTGCTCACCGTCTGGACGGTTGACCGACACATGTCGCGCTTCATGACGTCTCGCGCCGCACCAGCCGGCGGCAAGCTCGACCTGTGATCGCGCCGCATTCGCTCTATCTCGGCTTTTAGACCTCATTCATTGCATCTAGATCTAGATCGCATCCGGTCCTTACCTTCTCTCTCCCCCGCGTGTCTGTGCTTGTCTGTCAATGATCCCGAGTGCAGAGCAGCGGTGAAGAGGTTGATGTCGAGCAAAGGAGTGCCATTTTTTCGAATTTGTTGAGTCTGTCGATTCGACAAAATTGTATTTTTTCACGCCGGCATTCGGATCTCGCTCGGACCCTCTCCATGCCGCCTCAGCCTCGTCTAGCTTCGCACCACCATCCTCAACACCTGCACCTACACACAGCGGCACAAGCTGGACGACGTTTCAGCACGGCCACACGCAGCTCAAAGATGGCTCTACCCGCGCCCGGACCCGCGGAGCTGCCGCCAATGCAGCGCGGCGCGCCAGCACCTCCCATACAACCTCCACCAGCGCCTCAAGCCGGTGCGCCTCAGGCGGGTCCGCATCTGCTGTCGCTCAAAGTGATGCGTGCCTCTGCGCCGTCGCTCGCCGTGAGCGAAAAGCCGTACTTTGACGATGCGCCTTCCACATCCAGCAACCTGCTTGCCGCCGTTGGCGAGGGGATCTCGGCAGGGCTGAGCCACGACCTGCTTTCCAACCGGTGGGACGGCTCGAGCAGCAGCAGCGGGGTGGGGGCAGCGTATCGGTCGGCGGCGGAGAACTTCCCGATCAGCAGTGTGCTTGTGCTGCCCAACTCGTTCGGCACGCTGTTTCTCGGCGAGACGTTCCGGACGTACGTGTGCGTGCGCAACGAGAGCGGCGCCGCGGTGCGCGAGCCGAGCCTGCGCGTAGAGATGCAAGTCGGCGCCTCGGACGCCTCACAACCCCACGCCGAGTCGGGACGATGGCATCAGCTCGCGCACATCATCATGCCCTCGCCCTCGCGCTATACTCCCGATCCTTCCGACACAGATGGCCAAGGCCGGCCGGTGTGGGAGCTCGCACCGGCGCAGGCACTCGAGACATCGCTCGGGTACGATATCAAGGACCTCGGGCCACATGTGCTCGTGTGTACCGTCGGGTACAAAGCACGCGTGATGATGCACGATGGACAAGAGGCGTGGGTGGAGCGAAGTTTCCGCAAGTTCTTCAAATTCGCCGTGGAGAGGTCGCCGATCTCGGTGCGCACCAAGGTGCACCAGCCGCGCGAGGCGTGTGCGGTGTACCACCCCGACCCGGCGGTGCGCGAGCGCGTCCACCTCGAGGTGCAGGTGCAAAACGTCGCGTCCAACGGCTCCAGCCTCGTCCTGGACCGGCTCGACCTCAAGACCGCCCCCGGTTGGACGTGGAGTAGCATCGACCGACCCTCTTTGTCCTCGGATGCTCAGGACACGGATATGTGGATGCGCGTGGGGGGCAAGAGCAAGATGCTGCTAGCCGACGGTGATGTGCGCCAGTACCTGTTTGCGCTCGTCCCTTGCGAGGAAGTGGCGTTCTGGGAGGCGCGCGAGAGCGGCATGGACATGGGCAGCACACAGGAAGGATGGGCGATCAGGGGCGATGCATTGGGGCATCTGGATATCAGCTGGCGCATGAGCCTGGGCGAGCCCGGTCGTCTGCAAACCTCACAGCTCGTGCGTCGCCGCGTCGTGGTCGCTCCCGTCTCCGCCCATACAACCGACGAGACACGGCCGACACCGCAGCTAGCGACGCAACTTACACTCACCCGGGCGGCGGTGGAGACACTAGCGGCGGTCACGGCGGAAACGCGTCGGATCGAACTCGAAGTGGCGCTTAGCGTTGCGGATGTATGTGCTGCGCGGTCGGAGGCGGTGGATGATGACGATACGCCGCTGTCCGAGATCGCCCCCACGCAGCGAGAGGGGGAGGTGGTGACGGTCGAGCGCACGTTCAGGCTCGCATTGCAGCACTGTACCGTCGAGCAGCCGAGCGATGAAGCGCCGGCAGGAGAGGATGTGACGCCACGAAAAGCGCCGAGTCGCACCTCGACGCCCACAGGCACGGCTTCGCCACTACTCGCGCTGAACAAGACCAGGCTCCAGGCGAATCTGTCGAACCTCGTGCGCGCGGGGTCTTTGTCGCTCCGCGCAGGGAGGGGGGATGAATCAGCTGCGCCCACACCCGCTCGCCAGCCTAGTCCTGCTCCGCTTGGTCCGGCTGTACCGCCCAAGGGGGAGAGTGTACCTGCACCCGTGTTGTCGGCGTCGCGAGTACATGCCCTCCACTCGCGGTGGACGCAACACCACGCCCAAGCCATCTCGCGCCCGCTCGTCGAACACTACACCCCCACCCCCAACGCCCATCCCCTAGGCACATCCCTAATCCCCCTCCCCAACATCACACTGGCGTTCCAGGCCCGACGAACACCCACCGGATGGCAACGACTCTCCCAGCTCGAACCACAAACCGTCCACGCAACGCTCGAATACGCCGTGGGGCCTTCCCAAGACACAGTAAGATTAGGCGCAGTAAGGATCCTCCTACTCAGCTTTACTGATCCACAGACGCATGCGTGCAATACGGTGTTGGATGAGATTCCTGTACTTGCAGAATACCTCACCGTCTAAGAGCATAAATACATTTTGCCGCAGCTGCGTCAGAGCTGGCGACGAGCCTCGGTGACGAGTTGCGAAAGTGAGGCAATCGAAAGCCAGCCCTGTTGCTCGGCCGTGCGTGCGTCCACCTGCGACTGAAACCCAGACTCGGCGGGGGCAAGACACACCACCAGCTGAGATGACGACCCGCCACGCGCGGGTAGAAGCACATCTACAAATCCACACCCACCCACCTCGCTTCCATCCACCCGTAGCGAAGCCACCCCTGTTGCCGGGAAGCTCAGCTCGATACGGGCAAAGTCGAACCCGAGCCCGAGACCGAGCTGCTTGGTGTACGCCTCTTTGTACGTCCACAGCGTATACAGCCGTGTAAGCATCTCCCCCTCAGTGCGGGGGTCGAGCACCCACTGCGTCTCGGTGGGAGTGAGAGCCATATCCATTGTATCTACAAAGGCGCGCACGTCCGTCTCGTACCGCGGCAACGCAACCGCCATGACATCCACACCCACCCGCACCTCCTCCTCCCCGGGTGAGGCGATGTGAAATGCCATCACAACCCAGTCCCCATCATGCGACAGGTTATAGTCCACCCGCACGGGTAGGTCGGGCGCAGCGATGTACGGCCTCCCCTGTGGCGTTGCCCCGAAACGCACTGCCTCCCACGCCACGCCGAACCGTTTCGATAGCAACATGCGTGGGAGCAGCCGTGCGACGAACGACCGCACACGGTCAACTTGCCGATGGTACCGCATCACCTTCTCCCGCTCGGCGGCGTTGCATGCCCCGGGAAGCAGCTCGTCTACAATCGACCCGAGCGCACCCTCGCTAAGGCTAGAGACGTCCGAAATATCAATGGCCCACACCTGCATTTGCGAATCCGCACGCGGCATCAAGACCCCACCGACAGAGTTGGCGTCAGCTACACTGCTCTGCGCATCGCGAGCCGGCCCTGCCCCCGGACCCGCAGTGCTGGCGCTGGAGGAAGGGGTGGCGGCGGGAAGAGTGGACTGACCTGAGCTAGAAGCGTCTGCTGTGCGCGTTGCAGCTGCGACGACGGTGTCCTTGGCCATGATGAGCGCATCGATCGTATTCACTCGGCAGTCGCGCAGGAACGAGACGAGGTCGGTACCGCCAGTGCCCTTTGCGCCGCCGCCGTTGTCGTTGGAGGCCGTGTCGAGCGCTGCGTCCGCCTCGGCCTCGTCACTCTGCGCGCGCGCCTTGGCGAGCTTGCGGTCCACCGCCGGCTCGCCAGTGAAGCCCTTGGGCAGCGGCGCATACGCGGGCGGCGGCGAGCCGCGCGCCTGCGCCACAATGTAGAGGTAGGCGATCTTCATGTGCTCGTCGCGCAGCGCCTTGAGCTGGGTGAGCGCATTGTCGTAGGCGGCGGGCAGGCCTTCGTCGTGCTCGTCGGTCTGCGCCTTGAGCGCGAGACTGCGGATCGGGTGCGGCATCTCCCTCAGCTGCTCCTGCTCTGCCTCGCTACCGGCAGAACTGGCATCGTCGTCAGCTGGAGCATCGTCGTCGTCGTCAATGTCGTCGGCATCATCAAACGAGATGGTGCGGAGGTGCGAGAGGAAGGCGCGGTGGTGGCCGGGCATGTAGAGCGACATCCTCTCCATGAAGGTGGCGTCGGCACCGCGTGCGTCGCCGTTGGAGGTGACGGCCGGACGATTGAGACGCTGCTTGCGACGCGTGTGGTCGACGTCAAGGAAGACGTCGACGGCGTGGATCAGGGTGCTCTGTCCTGCGGATGGGCCGGAGAAGACGCGCTTGACGCCTTCCGCGTCGACGCCCTCAAAGTGCCATCCGATCTCGTCGCCCTTGTCGACGGTGTCGCTGCCGACAAACCAGGGTCTGATGCCCCAGTAGAAGATCTTTGGGTCGCAGCCGTTGCGCACGTCGTGGAGCAGGCGCGTGAGGTCCTGGAGGACGACGGCGAGCCTGTTGAGATTGGCGGCGATGCGGCGGCGTGCGACGCGATCGGCAACAAAGGCCTCGTCGAGACTGACGCGCATGAGCTCGAGCGCCTCTACGCCGCGCGCCTCGATGAGGAGCGAGGTGAAGAAAAAGTGGTGCTCGGAGGGCGTGCCAGTAAAGGTCTCCACGATGCGAAGGTTGTCGGGCTCGAGGCCGCGGGTGGGGTCGATGTACTTCCAGTTCCAGAGCACGGTGGTGGCGTAGGTGAGCACGGGGGGCAGGTCGAGCTTCTGCGAGAGCTGCACCCAGGGCACGGCGATGGCGGCGGGCACACGACGGGCGAACTTGCCGGCAAGTTCGTCTGCGAGGTCCTGATCGTCCTGGAGCTCTTCTGGCGACTTGCGCGAGAAGACGTTGAGCCATGAGCGTGCAGGGGTGGGGTCGACGGCGTGTTCAGCCTTGCGAGGCTGGGAGTGGATGTAGAAGTGTGCGAGGAAGGAGAGGACGACATGGCCGCGACGTGCGAAGCGAATGTCGTTGGCGAGCTCATCGGAGAGGGGCAGGACGGGCATTTCGCGCAGGGATCGACGCCAGCGACGGGCGAGGATGCGCTGTTGCGGGGTGATGGTGATGCCGCCGCCGCCCTGCATGAGTGGGATGCGCTTGGCTTGGTCGAGTGCGTGTTCCCAGTGGTCGGCGTGCGGGCGCGTGAGGCGGAGCACGGGTGCTTCGGGAGGGAGGAAGCCAGAGCGAACGTCGACGTCAAAGTCGGCGGCTGCGAGGGTGGAGGTGTCTGGGATGTGGTCGTCGACGGTGGAGAAGCCAGCTGGACGCGGGACGGCGTCTGCGAGGCGGTCCAGGGGCGGATTGGCGCGAGCGACGGAGGATGGCGCTGCGGGGATGCCAGCCTGAACAGCGGAGGCGAGCTCGGCGAGCGGCTGAGAGGGGGCTAGCAAGGCGGCATGTGCTTCTAGTGCTGGCATGGTGGTGGTGGCAGCTGCGTCTATGGAGGCAGAGCGAGTGGTTGAGGAGGATGAGGCGGAGAGATGACGGACGAGGGGGTGTTCGGATGGGTCGGAGGGCTGCGCTTTATGGGGACCGCGTTGCTGCGCGAGGAAGTGGTCTGGAGGGACCTCGAAGTACTCTGCCTCATCGTGCGAGTGTGGCCAGGAGGGGTAGAAGGTGGCCCTGGGCGACGAAGAGAGTCGGCTCGGGCCTGCTGCTGAGCTGTTGTCGGTGGAGGCTGGCATGGTTTGTGCCGACGTGTGAGCGATGCGATGCAGAGAGGAGAGGCTTTTGGTGGGGATAGGTGATGCGATCGCAAAGGGAGCTGTTGGATGGCAGCGGGGGTGAGCAGGAAGGATCGGGCCGAAGGAGGCCGTGATGAAAAGGGCGTGGTTGGCGTGCGGGATGTACTTGGCGACGATGCAACGGAGATGGTGGTGGGAGTGAGGGACGAGAAACGATTGCGAGAGCCGATGCGTGGGACGGGGAGGGTTGGTTGTTATTATACTGTTGCAGGCCGTGCGGATGTTGCGCTGATGAAGGCTCGGCTTTTAGGGGCGAGGGCGCGGAGGGACGCCTCGGGATCGAGGCTCGCTAATCGAGGGATACGCTGGGGAATGTTTGCGCTCGGGGTCGCGCTGTGGTAGAATGAACTGGAGGTGGGAAGCGGAGGGACTGACGCGCAGAGGCCGAGGGAAAGGCGTCGTGGGGAATGGGAATGTGGTACGCTGCCACGCTGCTACGCTGGTGGGGATGGTGGACGGACACAAAGATGGCGACAGCTCGGCAATTCAGGGCGTTGGCTGACGAAGGCGAGAAAATGTCCGAAGTAAGCGGCAGTTCCCGAGCGCTTCCCCACCCGCAAATCTCGAAATTTCACACCAGGGCGTGTGAGTGTGCGGTACCTTTGCGCCCCACCAACTTGCTAAGCTGCCAACACGGCTCGGCCCGACACCGATCTCGACGCCCAGTCAGCCCGATTATCGATGCTCCATCGGCGAGCCCCTGTTTTTGGAAATTGAATTTGGGCCATTTTTTGAAAAGCAACACGCACACACACGTACGGCACAGCCTCGCAGCTTGAATCGACGGCAGAGTTGGCAGTTGGCAGTTGGCAGTTGGCAGTTGGCAGTTGGCACTTGGCAGTTGGCAGTTGGCAGTGGCTGCTGCTGCTGCTGCTGCGCATCGCATCGCATTCGCGCTGCGCTCTGTTGGATTCCACTTTGCGCCGCGTGTGCAGGTGAGTGTGAGTGCACTGTCTCACAGCCTCACTCTACGCTCAGTGCAGCACTGGCGCGCCTCGCCCGCCCACCACACTCGATCTCATCAGCCTCCACCACTACCATCATCCTCACCTCAGCCCGCTCCTCGCAACACCTCTGGCTGCATCTCGACCCGCCTCGCACTTTCTCCTCTTGCAGTCCCGACCTGGCTAGCACGCCTCGACCTCGACGCACGAACGCACGAACGCACGCACACACGCATACTCTCATCCGCCCCAACCTCGTCCACACAAAATGGCGGGCCTCTCTGCAGACTACGACTACCTGTTCAAGCTCTTGCTGATCGGCGACTCGGGCGTCGGAAAGTCGTGTCTCTTGCTCCGATTTGCAGACGACACCTACACCGAATCCTACATCTCCACCATCGGCGTCGACTTCAAGATCCGCACCATCGAGCTCGAAGGAAAGACGGTCAAGCTTCAGATTGTAAGTTGACCCTACTCCACCACTACCATGCCGACCCACCCACCCGCTGACTTTGCTTTGAGATCAACAGTGGGACACGGCGGGACAGGAGCGCTTCCGCACCATCACATCGTCGTACTACCGCGGCGCACACGGCATCATCGTCGTCTACGACGTGACGGACAACGACACGTTCAGCAACGTCAAGCAATGGCTCCAGGAGATCGACCGCTACGCCTGCGAGGGCGTCAACAAGCTGCTCGTCGGCAACAAGTCCGACCTCACCAACAAAAAGGTCGTCGAGTACGCCACCGCCAAGGAGTTTGCCGACCAGCTCCAGATCCCCTTCCTCGAGACCTCGGCCAAGTCGGCCACCAACGTCGAGCAGGCGTTCTTGACCATGGCAAAGCAGATCAAGGACCGCATGGGCAACTCCACCGTCAACAACCAGCCCGGCGCAAAGTCCACCCTCAAGGTCGGCCAGGGCCAGAACGTCTCGCAGCAATCCAACGGCGGATGCTGCTGATTGCCCCCCGCACAACCACACATTTTCGTCGCCTTCTCGCGCAGCCGCTGGCCGTGGCGCGAGCAGCGTCCAGCCCCAGTCTGCACCCGCTCCTGATGACCCCCGCAATGTGAAATGCCTGTAAATTTACAGATCGAGTCTTGTTTGATGGGCAGAGAGTGTCGGCGGTGGGAGCAATTGAGCACCAACGCGCTCTCGAGCCGGGCTGAGCTGAGACCAACGCTTTGGCGCTCTCAAAAAATCGCGCGCGCGTGCGGCTCGAAATGCACACTCGCGGCTCTTGCGCTCTCCACATTGACCCCCGCTGCTACCATCTGTCAATTTGCTCTTCACCTCCTCCCACCTCATCCTCCGCACACCCTACCCCTCACCGGTTAGCTTCAAGGATGCCGTCAACACAAGAGACACGGTCTCGGGCGGGTCCGTCATCTGGCTCGCCCACCCGCCCGCACAAACGCGCGGTGGAGGAGGACTTTACCTACAACGCGCGACAGGATGTCAACGACCGACGAGCTGTTCGATCCGAATACCGCGCACTCATCGCCGAGGCGGACGAGTCGAAGCGCGACCAGACGCTCAAACCACGTGCGCTGCTCGAGCTCATCCACAAGGCGGACGAGCTTCACACGCGCGTCGTCGCGCCGAGCGAGAGCGTGCTCGACACCAAGACGCTCGCGTCCATGTCCGAGATGGGCGCACGCATGGCCAAGAAGATGAAGCTCAACGCCGACGCATTCGATACCCACGAGCTCATGTCGCGCCTCGCGCGCTTTCTCGGCGGTCAGGCCGCACCCCTCCGCCCCAGCAACGATGATTCGGATGACGAGGAGGATATCGAGCAGTGGAAGTGGGATAGACTCGGTCGCCTCGCAAGTGGCGTATCGAGACGTGCAGTTACTCTCGACTTTATGCTGGGCCCGCTGGAGACGCTGCCGAAACAACGACGAGCGGGAATGGTGAGGAGACAGGACGATGCGCCGGCCCAGAGGACAGCCCCGCGCGCATTGGGGCAGCACGACCTGCAACAGACCGACGGCAAGGAAAGCACCTCGCAGATCTTCAAGGTCGCCCAGCTGCTCAAGCAGCAAGGCGACGCCGGTGTGTGTCTCTTCAGCTTCGCCGTGGATCCGCACAGCTTTGTCAATACCGTCGAAAACTTTTTCCACGTAAGCTTCCTCATCAAGGAAAACAAGGCGAGCCTGCACACCGACCAAGCCGGCAACGCCATCCTCGGTAAGTCCCCACCCCCCACACACACGTCTCTCAGCAAAACCCAAGCTCACCACTTATTATTCTTGCATTGTGGGTGGTGCGGTGTAGCTACTGCGCAGCCTCCGTCGGGGGAGGAGGAGGGGGAGGAGGAAGAGATGCGATCCAAGCAGTTCATCATGGAGATCGACTGGGCGACGTACCTGGATGCGATCCAGCTCTACGGCTTGACCACCAGCATCATCCCCACGCGTCCGAACCGCGTCGATCCGCTCAGTGGGCTAGCCGCTCTCTCCGGGTCCTAGGTAATGGAAGCTAAGATCGTGGAGCGCGTGTTTGTCCCACCACCTCACCACATCGCCTACCGCATCTACGGCGTTCTGGGGTGCAGCCACTGTGAGGTGTGCACGACGTTTGGCGTTCCAATTCGGCAGCGGCGTTGCGGTGAGTTGCGTGCTGAGGCGGTGCAGGTTGCGAGCCGTGTCGGCGAGGTTGGGCGTGATGGTGTAGAGGGAGAGCGTGTTGGAGAGAAGTACGGGGTAGGGAGGCGTCCAGGTGGAGAGCACCGCTTCGTACAGCTCGCGGTCGCAGTGCGGCATGTACAGTAAGCTTTGTGGATCTGCGTACCACTGCGAGATCTCGCTGGACAGTGTTCGCACATTGTAGTGTGCGAGAAGTGCGGTGTCGGAGGATGTAAAGACCGGATCGTACGCCACGCACTCCACTGGCGGTAGCGATTCGTCTTTAGACCGAGTGCAAGGTTTCGCGTCCTTGCTGTCGGCTGTATCTGGTCGATTTGTAGTGGCGAGTTGGGTGAAGAATGTGCGCAGAACCACGAGGAGCGCCAACTGGATCTGCGCACTCCGGCTACCCGTCGGCGACCCTAGCCCGAGACAAACGATCTTGCGGGGTACTTGGCTTGCTCCCGACCAAACGGTGTGCAGCGTCTGTGCGAGACGGTGTGCGAGCGATTCGCCCTCGCGCGTGTGCAGTTGTGAGCCGAGGTAGGTGGTCATACAGTCGACCACTGCCCGCGCGCGCTCCACCGCCCTCTCATCACCACCATCCTGCGTGGGGCGAGGTTGAGAGGCGTATGTAAACCCCGATGACGGTGAAGAGCAGCTCGATGCTCCAGCTTGGCTGGCTTGGCTAGCTTGGCTAGCTTGGCTGGCTTGGCTGGCTTGGCTGGCTTGGTTTGGCTTGCGTCGTGCGGGGCGAGTGGGTCGTCGACGTCGACGCACTACCTCAAACGCCACCTCGTCCGCATCACTGTTGGCATCCATCGCCAACGTCGATGCTCGTCGTGACGAAAGCAGCGCTCGCACCAAGAATTCCGAGCTCAAAAAAATTAAAGGGTCCACCCGACTCGCACCCCCACCCAACCACGCACATACCGCACGCGCACAAGCCTTGTCCCCCCTCGTAAGGCATTGGCCCTCCGTAAGCACCGCTTCAAGCCAAGCTCACCACATCCACCCAGCATCCCTGACTTGATCGGCTATCCATTCGAGCTTGAGTCGGGGGGGGTATATTTCAAAAGTATTCGATCTCGATGAACAGAAACGCCGTTTTGGCAGGATGCACCATTCGCAGGCCCGCCTTTTCGAGCACCTGCGCATTGGTCCTCGCCACCAGCTCGTCCACCTTGGCCAAAGTCTGCACCGCCCGCGCACCCCAATCCAATCGTCACTCTTATCAGCACCCTCCAGTCGTTTTTCTCTAGAATCGGAGTTGGGGCGGGGAGACGTACCTTTTTGTAGTGCGAGGTGTGGACGAGCGTCGAGAGGTAGAGCGTGGCGATGGCGAGCGTGTTGTCGATCCAGACGCGGCGTGGATTGTGCGCCTCGATGAGCAGCGCGTTGAGGTCGTTGACCAGTTCCGAAAACGTCGTGGGCGATATCTACTCTTTGTCAGTGACGGAACCACCCAGCAAAAGACGAGCAAGGAAGGGAAGCGGGCTTACTCTGCCTTCGATTTCGAGTGGGAACGAAGGATGAAATTGCGGCAACTCCCCGGAAGAATAGTCGCGCTCGATCCTACAATGCAGTGTCAGTCTTGGTACTGGGTCGACGAGGAGGAAGTGGGGACAAGAGGGGGGCCTACCTGACGATTTCCTTGGGCACGTGAAGGGCGGGGTTGCCCGTGACGCCTTGGCCGAACGCAGCACTGGACGGGGGTGGTCCAAAGTAGTACGAGCTTACGGCCGGCGGGTAGTGCGATCCCGCATTTGAGGAAGCAGCTGCAGACGCCATGCTGAAAGACTCGCCAGCAAGGATGATGGAGCTGATGAAACACCCGCGAAGGCGGTGAAGCCGGGTGTTGGTCTGCGAAATAATGCCCAACGCGCGCCTCACACGCGAGCACCGGCCCGACACTTTGGCCTCCCCCGCCCAGCACAGCTACCGCCAACCTGCTCACAACGCCTCTTGCCACCACCACCAAGCTCACCGTCACATACACCGCACACCACACACCCGCAACAGCAACGCGATGAAATAGAATTACAAGTGTGGGGCTCGGCGCACACCTACATGCAGATGCGGTACGAGCAGTAGCGGCCACTAGTTTCCGAGGGCCGTGTGATCTTGACCACCTGACCCCTCTGGAGGCCAAAGTACTTTGCGACCGGATCCGCCTGCTGGATCCTGGGCAGCTGGGTTTCCTTCAACCTGTACCTCTGCAGCAGCTCCTTCTTCTCCTCCGGATACAGCGGGTCGTGTCTGGGCACCAGATGGTGGTGGGTGATGTTCACCAGCAGATACGCCTCTTCAAAGTCCTCGAGGTGGAACGTGCCGCGCATGGCGTCGATCACCTTGCGCGCCGCACTCGTCATCTTGTCGGGCCAGATGATGATGCCGCGCTGGATATCGCGCTCCTCCATGATGCTGATGAACTGGCGCATCGTCTTGACGCCCACATTGCGCTCCATCGAGTAGAACACAAACAGCCGCTGGTTCTCGTGCGAACTGTGCTCCGTGAAGAAGTTGAGCTTCGTTCGGTCCACCGACCCGCCCGTAGGCGCATACTCGGCCTTGAACGTCTCGAGATCAATGTTGATCTCGTCGTCCGCCACTTGGTACCCGCGGTCGCGCACCAGCTCGTGGATCGTCTTGTTCACGCGCCACAGTCGCACCGTCTCCCGGTCGTCCTCCATGTTGCCCGATTATCGATGCACGAATCCGGTGGGTGCTGAGAGGTCTGCGTAATGTGCGCTGCGTGCGTCCAAGCCGTGACTGTGGTATCGCCGCAAAGCCTCAACGAGCCGAGGAAGCGAGGTGAATCCGGATGGCGCCGGTCAAGTACCGAAAGCGCCGAGTGTAGAGTCGACCTGAGGGGAGCTGCGGCGTTTCTGTAGGAGCGTGACGTAGGATGCGTTGGTGTGGGTGCTGAGTCCACGGCGAAGCCAGAGATGAGGTCGAGGAAGGGTAGGGATGGTGGAGGGAGAGCTGATGGCAAGCCGCTTCAGCAGCGCAGCTCTGCCGTTTGGGAAATTTTTGGAACTTTCTGCGCCAGTCGGAGCCGAAGCAGGCCGAAGATCTCACATTCGATTCTGATGCTCTAACATGTCACCATTCAGCGCCACGCGCCAACTCTCTGTACGCGTCATGGTGGCACAACGGCCCCAGATGATGCTCAGTGCGGATAGCTCAGGTCGCTCACACTCTGGCAGAGTCCAGCGCTTGCTTCCTGTGCTCGGAACTTTCGAGTTCCCAGCGAGGGTGCTCGCCCGCATCCAAGTCGGTTCCAATCCATCAGAGCAGAGCCAAGCAGCAGATGGACGCCCAGTTCACAGTCCTTCTCAACGAGTCAAGTTTCGACCATCGCATCTTCCACTGCGCCTTCTGCGCTGCGCCTCGCAACTTCGGAAACCTGAAGAAATATTATCCTATAGCCATGGGGGTTGGGTTTATATGAAGGTGCGACGAAATCAAAGTACAAATGTATCGAGGAAGGGGACAGCGGACCATGCTGGGGCGGCGTCACGACAGCCCTTGACGCCGCCGAGAGGATGTGAGTATGAAAAGATAGGAGAGCGGCATCAGTGTATCGACGCGCCCGTGTGCGGGCATCGAAGAGTCCAGAGGAGAAACGACGGTGACACTAGAGACCCAGACGGCGGATGGCAACTTCACGCGCGGTCAAACGCAAGCTGCGCCAGCACGCGGCTCACCTCGTCCATCGTCGACGCATCCGGGTTGGCTGCATTGCGACCGGGCGGCAGACGCGAGATGCTCGCCGACGCCGCGTGCAGGTGGTGCGGCTGCGCAGCGTGGCTGTTGAGCCCAAAGCCCGCCTGCGCATCGTGCGGCGATGGCTGCTGCCCAGCCGACTGGTACAGATGGTGCGCCGGTCCAGCCGCAAACCCAGACGGCGCACCGACGTGACCAGGAAAGTGCGTAGGGGCGCCAGTTCCAATCGGACCCAGTCCGTACGGAGTGGACGGACCCACGCTCATGCTGCCGCTGGCGTGCTGCGACGCCTGCTGCGCCGCCATGGCGCCAATGTCGAGGCTCTGCGCTCGGTGCGCAAACGAGCGCGGCTTGCGCAGCGCCTTGACCCGCTCCTCCATCGACATGCCCTCGACGCCACGGTTCATGTGCAGCTCGTCCGACAGCCTCGGGTTCGCGCCCTGGTGGTGCAGAGGCTGCGAAGGAAACTGGATCCCGCCCGAAGAATTCGGCACAGCCCCACCGATAGGTCCAGGACCGGCTGGGCTTGGCAAGCCCGCACTCGCCGTGCCCATCGCCGGGGCCGGGAGTCCAATCAGGCTCGGCGTCGCACTGCTCGTGGCGCTGGGTGCAAACCCGCGCGTAGGCATGCCCCACACGTCGCTGCCGAATCCGCGTCCGTTGCCGTACGGCGAGGCGTACAGAGACGACGGGATCATGGGCGAGTTGGCCGCCGTAGCGCTGCTCACGCCGTTGGTCGTCGGGAAGCCAGGCCCGCCGTGCAGATGCTGGGCGGGCGAGTCAAAGAGCGCCTTGATGTCCGGCGTGGATGCCGCAGCGCGCAGTCGGCGCTCGTTGACGCGAGCCTGCTCCGCAGCGGCGGCGGCAGCCGCAGCGTTCTGGAACGACTCGTTCGACTCGGCCGCGGCCGCAGTCGAGATGAGCTTGTTCGCAAAGTGCGGAAAGGCGGATGCGAACGAGTCCGAGCGTGTCCTCGAGGGCGCAGCGTAGATGTTGGCATTGTGGTTGATGAGGAAGTCCTCGATGGCGTCCTTGGCGGTAGGCAAGAAGTCGGTGTTGCTTCTGTTGAGCCTCAGCTTGAACACCGCCTCGCCGCCCGGCCTTCGCTGCTCGATCACGGGCGACACGGCGATGCTGAGGTCGCGCTTGAGCTGCTCGGTGAGCGTGGCAAACTCGGGCAGCTGGATGGCTTGCGCCAGCTCGGGCGAGTTGGGCGCGCGGAACTCGGCCTCGAAGGGGACATGGTCGAGCAGCATCTGCGCCGCAATGTGGATCTGCGACTCGGGACCAAAGATGGTGAGCAAGTCTGAAGCCGACTCGCGCGCCGGGAAGCGGACGCTCGAGCTCGTCTTGCTCTCGATGTCGTGGATAAAGATGGCCTTCTCGCCTAGCAGCGTGCGATGGTAGCGACGCGAGATGGTGACCGTCTCGCTGATGTAGTCCTTGTCCTTTGGGCTGACGAGCTCCATCACTGAGAGCTTGAGGTTCTCGAGGTTGGCGGCGTTCTTGGCTGGAGTGCGCGCAATCACGTTGTCCTCGTTGTCCAGGTAGCCGCCAAGCGCCGCAAACTCCTCGGCGTTGCTAAACTTGACGTAGACGCCAAACTTCTTCATGATGCGCTGGATGTTCTTGCCGCCGACGCCGATGATGCGCTTGTGATAGGCCTCGGGCACGTGAAACGAGATCTCGGCAGGCAGCTCCTCTTGGAGCAATCCGAGACCCTGCAAGACGCCGTTGCGGTCATTGCCCGACACGTCGATGAGGAAGTTGTAGTCGTTGAAGGTCTCAAACTTGATGCGAACGCCGCACTGCTTCATGACCTTGTTGACCTTGCCGTTCTTCTTGCCCGAGATGAATTCGCGATGCTCGTTGGCCAGCTCGATCTGGAAGCGAACTTCAAAGTTGAAGCTCTTGATGAGGTCGAGATCGAGCAGCGCCGAGACGGCGGTGCGCACCTCGGATTCGAGGCCGTGGATCTCGAAGCAGTTGCTCTTGAAGACGACCTCGGCGCCGGAGGCGCTGCTGACGTGCTTGAGCACGGGCGCGACCTGGGTTGGGTTGAGGTTGGCCTGCGATGGCATGTAGACGTCGAAGCCGACGGGCAGAAGCCACAAGGAAGCGACGTAGAACTGGCAGGCGAGCTGCATGATGGAGCGGATGGTGCGCTCAATGTTGACGCGATGGTCGCCGAATACCGAGATGACGCTGGTCTGGCTGCCGAGCAGAGGGAAGGCGACGTAGGTGCCGTTGTCCATCATGATGGAGCGAAGCTCCTCGAGTCGCTCGGTGAGCATCCAGTCGAGCTTGCGCGGAAGGATGGCGGCGTCGCGCGAGATGATGCCTTTGCTCTTGTGCATGGATACCTGGAAGAGCATGTCGCGGGCCCTCTGAACACCAAAGAATTCGCCGGTGATGTGGATCTGGTTCTGCTGGGCGGCCAGGGCAGGAGCTCGACCAGCAGCGGTGGAGCCGAAGGTGCCGAGGAAGGAGCTGGGCAGGTAGATGTTGGTGCCGGTCTCCTCCTCGATCTTCTGGACGACGCAGCGCTTGCGACCGCCGATGATGTTGTGGAGCTTGTAGTCGATCTCGCAAATCTCGGAGCGCAGACCGGTGATCTCGTCAAAGATGACGAGGGCCTTGACGCGGGCGAGCTCGACGCTCTCAAAGGGACCGGAGACGAGGACTTCGATCATGCGCTCGGTCTCGAGACCGTAGCCGAGGTCGGCGCCGCGCACGTCGTTGCTCTTGACGGTGAGGGTGGCGCCGGTGGCGGTCTGAACCTCGTCGAGCTTGCGGCGGATGTCTGCCTTGACACTCTCCTTGCCTGGTGGAGAGGAGCCCGGAGCGATGTCAAAGACGTCTGCGCGGGGCACCTTGATGGACGCGGTGAGCTTGAAGGGGTTCTCTCGGAGGATGGCGCCTCTAGCGTTCATGACGTGCTGGAAGCCGCCGCTGAGGTGAAAGTTGTACTGGGGCGGCTTGGAGACGCCGCTGAGGCTGGCGCGGGAGGCGGCCATGGCGGCGGACTGTGGCGAGCGCAGCGATTGGGCGGAGGAGAGGCCGACCTCCTGTGCGACGTGGCTGCCGGTGGCCGACTGCGGATTGAGCGACGAGAGCGAGAGGGAGCTCGAGTTGAGGCCGGGGAAGCCTGCGCCGAGCGCCTCGCCCGTCGAGCGAGCTGTGAAGAAGGCGGAGGAGTGGGAGTCGGGCGTACCGATGGGCTGCGGGTGGTACTGTTGGTATGGGTAGCCCGAGGAGCTGGCGGCGTTGGGGTTGGGGAAGGGGAGTTGGTCGAGGCTCTGGAGGGAGGAGAAGGAGCTCTGTCGCTGGAAGGGATGGGTGAGGGGCGTAGAAGGCAGGCGCGACTCGTCGGGCTGGGGCACGGGAGCAAAGGAGACGAGGCATTGATGGTTTGCCATGACGTCGGAGCTGAGCTTCTGGATGGCGTCCTGGAGATCTTTGGAGCTCTGGGAGTTTGTCATGGCGCGGTCGTGCTGGTTGGCAGAGATGGAGTTGGAGGCCGAGTGAGTGGCGCTGGAAGGGTTGCCACCGACGGCGCTGCTGGGTGCGGTGCTGTCTGCGATGAAGGAGGCGTTGGAGGAGAGGTCGAAGCTGGAGCGCGTGCCGACGGTGGAGCGGCTGTCTCGATGCTGGCTAGCGGCGAGGTCGTCGGGGTTGGCGAGGCCGTCGTTGGCGAGCTTGGACGGACGTGCGTTGCCACGCTCGCCGATGGGAGCGAGGGGTGCGGATGTCTCGACGTCCTTTGCGGCGGAAGCGGAGGAACTCTTAGCTGCGGCGTCGGCGGAAGAAGCATCTGCCTCTGCCTTCTCTGCGCCGACGGCCTCGACGATACGTTCGCTGGTGCGTTTTCCGCCAAAGGCGCTCGGCATGAAGGCCTTTACGCTTGGTGGGAATCGCGAACGCATCGAGGTGAATCGGCCTGGCAGCGAAGAGGCGGGCGCCTCTTGGGCAGGAGAAGCTGCGGGTCCGGCTCTGGCGCCTACATTTGTGGCGTTGCGGAGGACGTCGTTGCCAAAGCCGGGCGCCGAGTTGGATGGAGCCGAGGCGTTTGCGGCTGCATCCGAGACGAAGCTGCTAGCTCCGACGGAGCGCGGGATGGTGAAAGAGGTCGAGTAGAGATCCATGTCTGGAGAAAGCGGGGGTATACGGACGCCTGGACCACAGCGGGGGTGCGGTGCCAAAGCTCCGGGCTAGCAAGATAGAGCCAAAGGAGGGCGTTGATGTGGTCGAGCGAGGGGTTGGGAGCGTTGTTGGATTCGCGGTGTGAGCGGTGCGAATGTGGACGAGCTCGAATCGGAGCGGCGGGCGGAGGGGTATATCCGGAGAGGCTGAGCGGCTCGAGGTATATAGCAAGCGGGGAGGGGATACGTGTGTCGTCGGAGGAGCGTCAGCAAGCCGGCTGAGCTTGACGTTTGCTGGCGAGGACTGGTTGGAGGATGCTGGTGGCGAGGAGAACGAGGGAGGCGCGTGTCAAGGGTCGAGGGTCGAAGGTCGAAGGTCGGAGGATCAAATGCAGAGGGAGCAAAAGGGCAGAGGTATCGATGAATGCGTGGGGAGCTGCAAGCCAAAGCCAAAGCACGAAGCGAGGACGAGAGGAGGAGATGAGGGGAAGGGACGGAACGAGCTGGGCTTGAACGACAGGGTATGCACAGAGTATATGTCGACTGTGTCCGGCTCTCGAGATGCAAGCGGTATAGGCCGAGCGAGAGAGCGAGCGATCGAAAGACTTGCGATGGATGGTGACGGTGAGGGGAGGTGATGAAGAAGTGCTCTCGACGATGCTACGAGGTGAGGAGAGGCGTCAATGCAGCCTTGGCCGTGGCAGCAAGGCGGAGGGCCCTGTCTCTCTGGCTCTCTCTCTCTCCGAAAGGAAGACCCAGCGAGCAGCGGCAGCTTCAAGGTGATCGGAGGGTGAAAAAGAGCCTTCACCAGCCACAGTCCGAAAATAAAAAGAAATGAAAATGACTCAAGAAAAAGAAAAAAGGGGGAAAAAAAAAGGAGAAACGCGCGGTCGAGTCCCCACCAGCGGCAGGCTTTCGTTGCGACTCGCCTTTTTAGCGGTGCCCCTCCCCCTGCATTTGCTCATTGGCCGCTGCCCAATTTTGGCAAAAGGCGCTGCTGGGCGGGAAAAGGAATCAATTCTTGAAATTCGCCCCTCACGGCTCGAGGATGCCGACCAACACTGTGCGTTGCCAGCGAGCTCCATGGCTTTCCACGGCTTGGGCAGTGCAACCTCCACACGGCCATGCGTTTCAACGCTGCTTGCTTTGCTCGCTGGTGCTGCTGGATCGCATGCAAGCTTGCATCGGAAGGCGGGCTTGAGGTGCGTGTGATTTGGCTGCGGCCATCACCGGATGTCTGGCGTGAGGCGGGCGTAAGCAGGCTGCCCAGGCTGTCATCACATTTCGGCTCGGCCCCAGGCGATGGGAGGCGAGGGGGAGGATGCCGTCGATGATCACAAAGAGCACACCCGGCCAAGCCGAGCATTGCGCTCGCTGCAAGAGCCCAGACAGGCACAAGCCCGTCTCGGTCTCAGTTCAAAAGTCGGCATGCCATGCCCGCGCTCCAACAAAAATGTGACACACCCCCAGCCCGGTCGCATGAGGAGCCAAAAAAGACAAGTGAGACCCAAAATTCTCCGAGCGACGCCCCCTCCCATCGCGATCGGATCTAACAGTTTGCACTTTTGGCCACGGCGCAGAGCAGAGACGGAATCCCACACCTGCCTTGTCTCTCCAAAAAGCAAATAGCATGGAATTGCGAGCTCCAACTAGGTCACTAGGTCTACAAGGCCACCGCTTTACTCGGATGGCGGCGTGTACGGCTCGATGAGCATGTTGCTGAACGACTTGAGCTTCTCGGTGCCGCGCACCTCTTCGGTGAGCAGCGGCATCTTGACAATGTGGAAGTCGTCCGCGTAGAGTTCGGCCATTTCGTTGAGGTACTTGTCCTGCATCTGCTTGCGCACCTTGCAGTGCTGGCAGTTGGAGCCCTTGCTCGGGTAGAGCAGCTGGTTGCACACGATGGCGTGCGTGTCGATCTCGTACTGCGTCAGCTCCTGGATCAGCCGCTCCGTCTCGTAGAGCGACAGGAACTCGGCGATGCACACGCACACAAACGTCGTCTTGTCCGCATCCTTGAACTGCGTGTTCACCTCGCTGATCACCTCGCGCATGCTCTCGAGCTTCGCAAACATGTCCTCCTGATTCGCACCACCACCCCCACCGAGCATCGACTGGAACTGTCCCAGCATCGGTCCCAAGCTGCGTCCGAGCGTGCTGAACTTGGCCAGCGCCTTTTCGAGCACCGTGGGGAACGAGAGGAAGCGCAACGTGTGACCGGTAGGCGCCGTGTCGAATACGATCACGCTGTACTCCATCGACTTGACGTGCTTCATGATCTCGGCGAATCCCATCGCCTCGTCCACACCAGGGATGGCAAACGCAAGATCCTGCATCATCTGCCCCATCGCCCCGCCCGAACTGTCCGACTGCTCAATCATCTCCTGGATGGAAGAGTTCGGATCAATCTCCATCGCCGACAGGTTGTCGAAGCCGTTCACCTTGGTGGCCTCCTTGCCAAACTTTTGTCCGAAAGCATCCGAAAGGTTGTGCGCAGGATCCGTCGAGATGAGCAGCACCGACTCGCGCACTTTCGAGAGTTGGATGGCGAGCGAGCACGAGGTGGTGGTCTTGCCCACGCCACCCTTGCCGCCGACAAAGAGCCACTTGAGGGTCTTTTGGTCCAGGATGTTTTGGAGCGTGGGCGCAAGCGCGTCCTCCACCAATGCAGTCGACATTGTGTATGACTCTTTTCGATGTCGCCTTGTTGGTGGTGGTCAGCGGGGTTGTAGGTTGGATGGGAGGAGGTGGCACTTTCAGGTACACACGCGACATTCTAAAATCAGCCAAATGCGCCTCCACTCGAATGCATTTGGGCTCGCCTGCGCACGTCCGCTTCCACGTCCGCACGTCCGACCTGCGCTGCACAGCTGCAGTGCGCCGCCCGCCTTCTACCGCCTACCGCGAGCTTCCAGGCGCTGCTCGACGCGACCACAACTCAGCAGACTCGCCATAAATCACTACACGGCTTGCATTCCTCACAATCGCTGCTTCAGATCCATGATCGTGGTTGGATTGCATTACACCTTGCGCTTGACGAGATTCTGCAGCATGTCGAACGAGTTGCCGTCGGGCTGCAGTTGGACGATGCCGTTGGCTTGTGCGTCCTGCGTGCTGCCCCACGCCTTGGCGTCCTTGGCATAGATGCTCGACGTACGCGGCACCGCCTGCAGCAGACCATAGTCGGACGAGATGCCGACGATGCGTACGCCTTCATCGCCCTCGGTGTGCGCTGTAGCGTCGGAGCGGATAGCATCCTGCGTGAGCGTCGTCTCCTGGTCGCTGTGCAGCCACACTTGCCTGTAGCGCGACACAAACGGTCGGAAATCACCCCCGTGCTGCAAAAACACCTTCCAGATCGAGTCGAAGGTCGACAGGATGGCGCCCGCCAGCTTTTCCTGCGACACCACCTCCAGCTTATCCGCCTCGTTGGCGGCACGATCGTTGTGCATCGTCACCAGATCCGACACCGACGTAGTAGGACGCGCATTGAGACAGTTGACACCGCATCCGGACACGAGCACAAACTCGTTGCCGCCACTGAACTGCGAGTTGACCAGGATCCCACCCAGCTTCGCATAGCGCTTGCCACCCAGCTCAAACGTGGCCGTCTTGGTCCTCGCCCCACCATGGCCCTCCTCGTCGGCAGTGGGGATCTCGGCGTAGATGTCGTTGGGCCATTTGATGCGCACCTTGTCGGCCACGGCGCGCGCTGCATCGCCCGGACCGAGCGCAAGGCGGATGCCCTCCACCACGGCCAGGCCAGAGAGGTACTGCAGGAAGACGGTCTTGCTCGCCATGCTCACCGGCACGCGGAACACCGCCGAGAACTGAAGACACCCCTTGGGCGAGATCCACCGGTTGCCGCCGCGCCCGCGCCCGCTCATCTGCTGCGTGGCGAAAAACGTGGTGCCCACAGGCAGCGCCGCCAGCAGCCGAAAGTTCTTGTCGAGAATCGTCTGCGTCGATGTCACCATCTGCGTGTACAGCGTGGGCGTGCCAAATCGGTGCTCGGCCACCACACCACTCGACGAGCCAAACGGGTTGAATGGATCGAAAGGCGCGCGCCACGAGGTCCAGTGGTCCGGCTCCCCGGCCTGCGCTCGCTGCGCGTTGAGCTCGCGGAAGTGTTCCAGATGCGTCTCGTACGCCGCCATGTCCCAGTACGGCAGCACGTCCCTCGATGGCTTCTGCTCCTTGCACACAAGGATGTACTTGGGCACCGCGTCCAGATCCACCTCCTTGTCCGGCTTCGACCCTGCCTCCTCGCCCTCCGCCGGCGTGATTGCGGGAAGGATGGGCTTGGAGAATGCGTCGTAGTCCGCCGAGGTGCAAAGCGCCTGTGCCTCTTTAATGCTCTCAGCGTCCGCACGCGCAAAGTACATGGCGTCGTTCGAGTCCTTGACACTCGCAATGCGCGCCGCCTTGAGAGCCTCGCACGCATCGAATCCCGCCAGATGCGCTGGCGGTGTCGTGCTGGTCTCGGCGGCGAGCTTGGTGGCGATCGCATCGAGCGTGTAGTCCGAGTCGCGTCCAACGGCCGACAGAAAGATGGGCAGCAACTTGGGCTCGGCCGTGTCCACGGCTGTTCCCGTTGGCGCGCTCGCCGTCTTGTCCGATACCGCAGCCGCCATGGCCCACTGCGGCAGCTCCGAGCGCAGTCCGAGGCGGTTTGTGAAGAGCTCGTGCATCCAGTGCAGTCGACGCTGCTCGTGCACGCGCAGCTGACGCTCGTGCTCTGCGCGGTCGATGTGCTCGCGCGCCAGTGCCTGGCTGTTTTCGGCCAGCAACACCGGCGTCGAGGTGGGCAGCAGCGGGAACTCGGGATGCGTACCGAACAGCAATGCCTTGCCAGCTCCGACGCTCGCGAGCACCACCGCAGCCTGCCCCGCATAGTCGGGTCGGCGAGCCGCTGAAGAGTCGTTGAGCTCCATGTCGAGGCGCAACTCGTCCGGCTGCGTACGCGCGTATCTCGCGAGCACCTCGACGCCCTGGTCTGCATACGCGTCGGCATCCATAAATGCGCCACCACCGTTGTAGTGGCACCTCCACTGATCCACCTTGCCGTCCGCAAGCGTGCGGTCGAGGTCGACGATCCTTGCGCCCTTGTCGGACTCGTACACGAACCCGGCATACACCGTGCCCTGGCAAGTGCCCGGGTAGAAGCGCAGGAACGGCCGCTCGCCGTCGACCTGCATGGATGTGCCGAGTTCGAACGAGCAGTGGCTCGAGGCGTAGTACGCGCCTGCACAGATGCCCATAAAGTTGCCTCCAGCCTGTACAAAGTTGCGCACCTCGTTGGACGCTGTCCTCTCGCCCCCGCCGCGCGACGAGGGTGTCGACTGCGAGTCGTCTCGACGGAATGGTTTGGCGAGTTCAGCGACGTACGGCAGATCGCGACCGCCGGGAAGCAAGACGAGCGCCGTACCCTTCTGCCATGGATCCAGCGCGAGCGTACGTGCATCCACCGTCTTGACGTCGTACGTCGTCAGCAGCAGCCGCAGCGTCTTGAGCGTATGGTGCAGCGCAGACGTCGAAACGCCCGGCCCCGAGTACACCAGCACGTCCGACATGCTGCTCACCGAGCGAACGAAAGCGCTTGCAATCCGCCTTGGTCGTGCTTGAGCTGCTGGCCTGAGCACAGCCGGGAACAGTCCGGTTCGAGCCACAGCGGTGACGACACGGCCAACCAGATTGACTACAGCGCACGCAGGGGAGCACCAAAAAGCCACGCCCAGGGAGTCCCTTCTCTTCGGTCGTCGCTAGATGCTGCTGGTGGTAGTTGGTTGGAGTCCCGAAGCATGTGCGGATATCGGATCGGTTCGGATACCCTTTTTTGCTCCGCACGGACTTGTGCGAAACCAACAAACCCGACCTAGTCATCCGCATTCAGAGCCACAATATATACGCAGTGCAGGGCGATTCAAACATCGAATTTCATCCCGGCTAGCTCAGTCGGTAGAGCGTCAGACTCTTATTCAAGGGTTTCCGAGCTTTGTTCGGTATCTGAATGTCGTGGGTTCGAGCCCCACGTTGGGAGATTCACTTTTTTGCTTTTTGCTGCCTTGTGCAGCTGCTCTTTTTTTTTTGCCATCCTTTTCTGCTGTCTTTTAGGCTGCGATTCAATTTCTCTGTCGCTCACGACGGGTTGGGATCGCCTGCAAGAGCACACTGAGCCCGACCTTGCGATCTTCCGATCATGCCAACGCACCGCTGCACTCCTCTGGCCCGCTCTCACGATCCAACTCAGGAGCAGGCGTGCACTGTGCAGTGGAGTGCAGACAAAATGTTGTGCATTTTCAAATGGGTATAGAGCCGTACTACGGGCTTTGATCGAAGAATCGAAGGATTGAGGATCAACCGACCTTTCGGAATCCGGCGAAGTTGATGCCCACGCAGCTGACGGCAAACTGAGCCGGCTTCTTGAGGGACTTGAGCATCGTATCTTGGTCATTGTCATCGCTGTCGCTTGCCTCGCTCTCTGCGTCGTTGGATGCGTCGGGAGCGCTCGCGTCGGCATGGGCGATCTTGAACGAGACGCCGAGGGCGTGTTTGAGATCGCGCATCATCTGGATGGCGTTTGCGGTGGGGTGGGCCATTGTGCACCTTGCGACGTCCTGGGGGCTGAGTGCCATGAGCAGGAGGGCCATGGGTTGGTGGCTGCGATCGATGCATCCGCGACCAGCGATCTCGGTGAGCAGCATGCGTGCTGCATCCTGCGCCAGGTCTTCGGGCAGTCCGGGGTCTTGGATTTTGCTCACCGCTTCGGCAGAGTAGATCGCGCCCGTGGTCGAGGTGGCCAGCAGCGTGATGGCGAATCCGGGAGACTTGCCCGAATCTTCGCCGCGATAGACGTCGGCGAATAGGTACAGGTCTGGAATGTAGCAGCCCAGCACGCCGCGCGCAGCATCGATGAGTCGATTCGCCATCTGCGGGCTCACGCGCGTCGAGGTCGCAATCCCCCGGATCTTCTTGATCCTCCCCGGCGCGGTAAAGTTGATCGTAGACAGGTTCTTGATGATGGGACATCGGAAGTGCACCTCTCCTCCGCCTCCAGGCGCACTACCTCGCTTGGCAATCCTCAGCTCGAGCGAGCTCGCCAGTGTCGACACCGAGTCGAGCGGCAAAAACAGCGACAGATGCGGCAAAGTCACGGTTCGGATCGTATCCACTCCCAAATCACCCTCCATATTCGTCACGCCTTTGAGCGTGAGGTGCAGCTCCTTCTTGGCAAAAGGCGCCAGCACCACCATCCATTCGAGCCAGTACCCGATTCCCCTCGTGAGCGCACAGTCGTGCACCACCTTGCCACCTGCAATGATGCCCGGTTTGAGCAGCACCGATGTACCCGTATACGAGATCTCGACATGCGATCCGTTGGTGACCTTTTCGAGCAGACGCAAGAAGTTGGCTTCAAAGTCGCGGATACCGGGACTGGACGAGTCGGGTCGGATCCCGTCGATGCGCACCGGACGCTGCGAGACGAGTGCAAGCACCAAACGCTGTCGAAAGTTACGGTGGCCCGTAAAGCGCAGCAGTCGCGACTTCTCCGTGGTCGCAGACGACGATCCTGAAGCCGCCATCGTCACGTTTAGTCCGAGAGACTACGGTGCTGTGTGCTAGTGTAGAGAAAGTTGACAGCCTCCAGTAATGGCCGCTGATGATGGAGTTCAATCCTCAAGAGTCTCATGCTGGCCTCAGCCTTTTTCAGCCACGCTCTGCTGCTGCTCCTCAAAAACTTCGCTTCACCCAAAAAAAAAATCGCGACCTCCATCCCGCACGCCACGCCTCTCCGAGTTCCGAGCTTTTACCCTCACCATCTCGCCCAGCACACACCACACGCACACAACCACCACGGCGAGACTTGATACATATACATGACGACGTGCAAAGCGAAAGGTGGAAGGCCGGTACAAATACAGTGCAAATTACTTAGTGTGACGAGAGTGGCTAGTGCTCCGGTTCCGCGCAGTGGAAGTACTCCCTGAACACCGGTTCGGTCCGGATCAGCGGCTGCTGCACCACCGTGTTGTACACGTGCAGGAAGAGTTCGGGGAACCTCCTTGTAAAGTAGTTGAGGTAGCCATCCGGCAAGCTCCCCAGAATCTTTTTGAGTGTTGGGGGCAAATCCTGGTAATGGTGCTTCTTGTTGCGCATGGCGCGCAGCAGGTCTTGCACGGACGCCGGATCGTACTTGCGGAACTTGCCGAGGTTGTCGAGGAACATCTTGTCGCATCGGCGATGCCAGTCGGTGCCGAGCACGTTGCGCGCCTTGGACTCGAGCAGCACCAGCGCCGCCGTGGGCGGATCCTTGTCCATGATCTCGAATCGGTCCGACGCATCCTGCAAGAAGTTGAGCCGCTTGTTCGGATCCCAGAAGTACGGATGCGTGAGCACCTCGGCTGCCGACGGCCGATGCCTCGGGTCGTGCGAGACCATGTTGAGCACCAGATCCTGCGCCTCGTGCCCCTCTTCGCCCAGCCCGTCGAGTCGCGAGAGGTCGACGCGCTTGCGGATGATGTTCATCTCGCGCTCGAACCGCGACCCGAACGGATGGTCGCCGTTCGAGAGTACATAGTACGCCAGACATCCGAGCGCAAAGATGTCCACAGCGCGCGTCAGGCGCTGCTTCTCCTCCCTCGAAGAGCTCGCCTTGGGGTTGTTGCCCATCGACGACTCGGACTCGGAGCCGGCGTCGAGGTTGACGTCGCCGCGCAGGATTTCGGGCGCTCGCCAGCCGACCGTACCGCCCGGATTGTTGACCGTCTGCGAGAAGCTCGTCTGCGCCCCGCCGTCCAGGCGCTTCGACAGTCCAAAGTCCGAGAGCAGCATCTTGAGATGCTTGCCATTGGTCGACGTCGCCACCAGAATGTTCTGCGGCTTGATATCGCGGTGCACGATCGAAAGCGAATGCAAATGTCGCAGACCCGACGTGATCTGATGCAAGGCCCTCTTGGGGTCCAGCAGGTTGCTGAGATCGCGATAGTCGGCCGGTCGCTCGACCACCTCGGCAAGACTTGCCGGACACAGTTCGAGCGCAATGAACAGGAAGCTCGGCGTAAGCTCCTTGTAGAAGTAGCGAATGACGTTTGGATGGTTGTCGGCCGACTCGAGCAGCGACACCTCTTTGGAGGCGACATGGACAAAGTCACGCAGCAGCCGCTTGACTGCCACCGCCCTTCCTTGGAACGTGCCACGGAACACCACCGTGCCCGAGGATCCGTAGCCGAGCACCTCGTCCGAGATGCTGAGCGACGACGTGCTGATGCCGTTGTTCGGTGCAGCGCCCGCAAATTGGCTCGCTCCGGAGGCGGCAATCTGGGCAGCCGCTCTGCCGACCGAGGCGGCGTCCTCCTCTTCGAATCCGCCCCAGCCCGTGTTGAGCAAGGGCGAGCGCATTTGAGGAGACATGAGATCCTGCGCACGCTGTAGACTGTCGCTCGCCTTGATCGCCGACCGCAGCGTGCTGGTGCCATTGCCCTTGCTCGTTCTTCTCTCCGCGGGCTGCTTGCGCGGCGTGAGCGGTTCTTCGTCGTCATTCGAATTCGACGAAACGCTGTCCGACACGCTGGTCCGGGACGCCGAGCTCGGCTCCGATTCTTTCGCCGCTTTCGAAGGTCGCGACGGCGTAGCAGCCACGATGTCATGATCCTCCGCCGCTTTTGAGGCCTTCGCATCGTCGTCTCCGTCTGCTTCCGCTTCAGCTGCTTCGTTGGCGTCCACAGGCTCTGGGCTGCCTTCGGCTCCGCTGGTCTTGGCAGCCTTGGCTGCAACTGCGGCGCCTGCGCGCTTTCCGCGGCGTCTGCGCTTGTTCTGCTTCTTCTTGCTGGATGACCCCGCGCCTTCTTGGGTCTCTTCGGCGTCTTCGTCGTCGTCCTCGTTGACTTCGGCGGAGACAGCGCGAGCAGAACTACCTGAAGCGGGCGTCGACTTGGAGGAAGAAGCGACATCCTTCTTCGACAGGGCAATCGCCTGTTGCAGCTGACGCTCCTCCTCGGCACGGATCTTCTCGGCGCCCGCCTCGCCGGCGAAGCCGGCCTCGTCTTCTTTGAGAACAGGGATCCAGACGACGCCCTTTGCGATCTCGGCCGCCTGTCGCTCGGCGCGTGCCTTCTGCTCCTGCAAGCCAAGATAGGTGGCACCCGCCAAGACCGAGACGACCAGGACACCGATCACTTGCAGAAGGACGATGGCAAGACGTGCCTTCCAGCTGCGAGGAGAGCCGTCCGAGAGAGGGTCCGAGGGTCGTCTCGGCTTGCCCGACGAGGTGTCCGAGTCTGAATTCGAATCGGCGTCCGAGTCATCGGGAGATCCTCGGCTGCCGGGTCTGCGGGTTTTCGGCGATGCTTTCTTGCGTCCCGCTGGCGTTCGCGACGGCTGCGAAGAGGCTGAGGACGACTGCTCCGACTCGTTGACATTGGAAGGGCGGGTATCAGACCCAAAGGCGGGTCGGTCTCCAATGCTGAGCCTGGGCTGGCCGCCATCGATCTCGAGAGTTGGATGAGATCCCAAGAGAGAGTCTCGCAGCCTGCCTTCCGCCGATGGGTCCACCTGAAGCGAGTAGCTGCCGAGCCAGCATCCGAACGAGGCGCACTTCTGCTGGCCTTGATGCGCCCAATCGCGCTGCGAGGGTGGCAAGCCTGGTGTCCACGTCTGGCTGTCTGATGGCGAGCTTGATCCATCGGGAAGGCCGGCGGCAGCCCTGGAGGTGAAGGCCACCAATGGGAAGCGATGCGAGCTCATCGCATAGAGGCTGTCGCCAGCAATGCCGAGATAAGCAGAGCGACGGAGCGGACTCGCGTCTCCAAAGCCACCTGACTCTTGATCGCGGCCGTCTCCGATCTGCGGGAAGATGCGATGGAGCGGGATGGAGGGATGCGGCACGAGGATCGGCCGGCTGAGCGACTTGGTGTTCTGCAAGTGCGGTGCGGGATAGACGACGTCGAACACGCCAGCAAGGCTGGCGCGCAGCTCGCTGGACCACAGCGCACGGGTGCCGTCGTCGTGCGAAGCGCCGTGGCGTGAGGCACGGTCGGCCTCGGTGAGGTTGAAACAGACGACGCTACCCTCTTCGGGCATGCCGAGGATGGCGCGATGATCCGGATGATCAGCCTGTGCCCAGAGGATCTGAACATCTCGATCGCCAGCGTTGGGAGCAAAGGTGCTGAAGTGGAGGGTCTGCAGGGCCTCTGGGGAGCTTCGCGAGTGAATGTTGAGCGTGTAGTCGGTGCGGCCGATGTAGGCGAGCTGCGAGGTGGACTTGGACGACGAGCCAGAGAGGGTGGTCTCGTCGTCGATGCAGGCATCGGCGTCGGGATAGGAGTGGCTGGAACCGCCTCGCGCGGATGATACATCCGGATTTGGATCGAGGTCGTGAGTCTGAGCGCCGCACCAGACGCCGGCCTGTCGGCCTCCAAAGACAGCGCCGAGCTCGCCGGTGTGGATGTTGAGCTCGACGAGGGTGGTCTGCTTCTGACCCACGAATACACGCGTGTCGTCACCTGCGAACGAGAAAGGGCTTAGTTCAACAAGCTGTGGGAGGGTGAGGGGGAGTTTGTCGAGTTGCACGCTTCCCGGCTCGCCGCTGAGGGAGGCTGCGGAGCCTGCGCCGGGGTTTGCGGAGGAGAGCACGTAGATGTCACCCGCCGAAGAGGGCTCGACGATGTAGATACCGCCGTTGTCGAGGAGCGGGGAGGATTCGCTGAGTGGAGAAGCGAAGGTGCGGCCGCCCTGGGCCAGCTCGGCAAACGACTTTTGATCCTTGCCGTAGAGTGCGGTGACAAGAGGGCGGAGGAGTGAGTCTGATTCGTGGCTGGAGTGCGGTGAGAGAGACCAGAGCTGCTTGCCTGTCTCGCGGTCGAGTGCGTAGAGGCCACCCTCGACGGTGGTGAGAACGACGGTTTTGGCGAGCACGAGGTCGGAGACAGAGGCTGGGCGAGCGGGTGGAATGCTGCGAAAGCGAGAGCCAGCCGAGGCGAGTTGGTGGTGCCTGCCCGGACGGACGAGCTCGCGGTGGTGGACGGCTGCGGGCGTGCTGGCATTCGGGTCGTCGACCAGACCTGCGGCGGCGTCGACCGAAGGCGGAGCTGTGACCGCCGACACGCCGGAGAAAGCGTCGAAGAGGACGGCGACGAGTGTCCATATGACGAGCTGGAGGAAAAAGATACTGTTGTCGGGCTTGGATGTGCGGGTCGGCTTGCGCGTTCGCGTGGGTGTCATGGTAGGGCGGGAGCGTTGGCGCGCTCTTGGAAGGTGAAAGAGCTTCATGGCGGCTAGCGGCGCCAAGGCCGTTGGCCTCGGCAGGAGATGGAGCGCAAATGCGGCAGGAGGAGGGCAAGGGTCGTGAGGGAGCGGAAGCGGGAGGCGGGACGTGCACGTCACAAACGACGGCAGCAACGGCAGCGTTTCGAAGCGTACGACGCCATATGCAGGATCGTGTCGGAGCTGTAGCTGAAGCCTGTGCAGCTGCTGCTGTTATGAACGAAAGGGCAGTCGTGAAAGGCGGCAGGCGGCTGTGATGTGGCCAAGGCGGGTAGGCAGATCCGACGTGGTGAAGCGCGTCTCGTACGTCGCGCGACGCTGTACCCCGGCTGAAGATTTGGGATGGCGAGGGGTGAGCGCGAGCTTGGAAGGAACGGTAGCGAAGCGCGTAGGGTGAGATGAACCAAGCGCGATGGGACGCAAAAGATGGCCGCGACAAAGGGTTGGATCAAGATGAAGTGGGCGGGACCAAGCAAGCCAGCCAAGCCTTGAATGTGTGAACGCGAGCAGGCAGTCGTGTGAAGCTGCGAAGCGCTAAATCGAGCGCCGCCTCTCCAAATTCGCAGCTTTTGGCGACGCGCGGGGCAGCAGCGACTGCTCGCACGGCTTGGCCTGTGAGCGGCGGCGGCGGCTGCTGCTGCTGAAAGGCTCCGGGCGCCTAGCATCGCCCTCTGCAAGCACCTCTACTTGCCGCTCCCCTGACAGGCACTCTGCTTGAACCCTTCCTGGCTGCCGTTCTGCTGCATCGGGCCCCAAATTTCAAAAATTAGATTTCGATTCGGCCTCGGGACTGTCACACTCGGCACAGCCCGCGCCGCGGAGGAGGCGTCTGCCCAAGAAAAAGTGCTTCCCAGAAGCGCAGAGAAGGAAAAGCACCCTCACACTCCACGTCACAGATAGCAGCATCTCTCTCAAGTCCATGGAGACGGCTCAACGCTATCCGGAGCGGCGACCGCAGAGTCCTGTAGCGACGCCATGTAATTCCTCGTCGCATGGCAGTGAATGATATGGCTAGAGAAGGTCGTCATCGTCGTCGTCGTCGCCGCCCACCATTTCGTCGTTCCGCGTGTCCTGGTCGTTTTCGGTCCGTGCTCCACTGGCGGCGGTCGTGGCGGCCACAAACGCAGGTTGGCGTCCGGTCGGTCTTGCTGCTGCTGCTGCCGCTGCTTCGACTCTTGCCATCGGATCGTCGCTTTCGGCCGCATCGACACCTGCGGACTCGCCACCGCTGCCGTTGACGCCTGCCGCATCCTGCTGCGTCCCCTGCTGGGCTTGACTGCGTTGAGCTTGCGTGAGTGCCGAGGCGGCGATGTACGAGACGTCCGTGTTGAACTGTGCCTGCACCGAGCGCTTGATGCGCAGCATCTCGCGGAACGTGTCTTCGGATCCCGTCTCAATCTCGAACTGGTTCCACTGCTTCCAGAACTCGGTGTGGGTGCGCGGATCGCAGAACTGCGCCGCGTGCGCATAGATCGCACGCGCCCGGTCGATCTCGCCCAGCTTGCGCTCCAGCTCGGCGAAGCGCACGCACATCTCGGCCGTCTGCGCATCCGGCAGCGCCTCGATCGCGCGCTCGTAGATCGGCCGTGTCGCCGCCAGCCCAAAGTTCGCCGCCGCTTTCGCAATGTAGAAGGTAAACATGTCGAAGCGCTCCTCGCTCCCCACCGCCCGCGTCGCCCGCTCGTAGATCTTCATCGCCCGCTTCGCCAGCCCATGCTCCTCCTCCAGCTTGCCGTACATCAGCATGAGCGGCTTGCAGAATCGAGCGGGACACTTGTCCAGCGCCTGCTCGAACAGATCCCGCGCACGCTCCAGCTTGGTGCCTCCGTAGCGCTTGATAAACTTGCTGAGGTACACGTTCCAGATCTCGAACGCCACCGGATACGTGAAGAGCTCCACGCCGCGCTCGTACACCTTGAATGCCTCCTCAAAGTACTCGTTGGCCTCCAGAAACGCCGCGTAGTTGATCATGATCTGCGCATTGGCGATCTTGAGCTCGAGCATCTTTTCGTAGACGCGCTTTGTGCTCTCCACATCGCCCAGCGACTCTTCCAGATCCACGTAGAAGCTCCACAGCTTGAGCGACTTGAACAGCCGCGTCTGCGGCGACAGCGTCTTGTCGTGGTACTGGATGCCCTTGGCATTCTTGGGCGGTGCCACGCTTCGTGCCATCACCCGGATGGCGCCGTCGTAGTTTGAGTGCCGCAGCTCCATCTCGGCCCACTCGCACCACACCTCGGCCAAGTCGTCGACGCGTCGGAACGGCACCGTCACCGCCTTTTCAAAGATCCTGCGCGCCGATTCCAGATCGCCCTCGACCTCTTCCTCCTCTCCGTTCGCGACGTCGGCTCCTTCGCCGGCCGCTTCCTCGGCTCTCTCTTGCGAAAGTCTGGCAAGACCCGCAGATCCGCCGTACTCGTAGAATTGGGCAAAGTTGAGGAAGAGCTGATGGAAGTTGGCCGTCGCCTTGCGCGGATTGATCTTCTGGATGGCTTCGCGATATGTCTCGATGATCTTGTCGTCGTTATCGCCGTAGAGCACCACACGCTTCTCCCACTCCTGCACGTCGTCCGGATTGCGTCGCAGCAGCACGTCGTTGACCAGGAACGGTCGTCGTTCCATGAGCTCTTCGAACTCTTGCATGCGGCGGTCGAGATCCGCCTCCTTCTGCTCGCGTGGCTCCTCCTCGTCATCTTCCTCCTCTCCGCCATCTTCGGCGAGCTCGTCCATCATGAACGCAATCACGTTCTCGCTCGTCTCTGCGTACGCGTCAAAGATCTGCGTAAAGTCGCGCACCGTCTTGACTGCCTTCATGCCCGCCTCGAAGGTGGCGCTCGCCACGTCGAACTCGCCGCGCTTGATCCAGTAGGTCGCCAGTCCCGTCCACAGCCGGCCCGACTGATCCGGAAAGCGCTCCAGCCCGTCTTCCTTGATGATGGCAGTCACGTTGAGACGTGATGGATCGCGCGAATCCGTCTCGAGCTGCTTTGCCAACGACTTGTTGGAAGGTTCCGGTGCGTCCGATGCCTTGCTTTTTGCGCCCTTCTGCGTCGGTGCCTGCTTGGCTGATTTGCCCTTTGCACTGGCACGAGATGCAGAGAGCGGAACGAGGCTTTCCTCCAATACTTGCTTCTCCTCTTCGGAATCGAGGCCGATCTGCTCCGGGTACTTTTCCGTGAGTTCGAGCCATTCGGTGAAGAGCTGGTAGGGGCTCTTGTCGTCTGGGCTGATGTAGGAGCCGTCGGCTGCTCTGCGTGCCAGTCCCAAAAGCAGCTTGGATGCTTCCAGCGCCTTCGATACGCCTCCCTTGGCTCGCGTTGTTGTGCCGTCATCATCCTCATCTTCGCCTTCCGCTTCCGCCTCCTCGTTCTGATCCTCGGTCTGCGCCAGCAGGATAGAGACGTATCGCTCTGTCAACGAGGGGTCGACGCGTAGATATCGACGCCAGACCTTGAGGCATGTCTCGCCTCCACGACGCTCCGCCCACCTGAGGTAGACCTTCCAGATGCGCAGGTGGAGCGAGCCGGGGAGTGTGCGCAGCGCCCGGTCGAAAGTGCGGCGCGCATGCGTGTGAGACAAGGTAGGCGGACACTGCGGATGCAAGAACATGGACAGGTAGCTGAGCCAGATGCGTGGCATAGTCGGTAGCCACATGAGTGCGCGCTCGTACAGAGCAGCCAGGCTCTTCCACTCCTGCCATCCCACTATGCCGTCCAACCCGCCGCGGTACGCAGGTCCGAAATCCTCGTCGTCTTGCGAGTCGATGAGTGTCGGTCCAAAATCGAGCTTCTCGCGAGCCGCTTGTAGATCGCGCTTGCGCTTGGCCTCGAATCCACCCTTGGGTTCGCCCATTACAAAGCGAGAACGATGCTGGAGGTAGTCCCGCCATAGTGCGTATCGAGTGGGAAACTGTGCCAACGCGCGTTCGTATATACTCGTGATACGTCGAAGCGCGATACGCTGCGTGCTGCTCGCGAGCGGACCCAGCAGCGCAGCCTGATAGGTCGTAAAGGCAACATCTGGTGGATTGCGCTTGACCACGTTGGTCTCGACGATGTGTTCGATGTACGATGTCCAGACGCGGTAGTTGTCCGGATTACGAAGCAGCTCCTGCTCGAGCTTGATGTCAGCTAGTGGTATGAGGGCTTCGTCTGTGGTTGGATCTGGGAACGCTGCTGTGAGCGGGAAGAGGGATGCCAGAGGGCCCATTGCCTCTGGGAGCTCCGCTTGCTTGGATGCGCTCTCGGCGACGTCCGCCGGCGCGTCGTCCGTCGGTGCGGACCGCCTTTTGGCCGGCATTACGGATGAGTCGCTCGGAAGCAGCTAAAGCCTGATTGACAGCAAGCTGCGAGCCGACGAGAAAGGTGCTGGTGGCGAGGTCAGTGCAGGATGTCGCTGTTCAAGGACCATCCGCAGTGAAGTGGAGCACGCGAAGGAAAGGCGGAGGACCGTCCGGCAGCAGCTCAGCTTCCGCACTTCCGATTCGCGAACTTTTGGCGGCCGTCCAGCCATAACGAGGGCACGTCACGTGTGCTTCCGCCAAATTTCAATCGCGATTCCGATCCAACTCCTCTTTCGTGACAGCAATCGGGCGGCGTGGGACCCTGAAGAGCCGGCGTCGGAGACAGAGAAAAAGGCTCCGAGCGGGCGCCTCCCGACACTTCAGTCGACCCACGACGTCTGTCCTCCTACGGTATATAACCAGCTCTCAACCACCTCAAACCATCGCTCTTGCTACCCAGGAAGGCTTGCGAGACCAAAATCAGTGATTGCTGTGAACTGTCATCCCATAGCTACGAAAGGGAAGCTAGTGCTCAGTAGTTTCTCGCTGAAAGAGCTCACTTCGGACGTTCATTCGGACTCGCGGGAAAAGGCTCCGACATCGCTGTCCACTGGCACAGACTGCCCTCTCGCTTCGTCCTGCTTCAAACAAAGGACTTGGTCGATCCGGAGAAGCTGCTCTTCGGTCCGGTCATTTGATTTCACATCGCTTTTCAAGCGGGTCTTTTGCCGCCGCGGGTGGTGAGCGACCACGAGACGCAGGAACGAGACTAGCCTGATCCCAGAAGCGACAGTCCTTCGGGGCTTGCATCGCGAGGTGCGACTGTTCCATAGCTCAGACGACTCTTCCCGCCCGATCCTTCGGCTTCGGCTTCGGCGTAATCTCGATCCTCCGACATGGCGCCGTCATCCGCTGCGGTCCTGCCGCCACTTGCCGGGCGACCACGACATCCTCTCAGCCACCAGAAACCGAGTCTCTCCCATAGCCATGGCCGCAAGCTGACCGAAGCTCCTCGACGCTCCGGCTCGGCATCAGACACTTCCGAGTCCTCGCCTCAAAACCCCCATATCGATGAGCCATTCCGCACTCCGGTCACCTCGTCCAGCTCCCGCTCCTCGGTATCGCCCACGACATCCAAGCTGCCTTCGGGCAGCAGCAGCTCGGATGACAAGCACAATCCGAAATCGTCCAACACACAACAACGCAAAATTTTCCCTTCGACCAAGACGACCACCAAGATGTTCGACGGTGGCTTCTCGCCATCGATCGACGTAGCAGAAATCGCGGTCGGCGGGTCTGGCAAAGCCGACCGCATCTTGGGCCCAGATGGAAAGCTGTACACGCAGGGAGAAGCTGCTCGACTGGGACTTATCATCCGCACGGCCTGCGAAGCGTGTCGCAACCGCAAGCTCAAGTGCAGCGGCACTCTGCCTGAAGACGGAGGATGTGGCAGGTGCAAGAGCGACAACGTGGAATGCGTCTATTCAGCCAGAGCGCCCATCGGCCGCCCGAAGAAGCGCAAAGTTGAAGAAGAACAAGACGCTGTCTCCGTATCGCCTTCTCGATCTGCGCTTTCGAGCCAGGATGGAGGCTCAGCAGCCCAAAAGACAAAGCTCAAGGGGAAAGGCAAAGAGCGCGCCTCGAACAGTCTGATCGCCAGAGTCAAGTCCGAGGACTCGAGCTTCTCTGCGGCGTCTCCTCTCGGCGGCGGTTCGTCATATCAGCCCGACAACTTTTTCATGCCGGGTACGCCGGAGCACAGCACCGCATCCCACGATCACTCCTCGGCTGTTCCGACGCCAAACATGTTTGGCATCTACCCAAGCTCGCTCTCGACGCCGTCCATGCCCGGCGCCGGCTTCGAGGACTCGCGTCTGCCGTCGACGCCCGTCGTTTGGTCGCAACATCATCCCATGGCATACGCCGTCACACCGTCCGATGTCATGACGCCGCCGGTGCCTATTTCGCCAGCCACGTCGCAGCCACGCCCTGCCCCTGCGCAGAGCACGCTAGCCGCAAAGATGCCGTCGCTCGACGATCTTTCGGTGGCAGCGTTCCTGCAGTCGCTCGACACGCTCGAGATCTCGTCGGAAGAACTGATGCAGCAGCAGCTACAGCGCGGCAATCTGGCCGCGGCGACGGGCTCAGCAGGAGCGGCGGGTGACGGGAGCTTTGCGCAGGGTGCGCCGTCCGAGGCGACCAACGCCGATGCAAGGACGATACCGACGTCCTCCGTCGAGGCGTGGGCCATGAGCAGTGCGATCCTGCAGCCGGGACTCAGCTTTGCGGTGCCGGCCGACTTTAGCTGGTGGGACCTCGGCCTCAACGGCGCCGACTTTGGCTCGGCAGGTCCGAGTGTGTCGGGCACGCCATCGGCAGAGCCAGCCAACTTCTCGTTCCAGGCCGGACAGATTGCACAAGCTGACCCCACCCTGTCATCAGCGGGCATGGTTAGTGAACAATCTTCTAGGGGTGCATTGCTGTCATCAGCAAAGCCAAGGAAGCGCCGACCCACATTCGGCAGCGAACAGCCCTGGCCGAGGGGCGCATTGGCAGGAATGGGCCAAGGGCAGATCCAGCAGGCCGTTGCGGCCACCGAGACTGGCCTGGGCTGGTCTACATTACCGGGTTTCGAAGCCGCTGCAAGATCATCGGCAAGTCCCGATGGTGCTCAGGCGAGCGGGTCGAGCACAAAGAGCTGCTGCTCTTCCAAGGCGAACAACGGCAAAAATGATTCTCCCGTCGACGAACATGTGAGGCCCGAAGATGAGGGTGTCGACAGCGCGGCGAAGAGCTCTTGTTGTTCGTCGAAACCGACGCGGCAAGCGACACCGCCTATACCCTTTCCCTCCGCCGCCCCTTCCTGCTGTAGTGGCAAGATTGCGTCCCGTAACGAAGTGGCGGAGACGAAGAGCTGCTGCTCCAGCCACGGGCCCGCTGCGACGTCGACGAGCGGGGCGGAGGCCGAGATCGAGATGGGGCCGCTGTCGACGTCGGCCGCAGTCACGGGCAAAGTCAAAGAGGCGCTGGATGTCGAGCGTCGGCGACACGCCGAGACACATGCGCATCATCCGAGCAAGGTGCACTGTGTGCCCAATCCGAGCGGCAAGGGCTGCACCTGCCTATGCGATATGAGCGTCGCGCTTCTCAGTGTCAAGCAAGTCCTGCGCGAGACCGACCCGGCGCGAACCGACAGCCGCGGCACGGCGACAAGTGCACCTCGATCGGCGAGCTTTGCGACGGATACGATTCAGCTGACCTTGACGGCGTCGCAGGCGATCACAGCGCAGTGTGCGTGTTCGGCCGACTGTCCGACGTGCCAGTCGGACCCCTCCACCGAGATTTCGGCGTCGTTACTCGTGTCGACTGCGCTGCAGATCTACGCGCGCGCGGTGCGCATCTTACGCGAGGGCTTCGCCGCCTCCACGGCGGGTAAGACCGACTCTGCCGAAGTCGCCGCTGCAGGCGGGTTCTTTGGCGGTCTCGATGTGACCATCGGCACGTACAAACCGTCGGCGGCCAACGCAAAGAAGATCGCGCTGTTTGCGATCAAGTTGGAGCTCAAGGATCTGCGACGTGCGCTCGGAAAGATTTCACGCATGGCACAGAGCTGGGGCAGCACCGCCGACGTCCCCAAATCAACCGACGATGCAGCGCAACTGGACAATGGCGTGGATGGCAAGGGGCAGGGCATGAACCCCATCGACCAGCTCGTGATTCTCAAGCTCTACCGCCAACTCACCGAACTCCTCAAGACCGTCGAGGGCCTCGAAGACGCAGCCTGATCCAAACTGGCGAACTTCACGCAGCACCACTCTAACTCACGGAGGCCCAGCACAGTCGTGGCATGATGGCCATCGAGGTTCTGAATGCGCACACACCTCTGCATGATCCGAATGGCGTGGTGAACTGAGATTGTGACGATGCATTACAGAACCAAGTATAAGACGAAGTTTGGACCTAGCGGCGGCCCTTCTTGCCGGCAGATGGTCGTTTGGCTGACTTTGTGGGTGCCGACTTCTTGGGCTTGGGTGCTTGCTCCTCCTCCTCTTCGTCATCCGAGTATTCTGGCCATTCATCGGCGCTTCCGTAGTCGTGCTGCATGCCACCGACTGGGATGGGTTCCAGATCAGACTCGTCCGAGTGAGGTTCGATGCCGGGCGGATTATCGTAGCCCGACTCGCTGCGCTTGGGGTTCCATGCCACGCCACCGTCATCTTCGTCGCTCTCCTCTTCCTCCTCGACCTGCTCCTCGTCGCTGTCGGAATCCTGGTCATCATCGAACAGTTCCTCGTCCTTGTCCATCGCCTCGGCATCGCCAAACTGGTCCTCGTAGGCAAATTCGTCTTCGTCGTCCGACTCGTCGGCTTCGTCGTCTGCCGCCTCGTCTTCCGCCTCGCTCTCGGAGGCCAGACCTGCATTGCGACGGCTGGACTTGCGAAGTTCGGCCTTCTCGGCCTTTTTGCGCTCGACGTTCTGCTCCTGCTCGAGTCGACGCTGCTCCTGCAGCTTCTTCTTCTCGACGTGGTCGCGGTGCTGTTGCGTCAGCTCCTGCGCCGACTTCTTGATGTACTCGTGGAAAAGCACCGCACCCTCGTTGCATCCCTCTTCGATCTTGACCAGCTTGAGCTCCATGCGCGGGCCAATCTCGCGCAGACGCACCGCCTTCTGCGTGTTGGCCGCATTGCCGCGTCCGACGTAGCGGTCGTGCAGATGTACCTTGTTGCGCGGGTCGGCGATGTCCTCGGCTTCGGACTCGGCCTCGGAGGCGTCGGTCTCAAACTCGCCATTTACGCTGCCAGAGCCGTTGGTGCGGCCCAAAACGTAGTCGGAGATGTCTTGCGTGGAAGAGAGGTCGGGAAGATGACCGCGCTTGGTGCCTGTGCGAGAGGCGGAACGCGAACCTTCAACCACACGACGCACACTCTTGGAGACGCCAACGGGACGCACCGAGATGAGGTAGTGTCGCCAGTCGATCGTGCCTGTGGCGGCGTTGTAGTTGAGCAGCACGATTCTGCGTGCCTGACTGAGCTTCATCGACTGCACCTGAATGGGCGGGAAGAGGTTCTGGAACGTGGCAACGAGCAGCTTGATCTGACGTTCTTCGCCACCAAAGTTGTTGAGCACGAGCAGCGGTGGCGTGACAAACTCGCTTCCCGGGGGCGTCGGACGCCTGCTGCTCGCCTGCACGTCCTTGGCGAGTGCATACTTGTTGACGCGGAACGTGAGCGTCGGGCCGCGCGGCGCACGCAGGATGCGCAGATTCGTACCGGCGTCCGTCTGACCAAAGATGAGCAGGTGCGTGACGCCGATCGGACCGGCCATGCTGATGTAGTCCTTGAGCTTGTTCGAGTTTCTCTCGCGCAGCCGCGTCGCCGTGTTGGGCTCCATCACCTTACGCGTGTCCTGCACCAACGCCGACACCGCTCGCGGCACCTTGCCCGTGCGAATGATGAACGACTTGGGCGCATTCGTAGAGCTCGCCGCGCTGTTGTTGGGGCCCTTGAGATGCGTGCGCGTCTTCCTACGCCTTTTGACCATTGTGTATAGAGTTTGAGCCGGCTAGTCGGCTAGCGGCGGCGAGATGGGTGTCGCTCTGTAGCAAACCAACAGGTCTTTGGAGGATTCGAAGGCCTCAATTCGACCTCAAAGAATTAATCTGTGTAGTTGGTTGGAAGGGCTGAGCCGTGGGATGGTGGTGTCGAGTGCCGAGAGGAGAGCTTCTCCAAGAGCCATGCATGCGAGTCGCGAAGAAAACTCGCACTTCGCCTTCCTCCTCAAATTTTTCGGCGTTCTGTGTGGAGTTCAGGGTCTATTTTCTCGCAATTTGTGAGATCCTTTTGGACGAACAAATATGAGCATTTTGCTGCTTGCCTTTCCGCACTTTCCCAAGCCAGGCCGCTGCTCCACTTGTCCGCGTTCGAGCATCTTCATACACACAGAAAGCTCAAGCGACCTATGCCCGTGGCGCACCCTCTGATCGTCAGTGAGCCTGTTTCGATGAGTTCGGACGTACACACGGTCTCACAAGGCGAGCAAGTGCAACAATGAGTATCAGGTTACGATTGACATCAAGACGGAACGAGTGCTACTCTCGATGTCCAATCAGGCAGTCCAGACCTTGGCGATGAGCTCGGTGAGTCCGACATCGTCTGCGCACAAACCGAGCAGGGCAAACGATCAGCATACTGTGCACGCAATGATACGAGCTAGCGAGCCATACTTACTAGTGTTGAACTCGTAGAGACCGTAGAGCGTCGCGAGGGTGGCCGCACGGAGCGTCCAGGTGGACAGGGGACCGGCGATGGGGAACTTGCGCTTGTGGAGGTAGTCGGCGAGGATGCAGTCGAAGCCGATGTGCGAGTGCACGACGAGCGTGAGGGCAAGCGCACCGTCGAGGATGGCCGACGAGCCGTGCTTGGCGAATCCTGCCGCGACGAGCGGGATCAGCGCGACCGAGAGCCCGCGCTCAAACGCCCAGTGGTTCGAGCCGTGTGCGGCGTTGGGCTCGGGGAAAGGGGTAGGGTCGTTGACGGTACCCTTGACGTAGGCTGTGCATGTGTGAAGAACAATGCGGATCAACAGTCAGTAAACTAGGTTCGACGAAGCCGTGCGTACTCTCGCTACTGCGAAGCGTTTCTGCGTGTTAGCCGGAGTACGTCCGGGGCCTCTCGAGCGATATCGACGGATGTAGACGATCCGCTCTGGCTAGCTTCTGTCTTGGCTCGCTGGACCGAGGTACAGTTGGACAGGCGTGGAAGGATAAAACCGCCATGACTTGCATCAGGGTGATTTGTCGTGCTTCGTCCGGCTGCCTGTTATCCTATGCGAGCTGCTAGTCCTCCAGAGAAGAGCATGCCGCTGAGGCCACCTTTGTTCCTGCCGCTCATTGCGCCTGACGAAGCGCCCACAAGTCCATCTGCTCGCATCTGCGCACCGCGAGAGCCGTCTGTGGGCTTCTGCAATTCATGCTGCTTCCCGGCTTGCAGCATCAGCCGCTACAACCGTCGGATATGTGCAGTACGCTGTTGCAGCATTGCTGGGTGTCGGGCCATTGCAGCGGATACTTACGTCCTTGGCTGGAGGCGGCAACCTTGCCGGTGGGGGTGGTCTGGAACGCGCGCGAGCCGCCTGCGATCATGCGGAGCTGCGGGTTGCGCGCAGCCATGGAAAGCCTCAAGGGCTGCTGGAGTGCGGGGAGCATGGCACGCATCTTTGTGTAGTCGATCGAGATGGGATGGTGGTAGACAGCAGATGTCAATGTCCAGAACGGAACAACGCGATTCAGTCGAAGGTGCGGGGCAGCTCGAGACGGCCAGGCGCGCTCGCTGTGTGCTTGAGCCAATCTGAGAGGGTCTCTAGCTGGCGTGCCATTTGTCATCGGCTCAAGGCCCACACTCACTTTCATCCACTTTCGACTTGCTCCGATCGGCAACAGCTCGTCAGTCTCCTCTCTCCAACACACGCGCGCGCGACTGGCTAGCCTAGCTTTCCGCTTCGCCCGGCCATTTCCGTCCCTTTTACCCCCCTCCGCCGCAAATTCCTCTCGGGTCCGAACGGCCTCGGTCTAACATCCACAAAACAAAATCCGCCAATCCGTCGCAGCAACGCTAGCAGAAACACCTCGACCTCCCTGCCTCAGCTCCTCAACTGGACCAAACGCAAACCGCCGAAATGGACTCACACGCCGCACTCTCTCCACACAGCAAAAAGAAGAGCCAGGTAATCGCATGGATTTTTTGGGGGTGGGTTGCACTCGTGGCAGATGCAATGTGGATGGGGGAAAAGGGGGGAATGCGGTGAGATGAAAATACAAGGTGAACGAAAGGAACAAGAGCAGAAGCGTCCACGAGGCCAAAGCGAGCGAAGCTCTCGCTTAGGCAACGGGGGCCTTGATCTTGCGCTGGCCGAGGAAGGCGTCCTTCTCGGCGGGGGTCTGGAAGACACCCTTACCCATGGTCGACGAGGTCGAGATCCACTTGAGCGAGACGTTCTCAAGAGCACGACGCGAGGTGTGCACCTGGAGCGACTTGCGCAGGGTGAGGACACGCTTCTTGACACCGGGGCACGAGCCCTTGATCATGACAAAGTCGTTCTTGACCAGACCGTAGTGGGGGAAGCCGCCGAGGGGAGTGATGGTCTTCTCGGTGGTGTCGAAGTCGGTCGAGCCCGAGGTCTTGTCCTCGCCGTTCGAGATGCGGTAGATCTTCTTGCCAATCTCGGTACGGTGGTGGTATCCGTCCTGACCCGAGCGAGCCACGGTGAACATGACGTTGGCCGGGTGCCAGGCACCGATACAGGCGATCTTACGCAGACCACGGTGGGTCTTGCGCGGGAGCTTCTTGGTACCCCAACGGGCGGTAACACCCTCGTAACCGTGACCCTTGGTGACGGCGATCACGTCGATGATCTCGTTCTGCTCAAAGACCGACTTGACGTCGAAGGTCTTCTCGAAGTGCTCCTTGGCAAAGTCGACCTTGTCGGCGACGGAGCCACCGTTGATCTGGACCTCCATGAGGTGCGACTTCTTCTGCTTGAGGCCGGTCTTGCGCACCTGGGTGTGGGCAAGGACACGGACGACGGTGCAGTACTTCTTGATGCGCTCGAGCTCGCGCGAGATCGACGAGCCGTTGTTCTCCGAGTGCTTCTTGGCGTACTTGGTGAAGGCCTTCTTCTTGCTGCGGTACCAGTTCTTGTAGAAGCGACGCTTGACCTCGTCCGAGAGGTGCTCGGCCCAGACGGTGGTGAGCGAACGCAGACCACGGGGGGTCTCGACGTAGCCGACAACACCGACGGCGACCATGGGGGGAGTCTCGATGACGGTGACGGCCTCGACGATCTCCTTCTTGTGCATCTTGGAACCGGGGCGGTCAAGGTCACGCACAATGTGGGTCATGCCGGCCTTGTAGCCGATCATGGCGGTGAGGTGGACGGGCTTCTTGGGGTCATCCTTGGGGAAACTGTTCAGTGAGGAAAGGCGTTCGGATGGTCAGTACTGCCGTCCAGCAATCAATCGCGCACGCATGCTAGTGCAAGCTTCTACTTACGCCTTAACCTTTCCGCGGTGGCGGGCAGCGCGCTTGCGGGGAAGGAAACCCAGCGAACCGTGTCGCGGGTGCTCGAACTGTAGGGTGCATCAACAGCAGACAGGGCAGCAGCAGCGACAAGGAGTTGTCGGAGCGGAAGCGAAGTCGATGATGTGCAATGAAAGCAGATGGAAAGTGGGAAGCGAAAAGCAGGCGAATGCCAGGCTGCATCAGCAAAGCTGTACATCGACCTAAAAGCATTCTGAAGCCTCGTCCTCTTCGCCTCCGTCTCTGTCGCCTGGAATGCCATCGCCGGTGTCTCTGAGTGGCGATGATTGAATGCATGTGTCGGTCGTTGCGACGGCCGAAAGCGTTGGATGCTGCCGAGAACAGTTGATGCCAGATGCACGCTCGTGACGAGGGTGGCGGACACGATGTCGGATTGGCGGAGTGGCGGGTTCGGACGATGGATAACTTTCGATCGAAACTTGCAGTGTTGAAAATCAACGCAGCGAGAATGGATCTACGGTTGTATCTTCGCTGAAAGAGACCACTAGTCCACCACCGTATCCACTGCTTGCCTGCGTCCACCTCGACTGCCCAACAACTTCCGCTTCCATCGACCGATTGTTGGTGCTGACGTCGATGCATGTCGAAACAACCGTTTCATCAGAGATCACTGACATGTTCCACCAAAGTGCGCAGAGATGAGGGCGCGAGAACGAGTGCTACTGGGTTGCCCGGCTACGAGTGCGATTGCTGGTCCTCCATCTTCTTTCCCGTCCTCCTTGCATCTATGGCGATGAGCATCATGTGTGCGGCGCGTCTATGCATCCTCCTGCGTCTCCTCCATGCTGGTGATCCATGACAATATCGTAGCCGGGCTGCAAATATGAGGGATTCCCATCAAGTCGGAGGGATATTTACCTTGCAGTGAGACATGTTGACCTGCGGGTGATGAATGAATGGTGGCGGGAGGAAAGCGTGGAACACGTCAGCTGGACTGTTCTTGGTCTGCTGTCTTTGCTGGACTAGGAGGCCAGCGGTTGTGCCTGAGTAACTACTCACGTTAGGCCTTGAGGATGTTCGTAGAGAGAAGGGAGGTGTGCTGCCGCTTGGCACCGGTCACAAACCTCGACGGCGCTCGTCTCGCTAGCTCACTGGCCGCCAGTCTCTGACCACAGGCTCGCGGCTGCCCGCGCTGACTCTCTCACTCTGCCACTTCAGCCTCTGCTTCCGCACCGAGTCCCGCCCAGCGCTGTCCAGTGGTTCTTCCATCGCCTGTCTGGAGCCAAGGGCCCTTCGGTGGCTGGCTGGCTGGCTGCTCTGCCTCGCAGCGTGCAAGCGAAAATCTTGGAATTGGGTCTCGTGACTTGATAGATACAGCAAAATTTTCACTCTCTTTCCCGCCAGATTCGACGAGAGCGTGGGAATTTTTGTTTTGAACCGCCAGACGGCCCTCCTCTGCTTGATGAATTTGAGCATTGGTGTGAAGGTCGACAGCTTAACACTATGAAATTGGGCGCAACTCAGCAACTCTGAAGGTCAGTCTCAGAACCGTAGCGTGCAAGTCTCACGGCAGCCCGCTCACTCACACAGGGGCATCCCGGCTTGGCCATCAGCATGAAATGATTGCAGTCAGAAGAAAACGACGGTGCGGTCCAGGTCCCATCCGAGCTGCTTGAGGCCTGCCGAGACAGCCTTCTCCATCGGCGGCGGACCGCACACCAGTGCCAGCGTGTCCTCGAGCTCCTCTGGCGAGCTGGGCACGGGCGGCGGTGGCGGCAAGTGCTGTCGGAGGCAGTCGAGATTGACGTGGCCGCGACCCATGGCCCACGTGGAGTCGGAAGCGCAGCTGCTGAGAACATGCCAGACATAGAGATTGCCCTGCAGTGCTGTGCGAAGGCGCTCGAGCTCTTCGCGGATGAGAATGTCTTGCTCTGTCCTGTTGCCGTAGACGATCCACATCTGGATGGGATCCGACGCGGCCGGGCCTCCTGCCAGAACCTCGTCAGCGATGGCTTTGAGCGTCGACCAGATCGGCGTGATGCCACTGCCGCCCGCGATCATGGCGAGCTTGCGCACGCGACGGATCGCATTAGTCGGCCGCCACTTGATCTGTCGGTCACCCAGATAGGTGAACGAGCCAAGAGGACCCTTGAGCTCGATGGACAGGTTTGCATCGGCCTGCGATGCAAGGTCGATGTTCTCGAGAAGCATCGTCATCTTTCCGCCTTCAAAAGATACATTGCCACCCTCCCCTCCGGCTTGCGCAGGAAGCGAAGGGAAGTACACCTTGATCAGGATGTCCAGGAAGCCGCGCTGGGTGTTGCCACTGTACGGAGTATACGCTCGCTGAACCGTCTCGATCTCGCCCGTCTTGGGATCCTTGCGCCTAACACGCACAAAGACGTGCTGCCCCACGGGTAGACCCAGCTCCTGATCGGATCCAGCAAGGGCGAAACGGAAGATGCGTGCGTCTGGAGAGATGATCTGCTTGCTCACCAGGCGCGTGGCACGCCACTTCTTCGGATCCAAGAACGGTTTGCTCGTGTCGATCACATCTGGCTCGCTATGGGGCGTTGTAGCAGCAGCCGATGAGTCGACTTCTTGCAGACGGCCCACGTGGTAGTCTCTGAGCATCTTCTTGGCATCCATCGAGTGGATCGCCATAAAGTCCTCGGTAGCATCTTCACCTGCCACAAGGCGGATGGACTGATCGCCACCAGGATGGTCTTTCAGGAATCCCGTCCCATCATAGACGTGGCCATGTACGACGAACCACGGTTCAGGCCCCTCTCCATCGCTATGAGCTGCGAGATCTGTAGCAGAGACGACAACGTCAGCTTTGGCCGGATTGAGCATGACGGCTCTGTCGTCCTCTTTCGCCTCCTTTTCGGCAGACTGAGTCTCGGCGGCAGGCAGAGAGCTTTGGGAGGTGGAGCTGCTCGCACCGCCGAAGTCAGGATAGCGCGGATTGGCACCGGCCTCGTTCATCCTTTGCATCCATCCGCCCGGCGCGTTTCCAGCCAGCGTTGGATGCTCGAAGCGAATCTTGCTGCCGTCGGGTCCCTCGCGATGGACGGCGACACGGAACCACCAGGAGTTCATCATCGACGTCGCATTCCAGTACATGTCCCTCGGCATGGTCGCCAGACCCTCGTCCATGGCTCGCACCGAGATGACCTTGACCTCTTTGGCGATCAGATCCGCTTGGACATCGATGTCAAGCCGCCAGAAGCACCAGGCAAAGCTCATCTCGCTCGAGCTGAGATCCAGAGTGCCAAAGTAGGGGTGATCTTGGATGGGGTACATGCGGTAGAGGTCCTCCGGGCAGTGGATGCTGGCACACTTCCAGGTGTTGCCGTCGTCGAGCGAGATCTCGACTCGAGCGATGCGTCTTCCACCACCAGTGTATGCGTAGCCCTGGATGGGAAGTATCTGTGGCTGAGATGAGCTTGAACCGACAAAGTCGATGACCTGATTGTGATCGGGCGAGCAGATAGCAGCGTTGACGTTGAGGTCGTTGATGATGTACTTGGGGTCGTACCACCAGTGCATTTCGCTCCTAGCCTGGTCTGCCGTGACCTCGGTTGGAAGCACCTTGTTGTCGTGGAAGTGCAGATGATGCTGGCTCTCGCGATCCGACACCTCGATACGGTCGAGCCACTTGACCATCCTGCCGCCGATCTGTCCAGGCACGACGAGGCGCAATGGATAGCCATGGTCTGGAGAAAGGTCTTCACCGTTCAGACCCCAGGCGATCATCATACCTTTGCTACGATCGAGAGCCCAGTTGAGGCGCTGAGAAGTGCCGTACTTGCCCTTGGGCAGCACGTCGGCGCCTTCAAACACCACGTGCCTTGCGCGTCCGGGAACGACGACATCGTAGGCCGGGAACGACGACAGAAGCGGGCTCTTTGGTTTGCAGTATTCGAGAATGTCGGCGAGGTACACGCCCGTGAAGAGACCGGTAGAGACACCCGCAGCACCCCAGTTGAAGCCAAGTCCTTTTGCGACCATGTTCTGCTCTTTGCGTCTGTTGCCTGCGCAGACAAGCGTGATTGGCAGAGTGTATGTCGGGAACTTTTCTTTGAGCTCTTGGATGCTGAACTCGATCTCGCGGTGCACGAGGCCGTGCACCTTGAGCTTCCACTGCTCTGCCTGCTCTTGCGTCACCCTGGGCGTGTCGCCGTGCGAGCGGACGTAAAAGAGGTTTTGCGGAGTGAGGAATCCCTTGGAGAAGAGATCGGCAAGCGGCGCCTCGGTGTTGCATGGATGCTTGCCAGTGAGGCGGATCATACGCTCGTCGCGCGCAATCCAGTTGTCCGGTGTGTTGGAGTCGGTGGCCAACGGCTGCACCGTTTCCGACGAGGGGATTGCTGGAAGGAGCTTGTCGTCGTAGTAAGGCCTTGGCAAGAACGGATCGGGTGACGCTGCTGCATCTTGAGAGATTGCTTTCGCAGCCGAAAGTGTAGGACTGGAAGGTTCAGGAGTTGTGACCGACGAAGAGGCGCTCGAAGAAGGCGAACCAGACGAGGAGCCTCGCGATTCTGTTCCTGACTGAGTCGAGACCGACATCCTGGGCAGCTTGAATCAGACCTTGATGGTGGATGTGTAAAGTGTAGGCGAAGAATGTTCAGGCGTTGCTAATGGGAGATCGTGAAGTGATCAACGCCTCAAGCAAGCAGTGACTGAGAGCTCTGGATACTCCAGAACGTTGCTTCTTTCTCGAAGTCCAGGCAAGAATGTCGGTGCGTGCGGGGACGGACTGAGAGTGTATGGGTGCGAGCCAGCCTCGCTTCAAGCAATCTGGCCACTTTCTGGCGCTTATGCAACGAGATAGCTCTTGGTTGATCTTTCCCGAAAAGGACTCGATGCTTATCGCTAGCTGGCGGCGTTTCGGACGAGCGGACGCCGGCCTGGAGTGTGATTAGATCAAGTCGCCGTCTGTGCAAGAGATCCTCGGCGTGCTATTGGCTGCTCGGACATACGGGCACTTAGATTGCACGATCCATCGAGAGGCCTTTTCGAGCCGGCGATGCCAGGCCTACGCAGACGCATTGTGCATAGTGTCATCATCCGTGCTCGCAAGGCTTTGTTGGACGATTGATGAGATAGAGCGGCTTAGTGCGTATCTCTGGGCAGGGAGCAGAGGGGTGAGCCTGAGCCCCCTGGCACTAGCGCCCTACTAACTGCCGTTGCCCGCGCGAATTCCTGCGCTGCCCCAGAGCTGTCCAAATGCGCGTCGGCTCGCGAGGCTCTTCCAAGTGACAGGCGGTGTGGCGTTCAAAGCTGACGCGCGTTTCTATAGATAAGCAGACAGGACCCAGATTTCGAGCTCGCCGTCGGAGCTACGATATTCCGCTACGCCAGTCGCCGCCATGCGTCCCGCACCTCCTGATAAGCAGCTCCTCGTTCGGCATCTCGCAGCGGCTTCGAGAGCTTGGCGGATACGGAGACAGATCCCAGGCGCTCAATCCGAGCTCAAAGGCTGGCAACGCACGCAGATTGATTGGTCGCCAATCAGAACGAAAGACGCGGCAGGATCGTCGGCCGAGTTGCCACCGCTTCCACCCAGACCCGCCAAATGCTTCTCTGGCTTCAGCTCTCGTACTTTGGTCATCGAACTCCTCACAGTCGGTCAGCGGACAGGGGCAGTCGGCTTCGCAAATCTCAAAATCAATTCCATTTCTCGTGCTATACAGTCGCTCACCAGTCGAGCGACGCTTCTCCGCAGGAAGCCTTGATCGGAGCTGTCACCGATCCCGAGCCTCTCTTTGGCCCCGATGAAGACTCGAGCTGGTCCATATCCAGAGGTCCGGTGATCTCGACCGAGTGCGTTTGACCGCCAGCCAGAGCATCTGACTCTTCGGTCGCTCGACGCAGCATCCACTTGGAAGTCAAGAGGACCGCATCGAGAGCCTCGGTCGGAGGAAGCTTGAGGAAGACAAGGTCTTGGTCTTTGTCCAGCTTGGCTTCGAAGGTCATGATTGAGAAGTCGCCGTCGTTGCACTTTCCACCCTCCTCTTCCGCTTTGGCGGAAAGGATGTAGTTGCGCTTGTGCAGAGGACACGAGACGTACTCTCTTCCTTTGTCGTCCTCGCCTACCAGACCATCTGCGAGCACAAAAGCACGTCGATGTGGGCACATGTTCTGCGCAGCTCGCACGCCGCGCCCCGGGATGTTCCATACCGCGATCTGGGTGTCACCGTACTTGATCGTGGCCGACGAAGGCGAGTCCACCTGCGGGTCGAGATCCGAGTATTTGCACACCGCGCGCCATTCCCACACTGCTTCCTTGGCAACATCCAAAATGCTAAAGTGCAAGGGACCCGACTCGGTCGGCCAGTCGACGGGACGCTGCTGTTCACGCTCAGACAGCTTCTCCGACACCTCCTGCGTCTCGTCCGTGTTGATGAACTGGCGGAACGCCTTTTGGCGCGCTGGATCGCGAACCACCTTGGTCCATTCGCAGTGGTAGGTGCCTACCAGTACCTCCATCTCGCGCTCGAGATCCTGGCAGATGCCCAGCTTGTCATCGACAATCACCTCCTTGAGCCCCTTGAGTCCGCCAGGGAACTTCTCGATCCAGCGCGCCGTGCGCTCGAGCTTGTCGGCAGAGCGGATGTAGAAGAGGATAAAGCGATCCAGAATCTTGATCGCCTCGCGTCGCGTGACGTCCTCGGCGATGAGCTCGGCGTGGCGAGGCTTGGCACCGCCATTGCCGCCGACGTAGACGTTCCAGCCCTTGGTGGTTGCAATGAGGCCGAAGTCCTTGCCTTGAGCCTCGGCACATTCGCGCACACAGCCCGAGACACCGCCTTTGAACTTGTGCGGGGCGCGCAGACCCTTGTAGCGCGTCTCGAGCTCGTGTGCGAGGCCAACCGAATCACCGACACCGTATCGGCACCATGTGCTGCCCACGCACGACTTCACCGTGCGCAGCGCTTTGCCGTAGGCATGACCGGATTCGAAGCCGGCGTTGACGAGCTTCTCCCAGATCGCAGGCAGATCCTGCTTCTTGGCACCGAACATGTCGATGCGCTGGCCACCAGTGATCTTTGTGTACAGCCCGTACTCTTCAGCCACCTCTCCAATCACCTTGAGCCCAGCAGGGGTGACTTCACCGGCAGGCAGGCGGGGAACGACCGAGTAGGTACCATCGCGCTGCACGTTGGCGAGATAGCGGTCGTTGGTGTCTTGCGTCTGTCGCTGTTGCGGGTTCATAATCCAGTCGTTGTATAGCGAGGACAGGATCGAGCCAACTGCAGGACGGCATACCTCGCAGCCAAGGCTGTCGGCCTTCTTTCCAACAGCCTGCATGGCAGAAGTAAAGTCCTTGAGCTTCTTGAACTTGATGATCTGGTAGAGCTCCTGTCGTGTGTAGGCAAAGTGCGCGCACAGATGGTTGGAGATCTCGACACCCGCTTCTTTCAGGGCCTTGTTGAGGATGCTCTGGCTGAGCGGGAGACATCCTCCACAACCAGTGCCGCATTTGGTGGAGGACTTCATTTCGCCGACCGAGCGGACTCCGCCGTCCTTGACACAGCGAATGAGATCGCCCTTTGTTACGTTGTGACAGCTGCAGACCTGTGCTTCGTCGGGAAGGTCATCGCCTTCTTCTTCGCCTTCCTTCTTGGCTCCGATGATGAGCTCAGCGGGCGGCTTCTCGATAGCAGCGCCCTTGTTGCAAAGTGCCACGAGCTTGACATAGTCCTTGACATCGCCGACCATCATGCCGCCCAGAAGGTACTTGCCATCGGCCGTGAAAATGTACTTCTTGTACACGTCCGAGAAGGGGTCCCGGTAAGTGAGCGCCTTGACCGACTTCTTGATTTCGTCCGCTGTCATGGGAGCCGCAGCAGCGCTCGCCTTGCCCCGCCTTGGAGCACCGGAAATGGGAAGGGGTTTGCTGATCTTGCCTTGGTCCGCAAAGAAGTCACCGAAGGACGCAACGTCGACGCCCATCAGTTTGAGCTTGGTCGAAACGTCGGGCGACTTCATCTTGCGCATTGCATGATGGGGGCCCTCTGTCAGATTGAAAGCGAGGACTTCGGCCATCTCGATACCGGGTGCAATGAGGCCGTAGGTCTGGTCTTCGAACGACGCGCATTCGCCGATCGCGTAGACTCCGGGCACGCCGGTGCGGAGCTGGTCGTCGACGACGAAGCCTCCGCCGCGCTTCTGGACTTCGAGTCCCGGCACCTCGTTGGAGAGCTCATCGCGAGGCTTGATGCCGACTGCAAAGACCAGCATGTCGATGTCGAAGGGCTCGTCCGGGTTGCCATCGTTGCCTTGCATCATCATGGCTGTCAGACGCCCGTCTTCGGACCAAATGAGGTCGCGGACGCGACCCTGGAGAAGGACCTCGACTCCGAGATCGCGAACTTTCTGCAAGACGAGTGTACCGCCCTCCTGGTCGAGCTGGCGAGACAGAACCCATCGGTTGCGCTCGACCAAAACAACTTGGTCGACCTCCTCGAGGTCGAGAAGTGCTTTGGCCGCTTCGAGGCCCAAGAGACCTCCTCCGATCACACCCGCCTTGCGGATGCGGCGGCCGAGCGTCTTTGGCGCATCCACTGCATATGCGATGATATCGTCGAGGTCTTTGATGGTGCGGTAGACAAAGGTGCCCTTTGTGCTGTAGAATTGGTCTCTTGTGATGTAAGGCGGTAGCGAAGCGTCCGACCCGGTGGCAAGGATGCACTCGTCGTACGAGAACTCGATTCCGCGCTGTGTGCGCACTTGCTTCTTCTCGGCGTCAATGGCCACCACGGGGTCCGAGGTGTGGTACGTGAGCTTGCCTTTCGCGTGCGAGCTGTACCAGTTGAGCTCGTTGAGATAGAGCGACTCGATGGAGCGGTTGGCAAAATACTGCGTGAGTCCGACACGGTTGTAGGCGATGTGAGGCTCCTCTCCAAAGACGGTGATCTCCCATTCGTCGCGGCCACCTTGAAGGTCATACTTGAGCAGCTTCTCGATGAAAGCGATACCGACCATGCCGAGGCCGACGACACATGCCTTCTTTCTGGTTTTGGGGACGAGCGAGAGCTCGGGCGTTGTTGCTCTCGTCGAGCCCGAGGCTGAGCTCGTCGGGCCGGACGCGGTCCAGCCCGCTGTCTCGGTGGGTACGGGTGCCATGACTCTTGCGCTTCAACAAATGGCCACTTTCTCCTTGCAGTGGATTGAATGATAGTGCGGTACGAAGGAGGCGGATGTTGATGATGATGATGATGATGTGCTAAGTGTTGGTGGCAATCAATGAAGTGAACGGATAGAAGGAAGAAGATGTGAAGAGAGGTCGCAGCTTGCCTTCTTGTCAGCTTGAGGTCCTACAGCAAGACTTGCTTTCGTACATGTGCTCTTCGCTCAAGAAGGTCTCTTCAAAGTTCGCTCTGTGACTATCAGGGGAGACGCGCTTCTCGGCAATCACAACGGAGGCTCCTTTTGCGCCAGCCCGGGATGGCACCACTGCGAGGCTGGGATTTCCAATCTTTCCGCAAAGTGCGTGCGGAAAGATGCGGAGAATAGCGGGGTGATAAGATGAGGATCCAGGCTTTGCTTGATCGAGCGTTCGCATGCTTTGCTGCTTCCTCGACCTTGTCCATGCAGTGCTTCTCTCGGCAGGCGGTGAAGCGGGGAGCGGGAGGAGGCAGGAGGCGCGACTTTGAAATTCTTTCCACAGGCAGAAGATGCACAAGTCAAAGAGCGCTAGCCGACACGCGTTGCTGCGCGATAAGGGACGTGAGACCCAGACGCAGAGATAAGGAAGCTGCGGAAGCCTTCCAACCGCCGCCTAAGCCCTTGGCTGTTTGCCGCTCGCGCCACCCTTGATCAGGCCCTGTTGATGGCGGTGCATCGCAGCTCGCTTCCACTGACTTGAGAGCGCACCCAGAAGATAAGCTTGTCCCTACATCTCGACGTCTTCGTGAGACAAGTCCCGCACGACTCCAGATCAGCACCTCTACTCCTTTCACACCAATCAAAGCCCTCGCTCACATCAGCTAGTTGCGTGAGTAATCTCCGCTTTCGCCGCAGCTTCTGTCGCACGACCTTCTCGGCACATTGTTTGCGATAAGCAGCCAATCCGCGACAGTCCTTTCCCCGTCTTTCACCCAGATCTGCTCTTTCTCACGGCAGCGATTCTGGAGCCCCGACTGCTGCGTCAGGTTAACGATCATCTTGCAACGTGGCCACTTTCGGCATCTCGCGCTTTTGATTGTGGCTGGCTTGGTCCCGAGCGCCTCGGCCGTCGAAGCTTCGGCGGCACAAGCAGCCGCCATCTAATCTGGGAGCGGAGATTCGTTGCAGGCATCACAATCAGAAGCATCTGATTGGCTCAGAATGATCCCTCGTCAGTATCATGATCTCATGCCCGAAGATGCCAAGGACATGTCGATTCAGGCTTGATCGATGTCTGCAGATGCTCTAGAGATGTGCTCGACAGGGCAAGGTGAGGACTTGCTTTGTGAGAGACAATTTCGACGGCATGCCCGGGCGTAAGGACCCGCACAGTCAGGCTGAAAAGAAGGAGCTGACTCGGTCCGGTCACCGCCTTATCTTTGCGCACCGTCTCGTGCCAGCAGCCGGCAATGACAAAGGCTCCGGTGCTCTTAGAACGATCATTGCTCATTCTGAGGGCTCGGAGGTCTAGACTTGAAGGCTCAGCCCGCCTGCCCTCGACCGCCGATCGGAACGCCGAAAAGATCCCGCTCCCTTCTTTGCGAGAAGACCATCTTATCTTTCAGCCAGCTGCATCTGAACTTGTTCGCTCTTTCAAGCTTTGAGAACAGGCTCAGAAGGAAAGGAAGGCTTGGCGTTCAAACGGCACCGTCCTGATCCAAGTCGCGGAGCCTTGCGGGTACGCAGGAATCGTCTCCGCATTACTTCGGAACCTCTTCCCTGGACTTCGGCCATCAGCTATATCAAAAGCACCTTTGTCCAACTCTATCCCTCTTTGAGTTCGTTTCCCAGCAACACTAACTCAACTCTCCTGCACGAAGTCCGATACCCCCCTCGTCAACATGACCATCGAGGACGAAAAGGCTTTGCGAGGCGACATGTCGCGTTCGTCGCCCTCGTCATCCAACGCATCCAAGACTGATCTCGAGATCACCGAGGCCATCGCTGCACCTGTCTCAGAGCACGCAGGCATGGCTACGATGCTCCGCATGGGTACCAATACCGGCGGTGTAGTCACCTCGGAAGAATACATGACCGAGGACGAAAAGGCCGCCAAGGCACTCAAGGATTTCGGGTACCACGGCTTCGAATGGTCCTCCCTCTGGCGACCTGCCGAGATCAACCCGCTCAATGGCAAGTCGTACACCTTTCCGATCTTCCGCATTTTCGACGTCTACTCGACGTCGTTCTGGCTGGCAACGCTTGGATTTTTCGTTGCCTTCCTCAGCTGGTTCGCGTTCAGTCCGCTCATGCCCGAGGCAGTCAAGGCCGACCTGAAGCTCACCTCGGTCCAGGTGACGCACTCGAACATGGCCTCGCTTGGAGGCACCGCAATTGTGCGTATCATCGCCGGCCCAGCGTGTGACAGGTTCGGTCCACGAAAGGTCATGGCTGCTCTGCTTGTTCTCGGCGCCATTCCGTCCGGGCTGGCGGCAGTAGTCAAGACCAGCGAGGGGCTGTATGCGGTCCGATTCTTCATCAGCATCCTCGGAGCCACTTTCGTCACGTGTCAGGCTTGGGTGTCGACGTTCTTCGACAAGTCGATCGTGGGAACTGCAAATGCATTCTCGGGAGGATGGGGCAACATGGGCGGTGGTGTGACAACGGCTGCAATGATCGGCCTGTTCGAGCGCTATCGCAAGGCAGGACTGTCGTCGCACCTCGCTTGGCGCGTCTGCTTCCCTACTCTCCCTGTTCCTTGCCTCTTGCTCGTAGCCGCGGCGATTCTCATGTTTGGAAAGGACCACCCCGCGGGCAAGTGGAGTCAGCGACACATGTTCAGCGGCACTGCTGTGGCCATTGCCCAAGGCGAACATGTCGAGCTTGACGCTTCAGAGCGGGCCGAGTATGCCCGTGCAACTGCGGACAACGAAAAGGCTCCTGCCAAGGGGGCGAACTTCCGCGAGGCTGACCCCGCGGATGCAGGCAAGCGCGTTGCGACGGTCGACACTGCGCAATCGGAGCCTCTGACGCTGGCACGACTTGCGGTGATCCTCGCGGACCCGCGTGTGTGGATGTGCATCATGTGCTATCTCCTCACCTTTGGCCTCGAGACTGCCATGGACGCCGCCCTTCCCGGTCTCATCACAACGCTCTTCCAGTCCAAGACTTTCACCGCCATCGACGCCGCATACGCCGCCTCCTTGTACGGCCTCCTCAACCTCTACGCCCGACCCCTCGGTGGCGTCGTCTCTGACATCCTTTATTCCAAGTACGGCCTGCGCGGCCGAGTCATCTGGCTCCTCGCCACCGCCTTCTCCCAAGGCGTGGCCATGATCGGCATGGGAATCTACTGCAACCGCGACCCCACCCTTGGCGGCGTGCTTGCATTCATTTTCCTCATTGGTACTACTGGTTTCCTGGCCAATGGCGCCAACTACGGTATTCCTGCCATCATCTGCCCCTCGGCCATCGGCACCGTCTCGGGTCTTGTTGGCGCCGGAGGCAACTTGGGCGGTCTGCTGTACTTGGGCATCTTCCTTGCAGTGCCCGGTGTGAGGGCCAAGAAGACGCTCGGAACAAAGTTCTGGATCGCAGGCGTCGTCAACGCCGGCGCGGTCCTTCCCTTCTTCCTCGTGCTATTGCCGGGAAAGTATGGAATGTAGGTCAAAATATCACCAGATGCTCCAGACTCAAGGTGAAGGAATAGAATGTCACCGTGCATCGAATCATTTCAGAGGGTCGCAACGCGTGCAGCTCGCCACGATCTGGTCAAAGTTCTCAGTGCCAAGTTGAGCGAGGAATCTGAGCACAAAGGTTCTGTGGACGATGAACTGTGTGAACGGCGGTATTGAGAAACGACTTCTGCGCGCAAACGGAGCAGATGAGCCGCACTGCGCAATCAATCTGAGCTGTGCAAAATTAAGAGCGACGCGAAAGACCGAGTTGAGCGAACGAGCTGCGCTGTGCGGACCAGACCTGCGAGCGATGGATCTGCAAACGAGTCTCTGCGAAACATTGAGCGAACAGAGAGTTGAGCGAGTCAGGAGCTGAGCGGAAGACGAAGCCGAGCGGACGACAGACAAAGTGAAGTGGACGACGGAGTGAAGCGCACGACAGAGTTGAGCGGACGACAGAGCGAAGCAGACGACAAAATTGAGCGTAAAAATAGAGTCGAGCGGACGAGGAGCTGAGCGGAAGAGGAGCTGCGCAAATGGGAGGATCACGAGCCGAGCGAACGACAGATCTGCGAACCACGGAGCGAGCTCAGCAAAGGTATCATGCGAACAAAGGAGCTCGGCAAACGACAAGGCTGAGCGAACCCCAGAATCGAACGGACGACAGGGTTGAGCGTCGAGCTCAGTGTGTGTGCCAGCTTCGCGTATGCGAACGACGAGGAGCTCTAACGCGCTGTGCGAACAAGCTGAGCTCAGCATGCGAGCTGTGCGAGGGGACAAGCTGCGCGGAGCGAACAGAGCGTACGAGCGAGCAAGCTCTGCGAACGAAGACCTGTGCGGATGGAAGGTGCAAGAGTGTGGAACTGTGTGCGCTGCCGGCGAGCGGATCTGCGCGTCCGTCGTCAAACGGATCCAGCGATGCGGACGGGGCTCAAGGACCTGCATAATGTCGGACCCACAGCGAGCTTGAGTGTGATGCCGCAAGGGTCTCCGCTCGATCACAGACACGCGAACCATCACACCAGTAGCTTGAGCTTCGAGCGCAGCGTAGTCAACCCTCACGATCGGTGTGCAGACTCACAGTCAGCGCTCAGCGCTCATCCACGGTGTGTCGGCAGACCGCTTCGCCACGATCCGGTCCGCACTCGTCAGACACGGCACAAAGTATCGCTCCCTCGCTCACAGTTCGCTGCACAGAGCGAGAAACAAAGCTATCCGCACCACATCCCGCACTGACACGCACGCACACAACTTTGGAGAGTCAAGCCTGAATTGAGAGAAATGCACTTCGACACAACAGATCACAACGGAACCGGAACCAGTGAGGATGGAGCGCGAAGTAACCAACGACGGTGGCTCGTAAAGCCATAGAGCCATCGTCACCACTTGCCTCGCGCCCACGACACCTCCTATGTACACAGGGGAGGAGGGGGAGGGAGAGGGGGAATGAAGGAGGAAGCTGCTGCTGCGCTTAGGCAGTGGCGGCGACCTTTGCCTTTGCCTTGTCGGTGATGGGGAGGAACTCGCGCTTCTTGATGGAGCCGGCCCACGGGAGGCGGGTGTTGCCCATGAGGTCGCTGTCGACCTGAGCGGCACAAGCACGGCCCTCCTGGATACCCCACACGATCAGCGACTGACCACGTCGGCAGTCACCAGCCGTGTAGACACGCTCGACGTTGGTCTTGTAGGGCGACTTGCCCTTCTGGTCGTCGGCCTTGATGTTCGAACGGCCGTCCTGCTCAAGACCGAGCGCCGAGATGGCGTCGTTCTCGGGACCCAGGAATCCGAGCGAGAGCAGGCAGAGGTCGCATGGCCAGCGCTTCTCGGAGCCGGGGATCTTGTTCATCTGCCACTTGCCAGACGCGTCAAGCTCCCAGTTGACCTTGATCGTGTTGAGCGCCACGAGCTTGCCCTCGGCGTCCTTCTCGAACGAGGTGGTCGAGATGCAGTACTCGCGCGGGTCGCTGCCCCACTGGGCGGCCACCTCGGCGTGACCGTAGTCCACCTTGAACACACGAGGGAACTGCGGCCAGGGGTTGCCCTTGGCACGCTCGTTGGGCGGCTGCGGCAGCAGCTCAAAGTTGACGATGCTCTTGGCGCCGTGACGGAGCGCGGTAGCCTGAGCGTCGCAACCAGTGTCACCACCGCCAATGACGATGACGTCCTTGCCCTTGGCGCTGAGGTAGTGGCCATCCTGCAGACCAGAGTCGAGGAGCGACTTGGTGTTGGGGGCGAGGAAGTCCATGGCGAAGTGGACACCGTCGGCCTCGCGGCCAGGCACCTTGAGGTCACGCGGCCAGGTGGCGCCGACAGCGTAGACGACGGCGTCGTTCTGCGCGTGCACCTGCTTGGGGTCAACGTCGCGACCAACGTAGGTGCTGGTGACGAAGTTGATGCCCTCGGCGGCCATCAGGTCGACACGACGCTGCACGATGCCCTTGTCGAGCTTCATGTTGGGGATACCGTACATGAGCAGGCCACCGATGCGGTCGGCACGCTCGTACACGGTGACCGAGTGACCAGCCTTGTTCAGCTGGTCGGCACAGGCCATACCAGCGGGACCAGAGCCGATGACGGCGACGGTCTTGCCGGTGCGGATCTTGGGCGGGCGCGGCACCATCCAGCCCTCCTCGAAGCCCTTGTCGATGATGGCGCACTCGACCGACTTGATGCCGACGGGCTGCTCGGTGATGCCGAGCACACAGGCACCCTCGCAAGGAGCAGGGCAGACACGACCAGTGAACTCGGGGAAGTTGTTGGTCATGAGGAGACGGTTGAGCGCATCCTCCCACTGGCCCTTGAAGACGAGGTCGTTCCACTTGGGGATGATGTTGGAGATCGGGCAACCCGTGTCACCCTGGCAGAAAGGCACACCGCAGTCCATGCATCGCGCGGTCTGGTACTTGAGCTCGGCCTCGCTGAGACGAGTCGAGAGCTCCTTGTAGTCCTTGACACGCTTGGCAGGCGTGCGGTAGTGCTCGCCCAGACGCTTGTACTTCATAAAGCCGCGCGTCTTGTCGAGCTTGTTGAGCCTCGCCTTGGCGGTCTCGTCGTCGACCATGGAGTCTTCGACATCGACAACCGCAGGCTCAGCAGGCTTGGCAGCGGGCACCTCGCGAACGTTGTCGGCCGCGTTGTCCTTGGGCTGGTCCTCGGACACGGAGACATCGACCTGGCTGCCGTGGCGCGAAAGAGTGCCGAGCAGGTCGACGTGGCTCGAGCGCTTCTTCTCGACAGCAGCCTTGGCAGCCTCCTCCTCGAGAACGCGCTTGTAGTCGTAGGGCATGACGCGCACGAAGCGAGGAAGGAGGTGGTGGAAGTCGTGCAGCACGTGGTCGGCGACGGTAGAGCCGGTGTAGTGGCGGTGGTTCTCGATGAGGTTGCGCAGCTCCGCAATCTCCTGAGGGTCCTTAACAGGGCCCAGCTCGACCATCTCGGTGTTGCACTTGCTCGAGAAATCGCGGTTCATGTCGAGAACGTACGCGATACCACCCGACATACCAGCAGCGAAGTTGCGACCAGTCGGTCCGAGGATAACCACTCGGCCTCCGGTCATGTACTCGGCTCCATGGTCGCCGACACCCTCGACGACGGCGTGCGCTCCCGAGTTACGCACGGCGAAGCGCTCCGCGGCAATTCCGCGGAAGTAAGCGTGGCCGGTGGTAGCGCCGTACAGGCACGTGTTGCCGACGATAATGTTCTCCTCCGCCTTGAACGACGATACCTTGGGCGGATACACGATCAGACGACCTCCGGACAAGCCTTTTCCGACGTAGTCGTTCGAGTCTCCCTCGAGTTCGAGAGTGATACCGGGAGCCAAGAAGGCACCGAACGACTGACCAGCCGAACCCTTCGCGTTGATGTGGATGGTGTCACGCGGAAGGCCCTCCTCGCCGTACAGCTTGGACACACGGTACGACAGAGTCGCACCGAGGGCTCGGTCGGTGTTGACGACCTCACAGTCAATCTGGACCGGAAGACCCTGCGTGAGGGCAGGCTCGGCTTCGTCGATGAACTTGTTGTCGAGTCGCACGTACAACTTGTGGTCCTGTTGACGAACCTTGTAAGTGGCGGCGCCGGGACGCATCTCGTGGGCGGGCTTGAGGAGCGCCGAGAGGTCGAGGTTGGCAGTCTTGGGTGTGCGGAGGCTGTCGTCGACGCGGAGCAGGTCGGATCGACCAACCATCTCGTTGATGGTACGAAGTCCAAGCTTGGCCATGATCGATCGAAGCTCCTCGGCCAAGTAGTAGAAGAAGTTGATAACAGCCTCGGGCTGTCCAGCGAACTTCTCGCGGAGCTCGGGATCCTGGGTAGCAATGCCGACCGGACAGGTGTTTAGGTGGCACTTCCTCATCATGATGCAGCCTAGAGCGATCAAAGGAGTCGTAGCGAAGCCCCATTCTTCGGCGCCGAGGAGGCAGGCGATGGCGACGTCGCGACCGGTGCGGATCTGGCCGTCGGTCTGGACGGTGACGCGGCCACGGAGGTCGTTGAGGACGAGCGTCTGGTGTGTCTCTGCGAGACCGAGCTCCCAAGGCAGACCGGCGTACTTGATGCCGGTCCATCGCGAGGCACCAGTACCACCGTCGTGACCAGAGATGAGAATGTGGTCGGCCTTGGCCTTGGCGACACCGGAGGCGACGATGCCGACGCCGACCTCGGAGACGAGCTTGACGCTGACGCGGGCGCGCGGGTTGGCGCACTTGAGGTCGTAGATGAGCTGCTTGAGGTCCTCGATCGAGTAGATGTCGTGGTGGGGAGGGGGCGAGATGAGACCGACACCGGCAGTGGAGTGACGAGTGCGGGCGATCGAGGGCGAGACCTTGTGACCGGGCAGCTCACCACCCTCACCGGGCTTGGCACCCTGGGCCATCTTGATCTGCAGCTCGTCCGAGTCGGCGAGGTAGTTGCTCGTGACACCGAAACGGCCGGAGGCGATCTGCTTGATCTTGGAGCGGAGCGAGTCGCCGTTGGGGAGAGGGATGGAACGCTCGGCGTCCTCACCACCCTCACCGGTGTTCGACTTGCCGCCGAGACGGTTCATGGCGATGGCAAGAGCCGAGTGAGCCTCCATGGAGATGGAGCCGTACGACATGGCACCGGTGCAGAAGCGCTGGACGATCTCGGTCCAGGGCTCGACCTGGTCGATGGGGATGGCGCGCGACTTGGTGTAGTCGAACTCGAGCATGCCGCGGAGCGAGGTAGCCTTGACGGCGTTGTGCGAGGCCTTGGAGTAGGCGTCGTAGGCCGACTGGTTTCTCTCACGCGCGGCATCCTGGAGGTGGGCGATGGCCATGGGGTCGTTGATGTGGGCCTCACCACCGTCACGGTAGTGGTACTCACCCGACTCGGGCAGACCAGGGATGGAGACGGTGTCACGCGACGGGTAGCCGCGGTCGTGGAACTCGAGCGCATCCATGGCGAGCAGGGTGAAGTCGGAACCCGAGACACGCGAGGCGGTGCCGGCGAAGCAGCGGTCGACGACGCTGTTGGCGAGACCGAGAGCCTCGAAGATCTGGGCACCCTTGTACGAGGCGAGGGTGGAGATACCCATCTTGGACATGACCTTGAGGATACCATTGTCGACGGCGTGCTTCCAGTTGTCGATGAGCTGCGAGGCCGAGAGGTCGGCCTTGACGAGACCCTCGCGGGAGACCTTCAGGATGGCCTCCATGGCGAGCCAGGGGCAGATGGCATCGGCACCGTAGCCGAGCAGCACGCACATGTGGTGCACCTCGCGAGCCTCGGCGGACTCGATCATGAGGGCGATGCGGCTACGCTCCTTGTTGCGGATGAGGTGGTGGTGGACACCACCGCAAGCGACAAGCGAGGAGATGGCGACGCGGTCGGTGCCGACGGCGCGGTCGGAGAGGATGACGACGCGGTAGCCGTCGCGGATGGCCTGCGAGGTCTCGGAGCAGATGCGGTCGAGGGTGGCCTCGTAGCCGATGATGCCCTCGCCCTTGTCGTAGGTGATGTCGATGGTCTTGGCAGTCCAGTCGGAGTGGACCGAGTCGATCTGCTTGATGGCGTTGAGCTCGTCGACGCTGAGGATGGGCGAAGGGAGGAGCAGGCGGTGGCACTGCTCGGGCTTCATCTCGAGCAAGTTGCCCTCGGGACCGACGTACTGCTCAAGCGACATGACGACCGACTCACGGATGGGGTCGATGGGAGGGTTGGTGACCTGTGCGAAGAGCTGACGGAAGTAGTCGTAGATGACACGGGGAGCGGTGGAGATGCAGGCGAGCGGAGCATCGTTACCCATCGAACCGAGCGCCTCCTTGCCGTCGGCAACCATCGGAAGCATGAGCAGGTTGATCTGCTCGGCGGTGTAACCGAAGGCGAGGAGCTTGGGGTCGGTGCTGAGACGCTCCTGGTCGAGAACGGGAGCGATGGCGTTGCCGGTGTTGCGACGAACGGTGTCGACGATCTCGGGCAGACGGAGCATCTGGTTCTCGAGCCAGGCGGCGAAGTCGGCACGCTGGGCGGTGCTCATCTTGAGCTCGCGGTCCTCGACGACGCGACCCTCGACAGTGTCGACAAGGAGCATCTTACCGGGCTGGAGACGGCCCTTGGCGATGACGGTCTTGGGGTCGATGGTGACGGTGCCGACCTCGGAGGCGCAGATCATGATGTCGTCGTCGGTGATGTAGTAACGGCAAGGACGGAGACCGTTGCGGTCCAGGTTGGCACCGCAGTAGCGACCGTCTGCGAAGGTGAAGAGCGCGGGACCGTCCCAAGGCTCCATGAGACAGGCGGCCCATCGGTAGAAGGCGACCTTCTCGGGCTCCATGTGGCTGCTGGCGCCCTGCCAAGCCTCGGGGATCATCATCATGACGGCCTGGGGCAAGGTGAGGACCTTGTTGATGACGAGGAGCTCGAGCACGTTGTCGAAGGCGGCCGAGTCGGATCCGCCACCCTCGATGATGGGGTAGAGGAGGTCGAGCTCGTCGCCAAAGGTCTCGGATTTGAGGAGGCCCTCGCGAGCACGCATCCAGTTCTTGTTGCCGCGGATGGTGTTGATCTCACCGTTGTGGGCGGCCCATCGCATGGGCTGGGCACGGTCCCAGGAGGGGAAGGTGTTGGTGGAGAATCGCGAGTGGACGAGGGCAAAGTGGGAGGCGTAGTGGACGTTGTTGAGGTCGTAGTAGTAGTTGTACACCTGGACGGGGCTGAGCTGACCCTTGTAGATAATGTTGGTAGGGCTGAGCGAGCAGATGTAGAACCAGTTCTGGAGACCGATGGTGTGGGTGGCGTGCTTGCGGAGGACGTAGAGCTGACGGCCAAAGTACTGCTCGTCGAAGACCTTGGCGGCGTCGGCGGGGGCGGAGCCGGAGCCGTAGTGGTCCTTGAGGACGACGAAGGGCTGCATGATCTTGGGCTCCTTGGACTTGGAGGCAGGGCCGAGGATGGAGTTGTCGACGGGGACGTCACGCCAGCCGAGGACGCGCAGGCCGAGCTTGTCGGCGATGTCGGTGAAGGTCTGGACGTGCTCTGCGCGCGCCTTGTCGTCCTTGGGGTTGAAGAAGAGGTTACCGACGGCGTACTGGCCCTGAGCGGGGAGCTTGACGCCGAGGTCGCGCTCGGACTCGCGGCGGAAGAAGGTGTCGGGGATGCCGGTCATGACACCGGCGCCGTCACCGTCGCGAGCGTCGGCACCGACGGCACCACGGTGAGTCATGTTGCAGAGGAGGAAGCGTGCATCGGAGACGATCTTGTGGGCGGGCTTTCCCTTGATCTGGCACATGAAGCCGACACCGCAGGCGTCCTTCTCGTTGTCCGGGTCGTAGAGGCCCTGGGCAGCGGGCATGGAGCCGGCCCAGAGCGAGGTGGAGCGCTCTACCTCATCGTAGCCGCTGGCCTCGAGGTTGTCGGAGGAGATGGCCTCCTCGTGGACGGGAGCGAGCTCGGCGTTGAGTTGATCAACGAAGCGAGTCTGTTTGGCGTTGGACTTGACGTCGGCGACAGGAGCCATATCAGGCACTCGAGCTTTTGGTGGTGATTGGAAAGGTGGGATGGATACGAGTTGACGAGCTTCGACGGGACGAAGCTTTCTATGAATACGAGATTCCGTTGCTGATGCTTTGCTGGCGGAGGCAGAAGAGATGATGCTGGTTGAGAGAACGTGCGTTGATGGGTATTGATGGCTGATTCTTGCGACAGAATCCCGAAAATGACACGAAGGAAACGTTGAATTAGGCTTGAAGACGGAAAGAGCTCGACCTGTAGTTCCGTTGAAGTGAAGTGTGGATAGTGGTTGGGGTCGACGATTGGGAAACAGACGGTGTGGACAGGGGGTGCGGAAAAGCAACGGATAGATATGAGGTGGGTCAGTTGATTGAGCTCAGTGGCGAGGGAGCGGCGACGCCGGCCAAGAGCCGGGAGAGGCAGAAAGTGGGCACCGCGGCAGGCGGGCTGCCAATTCGAGACAGAGTGTGGCGAGCAGCCAATGAGAGGGCGTGCGAAGCGGCATTGCTGATCTGACTCGGGCAATTTCACGCGGCAGCCCACCGACCAATCCGGAGCCTCGCATTTTGGTGCAGCTGCCACCCGACTGGCACTCAGCCGAGCCGGAGACGAAGGCGCACCCAACGTCCACAAGAGCGCGCGCATGAGCATGAGTGTCAACCCCGGTGGCAACAACCACTGCAGCCCGCACTCAGGCCAGCGCGAGGCTGAGAGAGGCCGACCGACGTGCCAGCTTGTTTTGCCGAGCCGAGGGGAAGCGGCAGCTGAGGCTAAGCAGATGGGGCAATGCCCGGTCTGACGGTAAGCAGGCCCTTTGCCACCATGCAGCCCAACGCTGTCTGTGCAGTCGCACCTCCATCCTGCTGGGATGGGCAGCCGGGAGCGATTGACACGGTGCAGCGCACAAGGGGAAAAAATTTCCCGACGCGAGGCAGCAGCCCGTGCAAAAGATTGACCGCTTCGAATATTATCAAAGCATGGCAGTCTTCGCCGTCTGGGAGCCCGAATTTCGCGCAAGCGAGCTTTCACAGCGCTAAGGAGGAACCCGCCCTTTTCCAAAAATTGGAACAAAAGAAAAGTCGAAATCGACGCGGACCAACGGCGCGGGTCGGTCTCGGATCTAAAGTCGACGCAAACGCAGGCAATGCGGAGCGATGCGCAGCCGAGCGCCTCCCCACCCGCATCCGCGCCGCAAAGTCGCGTTCCCTTGGCCGGCCCCGGTGAGGATAGCAATGATCATTGAGAGCAGCCTGATGGGTGTATGGCTGCTTTTGGCAGTGCAAGGCTCGAAGGAGGCGCTGCTGTGCTTGCGAGGGCTGGGTGCATGGACGGCGGGTCGAGCAGCTGCGGGGCTGCGGGGCTGCGGGGCTGCGAGGCTGCGAGGCTGCGAGGCTGCGAGGCTGCGATGCCAGTCGATTCGAGTTGGTGCTGCTGCCATGTCGATGCGGTACGATGCCACGCCACTCTGTCTCGAGCTGTGATGTAGGGTCGCCACGAGTCCGAACTTACCAAGTGAGAATCGGCTTCGAGTCGTGCAGATCAACGTTTGCGCTTGGAGGTGGTGAGAGAGATGCCTGCGACTGAGGCGATTTTTGGTTTGGGTTGTGGGAGCTATCAAAGGCAGGGTGGCTTAAGTCCTGACTCAAATGGCTTGGTGAAAGTAGAAGAAGGCTTGCTCGTCGTTGGATGCGATGACGACCAGTGAGAAGTGCGGGATGGTGTTGTGGTTGAGATGCAAACAACGAGCGGACGACAAACTAGAGATGCCAATTTCTTCCTGGCGCGGGGGAGGAGGCCACTTCGCGCATTTCACGCCGCAAGCTCAACTTGCTGCTCGTCGGATCAGGCAACTTTTTTTGTCCTCGCGGCCATCTAGTAGCCGCTGGCGAGCGAAGGGCCAACGGAGCGGCGGGATGGCTTGGCAAGGCGCACGATTCCATTGGCCAGCGGAGCTTGCGGAGCGGCGCAGGCCCTCGGGTGCCATCTGGATGCATTCACACAACAACGGCGGGCCCCCACCGCTGCCTGCGCACATCATCTCGCAAAGGCTCGGGGGGCGGGCCAAAGCTGATGCTGCTGCTCCTCCTCCTCCAATCAGATTAGACCCATTTGCATCCGAGCGAAAAGAAACGAAAAAGTGGGGCTGCTCAATCACGTCGCTTTCAACAACGTGCAAGGTACCGCCGCAGATGCACCTCGACAGAAATGCGAGCCTCTCTTCTTTTTCGCCGGGTATACAGCGCAGTGGCGAGGCAAAGTTTTACACTGACGATATTTCAGATGCTCGACAGGCGCCAGAGCAGAGTCCAATTCTGTCGTTCAAGTCGCCCAGCTGCCAACTGCCTATTTTCCGGCGAGAAGAAAGGCGAAAAAAAGGCTAAAGTCGACGCGACGCTCCGCTCTTCTTGATCATGCACCAACTCTAATCGCACCAATCACAGCCCGCCATCGCTTCCCAGGGTCCTCGCATCTTCTGCATCGCAGAGTTGGACAGATCTCGGCCGAGGCCTCGGCGCGGCGTGATTCTCGGCATTCTAAGCCGCCGCGCCAGGCGGTCTTCGCCGGTATGAATGCCTCTCCCTCTCCCCACACTGACAACAATGCAAAGACGCGCCCAAGGCCGGTCCGGCATCATCGAGTCACCCACATGCCTCCCACTTGCTCCGGCGCATCCTCGTCGACACCATCAGCCGGCCCAATGCTGACGCAAATGGGCGCAAGTCTACGCGGTCGTCATCACCCATCGAGTCTCTGTTTGCCCCTTGGCTATGCACGGTCTCGAGACTCGGCGCTGGGTCACGAGCTCTGGGTCACGAGCTCGTTGCTGAGGAGCGACGACTGGGATTCGCTCGATGTGCGTTGATGTCGAACTTTGATCGCGTGTCCAGCACAGGAGATGGAACACTCAGAAGTGCGTGGTCGGATTGGTTACCGCCTGCAGTGCGCCGAGTTGCCGGCCAGGTGGGGTGCGCGTCGGAGAGATTCTCGGCCTTCCCCGTCGCAGCCTCAGCCAGGGGAATTTCGGAACATTCAGAAGAGCCAGGCTGCGAAAAACCCGGTTCTGACCGATCGATAAAGTCGAAAAATCCCATCTCGCCTCCGGGGAGGCGCATTTTTCTCGCCCGAACCGAGTTGAAAATATCGTATTGTTAGATCCACTCCCGCCGCTCACTTTGGTGAAATTTCGCAGCATCCCCGGGTGCTTCTCTTTTTCGCTCTTTTTGGTGCGGCTTTTTCTTTTCTTTTGTGGGCGCGAAATCTTCCGGGCAACTTTCCGGCTGAGAGAGATCAGACCTCATCGGAGCTCTCCGCACAGCCATGTGATCCTAGCAATCCGTCCTCGCCGGCGTCATGAGACCTCACAGACCACGATATCGGCTTCACCGATTCCTGCAGGGTCACGTTCGAGTCAGATGACAACTCGTACCTCAGCTGAAGTCGCTGTATGATCACGAGAGCCTTTCGAACATCGATGACACCCACAGACAAGAGCGAATCTAGGGCACTATTCGGATTCTATGGAAACAACGCAGAGACTGCGTATGGTCGACTGGCAGAGACACGTCAAGCTAGCCGTACGTGGCGAGGCCGAGTTGGGAGTCGCTCGACGGATCATGCGCGGTGGATCATCGACTCGCGGGCGGGGCCGACGCCGATCCACTCGATCTTGACGCCGAGGAACTGCTCGAGGAACTCGACGTAGGCGCGGCAGTTCTCCGGCAGCTCCTCCCACGTCTGGGCCTTGGAGATGTCCTGCTGCCAGCCGGGCAGCGTCTTGTACTGCACCTCCACCTTGGCCAGCACCTCGAGGTCCGCCGGGAAGCTCGGCAGCTCCTTGCCGTCCACAACGTAGCCCACCGCCACCTTGAGCTCCTTGAGCTGGTCCAGCACGTCGAGCTTGGTCAGGTTGAGGCTGGTGTAGCCGTTGATCAGGCACGAGTAGCGCATCATGATCAGGTCCAGCCAGCCGCAGCGGCGTCGGCGCCCCGTCGTCGTGCCGTACTCGGCTCCGACCTCCTGCAGGTGGTGGCCGATCTCCTCGTGCAGCTCCGTGGGGAAGGGTCCCATGCCGACACGCGTGGTGTAGGCTTTCATGACGCCGATCACGTTGCCGATGGCGGTGGGCGGGATACCGAGGCCGGTGAGCACACCGCCGATGGAGGTCGACGAGCTCGTCACGAAGGGGTACGTGCCAAAGTCGATGTCGAGGAAGAGCGCGTTGGCGCCCTCCACCAGCACCTTGCGGTTCTGAGCGAGCGCGGTGTGGATGAAGCTGACGCCGTCGACAATGTGCGGTCGGAGACGCTCGGCGAAGGCACGGTAGCGGGCGATCTCGCCCTCGGTGTCGTACTCAAAGTGTCCGTAACGCTTGAAGCGGCCCTCGACGAGCTTGCGGAACTTGGAGGCGAAGAGCTCCTGGTCGTAGAGGTGGTGGACACGCAGACCGGAGCGCGACGCCTTGGACGAGTAGGCCGGACCGATGCCCTTCTTGGTGGTGCCGATGCTGCTTCCGCCGAGCTCGACCTCCTTGAGGCCGTCGACGACCTGGTGGAAGTCGAACACGAGGTGAGCTCGGTCCGAGATGAAGAGGCGGCCGTCGCAGTTGAGGCCCTTCTTCTGGATGTTGTCCAGCTCGGCGAAGAACGACGGCACGTGCACCACCACGCCGGAGCCGATGAATCCGGCACAGCGCGGGTTGACGAGACCCGAGGGGAGCAGGTGGAAGTCGAACTTGGTCTTGACGCCGTTGACGTCGGCGACGATGGTGTGGCCGGCGTTGTTGCCGCCGGCGCAGCGTGCGCAGACGTCCATCTGGCCGCTGAGCACATCGGCGAGCTTGCCTTTGCCCTCGTCGCCCCACTGGGATCCGAGCAAGACGGTGGCCTTGCCGCCCGTCTTGGAGTCGGAGGGTTTTGGCATCGCAGCCATGATGAATGTGGAGCAGAGAAGGGGGGTTGGAAACGGGTCGTTCCCAACAGGAAACAGGGGTTGGTGATCAATCGATGCCGAGAGATGGAAACCCAGCAAGTCAAGATGCGCCAGCGACGACACTCGACGCTTTTGACGGAGACCCGCCCGCCCGCCAACCCGCACGTGCGATGCGGCGGCTGTCGCTGTACCTGGCGGTGGGCGCTGCGCAGAGGCTGGCTGCATTCTTCGTAGCTCCTCCTTGCTCCGCACCCACCTCGGCGAGCGGGCCGGTCTCTCTCTCTGCCTCTCTCTCATGCCTCTAATTTACCGTCCAAATTGCGCCTGCTTGGCAGCGATGCCCAACTCGCCTGAGCAGAGCCAGGGCAGGGTGACTCCCTGTTTTGAATTTTCTTCCAGCGACATCCTTTTTTCTTCAAATTCAAAAGGAGAGTTCCGCGAGCGTTGAAGGAAAAAAGTGATCTGGCGAATTTCTGCACCAACGGCCCTCCAAAAGCGCAGCGACCAACATACCTCTCGGTCAGGCGGAATGTGTTGCCCCCCCAGCACCTGTAATGGGTGCACCTCCGGAATGAGGTCTCTGCCAAAGCGCGCCCCACAAATGTTAGCCTTTCCGTCGGATGGTTGAGGATCTGCCGTTCAGCGCGCGTCCAGCAGTGGATGCCCGCTCGGCAAGTAAGCCAGTGTGGCGACCCATTGAGTTGGGGATTAATAGCCTTCGGGCTCGAGGGAGTCGGTCGCCCGAGCACCTCACACACTGAACCTCAGCTGCACGTATCCGACGGGGTCCAAGGCGGATAGGGAGCATCTACTTCCTCGTTTGGAGTTGCTTGAAAGCTGCGCATCTGGGATCGCCTCAAACCTTCTTTTTTTTTCTTTTTTTCTTTTTTGTTCTTCCTCTTCTGTATGGTCCCGGATATCAGACTGCGCGGCCTTAAGCTTTTGTGGATGCATGGATTGGTATTTGCAGAGAACGAAAGTACAGGCGAGAGAAGAGCTAGGGTTACGACTCGTCCATGCCATCTGCGGCTGTGGCAGACTGAACGGATGCATCGGAAGCAGCTACCGGTGCGGGCAAGGGCTCCGGTGGCGAGCTCGACTCGTGTTCGGGCGAGCTGCGTGCGGCCGCTTCCGAGGCATCGGCGCCGCCATCGGCCTGTGCGAGTTTCCAGCTGCTTTCAAAGTATCGGTTGGGATGGGTGACGGTTTCGCCTCTGCCATCGAGACCCTGGCCCTTTTTGACGCCCTGCTTTTGGTGCGTGATCTCAAAGATGCGCGTGCATGCGACGTGGTAGTGACCCTGCTTGACCGACGCCAGGATCTCGGACTGCTCCGCGGGGCTGAGGCCGTAGTGCTGCGCCATGGCCGAGGAGAGGTTGGTGGTGGAAAAGTGGCGGAAGGGACATCCGTGCGAGTCTTGCGGACCAGGTTGATCCTGCGTGAGAATGCGCGCACAGCTCTTGGCGGGATAGTTCATCCTCCTACCCTCGAGACCGTAGCCGTGGCGGATGTTGTAGCGGTACTCCTTGTTGAACTTGTCGTCGGTGATGTGCTTGAAGCTTCGACGCCAGAAGACGAGCGCCTCTTCGACGGGCAGACCGAGCTCCTTGAGGAAGAGGTTGTACTGCAGTCGGCCGTAGTGCTTCAGATGGCCCGTGGCGGTGAGGGTGGAGTGGAGATTCTTCATGCAGAGCGGAGCGTGCGTCTTGACGAGCGCATCCACCATGCCTGCCGTGACGGTGGTGGTGCCGTCAGCGGTGATGCTGGAGCCAGTGTAGTCGGTCGAGATGCCGGCTAGGAAGCCCATGCTGAGGTGGGAGAGCACGGGCAGAAGACGGTCATCCTCGTCCAGACGCGGAAGCGCACGTGCGGTCATCTCGAGATCGCGCATGAGGCGCGACTGGAACTCGGCAAGCACGAGACTCGACTGCTCCTTGATGGGCACCCATGCCTGTCCGGCGCGCATGAACACCCTGCGCTTCTCGACGAGATCCGTGACGCGCGTCCAGTCCACCTTGAAGAAGGTCTCGCTGTCAAAGGTGGAGGCCATCTTTGGGTGGGTGGCGACGAGCTGCTCGCGATACTGGTTCTTCTCCTCGTTGGACACCGGGTTCCAGTCGAGGTTGAGCGAGCGCATGAAGCTCTCGCGCTCGGTGGCATCGTCGGTCTCGAAGCGCAGGCGGAAGAGCAGCGACTCTGCCTTGACGAAGCGCCTGCGCAGATCCTCGCTGCGACAGAATGCGAGACGAAGCACAAAGTGGCTGACGTGGTCCTTGAGACGCTCTGCGAGCAGGTCGGCCGTCTTGTTGGCGGTGTTGGCGTTGAGCGGGAGGAGACGCTTGGCGAGCGCGTTGACTGCATCCTTGGTCTCGCCGTAGGTGCGGTTGCGCGCCTGCGACGACTCGATCTCGGCCAGCACCTTGAGGCGGTCGATGGCCCACGACTCAAAGTGCTCGATGGTGACCTCGTGGATGGGCGGAAGCGTGTAAAAGTTGAGACGATGCGGATACCTGGCAAGCGCCTTGTCGGTGTGGTGACGGGCTACGGATCCCGAGCCGGAGGAGCTGGCGTGAGCGCTCACACCGCTGACGTTGCCGAAGCTCGAGGGCACAGCAGGGGGTGCTGCAGTGCGGAACATGGTTGCGGCGGGCGAAGGCGTCGGCGGTGAAGGTGGTGATGGTGGACGAGTAGCAGCTGTCGAGCGGGTCTTGTCTTGCTGCTGTCGGACCAGTGGGTGGTGTGGAGTCCAACACCAAAAAGTCACGACTGCGCTTCGCCCGCCACCGCCAAGGCAACGCGGCGCGTCGCGACTCAATTTGCGCCACGGCTCTCCCGCTTCTCGCCCAAATCGAACATCTCCACCTAACCTGATCGGCCGATCCAGTTTCCGATGCACGCGCCAAAGTGAGCAGCGGCCTCTTTCTGTGCGGAATGCGATTTTGGTCGCTTTGAAGGCCAATGCTTCTTTTTCTCCACCTCGTGCTGCTCTGCTCTTCCCGAACACCACCACATTCGCCTCTTCTTCATCCTACTCCTCCTCCGTCGACAGAGACGACCGATGCGCCTTGAGCGCACTCATCGCACGCCTTACTCTTCGCACCGCACCATGGCTGCCGAAGCTTCGTCGCTCGAGTCTCTGCGCGAGGCCGAGGCCACCTTTCGCCGGTGCGAGCAGGGCCGCATCGCGCTTCCCGAGGTCAAGCAGAGGACATCCGCACGCGATGCCCCCTACCAGCAGCACCGTCTCGACCCTTGGGTCGGCTTCGACAAGTCGCGAACGCTGCCCATCCCCAATGACGTCTTTACCGGCATCAAGAGCGCCAGTCCCACCGCCACGCAGTCGCTCTTCCCTTCCATCCGCAGAGCGTGCATCACCGTCGACAACAAGGTCTATCTGTGGTCCTACCTGGAAGGTCAGGCCGCATTCGAATTCTATTGCGTGCCCGATGATCAGGTGGTGATTGCCGCCAGCGTCGTGCCCGTGCGTCCGGGTGTCTTCGCCGACATCGTGACGCACGTGCTCGTCCTCAGCGTCGGCGCATCGGTCCGCGAGGGCAAGTACGTCAAGGTGCTCGGCCTCTCGTACACTCAGAATGGAACTAGCTCCAAGGTCGAGGTGCTCGAAGCAGGAATGACCGCCAACACGAACGGCGTCATGCTCGACAACATCGTCGGCACAGACGCTGGACGTGTCTTTGCAACCGGCTCCGACAACTGCCTCTACGAGCTCGTCTACCAGCGCAACGAGGGCTGGTTCACCAACAAGTGCTACCTCCGCAACATCACCAGCCCGCGTCTCTCCAATCTCCTGCCGACATTCGTCAAAACAGAAAAGAAGCTTCTCTACATCACCGTCGATAACGCACGCCAGCTCGTCTACACGCTCCGTCAGGGCGACCTGATCGAGGTGTACAGCTTGCCCTCCAAGGACCCTTCGTCAGCACCCGAGAGGCGCGGTCAGACCATTGGTACCTCCGGACAGCAGGGCACCCCACACGCTCGCCACGACGTTGGCTCCATCGTCTGGATCGGCCCCGTAGAGCGCGAGGCTCGATCCAACGTCGTGCTCCTCGCTGTCACCGACCGCGGCTACCGCATCTTCCTCGACAACTTCCAAGGTCGCTCCGAGCCCGCCATCACGGTCCGCGCCCCGCCCGCACTCCAACAACCTCCTGGCGTAGCCGCAGCCGGCTACGGTCAGCCGCAAGTACCACAAGCATACCCAGCGCTGCCACAGCAGCAGCAGCAGCAGCCGACACAAGAGGCAATCACAAGAGCCGTCTCCTCCGTCTTTTACGCCGGCGACGTCTTCATGATGGGCTTCAACTACAACAGCCTCCCGTGCCAGATCTGCGCCATCACTCCCGCGCTCAATGTCAATGCCACCACAACTGGACCTGTCGAGAAGGCCACTTTCATCGACCTCGAGCTCGCGCTTAGCACACCAGTCTTTGCAGAGGCGCCCTCGTCTCATCCGCTGCCACAGATCACCGACAACGGCGAGCTGGTCCGCGCCACCTACGCACAAAATCTGCGTCCGCCACGCAGCTTCCTCGTGCTCGACAATAACGGTCTCACAGAGCTCGTCGAGCGCCGTCCCGTAGACACCCTCAGGGGCTTGCTCGAGTCGGGCGTCGCCGTCAGCAGCGCGGCCATGATGCAGTTCTTTGGCCTGTTCGGATCCATCGAGGCTTGCGAAAGTGCGCTTGCCATCGCCGCGCACAATGCCCAGGTGGCCGCTCCGCGCGTCACGATTGGATCCTCGGGAGGCGTTCCCGCCGGTCTGGCGCAGACCGTCTCGGACGACGTGACCGCGCTCGCTTCCCGCGTCTTCTTCAGCCAGTACGGATCCTGGCCTGCAGACACCACGGTGTCGGCCGCGCTCTCCACACCCCGAACCTCGCGTCACGACGGTTTGGCGCTCTACATCGCATGCATTCTCAAGCGCGTCTGGGACCGCGCCATCATGCCGCCAGAGCCTGCCAACCCGGGAGCAAAGCCTGCAGCTCCTGCAGCGAGCTCGGCGTTGACGTCGTATCGTCCTACCGCCACTACCACGTCGGCAGCAGCCAAGCTGCCGCTGCGCAAGCAGGACTTGGAGGAGACGCTGGTGGATCTGATTCCGCTGCACGACTTTATGCAGCAGAGTGCCAAGCTGTTCGGGCTCGGTGCGTCGTCTGCCAACCGCAGCTTTGTCAACGGCATGGGCTACGACCAAGAACGCGCCGCCAAGCTCGACCAGGAGAGCTTCGGCAGGCTGCGTGCGCTCGTGTCGCGCGCCATGGAGGCGACCAACTTTATGCTCTTCCTCATCGATCACGGACTCAAGCCGCTCATCGACGCGTGCTCGGCCGAAGCAAAGGGCGTGATCGCCAACCTGAGGTTCGGCCAGCTCATCACGTCCGAAGAGGGCAAGCGTGCATCCAAGGAGCTCGTCACCGCGCTCATCGAGGCGCGCATCGGTGCACAGGTCAGCATCGATGCGGTCGCCGATGCGCTCCAGGCAAGGTGCGGCAGCTTCTGCTCGGCAGACGATGTTCGCCAGTACAAGGCGACCGAGTGCATCCGACGCGCCAAGGAGACGCGCTCGGAACAGGACAAGATGGACAACCTGCGCATGAGCCAAAAGCTGCTCGCCAAGGGAGCCAGCCAGCTCTCGCCCGACAAACTGCGCGGAGTCTGCGAGGACTATCGCGCGCTCGGCTTTGCGACGGGCGCCATCGAGCTCGCGTTGCAGTGCGCGGCCGAGTGGGATCCGGCGGGCACGGCGGCTTCGTACGTCGCCGAGGGCAGTCCCGAGGGGCCGGAGCACCGGGCGCGCCGAGAGGTGGAGGAGCGCCTCAAGAAGGCGTACGAGCTCGTGTTCGAGACGCTGCAGCAGCTCGATGAACGGCTGGACGCGGCGTACAACCTCGGCGGCGACGAGGCGCAGGTGAGGCTGGCGATCAGCACGCGCGACAAGGCACGCAGCGAGGCGTATGCGCGCGCCGAGGCGTCGCAGGACGTGCTGTTCCACGAGAGCATGTACGCCTGGCTGATCGAGCGCAAGATGACCGACCAGCTGCTCTCGATGCACACGCCCTACCTCGAGCAGTACCTGGTGCAGCGTCCGCCGGGCGCACGCGGTCAGGACGCCAACTTTTTGCGAACGCTGCGCAACTTGCTCTGGCAGTTCTACGTGCGCCATGGCGAGTACTTTGCGGCGGCGCAGGTGCTGGACGCGCTCGCGCACAGCAAGGAGTTTGGGCTGGATCTGCGCGAGAGGATCGAGTATCTGGCGCTGGCGGTGGGCAATGCCAAGTCGGTGTCGCCGTCGAACGTCGAGGCGAACGAGGTGGTGAGCTTCCTGGCGCAGGCCGAGGACTCGCTCGAGGTGGCGCAGATCCAGGCGCGCGTGCTGCAGGCGTTGCAGCAGATGGGCGCCGACGATGTGGATGCCGAGCGCGGCGCGCTGCTGGCGGACTCGGTCGAGTGGCTCAACGAGGAGCTGCTGGATCTGTCGACGCTGTACAAGAATCTCGCCGAGCCTTTCGAGCTGCTCGAGGAGCAGTTGGCCATGATTGCTTCTGCAGAGCTCAACGATGTTGGGCTCGTGTCGGAGATTTGGATTGCGCTCATTGCCAAGCAGCACGCACGCAGTCGGGCCGACGAGGCGTACAAGGCGATTTCGGCGCTGACCGTCGAGCTCTTCACGCGTCTGGACCGCAGCGAGGTTGCGTGTCCGATTGACAATGTCTTCGATCTGCTGCTGCGGTACGGATTCGAGCAGACGCGCGAGGCGGGTGCGACGAGGCAAGAAAGCATCCCTGCCGGCTTTTCACGTCGAACCAACGACGACGGCGATGCGGGCGCCGCCAGTATCCCGGACGGATGGGCGAGTCAGACTGTGCTGCGCGCCACGGGTGCGCCCGAGTTGATCCTCGACATTCTCGAGTCTGCGCTGGCCACCAGTCCGCAGCCGTGGAACACGCCGGCGGGACAGACGTTCCTGCAGACCGAGCTGGTCGAGTTTGCACGCACCCGGATCGAGCTCTCCACGCGCGCCACTGCCTCGGTTGCTGCGAGCAAGCTGGGACCCGCCGGCTTTGCGGCTGAGCTCGTTACGCTGAGCCCAGCGACTGTCCAGCGCCTGTTTGCGATTCTCAATGCACTCATCCTCAAGACGGCTCACCAGCACGCCTCGGCGCACATCGCCGACACGGCCCGATCCGCACTCGACCTGCTCAAGCTCTACTACTGAGCAGGCCTCCCCCTTTCCGCCCTCCACTGAGCACAACATCTGCGGAGCTTTCATAAAAAACAAGACATTTCCCGCATTTTCCGAGGCGACTGGACCAGACTGTGCACGATCCGTGAGCTGCGTGACGTGAGAAGGAAAAAAGGACTCGAATGGCATATTACAGTCGGGATGAAAGGGGAAAAAGGAGGATGAAGCGTGAACCTGAGCATTGAAGCTAGTTGACACCAATCACGGAAATCTAGCGGTATCGGTGGATCTCGGTGCGGTCACGGCCACGCATCCAGTCGGGCTCGGTGCCCGGGTAGTAGATGTCGGTCCAGAGGGTCTCCTCCTTTGGCTGTGGGGACTGCTTTGCCTCCTCGACGGCCTGGTCGACCTCCTCCTTTGCGGCCTTGTCGATCTTCTTGAGCTCGGCCTCCTCGACGATGCCCCAGTCGAGCATGCGCGTCTTGAGGCCCTGGATGGGGTCGCTGGAGGAGCGCATGGTCTGGATCTCGTCGCGCGTGCGGTAGGTGGTGCCGGGGTCGGAGAGCGAGTGGCCACCGTAGCGGTAGGTGACGAGCTCCATGAGCAGCGGGCCGTTGCCGCCGAGCGTGAACTCCGAGGCGTGCTTGGTGGCGGCGGCGACGGCGAGGACGTCCATGGCGTTGACCTGGATACCGGGGATCACGTCGCCACGGGTGTAGTACTGGGTGTTCATCGAGGAGCGCTCGGCGGAGGTGCCCATGCCGTACTTGTTGTTCTCGCAGACAAAGACGCAGGGGAGGTCCCAGAGCTTGGCCATGTTGTAGGCCTCGAAGACCTGACCCTGGTTGGAGGCACCGTCACCGTACATGGCAAAGGTGGCGTCGTTGGTGTTGAGGTACTGCTGGGCAAAGGCGATACCGGCGCCGACGGGCACCTGTGCGCCGACGATACCGTTGCCGCCGAAGAAGGTGGGGGTGAACATGTGCATGGATCCACCCTTGCCCTTGGAGATACCGGCCTCGCGACCAAAGAGCTCTGCGATGACCGACTTGATGGTGCCGCCCTTCTGGACGGTGAAGGGGTGGCATCGGTAGGCGGTGATGAGCTTGTCCGAGGGCTTCATACCGGCCTCCATGCCGACGGCGACGGCCTCCTGACCGATGGCCAAGTGGCAGAAACCGCGGATGAGCTTCTGCTTGTAGAGCTGGTCGGCGGCCATCTCCATGCGGCGCATCTTGACCATCTCGGCGTAGAGGTGGATGAGCTCGTCCTTGGAGGTCTCCCACTCGAGCTTGGGCACGTCGAACTTGTAGCCCTTGAACGAGTCCTCGTTGAGGTCCACCTTGAACTTTTCGGACTTGGAGGCGGGCACCTCCTGTGCGGGGCGCGAGGCCTCGGCGGTGAGCGAGACGAAGCGCGACGACGAGGGGATGGCGTTGCGCGAGAGGGCGGGGATGGCGTTAGCCTTGCCCGCCGAGCGCAGCAGGTTGCGGGAGAACGAAGCCATCGTGATGTGAGCAGCGGATGCCGACGACGACGACGAGGGGGGGGGGAGGGGTATGGTAGCGGATACGAAGGGAGAAGCGACCGAGGTAGAAGCGATGTTGGCGGGAGCGGCAGCAGCAAGCAGCAACAGCAGCAGCCAGTCGAAGAGGGCCCGCGCTCTCAAGGTGCGGTCGGTGGGTTGCCAAAAAATTGGGTCGGCTCCTTCTCTCTCTCTCTCTCTCTCTGGCTCGCTCGCCCACTGCGATCCCACGAGATGCGCACCCTGCTCTGCACAGTCTCGACAAAGATTTCGCCGTTGCGCACCTGCAGAGCAGAGCTTCGCGCAAAGCCACCCTCTCTTTCTCTCTCTCTCTTGTGGGCACCGTGTCGCGCGTGTCTCCCCCGACTGGCTCGAATTTCCCAACTTTTTCTTCGCTCTGGCTCTGCTGGGCCGTGTTTCTTTTTTTTTTCTTCGCGCTCGCTGACCCTGGACCGATTTTTTTTGCCCGACATTTGACCGATGGAGTTTCGCTTAGGCGCTGCGCCTGCTTTGACCCCCTCTCTCTCTCTGCGATGAGGCGGGCGGTATCGATCCGAGGCTGACCCTGACCGCTGCGGCTCACTCCGCTGGCCACGCCCACCCTCCATCGATAGATCTCGCAAAGCTCCGTGTGCCTTTCATATGCCTTCTGCTACGAGTGTCGCACCCTTCAAAGTGCTTTGTCCATCAAATGACGGAGAGACATTGCTAGTATTGGAACAGACTGGTCCATGTTGCTTGCATGGCCGTAAAAGTGTGTCTTCAGTGGGCAAAAAGGCGCGACCGAGATTTCGCCGGGCCATGCCTCGAAGTGGCAGCAGTTTGCAGAAGTTGGGGCAGGGCACGCGTCGGCTTGTGGCTGCCCCAACTCCCAGTTGCGCGAATTTCAGCAAGAATATGTGAGATCGAAGAATCTCGATCACATTATTCTACCTAACATCTTCATGGATTTTTTGCGCAAATTTGCCGGAGCAACGCAGGAAAAATCCGCTCGAGGACGGAAGCTTTGCGCTGAAAAGTTGCACCTCCTGCACCTTCTTGCTCCTTCCTTTCTCACCACATCCGACCATGTCATGGCCCCAGCATCCGCTCAGCAATTGCAAGGGCATTTCGATCCCGCACGCCTGTGCACACACCGCCTGTGACACGCGCGCCACTAACCACCCTTGCTTTCATCTCGGACAGCTTTCAGACCCGCACCTCGCGCCATCGAGCCGCGACGATCTGCCGCCCAACCTTTTGCCGTTGGCTGCCTACGCTTTTCTCCTTTGCCTCGAACGCCGGATCGCATCATTATGATGAATACCAAATACATAGAGTCAAGCACGGTCTGGTCGTGGTCCCAACGTGGAAGCGACCATCTGGCGATAACCTATTTTGTTTCTCTCTGACACAAGATGCGATCGCGTTCGAGGCACAAAAAGAAAAGCACGGCAACGCGACGGCACGAGGTTCGGAGCAGATCGACGAGATTGCGGTGGTCTGCCTCGGACATACGCCCAGGCTGGGTTTGTAGATCAATTGCAAAGCTGGACTGACGAGGCATCCGCTATGATGCGCTCGTGCGGCCCAGCTGTGAGAATAGCGCCGCCACCGAAATGAGAAAAAATAATGCCGTTACATCTGCCCTTGTCTGTGCTTTCGTTCAGCGAGTTGCTTGCCCTGGTGCCATGGGAGATGGTTGGCTTGATGTGAGCACAGGTGAGTGACAAGTCGTATGAAATCGAAAAAGCTTGAGAATGTTCGAGCCTACTAACTAACATTACTCAATTTTTGGCGGGTGTCGGCTCCGACTCGGATGGTTCACGCGGCTGCCCAAGTGCTCGCGCCTTCATCTCTAATCCTGCTCGCCGTCTACCATTGCCGACTCCTTGCACCGCACAGCAACGTAAGCAAGCGCCTCTCTTTTCCCACTCTCAACGAAGGCGCACACTCACGAAGGTAGACGCTGACCTTTGAGTATCTCTGGTGGTGATTAGGTTCAAGATGGCCGGAAACGCAGGAGCATCTTCGTCGCGCTGGTACAAGCCCATGCCTGGGTTTGCGCCGCACCCACCCGCGTTCAAGCACCGTTGGGGCGCCAAGCTGCTCGGCGCAACCATGTGGTTCTGGATCTTCTACCGCGCCAAACAGGACGGCCCTGTCCTCCTCGTAAGTAGACTCACACGCCTAAGCGCACAGCAAAAGTCGGTCCGGAATGCATCGAGGCGGACGCAGAAGCAAGCACACAAACAGCACAGGTGTTCTTCACTCGCCTTCGTGTTCTTGCAGATATCACTGCTTGATTCGCCTTGCAGAGCGATATGGACCGGCTCGATGTTGACACGAACCACGATGGGTGCAACCAATGTCGCCGATGCTCTTCCCCCTTTGCTACGCACCCGCATCCTCTTCACCGCACCACGCCTTACTGACATTCGCTCCTTTGTTCCCGCTGGAATGACAGGGCTTGAAACACCCCTGGGACGGCCACGACCACCACCACGGCGACCACGACGACAGCCACCACTAAAACCCCGCTCCAGTCCCACCTCAATACAAAGCCCCCGTTTTCTGCTGCTCTCACGTCCACATGTCTGCGTGGGAATCGCACTGTGAAACGCAAGCCCTCTGAGCCTAGCCCACCCGTTTTGTCTGGCACTTGATCTTTTCATTTCACAACATCGAGACCCGGAAGAATACACGAAACCGTTCAACCCTCGGTCTTTTAACCGATCGAGGCGACGTTGGCGCCCGTGGGAGCGTCGCCAGGCTGCACATTGGCCTCCCTCACCACGGGGCCTTGCTGGGGCAATCCATTGGCGGCGCTCGAGGCCTTGACGAGGTCCTGCTGGCTCACCTTCTCCGGCGCCGTAGCAGCCTTGTGGAGCAACTCGTTGACGAGCGCCAGCTGCTTCTGCACCGCCAGCCGATCGGCGTACAGCTGCCTCCTGCCCGCCTCCACACTGCGCTTCTCGGCCTCGAGCAGCGTCTCGAGCTGCTCGAACTGCGACATTTTGAGCTCGAGCTTCTTGAGCTGCGCCTCGATCAGCTGGCCCACCAGACGCTGGCACTCGCGCTCCTCGAACGACGCCAGCACGTGCGCCTTGGCCGCCGCCGCGCCCAGCGCGATCGCCGCCGCCCGCTCCACGGCGTTTCGAGGAACAGCACCGGCCCCACCAGCAGCAGCGCTCTTTTTGCCAGAGTCCACCACGGCGACGTCGGTGGAAGCAGCAGCGGATTCGGGCTCGGCGTCCACGTCCATGGCATCGCCATTGGCCCGAGCGCCCTCGCTCTTGTCTTCCTTGTCCTCTGCCTCGGCAGCCTTGTCGGCCTCGGCAGCATCGCCGGACTTGGCCTGGCCAGCGCGCTTGCGCAGGTTGTCCGTCAGCTCGCCGAGCGCGCTCTGAGCCGCAGCGGCGGCGACAGCCGGGTTGACTGCGCTGGCGAGGAACGCGACGACGCTCATCACCGGGTTGTCCGCCTGCGCAAACGGCACGATGGGCTTGCCCAGCTTGTCGACCGCATCGCGGCGCGCATACTGCAGCGGGCCGAGGTCCGCCTGCGACGCGCCGTCGAGGAAGCCGTCCTCGATGGGCAGCTGGATAAACTTGGTGATGCACTGCTCGCGGCTCCTGGTGCCGACGTGGTTGGCCACCGCCGACCAGTCGTCGTCAAACATCTCGAGTCCCTCGAGCAGGCGCAGCGTCTCTGCGTCCGTCCAGTCGTCCTGCGCACCTGCAGCGCCGCCCGTGACGCCGCCGCTCTGCTTGAGCACCGAGTCCTCCATGCGCACAAAGTCGCCCGAGTACATGGAGCTGGGGAAGCGGCCCTCGAGGTAGCACGATGCGCATAGCGAGTAGTTTTTGGCCTTGATGCTGTGGTAGCGCACGCGCGTGCAGTCGCTGCCGCACGTGTCGCACGTGTAGCGCGGTGCGCCGCCCGCGCCGCCCTGCACAGCCGCGTCGGCCTGCGCCGCCAGCGAGTTGGCCTCGGCCAGATCCACGGGCTTGGACCCCTTCATGGTGGACTGGAAGATGGTCTTGCGCAGCTCGAGGTTCATGTCTGGCTTGTCGGCGCCTGCCGCAGCGCCGTCAGCGGTGGCATTGGCAGAGGTGGGCAGGTTGAGGCGTGTGCCTGGGTGCATGGGCTGCAATCCACGCGGCGTGTCGACGAGCACACGGAAGTGACCCGTGAAGGGAGGGCCGAGTGTGGCTGGACGCGTCTCGGGGTCGATCTGGTAGTTGATGAGGCCCCACTGCTCGAGGAAGGCGTGTACGCGCATGATGGCGCATACGTCGCCCGCGAGGTTCCTTCGGCACGCGGTGAAGGTGAGGTACTCGCTGGGGTTGAGGCGGTAGGTGTTGATCATAAAGTCGCGGTAGTCCTTGTAGATGCTAGGCGTTTTGCTGCGGTTCTTGTTGTTGAAGAATTCGGGCAAGGAGCGCTTCTCGATGGCATTGATGGTGGACATGTCGAACCAGGTGGAGTACGAGGGGATGATGACCTCCTGCGTCTGCGAGGCGAGGTACTTTTTGGCGATCTCCTCGGCGCGGATGCGCTGCTGCTCGATGGCGGCAGCGTCGGGCTGGATGACGGGCGCATTGGGGTCGACCGTGGCCTCGGTGGACTCGTCGACAGCCGCGTCCTTGGGCTTGTCGGAGGCGGTGCCATCGGCCATGGTGGCGTCGGCGTCGTTGGCTGGCCTGACGGCGGGCTGCTCGCCCTCGACCTTGGTGGGGCCTGCCGACTCCGAGGGGAGGTTGCCGAGAACACCGCTGGGCACGGGTTCGTTCTCGTACTTTTTGCCCTTGATGGGCTGGGAGCCCGAGAGGTCGATGGGTACGGCGCCGACGGGGCGCGCAGCTACGAGGAGCTTGATGCGTTTGCTGCTGGACTCGGCTGCAGCGGCGGCGGAGGAGGCGTCTGTGATCTCGTCGGGCAGGCCGCGCTTCTTGCTCTTGGCGGCATCGGTGGCGGACTCGGTGGTAGCGGTGGCGTCGGCCGAGGCGGCAGCGGTGTCGAGCGCGTCTTCCTGCTCGTAGTCCTCTGCATTCATGAGCTCGTTGAAGCGCACGCTGTCGCGCAGCCACTTTGCGCCGACCTTCCAGGGGAGACGCTTCTCGGGCGCCGGGTCCGGGTCGGCAAAGTCGGCGGCGGGGAGCCAGGTGTCGTAGGAGTCGGGGCGGTACCAGACGTGGATGAGTGCGCGGCCTGCTCTGGATGCGATGGTCCTGAAGTATTCCTCCGAGGTGGTGGAGCTGGCGGCGTCGCCTTGCTTGGGCGAGGAGGGGGGCGTGACCTCGGATGGGTAGAGGACGTGTGTGGCTGCCGAGACGTCGTCGGACCACTTGCACTCGAGCTGCTCAGCCATGTGTCGGAGCGATGCAGCCTCTGCCTCTGTGATGGAGGGGGACACGGCGACGGTAGGATGTTCGAGCACGCCTGCGTTGGAGAGCTGGCGACGGAGGTGAGCGATGAGCTTGACGTTGTCGAGCTTCTGCGCTGGGTCGGAGAAGTTCCATGTTTGCTTGGCGTTGGAGGCGAGGAATGCGAGCGACTCTTGCAAGAGCAGCTTGAGTGGGCTGTTGTGCGGGTCGACGAGGGCGGTGCTCTGGTGGGAGGTGGTGGGAAGGAAGAGCTCTGCGGGGATGCGGACGGGGTGCCGTGTGTTTGGGGTCGAGGCGGATGGGTCGGCGGGGCGGGGCGCGTTGACGCCGAGCGACTCTTCCTGGAAGGACTGAAGATCAAAGAGGAGGGCTGCGAGGTCGGATGCGGAGAGGGAGCCCGACTTGGATGGGATGGCAGCTGCCTCGATGTTGTTCTGAGCGAGAGCAGCCTTGATAGGCTCGACGTACGACTCGAGTGCCTGGAGGAGCAGCGGGTCGGAGCCGAGCTTTGGGTCGGGATGACCCGTGAGGTTGAGTGTCGACATAACCTACACGCTCGACAAGAAGGGAAGCGCGCGTGGGCCGAGGCCAGCCAGAGACGAGAGAGAGGCAGATGCGAGGGGCAGACGCGAGTCGCCGAGTCGATGGTCGGCTGGATGGGTGTGACGACTGTCGGCGTGTCCGATTGTCACACGTGGATGAGAGTGCGATTGAGCAGTCTGACGAGGTTGGATGGTGACCGGAAGGATCAGGTTCAGGTGAAGGTGGATGGGAGTCATGATGGATTCGGATGCTTCCAACACGTCTCCGTCTGGCTTTGCTGGAAATTGGCCCAGGCTGAGAGAGTGAGAGCCAGAGAGCCCGCTCCTCGCGCTTCTCGCGCTTCTCGCCCTCTCTGGCACGGCTGCTGCCCTCTCTGCTCTCTGCACGTCTGCCCTTCGCGGCTGCTTTTGGGACGCGCCGCTCTGGGCACGATCCAATCCAATCGGGCGTTGCCTCGGCGCGCCCATCTGAATTCGAGTGTCCTCTGGCTTTGAATCTCGCGCTTGTATTCGCGTCCTGGGCGATTATTTTCCCTGATTCTGTGAGATCGACCGACAGTCGACGCTCCTCCGAGGTCAGAAGCAGATGAGCATTACATGGGAGTGAGGCACAGATACAGAAGTGACGTCCGAACGATTCGGTCGGCCTAGGTCGTCTTGTAGAACAGGTCGAAGCGGAAGCCGAGCGACTCGAGCAGGTTGCGGACCAGGCCGCCGATGCCTCCCTGTGTCTTGCGCAGCGACTTGCCCACGTACGTCGTCCGCCACTCCTCCTTGCCGTCGATCTGCACCGACACGCGCACCACGGGCTTGTACGGATCGCGCGCATCCACCTCGAACTCGCTCCACTTGTAGTTGCCGTCCGGCAGGTACTTGAGCAGCTTGTCCACGCCCGTCTTGCCGTCGCCGTGCTCCTGCGATAACGTGCGCACGGGCAGGTAGAACATGCTGAGCGGGCTCGTGCTGAACTCGGTGATGGTGTCCAGCACGCTCACCGCCGCAAACTCGTGGCGGTCACCGCTGAGCACAATCACGTTGGGTACGTAGCGCAGCACCTCGGCGATCTCGAGCCGCTCCGTGTTGTACGCCGCCCAGCTGTCCTTCTGCCCGTCCACATCCAGCTCGCCGCCCCACAGCGTGTTGAACGGCACCGAGCTCACCACAAACTTGAACGTCACCGTCTCGTTGACCGCGCCCAGCCACGCGTACAGCTCCTGCTTCTGGCGGTAGCCCAGCATGGTCTTGTCCGCGTCGTCGTGCGCAGTGTGGTGCGTGCGGTGGCGGCGCGTGTCGAGCACAAAGAACGCTGCCGACTCGCCGTACTGGAAGGTGTAGTAGTTCTCGCCCTCCTCCAGAGGCTCCGGATTCACATCGCCAATGTACTCCTTCCACGCCGTGTTGGCCGCCGGATACGCAGCGATCTGCTCGTCGTTCTCGTCCCGCCCAGACCAGTTGTTCACCACCTCGTGGTCGTCGTAGATGCCGATCACGGGCACGTGCTTGAAGAAGCGTCGGAAGCTCTCGGACGCAAACAGGTTGCGGTACAGCTTGCGATACGCTCCCGTCTCGGCACCGCCGTAGTGCGGCACGTCGGCGTAGATGAGGTCGCCCAGCTGCAGCAGGAAGCGGATCGAAGGGTGGTTGGCGCGACCGGACACGGTGCGCTTGTACAGCAGGTCAAAGCCGGGGATGCGGTTGCGCTCTGTGATGCCACCCGCCTCGGTGCCGATGCCCACGAGTCGGAGGAGCCAGTTCCACCCCCAGAACTGCGCCGGGTGGTAGGGGAAGTCGGGCTTGACGCACGACGTCGAGGCAAAGGTGAAGTGGTTCGGGTCTTCGAGTGGGTTGGTCTCCTCCCGCGGCTCATCGACGCTGTCGCCAGCTCCACCTCGACGCGGACCGAGGCTCTTGGACTGCATATACGAGCTGAGGCGCGGGTCGGGCCAGGTGGTGAAGTAGTTGCGGCGGCTGATGGCGTCGTTGGCCACAAACTTTTCGATCACACGCACCTCGTCCGAGTGGTCGACGTGCTCGGGCTGAAACTGCGAGAGGCCCCACTCGTACGTGGTGGATGGCCATAGATCGTCGATGACGGCCGTGGCGGTCCAGTCGTTCTCGGGGCGCAGCGTGATGAGTGGGCCGTTGAGCCAGAGGCTCTCGTGGCTCGCGAGGTAGTTGTGGCCGTACGCGCGCGAAGGCTTGCGGAACGAATCGTCTTGCTCGGTGAGGTTGAGCGCGCGCCTGTACTTGACGAGCAGCTCGATGGGCTGTGGCTCCGAAGCAACGCTATTGGACGCAGCGTCGATGGCGAGACTGTCGAACGAGTTGGCGAGGTTGGGGGCGAGCGCAGCCGAAGCGTTGGGTGCGCTCAAGAGCTCGGGAGGCGGGTAGCGGATGTGGACCTTGGCGTACGTAGGACCGAGCGCACCGGTGCGGGCAAATGCGAGGTTGTAGTCCCAATGCGAGGGAAACAGGTAGGGCGAGAGAAAGCTGTCGACAAAGAGTGCAAAGGCGAGCGTGTGCGCCAGGATGATGTAAAAGTTGATGCGAGAAGATCGCGTCGAGGATCCAAATACAAGGGCCTTGACGAGCTCAAACGCAGATGCGTTGTGTGCCTGAGTGTCGGCAGTGTTGTCGTGAGAGGCTGCCGAGGCCGTGGTCGCTGGAGCGGGCTTTGCGCCCTTGGCGACGTCGGCATACGAAGCAGTGGAGGTTTCGGCCTTGGCGGAAGCTCCGTTCTGATCGGCAGGCTTGTTCTCGACGGGCTTTGCCGAGGGTTTGTCCTGGATCTTTGCTTGGGTCACCTCGACCTTCTCTGCAAGCTGCTGGAGATTGCGCGCCGCCGTCGCGCGAGAGGCCTTGTGGATGGAGATGGCGTTGCGGATGGCATAGTCACGGTAGATGGAAGTGAGCAGGTAGATCACATAGAGCGCAGGGATGACGGGGTGCGCGAGCGAGGTGGGGATCCAGCGCAAGAATACGAAGACGGCCAACTTGAACAGGAGCGACGAAAGCGCCTGTACGATGCTCACGACGCCGCCCGAAGGCTTGCGGAAGGGCAAGAAGGTGTGCGCGTGGTCTGCCTCTGGCGTTGCGCCGGGCTTTGTTGTTGTGCCAGCCATGGCGATGAGGAGACGATGAGGGTGCTCGCTTGGATGGAGGTAGAAGGAAGGGAAAGTTAGGAAGCTTGGATGGATCGCCAACTACTGCCGGCAGGCTTGTGCGCTGCGTTGGAGAGTGCGGAAATGCCGGTGTGGAGGCGGCACTTGAAAAAAGAAGGGCAGCGGCAACTCTTCTTCCATCTCCAGAATCGGGCTGATGAATCACCGAATCTCACCACGCACACTTGCGGGAGCGCGGCGGCCGCCGTACTTTTGCTGGTGCATGACGCTCGACGCGGCGGAACGTTCTCCGCATTCCCTTTGTGCCGCTGTACAGCTGCCAACGTCGGAATGCGTTCCTCCTCTTCTTCGACGGCTCCAGAGTGGAGGCGCGAACGCGTCGACGATCCGCGCGGATCAGAGCCAAGACTGTTGCATCGCCCGATCCGAGTCGGTGGTGCTCACCGATCTTCCTTCTCGCTGATGCGGCTATCAATTTGAGATTTTCAGCCCGGAGTCACTTTCGAGTCAAAAGCGCCCGCTCGAGTGCAACACCTACCTGCTTTTGGGTTTGATGGGAAGATTGCGAACCCACCTTCCTGCCTTCCGAACACCATTCCCCCACGCTTCTCTCCATCGCTTGCTCGCTGCAGCATCCACCACAACCATGTTGTACCTGCTCGACTACGGCGCGGGCAACGTGCGCAGCCTCGCCAACTCCATCACCAAGCTCGGCTTCGAGTTCAAATGGGTGCAGTCGCCCGAAGACCTGCAGAAGGCGGACAAGCTCCTCTTCCCCGGTGTGGGTGCCTTTGGCCCTGCCATGCAGAGCATCCGCGACAAGGGCTACGCTGAGCCGCTCAAGCAGTACATTGCGTCCGGCAAGCCCTACATGGGCATCTGCATCGGCCTCCAGACGCTCTTTGAGGGCTCCGACGAGGCTCCCGGCGTGCCCGGCCTCGGTGTCGTGCCCGGCATCGTCTCGAGCTTCTCGCCATTCGAGAACGACGGCAAGGACAAGAAATCGGTGCCCCAGATGGGCTGGAACACGGCCAAGGTGGTCAAGACCAGAAACGACGGCGGCGACGAGGACGCGATCAAGTACGGCTTTCCGGATCCAAAGTCGGGCGAGCAGAGCCACTACTACTTTGTCCACTCGTACCGCGCCCAATACCAGCCCGACAAGCACGCCGACTGGGTGCTCACCACTACCCAATATGGTTCCGAGGTCTTCCTCTCGTCCATTCAGCGGGGCAATGTCTTTGCGACCCAGTTCCACCCGGAAAAGAGCGGGCGTGCTGGTCTGGAGCTGCTGCGCGCGTGGCTGAGCCACCCGGGCACGATTGATGCGAGCAAGGAGCGTCTGCTGCTCGACCCTCAGCAGGTGGCTGTGCCTCAGCCGCGCGACGGCCTCACCAAGCGTATCGTCGCGTGTCTCGATGTGCGCAGCAACGACGACGGCGACCTCGTGGTGACCAAGGGCGAGTCGTACGATGTGCGCGAGAAGGCGGACGCGCCTGCGTCCACCGAGGTGGTCGCCGAGGCGTCCGGATCGTCGTCGCCCAAGCGCAAGGTGCGCAACCTGGGCAAGCCGGTGGATCTGGCCACGCGCTACTACCTCGAGGGTGCCGACGAGGTGACCTTCCTCAACATCACCTCGTTCCGCTCGTGCGCGCTGCAGGACCAGCCGATGCTCAGCCTGCTCGAGGCGGCGGCGGCCAAGATCTTTGTGCCGCTCACGATCGGTGGTGGCATCAAGGACTCGGTGGATCCGGACGGTACGCCAAGGCCCGCCAAGGAGGTTGCTGATGCCTACTTCCGCGCAGGCGCCGACAAGGTGTCGATTGGGTCCGAGGCGGTGTATGCGGTCGAGGAGCTGTATGCGCGTGCGGCGCAGAATGGCCAGCAGGGCGAATTGGATCCGCTCAAGTTCAGCGACGCATGTCTGACGGGCAAGACGGGCATCGAGACCATCAGCAAGGGATACGGTGCGCAGGCCGTCGTAGTGTCCATCGACCCGCGTCGTGTCTACGTTGGCCAAGGCGAGACTGTTGCTGCGGCCCACGCAGCGTGCGTTGTCGAGGGCATCAAGGGGTCCGAGGACGAGGGCAAGAAGTGGTGGTACAGATGTACGGTCAAGGGTGGACGCGAGGACCGCGATGTGGATGTGGTCCAGCTTGCGCGCGGTGTGCAGCGGCTTGGAGCCGGTGAGGTGTTGCTCAACTCGATCGACCGCGATGGCAGCAACAAGGGCTTTGATCGTCAGCTCGTCGACCTTGTGCGCAATGCAGTCGACATCCCGGTCATCGCCTCGTCCGGTGCTGGCAATGCCGACCACTTTGTCGATGTGTTTGCCAACGCAGACGCGTCCAAGCCCCAGGGTGACGGCACTGTCGAGGCAGCGCTCGCAGCAGGCATCTTCCACCGAAACGAATGCTCCATCAACGACGTCAAGACCACGCTCGCCAGCAACGGCTTCAACGTGCGCATCGAGGCCGTCGCCCAGGGCGCAGGCGCCATCACCACGCAGTAGATCCACCCCCCAACACAATCATGTCGATAGATGCGATGCATGAATATACGCGTGTCACTGCGCAGTAGATCGAGGATGACAGATGCGAAAGTGTGAAGCGAAGGATGAGCTGAACATCGGACATTCCGACCCCAAAGTGACGCGAAGCAGGCTGGATCACACCGGAGCACTTGGACACACGTCTGGGCTATGATGCCGCACGAACCCACTCCACTGCCTTGACTACGTGACATTGTGCATAAAAACCCCAAGTGTACAAATACAAATTCCCACTGAGAGTGCTCTCGATCTTGTCTGAACTTGGACGAGGTGGTGAGAAGAGACTAGGACAAGCCGAGCATGCCGACGCGCTGGTCCATGACGGCGTCGAGCTCCTCGCCCGCGCGTGCGTCTAGATTGGCGTTGTTGGCCGAGATGCTCAGCCCGAGCGCGCCCGAGCCGTAGCCTGGTCCCGAGCCCGATGCGGCCGGGCTGAAGCCGCCCATGGCCACGGCTCCTGCTGCTCCTGCTGTCTGGTTGCCGCCAACGGGCGTGCAGGGGCGCGAGATGGTGGGCGAGGTCGAGTAGCGCGCATACGCCAACTGCGCCTGGTGGATGCCGCGATACACCAGTCCCGAAGGCGACGAGATCGGCATCATGAGCGGCGAATTCGACCCAGCGCCACCTCCGGCCTGCGCAGAAGTGTACGAAGTGCCCAGATTCATCGGCGACACAGCGCGACGCTTGTACGGCTCGTAGCGGTCTTCGGTCTTGCGTTTGGACAGGCGCGTGCCCGTGTTGAGCACGCGCGGCGACGTGTCTTCCGCACGCCGCCACGTGCGGTCCGAGGCAGGCGTGCTGGGCGACCACTTGTGCACATTGCTCTTGTCCCGGAACCCCATCCACAGCGCATTACCCTTGCGTTTGGGTAGCGAACTCGAGACCGCCGTTCCGACACTCGTCGATACGCCAGCGCCAGCACCGGCTTCAGCCGACGCTTCGCCCATCGCCGCATCTCCTGCTGCATCCGCGTCGCGCATCGGCGTTGCATCCGGCACAGGAGCCTCGTCGTCGTCCGAGACCGACGCGGTGCGCGAGTAGTACATCATCATCTCTTCCTCGTCCTCGGACTGATCGGAGCTGTCATCGTCCAGCCCGTCGGCGCAGAAGACGCCGCGGATATCGTCCACATCGTCATCCCACATGTACTTTCGCCGCGACGATCCTGTACCGAACCCAGGTGCTGCTGGTGCGTCGGATGGCGACTTGGGCACGCGCGAGCCGCTCCCGCCAAACGCTGCGCTGCCACTGGGTCCGAACCGCGGCGTGCGCGGCAGCGTCGCTTCGCCACCCAGCCGCTTCTGCAGCTTGGCTTCCGAAGCGATCTCCGAGTCTTCGGGCTTGCTTTCGTCCTGCAGCGATGCGGCGACGCGCAGCACGGAGCGGTCGCGCGGCAGCAGGTTGCCACGCCGTGTGACTGCCTTGCGCACCACATTCGACGAAAGCAGCGACGACGACCGCGATCGGTTGCCGTGGCCGAGTGGAGAGCCCATCGAAGCTCCCGCGGATGGAGAATGCGGCACCGCGCGGGACATGCTCGAGGTGCTTGCGCCGAGCGCGCCGAGCGCGCTAGTAGCACCACTGGCGGACGACGAACTGTCGTGGCCCGAATCGGAAGCCGAAGCACGCGTCAGCGCCGACGACGCAGTCGAGTGGCGAAAGACGGGATGTGCGGGCGGCGGTGTGCTGGGCGTATTGGCGAGCGAAAGCGGCGGGCCCATGACCGGTGTGCTTGGCGCGCGCGATACCGTCACATCCTCGTCCTCGACCTGCATCATTTCGTCGTCTCCATCGTCCGGACTGGGGCCCGCCCTGCTCTCCGTCTGACGTTCTTCATCGGAACGGTCGTCGGGATCGAGGTGAAATGGCGTGATCTCTCTTCCGAGCATGCTGGCTCTACGGAACCGCGCGGGCGAGGCGATTGCGAAGCCGGGCGAGTTCATGCCCTGCGACCGTCTCAGCAGCGCAGCCGAAGCGGAAGCGCCACCGGGCGATGTGGTCGATGCAGATGAGAGCGCGGTAGCTGGCGGAGGAGGCCATCCTTCTCCCGCCAGCGAAAGCGTGGGTGAGGCCGGCTGTGCATACAGTATCGAGGGGTGCGGTTGTGCCAGCGGGTTGGACTGGTCCCTTGCCGAGGGCGAAGGAAGCATGCCTATCCCCAACCCGGTGGCCGAGCTGGCGAATCGTGAAGGTGAAGATGCCAGGTGGCCCAGCGAGAGCAGTGGAGGCTGGGTCGAGGATGAGGCGCCTGCATTGGAGGTCGGGAACGGACGCGTGGGGATCGAGATGGGCCCTGACGAGGAGCCTGGGGCCCAGCTAGGTGCGTGATTACTTGCTGACGAGGAGGACCCGCGAGTGGCGCCAAACGGGAGCGCAAAGTCGGTCGACGAGGTGGCAAAGGTAGCGCGATTCGCCAGACCGGAGCTCGAGCCGGCAGGGCTGGCATTGTGTGCTTCATTGCCGTTCATGGCGGCGGTTTGAGCACCAAGCGGACGAGCGCGCCGGCATGGGACTGTGCAAGACTGAAGGTGCGCCTCGCACCGATACGGTGGAGTGTGGTGATGCAGTCGGCTTGCTAGGTGGTCATCGATGCCAGATCGAAGGGTGGTGTGGGGCGAGCGAGAGCTTCCGAGAGAGGCCAATGCCAAAGTGGCCCAGGGTGCAGTGCCCCGAAATCAAAGTGCCCGAAAACTGTCGGAGCGGTGCGAAACAGCTGCGAAATCCCACTCACACTTGGGACTGTGTGAATTAAGCGGTCGCTTTCCCAAGCCTCGATTTCGCGTGTGAATTTGACGCTGTATTGCATTTCTCACGATCCCACTTCATCTCGTCTCGACTCAGCCTCGTCCCCACCGAACCGCCCACAGTTGCCGACAGAACAAAGACTTTGGAGCACGTGATGATCTACATTTCATGCTGCCCATGGGTCCGGTGACGCGAAATCTAAGCGGTTCTAACGAGCAAGTCCTTGGTACTTTTTGGAGAAAAAAAGATAAACAAAGGCGAAGACGAAAGCGAAAGCGAATGCGAAAGCGAAGAGGGTGGGTTGGCTCAGTCGTAGCGCACGTCCTTGCGCTGGCCCAGACCGATGCGCCTGGCGGAGACGGTGAGGTTGCGTCCGCCCTGGTCGAGCACGACGACGTGGTTCTTGATGAAGCTGAGGCCGATGATCGAGATCTGCGCGGGACCGGTCTGGAAGGCCGAGTAGCACATGTCGGTCTTGCCGCCCGCCGCCGCCGCGGGCACGGGCTGGTTGGCGTAGAAGACGTAGTCCTCCTTGGGGATGGTGAAGTTGGTGCCGCCGATCTGGAGGTTGAAGCTGGGGTTGTTGGCGGTCCTCTCGTGCCTCTTGAGGCCGGTGTCGCAGGGGACGAGGTAAGGGAAAGCGAGGCCGCTCGACGAGTTGGCGACGAGCGAGCCGGCGATCTGGCTGTTGATCTGCTTGACGATGGGTGGGGGCAGATAGAAGACGGCGGAGCCGGTGTCGATCATGAAGCGGATCGGGCGTTCCTGGGTGCCCGGTGCGGCGGCGAGGAGCGAGTCGCCAAAGGTCATCTGGTCAAAGTAACCTGCCCAGAGGTAGGGGGAGAGGGCGCGCGTCCAGGTGATGTTGCCGTCGAGCAGGCGGTCGTCGATCTCGCCAAAGGTGTAGCGGCCTCCGCCGCCCTTGCCCGTGTTGCGGTTGGCCTTGCGAAGCGTGGCGGTGAGGTAGGTTTGGTCGATCTGGCCGCGCGACGACATGGCCTCGAAGGGCGTGGTCCACTCGCCCGGGGTTTCGGAGCCGGAGCCTGCGGAAAGGCCGACGAGGCCCTCCATGCCACGGCCCGCGCGCGAGCCCTTGATGGAGGTGACGAGGGCGAGGGGCAGCTGGTCGACGGTGAGCCTCTGCTGGCCAAAGGTGAAGTCGTCGATGCCGACGTAGCCCGAGACGCTGGAGCCGGAGCCGTAGGTGGAGGACCAGGCCTGGCCCGGGGTGCCATCGGGAGCGGGGACGGCGACGTTGTTGACGACGGTGCGGTTATGGAAGGTGTCGGACTGGGTGGGGTCGAAGAAGGTGTGGTTGTTGGCGTAGCAGCACTGGGGCGAGTAGACCCAGGTGTCGGAGCTGCCCGAGTCAAAGACCATCTTGAGCGTCTGGGCGGGCGAGCCAAAGCCGACGTTGACGAGCCACTCGTTGTCTGCCGAGTTGTCGGTGGCCTTGTTGATGACGATGCCGAGCGAGTGGTCGTGGTACTTGCCGCCCTCGATCCAGCTGGCGACCTGGTGGCCGAGGTGGTCGAGCGTGTGGAGGACGCTGTGGCGGCCGTGGTGCTTGCGGTCGTCGGTGCGTGGCTTGGACTTGTCGGCGCGGCAGGTCTTTGAGCTGCGCTTGGAACCGGTACCGGAGAGGTCGCGTTTGCGGTAGTCGAGGGGCAGCTCGGAGGTGACCCATCGCGACTGGAGGAAGTGCGGGTGGGAAGGGGTGCCGTCGGCCTTGAAGAGCGAGGTGATGGGCTCGTGCGAGACGTCGAGCTCGTGCTTTGCCGAGACGAGCGCGGTGAGGGTGGCGGTGGCGGCGAGGCCAGCCCAGGCCGTGTTGGACTTCATTGTAAAGGCGGAGGTTGCGAAGGATGCAGATGGAGCAGGGCGGAGCGATTGGTGGGATGAGAGAAAAAGAAGGGGAGGATGGGGTGGCGCCTAGCGGGTATATACTGTAGCGGATTGAAGCAACGAGTGTTTTGGGTGGAGAGCGCGTCTGAGTCGAGTGGTATTGTAGAGACAGCGGCGATAGGAGGAGGAGGGAGAGTAGGGGGAGAAGGATGGTCGGAGCGCGAATGGACGGAGCAAAGGCAAAGGAGCGACCGAGCGGAGAAGGTTAAAAGAACGCTGGCAGGCTGGTCCACCGTGGGATGGGGTAGCGTCGAAAGGAGAAGCGCGTGTATGAATGGCGGCGCAAATGAGGAGCGAGCGAGGGCGGGTGGGGGTGAGCCAACCGAAGCAGTGGTGGTGGGCGGCAGGCGGTGCCGGGTATGAGCGAGAGCGAGGGCGAGAGCAAGAGCGAGAGCAAGAGCGAGAGGCTTGGCAATCGACGACGGCCGTAAATTGAGCGTCGTGCTGGCGTGAGCCGAAATGCCCGGCTGCCTTTTTGGCTGGTGGGGCGCCTTGCTGTCTCTGGCTCTCTCTTTCGCGCGCCCTCTCTCGCTCCGGCTGGAAGCGGGCTGTTTGTTGATCTACAGCGCGCCTCCTCTCTGCTGCTCCTGTGCCTAAATTACTGTTGGGCTGGACGGAATTTCAATTCAAAAGAGGGAAGAGAGAGAGACGATCGACGACGGGCGCTCGAGAAAAGGGTTCAAATTGCCAACTTACGCCGCCCTCGCTATCCATCACGTTTGCTTCGGCTTGCATCCGCCGTCGCCTGTCACTGCGCGGTACATCACATCACAGTGCGGTGCAGAAGCCCACGAACCACACTCATGAATGGGATGTGATTGTCTCACTTGGGTCGCCGATCCGGCTGAGCTCCAACTATTTCTTTGAAGAGCAGGTGGGGGGGAAGGGAAGGCTCGTCGACCATCGCATTGTGCGTGCGTGCGCGCCTGCGCCTGAACAAAAACGGCAGGAGCTAAGTTAAGCGCAGGGGTTCAGCAGCGCAGCGCGGCGCGGCGCGGCGCGGCTTGCTCGGCTGCAATGCAGCGGTGCCTGAAAATCTGCACCTCACCTTCTCTCACCTTTTGGCTTCGTTGGAGCTGTGATTCCTTCGGCTGATGGCATGCCGATCCATCATGCTGTCAACGTCAGAGCTTGAGTTCCTGCCCTGCATCAAACGTTGAGCCTGCCACACCGATTCAACGCAGAAGCCTTCTTTCCTTCGTCTGCAGCTACTTCCGCCACCGCGCACTTCCAACTCAAACCAAAAAGCGGGCGGCCGATTCAACTCCTGCCCAAAAACATCGACGCGATGCTGCCCTTGCAGAGCCGGCTTCCACTGCAGGAACCTCGCGCCTGAGCCCGATTTCCATCGCTACGCCCTCAGCCGACCTCCTTGCATTCCCCAACACTTCCCGCCGTAATTTTCTGGGCCTCTCCCTTTTCCATGCCCACGCTTCTGCGAACCAGGTCAACTGTACTGCTTGCAATTCTAGTATAATTCATGCCATCGGCCGATCCTTACAGCTTGCGCCAAAGACGTGAAAACTGACCGGTCAAAGGCATCGTCGTGCGGCGGCTAAGTCATTCTAACTCACTTGGACCCTCGGTCCGAGTTGGCCGCCGTCGTGCTCGTCGATGCCGACGGAGAACGCTGCGCCTCGGCCTCGCGCGCGATTCGCAGCAGCTCGCCCATCTCGCCGCTCTGCTCGCACATCGAGTGGAACACGCTAGACTCGTCCGTCATGAGCGACAGCGGCGATCCGCACTCGACCACCTTGCCTTTGCCCAGCACCACAATCTTGTCGTAGTCGGCAATCGTCTTGATCCGGTGCGCAATCGTGATGATCGTCGCTTGCGGCGCCATCTCCTGTCGGATCGTCTTTTGAATCTGCGCGTCCGACGCCGAGTCCAAGTTGGCCGTGCTCTCGTCCAGCACGAGGATGCGGCTGTCGCGCAGCTTGAGCAGGCCACGCGCCAGCGCCAGCAGCTGCTTCTGCCCCGCACTAAAGTTGCGTCCGCCCTGCTCCACCACCGCGTCGAGCGACGTGATGATGTTCGTGCGCCCGTACATCTCCGCATCCGCGCCCTCCTCCTCGCCCTCGGGCCCAGGCGACCCCGGTCGACTCGGCGCACGGCTCACCGCGCGCGACGCCGCCGGCGTGGCAAACGATGCGAGACGGCATCGCTCCAGCGCCGTCCACAGCTCGCCGTCCTCGTACACGCCAAACGGATCCAGGTTGGATCGCACCGTGCCGCTGAACAGCTGCGCGTCCTGCGGAATCACCGTGAGCCTCTCGCGCAGCGTGCGGATCGGAATCGACGCAATGTCGATGCCGTCGATCTCGATCGATCCCTGCTCCGCTTCCAAGAATCGGAAGAAGCACAGCGCCAGCGTCGACTTGCCCGATCCCGTGCGCCCCACGATGCCCACCTTCTCGCGCGGCTGGAACTCCAGGTCGATGCCGTCCAGCACGCGCGGGAACTCGGGCGTGTAGCGCACCGCCAGATTCTTGATGACAATCTTGCCCTCGCTGCTCGGCCAGTACGCCGGCGGCTCCGTGCCCGTCTGTCGCTCCGGCTCCAGCTCCAGATACTCGCTGATGCGCTCCACGCTGTTCATGTTGATCTCCGTCTGCGTGTACATGCGCACAATCCACAGCACCGACTCCACAAACGTGATCGCGTACGCCAGCACAAAGCCCGCCAGACTCGCCTCGATCTCCGGTCGCAGCAGCAGGAAGATCGCAGACAGGAACGCCACCGAAGCGCCCGCAATGTCGACGCGCACCGACAGCCACCTGTTTTCGTACCACAGGAAGAAGAACGCCCGGTTCGCCTTGTCCACCAGTCGCAGGCAGTGGCGCGTGAAGCGTCCAGCATCGCCGTAGGCGCGGATGATAACGCATCCGTTGAGCACCTCGCCCACCACCGTGTAGATCGGGGATCGCTCCACCGACTCGATGCGCTTCAGATCGCGCGAGCTGACCAGGTACAGCGCTCCGATCACAGAGTACACGCACACCACGATCAGCGCCACCACCAGGAAGATGGGCGTCGCCCAGCAGATCAGGATCAGGATCGCCGTCGCCGTCAGCGTGCACTCGAGCAGGAACAGCATGCACACCGCCATCTCCTGATCCACCGTCTCCACATCCTTGGACAGGCGGTTCATGATGCGGCCCACCGGCGTGCGGTCGAAGAACTGCGGTCGTGCGTTCAGGATGGCATCCGTCAGTCGGCGGTAGATGCGCCTCGACGCTCGTAGCGAGATGAAGAACTCGTAGCCGTCGCGGAGCACCGCCATGGTCATGAAGCCCAGCGAGATGGCCAGGTACACGCTCAGGTAGTACGTGTCCAGATCCCGGCCGTTGGCACCATCATCGCCACGCCCGCTGCTTCGCTTCTGCATCGAGAACACGTGCTGCCCGCCCGTCGAAGTCCAGGACTCGGACGCCGTGTAGCCCGAAAAGTTGGCGGCGTGCGCGAAGTCAGCATGCTTTGTGGTGAAGAGGTCGGGCATCTGTCCGAGAAAGCCGTTGAAGCGTGCGCCGTTGAGCCAGTCGGGGCGACTTGACCAGATTGTGTCGATGAGCGGCGTCGTCATGAACGTCTGCACTTGATTGTACGTGAGCAAGGGCTTCTGCTCCGAAGGCGTCGCGGCGCTTGCCACGCTGAAGCCCGTCTTTTCCTCACGGTAGTCGTGCGAGCCGGCCCATCGCATCAGCCATGCACCCGAGCTGATGTCCAGCAGACGCACCGTCAGGAAGAAGATCAAGAGCGAGCCCCACAGCAGCACCGCATAGCGCGCCTTGGTCGCCACGGACCCGAGGTAGAGACCGTAGTTCTTGGTGCCGACGGCGCCCGAGCTGTACGTCTCTTCGTTGGCGTGCGCCTTCTTCTTCTCGAGCTTCTTGGCCATCTCTTGACGCTCGGCCTCGTCGGAGCCACCGGCTGCGAGCTCCTCGATCGTCATCTCCTCGTGGTCTCCCTCGTTCGCCGAGAGCTCCTTGAGACGCGACTGCAGCGCTTCGCCCTCCTCGGAGAAGACGCCGGTGGCGTTGACGACGTCAGGGGTGCCCGCGACGACGATGCTGCCGTCGTCCATGGCGACCGCGAATGCGGCTCCCGGCAGACACAGGCTGATGGCGTGCGTCACGAGAATGATGGTGCGGTCCTTGGCAAGCGCGCCCTTGAGCGCATGGCGGTACAGATGCTTGGCGGTATGGCTGTCGACGGCGGAGAGAGCATCATCGATGAGCACATGCTTGGCCGACGAGTAGAAGGCACGAGCTAGCGCGATACGCGCCTTCTGACCACCAGAGAGCGAGGTACCCTTCTCACCGACCTCGGTCTCGTCGCCGTACTCGAGGATCTTGAGATCGGGCTCGAGGGCGCAGGCCTTGATCACGGCGCGGTAGCGGCGCTCGTTGTAGGGCGAGCCGAAGAGGATGTTTTCCTTGAGCGTGGTTCCGAGCAGCCAGGGGCTCTGACTGCAGTACGCCACGGACTCGCTGAGGCCCGTGGTGGGGTCGATGGGCGCCGTCGCACGCGCCACTGGGCAGGGCATGAAGGTGCGGCCAGCCAGCTGGCGTGTCTCACCGAGCAGCGACATGAGCAGCGTGGTCTTGCCCGAGCCGACGGGGCCGGCGACGATGCTGAGCTTTCCGACGGGGAAGCGCAGGTTGATGTCGCGGAGGCAGAAGGCTCCCTCGTCGACAGCGCTGTCGTCGTCTGCGTAGGTGAAGCTGGCATCTTCGAAGCCGATGCGTTGTTCGGAGCCGTGAGCGGAAGAGCCCGCGGTGGGCGAACTGTCACGGCCGTTTGCGTTTGTGTCGCCCCAGTCGCTCGAGTCTTCGTCGCGCAGGAGCTGCTGGTACTTTTGCGTCTCCTCCTCGCGCAGGTAGGTGTCGATACGACGCACCGAGACGAGCGAGTTGAGGATCTGAACGATCATGTCCGGCAGCGCATCGAGCGGGTTGCGCAGCGTGTTGAAGAGGGCCAGCGCTGTAAAGGCCTTTTCGGCGGTGAGAGGCTGGTGGAAGAGCTTGGTGTGGGCGCCGAAGGTGGCGCAGGTGACGAGCATGGGAGTGCCCATGTAGGTGAAGGTGTTGCAGAGCCAGGCGAGGTAGCGAAGGCCGAGGACGTGAAGCTCGCGCTGACGAGCCTCGTCCATGCGTGCGTTGAAGGAGCGCTCCCAGGCGAAGAACTTGACGGTCTTGATGCAGCCGAGCACCTCGGTGGCGAGATTGAGACGCTTGTCGGTGGTTTCGAGCAGGCGCTTCTGGAGCTTGACGAACCAACGCGAGACGAGGGTCTGGATGGGCAAGGAGGCGAGCAGGACCATGAATCCAATCACGGCCGACCAGCCGAGCAGGGCGATGAGATAGATGAGGCAGAGGCCGATGACGAGAGGAGCGCGTGGGGCGAGGAAGTGGAGGTAGGCGCAGATTTCGGACACCTTGAAGACGTCGACGGAGATGAGGTTGACGACCTGTCCGTCGGTTGCACGGCCGGTGGAGGTTCCCTTGTCATCGGCAGCTTTCTTCTTGGCAGCTTCCGTCGAGTCGGCATCGTCTTGATCAGCGATTTTGTCCTGGGCAACTTCCTTGTCACCTGTGCTGCCGATGTCCTTGCGACGGAGCGTCTTGGTGACGATCTCGGTGATGAGGATGGCACGCAGACGGATGCAGATGCGTCTACCGATGAAGAGGGCGCGCGACGACGAGATGGAGGAGAAGATCTGGCCGACGAGCATTCCGAGTGCGTAGAGGATGCCGAGGTGGAGCGGCTGTGCATCTTCCATGTTGCCGTTGCGGCGCAGCTCGCCCCTGGCGGCGATGAAGCCGAGGATCTTCTGGAGGAAGAAGGGAGGCACGAGGTTGAGGCCGGCTTCGAGGGTTGCCCAGAAGAATTGGAGAGCGAGGAACCACTTGAAGTGGCCGAACAGTCTGCGCCAGAGCGGACGGGTGGAGGGGGCCAAGCCGGCGTGGAGGCCGGACTCGCGAGGAGTCGAATCGGACGCGGCGGCGGCGGCGGTGTCGGAGCGGGCGGAAGTGTAGGCACGGAAGCAGGCGACGACGGCGGCGGCCTTGTCTGCGACGGGAAGGTCTGGGATGGCGCCGAGGGAGAACTGCACCTTGTAGTGCTTGACGATGGCCGGCGTGACGAATCCAAAGGTGGCGCGGGAGATGAGGGAGGCGGTCTCTTCTGGCGCCGGGATGAGGTCCGGGTTGGCGGCGTCGTCTGCGCGTGTTGGCTGAGGCGGAGGGGCGAGTCCGTCTGCAGTAGCGAGACGAGGCGAAGGGAATGCGGTTCCGGGAACGCCGTGCTGGGTCTCTGGCGACATGGTCGTGTAGATGGCGCGGAGGTCCCTGGGCAGGACGGACTGGAGCGGGAAGAAGAGGGTGGGGATGAGCACGAGGATGCCGACGCCGAGCTCGATGGCGGTGAGGATGAGGGCGCCACGGGAGTGGAGGCGAGGGTTTGCGTTGTAGTTGAGCAGGGCGGTGCGGAGGTTGAAGAGGGAGACGGCGACGTACACGGCCATGAGGGCGGCCTTGTGGGAGAAGAAGGAGTGCTTGGATGCGAGCGAGTAGGCCGAGATGCAGGCGAGGTAGAACCACATGGCGGCCCAGGAGATCTGGTAGCTCCTAGAGTGCCGGCCGGTGGCCCAGTCGCCGGCGTGGAGGGCGGCGAGGAGGATGGCGCCGAACACGTCGATGATGCGACGGAGAAGCTCGAGGTGGCGGAGGTGGTCGACTACGGCTGGATCGCGCGCGGTTGGTGGGGTGAGATGGACCTCGTTGAGAATGACGGCATTCTCGGTGTGGAATACCTCGAGAGCAGCCTGGGAGGCGGCTGCGGCGGGGTCCGACTTGGAGATGGGTCGCGGTTGGGAGTGTGCCGAGGAGATGCTGCTGCTCCTGAGGATGCGAGAGGAGTTCCAAGGGAGCAGGATGCTCAAGAGGCGACGGGGCAGCTGCGTCCAAGACTTTTGCGGCGGGGTAGAGGTACGGTTGGAAGGTAGGGAGGAGGCCTGTGCGTTGAGAACGGCGGAGAAGGAGGATGCGCTTGGGTCGAGGGCGGCGACGTGCTGCACCGAGACTTTGAGCGCGCGGCGCCTTCGTACGCGATGAACAGCGAGAGCCAAAATCGAAAGGAGGACGAGCGACAGTGGGATGAAGGTGTTGAGCACTTGCTGATGAAAGCAGACGTCCCAGTCGATGCCGTTCCAGACGGGGCGCCCCGCGCAAGAGGTTGGCAGCGCCATCGTTGCAAAGTGGTGCAGCAGGTGCACGCGTTGAGCGCTGTTGGCAGAGCAGAGGCTGCGTGTCGTGACCAAGATGGATATCCGAGCTTGAGGGGGAACCTATGAAAGAGCGACTTGGCACCGACAACCCGAACGACGATGGATCTAAAGCGGGTGCCGGTGGGCGTGGAAAGCGGACACGAAGAGCCGAAACGCGTTGGGGGAAGAAGAAAGAGGAAGGGTGGGGGGATGAAGGTGGGAAGGATGTGAGGACGAGAAGAGGAAGCGTGGAGACGTCGACTTTGATGAATTCCGAGACCTGTCACAGCGCCCATCATCACTTTTGTCAACCGGCGCCCGTCACGTCCGCTGCTCTGCCTCTGCTCTGCACGGGCTCTGCACTGGCTCTGCCCTGCCCTGCCAGAATTTGCTCCGGCGCCAACTTTTCGCGCTGCAGGGATCGCGGAAATCAGCCGGATTAGCGAAGAAAATCGAAGAAAATGGTGCGCGCGCCACCTGCCTGCACGCAGCGGAATGCCCACCTCCGAGCAATAATAACAAATAAAATGAATTTTCTTTGGCCTCTTTTTTGTCCAAGTCGCCGGCCCTCTCGCCGATGCTGCTCTTTTTGTCGGAAATTATTGGCCGAGTCCCGAACGCATTTTCGCAGATTCCGGATGGTCGGCTCGATCCGATGAGGATGAATCATGCCGCACCACCTATTCATTCGATCAGTCAACCTGTCAAGATGAGGCCGATGCTCAGCACAGCTCTGCGTCTGGAGCGTCTTCAGCGTCTGCCAGCAGCGTCGTTGTCGCGCGTCTACGCTCGGCCTCTTCACCAGGCATCGCCTTGCCTCGCCCAGGTCTCGCCTCCACTCCCCTTCTCCTGGTCTCACGTCAAGCCCAACGACGCTTCGCGCAACGCAGAGGACGCCCAGGCGAAGGCCGCCACATCGACCCCTCTTCCTGACCACCGCCTTTCCGTCTACCAAAAGCGCGAACGCAAGCTGCGCGAGTATGAAGCCAAGATCAAGGTCAAGGCCATGCACGAGGGCCTCTCGCCAGAAGAGTTGCAGCGTCGCGCTCTAGAGTCGGCCAAACCCTCGAAGCCCGCCAGCTCCTCTTTGACCGAAGCAAAGACGCTCTCCGAAGTGGAGAAGCGCGACCAGCAGCTCGCCGAGGCCATGCGACAGCGCTCCAAAGACGAGGCGGCCAAGAAACTCGCCTCGGGACAGGTGCACTCCACGCCCACCGGCGCGCAGGAAGGCCCCATCAAGTCGCTCAACAAGATCCTCGACGTCGAGAAACTCAAGACGCAGGATCAAGAGACCATCACCAAGCTCTGGGCAGGCTACCACACCATCAAAAACAAGCTCTCCGCCGTCATCCCCACGGGAAAGTACCTCGAGATGCTCGCCAACGCACGCAAGTATCCGCAGTTTGTCCTGCCACTCCCGCGTCAGGTGATCGACGAAGAGTCGGACAGCCTCAACGGCGCATCCAAGGAGGCGTTCGAGATGCAGTTCCTCGAATGGGCCGTGGTTCCCAACCCTGCGCACCCCACGCTGCCTCCGGCGGCAACCACGCTCTTTACGCCGCTGGCAGAGTACAAGCTGAAACAGGACTTTAGCCAGCCTGTGCTCATCCTCACCTTTTACACGGATCTGTGCGAGAGCAACGGCGTGGTGCTCATGCGCGGCGAGGTCACCGGTCTCAACGAAAAGACGGGCAAGGGCGGTCGCATCGACCAGGCGCACGCTCAGCTGCTCGCCCTCACCCTCCAGCGCTTCTACCTCCCCTCGGCATCCACAAGCTCAGATAAACAGGCTGACCAGTCCGAATGCGCTCAGCTGCTCCACGACTTTCACAAGCGCCCAGAACAATTCGACGTAGAGCAGCTCGTCAACGTCGCCTTCCGCCTCTAATCTAGATCACCACCAATTGTATTTTTATCCTCATCCACTCGCTCGTCGAAAACACCTTCTATCAATCTACTCGGAGGCTGGCGCCGGGTGTCTGAATTCGTATTGCTAAGTGAGTAGACTACTCTTCGTCGGACTCGGCAGTGTCAGCAGCGCCATTGACATCGTTCTGGGCGGTCTTTTCGAGATCCTGGCAGATGGAATGCCACTCTCTCTCGACGAGCTTGTACTCGGCCTTTCCCACCGTCGTCTTGCACGATTCCAGCGTCTTCAACGCCGCAGTCATATCGTCCACCGCCAGATAGCGCAGGTAGGCTGTCCAGATCTCGACCTGGTCCGGCTGCGTCTGGAGTAGCTTACCAAAGATCCTGCGAACCAGCTTGTCGTCTCCGTCCTCGCCCAGCTGCGACGCAATGCTGATCCACGCATGGTGGGATGCAAACGACGACTGCAACAGCCACGAAAGCGTCTCGTCCACCTTGCCCACCTCGCGACTCAGGCTGAGGTAGCGCGAAACGCACAGATCGTGCAGCTCCTGGCGATAGTGCTGCAGGGCCTCCACCGATCCACTGCTGCTTCGCGAGAGCAGGGAGGCGGTCTCGCGAACAGCCCATCGGAACTGCTCGGAGCTGTACTTGAAAGCCGCCTTCCTTTTGTGTGGGGCTTCGGCAACGCCGCGATAGAGCCACTCGAGGTAGCGCGCCCACAGACTCGATTCCGCCGCACCCGTCGAGCCGTCGGCGCCAGCACACGCCTGCAGCCCACGTCGCCACTCGGCACCGATCATGTTGCGGCTCTGCTCGACCTCCGCACCGGACGTCTTGGCAAGTTGCGTCGCAACGAGGATGCGCAGACTCCACAGCTCGTCACTCGCGCCAAACTCGCCCGTCGTAGCCTGCTTGATCTGTGTCTGCAGCTTGCCGAGCTTCTTGCTGCGCTCCTTGTCCGACTCGATCGCAAGCGCGGTATCCAGCTGCCGGCGCACGCTCACCGCGCGCATCTGCGCAGTCTCGACACCCGCACCCGCACCGCGCGCTTCGGCGATCAACTGCGTCTGCACCGAGTCGAGGTACTGCACCAGGTTCGGCTCGTCGATCGCCGAACGCTGCGAGTCGGCTAGCATCTCGACGAGCAGCGACGTGGTGGTGTAGAACTCCGCCTTGGCGCTGGTGCCTTTGCGCGCGGAAATGTCAACGGGTGCCTCGGTGCACCACGATCGCATCTGCTTCACGGCATCACTGACGGCAACAGGGAGCAGGCCAGATGCAGCAAGCGCATCGTACGATGCCGACGGCCTCGTGCCGCTGCCCACCGTCACCGTCAGCAGCGACTGCAGCAGCTGCAGCACGAGCTGTACCGCCAGTGTGCTTGACGAGACCGACGCAGACACTGGTGCGCGTCTCGCCGCGGCGGATCCGCTTCGCAGCTGCGATGCGAGTTCGAGCAGGCCATCGGTCTCGTTGGAGAAGGTGGTGCGCAGGTGGCTGGCCGAGGTGAGCAGCCTATGCGACTCCATCTCCTCGGTGTTGGCGACGTGTGCCGCAGTGCGCTCATCCGCGTCTGCACCGGTCGTCGTGTCGGGGCGGAAGGAGCGCAAGGCCGCCACGAGCGCAGCGGGTGCAAAGTGGTGCCAGCCCCATCGCTGGCGATCGGAAAGATGTGTGTAGACCTGGTCGAGCAGTCGCCTGCGCAGCGCCTCGCCGCTCTTGGGCGCGTCGAGGCTGAGCGGCTCTGCAAAGGGGAAGGTTTGGAGCACGTCGAGCAGCGCGACGAGCAGGACAAAGTGCAGATGCGGCGCCAACGACTCGAGCGCACTGCCAATGAGGTAGAGCGGGATGCTGCCGCGCAGGATGCCGATCTGAGCAGGAGGGATGGTGGTCATCTTGCGAGGTGTGAACGTGTTGGGCTTTGCGCCTGTGGCCGCGTCGGCGTCCTCGGCAGCGGCTTGGGCGTCGGCGTCGTTCTGTGGGACCTGGCTGAGCAGTATGCGTTCCTGGTCGGCGTCGAGCTCGCCGGGGCTGGCTGTGTTGGCAGTGGCGATGTCGGTGTCCAGGTCGAGTGCAGCCTGCTGTGCTTCGGCGGTGTCGTTGGAGGATGAGGCTGCGGCGTCATCGTGGCTGCTCTGGGACTCCCATTCGAGACCGAGCACGAGCCACCTGCGGCGGAGACGCTCGATGAAGACGAGCTCCATGCGGATGTACTCCACCCACAGACGCAACAGGTCGGCTTCGCGGTCCGACACTTTGAGCGCGGCCGGGCCCGAGTCCGAGGCGCTGTTGGCGTTCTGTGCCGACGAGCTGTCGGTTCGCGCACGCTTGCTCGAGTCTGGTGCGGAATCAGCGGCAGCGCGTTTGCCATTTGCAGACGAAGCAGCACCAACGTCGGATCGCTTCCAGGGCAGACGATTCAATCGCAGGGCGCGCTGCAGAAGGGAACGAGCGGCGGTGGTGGAGGCATTGTCGTTGAGTTCGTGTGCGGCGGCGGCGAGCCAGAGCGGCACGTTGTTGGGATGCAGAGCCAAGGCGCGCGCATAGACACGACCGGTGACGACGCGCATCTTGCGGCTCTTTGCAAACGCAATGTACTGCTGCCACGCATCGACGTCGTACTTGAATTTGAGCACCATGCGCTCGTAGATGGCGACGATGTGGCCGGTGTGGGCGGCGGCATTGTCGCGGTGGAAGGAGCGAGGCAAGCCAATGCGGTTGGCCTTGACGTTGATCAAGTCGGCGAGGTTGCGTTCGAACTCGGCATAGCGGAGAAAGTCGAGCTTCTCGGGTCCTCTGCGCAGGAGGCGTGCCTCAAAAGTCTGTCGTTGCGTGGTGATGGAGCGGAGCTGCTCCTTTGTAAAGACGGCGTGTTCATCGAGCAGCTGGAGCTGCGGGATGGAGCGCTCGAGCTGGTACTGCACCCTCTCCATGGCCGGTGGTCAGGATCGCCTGCAGGGTCGACGAGTGCGATCTAGGGTGGATGTAAAGGAGAGAAAGGGATGAAGTAGAAGGCCGTGGTTGAACGAGGACCAGCAAAAAGTGTTGGTGCGAAATCCTGCTGCAGGAAAAAAACGCGAGGGTCCAAAAAGAAGAAGAAGAGCGCTCAGAATTTCTTGGTGCGAAGACGGGTGTGGAGGCGGCACCTTCTCGCACGACAAACGACCAAAGCCGAAAAGAGCGAGTGTGCTGCGCTGCGCAACGTCGATCTGCGCCGAGCCGCGACGGGTGGAGCCTGCCAACTGCTTTGGGCTGGAATTTCCGACCAATTTTAGAGACCGCGGCGGGCTGGCTGGCTGGCTGTGCACCTGCTCGCGTGCGGAGTCAGGTGAGGCGCATGCTCCACGGCCCGGCCCAGTGGCGAGTCGAGTCGAGGCAGGCGAATCGCCCGGCTGCATTCCTCCGTGCTCATACGAAGGAGAGGGCGAGAGGGAGCCAACTGTGGCTGCTCAACCTCCACTGCCATCACATTGCATCGTTGTCGTGCCCACTCGGCGTCGCCTCTCTCATCCACCATCCGCGCCTATACACACCATTCGGGCATCCTCGCCATCCTCGGCCACTGCTCGTGCTGCTGTGATCCTTTCGACACTCGTAGCGTAGCTCACGGACGACGCCGAAAGAGTGTTAACCCCACCTACCGCCTACCGGTGACTCTTTGAGCTGGGTACGCTCGCATACTCTGTCACCATGCCGAATCCGCACTATGACTTCCTGATCAAGCTGCTGCTGATCGGCGACTCGGGCGTGGGCAAGTCGTGTCTGCTGCTGCGATTCTGCGACGACGCGTGGACGCCTTCGTTCATCACTACGATCGGGATCGACTTCAAGATCCGCACGATCGAGCTGGACGGCAAGCGGATCAAGCTGCAGATCTGGGACACGGCGGGCCAGGAGCGCTTCCGCACCATCACCACGGCTTACTACCGCGGCGCCATGGGCATCCTGCTCGTGTTCGACGTGACGGACCAAAAGTCGTTCGAAAATGTGCGAACGTGGCACGCCAACATCGAGCAGCACGCGAGCGAAGGCGTCTCCAAGATCCTGATCGGCAACAAGTCGGACTGGGAGGAGAAGCGTGCGGTTTCGATGGAGCAAGGCGAGGAGCTGGCCAAGGAGCTCGGGATCCCCTACATCGAGACGTCGGCCAAGTCGAACGCCAACGTTGAGGAGGCGTTCTTCAACCTGGCGCGCGAGGTCAAGACGCGCCTCATCGACACGGCAGCGGTCACGCAGGCATCTCCTGCGGCGGCGGCGGCAGGCAACGTCAACGTCAACTCGGCTCCCAAGAGCGGCGCCACGGGCGGATGCTGCAACTAGACTCTAGCTTTTGCGCTCTGCGCTCTGCGCTCGCTCTCGATCGCCCGCTCGCATGCTCGGTCTGCGAAGCTTTAAGCTCGGCTTGGCAACAGCTGGTAGGCTGTCGACCCTCTCTCACTTGTATATGTATACGGCAACTCGCGCTTCGCTTTGACTTGGTCCGGTGTGGCTCGATGGGGCATGGGTGCATGTATTTGCAAAGGCTGGTGGGGCACTGGACACCTCATCGACGGGAAATCCGTTGCGGTGGATTTGAGCGCATGCAGAGCAATGAAGTGGGCGTGTGAAGAGCAAGGATCGAGTCGACCGCCAACGCTCATGGCACGGAAGCAAGCCGACGTGTGAGAGGGTTGCGACCTAGTCGGCCGGCCCGAAATGCGACCAGGCGGTGGGAGAGGCTGCAGCGGAAAGCCACGCGTGCCATTCCGTGCTTCCCGCGCCCGACAATGCCACCTCAAACTCTCTCACACTTGCGATTGTATCGGCAACGCGCCGTCGTCGCCAAGGCAGCCGAGCTTGTCGTGTGCCGCCATTGTCGGGTGTTGGTGCGCTTCCAGCAGAACGCAGCGACGCAGGCGACGCTTAGCCAGAATCATCCGAGCTGAGAACGTCGAGATGAATTCCTGCAGCGGCCAATGCACGCAGCCCTCCAAAATTGGCAAGGCGGCTGCACCCCGAACGCGCGCCGCTCTGCCTCGGTGCTGCCGCTCCCGCCAGCAACAAGCACCACGCGCCGCCGCCCGCTCGGCTCGCCCGCAACACACACTCCTCGAACCGTCCAAGCCTAAACCCAAGCAAAGCTCACCGAGCGGTCCCTGAAACACACGCTGCGCCTGTCTCGGAAGCTGCACGCTCCACGCTGCCCCTTCCGCCTTCAGACAGCTCATTCACTCACACACTCACTCGATCCCCTCGCTTTGCCTCCTCCTCCTCCTCCTCCCCCTCCCCCTCCCCTTCTCATCCTATCAAAGCTCCCATCGGCACTCGCAGTCACCGCTGGTTTCGGTGTCGCCGACTCGACTCCCCCCTCCTTCATCTCGAGGCTTCCGACACTAGGCTGTGGTGGCGTCGCTGCATTCCAGCGCCCTACTCACTCTGACGTGCTAGTTCCGACGCCGATTCGCATGCCGTCGCTCGCATCATCGGAGCGCCTGCCAACATCATAGCATGCCCGCAATGGCGCAAGACCAATTGGCGCTGCGCGACCGCGGCGCACCGCTTGTGCCCTCGTCCGAGCTCGACGACGCTCCCCACAATCACGATGCAGACGACGAGCTGCCAGAGGCCTACTGCGGCGGCTGCGGCAGACTCATCGACGAGGAGAGCGTAGAGGAAGGCGTCATCCAGTTCGCCACAAAGCTATGGCACATCGAATGCTTCCGCTGCGCAAAGTGCAAGAACAGAGTCAGTACAGAGCGCGACGACATCCTCCTCCTCTCCGACGGTCATCCCATCTGCGGCGAATGCAACTACTCGTGCAACATCTGCAACCAGCCCATCATGGAGGAGGCCATCATGACTGGCGACGAATCCTACCACGCCTCGTGCTTCACCTGCCGTTCCTGCCACTCCAAGATCGAGGAACTCGTCTTTGCAAAGACCAGCCAGGGCATCTACTGCATGAAGTGCCACAACGAGCGCGTCGCACGCAGCCGCAAACATGCCGAACACAAGCGTGCAAAGGCTCGTCGCGAAAAGCAGCTCCAAGACGCTCAAAACGCAGAGGCAAAGCAGCAAGCCCTCTCCAACACCAAGGCCGCCAACAACGCTCCATCTCCCTCCTCTCCGCCCGACCAACAGCCGCCATCCCTCCCGTCCAAGACTCCGGCCGCCGCCTCCACCACCCCTAGTGCTTCAGCTCTCCCCTCGCCCTCGCCCAACGCCGCCAGCCTCTCCCCGTGGATCCACCAGGGCGGCTCGGCCGCCTCCGCAGCCGCCTCGCGTCCCGGCAGTGCCGGCGGCAAGCGTCCCATGCATGCTCCTCCACCTCCCAACCGCGACGCCCGCAGCCCAGCTCTCGGCTCCCTCGCCAAGCTCGAGGGCCGCTCCCTCTCGGCCAACAACGCCTCCAACACCTCGTTGGCTTCCTTGGCCACAGATGACGCCTCCAACCCCTACGAGACGACTGCACCGCTCTCGCCACGCAAAAACGCCTTCCACGCCACCATAAGCTCCCCACAAGGCTCGCCCGCTGCCAACAAATCGCGCCTCCCACCATTTACAGACGCACCCTACTCTTCTTCCAGCCCAACCACATCGCCGCTCAAAAAGTCGCTACCGCTCCAAGCCTCTCCTCGCACCTCTTCCCGCCCCCTTCAGCCCCCGGCCGACCGCGACGCCCTCGGCGTCAGCCTGCGCTCCACCACAACCGCATCCACCTCACCGCGCAATCCGCTCCAAGCATCCGCATCCTCCTCCCGTCTCTCCAAGGTCTACTCATTCTACGACCCAGACTTTCTCAACCTCGTCGAGTCCTTTGGCGACTTTGACTCCAACGACGAGCTTCGCGCACAACCGCCGCCCGTGCCAGAGCTGCCGGCCTCGCTCCCGTCCGCATCCGCCGTCACGGAGCCCGTCAACACCAAAGCGGCGCACGACCAAACAACCACCGCACCTCTGGGCACATTGCTGGATGAGCACGACCAGAACAACGGCGCAGACAGTCCAGACAGCGACCAAGAGCTCCTCGACGAGGACCGCCCACGCACCCAGACTCCCACAGGCTCGCTCAACGAAGTCTCCAACAAGGTGCGCGCATCCATGCAGCAGGCTCGCGATGGCCTCGTCAGCATGGACATCTCCTTTGTCGAAACCATCCTCCGCGATCTCGAAGACACAAGACAACGCATGGAGTCGCTTCAGACGCGCTACGACCGCATCCGCAGGGCGAGCCAGCAGGCCGCCCACGGATTCTCCATGGCCAAGGAGGAGTTCGAGCACGAGGTCAATGCCAGGCACGAGGCCGAGCTCGAGATGGCGCGTCTGCGTAGGCAACTCGCAGAGCAGGCGCTCAAACTCGCCACAGCCAACAGCGAGAAGCGTCAGCAGGAGCAGCTCGAGCGACGCTCCCAAGATGTCAAGGCCTCGCTCAAAGGCATGGAACGCGATCTGGCAAAGTTGACCGTCGAGCGCGACCTCACCGTCGCCGAGGTCGCTGAGCTCATGGCGCTGCAGGACGGCGCCGCGGGCCCGTCTTCGGTGCTCTCGTCGCCAAACATGGCTCGCTCTTCCACCAGCACCTCGGATGCCGTCATCACGCAGAACTTGGCCACGCGCCTCGAGTCGGTCAAGAATCGCTATCGCAAGGAGATCGACGAGCTCACCATGGAGCGCGACTCGCTGCTCATCGAGATCGAGGAGCTCAAACAGTCCAAGGAGCTCTTCCTCGAGGAGGCGCAGAGCCTCAACGCCAAGAACGAAGAGCTCAACACCGTGCTCGGCCAGCTCAATCGCAAGATCGAGCTCGCGGCCCAGTCGCGCGACCAGCTCCCACCTCTGCCTACGATACCCCGGGACCTTGCCTCGTCGGCCACCAAGAGCTCGGGCGGTTTCAGCTTTGGCTCGCGCCACAAGCAGCTGCACAAGCACACGGCTCACAACGCCTCCATCTCCTCGGACGCGCCGCCCAGCAGCGCCGGCTACGACGTCTCGGTCGACACGGCCGTGCAGCAGGTCATCCAGCCGGGCAAGATCGAGCCGGCGCCCGTGGTGAAAAAGTTCAAGTGGATGAAGCCAAAGCTCTCGGAAACTACACGCAACAACGTTCCGCCAGCGGGGCAGGTGCCGCCAGTGCCGCCCAAAGGCGGTGCCGGTCTGGCCGCGCCGAGTGCGAGTGGATCGACGACTTCGATGACGCGCGCCACCTCGCACGACGTCGTGGTGCGCGAGCATCTCTTCCAGCCGTTCAACGTGCTTCGCCCCACGCGCTGCTTTGCGTGTCAGAAAAACATGTGGGGCCAGTCCGAGATGCGCTGTGCGCTCTGCACCCAGGTCTGCCACTCTCGGTGTCTGCAGAGCCTGCCGGTCTCGTGCAACCAGCCGTACACAAGACCGGACGAGAGCGTGGGCGACAACGCGGGTCCGTCCATGTTTGGACGATCGCTCGTGGAGCAGGCGGCGCACGAGGGCCGCGATGTGCCGCTCATCGTCGAAAAGTGCATCCAGGCCGTCGAGGCGTTTGGCATGGACTACGAGGGCATCTACCGCAAGTCTGGTGGCACTTCGCAGCTCAAGGTGATCACCCAGCTGTTTGAGCGCGGCAATGCCTTTGACCTCGAGGATACGGATCGGTTCAACGACGTCTCGGCCATCACCAGTGTGCTCAAGAACTACTTCCGCGAGCTACCGACGCCGCTGCTCACCTTTGAGCTGTACGACGAGCTGATCCGGCTGGTCGAGTCCAAGCAGGGCGACGCGGGTGCCAAGCAGGAGAAGATGAAGGAGCTCGTCACCAGGTTGCCGCGACAGCACTTTTGCACGCTCCAGCATCTCGTCCTGCATCTGTACCGCGTTCAGGAGCGCAGTGTGGACAATCGCATGAACGCGCGCAATCTGGGCGTCGTGTTTGGCCCCACGCTCATGCGCTCCGCCGACCCGTCGCAGGAATTCGCCCACATGGGCGGCAAAGCCATGACCATCGAGTTCTTTATCGACCACGCTCCCGACCTCTTTACATGACCTGCACAGCGCTTTGTATCAACAGCCCTTATCTACGTCTTGTCCCTCCTAAATGCACAGCAACACCTTGTGTAAAAGCATGGTCGCCATCGTGAACAAGTCTGTGATCCTGATATCGTCGTGAAAAGCAGTCAACGTAGCGCTGAGCTGCGGGCGAATGGCAAGAAGAATTCCGGCGGTCACCCAAACCAATCGTGCAAGTCCGCCTCTCCGCCGCATCCTCGAAAACAACACAGCACGCACACCCCGGCAGCCAATGCAAGATCTTCTGTGACGGCGAACTTGGTATTTTCGCAGATCGACCGACGCGAGGCGGGATCCTTTCATGGAGACATGAGGTTTTTTAAGAAGAGAAGTGGATGAAGGTATTTTCTTTATGGAGATGATGGAAGGATGGAATGGAGGAAGGAAGAGATTGAGATGATGCTGCGATGGTTAGTAGGTGTAATTTCAGTAGGAGAGTACGTCCGCACTCGCACCACCCCCGCAACACGCCTCTCAACGCTGCCATGCCGGCTTGTTAGACATGCGGCTGCGACGCGGAGATGCAGCGCCTCCGGGTCCACCGGCGCCCGGTCCTGACGCACCGCCGCCCATGACCGGGCTGGTGGGAGAGTATTGCGGCGAGGTAGGCGAGTACTGGGGCGAAGCCGGTGAGTACTGCGGCGACGTCGGCGAGAAGGCCGGTGAAGCTGGCGAGTACTGCGGCGAGGTGGGCGAATAGGCGGGCGAGGCTGGGCTGAAGCCCTTGGCACCTCCTCGGCCCGCCATGGCAGGCGATGTGGGCGAGTAGACCGGCGAGGTCGGCGTGTACGCAGGACTGGCCGGACTGTAGTTCGGGCTCGTCGGCGAGAACTTGGGCGAGGCGGGCGAGTACTGCGGGCTGATAGCAGCGCCGTAACGACCCATGGGGCTCGTCGGGCTCATGCGCGGGCTCGTCGGCGAGTATCCTGCACCCGCCGGCGACGATGGCGAGTAGTTGGGCGACGCGGGACTGTAGCTCGGCGAGGTTGGCGAATACGACGGACTTGTCGCACCGCCAAAGATGCGCGGCGACGTGGGGCTGTACGCCGGCGAGGTGCCTCCGAGGCCGTTGTTGCCGGTCCAAGGACTCATGCCGCCCAGAGCGCCTGCTGGCGAGGTAGCGTAGCCCGGCGACGTGGGCATGTAGCCGGGCGACACGGGCGAGAAGCCGTAGCCGGCGGGGCTCTGGGCTCCCAGTGGCGTGCGCATGGGGCTCTGACCTGCCAACAGGTAGTCGTTGTATCCGCCCTCGTCGCCGCCCGTCTGCGCCAGCGGACTGAACATGGCCTGCTCGTGCACGCGGAAGGCGTCGTCCGAAGCAGGCGAGCTCGAGTCGTAGGGCGTCATCGCACCAGGCGTCTTTCCGCCGGCGTGGTCAAGCGAGCGCGAGGCCAGCAGCGTGTCGTACGGCAGCGCATGGTTCACGATGGTGTCCTTGAGCATGTCCAGATCCAGGTTGAGATCGAACGCTCCGGTGCCCATCGGTGCCATCTGGCCGAGCAGCACGTTCTGTGCCACACCCTTGCAGTCGTCGATGTCACCCATCGAGGCCGCCTCGATGAGCAGCTCGACGGTCTCTTCGAACGTGCAACGCATGAGCGCTCCCTGGTTGGTGCGGTTGATACCGTGGCGAGTGATAGCCATCAAGGCTCCCTGGCTCGTCATGATGTCGCACAAGAGCGCCAGATGGCGGTAGTTGACGTACGAACCGTCGAACTCGATAACGGCACGCGTCTCCTTGAGCAGCGAGTTTCGGGCAGCCTCGATACCAAAGACGCGGAAGATCTCGACTGGGTTGTTGCAGCTGGTGCGGATGGCGTCGACTCCATGGACGGCGAGCACCTCGGAGAGGTTGCTGCCGTCGGTCTCGAGCACCCACTCGGACACGGTGCGCCAGTCGCCCGTGACGGGATCGATACGCCTGGTCTTGTTGTCCTGCTGAACAATGTAGACCTTCTTGATGCCCTTGATACCCTTGAGGTCGATCTCGGCTAACATCTGGGAGGCCAAGTTCTTGAGGAAGATCTCCTCTTCGCCCTGGGCCTCCTTCTCGGGATCGTTGTCGACGACTCGGATACGCAGGACGAGCTGCTCGGCGTTGTCTTCGGAGTGCATCACAAAGATGTCCTGGCCAAACATGGCGCTGATCTTGGAGGCTACATCGGCCATCGTGAGATCCTTGTCGAGCATCTGCGCACGGTCCAGCTCCAGACGCAGAAGCCAAGGCGACTGACGCTCCAGACTCGCTTCGACCTCCTCGTCAGGAATGGCGAAGAAGGCCTCGACGAAATCCTTGTCCTCTTCGATGACCGTCGCCGACGGGTCCGGGTCGTAGTGCACCTCGACTGCCGAAGTGACGGTCTGGAGCGTGGTGTGAGCCAGGGCGGTCTGGATGACCTTGGCCGATTCCTGCGACTGGCTGTACTCCTCTGTCAGGTAGACGGTCACCGAGGGCGTTTTGATGTTCTCGGCGCAGTTGATGATCTCCTTGAGACGCGGCACACCCAAAGTGACGTTCTTACTCGACACACCGGCATAGTGGAAGGTGTTGAGCGTCATCTGCGTCGCCGGCTCTCCGATACTCTGTGCTGCCAAGGTACCGCACATCTCGCCTGGGTTGGCGACGGAACGCGCGAACTGGCCCTCGATCTCACCGAGGATCCACTCCCACGCCTCCTTGTTGATGTGGTGCCGCTCGATCACCAACTTGGAGCACAGGTAGGAGCGAAGGTGGATCTTGAACAGCAGCGTGGCGTTCAACTGCGCCTCGCGCGAGATGGGATCGTCGCCGCGGATGACGACCAGACGCTCGAGCACTTCGCGCAGACCGATGATGACCTCGGCCGGTGAGAGGTCGCTGGGCTTGCGGTGGTCGATGTGGAAGATCTGCTGGGCGTTCATCACCAGGCGCGCCACGTTCATGGGCAGGCGCACCTGCACCTGGTCCGATTGGAAGATCTCCGTACGCAGCAGGTGGCGGTCCGCCTCGAGAATAGCAAACTCCTCATCGAGCAGGTCCTGAAGCTCCTGGGACCAGTCGCCAAGACCGGGACGCAGGCTGCCCTTTCGGAAGCCGCCATCGTGCAGGTCGACGTGAAACATGTGGCGGAAGTCGGCATCGTTGAGCTTGAGCGTGAGCAGGGTCTGCGTCTCGACCTGAGCACCATCGATGCCGTCCTCTCCGTAGGCGAACTGGATGACGTTGTTGGTCGAGTTTCGCACCGTTCCGTCGTAGCAGACCATCACGTCCTCGAGCGCCTTGACGAGACGACGCTGGATGTAGCCCGTCTCGGCGGTCTTGACGGCCGTGTCGATGAGACCTTCTCGACCGGCCATGGCGTGGAAGAAGAACTCCTGAGCGGTGAGACCACGGAGGTAGGAGTTCTCGACGAAGCCGCGGCTCTCGGGCGTGAAGTCGTCCTTGGTGAAGTGGGGAAGACTGCGGTGGCGGAAGCCGAAGGGAATACGCTTACCCTCGACGGACTGTTGGCCGACACAGGCGGACATCTGCGAGATGTTGATGAAGGAACCCTTGGAACCAGCAACGACCATCTGCTTGACGTTGTTGAAGTCGGGCAGCGAGCTCTCTGCGTGGTTACCGACGTCGTCACGCGCCTGGTTGAGCACGCGGTTAACGTTGGCCTCGAAGGACTCTCGCAGCGTCATACCGGCCTCGACCTTGAGCCAATCGTGTCGGGCGTACTCGATGTAGTCCATGACGGCCGCCTTGGCATCCGAGATGGTCTGATTGATGCTGTCAGTGGTGGCCTTGTCTGCGACCGTGTCGCCGATGCCGATGGAGAAACCGTTGTGCAAGAGCCAAAAGTTGACGACGCGCTGGACACCCGAGAAGAAGCGCTTGCAGACGACAGGACCTTTCTCTCGGAAAATGATGTGGATGAGACCGCCTGCCGAGGCACCAACGACCTTCTTGTTGATCACGCCGTACATGATCTCGCCGTTCTCGATGCAGACACCGTCGTCCTTCAAGAAGTTGTTCTTGAGGCCCTTGTCCTTGTCGAGGAAGACGTTGATGCCCTTGGGGATGCACATCGAGAGGATCTGCTTGCCCGACCAGTACGGCTTGGGCTTGAGGATGCATGGCATGGGCACGACGCCGTCCCAGTCGGCGACCCAGAGAAGCACCTGCTGCACCTGCTGGTAATCCAGCAGACAGTCTCGGAGCGAGAACTTTCGAATACCACAGAGCGTGTCCTGGACGATGCCCATGACGGGCTTGTTGGCCTGGGGCGATACGATCTGACGGGGCACCCAAGCGATCTGCGAGAGCTCGGCTCTTGTCTCTTCGCTCTGGGGCACGTGGAGGTTCATCTCGTCACCGTCGAAATCGGCGTTGTAGGGCGGCGTGACACTGAGGTTGAGACGGAAGGTGGAGTAGTCCATGAGCTTGATCCTGTGCGACATCATGGACATCTTGTGGAGCGAGGGCTGACGGTTGAAGAGAATGTAGTCGCCGTCCTTGAGATGGCGCTCGACGATCCAGCCGGGCTGCAGCGCCATGTCGCTTCGTCGGTTGTACTTGAGGTCGATACGCTCGCCGGTGTCGCGGATGACGTATTTGGCACCGGGATAGTCGTTGGGACCGTTGCGGACGAGCTCGGAGAGCCACGCCCTGTTGTAGGCAGTGACTCGCTCCGGGTATGTGAGATTGCGGGCGATCGACTTTGGCACGCCGACCTCGTCGAGCTCGAGCAGAGGATCACCGGTGATGACGGTTCGGGCGGAGAAGTTGACACGCTTGCCCATCAAGTTGCCACGGAGACGGCCCTCCTTACCCTTCAAACGCGCACGGACCGACTTGATGGGACGGCCGCTGGACTGCATGGCCTGTGGCTGGCCGGCGATGTCGTTGTCCATGAAGGTGGCGCAGTGGAATTGGAGCAGCTGCTCAAAGTCGGCCAGGATGTGAGCGGGAGTGCCTTCCTGCTCCATCTTTTTGAGGGTTGCGTTGGCGCGGATGACGTCGGCGAGCTTGTAGGTCAAGTCGTCCTCACCTCCGTCCTGCACGGAAGGCCTGACGGGTGGTGGAGGGACGGGCATGACGGTCAAGATCATCCAGTCGGGACGAGCGTGCTCCTCGGACAGACCGAGGACGGCAATGTCTTCGGAGGACATCTTCTTGAGGACGGTATGCGCCTCGGATGCGGGCAAGGGGCGTTTTTCGGGCTGTGCAATGGCCGACTCTTCGCCGTCTTCGTCCTCGCCCTTGCCCTTCTTCCACTGGGTGAAGAGCTTGAGGCCCTCGCGACGGATGTTGGGCTGGACACGTCCACATCCGCCGTGACCGGGCTTTGCCTGCTCCTCGAAGCCCATCTCGTCCTCGTCCTTGGGGTCGTCTGCCTCGCAAACCATCTTTTTGGAGCAGTATTCCCAGACACGCTGGAAGCGACGCTTGCGACTGCCGCGCGTCGCCTTGACGATCTGATCAAAGACCGGGTCGGTCAGCTGTGAGGCGGGAAAGATGAAGGCACGAAGCAGCAGTCAGTAAATGTGATCGAAGCGAAAGGGGGGGGGGGGATGGGCAGAAAAGACGTACGACATCGGCCTTGAGCTTGCCGCAGTGGAAGCAGACGCATTCGAGGATCTTCTTGACCTTGCCGAGGTAGCCGATGTGAAATACGGGCTTTGCGAGGTCAATGTGACCAAAGTGACCGGGACATTCCTGGTGGCCCTCACCGCAGGTTTGGCACTTGTAATTTCTGTCGAGCGTACCGAGGCGCGGGTCGGAGAGACCGCCGATGCGAGGCTTGCCGGCCTCATCTTTGACTTCGGGCACTTCGATCTTGCACACCGAGATGGCACGCTGTGGGAGGAAAAAAAGGAGATCAGTGTGACGGGGGATGACGGCGAGACGGCGCAGCATGCATGGACGGAGAGTGGATCCGAGGATTGTCAGCGGTCTGGTTCGATCATGAGAGTATCTGGGACGCAATCGCCCGGCAAGATGATGTCGAAGGGCACGATGCCGATGACGAGCTTGACGATGGGCGGAGAGCGTTCTAGATACCTACAATCTCTTCGGGACTCAGGATGCCGAACTGCACCTCGCGCACGGGGCGGATGGGTGCAGTGGAATGAGCGAAAGATTGACCGGCCTGGGCACTCATGGTGAATCAGGGGCGTAGTTGCCAATACGGAGGCGAAGGACGAAGCGGTGGAGAGACAAACGGATCGGGGCCGAGTTGATTTGGATGGGAAGCAGACGGGTCCGAACGAGGCGTGGCCGGGCGATGCAGTGCGAGACTGGTAAACCGAGTGGCGATGTCCACAGGGAGTGTCGGGAGCGGGATCAAATGGAGAGCATGTATGTGTTTGTGGCGGATCGAAGGGATGCAGGCGAATGGGATGGGCTGGGCAGAGTGCAGCTACTCAGACCGAGAGCACGATTCTGACCGAATGCAAATCACTGCGTGTGGTGGTGCGGCGCAGTCCGAGGTGGCCGTGGCTGGCTTTTTTGTGGGATGGATGATGAATGCAAATGCGGATTGTGCCCAATGGAGCGGCTGACGAGGCGAAGAAACGAGCGAGGGCAGCGATCGGCTCTCAAGACGGATTGAGAGGGATGCTTTTTGTCGAGTGCCGAATGTCGAATGCTGTAGTGCAGCAGCAGACGTGTGGCGAGGGAGCAGGAGGGTTGAGGAGGTTGAAGGGAGATGATGGCGGTGAGGGTGACGGCTGGGAGGGTCGAGATGGTGGCGAGGAGGTGGTGATGACGAGCAGCGACGACGGCTGGAAAAGCAGGCAGGAATTCCAGAAGGCGGGCGACGCTCAGCCATCGCGCGCCTTGGCCCTCGGCCATAGAAACAGAGAGAGGGCGAAGCAGCTGCAGTGAAAACGCGCCTCTGCCCTCGCGCCCCGTGCTGGGCTGCCTGCTGGCTGCGCTGCTGGCTGCGCTGCTGGCTGCGCTGCAGTCGTGTGTCGAGTGCGCAGCAGCGCGCTGGGCGCCTTCCCCCAATGAAATCGCTCGCCTCGCGCCTCTTCCCCATCTCGCGCCCCGCCGCCTCCTCCGCGAGGATATCCGGGCAATTTTGCATTTACAATTCCTTGTGATCGAACATGCGTCGAATTTGCCAAGTGTCTGCTTAAACGACCTAACACAGCTGAGCGCCGCCCCAAAAAAGTGGAGTCGGCGCCCGGCTGATGATAAAGGGGTGCTGCTGCCGTGCCGAGGCCCAAAGTGGCCTGGGCGCGCGCGCAGATGCCAAAGCTGAGTTGCGGCGTCGCTGCGTCAGAGCACAGCTTCGGCCACCCCGCGTCCGCCACGCCGCGCTGCGCTGCGAAACACACACACACTCCAGCGAGCGCTGCTGAGCCGATTAAGCGAGCCAACTCCACCCCTCCGACATCCATCTGCTCTCCTTCCCTCTCCGCAACATCACGTCGCCCATCTCCATCCGCACATCCACCTTACGGCTCTCGGCACACTCGTCGCCACATCATCCTATCTCTGCTGCCGCTGCCTCGTGTGCAAGTGGCGCGCGAGTCGACTGCCCATCATGTCGGCACTCTGGTCCGGCTGGGGCGCGGATGCCTTCACAGAGCAGGTCGAAAAGGCCACCTCCGAGCTGCTCCCCGTCGGCTCCGAAGATATCGCGCTCAACCTCGACATCTGCGACCAGGTTCGCGCAAAACAGGTGCCTGCAAAGCAAGCCATGCAGGTGCTCAAGCGTCGCGTCAGCCACAAGAACCCAAACGTCGTCCTTCTCGCCCTGGGTCTCACCGACATCTGCATCAAGAATGGCGGTGACCACTTTCTCCAGGAAGTCGCATCGCGCGAATTCATGGACAACCTCGTCTCCGTCCTTCGCAATCCCGCTGGCGTCAACCACGATGTCAAGGCAAAGGCGCTCGGCCTCATCCAAAACTGGTCCCAGATCGCACAGGCAAAGCCCGCTCAGATGGCCTACATCATCGACATCTACAGGCAGCTCAAGTCAGACTCTGCTTTTGACTTTCCGCCGCTCGATCCAAACGCAGCCGCATCCGCCGCGCTCGTAGAGACGCTCACCGCGCCCGAATGGGTCGACGGCGATGTCTGCATGCGCTGCAGAACCGCCTTCACCACCTTCAACCGCAAGCACCACTGTCGCAACTGCGGCAACGTCTTTTGCCAGCAGTGCTCCAGCCACAACATGGCGCTCCCTTGGTTCGGCATCGGCCAGGACGTCCGCGTCTGCGACGGATGCTTTGCTCGCAAGGGCCCACCCAAAAACGCCGCAAAGCTCTCGCGATCCAAGAGCGCCGGCTCCAGCTCCACCTACGTGCCGTCTGGTCGCGGAGGCTCGGCATCCCACCATCGCTCCGCCACCCTCAGCGGTCAGACCGGTCAGTCGAAGCGTAGCGCTCGCAAAAAGGAGGAAGACGACCTCGCTCTCGCCATCAAACTCTCGCTACAATCTTCCGGTCTAAGCGCTCCGCAGTCATCGCGCCCCGAAGCCCCCAGCAATCCACAAAAGGCTCCCAACGGACGCGTGCTCGAAGGAACCGACGCCGACGACGATCCCGACCTCGCCGCCGCCATCGCAGCCAGTCTTCGAGACTGGGCTCCACCTCAGCCCAGCGCACCCGACGGTCTCAACGAGGCTTCAGCACCAGCAGCCAGCACCGCCAACGCATCAGAACCGTTGCGCTCCGACCTGCCCCTGCCACCCTCGCTTGACCTGGCGCCCCAAGACGTGGACAACATCCTCACCTTTTCCCAATCCGTACAGGCGCACCACCACCAAAATCAGCGCTCCGGCATGATGGGCGCTCCCGTACCACACCAGGTGCAATCGCTGTACGAAAAGGCCTCGGCAGCGCGTCCAAGAATGGCGCGCAACCTCGAGGAGGGTCACCGCCGTCACAACGTGCTCGTCTCCATGCACGACAAACTCACAGAGGCAGTCCGTCTGTACGACCGACTTCTCGACGCACAGATGTACCGTCCCGCGCAATCGTACGCACCCAACGCGCCTAGCCACGCATCTTATGCTGCCCCCGCCCAGCACTACGCGTACGATCAGCATGCACCCAGCCACGAAGCCGGGGCTGGCTACACACCCATGCATCCCGGAGCCGCATCTCTGTATCCCCACGCTCCGCAAGCCGCACACACGCCTCAAGCTTACCCGGGCGCTTCGCATCCCGAATACGCACAGGCGCCCACCCAATGGCAGCCTCACCACGAGCAGCCCATGTATCCGCAGCAACAGCAGCCCTACCCCACGCAGCCAGCTCAGTCGCAGTCGCAGCACTCGGCCGGTCCGTCAGCGTATCCGGCGCAGCAGCACCATCAGCAGCAGCCGTACGGTGCGCCCAATCCCGCAGCAGGCTATCCCAACGCGCACTACGCCGATCCTCAGGCTACGTCGTCTACACCCGTGACAAGCCCGACGCAGTACGACTCATACGCCCATGTCGGAGGCATGCCCAACGCGCCAGCGCATCCACCCGCAAACGGCGCGCCTTACGACGCCGCGTCGCCCTACACCGAAGCGCCTGGCGCAGTGCCATCCGCGCCGGCCGCTGGACGAGGCGCACCGCTGTCTGTGCGTACCGATGGCATCTCGGGCATCGAGGCGCCCAACGGTCCAGCGGCTGCGGCTGCCGATGCGGCCAACGCGGGCAACGTCGGTGTGGGCGAGGAGGCGGCGAATCAATCGCGCTTGTCGGGCGACACGTCAACGTCCAGCCGCAACGGATGGAACCCGGTGCCCATTCAGGCGGTGGCTCCTCCATTGCAGAACGCCAATGGTCACGCCATGCCAGAGCAAGCTGTCCAACAGTCGCAGTCGCAGCCGCAGCTGACACCACAGCAGCACTACCACCAACCGCAACAGCCGCAGCAACAGCAGCCATTCAGCTCGAAATCGCCCATCGCTTCGCGCAGCGCTTCGCACAACATCCCGCAGCAGCAGCAACAGCAGCAGCAGCCCGTCAAGGCCGATACGAGCTACCTGCCCATCTTCCCCGTGGCGCCGCATCCCGACAATGGATTCGGCCACGACGCGCGTGCCGCCGAAGCCGCGTCACCCATGGCCAGCCCGTATATCAACGCGCCGTCGTCGGCAGGCATGTGGCAGAACGGACCGGCCAAGAGTCCCGCCGCTGCCAATGCGCCTGTGGCCGAGTCGCCGCTGATTGAGTTCTAAGCCGGTTTCAAGCCCCACCGCTCGTGTTTCTCAAACGTGTTGCGATTCACCCACTACGACGGATGTCGTTTGCTGCACCTCTGTCTTCTGAGCTCTGGCTGTGCGATTGCGTTAGGACGCTGAGAAATGGACTTTGATGTCGTGGGAGTGTGCTTGATTGAAACGCATCGGTGCGATACGTCCGGGTCGTTCGATCGTTGTCCGCGGTATCAGTCACATCTTCACAGCCGCAGCCGGACGTGGATGTGAGCATGGACAATTGAGGATGCTATGGCCGATGGAAGGATCGACAAGCTTCTTCTCGCCAGAAAAGGTGGGTGGGATGGAGTTAGCAGCCGCGCATGCCGGAAGTAGGGTCCAGGCCAGACATCCGCGGCATCTTCGGGGCCCAAAATCGCAGCCAAAATTGACATCCGGCGCTAAAAATAAGAGCCTCGGGGATTACGCTTCCTGGCTGCTTTGGGCGGGGATGAGCGGCGGCTTGCTGCTGATTGCGGGCACAGGAGCCAACGTCACTCCTTTGGTCAGCAGCTGCAGGGTCCTTGGCTGCTGCCCTCGCGTATCTCCGCGAGCAACAACCGCCGTGAAGCATCTCGCATAGCAAAATGATGCCCATGATGCGTGCGGTCCGTGCACAGCCCATGCTGAGAAAGCGGCGCGTCACAGCCTCTCCACCATGCTTTGCTCCGCTTCAGCTCGGCCTCCTCGCAGTTGGGATATCCCGAAAGGTATATAGCATCGACCCGCCCCGGCCACACCAGTCCAGATCATCATCACATCTGCTTTCTTCGACATCCAGCAACTTGGCCCTCGCCCCGCACCGCTCGCTCAACACAATCTTCATCGTCCAGCCATCCTTCAGCCGTCCTGACAATGTCTGCCAAGAAGCTCCTCACCATCTTTGGCGCCACCGGCAACCAGGGAGGTAGCGTCATCAGCACCATCCTCAACAACTCGTCGCTCAACAGCAAGTACTCGCTTCGTGGCATCACGCGCGATACCTCCAAGCCCGCTGCTCAGGAACTCGCCAAGAAGGGCGTCGAGGTCGTGCGCGCTGATCTCAGCGACCCCGCGTCGCTCAAGCAGGCCATCGCCGGCTCCTACGGCGTCTTTGCCGTGACCAACTTTTGGGAATCCATGGACGGCGCAAAGGAGACCCAGCAGGGCCGCAACATCGTCGACGCCTCGCTCGCCACGGGCGTCAACCACCTCGTCATCTCGAGCCTACACAGCGTCAACAAGCTCACCAACGGCTCCCTCCACGTGCCTCACTTTGACAGCAAGGCCGCCATCGACGAATACGCCGAATCGGTCCGCGCAGACAAGCTCAACGTGTCTTACTTCCACGCAGCCTTCTTCCTCCAAAACTTCGACACCATGCTCCGCAAGGGCGACGATGGCAACTACAGCATCACTCTCCCCATCGACCCGGCTGCGCGCGTGCCCCTGATCGACATCCAGGCCGACGCTGGAAAGTGGGTCGCGGGCCTCTTCGAGGCGGGCGCCGCAGCCAACGGAAAGACCGTGCAGGGCATCAGCTTCTGGACCGACATGCAGACTTTCGCCGCCGACCTCACCAAAGCCATCGGATCCAAGGTCTCTTACAACAACGTCCCCGCAGACGTCTTCAAGAGCTTCCTCCCCGAAGCCATCGCAGACGAGCTCACCGAAAACATGAAGCTCGTCGACCAGCACAGCTACTACGGCAAGGATGCAGAAAACAAGCAGCCCCAGAGCGACGACCTTCTGCTCAAGGGTGCCCAGCTCGCCACCGTCCAGTCGTGGGCCAAGAGTCTCAAGCTATGATCCCTAGTCTCATGTCCGTACCGAGCCCCGTTCTAATTGCAATCTGTTCGCGAGCTTGCATCCGCATTACTCGTTCCGTTTCACCACGCACTTAATGAGTTGGCAACGACCAGCTTGAACTTCGAATGGTTTTAATGCGTGCGCGGTTAACACTTCATCTCGATGCAGCGTTGGATTGATTGGCTGTGCACAACTGTGCCGCGCGCAGTCCGATCCCAGAGCTTTACCTCTCGCCGCGCTCATACCGCGGCTCGTGTGTGACGCTAATTTACCAAGCGCAACAGGACACCATAATCTCTCAGTCTTGTACGCCGCGCCGCAATCGAGATTGCATGGCTGGTCATGCTGACCTCGTTCCGTTCGAATGCCCGTAGAGGCAACCAGACCAGCGTTGGCATGCGCTTCACTCGCATCTTCTCAGTCCTCCCACCAGTTAGCAGCACTTGAAGCTCAAGCTCTAACCTTCATCTCGATGCGCAGTAACGCCTTATCTCGAACGCAACAATCTCGGCGCTCATCAAGATGTCCTTTTGTGCTGTCTTGCATTCTCGCATTTGCCGTCATCGCAACCTCTGCCTCGGTCGGCAACCGGCAAGCGCAAAGTCAGCTGCTGGGAGAGGTTTGCACCACGATCATGTACTGTCGGTGAATGCCCGGACCCCATCCCTCGACTGCTTTCCGTCTCCTGCATCTGCAGCATAACCGAGCGTGTTGGGTCTGCAGATCGAGAGCATTCTGGATAAAACGGCAAAGACGATCTTTTGAAAGTTCACGTGGAGGTTTGATTGGAGCCGAGATTGATTACAGCCTGTGTCCGCAGAGCTGGGAGGGTGGTGTCTCGGTGGTAACCTGTTACCGTCGAAGCAACTCCACCGACGGTAACCACCGACGGTAACCACAATCCACCGACGGTAACCGGAACGCATCAGCCATGAACTATATAACACTGGCTCGACCGCTTCGGCATCATGCTCAATCGAAGTGTTGTCCGCATCACATTCATCGGTTTCCCACACTTATCCACTCAAGATCAGAAGACACCAAGATGGCAACCCCGAATGTCAAATCTGAAGGTAATGCGGTAGCATGGCGGATCCACAAGAAGGGCCTTCTGCCTGTAACGATGAAGAAGGAGACGATAAGTGTACCCGAACCAAAGCAAGGCGAAGTGCTGGTAGAAGTGCACAGTGCCTCCATCAATCCAGGTGAGTCGGCCCACAGTCGTGATCAAACAAGTGTGTGCTTCAAAAGCCGAAGCACGCTTGTTGCGATGGAATCGAGTTGACCTTTGGCCCTGCGTCACAATCAAATACAGTCGAATGGAAGATACCGGCGCATGCTCCTGGCTTCTTTCAAAAGTTCCCAAGGGGCATCGGGACGGACTTCTCCGGCGTAATCCTTCGCACCGGCTCAAGCCTCACCCCTGCCCAGCAGTCGCGCTTTCAATGGGGACGCGCGTCTTGGGCATGATCCCTGTGGAAACTTCGGTCAGGTACGGTCAGGGCTCTCTGGCCACGCATGTGTCTGTGCGAGTAGAGAATCTGGCCGCCATTCCTGCTTCAATTGACACAAGCCTGAGCTCAGAGGAAGCGGCCGGCTTGCCGCTAGCATCAACAACAGCGCTGCAACTGGTGCGCAAAGCTCGTGCCGGCAGCAAGGTTCTTGTTCTCGGCGGCAGCACAAGCGTTGGACTGATCTTGCTGCAAATGCTCAAAGTCGAGGGTGCAAGACACATAGTCGCAACAGCAAGCGGAGTCAAGAAGGACACAGTCAAGACACGAGGAGCGGACGAGGTCATCGACTATCGCGAAGAAGACGTTGTGCAGACACTCAAACGCAATCACTCAAGAGAGCAATTCGACGTAATTCTCGATACCGTCGGCGACTTTACCGTCTTTGGCGCTTGCGCAGCCTATCTGAAGGAGAGCGGCGAATACGCTAATGTCGGCGCTTCTAACATGAAGCCAGACGGATCTATTTGGTCTAACTTGTCCTTCTTGCGCAACCTTGTTTCCCTCTACCTACCTTGGTGGCTGGGCGGCGTGCCTCGGAAATCGAGTTGGGTCGAATTCATTCGTGGTGCTTTGCCCGAAGTCACCGATAGATATTTGGTCACCAGGGCAGTAACGTGTCCGATTGATTCAAGGTTTGCCTTTGATGATGCGCCCAAAGCATACGAGCGGCTCATGACAGGTAGGGCACTGGGTAAGATCATCGTCAACATCAAGCATCCTGGCGATCCTTCCGTTAGCTCTCATCTCTAAGCAACCCGCTCTTCCCCACTTGTCGTCGTCATTGGTTGTCTTTGTCGCTGTCGTTTTCGCTATTTTTGAGATTGACGCACATCATCTCGTCGAAACACATTTTCTGAAATACTAGTATGGTCTTGGAAGCGGATTGACGGCTTTGTGTACTCGGGGCGCCCGGGTACTACCTAGCTCTAGTGAAACAAGCGCTCAACATGTGCCAAAAGAATAATGCGGTGAAAAGTGGTTTGGAAGTGTCTACAAATTGTTACTCGGTGTTGGCTGATTGGGGCCCATTTGTCTCGGTTCTTATGTCGATATACCTATGTCCGACCATACCGTTGCTTTCGGAAGGATCCTCGAAGGTAAGGCCGACCTGCACGTTAGCCATTGACTTCGGCAGACGGGTCAAGATGGCGACCCGCTTGTCACTAAGACCTGGTCCAAGTCCTTCCGCCGCACTAGCTAAAGGGCTTCCATACGAAGTCACATATTCGCTAGGCTGAGGGAGGGAAAGTACGACTTCGAAGAGCAGAACCAATGCCAGAAAGGCGAATCCGGCGTAAAAGTAGGGGCGATTGACAGTGTACAGCTGCTTGCCGGTCGACTGGATTGATGCCTGCAGGATTGGCTCAATTGCGTGTGTTGCGACGGCGACGGCTAATGATACCAGGCCAGCGAAACGGAGCCCAGTTTGTCTGAGCAGCTTCAAGGCGCTGATGGGATCGCCTTCCAGTCGACCAGACTCGTGCAGAAATTCGGCTGTGACGGTGCCTCCCTGCCCAAGATGTCGCCACATAGCGCTGCGAACGTTGGAGCCGATAAGTGCAGTCAGACTTAGCTTATACATGGTGATGCTCGTCGACAGAGAGGCATTCGGTGAGGAAGTAAGGACTTCGCCTTTACTGATGTCGCTGTAGGTTAACCAGATCGTCATCATGGCGGTCGCTCCGAAAAAATACTTGAACCAGACCATATACCAGTCATGCTTGTATCTAGCGGCAACATCTTTTTCTTGTTCGGCTTTCCAGTCTTCAATGACGTCGCAAGAAGCTACAGACGCTTGCTGAGCGCTCAAAGTTAGCTGTTCTTTGTCAGGCGTCTGTTCCTGAGCTTCCGTAAGTGGAGACGGCTGAAGAGGAGTTTGATGCTGCCACGAAGGGTCGGGAAAGCTTGACATTTTGGCGTCGGTCGTATCCAGCAAGTATGGTTAGGGATAGTTGGAGATCTTTGTTGAAAGCTTTCAGCAGCAATGATGGGTGTCCGTTGCATATGAGTGAGGGTGGTGATAGCTGGTTTATGTAGCTTTCGGTCCCAGCGGACGCCATCAAATTGTGTGGTGTCTACGGTCATCGGTAGCATCTTCCTCTCCGCTGACGAATCGCTTTCACTTTGGAGCGTCTTCTTCTCTGACAGTTTTGTTGCGCTGTCTGAGCGATCGTGTATGTATGGAGCTGCCGTGCCTTGCAAGAATGTCGACCCAATGCTGCAGGTACGAAACGCGGGAACCGGTTGCATCACATTGCCAGAGATCGATATTCATGCGACTTGGTGATGCAATCTGCTCACTACTTTTGTCGTCACATCAATGCTACCGCTAGGAGTCGACATGCCCGCTTCTGACTGACCCGGTCTCTTGGCTACGCTGACGACCGCAAACTTGAAAACTAATTCGTCTGCAAGATCGTCATTCTCCTGGTGGCTGCGCAAAAGCTTCGACATCCCTGACGAGCGATTGGATTCCAACCCCAAGGGTGGTACTGTTGGAGACTGTTTGTGCTTAGGGTTAGGGTTAGGGTTAGGGTTAGGGTTAGGGTTAGGGTTAGGGTTAGGGTAAGGGTTAGGGTTAGGGTTAGGGTTAGGGTTAGGGTTAGGGTTAGG